TGGGCCCCCCCCTTCCTGTCGTATTCTCTTTGTAAGGCGTTCGTCGCACAAGACGTGAAGGGGGCACGAAGTCCCCCGGGTCGCGGCAGAAAAACCAGCTTAGCTGCTTGGCTTGCGTGCCCGGCTCTCCCCCCTCCCCGGCTCGGAGCACGTCAGCGGCGCAAATTTTCCCCTATTTACAATACACAGTTGAACTTAATCTCCAGCCATCTCATCTATTGCTGACCGTCCAGTCGGGTAGACGTGCGCTTCTCCGGATCTGTCAGACGTCAGGCGCAGTTTGGTGGTCAGCAAGGACCTTTTTTTCACGATACACGACACTCTCTATCATTTATCAATTCATGGAGGAGCGGGAATCCTCCCGAGTCTGACTAGATGCTTAGGTACGGTTATACTTGGAGGTCCACCCAACAGAATTTCTTCAATTTCTATCAGTGGTTATGTGATACCTAAACCCATTCTATGTCCAAAGTTTTTCTTCACTACTTCGGCGCTTCATATCGCTAGCAGAGTGACCGAGCCTAGATGAATTGAATGTTAGCTTAGACGTTGTTCACACTCTACAAGTTGCGCCACGTGTATGTCACGATGACACTAATAGTTACAGCGACCTCGGGATTGACTCATCCAGTCCTTCTCTAACGGATACCGATTGAGAATAATAGCGTGTACACAGGCTAGCCCTTAGACAGCGTTGAAGGTCCAAATAGTCACTTTTCGAGTAATTGGAGGAACTTCCCGACTAACGTGGTTTCTAAAGGGGCTACGAAGAAGATGAAGTCTACCTATACCATGCTGGCTTGGTAGAAGTCGTCGTTCCAACACGAGGAAAACTGAGACCCCTATATGTCATGTCCATGCGAGGGCAAAGAATCCGACCCTCCTTCTTACACTCCTTGCTACATACCTTGGTGCTATGGATGTATTTGTTTGTTTCTACCTAGGTGTCTTAAGCTTCACTCTTGTCACTGCCTATGGGATGTCGACAATGGCAATCTGTTTGCTCGCCCCGTTCCAGGCTCGGCCGGGATTTCTCGTCTAGAACCCGTGCTAAGGTCGATCTAAAGCAGCTCTCGGCAATAAAAATTCTGACAGGACCTCGAACGTCCATACCTTTCCCGTTTTAGCCTGAAGTGAGAAGAATAGGACGAGAATTCTTTCACTTTCTCTCGGCCCATATCCAACACTAGCCAGCCCTAATGCAAGGGGCGATGTTACCAAGTGAAGATAGTTGGTAATTCTGGACGTAGGCTCGCGTGGTGTGGCAGCATCCAATTCGCCTCATGCGATCGGCTTCTGATTGGCTTGTCGGCTTTTCTTTTGTCTCTTCCTGATTCCTATAGTGCTTTTGTATTACCTAGATCCTCACCAAAGCAGTAGAGGATGATATTACTACCGCGGTATAATCGACGTTTAAGGGAATCATGTACGGCAAATCTAAAGATTAGGATCCTTTAGATAGACAGGATTATGGCAGTATGGTAACCAGTCATGTTTCTTTTTACCGGCATTTTTTATTTTTACTTTCTTCCTTCTATTTCTATTGGTTAACCATGAACTAATGGGTTGTGGCCGGTGCGGGACGTGTGGTTCCTTCGCATCCCGCTCCCTCCAAAGACATGGTTCTACATAGCTGCAGGTACCGAAGCCAAATCACAACAAGCTGACGAGAGACGGCGCGAAGTCTTACCACAATGGGAAGGATGAAGAAAAGTTTTCTTCGGGTTTGGCTGGTTTGGGTGCGGAATAGTAAGTACAGACCTAGGGTACCTAAGATCGAGGAAGCCCTACGCATGCGCTTTTACGTAGTAAGTATTCGATGAATCTGGAGACTCGAAAGCGCGCGGTTTCTCGATGTTCTCATACTGCGCATCGCTACCTGTCTTCCTATGAACTACCCGCAATAGCAATGCAGCCATCTTATGGCGAAAAGCCCTTTCACTCTTAGGGCGCAACTTATCCAGTAACCTGCCACCGGACATGGAATTTACGAGCGCACTTGGGGGCTATGTCAGCATTTAGTCGATCGACATCTAGCGACCCGGACCGGTGACGCCATTCGCTAATTCGATCGCGCGGGGGTGTGACCAAAATCTTCATAGCGCATAGTAGGCACATAGGTATTCTTCAGTGGCTTAATGAGAAAATTCCTGCCAAGGCCGTTAGTATTGACGCCCGTCGAAAGCGCTTCTTCCCTTCAGTTGAGTCGTCAGGTGACGGTGGTCCGATCAAGGACGCAGAAAGCCAACATGTGTCAACGAATAACGTATTATTGAGTCATGACTGTCGTCCTGTGAGGTCTAGAATGGCTCGGCTCTAGGTATGTAGTATCTTCTGTTTTCTGGACGTGGCACGCATCATTCTTACCTACTGTTTGCTCTCTCCCGCCCAGTCGAGCGGTACTGCCCAACGAGGCTTTTTTTTCCTTTCCCTGGGTCTTCCGTCCCCCTCAAGGTCCGTATGCGCAGCCAATGAACGCCGTGGCGCAAAATGGCAAACGGCGTTTTCTAATTGAGGCGGTGAATGCGACCCTCCCTCGCAGCTATTACGTGTCGACAAAGATGTGGCACGTCAAGCTGCCGTGGTAATTAATCAATATATGCAGGTACGGATGACGGAGGCCTGGAAGTGAATGTGAGTTTCCGGAGTTCCAGGTCTTATCACCGTCGCATCCTCCTCTATCAGATCGGTCTGGGCTCAACGGCCTGTCGGGGAGAGTCGCGATATATCGGTATGTTAGGATTCGGGGCTTACAGGAAGTTCTTGCGCCTAAGTTATTTTCCGTGTATTATACGGAGAGGCTAGAACAACGCGGCAGTTGAATATTTGCAAGGCGGGACATCTCGGCTTTGGCTTGCTCTAGCTTGCCGGGGATGCTCGCTATCCGTTAGGAAGTGACTTGTCGGGTTTCCGCGTCATCTATGGACGCCATCGATCTTTTGGCGTAAAATATTGCCGTCCCAACTTTCAAGAAACAATCCGGAAAGAATTGTCGCCCCTCGGGGCTTGTGATTGTTTGAGATTTTATCTTTAGCTGTTCCTTTGAAACGATTGTCTAATGTTGCTCTTCGTAGTGGTCAGTAGCCGTAAAGTAAAATCAATCAAGGCGAAGGGATGTTAATCGAACATCCTCATTGCTATGTATGAAACTGATATTTTAATAATACAATACCTAATTGGTTTGGACAGGTGATGATACCAGCTTGAATACCCAGGGGTATTTAGCTTTCCTTACATTGAAAAGGGGTCACCCCTTAAACTAGTGCAATGACTTCATCAATTCAGTACAATGACTACCTACCTACATTTATTGCTAGAGCCCGCAATTTGGCATAAGATATATCAAGGTATACGCTTTTGTGAATGAATTGACTTTCCTAACTTACATTTTTCGTCACGGATGATCTCCTAGACAGCTCACTGTGAGAGACTGCTTAATGTTAAAGGCATTTTATTTGCAATTCTTGAGGAAATTATCTCTAAGACTGATTTAAAAGACAATCGTCAGTGTTTAAAATCTTCTGGAATATACCATTTTCATAAGTTCATAACTCCCGAAAGCATGGAGTCCTATTCCTAAGACACACATACCTCTGTTTATCTCCTTTATCTCCTTAACTGGCAGATAGCTGCAGTGAGGAATTAGAAGGTGAAGAGAATATAAAGAAGCGAAGACCATGAACGGTACACTATTTTACTTGCTTTGTCCCTTATGTATTGCACCAAAAATGCTCTGGCCTATAAGTAGTGTTCCCAGTCGACCAGAACGGAGCTTCTATGGGCTTTTTGGTGTATTCTACTCTCTAGCCCCTGACATCAGTCATTTGCTCAGTAATGAGATAGCTTACAATGAGGGAACGAAATAAGGCAAGAGTACCTACCTACCTGGTAGCTGTATGTTTTGGCCATGGTACTCTTATTACAACAGCCTGTAAGTCCTAAGAACGTAGATTAAATACCTACCTAGGTAGGTAACATATATGGAGTATCGTATCCCTACCTACATTGAAACCAGATGATAATATTTGAACTGTACAATCAGATAGAAATTTTGCACTGAAGTATGCAACACAAATAACTACGTACTATATAAATTTCAGAGGATAAATGTGTAACTACGACGACGATTTAATCGATACGGCAATAACATCGTTGATACGCGAGGAGTTCTAAATAGGTATCCATGTCTGGGGTGGATCGCAATATCAGAGAAGTCCTAATTACCGTTTCTCTGTGTTGTCTTATGACCAGTCAGCAGCACGTGTGCTACTAACGGGTCGTCTATGATAGTTTTTATATGGCAAGATGAAGACATCCGGCTTGAATCTCACAGAGTTAACCAAATAAGTCTTTGGTTCCTGCTATTGGTGTTTTTGTTTTCTTTGATACTCCTGGAAATAGGTACTAGTTACCGTTAGGCATATTTGCCCAAACCGGAACTAATTGAGTAGAAGCGACACCTAGCGGTAGGTTGGTAGGTATGTTATATTTCCCAAAGAATTTTACCAATTAGGTAGCTGTGATAGGCTAGGTAGGACTTACGTAGGTGCCGTTGAATACCTATACATCTGCCAATTGGCCTTAATTCGCAGACTTTCCTAGGTACCTATAAGCGTCTGTCAATATCTTGACCCCTTTACTAAGCCATGATTCTATGGCCTAGTGCTATAGTTATCTCCCTAGAGTGAGTTTATGCTTTTATTCTGCGATCCAATTCCTTACCTGTTAGGTAGGTACATATTATTTAGCTAGCCAACCAGTTAATCGGATAACTTGATCAAAGTGCCTAGGGAGCTTCTAGATCAGACTATTATATTGTACTCAAAGCTACTTATTTGTCAGGATAATGAAACGACCGCAATGTTGTTTATTAGGTGCTTGGGTGTCACATTCGATCTGATGCGAGTATAACGGTCATCAGTAGTAACGAGTTGATATACTGTAACGAGTATGGAGCCCCAAGTTACTCGAAAGCAAGTGGTACTATTCTCATTTTTCTCGTTATATGTAGTAAGAAGTTGTAATAGTATATATCAAGATTTTTTACTAAATAAATATCTAGAACTACGGCTATGTAGAAATCTAATTGTAAGACAGAACCCCCTTTTTAGAGTAACCCTAAACGCCTTGCTGATAGAAAAATAATATTCATCGAGTTGCCTCAATAGCCTTCTCTAGGATATTAAGTCCGCTCTGGATTTCTTCTTCGCTGACAGTGAGAGGCGGGACAAATCTGAGTGTATTGGTTCCACATGTGATCACCAATAGTCCTCTCTCCCTAGCAGCTTTCAGTATCGGCGAGGGGTCTTGGGTCAACTGTAGGCCTAAAATTAAACCTTTACCGCGAACTTCGGTAATTAGGTCGGGGTATCGCTCTCGCAAGCGTTCAAACCCTTGCTTGAAGATTTTGGACTTGGAGATGACATCGCTCTGCAACTTTGGGTCTGATAGCTGAGAAACCACGTAGTGGGCAAGACGGCATGCCATCGGATTACCACCAAAGGTCGTGCCGTGGTCACCAATCTTGATTTTTTCACTAACATGGTTGTTAACTACCGTGGCACCGATAGGGAAACCATTGCCGAGAGCCTTTGCGGTAGTAATGATGTCTGGATGTGCTTCCTTGGGTAGGTGACTATGAGCCCAGAGAGTACCGGTCCTCGATAGACCGCACTGAATCTCATCATAGATGAGGACGGCGCCGACTTCGCGACATCTTTTCGCAAGCGCGGCGAGGAATTCATCGCTGGCGACGTTTACTCCTCCTTCTCCTTGAATAGGCTCAATTATCACACCACAGGTCTTATCCGTCACGAGATCATTGATAGCTCCGACGTCGTTATATTTCCCATACTTAAAGCCCGGGAGCATCGGCGCGAAGGGTTCTTGGTATTTAGGATTGGGCGTTGCGGAAAGACTTCCCATGGTTCTTCCATGGAATGAACCTTGGAAGGAGACGAACTCGTGCTTCGCGCCGGTAGGATCTAAGACCTTGCCAACCTTTCGGGAGAACTTGATAGCAGCCTCGTTTGCTTCGGAGCCGGAATTGCAGACAAAGACGGTTGCCGCGTCGTGCATGGCACCTGATTCTAAAGTCTTCTCGACTAGCAGTTGGGAAAGCGCGCCGGTCCATGGATTGTAATATAGGTTGGATGCATGCCATAGAGTTTGGGCCTTAGAGGAGCTGATTAGTATACGGACGGAAAAGAGAGGAAGTATTTCTCTACTTGATCGGAGAGGACCTTGGCCAGACCGGGATGGCTATGGCCAAGTCCATTGACGGCAATGCCAGCCGTGAAATCTAGATACTTGCGGTTCTCTAGATCCCACAAATATGAACCTTCACCCTTTACGAATACCGGCGGTGGTCTAGCATAGGTCGCTAACATGAACTTGGAATGTTCCTTAACCAAATTGGCGCTCGCAGAGTCTTCCGAGGGATCGGGGTTTGGAAGATTGGCTTCGCGGGATATGGATTGTTGGACGGTTTGCGACAAGTTGGAGGTCGCTGTCGCTTGAGATGATAGACATCGTATTCTGGCAGAAGGGAGTCTTCGAACTGCAAATCGGGAAGCCATTGTGAAATGGAAAGTCGCTCGCAAGTCGCAAATCGCCGACGGGAAGAGAAGAAAGGAGAAACGGAGAGGAAAAAGGAGAGCAACGACTTCTAGTTTTTGTCAACTTTATAATTGCCGAAAGGAAATCACTTTAGAAAATAAAAGTTGGTGAAACCATCCATGAATCCCACCTGCCCACCTAGAAATCCCTAAAATCCCACCTGAAATGCCACTTTTTTCTCTATCGATAACGACTAGCCTAAATCTTGATTCCGATCTCGCTGCGCCCTGTAGTAACGAGAAACTCATTCTTTCTGTCAACATTTGAAGTTAATATAGCAAGATTTAACTATTTCATCTATTAATACTTAGAGTTTACTTTCTTATCCGCACGGTGAATGGTCTGCAGCCTTTTTTTTTGATTAATTTTTTTAACATTGGCCTGACTGGCTAATCTAACTTAAATCATTCAAACTACAAGCAGGTAATTAAGACGTCTCGAAAATGATCACGACCTTTTCAAATCGTGAGAAATTAAACCGATTCAATCGCTCAATACGCCCATGCAATGCCCCGCGACTTGATGGCGACCGCCATATATTTACCTACCTAGGGCATCGAGATACATATATGTGGTTGGTGAGGACTGGAATTCAACGGCTTAGGCCAATCGGTCAGATATGAATGCCCACGGCACATGGCGGCTTACTACATATCATCGGCACAATTTTCAGTTACACAGTGGCATAGCGCATGATACCCTCTGCTTACCTAGTAGCTACTTAGGTAGGTACCGGTATCCTAGGTAGGTGATGCTCAGCTTTGCTACAGCCTCAAGTATGCGGTCCATGGTCTCCATGAGATGCACGAGACCCAATGGAAACTCGGGTGCTGGTAATATGGCACGCAGTTCTCCAAATCTCCAACCTCCAACGCGGGGCCATCTACATTCCTTACCTTGCGTACTTGAGGTACCCAGGTGTTAAGCCCCTGACATTCTCCACGATCCTCGAACGCTGATAGGCTGGAGAATCCTTAGACCCCGAATCGGGTGTGGGGGAGGGGCAATGGGGAAATTCGTTCACCTGCTGATCGATTTAAGGTTAGCATCCGTGGACCTGGACATCCCCCAAGCTGGCGAGGCGATTTTCACATGTCAGGTTTTGTCTTACTCCCTCGACGCAAACGTCACCAAAGATGCCGATAGGTTCCAGGTTTCATCATCAGCCAGCCATTCACGAGCTTCCAAATTCAATCTCATCCTGTCAGCTCGGTCAATAGTCCTCTAACCTAGCCTCTAACCTAGCAGCCCGTTATCTTTAGTCCGAGGACTTTATGTCACGAACCCATTTCTATTGTCTACTCCCGCCCTGTCTTGTCATCCGAATCCTCCGTCCCACGTTGTCCTCAAACCCAATTCGTTCTTCCCTGGCTAACTTGCCTAGAAAAACTCTTACAAGGAGCTATGCCGCAATTCACATGTTGCATCTCTTCTCGAGAGCAACTCTACTCGGTCATCTAAGTCAGCCGATCTTCCTCTTCTGTTGCTTTCCCTTTTCGTATACGCCTATCACAATATGAACCGGACGGCTATATCTAGTATTATGTTCTAAAGTAAAGATTTTATACACTTTCTTTTCTTCCTCGACGGTCAATCTGCACTGCTGCTGTACAATATGATAGATCACGTTCTCGGCAAGCCTTCTGTGAAGTCGCGTAGGCTCCAGGTGCTTGCCGTGCTGACATTCTGGTCCTTCTATCTATTCAAGTAAGAGCCTGGTCAATTCAATTTGCGTCTTGTAGTCACTAATAATAACCCAGAGGCCATCGGCATGGGCCGCCGCTTGTTCGATATTTATCTAAAGTCTCCTCGAAAGCAGTGACAACATGGCAGACCGTTGTGCTCACTATGATGTATTTATATGCTGCCCGAAATTTCAGTACTCTCGTCGGACTTGCCAGTCCGGAGCCGATGGCGAATATGTACGACGCCAAATATTTCCGCGCGACCTGGATCCTCACCGCGCTCGACGCAGGGTTTTGGACGGCTATGAAAATAAGGAGAAAATGGATAAGGGATATTGCTAGCTTGGTGTTTTCCGTATTCTATATGGTCGCGGCCGAACGCGCGGATGAGAAGGTCAGGAAGGTTAGGGCTGCCTTGACGGTCGATCATCTACGGGTCAGTTGGAATAAAGGGACTACACTATATCTGCGGACTTTTCAGAACCTGATGAGGCCCCGCTTCACGCGATGGCCGGCGCGAGCAATTCGTATTCCACGACCTAGCACTAGCGACTACAAGGAACCTGTTTCCGGATGGTTGTACTATGATGGACCAATCTCGGACCTGGAGCACATTAACAAGATGATCCTGGACATTCCCGGTGGAGGTTTTGTGGCGATGGATCCGCGATGCAACGACGATAAGCTATTTGCCTGGGCCGGAAAGACAAGCCTTCCGGTACTCAGTTTAGATTACAAGAAGGCTCCAGAATTCCCGTACCCGTATGCTTTGAATGAATGTTTTGATGTGTATACGACTATCATTAGGAGCAAAGGGCGGTGTATAGGAATGTCGGGGTTGGAGGTTCCAAAGGTCGTGGTAACCGGTGATAGCGCCGGCGGAAATCTTGCGACCGCGATGACTCTCATGATAATTGAGAGCTCCGCCGGTCGTCGTCAACTATCGGTTCAAGCAGAGCTACCCGTCCCAGTCGGGCTCGTACTCCTCTACCCCGGGTTGGATATGAATATCGGCAATTGGATGTCTGACGAGCAGATGTCTCTTATTAAAGATCGGCGGATGAGGGTGACCAACAAGGACTACCTACGAGGAAAGAGCATGCAGTATAATGACTTGGTTGGCACGCCTCATCAATCGGACGACGAAGACGACGAGCCCTCTGGCTTGGCTTCGGGGTCCAAAATCTCCAAGTCAGATACTCGTGCGGACGAGAATGGGCTTCGTAGCCCTCAACCGGAATACTCTCACGCCAATCGCCAAAATTGGGCGAAATCCCAATCATCGGCACCGGCGTCGAGCCGAGATACCAAGTCGATGTCGCATAGACCTGAACCTATGCGAACACGCTTGGCCATGGCGTCTATGATCTCCTATTTCAACGATCGTGTTTTAACCCCCGAGATGATGCGCGCAATGATCATCTTGTATATTGGACCCCACAACCGACCCGATTTCTCGCAGGACTATCTGCTATCTCCTATCCTAGCTCCCGATTTCCTACTACAGAAGTTCCCCAAAACTTATTTCCTCACTGGCGAACGGGATCCTTTGGTCGACGACACGGTCATTTTTGCTGGGCGATTACGTCGTGCAAAGCACGCCTCACATTCGCAGCGTAGGTCCCAAGGGATGAAAGGCCTAGATGATATTACGGACTTTGACGAAAAGGATGTCGCCGAAGTGGTTCTGATACCTGGGATCAGTCATGGTTTCAGCCAATTCCCAACTTTGTACCCACCTGCATGGAAGCTCATCGACCGTTGCGCGCGATGGGCGGTAGACCTACTTGATACGGACGAGGTGCGGTCGAGGCGCGAAAGGGAGAATCCATCACGGTCACATCATGTGCGTACAGAATCTAGCGGTGACGAAGACCGGCCGCTTGAGATAAATATGACGAAGCTCCGGTCTAGAACCACTGGCAACGGGTCGCAAGCGAAACCAGGTAGCCCCGATCGAGGAGAAGAAGGCGATGCGGATAAACCAAATGGGAACACTAAGAAGAGAAGGTCTAACGGAAGGTCCGGATTTGGGCAGAAATCAAAGAGCTTGGTGAAGCTAGATAGTTCGGATGATCTGCTCGGACGGCGCATGCAGGGTCTCGCCGGGCCCTTGACCGGAGCTCACGATGAAGATTAAGCAGTACTTGATAGACGATGGAACTGAGCAAAGTAATCTAAAGCATCTACGCACATCATATATCATATTTAGATTCTGAGGCATCCGATCCTCAAGCTAAGTAGGGTACCACTCTAAGCTAATACATGAGCTGGGATGAAAAGGTACCTGAACGCCTTTTTCGAGGGTTAGCTGGGCGCTCTCTACCCAATTCACCTAACTTACCTATATAGGTAGTAGGTATGTAGATATCTAAATAATCATATAGCGTCGCCATCTGGTACAGTTAAAATTGAATATCGATGTTTAGAAATACGAATACGAACCCGTACCTACCTATCAACAGCGTAGTCCGCCATTCAACCAACAAATTAGTTTCGTTTCTTTGATGGTTCATCAGCAGACCCTCTAGGTATAGGTTCTGTTATGCATACTTTAATGCTTGTTCATTGCTACTTATCAATGGCCATCCAATATCAGCAACAACACCTTAACAGAGTAAGAGATCGAGCGGGGATATACGCGTAGTCGGCGACCATATCCAACCAGCTCTAGGGGCCGAGCGACCGACTAGGAAATTGTTCACCAGGAACACCAGGACAGCTACCTCCGTTGAACGCGATTCGGCGACCTAAACAAAAATTCAACGGTCGTAATCCTACGCTTTACCTGCGCCTTGACTTTTCTAGCTGTTATTATTTCTTGGCTAGTAGAACGTGAACGCGATATTGATGAATGAATGGGCCAGACGGTCCGCTCCCATGCGCGATCGGATAGCTGCGCACTTAGGCACGTCGCCTTCTGTAGCAATAGGTGAGAGATATAAACATTTAGAGCTAATTGCTAGTCCTAGTCTCATTACCTAATTATTCACAGGTATATTCAAGTTCTCTCCTAGATCGGTCGGAGAGAATGCGACATACGTCCCCTGAATAACTTGCTTAAAATTACACTTTCTCTCGACGGTTGGGGTGAAAGCTCATGTAAGCAAAATCGACCATTCACAAACTCAAACAAGGTTATACCACTTTATATTAATGACCGGAATTCACATAATATGGTCTCACAACGTAGCGAAGTTTCTGGTTGGCCCCTCTGCGTAGACCTTGAAGGGCAACGTTCATGCAACTTCCCAATCTTGATTCGAAGTCCTATGCATGTGACGCAATCCTTGGGCAGCTAGACGGCGTGTGAGTGAATAATTGTGCGATTTTCTGGTCGAACATTCCTAATCCCTTGTCAAGCCAAAAAATCTACCTAACCAAACTCAGCTGCGATTCAAGACCATCGCATCTGAAGGTCAAGTTGGACAGATTATGGAAACCAGGGGTTATACACAATTGGATCGCGCAAACGTCTTAAGAACCCTGGAGTCTCGATTATCAGCCAGCCAGGACGCGGTTCAAGGCCCACAGGTTCAGCTCTTCCGAGTCAATTCGCCTACTCCTGATACAGCACCGCCGAATTTCACAATGCCGCACTGGAAACCTGGCGAAGAGTCTCCCAGTACGTACTGCTTAGCTCTCCTGTACCTATCTAAGTAGGTGGTTGGAACGTCTCCTCACTCGTGTCTCTAGATGAGGAACCATCGAAAGATGTACGCGCAACAACACCTTCCGAACATCTCATCCAGTCATACAACAAACGGATTCAAGTCATGCAAGCTATCATAAACCAACTCCGTACTGCAGAGAAGGATCGTCACAACGTGGAAGACGATCTGAAGAAGGTGCGCGAAGAGCTCGATAGGGCAAAGACAAGGATCGGCAATCTCGAAGATGAACTCGAGCAAAGTGTAGAAGAACTCAAGGCTGCGATCGAGCAACGTGACGTGGCCATTGAAAACGCCAATAGGTACTGCAAGGAGGCCGAAGCAGCCGGTAAGAGGTGTAGCCAACTCGAGTACACTAATAAGGGGCTATGTACCGTCCGAGAGGATGATGACAACGCCTGCAACGATGTCGTCCGCCTTCATAACGTCATCTGGGGATCGCGACCCATCTTTGATGAATCGCTGAATCAACGACTCATGGAACATGCCGCTCGGGGTTCTAGTTTTGCTGCCACGCGCGATTTTATCGATTATGATGTCAGGCCTGGTGAAAGGAGGACGCTGATTGTCGCGTATTCGAAAGCCCCTGATGGCCCGGTACGATGGCTCGTTGTTGATGAAAACGTTGAAATGAAGTTTGATCTCTATTGAATTCAGGGGTGTTGTATCTCATATGTGAATAAATCTGGTAAATATACCACTAGGTAACTTCCAACTTACTTATCTCCTTTATAACTAACTTGAAGCCATCCTACGAGACCTACATCTACCTGATTCAGCCTATTCAATAAGGGGTAACCCGGATTCGGGTTAAATTTATCATGGACTTGCCGGTTTAACAGTCGGATCATAGTACTCTAGAATACATTTCCAATGGCTATACCTTTCCCAAGGACAATGTCTCAGATTATGTCATCACTTTACAACTGTATAGGTACGAAATATTAGAAATATTATTTCACTTCTATCCCCTTTTTATATAGATCAGCCTTAGGGTGGTTAGCTAAGAATACCCAGTCCTAGGATACTCTCCCAAGTACCCAGGTAGAGGTTTCCCTCACTTATGCCATGCTATCTTTCTAACACCCAAGTATAGCATACAAGGTTATATAGAATGCTGTGATATGGTCCCCATTACAAGCCTTTTATGTACATTAGCATCCGTTGGTTGAGGAACCTTGGTGAAAAAATGTGTCAACGTCTCCAGACTATGATAGGGGTTACAAAATCTTTTGTTTAGGCCATTATATTTAACAACCACGAAGTAGAATCTTGCAATCAGGTATAACTTGTTGAAATAGACGCAGATTATAAGTGTTATTCTTGTTGTATTAGGTTAAATTACTAGGAGTAGATAGAGGTCCGTAGATAGTACCCCGAGATACAGGGCGTAAGCTTCCAGCCACCTGATATTCCAACGTGGTTCGCAGGGGATGATACGTAGGCCCGCATGTAAGTCTCTACCTGGAAATCAAATATCTATCAGTAGATTAATGCCTTGGGGAGACACTTTGTCACGCGAATCTCTGGCTCTGCACTCCAGATGTTCTATGCGCTAATAGGTGCGCGCTAATGTACATACCTCCTATTTTATACGCGTCCTCCGTGCATTAACATGTTCATCATCCTCATCATCGAGTGCTAAGTGGGTACCTAGGCACAGTTTATCCCGTCGCCTTAAGATATATAGACGGAGGGAAACTGCTTTATGAATACGACCCCTATTTAGACCGAAGTTCCTAACCTATATATCGTAGTCATCTTGAATTTAAGGGGTCTAATATGCAAGCAGTACTGATCATGACAAGGCAAAAGTTTATACCTTGTTGACCAGAGCTGAACTCATTCATCAATTGGTCTCAACAAACATGAATTGACTCGAAATCCTTAAGTTTAACTCACTAAATATTGCTGGCCTATGTGGTGAACAGGAGACTGCTATTTTTAAACAACTCATGTATGGTTACCTAGGAGGTAGGTATATCCTTAACTAGAAAATAACTGATATGATAAGTTTCTCGTACTCACATGATCTACAGCCGATATATTCCTTCCGACATAAAGATACTACGTTCTAGCCGCATGGGTGTGTATAGCTCCCGGATTTATCGAAGCTCGGGGGAGCATTACCCGAAAGTGCAATACCCGACTTACTAAGACAGGAAAGTATAGGGCTATAACGGTATACCACTTTTGGTGTCAATAATTGCGTCGCGATAGCTAATTGTGGTCAAAAGTAACCCAATGCGGTTATTGATCAAGCATCTTGACAATACCGTCAAGTTTACAACAGGGCCAAGACGGCTCCGCTAGGTGATTTAGGGAATATTGAGCTGAACTCCAATAAAGTTGGGCTATCAAGACAACGCACTCCAATACCCTTGCTGTTTCATGATCCCCCGTCCGCATGAGGGTGTGTAGAACTCCTTCTATATCGCATTCACCAATAAAAGACTCTTTAAGAAGGAGTTTATTTAGCCTCCCCCCTCTACCTTCGTCCCAACTGTGTCGTTCCCAGGAGGTCCTTACCAACGTGCAGATTGGATCACACCCTTGCAGTTGATAATGAATCTTGCAGTATATGTATAACGTTCATGCCCCTCGGAATCCCATTACAGATAGAATTGGCCAAGGTCAGCTGCTATTTCGGCTCTGACAGTTCAGAGGTCCAGCCGCGATATAACACTTGGCATGCTTCCGCACCACCTGGATATTATTTGTAGGGGGTTGGTGTGCATCCTGGGGAGGGGGGCAACGGAAATGCTGTTTCGAAGACACTCATACGGAGCTAAGACTAAGACACCTCGTCTGGACTAAACTGTAAGATTTTAGTCGTACGGAAACGCTTGTCCAGTATCGTCACTCCGGGGCCGCGCGCGTGGAGACGCTGGATGAGGCTTGAACTCTAACACATGTCTGATAGCATCGGTTATTCGGTTGTATCAGGCTAAAATAGACCGGACCTACCAAATGACTGCACATCGAACAAGGTATATTATCTAGGTGCGTGATTCGTCGGACCGGACTATTGTAACTACAACTTGATGGCGTATCTTCCTCCACTCCTTGTAAGCACATACGCATTTGACCATAAGCGATACCAGAGAACGATTATGGTCATCGAAGGAGAAGCATTATGTAGGTAGTTTTACTGAATGCGAGCGCGAGTTTATATTCATGAGTCTGCCATATACATATATCGTGCATGTCCGAGTAGCAATAAAGTCTATCGTAATGCTTAGAATTCACTACAGAATTCCCTGGAATACGTCCTCTTCATGTATTGAACAGAGGGTGTCTATTTCAAGGTCGCCAACATCTCGTCAACAAGGCCGTTTAGCGCACCCACATCCCAAGCAAAACCCCCTCTTGTTCGATCGATGTGTGCTGGGTATTCGGGTGATATGGTGGGCGTCTCTTCGGGACAAACCATACGCGGAAATCCGACCGCCTTGCATGTTTGTCCAAACGTGGCTCCGAAAAAGGGGGGAGAAGAAAGGAATCTCAGTAGTGACAGTAGATAAAACCTGGTATCATCCGCTTGTTGCCAAATACATTTAGGAAAGTTTTTCTACTCGAGGATAGAGCCGAAAGAAGCAAATGGGAGCCGCCTGAGAAAAAAAGCAAATAACCCCTGATAGATGATGTCTACGAGCACCATATCGGAAACTGGGTATTACCGTGGCGATGCAAAGAATGGTATAAATAATACAGTCGTAAAAATGCGTCACGGAAGCCTCCAAGAGCGCCATCATGCGAAATTTAACTGGAAAAAAATTGAATAAACGGGGGTATTTCGTCCGTCCATTCGTCATGTTCGTAGTCTCGTCCGGTGCCATCCATCACCCCCTTTTTTTTGCGCACCCCAATCTCCCCTTATTGATGACGGCCTGGATGTTTCTTAAATTATGTTCGCGATGCTGATCCTTTCCGTACTCCGGCTCCCTGATGCTGCTCCGGCGGTCGGGCTGTTCCTGCTACTCCCCCCAATTTCGGTGGTCCCGCCTCCTGGTATGTTCGCTCCCTGCTCTACCTTAATCGGAGGTAGCGTCTGCGCTCGAGGTGCATAACCGGGAGCCGGGCTTGCCACGCCGGAAGCCAGGCTCATAGTAAGATCTATTAGATTATCCCATCCTCCCCAATCCTTTCTTTCTTCGGCGCTCAAACCCGTTCGGTTATCTGGGTGTGCGAGGCCACCTCCGGTAGATGATGGGGGAGTCGTTAAAGGGGCTTCGCGTTCGGCTCCGATCCACACCCAAGACGTCTCGATATTAGCCTGCATATCCGCACTCACGTAAATCAAGAGCTCTTCGTCCTTTGATAAAGCCTCTTGGACGGCTCTGGGGTCAGGCAGAGCCGGGGGGAAACCTGGCGTCGCAGAACGTGGGAGTCCGGTTAGCAAGTCTCGCTGCTTGGCTCCTAGGATCTGTAGGAAAAACGATAAGAAGCGTCCGCACGGAATAACGATATCTCGCCGCACGTCGATCGACTTGAGAGCCCTCAGGCACGTAGAGGCTAGGTCGTAACAACCCGTTAGGAGTAGGAAGAGCGTAGATCGAAATATATGGGTTACGAGAAGAGCTGTGGCTGTATCCGCAAGCGTTGCGTTAGTACGTGCAATCAAATTCGCAGTTTCTATCGCTGTGGCTTTGCACTGCTGAATAGCATCGTTTCTAGCTTCGGGAGGGCAGCCCGGAGCAAGATTATGGCGATGTAAAAGTAGCCGAGAACTAAGGAGATATGCAAGAGGCATTAGCATGTGCGGAGCGATGAGAGAGCCGTTATTTGCCTCGCAGGCTTCTGGAAACATCTTTTGACAGGAAACAAAGTGATTATCGAAGGTTGCTAATCGTGGCGGCTCGATTATGGGGTTAGAGAAGGCTTTTCTCATAGCGGAGTAGGACCTCGCCACGTTGATGATACCGTGCAGAAAGTGAGTTAGGGGCGCGACATTTGGGGGACACACGGGGCCTTCGGTGTGCAGGAAATGGTCGTCGAACGGCTCGGGCAGGGCTACGTCGCAGTCGGCATCGTCGATCATAAATGGATGCCCAAGCTCCATAGATAGTGCTCGATCGAGTATGTATATCGCCCACCAGACCCTCCTTCTCATGTCCGCCTCTACTCTAGAACGCACACCAACCACTTCTAGATGAAGATCGAGATCTTGTGCGCTCCGCACAGCAGTTCCTAGCCATGTCCAGGCTCCCGACTTCAGATTCAACTCGTTTAAGGCGACCGAGGTAAGAAAAGAGGCTCGAACGTTGTCCAGGTCGAAATCGTTATTCCACGGATCCGTCAAGCTCCTGGATGCCTCTAGAAACTCGGTGGCCCGTAGTGTCCGATCGGGATACGGGTCGTTGCTAAAAAGACTTCCCACCGCTAATACCGCAAAGAACATAGAATGCCAAGAGACGGGAACTCGCTGCAGGTCAGTAGTATTTTGGTAAAGCTCTTCCACCTGGTGCTGTAATGTTGGCCAATGCAGTATTGGCATCATGATGTGTGCTGCTCCGTAATATGTGTGAAGCAGTTTATCCACCGCTGCTTTAGGCGGCAATGGCGGTCTAGGATGATCGAACGTAGCAATAACGGTTTGAGGCTGTCGATACGGCGCCGGAGGTTTTAATACGCCCTTTGAGAAATTTCGAAAAGCCACCCTCGCTCGAGAGGGATCTTGCAGTAAAGGCGCTGCTCGCTTCCGTCTCCTGGGTTCGGAGTTCAACTCCGGGAGAAGCGGCTGTGGCGACTGATCAGCTCCCTCCACTTCGATGTCCATCGGCTCGCCCCGTTCAGAGAGAGTCCGCCGCAGATTGCTGTTTTCCCTCCGTACCCTCTCTATCTGTTTCTCTAAATCCTGCACTTGTTTGATAGAAGACATCCGCCGGTTGGTCTCCTTGGTAAATTGACACTTGACGTTGCGGCTTGAGCATTCTGAGCAGCTTGTCGTTTCTGTAGCATCACACTTGACCTTTCTTTCCCGACAGGCATCGCAACTTTACACACGTACAGAGTTCGGAGAAGCGAACATCAACTCCTCCCCATGCTGGAAGAGCTAGGGAAAAAGTCAATACCCGTTCCCTCCATACCCCGTACCTAGATGTCAGCATTGGGCTTCTTCTCTACGGGTGAAAGGGGGATAGGGGGGTTAACGAAGAGAGGGTTTATGCAACTTTCTCGGTCGAGGAATCTAAACATGCACACGCGGAAACCCCCCTTCTACCGAACACATACCTAGGGTCCTTCCTCCTCTGACGGTACGCACGTTTTTGAGCCGAGACGTTCGCGGATAATTGAGCGCTTGACAGCCCCGGAGTACTCGCTACCGACTCCGTCGGGGGCAGCGAGTCTCGGCCCATCACGGAAGTTGCCGTAACTGGCGTATACGGCTGAAATCCTGTTTGTGTCGCCGGCGGCATGGGCGGAATGCCTATGGGCTGCGGCGTCTGAGAGGTATTCGTTCTCGCGTTGGAACTCATCAAGTTTCCTAAGAGTTGGACCTGCGGCCGAGGAGAAGTTGCAGACGAGACTGACGAAGAGTCATACGACCTGGTAGATGGATTTGGGGAACGAGGGAACGGATTATGTGACGATGCTGCCATCGTCGATACAGAACTCCGGGGGTCAAGCTATTTGCGGCTTGGTCGGGCGGAGTTCTCCTCGGGTCGGGCTCTCCCCAGTTAGGCGACTTGCTGGGGAGAGTTTACCGCTCAAGGAACATGCAGAGAACTATGCTGAAGGCGTCTTTTTGGAAAGGGCCAAGTATTAGAACGGTATTCAAGCACCATTCCACCGTGGTTGAGACCTGGGATGATGAACATACGGCGAATGGTGGGTTCTCAACGAGGGGGGAGGCGACTTTGAAAGCTAACTACCCTCGCACCAAAAAACCGCAGAGCCCGAGTCTAGTACGCAAATAAAACCCTCGTTTCTTGTTCGCCCTCGAGAAATCCTAGGGACCAACTGCCTTTTCGCGGTGTTGCAGCAGCGTTGTGCTACTAGAAAAAATCGTTCTAGTTCTAGTCTTTCTCACCCGTCCCGCCTCCTCTGATGGCTCAATAACCCAACAAACCGCTCTGGCGGGGGGCTCCCAAACTACGCGGGATGAATGACCGGCTGGAAACAGTCTCGGAAGCGCTAGGGCTGCTGCGATCCAGCATTTAATATTCCTATCCTCTGCTCGATTGCAAGTTCCTGTTGGCATCAAGAGGGTCGAAAAGAGAACGGTTGCCTAAATAGGAAGGGAGAGTCCTGCCGGTAGGCGACAACGATCATGTACAAATGTAAAGTATGGGCTACAATACGGGTTTAATGTGGTGTTACTTAAAGGGAAGTCCGGGTCGACGATGATGAGTTTGGCAGATGTGCCGCCTCGACGTCCAGGGACAGCTGGTAACGGGAGAAGAGTAACAAGTTCCAAGTTCTGGAAGAGGCAGTGATTTGAGGAGAAGGACGATGGCAAACCCATAAAGGTAGATAGGCTGCTACAGCTGCTACCGTACTAGCTCGCACATGTATATTCCATCTGGGTCTCCCGCCCTAGTCCGGCGCCAAAGCAAAAATCGGAAATATAATCTGGAGGGGTCAAACCGAATCCTTCTGCTACTAACGACCCCTGCAAATAGAGCACAAGGAAGGAAACCGAGCAGGGCTACGGACGATGCTCATCGACAGCAGACAAAAAGTCGCTAGCTCTTAAGGTGTTTCGAGCTGCGTAGGTGGGCCGCCGGCCTGGGCCCTAGCCTGACCCTAATAAAGCACAGGTAGCCATACTGTAGCAAAACCCAGGGACCTTGCCAGATCAAGGGGGGCAAGCCGCGATGGCGAATCGGGGCTACTATTCCAAAGGAGCTTAATAGAGGTTCTATGTATGTGGTATGTGTGTGTGTAGAGGTATCTGTATGTACGTATATAGGTAGGTAGGTACATGCCTATGGATGCCGTGGCTCTCCTCTGCTGTACATACCTATCTTCGACTGATCTCTACCCAGCACATGTACCGTAACTCTTCGAGCGCGGGCGTTGCGATTGGCAGGGAAGATATTCTTATTTGGTTACGCGGAGACCCAATGGTTTGTCAGGGAAACCCTCCCCCAGGTTGATTCTAAATATGAACTCGTAGGTTTCCCGAGTACATTTATGCGACATTACTCCCCCTACTACTAAGCCAAGCATCCTGATGTCGGTTCGGCTGGCCTGCCCTGGCCATGTAAGAATCCTAGACTATGCAACCTCCACACTGGAAAGCTGTACCGTACCTAGAACGTAGCTGCGCATTTGTTTAGTGCAGGACATCTTAGGTAGGACTGGCTGGATGGCTGGCTGGCGAGTCGGCATTCCTCTCGGTTGTGCCAGGTCGACCAGGCCCGTTCGGGTGCATGATGTGCATTCGGAACCCAGGAAGAAGCAGCCTAGAGGCTTTTCCTTTTTGTTTCTTTTATCTTGTTATTATTGTTTTCCCCCCCGCCGTCGTCTTGAGGCCCTTCTCCTGGCTGAGGGTACCTGGCTTTTATCATTACTATATTTCAACTGTCATTCGTGGCGGCGAAACCCCCAGTCGTTCAGCTCTCCGACTTGGCGACACGCTAGAGCACAAGTTGGCAAGAAATGGGTGCAAAGGTACCTAATAATAATACCTTTATGCTACTTACCTAGGTACTATGGTATGCTACTTGTAGGGGGGGATATCTCCCTAGCAAGCGGCAGTGGCCGGTCCGTCGTTTTAGTAGCTTGTGACAAGCATGGCTAGGACCAGACGATGTAGGCAAATCGTCTGTGAGCCTATGACCCGATCGCTATTATTATTTTTTATTTAATAAAACCTGGCATATGAAAAGAGGAGCGTCCCACCGGCGGACGACGGCTCGCGACAGGGTTAAAATACATATGATCACTAAGGACAGCTAGCTTGAAACGTACCAAAGATCGAGTGCTCTTCGTTCTCATGCCGATGTAACCTGATCGCTTGGTTGAGCTAAGACTAATAAACTCCGAGGCATTGGCACCCAGACGTTGGGTGCTGCCGATTCCGACGACTTTCCTCGGACAACGCTTGGTTTCCCATTCATCGTATATCTCTCTTTAAATTCTTCGGAAAACCCTACGTAGCGGGAGGGCGGGCGAGTGGGCGGTAGGGCCGTGACCATGTCACAGAGCTCGTGGCAACTTGTCCCAAACCTGTGGCGTTCTTTGGCGGTCCCAGCTAGCCAGCCTAAAAAGGAATCATTTGGTAACTAACTTCTGCCCCTCAATCTTTCTCAAACGAGTTAGTGAGCCCGGGACGATCTGATCATTTTCAAGGCACGTTTTTGTCCTGGTGATAGCCCTAGCACTGTACAAGGAGATAAAAAAGCCCCAAGGGCCTCAACTGTAGTAATCTATGTAATCTGGCCGGGGTCGAAAGTAGCATGGGGAATATGCAAGGTGCCGCAAAGAGATCACACTACAATACGTAGCCTGCATAACAGTCTGTTAGCTTTTGGGGGGACCCTGTCCGCGCGATTGAGGGACGATTCCGAGAAGACAAGGGTGAATAATGGAGTTTTCCGTTCTGATGAATTTATTTCTACATAATTACCTACCATAGTAGTATATCTCACAGCTGATGGAGATGTCGAATAATGCGTCGTACTTCCATACCATCCTCCATGATAGCACGGGATTTTTCGTTGTTTGTCATGGTCGCATGGAAGGTCGATGCCTGATGAAATTTCAACCACAAACAAGATGCCGTGCAAGTGACAAGCAGCCGAATAAACTCCAGCTCGAGACAGCACATTACCGAGTCGATGCTGCACCTCTCTGATTTCGCGTCGTCGTGTTTACCGGGTTTCCCATCTGAGAACCGTGCCGCTTGACGACATGATACCCCGAGAATATAGGTAGTTGCGTTGTATTGCAATGTAATGTAGAAGGATATCTACAGATCTAAAGGATGTCGAACACCCACTGAGAGCCAATCTCGGGTACTACCCCAGCCGTAAGCAACGGGGGCGGTACGAATAACCCTATCAAACATCACGAACCACGAAGACGCCTAAATCCAGATATAGAATTTGAACAAAACGCTGGAACCTTAGTTGAACCATAACACGCGCAGTGCTATGGTTAATTATGTCACTGTTCTTTGCTGTTGGTATTCAATGTTCGTAGGGAAAGACATTGTCTCAATAATTTCCCATTATTGATATTAAAGCTAGACACCTACCATGACAACATAATCGTCATATACTCAATCATAGCATTAAATACCCTATAATGGCCAGAAACCCTCGGGCAACTTCCATCATCTCGTTACTGCCCACGGGCAAGCATTCGAAAATTCGATCGCAGCTCCATAGGTTGGGAAACAAGAGATCCATAATAGCTTCACCGAAACCCGTTTCGAGCAAGGGTTAAATGGAGGAACGGCTGATGGCTAAAGGCCACGCGGATGGGTAGTAGTAAGTTATCTAGCTAAACATGGAACAGGGGTACAATGTGGTATTAAGGTGCAAAACTTGTGGAGGATCTCCAGCAATCATAACAAATAGCTATGATCATAAGTCTATCAATCAGATCACGAAGATCTAAACATTATCCTACGATACTTTGCGAGCCCGTCACTAGAACCAACAATACTATGTACCTAGGTAAGCATGTACTAGATAAGTAGACCACACCTTTGATCTATGAGTTGGGTACTGTCAATGGATGGTCCTAGTCTCAAAATGCTACTTGTCGAATCTCTCGGTTGACTGATATTGACCGACACTGGCCGGTTCGGGTCACGCTAGACGACGGTTATGCTGCTAACCAAGGCTGAAGTTGAACGAGAATCGACAGATAGCTGCATATGAGATATCGAGATCGTCAGGGGATTCAAGACCTTTTGGCCTTCAATGCTATGACACAAGGATCAAGTGACATCCATCTCGCCAGTTCCCGAGTCCTAAATACCAGACGATTCATTCTGGGTGGTTGAGCTGGATTTTGGTAACAGTTCGGAGAGTACCGTGGTAGTATCGACGCTGTAGAGGGTGAAAATACTCACATATTATTGGCATGAATGCGACCTACCTTACTTAGGAGAACACTTCTAGACACGGTGGTGTCGATGTATTAAGAAGGATTCCCAGGCGCGGGTCACAGGTTATCCATTGGGAAGAGAGATACAGTAGGTACGGTATCTTGGCTTCCTTTCGGCGGCTTCTGACTTCTGGGGTCGCTGGTTTCATCCTTGCGCCGCACTGAGTTGTTAGTTGCGGGAAAGCCGAACCCATGTAAATAAAAGCCTCTGATATAGGTACTTAATACGGAACACGCATAAATACGCGGACGAGATTGCAAATATTGGTTTCTAAAACAAAACAAAAGAAGTGACTATTACTAAAATAGAAGGGAAATTCAACATCAACCAGAAAAACGAGAGCCTCAATCTTGACTCCCGGCATAAAGAGTAGGTACCTACATGTATACATGTATAATGATCGAAGTATGGAAATCTCATCAACAAGATACACTTAGATGCTTACTCGGGTAAGTATAGCTTCCCAGGCACTTAGCATAGATTTTACCGTTTTATAAGAATCGATTGGTATAATAACTAGGATCCATCCAGGCGCGGAAGACATCCGACCGGATAACCATACAACATTATGTAAGACGTTATACTATACTTAATAAAACCGTTGCTGATCACTCAGCCATCTTAACCTTCTAGAAATGTTCCTCGGGCTTTACCTTCTAAAACAGGCCGCTCGCTTTTAATTTATCTGCTACAGCGTCTAGATAGGAAAGGATATGCCGCTGACAACTTGCATGGGATGTCTCACTATTTGGACTTCTCCAGTTACATAAGCCTCATCTTCATTTCCTAGCAAACTTCTGCCGATGAGTTAAACCCGCTGGAAATTAGACAAAAGCTTTAGATATAACTAGTAAGTGACAAATGTCACAAGGAGACTACCGTCCGAATCTAGAACCACGCTACCCAGATTTGAGGGCTCCAATAGCCTTCGGCGGCCCCTCGTCATCATCCCCCAGATCCAAGTCACTCGCTCACCCGCAGACTTGGCCGCTTGCTAGCTACCCTGCGTCTGGGAAAGGATGGAGGGGATCGATGTTAACGAACAGACAGGATAGATCGGACATCCACTACTATCTAAAGCTAGCGGCTATTCAACTTGTATCATATATGTACAATACCTGGGTATGGATGTACATACAATCTCGCCTCGAGACCCCCTCGCGAAAGGACGACGCTATTATTCTAGGCTAAATTCGAATCGCATCCAGCAAACCCAGGCGTGTTCAATCTCGCAGATGGACTAATACCTAGCGTCCCCCATTCCTGGGATCGCGTGCGGCTGGCGCGTCAATCACTATTCGGCTTCCTCCGGACGGTTCTAGCACTGGTTTCTGGGACGCGCGTCGGTCCACACGAAAAAGCTGTTAAAATAGTATTGCGGGTGGCCTTAACATAAACTCAGCTATGGAGCTCATAATACTAGTGCTGACTACCTATTTCGAATGCTTCTCAGGCCTAAATGAACTTATTACGGAGCTAGATACAGACAAGGCAGGTAGGTATGGTAGGGAGTTGATCCCTCCCAAGAATCAACCGGACCCGACTTACATTAGAGCCTCCAGGGCTCCGGATATCGCCATTGCCGCCTGTCATACACATCGTAGTAGGTCATGAGTGATCGGTTGCACCGTAGTCATACGCGAAGTTCTCCCCGGTTTCACTATGCCGGGAACCGAAAAGCTGACTATTGGAATCCGTCAAGGTTAATAAAGGGCGAAATAGCCAACAAGAACAGACCGACGGCGCTCTTCGTTGGGCGCATCTGGCTAGAAAATAAAACGACACAAGAGAAAGTAAAAGAAACAACCAAACTTTTCACGGACGGTCATTTGCATTATCTCTGCATCTGCCCACCCCTCAATCTCCGCCTGGGATGCTCCCACGTTCCGGGTCCGCACGCAACTGCCCTGCATAACGGCCGCCGACAAGCATCACGGTAACTGCGCCGAGGCGATCTATAGGAATTTTATGGACCGCGCGAGATTAGATATAGTGCTTGGCCATTGTCTAACACGCAGGCCGAGCAAACAAACAAAAACAGGGATTTCGAGTAGAGAGCCGAGAGGGTTGAAAGCCACGATACCGCAGCAAGCCGTTGTCCTCCCCCATTTTAAGTCTTGGCCTACATTGCCTACGTTGCCCACATTCCGGTTGCTCGGCTGGGGATATTATATTGAAAATGTAAGTATATTGTGAGATGGTTACTGCTGCCGCGGGACTCGTGATCCATGTGGCCCATCGGCGAGATGAATTTCTACTATGGCTCAAATGTACATGCTTCTCGACGTCCAGCTTCCCCAGGGTGGATTAGTCGGCAATCTTCCCACATAGAAGAACACGCCACCAGCGTTCCCAATCCATGTTCGTCGACGACGGTTGATGAACTTTACCAACCCAATTGTCCAATTATAGAGTAGCTTGCCAGAAGTTGTCTATACAGCATATTCCCGGCAGGCAATACCAAATAAACAGCGTCACGAGGCGTGAAGGGTTTGGGGACCGAAGGTAACGGTAGAAGCTTGGCTTCCACTGGCCAAGGTCTCTGCAGCCGCCTATACTAAAATAGACACATGAACGTGCGTCGAACGATTGCAAGTTTCATGAGAGCACCGTCTCCCGGCTTTGGTATGTAAACATGCCTACATGCATCCATACCTACATACACACATACACACATACATACAGTACGCATATTCCCAGCGATGGAAGCTGCCGTCGTTGATATCGGCACTTCCACTCTCCAAGCACGCATAGCCAAGGGACTGTGGCACCGAAGCCGCATTGATGGTAGGCATAGCGACACATGGGGAAACTTACCCAATGGAGCTAAGAGGGCCGTGTTGCCAGTTAGGTAGCGGCCGATTGCCGAACCCGCGGGACGCATCCACGACAAGATCGGCTCCGCACTCACTCGAAACACGGACGTTGCCTCTTTCGACAATTCAGGGCTCCCGTGGGAGATTCGAGGGGTTGCGAACACTGTAGCAATAAGCCGTGGACGGACGCGTCTCCTTGGCTGCCTACTGGACCAATTCCTACCATGCGTTATGTACAATAATCCGTACGTGCGACTATTTTTCTCATCCCCGGTGGGTTCTCTCTGCTCGTTGCCGTCACCCTGATTCGTCGTACCCTGCCGCTACGCTCCTACAGGGTGTGGAGTGTGCCCGTGGGCGGGGGTCCAGAATCCGTCCTCTGTTTCTTGAAGTAGCATCCCATGCCGTCCGTGTAACGCATTACAAGTTTAATACACTAGCCTAGCACGCAAGCATCGTTCAAGATATCTCGACGGAGGGGGTTGTCGTTCCCCCTTCGTGAAGAGACAGGATGCTCGCGTACTGTACGCGATACAGGTATGTATGTTAAGGTATCAGGGGCGGGATGACCTTTCGCGAAGAGAGACGCCCGAGAGAGATGGAAGTTTGGAGAAAACTACCTATAATAGGGCGGTTGACCCTTATTTCCTCTAAAGCCAAGAGAATCAGATACCACCGCGGCACTTCGAGTAATTCACCCCCGCACCGGCAAGGTTTTTGAGGGCCAGAAAAAAAAAAGGAGAACCATTTTTACGTCGAGAATAAGGAAATAAGTGAAGAAACGCCTCAAAAGTGGACATTAGACGGCCGACCAATTGGCGCTGTACGCAACCGAGCTAGAGACGCTCTGGCAATGGCATGCGTTGACGTGATACCATGGCCGTTCGCGAGACGACATAAGGTCTCGGAGGTGGGAGTGATACAGACCAAGACAAGACATGCAGTGAAACGAACGAGCTTGTATCACCATCGCAACGACCAACGATCTAACGACATGCGATTCCTGCCTTTCTATCTATCCGTCCTCTCTCTCCCTCTCTCCCTCCTCAGCCCGAAGAGTATACCCTTCCGGTTTGTAACGGCCTAGCGAACCTGGCCTAGCTTCGAGAAATGCGCTATGTACGCTCTGCTTGTAGCGGGCGAGCAATAAAATTGAAAGACCCGCAACCCGCCTGCAGCTACGGGGGTTCGAAGGGGGGAAAGGCAGAAAGTGGCAGAGCTTTGAATGACAAGAGATAGGTAATACAGCATCATTCCTTTTTCCTACTACTAGCTCGGCTAGGTACCTTTTGCGTCCGTTGCGGCTGAGGAAGCGCACGTGTGCCAGGATTCCGCCCGGGGGTTGGGATCATCCTTAGGTGGGCGGGCGGCGCAGGCATGCCACGAGGTTTGTTCCTCTTCACATTGCGATACCTACAGGGCCGGTGGAGGTGTGGTTGATAAACTCCGATTCGGATGGACCAGAAACGTGGCCTGAGAGAGATAAAAAAGTCCTTTGCAGTCGATCTCTACGGATCCGTGTGTGCGAAGCGGTTCGCACAAAGAATCCTTCCCGCCTATCAAACGGAGCGTCTGCAACGCAACACAGAGAGCATATAAGAGTGGGCTCGCTCAACCGAGCAAAACGAAAGGCTCACCGCTGTTGAAGGTAGAAAGATTTTTTCTCTCTTAAAATTTGTGCATTTCCATGGAGGAGTGACCCCTTTCCCCTGTAACGAAATGTCTTACTCTGTTGAGTATCGGTGATAATAGACAATGCCCAGTACCTAAACCTAAATGCTATAAATCTGAGTGTTTTTGCTACCGTCGCTTCGTCGAATTGGCAGTTTCCCAGGTCGGTTAAGGTTATGAAAGCAGTAAGAACTAAGAGATCCGTGGCGCCGCGGTTCTCTTCGCTTACTTCCGCCCCTGACCGCATGGTGTCATGTAATCGGTGGCCTATTTGGAGCAGTGTATAACCTACCGTAATTGGCTTGGTCATTGTTACAAGACAAGCAGGACAAGCATAGGAGGTAGGTACAGGACAAAGTCTGAGGACCAGGGGTGTTCTCCGAAGCAGAAAAAAAAAGAGGAAAAAAAAAGCAAAAATCTCCCAGCTTTTGAACGGGGGCGGAACTGCGCAATGCGTACATACATACATACATCATACATACCTTTACATGTAAATGCAGTTCGGGATCCCTAGTAAAGCAGTCCCTGACGAGAAGCCCAATGGTCGGCGTTCCCCTTGCAGGCCAACCGAACGAATTACTAGCAAATAAACCGTTATCAGAGCCGGGGGGGGCTTCATCCTGGGGATCGCAGCCGAGATCCAAGTTTTAAAAGGCGAGTGTGGCAGCATCCCCCATCGTACAGTCGTATGCGCGCGCCGCTGTTATTGCAGGCGGACAGGCGGACAGTCCCTGGACGAGGGCGGACGGTTAAACCGCTGATCTTCCTGCCTGTCATCTGCGATCTTCCCAATCTTCCCAATCTCTCTCCCCAACCCGTCCCAGACCAGACAGACCCAGAACTTCCAGACTTTGAAGGTGGCCCCCCCAGCCAGCTTTGCCAGGGGTCCAGTTTTACCTTCGTCCTGATCGACAACGCAATTGTAGTTATTTATATCTCCTTTTCTCCACTTTCAACCCTTTCTTCTTTTCCGTCGGGACGGAGCCGAATCAGGTCTCTTTCGTGCGCGCTCATGCTCTCCTCTTTCGAACAACCGTCGTCGGTCTGTCGAGTTCCCGACAGCGTCTCGCCCTTCAGCTTGCCAGCTTTCCCCGTGGTCGTCTCCAATTAATGGGCCGAAGATTTCTTCAAACACCCAATCCTCCGGCGCATAGCTGTTTCGGCAAGTTTTAATATGTCTAGATGTGACGATAGCTTCCGACGTTTTACGCAAGCCTGTCATAGTGGCCGCCGCTAAGATATAGCCCGGAGCTGGCGGTGCTATCGCGTGCTCTAGAACGTTAACCGTTAGCACAGTCCGCCGTCCCCCGACAATTCTCAGCGGCGCCCGCCGACCATAATGCTGTAAAGAGATGATTTTCAATTTTTCAACGGTGTTGAGTGATAGGTCCAAGTGCAATTCTACCTTTTTACGGCCAAAGAAAGAAAATTTTAGCAATTCGATGAGTAATTGACAATACACAATACCTGTACATATCTGTGGATGTACTTCCTAAGTAAGGCTATGCGCCACTGAAGAAGATGGGATTTCATCGATTTATTAATATCTTTTCTTTTTCTTTGATGAACTGAGGGTGGTGAAACTTCAAAGTTTTTAGGAATCAACATTGCTACGTTTTAACAAGCAGACGGCAGGTGACCTCGCGGCGCACCCAGAAGTTGTGTGAAAGCGGTTTTATTTGGTAAAAGGTTACGTTTAATATTTGGATCATACGAGCCCCTCGTCCAATATGTGCAACACCTCGCTCCACGCGTTTCTCGCGGCCCTGCCCAAAGCCGAGCATCACATGCACCTCGAGGGTTCCCTTGAACCGGAACTCCTCTTTGCGCTGGCGGCCAAGAACGGCATCACGCTCCCCGTCTCTACCGATCCGGCCTTCGCCTCGGCCGAGTCCCTCCGCAAGCGGTACGAGGTCTTCGCGAACCTCGACGACTTTCTGGGCTACTACTACATCGGCATGTCGGTCCTGCTAGATGGGTCCGACTTCGAGGCTCTGGCGTACGCGTACTTTGCCAAGGCCGCGTCGCAGAACGTCCGACACGCCGAGGTCTTCTTCGACCCGCAAGCGCACACGGACCGTGGCGTCGAGCTCTCGACGATAGTGGAAAGCTTCAAGAGGGCGCAGGCGAGAGCCGCGGCCGACTTCGGCATGAGCACGGAGTTGATCATGTGTCTGCTGCGACACCTGCCCCTTCCCAGTGCCATGGCGACGTTTGCGCAGGCGAAAGGCGCGGGCTACTTCGCGGATGGGACGCTCGCGGCCGTGGGTATGGATTCCTCCGAGGTTCCGTTCCCGCCGCCGATGTGGAAAGATCTTTTCGATGCCGCGAAGGAATTGGGCATCCGGAGGACGTGCCACGCTGGTGAAGAGGGCCCCCCGCTTTACGTCTCCCAAGCTCTTGACCTGCTAGATGTGCAGCGTATAGATCACGGTGTTCGCGCTCTTACGGACGGAGACGATGCATTGGTCACACGTCTGGCTTCTTCTAAGACCCTGTTGACTATGTGTCCTCTGTCGAATTTCAAGTTGAACTGTATTGACTCGATGAGTTCATTTCCGCTGAGGAGACTGCTAGATGCCGGTGTCAGGTTTAGTATCAATAGTGATGATCCGGCTTACTTTGGGGGATACATACTGGAGAATTACTGTGCTCTTCAAGAAGCTTTTGGTTTGGGTATTAGGGACTGGGAAATGATTGCGAAGGGAGCCATAATGGGTAGCTGGTGTGCTGAAGAGAGAAGAGCCCAGTTGTTGGTGGAAGTAGAAGATGTCGTCAATGAATGGGCTAGACAATTCGAGGAACAATGATTGCTTGCCTACCTACCTACCAAGGTGCCTTCTCAGATTGGTATCTCGCTCATAAGTTCCGCTTAGCCCATAACTCTGGTCCTAAGAAGATGTATGGTAGCCTAGTGAACTGTTGAGCTCATATCCGTATACCCCCTAAGTCCATAGGTATCAATTACCCCTGACGAATTGCATAACTTTCAAAGTCCTAACCGCCTTGCACGACGCAAATTCCACTTTGTCTTGGACTTCGCACCAACAGCCACATCATTAACAGTGTCTGTCACTCAAGATTTAGTCCTGGTTACTCAGATTTCACCTTGACGGGCTTGGTCTGCTACACAGACTCCATCTTCTCTAGGCCATCGTATCCAATTACAATCCAGCTCAGGGATCATAACAGTCCTAATGTAGCTTCGACCTCTTCCGGTGGAGCCTCAATGTTTGCGTGGACATCTGCCAAGACGTGTAGAACATCTTGTCAAACTTGTGTGCTGGACAGGTTACCGGGAAGAGGCAATCCTCTCGGCAGCCCTTGAGTTTTGCGTAGTTTCACAGGAATACCTTGGCAGCTTCCATCGACCAATATCCCGGAACATTTCCAATGAATCTAGACATGTATAATAGCTAGCAGGTAAGCATAAGTGTGGGACGGTGCTCAAGGCTCCCGCTAGTGCTTGTGTTTGTTGCTGTAAACTTTTTAAGTAGCCGTCTTTATAGCTGGATCTTGGTTGGTGATACCCTCAGGCGAATGATGTTTATCATCACTTTTCTATAAAGACTCGTAAGGAGGTATCATGCATAGCGAGACTTTCATCAAAGGCCAAAGTTGAGAATAGTAAAGTTGAGTCGACACTTATATGGGTAAACAAAACTTCATGAATATGAAGTTGTCTCGTTCGACTTTAGGACTCTGGGTGGATCGTAGAAGGCAAAATATTTAAAGTCGATGCACTGAAAATGTGGCTAAGGTAAAACAGGATGTAGGAAGTGCATTCTTTCTCGAGCTGCCTGAATACACCAAAAAGCGAGACACCATACAATTTAGAACACCAATTTACAGCATCAGAAATGACGTCAGCGGCCATTAGACGAGAAATGATTTAGCGTAGGTACAAGGAACAAAAACATTCCTTAGTTAGGTACTGTACTATTCATTAAGGTCCCATGTGAACTTAGGAATGCACTTAAACTTTTAATTGATTTTCTTCATCTCATCTTCAGATCATGCCAAGTATGAGTTTTCCAGCTTCCGTTTTCCATATTCACCCTCAATTGTGATGGTGTTGGCGATTGGATGATGCTACCGTAGTAATAATTGTTGATGGACTGTGATGGAGCACTAAGGGGTTGTCGTAGCAACAGGCGTCAACAATCACTAAAACCGACACCCCCAGACCCGCATCCCTTCCATTCTCACCCAACCAAATCATCTAATTCGATATATGGACCTGCAGCTCAATATATTGTCACCGCAACACAAATTCACCCCCAAAACAAACTTGGGCGTCCAACCCTCCGAACGCCTAACCGTCCTGTACGGTCACAATTCATAACACCAAGTCACCAGTCTGCCACTAATTCCTCATTTATTCTTTTCTCCTCGTTAAACACTTCCACCAAACCCAAATAACCTTAGGTATCTTTATGGACGGAGCCACTCAACCGCAAACAAAAGAAGCAGTGGACACATCCGACAATCGAGATATTGAACAGAACACATCACAAACGACAGGTACCTCTGATCTGGGTGGAAAATCGGCTACCATTAGCACGGAAGAGGAAGAGGAAGCAAACATGACGTCGGAAAGCCATTTAGAGTCGGAAGTCCGTCCGAGCATAGAAAGCGATAATGATGATGAGATGGACGGCCAAGGTTCACAAAAGGTCGATGCTTCCGAACCAGTTGATTATGATGGCGACTCAGAATTAGGCGAAGACACGAACGCTGACCATGATCATCCCGACCCTTCATACCCACACTCCGAATACGCTGAGTCTCAAACTCCTCACGTTGATGATGGTGGTGATAGCAGCTCTCACCACGACGCGGATGAAGACGTGTTCAGCGACAAGAGCCCGCGAAGCTCCCTAGGATCGTTCGACGGCAATCCCGAGGCGGGCAAGAAGGGGCACAGAGATTCGGACAATATGACCACAGTTCGACGATCACCTCGAATTTCGGACATTTCCCAATACGAGCGGGAATATGAAAAGGAGGAGTTCGTCTCCACTATCAGAGGAACGCCTCGGCCCCCTTTTCGGACTCCCTCAGACGTCCGCGCCATGCAGATGTCCTCTCCTCCCCCTTCCGTCCTTGGCTCTCCCCGATCTACTAAGAGGCACTTCCCTACGGTTAGTCGCCTAGGGACTCCTAACACCTCGACCCAATATTCCCCGAAGAGGATGTCCACACCTCAGCGCTTTAAAAGGGGCAAGGAGGCTCCTCTCGTATTGCTCCACGTTACCCTGTTGCCTCTGCGATGGGTCTGGGGCGACCTGTTGAGCAATCTCGACACAGAGGAGATGAGCGACCAGGTTAAGTCGCTTCGAGAGTCTTGGAGAGTCCTTCAAGACCGCGTCGGGGATACCGTCATCGAGAGAGGTATACTTTTAGGCCATCCTCAGAATGACTACGAGATTCTTGAGGAACGTCTGCTTGAGGCACTAGAACTACCTCTCCGCCGACGAGCCCGAATTCTCGAATGTGGCCATTATCTGGGCCCGTCTAACGAGACGACGACCGACGACGAGGAGAGCGAGGACGAGTGGAGCTCCGCACGATCTCGTACTGGGGGAGACAGACGCCACTGGTGCAAAACTTGCAAGAACGAGATCCGATACGACTCCCTCGGCCCGGGCAAGATCTTCCGCGTCAAGGTCTACGCCAGCAACGGCTTGATGAGAGCCGGCGCCTGGGCGGCGTGTTGGAAGGAGATGGAACGCGTAGACGTTGAGATAGAGCCCATTGTCGAGCCTGCCGTGCAGGAAGAGCTAGTCCGCCTTGCCGCCGTTCTGCAGGAGCGTGAGCTAGCACATCAAGAAGAGGCGGATATTGCGAAGGAGGTGGCACATCAGCTCGAAGAGCAACACCAGAAGGAACGTGCCGAGGCGATGAGTTCTCGCTTCAGCGCGTCGTCACCCCAACTGGGATCAGAGCGTGCTCGGTCGCGTATGTCGACGGAAGAACGCCACCAACGGGACGAAGAACGACTTCGCGAGATTTATGGCCACGCATCTCCTCCCTTATCCCCACGACCTGATCCATCAAGGGAGCCCTCAGCTCACCCGCACCAAGACCAGTACATGCCGCCGCCCTCACCCTCCCCGTCTTCGCCGTCTCACCGCTACGAGCGGCATGAGCAGCGAGAGCCAAACCAACAACAAGGGTTCCAGAACGCATCGCTCCCGGAGCTGATGTTGCAGTCCGTGAAGGTCCTCATGCAAGACCGCAAGAACGTTATAATCTTCACTCTTAGCGTTCTCGTCCTCATATTCGCCCTTCGAAGTCCAGGCGGCCCGGCCGAGCCAACCTACGAACCGGTTATTCACCGGATGAGAGACATGCCTACCCCACGCCGTGTCCAGGTGGTAGACACGACGTACGCTCCTACTATTGAGGTAAAGGCTCCCGCCGTGGAGTCCGTCTGCGGACAGCCGTCGAATGCGAGTCCTGAGCAGCACACTACGTTAGCCGAGGCCATCGCTGCCGCGTCAGGTTACTATGAAGCATCTGGCGTAGCACCGCAACAGGCGTCGAGTGTTGAGTCCGTCGAATCGTATTCAGAATCACTCGCAACTACACAAGAGACACCCGAATCAGTGGCTGCACCAGCAGGTCACCAGAAATCACATGAGGCTACATCGCCCGAGGACAGCCCTGCTGTCGAATCCGACACCGCTTCGGCATGTTCGCAGCCTACAGATGCATCAGAGGCCGCATCGTCAGAGGTTTCTTCCAGCGACGAAGCCATTCCCGAAGCCTTATCGGAGCCCGAAGCAGCGCAGGAGAACGACGACGCAGCATCCAGCGTATCAACAGTGTACGAGCCCTGCCCCGTAGCTTCCCACAGCAAGCCCAAGGCCGTGACGTTGCAATCCGAAGAAACCGAGACGGAAACCGTGACGGAGAAGAAGGTCGTCCGCGTCTTCCACACGGTCACCGAGATGGAGACGTCGACCGAGCTGTTCCGGGTCCACCCTACCGATTCCGCGAAGCAGCACGCGCTGTTGGTGGCTATGGAGGATACTCCCCAGGACGAGTTGACTTCGACTCTGGAGTTGGAGATGGAGGAACCGGCTGCTGTTGCTGTTGACGCTGCAGCCGAGGATGCTTTGTGATGTGATGGGTGAAAGGAGATGGAGATAACGTGAGACGTTACTCGGGCTTGTGGGCTTGTGAATAAGGTGATTTTTCGATCGGAAGGAGTACATACTATATGTAATAGGATTGGCTGGATGGATGGGGGGGCTATGTTGGATGATTCTTTCGCTCGTTTCACGATGCTTTACCTAATCATTGCTCTGCGTGGGGGGCGGGGAGCCTGTTAGTGAAGATTGAGATAGATCGACGATACCAATACAGCATCGATGATTGTGAACATGCATTTGGATGATTGTTTTGGTGTTCTCGTTTGTAGAGAAATGTGGTCTAATGGATCGGGATGAGGACTATGTTGATTATGAACAGATTCTATTTTTTTTTTTTTTTTCCCGTAGTACACATACCATATATGTGATGAGATAGGACATTTATCCACAAGTGACCCTGATTTCCCATTCGTATTTTCAAATTCTCGGCGATTTCACATGAGAATTTATGGAGTTTCGTGCAGAAGCTTATAGAGTATATTTATGATATCAAATTTACTTAGTTTAAATTCTTATCCAATTTACCATTCTAGTTAACTAGTAGTAATAACGGTTAAAGCCTTAATGTACCAATCCAAGATCGATTCTCTTCTTGACCTCATGCCAATAAGCCACACGCTTTGCCTCCCTAAACTTCTTACCCCACTTAATCATCACTAAGTAAACGCTACAGATGGCCAATCCGACGAAAGCCACATTGATGAAACAGTTCTGAGTTCCTAGGTTATCTAGCCAGGGCGTGATGCCATAGCCAATGGCGAAGCTCATAGTGTTGCGAATGAGGATACATGTAGTCAAAGCGTCTCCTGAGATATCCCGGTACGTGTCGACCAGGTACGAGACACTCAAGGTGATGCCCATCGTATTGGCAAAAGCGGTAGTTCCCATGGCGAATACCAGGCCAAACCAATGGACCTCATGGGCGGCACCAACTCCCCAAAGGATAAGAGAGGCGGGGATCACCAATGTCGAAACGGTAAAGAGCCAAAGCCGGTGTTCAGGCTCGGCAACACCGTTATTCTTGCGAGCTAAGCGAATAACGAAGCGATCTGAGAATACCCCCGTAAAAGCTGCTGCCACGGCAACCCCTATCATGCAGGATACATAACTTAACCCGACGAGAGACGGGCGAAAATTGTAGGGCGGGCTACCCAGGATGATGGAACTCGTCGCATTGAGGATGTTGAAGTATATAAGGTACGTCCCGTAGCTAAATCCGGAATAGAACACCACCGGCCACGAGAGCAGCTTCAGGGACTGCCAAGCTCTGTAATGCATCATGAACGGCCGCGGCTTATCCACGACGGACAGCTTCTGCCAAAACGTCTTCGTAGCCGCCGAGGGCCGCGGCTCCAGAGACGCGACACGAGATACCGCATTAGACGAATCCTTCGAGGTCTCCTTGCCTTTCTCTTCCTCAGGCCCCGTCTCGGCGACGATCCCCACGGTTCGGCGATCGTAGTTCGTCTCCTCCATGAAGAAGAACAGGAACAGCCACGTCGCAGCGCAGAAGATCGCCTGGATGTAGAACACCCACCGGTACCCGATGCCGTCGTTGATGAACCCGCAGATGATAGGCGCGAAGAAATTGCTTCCCGCCAGCGTGAAGGCGTACCATCCCATATACGTCGCCCGCTCGTGGGCGAAAAACAGGTCGGTGATGCTCGTCTCCGGCAGCGCTTCGATGGGCGCCCCGAAGAAACCGGTGAGCACCCGGTTCGCGATCCACTGCCCGTTGCCACGCGCGTAAGGTCCCCAGACCGTGATAGCCACGAGCGCGGCGAGCGAGATCAGGTACGTCAGCCGCTTGCCGTACTGCAGCGCGAAGGGCTGCCAGAAGAGGAGGCCCCATCCTAGCAGCAGGAACATGTACCCGGTTCCGGCGTTAAGGTCGGCCTCCGTCACGGACAAGGCGGTAGACAGCGGGACGAGAACCGAGTACACGACGGATAGCGCCATGCCGTTGAACCAGGTATAGAGGAGGGCGCAGGCTAAGGCTAGATACTTGCGTCTGGGAGTCCAGTTCAATGGATCGTCTGGATCCGTGGATGGGGTCGGCACCAGCACGATGTCGTTATGGCCCTTGGCGTGTCGCGTCGCCATTGTGTGTTCAAGGTCGACCAGGTGGACCGTTCCCGGGACCAGCGATTCATCGATCTCGCCATGACCTGTAACCGTCGACAGCGCCATTTTGGATATCGACTCAACTCTTGCAAATGCGACACAGCTTTGGCTCTACAGAAGATCGTCCTCGACTGCAATCAACTTAGATGCTTACGAAACAGGAGGTAAGTCATGTAATCGAGTCATGTAAGACGGAATTTAAGAGCTTCCCCTCATATGCTCAAGCCTAGAAGCTACTAAGATATGTTAGTATGAAGGTACTAGATGATAAAAAATGCCCGCGCGCATTCTCGTTACCGAGCACACCGTGAAACGATTGAATTGGTAGAATCGGCAGCCATTCATATCTTAGGACCGGGCAAACGGTAAGGCAGGTTATCGGAACCCCTGCTGATCTGCAGTGAGGCGCTGCGACTATCTCGTCGATATCTCCGGTTGGAAGATAAGCGTTCACGCAACGCAGCATTCTTTTGTAGGACATTCCCGACAGCTCGCTGATAAGGGTTTTCGGTTTTCTTTGTTGGGTGCCTGGTAACTTGCATGATTACGGCAAAAAATGAGTATTTGTGACGACTAATGTAACCATCTCCATCAGGGGGAATGCTTGTTTACCCAACTAAATGGGCTGGTTTAGTTGAAGCCTATTCCTTGTAGGGTTAAATGATTACCTACAGGTTCCAATCATAAGATGGCTCCTATCTCCACGCAAATATGTAGCTACCCATTCTTCTATTGGGAAGCGATATCATGTATTGTTGTACGGAGGAAGAAAAGCCACAAAATGCCACAAAAAAGGGGAATCTAGGTAGGTACCTAGATATCAAGATGATATTATCAGTATGGTAGGTATCTGCAACACCAGAAAGCCACCCGAATACAATCGCAGTAGCCATCAGACGACTAATTCCAATCTAGAGATTCTCATCTAAAATATCTTCGCAGGTCCGATAACCAGAATTCCTTTGTTTGCAATTGGTGCATATGACAACAGTCTTTTCCGCAATCTCCTGGAGGAAGCTTTTCATAGCCGGAATGCTGCCCGCATGAGACCAACTATCAAGCAACCCGTTTTCCAAACTCGACTGAACACCAGTCTTCGATTTCAAAAAGGCGACTTGGTGCCTATTATTATCCTTGGTCGAGCAACTCGGAGTATGATGACCCAGGGAGCTGACTTGTATCTCCTCCAAGCTGATGGACTCGGACATGTCCCGGAACATGGAGGTCCATGCATTAGGGCTCCGAGGGTTATTGTCGAGCTCGTCGTCGTCCGAGACGACCGACACTCCCACCATACGTAAGCACAACTTTCGGAGAGAGCCGGTGAGATGGAGCAGAACCTTGGAGAGGGATGATGCGGGAGCAGCCATGTTTTCCAATTCCAGGTGTTGCAGCATCTGAAATCTCTGAGCCTGGGCGAGGCGATCGAGACTGGCGTCCATCACGCCCTGCACGCGCAACCCCTGAGCCTTCTTCCCCCTCCTTAAGTCCACCAGATGAGCAAGCCAGCCTATGATCTCGTCTTTCAGCAAGCTGGCGCCCTTGGACTCCACCCGAAGACGGACCAGGTTCGGCGTATACTCGAGCAATTTGAACAGGTAGTGAGGTTGCCAGGGCAGGAACCCGAGCGAACTGGTCGTAAAACTCCCAAGCGAGACGTACGTAAAACTGACGGAGAGATCAAGGGAGCGGAGGTCTTGTAAAGTAAGTCTGAGCGGCTCGGCGAGAGATTTCGGGATCGCAAAAGCTGAGCTGGACAAACCCATGTCCTTCTTCCGTATATCTACGGTAATGGATTTCAGTCGTTTGCCGCTTCTTGCTGCGGCTAGCAGAGAAGCTGCGAAGATCATGTCCGGGAACTGGTCTGTGTGTATCGATGTTTATCAGGACCTCAATGTTCAACTTTGCGAGATAAGGAATAGGGGTAAAGACGCAATATCTCGATATTCTCCATTTACCCACCTTGTGAGAGAAGATGTGATTCATCGCCGACGAATCTAATCCCGGTCCGCTGAAGAATTTGGGCGGTGCCGTAGCTTACAGCTACCTGGCTGGATCCAGGGCGAAGAGAGCCGCCCGGGACATGGTTGTCTCGTATGACAAGCTCAACAATGTTCGGCAACCGGTTCAAAGCTTCACCAAGCAACAACTGCAACTGTCCACTACCGACTAGCCAGTTTTGCTCCACAGCAAGCTCTTCTAGGTCTTCGGCTCTATACTTTCCCCTGGCAGGTACATTATCGCGAAGTAGATTTCGATCTCGACCTCTAACAGATGGCAAAGCGTTGAAGCTATATATTCGATCAAGTCCGATGGTGAGCTTCGATAATCGTCTTGATAGATTGGGATGCTTGGATATGTTGATGAGACATCCTAGACTGTCTGTAGTGCGTCAATACCATCGATAGTTCATTGGGGATCCGGGATTCGAGGGCTTAAAGGATGCAAGGAGATTGTAATGAGTCTCGAGAGATGGGTGAGTAAAGTTATTACTCTCCATTACTGTGCACTGAAGAATTTAAATAGGCATAGAGGACATACTACACGTAGGTAGTCAGTATGCGTGTAAAACGAAACATCTTTTAAAGAGATTTTATCAATGGCTTGATGATTCTTACCACTCAGTAACCATGAATCTTCTATCAGAAAAGAATTCCTCCGAAAAAGAGTCGAATAAGAAGATCTCGGCCCGACGACATGTCAAACGTAGGCTGAACAAATCTTCCGGGGAGAGATACGATGCCGTATGCACGAGCAGCTCGCAGGGAAGCCCCAAAAGCGGAGATATGTATGGTTCGGTTCCAACATGCGTAGAACCCATATCCGTGGGAACCTCGGATCGTGCCGTGATGATAGATCGCGCAGCTTTGGTGTGATCAGCCATGTTTCAAACTGTGATGGACGGGAGTTGGGACTTGGGAGAGGAAAGTATGTAAAGTGTAAAGAGCCAAGAAGAATCTGAAATATTACAAATACAAGATAGCGGGAAAGTGAGCGGTCGATTTTTCTTCCATCCCTTTTCCCTTTTCCTTCTTCCCTCTCTCCCTATCATGATTCCGCCTTGAATGTTGGTTTAAATCAGACTCCTTTCCGCCCAGCTGCACACCTTAAGAGAATACTTAAGGTACCAATTCTGGCATATTACGTGTGATGTTGGTTCTACCTACCTAGACTAGATTTACATATGTAGGTCATCTTGCTTTGCCGTCTCCGCTGATGACCGTTTATACAAACATATAGGTGCTAGGTAGGTCCTAGCCCTATTTATGTATCCATAAAAGTAGTACGTGCAACCTTCATCTACGCTCCATGGTCTGTCACTCTTGGGGGCTGACAAGCTTATTGCACGATATTATATCGTAGAGCGAGTGTTGGCTGTAGCTAATATATTTATGCCACTGCAAGTGTAGATTGAGGTGGTGATGATGCTACCTGGGCAGGTGAATCTGACCACTAGACTCCGAAAGACAGTTACATCGACAGACGGTTCGTCTAAGTGAATCGTCGAATACGTACATACTGCTTACACTTGGGGCCTTATTCCACGACGTTGGTTAGGCGTATATCTATCTGTGTACCTACCTCGGCAATGTATTCGCTACGTAAGTGATCTTCTTGTGCCTCGTGGTGGTTTGTTTAAAATACCTCTCTCCATTGATAAAGTACCATCGCATCTTTAGCCCATTCCCGTTTTAATTACGAAGAAAGCCAACTTCGTGGAAGAGAACTCCTTATTGGTCACCAGAGGATGCAGGCAAACCAACACTGACACTCGAAACGGGGCTGACAATGACAGGTCGGCCTACGAAACGACCCGAGGCAGCGGTTAAGCCGAAACGAGCTTGACGTTTTACCACGCATATTTATGTTATACAAGTGTATTTTAGTATGTTGAAGAGTACGTAGGTACCCTCAGGGACCGGGTCATTACTAGCAAAAGGACTATATTTGAGCTTGACGTCACTACCACGGCCTCCGCTTACCTATCCACATTATATCGGGTACTGTCAAATAGTCTCACAGCTTTTTCAAGCCCCAGCTTACCAAAGTTAGGTACATACAAAGATATCTTGGTTTACGTACCCATGCATGTGCGTGGTGCGTAACATACATGCCTACAGTACCTATTCCAAGCCAACATTAACCCCCCCAAGCTCCACCTACCAGGCCCAGCAGACTTTCTAGACCTGCATATGGGTACCCGGCATATACCCTGGCGGAAATGGTGAGGAAAACTACCTAGAATCTATGGCGCTTCTGGAAAGTATGGGTTACAGAACCTGCCTGCATGTCACCAAGCGCCTGGCTCTTCCAACTTTCGGTCCATCCCGGTTTTAAGATAGATCGGGTTGTAGATCGAACATGCATCTTTACGATCCACGCTATCTTCAATGGCCGTGGCACTTGCATTACCTTACCTACCCTTAGATTCTTATCTCGTCCTCACATCTCTTCTTATATTTCTCATAACATTCATCATTCCTCTACCTATTCCTATACTGTTTTTTTTTTTACCACAATACCATATTAGAAATAATATATTAAATCAAAATGGCGGACGAACAGAAACCCACCCCGGAGAACATGACTATGTTGCAGGGCTTCGAGTGGTACGTGCCCGCCGATCAGAAGCACTGGACTCGACTAGAGAGGCATATTCCTCAGCTAAAGGCCTGGGGAATAGACAATATTTGGATCCCTCCGGCGTCAGTTAATTCCAGGACTTACCTACCTCCTCTCCAACAACTATCGCATCCTGCTTTGCTTACCTACAACCTAATATAATCTAATAATTCGGAGCGCAGATGCAAAGCCTCGTCCAACCAGGGCAACGGATATGACGTATATGATCTGTACGACCTAGGCGAGTTCGACCAGAAGGGGTCCGTGTCCACCAAATGGGGCACCAAAGACGAGCTGATGAAGCTCTGCGGCACGGCCAAGGAGCGCGGGGTCGGCCTATACTTCGACGCCGTGCTGAACCACAAGTTCGCGGCAGACCACAAGGAGAAATGTCTCGCCGTAGAAGTCGACCCGGACGACCGCAACGACGAGGTCAGCGACAAGTACGAGATCGACGCGTGGGTCGGCTTCGACTTCCCGGGGCGGCGCGGAAAGTACAGCAAGATGAAGTACCACTGGTACCACTTCAGCGGCGTCGACTTCAACGCGCGCAACGAGAAGACGGCCATCTACAAGATCATGGGCGACAAGTCGCAGGGCTGGGCCGAGGACGGCGACGTGGACAGCGAGAAGGGCAACTAGTACTGCATTCTTTTCGCCTGCCGCTGCCCGGCTGATTGAGGGCGAATAACCCGGCTAACGCGTTTCAGCGATTTCCTCATGGGATCGGACCTGGATTACTCGCACCCCGAGGTCGAAGAAGACGTGCTCGCCTGGGGGAAGTGGTTGGCGGAAAACATCCCGCTCGCAGGTATTCGGTTCGACGCCATCAAGCACTACAGCGAAGACTTCCTTCGCAAGTTCATCACCACGCTCGACGAGACGTACGGGCAGGGCTGGTTCTTCGTGGGCGAGTTTTGGAAGGATAGCCTCGACGATATGACGAGGTATCTAGACCGCATGGGCCGGAAATTCTCCCTTTTTGATGCGCCGCTGCTGTACAACTTCAGTCAGATTAGCAAAGCTTCCGGTGCCGATCTGCGACAAGTGTTTGACGACACCCTGGTGTCTGTGATGCCTGTAAACGCTGTGGTGAGCCATGTCTTCCTACCTACCTACCTACCTACTAGATACTGGTGGAAAACGATGTAGTTACTAATACATACCTCTAGACCCTAGTGATGAACCACGACACCCAACCCTACCAAGCCCTCGAAGCGCCTATCGAAGGGTGGTTCAAACCCCTAGCCTACGCCTTAATCCTCCTCCGCAACAAAGGCTATCCCTGCATTTGGTATGGCGACCTCTACGGCATAAAAGGCGAACACCCCTTCCCACCCTCCTGCGGCGGCTCTCTCCCCAAGCTAGCCCTCGCGCGCAAACTCTACTGCTACGGCGAACAAGCCGATTACTTCGACTTCGCCACGTGTCTGGGCTGGGTACGGTACGGCACCTGGGACCGGAAGTACGGCTGCGCCGTCGTGATCAGCAACGCGGGGCCCGGCGAGAAGCGCATGCACGTCGGCGAGATGCACGCCGGCGAAGTATGGACCGACGTGCTGGGCTGGAACGATCGCGAAGTCACGATTGACGAGGATGGTTTCGGCGACTTCGCATGCGGGCAGACGAGTGTGAGCGTGTTTGTGAATCGGGACGCTGATGGGAGGGACAAGTTTGGGGAGAAATTGTAAGTTCTGGACAGAGGACTAATCTACCAACTTTCGAGGAGCTGGCTAACTGCTATAGCGACGATAATATCTACGAGGAATAGAATGGGATGAATGGGTGCCCTAGCGAATAAACGGAGTCTACCGTAGGAAAATCGGGCTAGCTTTGAGGGTTCGGCTTTTCAAGGGGTTGGGTTGGCTTACATTAAGGGTCTCCTATAACTACCTATACTTTCACAAAGGTTAGAGTACATACGGTATTATCCTATTTGTATTGATTAGTAGGTATGGCGGGTTTCAGAATATACGTATGAAGCAGATAAACGGAGCCGCGAGGTATTGTTAGAGTGGACTGAATGAAGCGATTTCGACTTATCTACATTGGAACTAGGAACAATACCTTATTTATAGAGGAAATCTACCAATTGATCTCCGAGTTTATGTTGAATTTCGTGAGATCTACTAGCTTTCAGTTACTAAACTCCCTGATCGTCACCTACTAGTGAAAAGAGGATAGGTTCCTCAGGGGAGTTTATGTGCCTACTAAGAACTCAAGCCTAGCAGGTCATTGCCAAGTTGAGACTATGTAGCCTTCTGGGCTACTACCTCTATGGGCTAAATCAAACTCGACTTGATTGCTAACGAGAACCAAGCAATTTGTCAATCCACATCTCTGTATTCCGTACAACTCTATAGACATTGTGAGACTCAGCATATAGGTAGTCTTTCTTAATGTGATTCGCAAGAGCTGGGTTTAGCCCTTCACTCTCTGCCCTCGTATGTATATAAATAGTATCCTCTCTAGTTTCTTTCTGTGCGTGCCATGATTTTGATCGATCTGCTTACAAGTTTAAAAGCTCCCATTTGTTTCCTTCATGCTGATATATGCACTCTCGCCGCGGATGCAAGGTATATATAAGCAAGTTTGTAAAATTCCCGTTGTTGTGTACCCCCTTCAACGCACGTTATCTATTCCGAGTCCATCCCTCCGAAGCGTCCGCAATGAGGAATATAAAAAAGAGCAATTGCTTTTTTCAGGCCAGGTACGGGGCAACGCCCGAAACCCCCCAAGTTTAACTGCCGGGATCTGGATATGCCAGCATGTTGGCATACGGTACGGCAGACGCACATTCAGGACAGCCACCTCCCGTTGTGCAACGGTTATGTTTATCACAATGCCATTCCTGACTGGGTTTACAGAGGCGGCATTCCTGACAATGGTACCAGGCATCAGTAGGAACCCAGCCGCCCTGACAGAAGCTATACCAGTGGCCGTAGAAGTCATTCTGGTTGCAATTGCCTAGAGCACCCCGTAGCAGCTCGAATTCGAGGCGCTCCCGATCTTCACGGTTCTTCTTTCTCTTACCGCCACGAGCCCTCTTCCAACTTTCCTCCCACTTCTTGAACGGCTCGTTATTCTTCTGAATGGATGCCCACGATGTGTCATCGTAGAGTAGGATATCTATTATGAGTTCCGTGTCCAGCTCTTCCACGTTCGGCTGATTACAAAGCCAAGTAGCGAAGCATGCGTTAGCGCCGCAAGGCTTAGGGAATGCCGGTGGTGAGCCGAAGAACTGCGTCAGATCCGTGAACGGGTTCGCGCACGCGTCACCGCACGAACAGGTCGGATTACAACTTAGTCCCTGCTTGCTACACACACAGAACACGCAGGCCTTCTTATCACCGCGCCCTGTCTTACAAGAGCACTTTTTAAATCTCTGGCTACCTCTGGATGACGTGTCGACTGGCGGCGTAGGAACAGACGGTATCGATGGTATAGATGTTTTCGACAGATCGGGGTTGGTATAGACCTACGGATAGGGCGGATATTAGCATTCTATATTTTCCAGTTTCGCTTGATGGTCATTCCTGGTAGAAATTTGGAACCTTGACAATTGGAAATTAGAAGTTATTCGCATGTTCCCTAGCTTACCTCTGTAGACTCGTCCGCCGCTTCACCCAGCGCGTCTTCGTCGTCGTCGTCATCTTGCATATCTTCAGGTGTGAGACTGTTACCATTTTGATGTATAGGAGTCGGTAAAGGAGCAGGGCTATGTAGATGCGCCGGACTAGGTAGATGTGCTGGGCTGAAGTGCGAGTTCAAGGTGGAAGGATCTGAGTAGGAATTGGCGTTGGTGTGATACGACGTGGCGTGCGCGGTAGGTTGAGTAGTATATGGTTCTCCATACTGCGATAGAGGATGCTGTGGATGTTGTGGTATTGTCGATGTAGGAGGATTCGTGCGTGGTTGTTGGTGTTGGTAGCTTGTAACATGGTGATTCGTCGGCACTGGTGAATACGTTCCACCTGTTCCCGGCTGCGGTGATTGACTTTGTAAGAGCGTCTGTGTCTGTGTCTGGGCTTGTGTTTCCGCAAAGTTCCCATTGCGGATTCCGTTAACGCCTGCTTGCGTATAGTGTGAAGGGTGAGAGGCCATGTGCCCATTAGGGGCTGCTTGTGAATAATGTGCCGCGAAACTGTTCGCCTGTTGTTGGGGGCTGTAAGGACCAGCGCTGTAGGCTGCCGACGAGGTCTGATACGTCCCGGCATATCCGCCAGCTGAATTGGTCACCGGACCAGGCGAATAAGGGTTATAGGTGACTGCTTGGCGAGCGGTAGGCTGGAGAGAGTAACCGCCATTCTCGTAACCTGTGGGCGAGTATATGCTGAGACCTGGGTTAACTTGGTGATGTCGCAGAGCGGGAGCTGTGGTTTGCGGGGTGCCGTTGGCGGATTCTCGCGACGTGTTAGATCGCTGTCGCTTGGCCGGTGGATACGACATTGCATCTTGCTTCACCCTCCTCTTATTTTTCTTTGCCTTTTTCCCTCACACGCTGACACGGTCGCACTGGGGGAGACAAAGGAGGGAAGGGAGGCGACACAGTCCAGTCCTGGACCGGTCAAGGCAGGAAAACGATAAGGGGATTGATGCGGCACAGAATTCGTAGGTCGTATTAAAAATCCGGGAAGTATTAGTTCAGAATCGATTTGAACTAGTGAAGTTTGCTCGTGTATGGAGTTTTTTTTCCTTTGTTGTTTCGTCGGTAGCTGGAGGTTTTACTAGTGTAAACGTTCAGTCAGGGTTCAGACCAGAAATTCTTTGACGTCTAGATCGGCCAAATTCCGCGTCTCGATTGTGGCGCATGGCTCGTCCAGGGGGACGCGTTAAAAGGGATTGTCTGGTACTTTGTAGTAGTATTTTAGTACCGACCTAACTTCATACATAAAACCTTTATCTAACCTCCTAAGCAGCTAAGCGGTTAAGAAGTTAGGGAGTTCTTACCAACTGTCCGTTAGCTACTAGGTACTAACTTTAGCGGCTTATTATGTAATCGGCAAAAGGGGCTTTATTCTATTTACAGTACCTCATGTCGGGTATTTCGAGGCTTGCTGTGGCTGTTGATTCTATTTTTCTATTGCCCCTATTATTGTGTTCCTCCAGGATCAGTTGAGAAATCTGGTCCTATCTATTGTTCTATTGTTCTTATCATAACGTTCAGGTTGTCTCAATTGGGGGCCTTTTTTCCGAAGTTTGATCATACCGAAATGTCACCAAGTAGGAAATAAGCTTACAATCACCTACATCACATACATACCACATGCATTGCCTAACGTTACATTTTTCGTAAGATTTTGCCAATATGATTATTTAAATCCGTTCCATAAAACCTCAGTTCAGCACTCTCCATGATGACCACGTGCTTGAAAATTTGAGACATCACCCAGCCCTTGCTTCTATGTGGCAAAGGAGTACTACTAATGAATTCAATCATAATTGTATAACTGTATACCGAGGTACATATGTACACCTTCCTAGGTTTACACGTGCAATCGCGGTTGTCCGGAGACCCACTCGGATCCGATGGGTATGACAAAACCGACCACATCTATGTTTCTTCCCTATTCCTTCCCTGAAGGTGCTACGGACCTTCCACTTACGGAAAAGCATTATAGACTTAAATATCGTAAGGATGACTACTGGCTCGAAATCTATAGCAAGATATTGACCTGCGTATGCCCAAACCTCGATAGGCGCGAACCTCGAACTCGAAGCCTACCAGATACTATATTGCCGAACTTGGCTCCTAATGTCTTGATTACCTATCCTGTCTGTGGTACCGCTCTACTACTTTGCCGTCGAACATACGTTCCGCGCTAGATGAAAGAGTTATAGTAGTGAAGTGGCTCCGACCGGCCGTCGTCTAGTGACCGACATCTGTCATAGCATACGCCCTATTCCTTATTGGCGTGGCCGGCACCGCAGACTCCTACGTGGCTATTTCCAGTCTGTGAACTGGCCGACTATCATTTAAACAAGGCAGAAATGCTAGGGATATACGTCCTCTAGAATCCGCACTTGATCCGGGCTATTTCATTGATTGGGTTATCTCCGATCCGAGGACCAGACTCCCTTACCTAATTCCATGGTTCCGAATCCCTAGTCTATTAAGGAATCATCACTAGCCTCGGATATGGTTCAATAAGTCCGAATAGTGAGGCTAGAGAGCTGGCTACGCTTTGCATGTATATATATCTTATCATGTGTGTTCGATGAGACTAGTGATTCAAATCAGGACCGACTTGCATACAAATCCATATAGGTAAATTTCGGAGATCAAGTAGGACCTGGGCTTTAATCCAATCATGGCGAAATCTAGATTGCGCATGAGGTTGAGGCCATAATCTGCTTACAGGTTACCATGGCTCATACTAGAGTTTGAATGATAAACGGACCTATATATGCCCTCAAGTCTCAGATCCTAACGCATGTTATAGCGAAAGTGTCCAAAATTTGACTTCTCATGAAACCATGACATTAGAGGAAACTCGCGTCACGTCTTCATTCTAGGCCACCCAGATATCTACTCTTATGAGCTTGTGTGGCTGTACACGCACATCGCAGCTCTTGTATATTAGGTAGGTAGACGAGCGCAGGTTAGTCGGTTCTATTCCGCCCATGCTGGTGAAACAAGCTTAAATAGAGTCGCAGAACGGAACGTGTTCCGGCTTGGCAAAGCAGGGATTCGAATATAGCTAGGTCAGTCTGATTGATATTTCTCGAACGACATTGCTCATCCCTTTGCGATATAAAAAAGCCATTGTCAGATCGAGGGGTCTTATATATTATGTTTATAGGCTTGTAGAAGTAAAGTTTTAGGCTCAACCATATAAGTACATCAACTAGACGTTTTCTATCACCTTGTCATTGACGTAGTTGTACTACTTACAACAGTCGACGATGCAGCTAAGTGGATACAAACGGAATAATGCATCAACCTGCAAGAGTGGGTACACGACATCGTCATCGGGGGCTCAAGTTACTTGATTGGGAATTCACGAAGGAAATTAAGACGCCTCTGACGTTGGCCAATCCTGAGGGGAATTCGGGTATTATCATTCAGTAGGACAGTCGATCGAAGCCCAATGGGCCTTGGTAAAGACAAAGACGTTAGACCTATTTTCGTGACAAAGGTAGAATGAGACGGCGAACAATACCCTTCTTAGAATATCATGTTATTGTTAAGGAACAAAAGGACTATTCAAGCACATATGATATTTAAGTATTAGTCTAAAATGTTCCAAGATAAGTATCCATTCGCCTGCTGTGTACTCCTCCCATCGTTGAGTTCAGTAGTAACATTCTCTTGAATTCTCTAGAAATCGCCACAATACTACGCTGAACAGGATTCGACGTCTTAGATACTAGGTAAGAACACTTCCCACAGATACCTTGCTGTCGCAGAACACAGCACGATGTGTGAAAGTCGAGTTGAAGATTACAAGAGATGCGGTAGACCGGCGAGTGCCCGACACAACAAGTCTACAATAAAAATGTGCACGAGAGCGAAACTCGGGATGTACAGCAATAAAACGTACCATCCTATACGCGTTACGAGCAGTGCGTTTACCAAGGCTGGCACCCCAATTCACCCCGTTATCGACGAGACGTGTCCTATATGCTATCCAGAAAAGGCTGCGGAAGAGCAGGAGCAGAGGAGGGAAGAGGCAGAGAAACACGCTGCCATAGAGAAGGTAAAGGCCGATGAAGAGAAGAGAAAGACTGAAAACATGGTCGTGGATATGACCCAGTACATGGATGAGTTCGCTCCACATTTGTCATAATATACCCATATCTCTACCAGATAGGTAAGCATCTCTTGCAGTATTTATGTTCGAGTTCACTTGTCGCGAAGCCTTCTATGCTATAGACACGTAGAAGAGGATGTCCCGGAAGAGAAGCTCTTAATATTTATGAAGGTTCATCTCAAGGGAAGGGATTTGAATTCCCAATAGATACCTATCTAGAGGTATGTAAGATAGTGAATATATAATGACTAAACCCAATGCTCCGAACCCCATTGCCGCTTTTTTAAGTGAGTTATCGTATCAGTAAATGAGTTGGTCGTCATATGCCCGTACGCTCTCGAGATACGACTTAACATCGCTCCAATCGCGACATACTGCATTAGGGATTAGTTTCGTGAAAGACTAGCTAGGTACTTATGGGTAGATGTGGAAAACTTACCATGCTTCGAGTCCCAACCGTCAGATCCACCATTGTGGTCCGGGAAGGTTGTCTCAAGCCCCTCTAGAGCCATGTCGGCGCTGCACTGGATGGCTTGTCTCATGTAATCGAAGCAATGGATCATATGCCAGTGGTGGTCGTCGGGTATCTCGTGGCCGGACGTCAGACCCGAGTAAGTCTGGACAATGGCAAACTGGTGTCGTTGTTAGCTATATCCACTGCAGACTTTCTAGTGTATCAAAGGCTGATAGGCAAACTAACGAGACAATGTAATTGATGGGTGGCTGAGGTGGTGAAGACGGTCTTGTCAGGCCATTCGATTGGGTGGGGAAGATCGTGATACTTGTTTGTATCATTCACCCAGACGAACCCCATGCCCTCTGATACATAGTTAGCACTGAATTACTCGGTCTTCTAGATGGATAGAAAATTATTTACTTACTGGGCATGAGATCATTCCACCGTTGCAGTACCTCATCTGAGAAGAATTCTGCAGTGTTATTCGGCGCATATGATTCATCTCTTTTGAATGTTGTGATCTTCGAGGTAACTGAAGGTGACGTTAGAATAAACTTGGAGTGCTTCGATTGGAAACCGAACATACGCCTAGGACCAACTCCCGTAAAGTCTTGGCCGAATTGCCATGGGTTATCGACTTCCTTTCCTTCGGTTGCAGGTTTCCACCATTGATCTCGAACTAATAATGCCAGAATTATAAATAATAATGCAGTATCAATTATTGATCTCGTTGACTTGAGGGCTGCGATGAATCTGCTTGTCCGCGTCCGCGTCCTCGGCCTGTTCAATTCTACATCGTGCCATTGCTTCTCATCGCCCATCAAAGAATCCTCGACCTCCGTGCTGGACCTCGAGTCATCACGGTCATCGACGTGCGGCAAGTTGGCGTACTGAGCTTTTGGGGACCCCATTGTGATCTACACAGGGGAATCGAATGAGAAGAATAAGAAATAAAAATAATTAGGTAAGGTTAAGAGAGAATGGTATGAGAGAAAGGAAGTTGGAGATGCCGAGGATCAGTACGATGGATAGATTTTAAGAGCAAGAATAGTAAGAATTCTATTGACCCCATATTATGTCCTTCATAGAGTACTTGGTAGCTGTAACCGAAGTTGTTTCGACCCAAGTCTGAGACACCTCGTTTGGGATGTCGGCCGACAGGGGGTTCGTTTTAGCGGCTCGACGACGACGGGCGTATGCCAAGCGCATATTAGATGATCACCATATTGGATGTGAAGAATACAATATGAAGCGAAAACCGAATATCAAATCACGCACTGTTGCTCAATTTAGTTTATTCTTGAGTTTTGTTGCGATATCACAACAGTACCTAATCGTGACTTTATCATGCCGTCGATTCACTGGTCAATTTGGGTGGGTTAGCAGCTCGCGATACGACGTTTCAAGATCCTGGTCCCTTCTTCGCGACACAACGCTGCGACCTCTTATGTCCAGGTCTGCCAGGATCGAGACACTTTAAACCTCGTTTTCAATGGCAGGGCTACCCGGCTCAAATAGTTAAAAACCCCAGATATCGAAAGATCATCGAAGCCAAGTTTCTAGTTATCGTAGATCTCCGGTAATCGTTGCCGTCCCATCGTCATATGTGCGACTGGATTGGGCGAGGATTGTCAACAACAGATCCCTATGCGACCACTGCAGACATAGTCTAGACGCCGCTACGAGACGAAGTTCAAAGCCATCGTATGTTGATGTTGAATAGTCGAACCTGGAATTTACGATGTGGCTGTCGAAGGATTCGTCGTGCTAGTTGAAGTCGATGGCGGCAGTTCCTCTGTGGTCGTAGTCGCTCCAGCTCGCCCAGCATCTCCGTCCTTCTCCAATCCATTTTCCACCGGCCATCGGAGATACCCCTTTCTATCTGCTTCTTGGATACCTTTGGTGAAGATGGATCCCATCAAACCATACCCGTAATCATAGGGATGCGTACCGTCCGGCCCAATATCCGAAGGCAACGGCCTGTCGGGGAACCCTTCGCTGTAGTGCATCTCGGCTAACAGCACTGGTTTCGATTGGTATTTTTTGATGAGCTCGCGGTATTGCTGATTGATATCTAGAATCTTGGGTTCGCAATTTGGAACCGTGTTGGTCAGACATGTGCTAAACAACACAGTAGATCGCGGCGAGGTCATTAACAAGTAGTCGATGAAGTTCTCCATATCTGCACCCGTCTTATTGACATCCAGATCTTGAAGAGCGTTATTTGATCCCACCTGGATCAGAAACAGGTTCGGCTGTAGCTGAGGCACAATATGGGTAGCATGCTCATAGATCTGGCTGACTCGATTGCCGCCATATGCCTCGAGATCGTTGTCGAGCATGTCGCCGAATCTCTGGGACCCTACCATGTTGACGGGAACACCAAGTTCAACCAATTGATCGCGCATTGTCTTGCGAAACCCGTTGCTATCGGTTGAAAATTCACCTCGAACTAGTGAGGCGCCAAGCGACATGATGCGGAGTGGTGTGCCTTGAGCTATGCTGCTCGAGTTCTCCGGCTTCCAGTTTCCTGCTGCCGTCATGATTCCATCGGCTGTCGTGTTAGTGCCATTCAGTTTCTGATCATCACCAAGGCTACTGTTGTCATCGGATTTAGGATCAGGTCCAGGGTCAGGTCGAAGGACATGAGTCGCGCCGAGAGCTGGAGTATACACGTTAGCAAATGGATAATTAGGTGGTAATGACAGTATCAGTAGGGGAAAATGGTAGATCTCACCGATCAATACAACCGAGACGATTACCAAGGAGGTCAAGGCAAAGATTGCCCGTTTGGTGCGAAGGAAAGAGAGGCGCGAAGACCATGATCTCTTTTTCTCAACTTCCATGATGAATTAAGATATGCTTCATGAATGAATGAATAAACGAACGAATGATCATCTCGAGATCCGCAAATAATCAACAATTGAAAAGAAAAAACTCTTTATTTTAAAACGGAAGCATGGGCTTGTCATTGCCATCACTGATGCCTCGACACAGCCCCACGGTTGTAATGATGTGACTGTGAAAAAGTCGAGCAAACAGGCTTCCGAGGCATCCAAGTGCCTACTAGTATGCCAGCTATAACATGCCCAGGCGCTGCCCAGACAGCTCGTTTGGCGTTCATTGCTTGGAACGGACATCGCAACCATAATCTCAGCTGTTAACGTCCAACAGGCAACCAATTAAAAAAGGTTACGAGTTAGGATTCAGGGATCCTCACTGCCGCCAACTTTTTCATTGTAAGAAGATGCATTTATAGTGGCCAAAGCGCCCAATCGTGTGCCTGACATCTTCTCACCTGCATATCTCTAGATCTACCTCATGCAGTGCTCACGCAAACGCCAAGCTACCTAAGTAGAAAAAAATCCCGAGCTTTCTCTAAGGCTGAGGAATCTGTATGATGGAATCTAATCATGGGTTACGAAGAACAGTCATGTTTCAATCTGTATAGGTATCTATCTAGATGGACTGAAGCAAAACTGTGATTCGGATAGCAAACTGAGAATCTCGAAAGTCTCGTTCATGGTCATAGTCTAGCCCCAGCATGGAATATTAAAAATCTTCTTGAATAGGGGGGGAGGACGGCTAACGGCACACATACCTGTAGGCACCTATCCGCTCTCTCCGCACTAGTTGCTCATCCAATCACTGCCCCAGTAGCTTATAACATCTGCCAGATCTGGAAATATCTCTTAGTCGTTCGATTCTCAAATCAGGGGCTGATCAAGGTGGCAATCGAGAAAGCTATTGTTGGAATTCATCTGAATAGAATACTTCAACTTCTCTCTTAACATCGGACGGAAAGATTGGAACATCAAAATGAGAACATCAAAGGGCAGGCATGTTTAGAATAAGGATAGTGTCCTAGAAAGCAGTAAGGTTAAATCCTATTTGTCAATGGTGAAGATTGTCATGAATATAATATTTATGAGTTGCAGCCGCTGCAAGTCCAAGAGCAACTAAAATATTGAAAAAAGGGGGGCGTAACGCCGCCGCTCCACCAATCAACTACCGATTAAATCACGGATTAGCTTCTTCAATTCCAAACTTTCTATACATTCAATTTCCAACGTATGACTTTATAAAACTAAGTAAATATGAAACCAGCAAACCACAAACCGGGGCGCAAGAAACTGTCATCTCAAAATCCCATCGAGATCGCAGTTAGGACATGGTTCAATTCCATAGCGCCAGCCCAACAATCCCAATCTCAGCTCGATGAATTAGTTGCTCGGGCCCCAAAGCGATGGACATCGTATGAACCGATGGTCTTACTACCGGCCGGCTCATTCGACGCCGACGCGTGGAAGGAATGTCTCTCAAGCCTGTCCGTCGAACAGGCGGACGCACTATGGACACAAATCCTAGCGGAGATCTCAAAGAAGACCGGTGGACTCGGGGCCCGGCTGACCCACCTAGCCATCAACGAGGGCATTCCCGCGGCTCTTCATAGCAATAACGCGGAGCATGTCGGAGCACCAGAAAATATCCTGCGCAGCCCGACCGGTCTCCGGATCCTCCACGGCGACTTCGGCCCCGCCTCCGCCTCCGGAACACCGTCGGATTTCGAGACCGCGTTTTGGGTCTCGACTCGGCAGAACGGGATCTTCCAGACCTGGGCGCCGCGGTGGACGATGTTTAGCCGGGGCAACATCAAGGAAAAGGCGCGCCTGCTGGATTTCCATAAAGGCAGATCCCCAAGCAGCAACGGGGTGGAGTTACGTGATGCTTTGGCGGTCGACCTGTACGCGGGAATAGGCTACTTCACCTTTTCGTATGCGAAGCTGGGTATGCGAGTATTGTGTTGGGAGTTGAACCCGTGGAGCGTGGAGGGCTTGCGTCGAGGCGCCAGGGGGAATGGCTGGTCGGTGCGAGTTGTTCAGGATGAGGTTGATTTGGCCATGCCGATGAAAGAGCTGGTAAGCGGCGGCGAACAAATAATAGTCTTCCTTGAGGATAACAGACATGCTGCGCGGAGAATAAGAGAGTTAAGCGGATTAAACGTCCTCCATGTTAACTGCGGTCTATTACCTTCTAGCGAAGCCTCTTGGAAAGACTCTTGGGATATTGCCACGCGAAGTGAAGAAGAGGAGACGTGGTTGCATTTACATGAAAATGTAGGAGTGGCCGATATTGAAAGACGGAGGGAGGAGATTGAACAGTATTTCTTAGACCTAAGACGTAAGGACGGCTGCGGCAGAACAGCTCGTGTAGAACACGCAGAGCTTGTCAAAACGTTCGCACCGGGAGTCTGGCACTGCGTCTTCGATCTGCATATTACAAGATCTAGTAGCATAACATGACAGAGTATCGTACACCATGCATCATCATACGCATCTGAACAGCCAGCCCATTTCGTAAATCGTGTATGTCCCCTCCTAAATCGCACCAAGCCAGCAACCCTTGACATCATGTCCTCATGCTAGCCATCCAACCCAGAACTCCCGAAAATTAAGGGGTATCATTAAATATCTTAGCTGCCTCTCCTAAACTTGCTCGGGATATTATCCTCTACGATAGTCATCTTGTTGAGCTTCTCAAGTTTCTCCTCCGCGTCCTCCATCATCTCGTGCTTCTTGAAGTGTTCAATGTCCTCGGGATGATTCAATTCCTCGAGGGGGGTGTTCTCGTCATGGTATTTCTCCCAGTGGTGAATCTCGTACTCGTACTCGTCGTCGCCGTGGTGACCAGGCCCCGTACCCATGTCGGGCAGCGTCTTGCCAGAGTCGATAAAAGCAACGAATTCGTCGCGTGTCACGAACCCGTCTCCGTCAGCGTCGAGTAACCGCAACAACTCGTGCTCAATCTCGTCGCGGCGCCCTTGCGGCACATTTTTATTCGACTCGTCCATCAATCCATACGTGCGCAGGATCTCCTCCGCCTCCCAATGGCCGTCGGCGTCGTAATCGTGCAGGACAAAGAAAGACGAGGCGTCGAAGTCGCCAATATGGTGCTCCTCTGTCCTGGATTAGAGGAATCACTTAGTAGGCATTAAAGAGAATAGTAGTTTACCAGCCATGTGCTTCGTCATCCAATTGGCGTTTTCGCCAACCATTGGCTTTTGCGAACCGCCATGGTTACCGTGTCCTAGAGCTCGGCAGACGAGGCCGGTTGCGACGAGGATCGTAGCGCGCATTTTGATGCGAAGTTGCCAGTTGTAACAAATGCTACTAGGTATGTTAAACACGAAAACCAGGACAAAAAGTTGCGACAAGAGGAAAGGAAGAATAAACTTGGAAGCTAAGTCCCAATTCGACGTTTCGTTTCGATTGATATTCGATAAGAACAACAAGACTAGGAAACAGCCTTGAACTTGAACCGGGGAAGTCACACCCACAGATCTGTCTAGGTGGCTCCAACGCCTGCAAGATAAGCTAAAGCCGGTGGATAAGGAACAACATTGAAGAACCGCTAATGAGATCATCGTCCAGGCGATCCCTGTAACGATCGTTCTCTGCAGGGACAGCTCCAAGCTACAGGGGTTATCTCCGCTAAGTTTAGCCTATCCGCGTCGCGTCCAGGGGTTTATTTAGCGATCTTCCAAGCTCCCAATCTTCCATACCGTCTTTGTCACTATCCATCTTCAACTCCAACATTTCTGAAATACGTCACAGGTCTTAACGCGACAAAGCTTGAGCTGGGATTGGACAAGCGAGTCTCTTACACTTTGGATACGAATTGGTTCCGTTGCCCTAAAAAAGGGCAACCAGGCTCACCATCAAAATGAGTCGTACCCTAGAACCCACACTCCTATCCCTCCTCCCAACCTACTCCAAAGACCTCCCGCAACCCCTCCTCGAGCTCGCCTCCTCGCTACTCACGCAATCGCGCCACAGCGCCGGCACCCTCAAGGCCGAAGAGGAAGTAGCCCGCGCCTACGCCTGCGCGCACATCGCCTGCGAGCGCCTAAAGATCCCCCTCGACCTCCCGCCCATCCAGCCGCGCCCCCCCGTGCCGCCGCGCATCTACAAGAGGCTGTACAATCACCTCGACCACGTGTTACCCGCGCACGCCGTGGGCAGGACGGGACGGATCCGCACGCCGAGCTCGAAGCTGCGCGACGCCGGCATATTCGGCGGTGGCGGCCAGCGTTCCGTTCCCTCGCGCGGGACGCCGAATAAAGAGGAGTCGCTGGCCAAGTTTCGGTCCCCCGCCGCCGCGGCGAACGGAGATAGCACGCCGACGCGGTCTGCGCGGAAACCGCCGCCGCTGCTGCCGTCTAAGAAGAAGGCGGGAGGTGCTGTGAGCGCGTTGCCGGCTTGGGTGCGTCCTACGATACAGTTTATGTGCAAGGAGTTGGATGAGGAGCGGATCGGGAGGACGGTCCTGGCGGGTATGCAGACGATTGCTTCGCCGCATGGGAGGCGGACGAAGGATGAGTGGGTTAATGAGCATTTGACGCCTTTGCTTGCGGCTGTGTACTTCCTCGTGTCTTCGCAGTTGTACGTGTTGGAGCAGGGAAAGGAGTTGGATGATCCGCAGTACATACGCATGCGAAAAGCGATTCTAGGGGCCCTGGGGCAAGCGCAGGAAAATGTTAACGTGGTGGGTATGGATGAGGATGAGCTTTGGATCGGTTGGTCGGATGTTAGGTCAAGGGACGTCGACGGCGCCGTTGCCAAGGTAGTGGAGAGTGGGTGGCAGAGAGAGGAGTGGTTTGCTGGTATCAAGGACATGGCGAAAATAGAAACCGCAGATGTAAGCCACGAGGATGCGGAAACTGAGGATGGCGACGAGCGGCCTTTTGGCGAGAAACTCCATGTGCAGAGAGGCGATACTATGCTACAAAGCAAGTGGGATATGACGGACCAGAAGAGGGAAGAGCTTCGTAAGTGGAAAGAGGAGAAGCTGCGCCAAATCGAAGAGATCGAAAAATCTCGCGGATCCGAGATGGATGTTGATGCTCCTGTATAGACGTTTGGTATAAAAGAACGACAACCATTTTATATCAGGATATATGACACAGATTCTTCTTCATGAACTAGGAAACGGGCGTTTTCTATGTCTCTGAAGTTCGAGCTCCCATTGAATCCCCTCCTTTCTCGAATAGTCTTCAAAAGCGGCAGAGACATGGTCGTGGCAGGAGTTAGATCACGTTTAGACAGTCATGCCAACCATCTCACAATATCTACTTACATATTAGTCACAGTTAGATATCACACTTCAGGTGAAATAATCTAATATCCGCAAACACATATAATCCCCAACATTTACGCCTGTATACACCGTTGACTATTTTATAGCATAACCACATAATATCACTCAAGTTCCTTTCCTCGTGGCATCCCCATGTCCCATCGTGTCTTGGACCGTTCCGCCCACGGATCCCTTGTCAGTGAACTGACGACCGACTGCGCCCTCCTTCGAAAAGGGGCCGCCGACCTTCTGTGCTGTACCGCCGATGTGCCCTTCGGACTGCATGGGTGGTATACGTTAGCAAGACATCCACGAGCCCCCTATCATGACTTTCACCGTACCGAGAACTGATGCCCGACCGACCCCTGAGAATCAAACGCAGAGACCCGCGTAGCCGCGTCCCTATCCTCGCCGGGCTGAGGGCCCAGATAATTCTCCGTAGCAGGGAATTTATCGAACTTAGAGTTCCGCTCCGTCTTCCCGGTAATACCTCCACTATTCTTCATACCCGAATCCTGGCTACCCATCGCCTTCCTCAGCGTGCCCGGCATGTCTTCGGCGGCGGACTTCATCGCTCCCAGGATACTGCTGCCGCCCTTTTCCTTGTTGACGTGGTCCTTCTGTCCGGGCATCACGGATTCGACCACGCCGCCGGTCCTCATGCCGTTGCGATGGGATTGAGGCCCTTCTTGGGATTCGTCGTAGTCGCGATGCCCTCGCATCATGGTCTCCTCCACACCGCCGTGTCGGCCGTCGTGCGTGAAGTCTCCCATGTGTCCCGAGCCTTGCTGTTGCTGCTGTTGCCTCTTGGCATCGCCCGGTTTCAAGGCTTCTTTGAGGGAGCCGAGGAGGGACTTGCCTTCTCCTTGGTCGGGAACCTGTTTGTCTCATACTCAGCTGTCAGTCTCTTTTTTTTTCGATACGTGTGTTTTAGGTGTAAGTGAGGACACACGTACATATCCGGCTGCCGTTCCCTTTGGATCCGGGTCGTCTGATTGATCCACGCTCGGCTGCGCGTTCGCGGCGCCTTGGTTGAACCCCCAGATCGGGTTTCCGCCTGTACCACCAGTCGACATGGCTATATTGACGATTGATGTGTGTAAGTGTACTGATTACTTTTCGTATTGTTCGATTAAGAGTTCAAAACGAGAAATTTCGTCCATTACGTTACAATTGAAATTCTAGTTGAAGAGGCGACAATATATATCACCCGCTTCAATCCGAAATAGGGGTCTATCGCGTCATAATGATGGTCACAAAGCCAGCGAGATATCATCATCTTACTGTCAACCGTGTCTCACGCGGAGAAATGATGTAAGGCAATTCGTGAAACCCCATAATTACCAGGCGACAGATATTTACAAATATTTTGGGTTACAGGTAGCATCCGATCGTGATCCCATAACTAATGAGGGTATCACCACAACCGTTCCTGCATATCAAGACCTTACCTCGTAGTTTTCTTACTTCCCCTGATTTTCGTAGGTTAATGTCTACACGCTTATCGTCCACCATTAAACAACAGGGGAATACTTTGTGGCGCCCACCCTTAGTTAGGCTATACTGCACCCGTAACTGCAGATGTAGGCAGCTAAGACCGAGCCTTGACGATGGAGTTCATACCCAATCATAATCCATCATGCCGCCTTACACCCTATTCTGCAGCTTTTCCACCCTACGCCACCACCCTCTACCATCCCCGAGCCTACATTTGGCAGCATGTATCTCCTATGTTCCCTTGACGGAGCCTTACTCGTTGACTTGGGGTCGGGCCATGCCCTCACTCAAGAGGCCATCGATGCCCAGGTCTCGAGTGTGGTAATTCAGGTACCTACCATCTAATAGGAGTACTATCTTTTTCTTTCATTCCCCACCTCAAGAGACTCATCACCATGGCCGCAAATCGTCGGGTACCTGACGTCGACTTCGGCAACGACCCCAACGACGCCTCCGCTAGCCAACGTGCTGCATTGCAGAACACACAGCCAATCATCTATCCATTCCCACAACTGAGTGGAGAAGGGTAAGGCTTTTTTTTTTTTTACTAATAACCTTGTATGCAGGACTACTGCATTCCATACAAACGACACTGCTTGTCCATCACCCCGGTGTATGTGTGGCGCCAAGTTCAGCCGATCAGACGCACTCGCCCGGCACATCAAGGCCAAATCCAATGGGATCCCCGAACATCCATGCAACAACTGTGATCGCTACCAGGGGATGAATGGCTTTCATCGTCGTGACCACCTGGTTCAGCACATGAGGTACTGCCGTGGACGCAATGTCGAAAACGAGCCTCGCGATCATAGGGCTGAGCCTCTCCCTGCCGCTATGGTTCCTGGTCCATCTATGCCCATGAATGAGGATGCTATCCCATCGGACCAGCTTCCCCCATTTGCTTGCACCGACCCCGAATGCGACAAATGGGGTATGAATGGCTATCTTCGACTGCAGGACCTCATCGAGCACCAGGGTTGGGCGCATCCTTTCATGTCTCAGGCCCAAGGTAGTATGCCACAGTTTGAAGGCAACATGCAGCCCTACCAGCCGATTCATGATCTTCAGCCTGACCAGGCAAACAATGCTCTCCAGGTCTATCAGCTCTACAACACTTCCCAGGGCAACCAGCAAGACGCTGCCTTCATGTTCTTCCAGCCGGTTGTTGCTCCTCAGCCCTTCCAGCCAATTAACGCCCATCAGTTTTGGGGACAGGACGGCGCCTCCCAGTTCCTCCAGCCAGGCGATGCTCCTCAGCCTCCTCAGTCGGAGACCTATTCGCAGCACCATCATCTGGAGGATGTCTTTCAGTTCGATCAGCAAGACGGCACTTCCCCCTTCCCGTTCTAACGAACGTTACTCTAGGCGCCCCAGAGCGCCGTTTGACATGACGAATTCTGTACAAGGAAATGAGATCTGGTAGAATGAATGTTTGGAATTGATTTTACGAGTTGACATTATGAGTTTTTCGTAAAGTTCTACATTGATAGCAATGAGACCACTCCTTACTCTATACTTAAAAACAGTTGAGATACATGATATCTATATGTGCCACTTTTGTACGACCGATCATAGACATATCTGTCCATCTGGTGTTGCTGTGACGCTTACATCGATGTTTCTAACGTTGACAACCCTAGGTTTGTAGCTCAAACTCACCATCTCATATTTCCTAGTCCAACCCTTTGTAATAGCTACACACAAGCCAAGGGACGAACAATACTCCGTACGATTCAACTCTCGAACTGAGAAGATAAAAGGACTCAAATTCAGAAACTGTATTAGCCCTCTCCAATTTCCGACCTATGGTACAAGCAAGAGAACCCGATTACACTAAGACACCGAAGCCAAACCCGGACCGCCGTCCAACGCCAAAAAGATCGGGCTCTTCTACCTAATCTTTCAAGAACCACTCCACGGCTGTCTCGCCATACCATGCGGGATGAGAGACCTCGCACGGCTGTACATTCCCACGTCTGATTCAAACAGCGCTGTAGCCCCCGCGACTTCCGGTCCCCTGTACCGTGTTAAGCACCCTCCTAGTCCAGTCCTTAAGCAGGTAGGGGATGTCGCGGATAGTGTCGCCGTGGGGGATGAGGTCCCAGCCCCGAGCTCCGTAGCGGTTGTAGTTGAGCCACGAGCCGAAAATGAGATACGACGCGGTTCCGAGGAAGACGCTGTATTTCGGTCAGCACATTACAAGATCACATATACGTTCCGGAACTAGGCAAGAACTTACAGGATAACCAGCCACGTGAAAAACCCCCAATGCGGATCTGGCTTTTCGCCGGAATCGTCCGATCCGTCATCGTCCCTTTTCTCGCAGGCGTATTTGGATTTCCAGGTTAAGCGCAACACGTCGATGTTCGAATCCTCGGCCATCGGCTCGTAGCTCTCGAATATCAGACTGGGGTCGCTCTCAATACCCAACTGGACCTCTTTCGGCGGTTTATCTTCGTCGCCGTCCCCTTTGTCGTCGTCGGCGCGGAATAGCAGCGGGTTCGTCCTAGCCATCAAAGGGTCATCGCCCAACTCGTATTTGTCGTCGGCGGGATCATATTCGCCCTCAGTCCCATTCCGGCCAGAGTCGCAGAGGAACTCTATGATAGCCCTCTGCTCTCGCTTCTTGCCGCTGTCGGTCTTGTCGAACCCTCCCTTCATCACCAGGCGCAGGCCCTCCTTCTTCGAGTCCGAGTTCGAGTCGGAAGTGCTTAGTCGCGTGACTTCGGGATCGAGGGGGTGACCTCCGACGTTTTCCAGATTGCCGGCGATGGCAGTAGCTTTTTCAAACGCGTCGCCTATGCGCTTGATGGCGCAAACTAGAAATACGCAGGCACGTGAGCAATCGTTACCTAATCCGGAAAAGGGGGGGGAACTCGTGATGGTAGTAGCTAACATACCTTGAGCGCCGTTCGGACATTGCTCGTCCTTCTTCACGTCTCCCTTCTTCTTAAGCGGCCGGCAGATGTCTACTGTGTACGTCGTGTTGTGGGCAGAGTCGCTGACGATGTGACTCGTCACGACGGAATGAGGACCGCCTAATGCGGAAAGATCGAATTTTTGCTTGTCGGCAACGATTTGGTTACACCTGAACATCGCCTCCGTTGGTAAAGGAGCTAGTAGTAGGGACAGGAGTAATGCGGCGTCTGCCGCTTGTAGCGATGGGACTCTCATGATGCACGAGAACTAGGTATTTGTCGTCGCGGGCGGGTTTATCGGAAGCGTGTTGGAGTCGGGTTGCGCGGAGCAAGTATCTAGAGTAGGGATGCGATGAGATATTTGAAGTCGGATCCAACGGTTGAATGATGATTAGTGAACGTATGAATAGAACGCGATCGAAGGAAGCCTATAGAACCCAAGGAGTCGGTTATGTAAATACAAATATGGACTAATGTAGTTGTGATCAACAGCAAAAAAGGAGCAAATGGAGGCTTGGTGATGACCTGAATTGTCTACCTGAGCGAAGAAAACCAAGCCTTTCGGGACTTATGGGATCATGGAAGGTAGATTGCCAAGGGTTCGTCACGATGTAAAGCCCATTTGCGTCGATGATGATGGATAGAAGTGAGGTAGGTAAGTCTCGGTACAAATAAAGTGAACTTGGCCTGCTTGGCTTTTGATTGAAAGCTTCCACTTAGGTTCGGCCACCAGTCGTCATACCTTGCAGGGGGGTATTAAAAATTACCGACGCTTATATAAGTGGACCTTACGTAATTTATCATATGGACAACCTCTTGGATGTCTTTGCAGCAGCAGCTACGATCAAGTTCACGTGATGCGCATTGATTTGACAGGTAAAGGGGCAGAAATGCGTAGGAATACATCATTTGTTCAAAGCTATCTGGGACAATAGGATACTAGCTATAGCACATGAAAATAGCATTTCAATAATATTTAGTTGCTCATAGTCCTGTCGTAGAGCAAACACTCAACCCTCGATAGCGTCGTTTGCCAATAAATCAGAGTGTCATTCCTAGGTAGCTCAGAGCACCACCATCCACCATCACCCCTTTCGCCCACTGTTCGTGATGCCGTGATAAAACCTGCAAAATGGGTATAATGAAAATAAAACCCGAACCCCATGATTGTGCGGAACGCACCAACGATGCAAAGAGCTCCGTAACCGTTACGCCAATGCCTTTCCTTAACGCCGTCCGTATTAACCTCGAGTTAGGATCATTCCTTTTGCCTTTAATTGATGCGTCTTGGCCCGAGTATTTATGTTTGTACAATCCGTCCGCGGATAACGATTTTTTAAGCCCATCCATGAGCCCCTTAGCTGCTTGGGCGCGGGATGATGATTTGCGGCAGTTCAAATAATTGATGGCTGTCCTACATGCCCTGCTGCATCATCCCGTTCATCCCATTCATTCCATTCTGCATGCCTTGATGCATCCCGTTCTGCATGTTCTGCGCCATCTGCCGCCGCTGCAGAATCTCCCTCTGCACTGACTCCTGTGCTTTCTTAAGACAGTTCTGCTTAAACTGGTCGTGGATATCCTGTGGGATGCTCTGAACACCCCCGAAACGTTCTGCAAATTGTGATATGTTTTGTCGATAGAAGTGTTGTTGCCTCGTCCGCACCTGCATCGCCAATGGGTTGGGCTGATTTCCTGGCTGCTGACCATGCTGTTGTAGTTGCTGTTGCATCTGCTGCTGTAAAGCTGCCATCTGCGCAGGGTTCATGCCGTTAGCAGCACCCATGAAGTTTTGGTTCCCCATTTGCTGGTTAGGCATCTGTCCTTGCATCTGCTGCTGCTGTTGCTGTTGGTGCTGCTGCATGCTGTTAAGTTGCTGCTGATAGCGCTGCGCAATCTGAGCTTGCTGAGCTGCACTCATCACGTTAGAATTCGGCATGTTCATGTTCATCATCTGCCTTTGCAGCATCTGTTGTTGGAGCATCTGGTTATGCAGTTGTGGGTTCTGTCCATTCATCATACCAGCATTCTGCATAGCCTGGAGCTGCTGCTGCTGCGCGATGCGTTGACGCTGCTGTTGAGCAATTTGAGCAGCTAATAGTTGATTAGGCATAGGTTGACCCATAGTCTGATTGCCCATCATCATTTGACCCATATGAGAGTTTTGGGCCATCATGCCTGGCGGAGGACTTGCTTGAGTCATTCGGGGAGTGGGCATCGGTCGGTTGATCGGGGTGCCATGCGGCATCTGCGGCGTCGCGCTCGGCATGCGTGGCGTGTTCGAAGGATGGCTCTGCTGGCTACCCCTAGCAGACATGCTTACAGCCATTGGAGCAGACATCGGCCCGTGAGCCTGAGCCACAGAAGACGATCTTGGAGGGCTTGCTCCCATGCCCGAGTTGGTTTGCTGCATGGGCGCGTTGCCGACCATGGGGCTGGACATGTTCTGCGGGGTGTTCTGGCGGACGACCGGCGACGAGACCGGTGGCTGAGAGACCTGTTGTGGGAACCTGTGAGCAGCCTGAGTCGGCATAACGCCATTGGGCATTCCATTCTGTGCCGGGTGTCCGTGAGACGATTGCGGCATTTGATTCATCTGAGTGTTCTGTGGCGACTGAGCAGCTTGGGCTTGGGCCTGAGCTTGTGCTTGAGCTTGAGCCTGGGCTTGTGCCTGGGCCTGTTGTTGGGCCATCGCACGGCGCTGAGCTTCCTGCTGTTGCTGTTGCTGTTGCTGCTGCTGCTGCTGCTGTTGTTGTTGCCGTATTTGGGCCTGTCTTTGAGCTTCTTCGCGACGCAGTTTCTCCTGTTGTTCAGCTTGTTGTCGTTGCAAGGCAGCCTGCTCTTGCTTCTGTTGTTGAAGCTTGCGTTCGTTCTCCTGTTGCCGAGCCTTTTCTTGTTCTTTCTTGGCCTCGTGCTCTGCCCTAATATCAGCAAGGACCTTGAATCGCTCAAAGCGAGGCTCAAAAGCCGTAGTGCCCGATTGTCCGTTGCCATCGGCGTCGTCGGTACCAGTCTGGGCGTTGCCCGTACTAGCCGAGCGACGTTCATCATAAGTAAGCATGTATTTCTCTTGCTCCGCAGCCAATGCCTCGTCGGCAGCCCTTTCGGCAACAGTCCGCTTCCGAGCCTTCGGTTTCGGCGGTGGTTCAGAGTGATGGGAGTCGGTCATGTTTTCGATGAGCGCGATGGCCTCTTCTTTGTTCTTGGGGATGTCTAGGCGTAGTGGTGCGGCGGTTGCTAATAATATGTCCGCCTCTGCGATATGGATGTTGCTCGCATCTAATTCCATCCTATCACGTTTCTGCCTCTTAGCCGGCGGCGGCATGCTGGCCGTCGTCGGGGTTGGAGGTACGGCAGACAGTGGCGTAGCCGGAACCATGCCGGACTCAGCGCCGGCCTTGGCGTCTCCAGAACTGCGCGGTGTTGTCGCTTTGATCATCAGATCCATATGCAAACTTTGTGGCGTTGGATGCATAACGACCGTGAAGATTTTGGCCTGAGGCGGCACTTTACTCTTTTGTCCATCGCTGGGAGCAGGTGGTGCCGGCATGTTTTCCTTATCAACCGAGTCATTATCAACCTGCTTCTCGTTGCCTCCGGAAAGGCCATTCCGTGCGCTATCCTTGGGGAATGGAGCGTAAGGGGATGGCGTAATGTAAGGGTTGTAGTTATGAATCGAAGATGGTTTTTCCGTACTAGACTTGGAAGTTGGACGTGCGATGTCTTTGGTCTGTGTAGGCGTCTTGTGGTCATGTATTTGCACGATTAGGCAGCCCTCGTAGAAGGTAACACCGGCGTCGTTGAGGTCTGGAAGCATATCGTGAGGTATCGTTCTGCTCCTGACGTGATCGAGGAAGAGTTTCATCGGAGACTTGTATGGGAAGACACTGTCTTGCTGGTCGAATCGGAAATGGGTGGCGTGAAGATGCACAATAAGCGACGGCGGTTGTCCGGAGTATTTCTTGAGGATGTAAGAATCGGTCAACACTATTCTATGGTAAGCATAAGTCGCGACTGAACGATAGTAAGCGTATGTTGCGCACCAGCTGGACGTGGCTCAAAAGATTGATGCAACGATGTATCGGGAGCTATGGTGGCAGATCTTAGAGAAGCGTTATTTCTCTGATTACGCCCCGGGCCTTGGTTAGCAGTGTCGCGTCTGGAACGGGCCATGCTAGGTCGATGAGCGGTTCCGTTGGCGCCATTCGTAGCAGCGGAGTTAGATGCTTGCTGTTGCTGCTTGGTTACAGCGGGCGGAGGTCGCTTGGCCGACATGTTTGGGGATGGGGAGGACTGAGACGAAGATACTCCATTTGTCTGGATGCCGGGAGGTGGTGGTCGTTTAATTTTGGGAGTAGGCGGGAGAGTTGCGTTGGCGACGACCGGAGCCATGGCTTTAACCCACGGCTCTGCGCTACTAATGAAGCGGCTATGCGACGCTCAATAGGTTGCGACTAGAGATTGAAGGCGTCACCAGAATGTTATTTGATATGAACATTGATCGCGATGGTTGAGGGTTGGTAAGAACGGAGAAGATTGGTAATAAAACAGAACGCGCGCGCGACCAAGTCGAAGGTAGTAAGTAGTACACCACAAAAAAAGGAAGGCTTGGCCGGGTCCGAGTTACATGGAAAAGGAAGCCGAAGAATATGCGACGAACTATCGACAATGGCAGCCGACGATAGTAAGCCCTAGGGTACAAAAAGTTGCAAGAATGTTGTTGAGTCCTTGCTTTGTGTGGGGTTGATTGGTGTTAGTGATTGAAAGATGATCGACTTCGAAAGGTAAAGTTGAATTGAGCCTCATCAGCCGCTTTACTCTATTGGCTCCACCTGGCAATTGAGAGGTCCCGGCTGCGTAAGCCACATCTGCACTGCCACGTTATTACTTAAGTAACCGGGTACGAAGGTAACATCCGAGGTTTAATTCCACATGCGCATATTGGATCGTAGATATTGTATCACCGACACTGACGATAGAACCTCAATATTAAAAAGACTGGTAAATTTGCTAACTTTCTTACGTGCAATCACCGTCCAAAAATACATAGAATATGGGTATAAATGCATAACCGTATAAATGTTCAAGAAAAAATATATACATGTCCTATTACTTACATAACCTGTACTCAATCGCAAACCACCTCGTGGATAGGTACCTTTGGAAGAGGTAATTCATATATCTGCCGTTACAAAGGACGTGTCCAAATATCCAAATTTATTTCAAAAATTGCAAAGACAAGACCGCCGATTCATTCGTTCCACTCATGTCACCATTCCCCGTGTGATACTAAAATATTATCACTCCTTGCCTTGAACCCTACGCGCCCAATCGTCACCAACCCGTAGGCTGTCAACAACCACGACACCTCTGCCTCTTCCAACCCGCTCTTCTCGTTGCCACCACAGATCTTCTTCCTTCTTTTTCTTCTTCTCTGCGTTTTCGGCCTCCGATTCGCTATCCGCAAGCCCACCATGGCCACCATCAGCTCCGACCACCAGGATCACGTCATATTTGAGCCAAGTCTGTAGCTGCGTGACCACAGCCCCATCTTCGCCAGCAAGAGACTCTTGGAGGTAGACTACATCGGGCTGTAAGTGACGAAGAATGTGTACATGGCCGTTGGCAGATGTAAATGGTAGAATCATGGTCTCCTTTTCCACTAGCGCTAACGCTTGAGAGTATACTGCATTGAAAGGCGTATTGACGGTAGAGCTCAGCCTGGATGCCAAGTTAATTAATCGGGACTTGCGTATGTAGGGAGCTATTACGTACAATGGACTTTTCACCTCTTCTCCTGGCGTGTGAGCTTGCTCGTTTGCGATGTTGGAGAACGACGAACTTAAAGATGCTGGAGGTAGATTACTAGGTGATGTTTCAAGGGCGGTGTCCTTGAGACCTGGCGCATAGATCAATACGAATAGTTTGATCTTGGAAAAATCGGCAGTCCGCGGTATATGAGTAAGGATCGACTATGCACCAGTTAGTAGGCAAAACCCATAACATTCTTCAAATCAGGTAGCGTCCTACAGCATGTTCATGAAACCCCTCTGCGTCGAACTCATCCATATTGGTGTCTGCTGAGACCACGATCGCGACCGTCTTCCGCCGTTTGCCAGAGTCTTTAGACTGAGGTGGCGATGTTTTCTCCTTTCGAGCCTCGGCTTCCTCTGACCAAGTCTCATGGTCAGCATAAGCGTTCTTATCATCTTCTCGTATAGCAGCTAGCGCACTACCAACGGCTGCACCGACTCCTGCCATTCCTGCCACGACCGTCTTTCCGGCGTTGGAGAGGAACTGCTGCGGGCTAGGAGTGCGTCGCAGAGCACCGGACACTTGAGATCCCCATCCCGCAGAGACACCAGTCGCTTCCGGATGCATCTCGTCGACGCCGTAGCTCACGTCCTCGGGTCGAAAGGAAGGATCGGCACCGTCGCCCGGTGGACGGGACACTCTTCCAGTTGCGCCGTAAGGCGGGTTCTCGCCATAGTCGGCATTTTCGTAATCGAGGTCGGCGGGCTCAGGATCGCTCTCCTCTTCTTCGTGTTCGTTGGTACGTTGGCTCCATGCCCAAGCGGCGACGCCGACTGTCGCGACAGTGAGGGTAACGACGAGGGGAACCCAGTGGCCCCAGGCGCCCCTCCGGCGAGACCTCGAGGATTCGTACGACGACGACATTTATTCAGGCTGGACCATCGCAAACTTAAGCCTATAAAGAAGGCCCTCGCGCGGAGCGGTGGAGTAAATAGTGGTATGCAGATCACAACGCAAACAATCCGGCCGCGACCCGATCGAAAAAGGCCTTGGTTGTTATTAAGCAGATGCCGATACCTAGGTCAAGAGAACAGTGACCATATACCGAGACGTAGCTCTTCGTTGTTCGCTGTTCGCTGGTCGTTATCCGCCGTTGGGAAATGGGTTTGTAAGTGGTAAACTTCCGAGGTTGTTTTGCGACGGTTGAACCTGGAAAATAGCGGGCTGGGGGGAAGCAAGTGGCACCTAACACCTAATCCTAATGTGAAAAAGAATGGGGTTGGGGCTACGTGGAAGAACCCTGCTGTTCTGGAGCTTCGTTGTTGTGGTTTAGCTGTGGGCGGCGGCGACGGCGGCAGGAGCGAGGCAGCAAATGGATGGATCAGATGCGGTCAGGACAGAATTCTAAATTCCAAGTTCCAAGCTTTTTCCAAGGTTTGAAGCAGAATCCGCAGAATCTGGGAAAGAGCTGGAGCTGAGAGGTGCCCGACTACCAAGTTGCAAGTTCCATACGAGCAATGAGGTGGCTGGTCACAGCTTCTCCGCCGAGGTCCCGGCCATCCCTGTAGGAACAATTGGCAGCTAAGAGGGCTCTCTTCATTGGTTGGAGGGGGAACGCTACACCGAGGATTACCGCAAAGAGAAGTGCGATCATGATTGGATTTTCACCGATATCGATAAGCGAGTTTGTATGACAAGGATTCTTTAGCATGAGAACTTAGCTACGTATTTTCAACATTGAAGTATCGTGAGTGACTCAAGATTTCCGATGAGCGCCATAATAGCACATAGCTTTGTGCCTAGCTAACTTACTCTATTGTTCCCCTATAATTATAATCTAGGCTCCTAGGTATCTTCACCCGCTCAGTAAAGCATCTGCGTATATCGAACTAACACTTTAATAGATCAACTAGCCTTAAGAGCTCTTTTATCTCATCGGCTGGGCAGCCCCTCCATCAGGGCTCTCAAGATGCCCCACGCTGCGACGGGCCTTCAAGCCCTCATTCTGTGCGGGCCCGGATCTTCATTTCCCACCTTCACTTCAAACCCAGATGAGAACCCTAAGGCTTTATTACCTATCGCGAACCGGCCGATGGTCTGGTATCCTATTGATTTCTGCTATCGCACGGGAATCACCAGTAAGCTCATCTCTGCTATCCAGGTCACCCTGCCCCTATAAGAGAAGGATGACTTGACAACGAACCCAAAAACCCAAATCTCAAGATAGGTTTAGTTCTAAAGTCCACGCTTAGCCTATTAATCAAGATAATTATATTCCGTCACGAGAGCCGGTCATGCTAACGCATTTTAGATATCACTCTTGTTTGCCCCCCCTCAGCTGCTGAAGCTATTACTACGGCGCTGAACACGAACCCCTTCCTCACTGGTTTGCCTCATCCTCGGCCGGATCTGGTAGCGCCGCAGGGCCTTGATCAGAATACGGGTACTGCAGAGACATTGCGGCTTCCCCAAATTCGAGACCTGGTTACGTCTGACTTTATAGTCCTACCGTGCGACCTAGTCTGTGAGCTAGGTGGTGATAAGCTCTTGCAAGCATGGATGGTTAAGGCTGCGAGCCTCCCGGACCTGCTAGGCAACGATGAGCCACCATATTGCAATGGAGGCTTAGGAGTATGGTATGAGACGAAGACGGCCAACCCTGTCAAGGGCGAGGAGACGGATTTCATCGTAACTACGCCGATGACTATTCCTACGGTGCCAACACCAAAAGACTCAATCCTACCACAACTGTCCTACCTGACTTACACCATGCCAAAAGACTCGCTGAACGACCTCATGGACCAGAAGAAGAGTTTTCCGATACGGCACGGCTTATTACGCAGTCACCCTAAACTTAGAATGCTGACAACACATCGTGATGCCCATATTTACATCTTACCAAAATGGATTTTGGACTTCATCCAGGAAAATGAGCGTCTCGAAACTATTGGCGAAGATGTGATCGGTTGGTGGGCAAAGGCTAATTGGGAAACTGGTCTTTTCGGGAAATTGAGAATGAAGCAGGTCATCGAAGGACGTAGTAAAACACCGGAAGGAGACAAGTCAACACGTGGCAATGTCGGCCCGGCCGAGGAGAGCCTCCTCATGTCACCGACGAGAGGGCGTTTTGAGTCATCCCCTTCCGCAGAAGACATCCATAGGGGACACGGCGACAGATTACTAGACAAGCCGGAAGAGCCCGCCGTCCCACCGATTTTGGCATACATACACCCTGACCATGCAGATGCTCCGCTGCTCCGTCGCGTAGATACGGCTCAACTTCTCCTTGCCGTGTCATTACAACTAGCAAAACTCCCATCTATCGAAGAAACAGGGCCTGAAGCTGCATCCCCCTTTGCCCATTCTAAGAAGGTCGCTTACCCAGAAGGTGTTAAGCCGCGGACTACCATCACTAGACAAGATACCTTGATTGCCGAGAACGTAATGGTGGAAGAGAAGACGTCGATCAAAGAGAGCGTTGTTGGAGCCAATTGCCAAATTAAGGAGGGTGCAAAGTTGTTCCAATGCCTTCTGATGGATGGCGTGGTGGTAGGCAAAGGCTGCAAATTGACTCGCTGCATCCTAGGCAAGAGAAGTGAGATCGGAGAAGGGTCCACGCTCACGGATTGTGAGGTGCAAGAAAACCTGTTGGTAGAACCGAGAAGTAAGTCCAAATCCATCACCATCCCACACCCTTGTCCTCGCGGTGCCACGAGGCGGTGTGATATATCGACTAACAAATTTCCAGCCGAGGACAAGGAGAGCAAACTTATGAGCTCATCCGGACTGGAGGCTAGCGAGCAAGAGATGCGGGAGGCATTGGACGACATTGACGAGGGTGACGGAGACAGTGCCGTGTTAGGATAGGGTAAATTAAGAAATAACCGCAATCCAGGTTGCCGGTATCCAATGCAATAGAGTTGCCCGTGGCAAGGGTTTCCCGGATCCATGCTACGTAGCAAGCCACCCCAACTTGCGATCCCCCCTTTTAGTCATTCATGACTAGCATTACACCGCCCCGTTTCGTCTTCCGGAGATCTTTCGCCATCGCGGCCCCCAAGCGGAGGCTTCAGAGATGTCATTACCTCTAATCTGTTGGTAGCAAGGAGTTTGGTGAAACCTGCAAATAGCACACCAAGTATTCGACATGCAGATGATATTTTATCGCTTGCCTAATTTGAAAATATGTCCAGGTATGTACTTTGCTTCTCGACATGCTTGGGTTTTCTTTGGTTGCTACTTGCCTATCATTTTATCCAAAGCTTCACCTACGTGTTGTTCACATGCCATGTGGAAATATGACCTGTCATATTTGCGATTGTTTAAGTCTGTTTCTTTTTTCTTTCTCGCGATAGAAAGTTCTCATGTATGCAACCAACACCGGAAACTCTCAGCCCCCACAAAAAGAAGGCTTTTCCAGATGCCAATCTGGGATGCTTCCGCATCTGAGGCTAATGTAAGTATCGATCGTGAGGCCTTTGCCAAGAGCATCCATTCGCTAAGGCTGATTCGCATAGAGGTAAAAGATAAAATCTCTCGGCGATGCTGCGATGCTGACAGCAAGATTCTCATCGAGATGCAAGATGTTCCGAAAAGGTATAGCACTGCACTCCAGCCATATTCTGTGACTATCGTCGATTTATATGTTGTGTGACATCGTATCAAGTGTGGCGGCGCTGGTTACAAAAGCAGATGTTAGAAGGTAGGCAGGTTGATATTATTCGCCGTCTTTTTCCTCTTTCTTTCTAGCCATCTTACTTACTAGTCACTTCTATACGCCTAAGCGCACTAATTTGGATATGGGATATCATGAAGGCACCCCAGCTTCCGGGTAATTGGCTAGCGAGAGTGCCATGGTCCGCTTGTGGAGTTAGGACGTTATAGTATTTCTCGAAGGTGATTGGCACATGCTGTCTGTCGGTCATACCAAGTTGGTATTAGACCTCGCTTTGCCATAATTGTACTACGGGACACGACAAGGAGCCCCATGTAATAATCGACTAGATCAGACGACGTCTCCTGAATGGTGATAATAACGGTGGCAAGAACTAAATCTACTTCGGCTAAGAAACGCGATTGACAGGAAGACGCATGAATTCAAGCTAAAGGTGCATGTATTATACGCTATACACGACGTCAAGCTATCTAATGTGAGAGTGAAAAAAAGCAAATCATCTTGCCAACAATAGAATAGTGCATATTATTCTTGATGTTGATGGGACGAGTTACACATCGTGAAGTTCATATCCAGATACTCGAAACATACTATATATTAACCTCGAAGAGTGGAACATCGTGCTGACCGTGGAACAGGAAATATGGTGCAAGATTCGGCAGGTAAGTCTCCGGCAGGCCGGAGATTGCGCATTCTACAACTGAGCAAAACACCGACAATGAGCACGATGGCATCAGTGGCGGTCCCCGTGACCATCTTATAGGTATTGATCATCGTATGGCTTGGATCTAACCGATATAACGTGGAGACAAGGAACATACGTCCGGTATATACATTCGATTTAGGTAATAAGAAATATTTAGGTAGCTTCTTCCTACCTGTGCATTCGGACGTATTATCTACCTACCTACTTAATTATTGTAACCCGTAACTCCTATGTAAAATAGCTCACTTAATGCAAGCTTAGAAGTCCCCATAAGTCTTTACAGGATCTTGCTTAGTGGAGCCTACTATCAAGCCCAGATACGGTTCTTCAGCATGAATGACAACTTTATACATATGCGGAGTAACCTGACAGACAGACAGAAAGCAATCCGCAGCGGCGTCTTTGCCGGCACTCGGCTAGTTAATCGCATAGATCTCGCCTCTGCATCCGACTTTCGGATGAGATTCCATTGGAATATCGAGGAAGCTAGAGGACGCCTGCAGTAGATGCGACATCTCACGATATGCGTACCTAGATAGAAGGTTGAGGAAATGTGTTCGCTCAACAGCATGAAAAGGGGCGTGCGACCTGTCACTTGGGGTTCAGCCAATGAAAATTATACTAACTTTCTAGATTACCTATCAGACTTCAATATTGGCTGAAGACCTAGGACGCATGCAAGAAAAAACAATACTTACGGCAAAGTCTCCCGAAAAATTACATAGTTCTTGAAGCTGTTCCGAACACGACCAAGCGTATATATTCAAGTATTTATAAACATAACATATAATTGCTCTGGCTTTCACGAGTTATAGCGTATAGCGACATGTCATCATGTAAGAGGACCTGGCTAGGAAGACTACCAGTTTCCAAATATCCCCCAACTTCCAAGCTCGTAGTCGACTAAACTTGTTCACATCATGCCCCTGAACCACCTAAGTAGGAGGTGCCTAGCATGATCTTAGCCGCGGTTCATCGGGAGTTAGGTTGTATTTGAACTTACCATCGTCAGGCTTCCCTTCTATCCTCTACGTTGCATATCGGGCAAATGGTCGTAGAGTATATCTCAAAAGGTGTCGTGCCTGAGCAAGTATCTTTCTTGCATGGTTCGTCTTCCGTTCTTTTCACGTGGTTGTTGGGACACCCATAGTATTCTACAGTTCTTGTGCACATCGTGTAGTTGAATTCGAACGAAGTGTAATTGCTTCTCGGCCGTATCAGATATATGCGGTGAGGCGAGCTCAACTTGAGAAGGAGGAAATTGTTGAACAATGTTAACGCAGGCTCTGACAGCATCCTAGATGGATTTTTATAGATTTCTATATCGCCCAGACCTGGGTTCTTCGCTATTCGTCTTGTAGACGTACTTACGTACAACATGTCGCTCTTTGTAATATCTCATTTTGATCAGCTCGAGATGATGCCGTATTTGACTACATCGAGTACATTCCGAGCGTCCGTTGACCTCGCTAACGAGTTGGGCGCGCTAATATGAAGATGAACTAAGATGAAGGCTTGGTAGTATATGCAAAGTATTTCACGCGGAATATGAATAGTCCATGCAAGTGACAAACTCCGGTTGCCTTTGGATTAGAGAAATATGTTGGCTCATCAAAGTCAGAATCTTAGAAAATAGGGTCAATCTAAGAAAATTGTGAGAGAACTCATAGCCCCCCCAAGCCACCCCTTCCCCCCCTTTTCTTCCATAAAGTGTAGAATTATTAATTATATTCTGATTGTTGAATTTCTTACAATATTCCTATAAATATTCTATAGAAAATAGCGGCGACTTTTGCCTGTACTCCCAGGAGGCCTCATTTATTGGTGTTGATTCATCTTCAGATAATCTGTTTGATTCGTCCGAATGCTTGCCCATCTTTTTCACTAAAATCTCTCCTCTTAGTTGAAATATATGATAACGTCTACCTACAAGTTTCTAATATCAAATTCAGCTATGTGCCTGCAGTTGAAAGGTGCTTGACATTCGAATGTTATTAAACTGCAAATTAGACTCATGAAGCAAGCGGATAGGTAGCCATGATATTGAGGAACGACTTAATGGTAAAAGGCCTCTAGTGATGCATGCCCAAGGGTCCTATGCCTTGCATCAGCGTTCTTTCGCATGTGTAACTTATTTCTATTTTGCACCTACTTCTACATTTCTCAGGGTCTTTACTAGCGGCCATACCTGCTCAATCTCCCTTGTGTCCAGGCCACCGGAAAGCAATGAAAACTTAGAAGTTATATTTACCCATCATATGCAGCCTTACCATATGAATATCTCCTATTTTTAGCTGAAGACTTTTCGGCACGCGGCTAGACTACATGATATATTAAAAGAAGGCCAATGTAGCACGAGACACTAAAGTTCCTCGCCGTCCTGTTGATTTCACCGGGATCAGAAGCGACTTACGTCTGTGTATTACCCAAAGCTCTGGAATCCATCACATAGCATCGCCATTGAAGCTCGTAACGACATTTGTTAATTAGAACATACATCAATGACCAACGTTCCCACATTCTTTGGGTCTAAGCTGCCAATAGGTACAGCGTATTCGAACGGGGAAGTAATTGAAAGGTGGTGGTCAGCTGCTTAGACTTCTATTACTAATGTTTGCTTGCTTTGGCGTTGGGTTGTACTTGAAACGCCCGTGGAGGACCTAGGATAGAGGGCGGTGCGCAACTACGGGCGAAGCCCGATGAATAAAGAAATAAAGAAAAAAAAGGGTATACTCGGTCCCGATGATGGAGCTAGGACTTGAAGTTTGATTGTCCACGGAGCCGCGTGGTCGCGCTTGTGAGAGCAAATAGATTGTCATCCATAATATTCGGTTGTTCTTAGTCGTCTTTCAATTAGAAGCTCGTATGCCCGAATTCCGGATGGATTTGATGTCTTTAGATAATCTAGTGTCTTTGCGAGAAACAGGGGATGGTGTCGAAGTGACGATGATCGCGATCTAGGGAGAACAATAATTGTATATTCAGCTGCAACCACTTAAGACTACCAGAATAAGACTAGATCTACTGATAACGACTGACACCGCCGAAAGGGCCTCTTGTATTTGTTAGAGAATGGATTAGGAGAAAGACGAGTCCCAAGTTGTTACCTAGCAACAGGGTGCGACAAAATTCGAGATGGTGTCTGACTTCTGCCATTTACAGCTGCGAGGTGTGTGTGGTGTCCCAGCGCCACATAAGGTACGACGCAAGGAATTCCCCGGAAAAGCTATGATATGGAAATCAGAAATCCGATATGTCGCAGGTTCTAGAGGTGCCACGCACCCCGGCATCCCAGGATGCGGCAATACCCCTGGACGGTGTTAGGAAGAATTGCTGCTGTTAAGGCTTGCCAACCTGCCGAAGAAACGTCCAGTCACAGAACAGTACGGAGAGCTTTATAATGCCGAGATGGGCCGTGCTGTATTAGGTGTTGGTGGTCCGTTCTATTAATCAAATTCCGACGTGATGGTTTGTTGGCGTTGGTAATTCTTTCTCTTGTCCATTGTTGGCAATCATCAAGTGCTAGACGATCTTATTCACAACTCAGCAGCCGAGTTATCAGCCATAGCCGACCCGATTGCATGCCGATTCGGTAGAGTTGTAGTGGTTATCGATTTAAGTGTCATGTCGTCAGCATTGTCAATACATGAATGAGACATCTATCAGAGTGGTACGTGGCTTAAGCCAGATGTATGGCGGCCGTTATAGTATTCTTTGACAGCGTGGCCATGTACCTATATGTGTAGAGGGTTTGGAACGGTCTCAACTGACAGGTTAGAAAGTCCTCAAATCTAACTCAACATTAGAATCTAGCATCTTGGTACCGCCCAAAAAAACGTCGGGGAGTTTTATGACCAGGATCATATCCGGCAATCCATTTACTTTAAGCAGCAACTTGGCGTAGATCAGTGGGGTGCTGATCTCCGATATAAGCCTCGAACCGAACAAGTTGTGTATGTACATAGATCTACTGCATGGCAAAACGAATAGTTACGGATTTTTATCAATCCCATTGAGAATTTCGAATCTCTGGGCCAACGGGTGGACCTGATTAGAAAATCTAAGAATCATGACCTCGACGTTCGCTCAATAGAACGAATAATTCAGAACAATTATGTGCCCCTTGTACGGTTTAATGAATCGAATAGATGCGCCCTTTGCACAAATGGATCGATATGATATGTCCTGAGCTTCGACTCCCATCATCTCCTTGTGTGGCTTGCACGACTAGAGGAAAACCAAGATGCTAGCGCGCTTACGAGCATTCAATCTGTACCCAGTGGGTAGGTAGGTCAAGCATGTACCCCATGTCTTGAAGGGTAGAAGAATTTAGCCCGCAACGTTCATCACCCTCATTCTGTGCATTGGCAATTGCGTTCTTTGAGACACCTGGCTTTGGGGACAAACTTGGTCCTGCTATGGACTGGACTACGTTCGTCCCTGCGTGATGCCCCTTACTCAGTCTCTGGAGGCTCGTAGGGCGAGCTTCAAGCCCGACGCCACAACATGACTGTCTATAGTCCATTAGATATGCTCTGGTTCGTCGAGTTTTACCACCACAAGCTCGGAATCATGCTAAGATGGAGAAGAGCGCGATCGGCCGTCAGGAACCCAGAGTTCGGCAATTAGTTCAGTCAGGAACAGGGTACGCCAAGATCCCTTCATCGACCTAAACAGGACCAAACAGGACCAGACGTGACTACTGACCCTGATCTAAATCTCTAAACGGTGTGTTCCATCACATATATTATCATTACCTTAGCTTAAGTGGAACATGCGAACATTTGGAGTTGAGAACTGCTGATTAGTCGTATTTCTCGGGCACGGTGTGAAAGTAGTCCTCCGAAATTTAATATAATGCCGACATGTCGAAGACTATACGCCTGTCGCTAAACGTTGCTGCGCTTCTGACATCATCTTTAACGACTCGAGAGACGGTATTCCCATGAACCTGGCTCTTGTATTCACTCTGCTGATTAGCGAGTTCGACAGCAGTGTATCTGGGGAGCTTTCATTACAGTTTATTCAATGTCTTAACGTTTATTGCTCGATGGTCGTTGTCTCTTACTAGGTACCTAGAGAATAGACTGATGTCTTACACACTGTACATTGACGAGTCTTGGTGAATAGCACACTGCGGGGCGGTATGCTCCATGCCTAAGTCCCATTCCATATGGTGGACTGTCTATGCTTCTCTGCCCATAGTGAGTATGTTACCTAGGCAGCAAATACTCTAGGTAGGTTAACGCTCTTGTAACGCAGATCGTTGCTCAGTATGTGCCATCTTAAGTCATGTTCATGCGAGATGGATAGCTAGGTACTGTTCTGAATCTGAGGAGTGTCAGTTGACTGCTTAGGTGCCTCGGGTGCTTGCTACAATTACCATCATCACTGTTTGTTGTGTTTTCCAATGCGACTATTTTCTAATTTTACTTCATACAGGCCCCAGCTGAACATCAAGATCCAACTAGGACTGGCTGGACGGTCCATGCGTGTTGGTGCTGCTGTTGCAAGGATCCGATGCACAAGCTAGACCCGAGTCCCTGGGCCCTAATGTAGAACTCGACTTGTGTCGACCTAACTGAGGGGGGTTGCGACAAATTGCAAGCAATGGGTTTTAATGGAGCCCATCTTTAGGTTGAGGTGGTGGCTTGAAGACAACGACCTACGGTACGCCTATCCTTTCCCCATGTACTCGTGTGTTTCTAGACAGACGCCTCTTTGCTACTACGCGTTCTCATTCCTTTCCTAACCTGCCATCCATACCCTTGCGGGCAGATGTCTAAGCATATTGGCCGAGCTATCCTAACTTAGTAGTTGCTTTGCGGCCTAGTGTCTATCCGAAGGGATACCTTTCTCTCTAATTGGAACAACTCCTATCTTTGTCACTCCTATATCTATTTATCTATCCCCCCATTCCTCCTGTCCTCCCTGAAGCCTTTAATCCATCACATCCGCCAACGAGTCTAAGTGCCGGTTCAATATCTCGTCATCGAACACAACCCCTTTGGATTGTGACCCTTGCTCCCAAATCCCTTTGGATACCTTTGATAATGGACATGCACATGGATCTGAAAGTAGGCCTTGGAGAAGAGTTTTCCTTCGAAGGCCACGCGTTATCCTGCGCTTCGTCAAGCGGCAGCTTCTCTTCAGCATCGACTTCCGGTTCTATGCCAGAGCCCTTCACACCGACATCTGGTAGATCGACTCCTGGGCTACGTTCTATCTCGATGGAGCACGAACACGTCGCCTATCCCGCTCCGGGAGGGTTTGAGTTGACACCTCCGTCATCAGCATTCGGAGGCTATTTCCCTCCAGACGCCAAAGCGGATATCCACCGATACATGAACTGTCACAGTGCTTCACCAAGTCCGAGTCGAAAGTCTAGCATGCAGACACAGGTCATGGAATTCGATTATCCACCAGTCCTACCTAACGCATTCAACTCCATGCAGGCCCAAGATCACTCTCTCGATCACGCCAACCATCAGTCTTTAGGAGCTTATGCCTTCACGGACTACATCCCCTCACCGCAATATCCAGTATCTACGCCAGGTTACCACCACCTCAGCAACGCTACCTGCGACACATCGGCAATGTGGGAGTGGGGAGACAATAGTCCCGTATCGTTTTTTGGAAGAGGGAATCCTTCCGCATCACCTTCGCCCTCCCAGCCTTTATCTCGGGATCGACATGGCTTGACACCTCCATACCTCTCGAGCCACGGGAAAAGACGACTCAACGTGGATAAGGTACAGCAAAAGACTTCGGCCCTCCAGAGAGCGCAACAGCACCGACACGGAATCCGGATAGAAAGGATAGCCGCCGCCACTTTTAAATGTAACTACCCAAACTGCCAGCGGGGTCCGTTTAAGAGGCAAGAACATCTAAAGAGGCATAAGAACATGTAAGCACTAACTAATTCCGCTATTTACAAGCTAGTAGCATAAAGCTAACAAGAAAAAGTAAACATGCTGAGAATCCAGTGGCTATTATAACATCATGTCCATTCTGTGACAAGCCTTTCAACCGTAAGGACAACTACCGGCAACATCTCAAGCTCCACACTCTCAAACACCGCCCAACTCGTCGTACGGATTACTACCCTGAGGCTCAAGCACTACTGGACGAAGAAATCAACAAAACCAAGCAGAGGAGTCAGCTTAAGAAGAAGAGCGGAGGATTCAAAGACGAAGACTAACTATGAGAATTCGATACCCGCGACTACGCATTCAACTACTATATACGAAAACACTAGAATTCATACCAACCTAGTAACAATTTTTGGGGTGGGCTCTTGGGCCGGCTGGAGGACTTATTGAAAGGACAGGAAAAGGAGTACGGCGTCAATATACGGAGTCTGGGGCCGGATGTGCCCTTCCTTATTTTATTCCATTTTGTCGTTTTGTTTACTTTCGCATTATAGGCGTTATCGTGGGAAACCGGTTTTGGGAATCAATATCAATATCCTCATTTTGTGAGCGTATTCGCAAGAATACGACGCCACTGACACAGGTGGTTTTTGATTTTTATGGGCTGACTGGTCTATGGGGTATAACTCTGTACAGTATTAGTTATTAGCATTTTGGATAGGAAGTCGAAAAGTAGGATCGGTTATCGAATTTTGGTTCCTTGGACTGTACAATCTCTTTCTCATCATCACATCCTTGTCTACCTAGGTACCTACATATCCATAGTGGTGTTCGTGATTTCAATGAAACGAACTAATATAGAATCGACATTCTACATATTCGAAGAGGGCAACCATCACCCGCAAAAACTAATATTTGGCAGGCTGATGGGCAGATGTCTCACTTCTCGTGGTGTAGGCGCGCTTGTCAAATGTATACGGCCGAGACATTCAACATTGACAGTTAACATTGAGCCTCAAATATGCTCCAAGTTTCTAGTAAGTCCCCAGACAGTCTTGATGGTTGTCCTATTATGATTAGGTACATTATGAATCAATGATGGGAAGCTCTTATCAATTTTCAAAATATCGCGCTTCGTAGATAGATGTAGAGAACAATATTATGCGCTCTTCACTACTTTGACTCGTAATCTAAAACCTCAATAACAACGTGAGAATTACAATTATTTATTACAATTATCTTAGCTTAGTAAATTATTCTGATAACTAGTGTTTTTGATACCAGTATCTATGAGCTTTCACTCTTGAGATACTCCAGCGGAACACTAAAATCCGTCACCTAGGAAGTATATAATCTAGCGGTAAGGCATGTATTTTCCAATTATTGTTTTTGCTTACGGATAAAATTAGTACGTAGGTTATTCGCATGGATAAAGGGAAAAACCGTCAAATAACATCTTAATAGGAGGTGTTTATACGATTGGCTATAAAAGAACGTCTCGTTTACCGCCACCAACTGCATGACATGGAATATTCTAAGGATGATGGTTGTACCAGACTAAGGGTATCACGAAAAAGTAGCCAACGTAGACTTGTACCTTTCACCGCAGTTATCAGCGACTAATCGTGTTCCCACGACAAAGCGTTAAAAGGTTTCCCCCGTTTCACAGCAGTTGGAAATGCTCGCACAAGAGACCTATGTCAAACTGGATTAAGAAAGACTTGACGAAGAGGCGTCTTTACTGCGCGGAGCGTTCCGTAAAGATAGAAATATGGCGGGTGTTAGCGTGGTCCCAAGTAAAACAACGGAAATGAGCTCCTCCCCGACGAGGGTGGGCGGAGAATCTGGCCTACACTCCGATCATACGACGATCGATTCATCTTCTAGAACCACAGCCTCGCAGCGGGACGACGTGCGGCGAGGGTTCTTTGAGGGGGGGAAGCATATCATCCGTACCAAGTAGGTATGTAGTAAGACGTTTGAAAAATGGGGTATATCTGAGCTGAGTTGTTGGTAGGGCCGAGCTTTACTAGGGGACCACGTCGCTTTGCAGTATACTACCCAACCAAGTAAGAATCGTAAAAATAATCTCTCGTGCGTTTACGGCGCAGCCAACAATATGCGTGGGGAGCGGTGCTGTGCCTCGGACAAGCGACGCTTGAGGTAGTAGAGGATTACTGCGCGCTCAGCTTGGCGCTACGCCTGAGGACCCAGAGCTCTGGGTCGGCCCCCATTCAGATAGCCCATAGGGCTTTGGCGTGCTAGGGTTAGCCAACATCGCCAACATCACTTAGTGAAATATCATAGACTATGCTAAACACCTAAGTTAGTATCTCTAGACTAAAGAACTAACGAAAAGTCAGAGTCACCGCGTCATTGACTAGGTACCTACCTACCTACCTACATATATAGAAATAGGAACCTAGATTCAATGGTTCCCATCTCTAAGTATGAGCTGCTTTTTTGTTGAAACTCTAGTCTTTCGATCTACAGTCTACTATAATTATTAATGTCATATCCCGAAGGAGTGGGACCGCAACATCCGGGCAGCAAGTTAGTCTAGACGCAAACCCCGAGTAGGGTACTGGCTGTGAGGCCTCTAGCAGGGAAACATGACAACCAATGCACAATGGCGACGCTCCGCTGCCCAACGATACCCCCAAGCAAACTTTCCATGCGGATATTAGCTCGGCACCGAAGGCACGTCGTTATTTAAGAAACTTAGAGCTGCGGTGACGTTCTATTCATATCCGTACGTTGATTGATTCGTTAATATCACCGCTCGGATTGAATTCACTGCATTTCCGTGACTCTCAGGCAGCCTTAAATTAGTCTTTAACATCTAAGCTATCACCAGGATCACGCTAGAGACCGTACGACAATTGAATTTGATGGCATCACTGACTGTTAAGAAAAGCCAATTGCATATGTGATATGATTCTTAAATCCGAGACGTCATGTACTTCGACGTAAACACGCTTGAAGCTATACAACAAACTCCTGCCATACCTGAACCAGGGAACCTAGTATAATTGCTATGCAAACTGGCTGTGGGCCACCATGCCCGAATACGCAACATGGGTAAGGGCGGCAAGAAATACACAGGACCCATTGGCGCACTGGCACATCTCATGATCTCGTGATATAACCATTCAGGTCTCGGGGTCGGTTCATCGTCCACTACCGAATAACCCAAACCCATGGCTCTATTCCTGGCGGGTATGTACATATTAGGGGCGTCTTTAAAACGACGCCGGTAGGTGATGCCAAGGATACAGACAGCTGTGGGCTTCGCCACTCGATATCACGCGTCGTCCGAACACTGCTAAGATCCGCTGAGACCAAGGTACTTCGATCAAGTTGAAGAGAATGAGGGTGTGTAGATGAGACCCTGTCATTCCAAAAACTGCTTAACACAACGGCTTTTAAGTCCAGAGTCTCGATTATACATGACGATAGGTACCCTTAATGTGATACATGGCCGAAAAGCAGTATTTATAACAGGATAAAGGTCGAGAAGGAACCTAGGCCCTCTTCGTCCACGCCCCGTATTCAATATGCATAAGTCGTCATAAGAGAACTACCTAAGTTATGCTAAAGTTATTCAAACTAGGCCTATTATCTGAATGAGGTGGAGCTTATCTAATAATTATTCTCCTGGAACTAAATAGATGCCGTAAAACAATTCTTTCATTCGTAATAAGTCGAATCTCTCAGAATAGGAAGGTGATAGTGTATAGTTAGTTAGTCTGATCTTCCCCATATGCAAAAGTACTTACAATAGTCTACAGTTTGGGGCTTGGTGAAATCATCACATGCCGAAGTTGACGAACACCTGGACTGTGCTTTCGTTCATGGCACATTCCACTACTATCGGGGTCAGACACCGACGGGCCGAAACCTGAGGATAAGCATATGGGTAGCTTGTGCCGAGATAGAAGACAGGCTAACTTGATTATTGAGTAAATATGGTAGCTAAAACAATGACATAATTGACATCGAGTATATTCCTGTGGCGTGTTTCACTGAAACGCCTCCCCCAATGTGTCTCGGCTTTTAGCATTGAGGGCTGAGTCGCCAGGGCGGCCTCACAAGAATATGTATTACTATCTATCTGCTTTCAATAATTGGGTTTGCTCCTTATCTTGCTAAAGAGGTTAAAAGACAACTGTTTTCAAATTGGGAAATCTCTTAAACGTATCTGATATATCTTTTACAAGACTCATGAGCATGATTCTTGATTTGCCTAGTACAAAGATCACATTATGATACAGGCTGTAATACGACCACGGTTATTTTATGATAATCATTGTACCAGTGTTTGAATAAAATATTTCGATTCCTTGTGTCTTTGCTATAAGAGTTTGAAACGTAGTTGAAGTTAAGTCACCACAATCGCAGATGTTACGTTTCAAGCTGATAAGGGATATTCAGGGGAACGAGGGATGTGGTGTTTCGATGTTGCCTATGTGCCTGGTTCATGTTTGTATAACCATCACTATGACTAAACTCTACTTGCAGAAAATGATCAAGTGTTGATAGCTCAAAGAGAAGACAGTGTAGCCACGTTTAGGATGAGTACTTAGGTAGGGAGGTGGTGAACTCAAGTAGGAAGTAAGGTCCGCTTTAGGTATGAGGAGTTAAACATTGAGCATCTATTCATAAAGGGAGTTTATTCCTAAGACTTAATGTGATACTCCGGCTTTATAGGATATGTGACCGGCATACCATACAGGCAACGCAGGATGCAGACTTCATGGACAGGATATCTTTATGATGGAGTTCTCCTATGATAAATCATGTGATATAGTACCTATTCATCAGGAAGATAGGTAGCTTTAGGCTAAATCAACTTACAGCGATCGTACTATGATTACAACATAGCGCGTATCCAGCTACCTGTTTTCTCTTTGCTTCCAGCGCTTTAGTTCTTATAGACACTGGGAAGTTGAACGCCCCTATTTACATGAGGCAATAGACCTCAATAATTCGTAGTTCAAACAGTTGGGATATGAAGGCTGAGTGAAGGATATTTGGTACCTACCACCTGGGATAGCAGCCCCTGACGCACTGGCCATACCCCTATTCTGGTACCTGGATACATATCCTGAGCACGGAGGCATACAGAGGTACCCACTTAAGAGGGGCTTATCTTATCGGAGATGTTTTGCATCAACCCGATCGACTCTTTGAGACGAGGGGCAGAATTATGACTCTATTCTACTCAATAATTATCGCGAAACGTGATCCCTTTCGACAACCTTATTTATGCGAACACAAAAACACAAAGACGGACTAGACTCAAACCCAATCTGATACTTGTCATTTCGAACTAATTGTTACGCGATACACAAACCGCAATCATGGCGGACCTAGCAGAGAGCACTGCTAAACTGCAGCTCGACGAGGAGACGGGGGAGATGATCTCCAAGGCCGAGTTGAAGAAGAGACAGAAGAAACGCGAGAAGGCTAAGGCGAAAGAGGCTGCAAGAAGCGAGGCGAAAAGTGAAGACAAGGCTAAGCCGGCCTCGAAGCCAGCTAAAGCTAGTACAGAAGAACCGGCCATTGATCCTAACAATATGTTCAAGACCGGCTTTCTTGATGATGTCTTCAAGATTAGACCTATGAAGCCTGTCTTCACTCGTTTTCCACCCGAGCCCAATGGGTTTCTACATATTGGACACGCGAAGGCCATCGCAGTTAACTTCGGGTTTGCCAGGTACCACGGAGGTCAATGCTATCTTCGGTGAGGAGAATTGTAAAACCATATGCGCTGTCGTCGCGACTTACACGATACTATCTACAGATATGACGATACGAACCCTGAAGCTGAGGAGCAGGTGTACTTCGATGCCATCCTAGAGATGGTAGAATGGCTGGGCTTCAAGCCCTACAAGATTACCTACTCCTCCGACAACTTCCAAAAGCTTTACGATCTCGCCGAGAAGCTTATAGGACTCGAGAGAGCGTACGTCTGCCAATGCAGTGATACCGAAATTAAGCTTCAACGCGGCGGTGAGAAGGGTACTGCCGGCCCCCGTTACCGTTGTAAGCATGCGGAACAATCAGTGGACGAGAATCTGAATAAATTCAGAGATATGAGAGATGGAAAATATAAACCTCAGGAAGCTTTCCTGAGGATGAAGCAAGGTTAGTCTGTTACTTATCGGACTAGACATAGATTGTGTGTGCTTGTTGCATTGGGCTAATGTTCATATAGAGTGAGTTATCTGCCAAAGAAAAGGACGTGGAGGCGCTAGGTAGTAAAGCTAACAGAATTCAAGCATCACGGACGGAAACCCGCAGATGTGGGACCTTGCAGCTTACCGAGTTCTTGATGTGAGTGTATTCAGGAACTTCCTAATATCATGATCGTTAGAAGCTGACTCTTTGGTCATAGAAACCCCATTACCGCACTGGCGATACTTGGAAGATCTACCCAACTTATGATTTCACACACTGTCTCTGCGACTCGTTTGAGGGCATCGTAAGTATCAATAGATGTGCCGATCGCGAGTTGACTTAATCTAATATCGCGTTGGTTAGACACATTCCCTCTGCACTACGGAATTCGGTATGTCTCATTCTCCCACACTATACGTAACATCTACTAACTCTTACGCCTCAAGTCCAAAGCAGAGTTAGCTACGAATGGCTGAACAAGACCCTCGGAATGTACGAGCCGATGCAACGGTACGTTTTGTGTTGTAAGAAAAGCACATAGATTAAACCGCTAATACTTCTATAGAGAATATGGAAGACTTTCGATTACCGGCACATTACTTTCCAAGCGAAAGATCCTGAAGCTTGTTGAAGAGAAGATTGTACGGGGTTGGAATGACCCGCGCCTTTACACGTTGATCGGGATCAAGCGTCGAGGTGTCCCTCCCGGTGCTATCCTGGAGTTTGTCAATGAACTCGGTGTTACCACTGCCAACTCTGTCATCGAAATCAAACGCTTCGACCAGGCAATTCGCAAATACTTGGAACGTACAGTTCCTCGATTAATGCTCATCTTAGATCCCATCCCTGTGGTCATCGAAGATGCTGATGATCTTGATGGGAAGTCTATTACACTTCCGTTCAGCCCGAAGGAGCCTAAGATGGGCTCCCACGACGTGAAATTTACCAAGACTGTTTATATTGATCGGTCGGACTTCAGGGAGGAAGCGGATCCGTCATTCTTCCGTCTTGCTCCCGGAAAGGTGAGGCTATGCCAATTTTCTCTAACTTCTTGATCGGCTATTTCTAACTTCTGTCACTTAGACTGTTGGACTTCTTCAGGTCCCTTATCCCATTAAGGCAACCTCATTCACGAAGGACGATGCAACCGGCAAAGTTACCGAAATCCGAGCCGTATTCGACAAGGAGACGAAGAAGCCCAAGGCATACATCCAATGGGTCTCGACCGAAGCAGCGGGTACGCGAAAAGCAGAAGTCAGAATTTACAACTCACTATTCAAGTCCGATAACCCGAATGACGCCCCCGGAGGGTTCCTGAATGATATTAACCCGGAAAGTGAAGTGATCTACCAGGATGCCCTAATAGAATCTGGGTTCGATGAGGTTAAGAAGAGGGCTCCATGGCCAGAAGCAGCAGGTGAAAGCGAGCTCGGCAAGGGTGGACCCGAGAGCGTTCGTTTCCAGGCTATGCGCATTGCATATTTCGCACTGGATTCCGACTCTACAGACGATCGTATCGTCCTCAACAGGATTGTGGCGCTGAAAGAGGACGTGGGAAAGAACTGAGGCCTTTTTACGATCGCGTGCTCGTACGACTACTAGGATACCCAGGGAGGGAATCGCATTGGAGAAATGTGAAAACTGTACGTATTGACCATTAATGGAGATGGTGAATACTACTTTCCCATAAAATTCATTATCATTGCTCTGGTGTTTATCATCTACTTGTTAATAGGTACTCAAACAGGACAGGAGAGTTTTCGTACCCAACCAATTTTAAGAAGCTGAAGTCACCCCTACTTTTGTCTTTCATAAACCGAAATACCGTGCGCCTAAACACCACTTTGCCTGTCCCCGAAATTAGATGGCCGCAACAAACCACGACTGTAATTGTGATATCTAAATCAACACGGCGTCGCAGTACTACAATAATGGTTTCAGTGTCAATGTGTCGTACACGGGATCTAGTTCAACGACAGCGACTACCCAGATGCTCCTATACCGAACTACTACGTCGGATAAATGTGGTAGGGCGCTATGAGGTTAGAAAGTCTTCCTCCGTGAAGTCGTCTAGCGGTTCGGCATTCGCGACAGTAGGACTCCAATCTTCAGCCAAGACTTGGTAACATAGGTACAGAGGCGTCTTATATACCGAGCCACCCCGCCAGCGTTCCAATGACCTCCTTTGCCGGTTGACGTCCTTCTTGATATCTCGGAGATATTCCTGTTGGTCAAATGATAAACCGTCGACCGGCGCGGCTGGTTTCTGCCACGACAGCGCTAATGGGGCATGGCCATTACATGCAAAGCGAAAATAGACGAGCATGGTCTTACAGGCATGAAAGTACCCCTTGCTAAGCGAAGAAGCACCGGTGGAAGATGGCTATTGGCGTTAGTATAGAATAAACCTTGCGCCATGGAGGTAGACGAAGAGTGACGAAAAGCTTACCTTCAACCCGTGACGGCTAGTGTAGTCGATAACATCGGTAAAGACGAACTCGAAGTTATTCATCATGATGAACGTGGCGAGGTAGATATCGAACCAATTCTTCCGCTCCTTCTCGTGAATCTTTTGGTCCAACTCATTCAATATCTTCGTCTCGAGTGGCCCGAGGATGGACCTTATCGCTATATCGTCGATCTGCGTGTCCATTATTGGAGTGACGGGAATGATTCCGCTAAAGGGACATCGCGTCCCATTAGGGTCACTTGGATCCATAGGATCATACGGTGGATCAAAGCCGGGGAGGTTGCTACATATTCGCCATGGCTTCTCGATAAAGCGAGTCGCTACCCAATACATAAGGCAATTCAACACAAGGCTGCTCTGTAATGGTTGTTACTACAATAGAACACGATCGCAACAGGGAGAGGGGGGACACATACGCCGGAGACTTCCAAATACCGAAACGCCGCCTCGAACGTCTTTCTAATGATGGGGTTCGCGGCCCCGAGTAAGCAATTGACGTACTCCTCTTTCTTACATACTACGGCTTGCCACATATTACGTGCCGCTTCCTCGACGTTGCAGATGTAGAAAGGGGGCATCTCCATAACCCTCTCCTGAGAGGCCTTGTCCCGCCATTTCCAACTGATAGTATCGGTCGAGGATGGCGTGAACCTCCGGATGGTGACGGGAATCACGATTCCCTGGTCCTGAGTAATTAGAACTGTCAAAGGCTTAAACCTCTCACCGCCGTTTTGGACAAGGCATTTCTTGAAAAGACGGTCCTGAGCGGCAGTCCAATTCTCGAGGTTGTTGTTGAGGGTCGAGCCTAGAAGCAACGTTAACCGTCATGCCCGAAATACTTGGCGGGGGTTCCGTGATTCGCCCACCTCGCCGGTGTAGATGCAGACCGCGGAGTTTCACGCGTATGCAAGGTGTTTTTAGATACCCGTGAGTTACCTTAGAACATCTCTCGCACGGCATGAATGGGTCCCTCGTCATGTTACACTGTGTAATACTCAGTAAGTACAAGTGACCGGTGAGTAACTCGCGGGTATAGCTGCAAGTCGCCAAGTCGACCTACTCTCAACTTCTGTTGTTGGCACCTCCCGCAGGCGCCATATTCCCTAGTGATAGCGGTGGTAGATCGAGATCCGACATTCAAGTCGGAGCGGATCCTTTCACTAGCCCCAAAGGTCTGGAAAGACCCCTGGAATAGGCCATTCTTGTCACGCTTGAACTCAGACTTCGGATTCTATACGGAATATGCTGTTAGCCGGGATTACGGGGGGGGGAGAGACAACACTTGGCAGCTACGTAGAAAGCCACCAACCTTGTCATTAACGAGGGCGTTTACGCGACAAGCGCGGTGGCATGCGGGTTCGCGTTTTGTCTTCACTTTCGGACCCTTGTATGGCACGATGGTGAGCTCCCCCAGATCTCTGCTGCGGCCTGGCCCGTCAATGGCCCGGCTCTGATCTATCCCGGGCAGAGTTGCATGATCGCTCCTAGCATACAGCACTTGCGGACGCCAATTCATGTCTACCTGGCCGCGGCTTGCTTCTACCTTTTCGATCACGTGGGGGTATCCATTTCCCAAATAAGACATGGCTGACGTAGAGCCGATCACTGAGGGATTTAAGATGGGGGACGGGTTCGAATAGTCTTCCGTCTCGTCACTACCAGACGGCGATGAAGATGTCGACGCTGCAGAGAGCTCCCAAGGATCGAAAGAGGCCATTTTCCCCAACAATGTTGAAGATATTCCGGATGTGACAGCGGGATGGGTATGGGTATGTGTGGGGAATACTCATGATGAGGTGTTGTGACATGGGGAATGGGGAATGGGCTCACCGCACAGTTTTTTAATGGCAAATCTATGAATGCGCGCCCATGAGGCTGTGTGCATGTTCAGCATTCATAACGGTCTCGGAGCGTCCATGGGCCGCCATTGGCCGCCATTGGCCGCCATTGGCTGCCGTCGGCTAACGATCACTCATAACTAACGGGGTCATCGGTCTCTCGGTGGCCGTAAAGAGGCTGATGGACACTGTCCTTCGGGCTGTACGGCGCATCTGACTATCTTACATTATATACATGCATACGTCTGCTGCAGACATACATATGTATGATATCTCCTTCTAGTACCGATTTCCCTTTACAGTAATCGGAAACTGCGGGGAAATCCAGCTCAAGGCCACCGGTGAAGTAGAGTGGTATACACCTGGGATTCATACGGGGATGGGATTTTATTGGGATCAAGATTCGCTTAAATAATAAGACGTGGCAAGATTCGACATGACATATGGTGTCATGTCCAGCACAGACGTCTTTTTGTTGCCCAACGAGGCTGGCCTCCGCCCCTTTTTTTTAACCCTGCGTTTCCGCCTACGCGACAAGGTAATCCACCTTGAATTGTTCCGCAGACCATGGGGGATTTTCCGCCGGACACGCGATTGGCTCTGCGAACAGCGACCTCGGACGATCTGGAAGACATCGCGACCGTGGCCCAGGAAGGATTCCCAGACGACCCAGAATTCGACTACAGATTCCCGTACAGAGGACAATATCCGGAGGACAATCGCAAGTGGATATTGCAGGAGTATAGAGAGTACCTTGAACAACCTGATAAGTATGAAGTAATTATTGTCACGGCGAGTGATAATGACAATAAGGCCGTTGCATTGTCCGTCTGGGATATCTCTATCAGTAAAGCTCACCGAGGAAGTGGTAAGAAGAATTCAAGGGCACGAAAGCTAAGAAGACCGGCATCGTGGCAATGCAAATTTGGCTGACCGCGAATACCTAGATCTTGGTATCCCCGATGACCCAGAAGAGCAGTGCCGGCGGAAGGATGCGAATCCAATTCACTTCAGGAAGTTCAAGGAGCGTATGAACGAAGCTTTCGAGCTGTACTTTAGCGAGTATGGAACGGACCAGATCCACCTATGGCTGCTCGCCACCCGTCCGGCTTTTCGGCGCAGGGGAGCGGGAACGTGGCTGTGTCGATGGGGTCTGGAGCGAGCGTCGCGAAACTCCATATGCACTACGGTTCTAGCGAGCCCGATGGGGAGATGTCTTTATGAGGAGCTTAGCTTTGCCGAATGTGGCTCGTTCATTATACAGGTGGACGGCGAAGCAGAGAAGCTCCAGCTTTGGGCAATGACTCATCCGAAGACTGCCCCCCAGGTTGAGATGAAGTGGGAGCCTTCTAGTTTGTTTCTGCGCTTGCTCACTTCCATTCTCTTTCTCGGACAAAAATAGGTACAGTCGCTTCTTTCGGTCTTGTCGGCAGTAGCCCGCCTTGCGCAAGGTTAACATGTAGCAGTTTGGAAATCTTGGACCACATGCCTCTCCACAATCCGAAGTCCCTACATATGCAGGTCTCTAAGCCTAAACACTTGTTCGGGAAAAGTCTAATCTTCTAAATGTGACAGCCCCCCGAAGCACCCGTTGTTATATCATATCTCGGATGGTTGAATCTCGGTGCCACGTGTCTGTCTAGGTATATTCATACATTTCTGCATCTTTGGCATGTACAGACTCTTCCTCCTTCCGACGCCCATTTTTGGAATTAGACGCCTCATCGACGACGAAGTCAAATATTCTACCAAACGCGTAGAAGCGTTACACAAGGTAATTTATATATATGAAAGTTCAATTTTGTTGTCCAGTCATGCGTAGTTTCAATATTACCTATATAACCCCCTGTCTAAATTCTCATACGTGTGAATACGGATATAAATATTGAGTCCTAACTAGGCACCTTATGATTCCACATACACTAATTTGGTTTCCTTTAATTATCCCCCTTTTATTTTAAACATCTGAACCATCACTGACATGGTAGGCATGGATAGGTAATTTTTAACGAATCATAAATCGAGTCTCTCGTAGTCGTACGAGGTGGGCCTAGGTTTGTCTCAATAGTATCTATCCTCTAACCCATTGTTCGATTGGCATTGACACCAAGACACGATAGAGTGTCTGCGGCTCTCTAGATTATGACGGTAAATAATGCCCAGCCCATACATTCAATAAGATTGGAATCTGATGCGACCCTGCCGCCGGCACAACCAGATAAATCCCTCAGTGGTTCATCTGCGATATCGCTGTTGATCCCATGCCTCCACCCACTATTGCTGACATGTTATCAACAGACCCCCTTTCCTAATAAGGGAACGTACATGTACAGCCCTAGAGCCTTGTCCGGAAATCCAATTAAGATCTCTATCACATTTTCTCGGTAGTCAACGATTGGCCGATGTCTATTTAGACGTAGGCATTATTGAAGATGCAACGCAAAAGACCCGGTATTTAGGTCCGGTAGTTGGACATCAAAACCACGACGATCCCGTGATCAGGACGAAGTCGCTGCGATATTAAGGTTCTTCTTTTCCCAGTTTGAGAAGTCGGTGAGAATAAATTTTCGGTTATGCCTAATCTTAAGTAGCTAAGCTAGGAAGTCGGGACGGTTTAGGGAGTCGGAAACTACTTACAGTCCAAGAAAGCAGGTTGGTACGGGACCACGATGGCCTCAGTAATAGGCTATGCTCGTAAACGATGGGTACGATGTATATACTTCGTATGCTTTGGCATCCTAGCTATGGGGGTAGAGATTGGCAATGATATGAAAAATTTCAGCCTCAATCAGTACAAAGAAAACGTCATGCCTGTATCATTCAAGCATATCATTCCGAGCATTCCAGCAGAGAGTAAATTCTGGTACCTACTCAGCAAATATTAGACCAACTCGACTAAAGTGCTAGCATGTGGGTTACAATATCCCACATGCAATGATTACCAGCATACTGACTAATTCTATAGTGTTCGTCGATTATCAGGCCATATATCAATAGATACACACATTTCAAATGGCGTCAAACCCCCAGCCCGCCAATGGTGGAGCTGGAACTAAGACCCGTCAACGGCGAAAGACACAGTCGACAACGACAACAAATGTGTCTCAGTCAACTGCCTCCAGCTACTCCCTCGACAGATACCTTGACAAAGCTAATGATAAGTCCCCTTTGACAAGGTACTTATCCGACTTTGAGGATATTCCAATAACCGAACGGCTCAGTCAAAATGACCCGCAAGCCGGAACATTCCACACCACAGATGGATACCCCAGGGGTGGGCAATAACATACTAGGGTTGGAGGAGAAACTTGTTAGATACCTGGTGAAGTACCTTGACTTTCTTTGTTCAGTGATGTAACACCAGCTTTTCTTACTGTATGGGAGGGGAAAGGGGTGAGGGGGTTTCAATGGCTTCTTAAAGGAGATCGGAATCATGGGTAGACCAGGGTTGCCTCGTCAAATCGACATTTATTAGACGAAGAGCTAGAGCTATCATGGCCCTTTCTTGATAACGACTGACTGCTACCTGACTTCGACGTGTTCTCGTGTACTGATACAAATTGCCATTCTGGAATGTTACAAGACTCCCAGCCAGTCTTCTCTCCATCTCAACAAGTGAAGATACACAGTATCAAGTTAGTTAAATGAAAGCAAACAAAACCAAAGCTATACATATAGAAGGGTCGTCAAACTGTAATCGTGTCCAACGAATCGAAGCTGAGAGGAGACCTTGGAGCGAGAAGAAGGGTTAGTTATATCTCGAAGGAATTATCCGTTTGACTCCCAGTCGTTTTCCTGTCCGGCTTCGTACTTGATGCACCATTCCTCATCCCTCCCTCCGTCGGGAGTGTTAGGACCATAGATCTTATCCCACTGCTTCTGCGCGCTCTCCGGAATCTTCCAATTCTGTGCCGGATCGCGAAGGTAGAACTTGAGCAGATGTCGCTGGAGCCCCTGTCCGCTTTCCGTAAAAGAAGACCGTGCGTGCATTATCGCCATGTCGTTGATGAAGGCGATATCACCCTTTTTCCAGGGCAAGGGGACTGCGTTCTTCGCCATGACAAACTGCACAGCGTCCATGGCCGCAATCTGAGCTTCACTTACTGGTGCCAAGCTCGAATTACGTTGTTTCCCTTTGAAGCCGGCCATGGGGAAACGTGAATACGTGAACATGACATCTCCTGTGTCGGACACATGGAGCATGGGCCGCGTGACAGGGGGGAACTGGCTATAATCCTTGAATCTTTTCATGACTTTAGAATTTCGTCATTAATAGGGTGGAAACTTTGATATTGCACTTACGTGTCAAGGACCCAATAATCGGAAAGGGTTTGCAAGACCTCTGGCCTTGATTGGGCTAGTTCGTTGAACAACTGATAAGAGCTCGAGACAAACGTCTGGCCTCCCGTGGTGGCAACATCTAGAGCATACAGAGCCAAGATCTCGCAGTTATCGGTGTGGAAAGCCTTCAATGCATTAGGTCAGTCTGTCAACATTTCTATTGGCAAGGAGACTCACTAGGGGCCCATTCGTAAATCCAGGGGACTTTTGGGCTGCCTCTGTAGGGGAGGCCTTACTAGCCGCGTTTACGACATGACCTGATTCCGAATTGGTCAAAACAAAAAGCTACGAAAACGGAAGTAACATACTTACATAGAACTTTGCGACGGCTCTTATCCAAGAGTCCATGTTGGGGAGCCACGTGTGCTGCGATGCCAGCATACAGAATCACATTCCACTCTGGACTGTATTTATCGGGTTCGAGGCCTTGAACGACGGTAAATCCACGGCCATAGTAGCATTGGTTAGATACCTTCCGAAGGCGTTCTTTGAGCTCTTGAGGAAGGACGAAATTCTCGGTGGATATGTCGGACAGCGGAATAGCTTGGTCTGTTGACCCTAGTAAGCAACCGAATATTCAGATTTATTATACCTATCCTGTTCAAGACTTAAAGGAAACTTGACGAGGCTGACACTACGAACCTTCGAATGCTTTTGCTGCTTTTTCCAGAGAAGTGATATCGGCTTCTGAAAGCTTCAATATGCACTGGTGCATGTCCTTCTCGATGTCTTGACGGGTCCAAGCCAGGGGCGAGTCCAAAGAACGTGGCAGCCTCACATTCTCCTTCGAACCGAGGCGTTCACTTGTCAATGAAGCACCGGATTCGAATGCTTTGATACGAGCTGCGAGCTGATCCTCAGGAGGATAATACGACAGCGGAGTAGCTGCCATGATAACGATTCAGGGGTAAGATCAACTTAAAAATATACCATTCGTCTATGTCGCACCAATATATTGCCTAATTTTAACTCTGAGCGAGTCTGAAGAAATTTAGGTCTACCCTCAGCCATTTTATGTTCGAATCCCTCCTGAAGAACCCACGATAGCATTGGTGAGGCTCTGCATCTTTTCCAACGCTGCCCACACCCTCATATTGAAGCGCAACTGTGCGGGCGCCAATGATACACAGGATTCCTATCCAGTGATGCCTCATGGACTCCAAGACGACACATCTATGGTCGAATTCGCCGGGTAATGTCGGGACAGAGCTATATCTCTAGAGGTGATTCATCAAATAGCTCCCGACGAATGGCTTCCAACAGCCCCTTGGGATCCCTAGGCGCGTTGATACGTAAGCGGGCTTGTCAGCCATAGGCGTATTTAGCCAGTTGACGTGAAATCCTTCCGCCTCTGACGCAAAAAACCTCCAACACCTCCCTGGCGGACGGCTGCTCTCATAGACACACCGGAATAATTCAAGGGACGAGGGCCAAAAAAACAATTCATCTGAGGCTTAGCGTCAGTTCAAGGCTCCTGGTAGGGTGATATCGGTTTTTATTTTGGTATGTTAGCATGTGCAGAAACTCCACTCGCGGGCAGTAGTTCGCTATCATGTTAGAAGTAGTTATGTAATCCTATTGGCATGTTGTCACACTCTGAATGAGTTGAAGTGCTTTTTACCTGCTAATCCTTAACAAACACGGTAGGTTACACCACACGCGTCTGGGTAATAGGGGGCAGGCCACATTACAAGGAGGCAGGCAAAGCGTATGTCGTGCCACTTAGGCTGCCTAATACGATGGAATTCGAGCTTGCGAAGCTCGACCAATCCCACGTCAGTCATACCCTCCAGTTTCGACCCGTGCCGACCCGTGATCCGCCCCCACACCACCCTGAGGCTCTTAGAGTAAGAATCACAGTTCTAGGGTTCCCAGCTTTCGAACTTTCATGGTTCTGAGGTTGCGTGGGATTCATTCACCCGAACGCGAAAACCCCCAACATCTCATTTCGGCTATCCGAATTTACTCTTCCTGATTCCTAAGATTCCTGTGACATCGTGAGAATTCCTTTTTTTCATCAAACTATCGATCTATCGATTTTAGTATTGACCTACGTGGCAGGAATATCATATTTCACCGCGTGCCATTTACCATTTCACATGAGAAAGGCGGTATTTTGCTTTCTTGTTCGTTTACGATGGCGTCCTCTTCTGCCGCTGCCGTTGCCGAACTCGACGATGATGACCACCATCACGACGAAGATTTAGAACATCGATTTTCTGGCGACCGTTTATTGGCAGACGAGGAGCCCCTGGTCCTCGATTCTGTAATTTCTACGGACTCGACGAAGTCACTTGTGCGTCATAAGTGGTTGCTGTATCTAGCGGCGGCAAGCTCGCTACTATGGTACGTACAAAAATCTAACTGCCGAAGAATATTTTTCATGATCTTCAGCTAAAAATCGTCTAGCATGTTCACTATCAACTTTGATCTGCTATTCCTCTCGACCAACTACAGCAAGAGAATTGGTAGGTTGCTCGCGGAATTTTAGGGATGTGATCCCGTATGGCCAAGAATATTGCTCACTTGACCATTTTCTCTCTTAGCTTCCGACCTCCATCAATTAAGTAACGCGGTTTGGATTATTCTGGTTGGATCCATTACTGAGACCGCTTCTCAACCCGTCGTAAGCCGTTTTCTGACCACTTCGAACGGCAGTTTTCTGGTCTTCTGACACTTTGATTTTCCAAGTACGCATATCTCAGTAATAACCAGGGGCGTAAGAGAGCGTTCCTGCTCGCTGCAGGTCTCACAACTATCGGTTTCTTGCTATGGTTCGGAGCCCTTCGCAAATATGTTTTTCTAGTGTAGTTATTGACCCCGTATCATAGTTCTCTAAGTACGCGACTTTTACATTTGGTATTAGCTCGCCTCGTTGTCGGTTCTGGCTGTGCCGGAGTATCCCTCGTAGTAACTATCATAATAAATGGTATAATTTTCTTGGTGCGAGATCATGTTGTGACTTAGCTAATTCGCTTAGACAATGTTCCGTTGAAAGACTTCGCCCTTTGGCGTAGTCTACTCATTTTCATTCAGATGGCCGGAGACGTCTCCGGGGGCCCCTTAGGATCTGCTATTGCTGATGCATCTAGTTGGCAAGCGTAGGCATTGACATATAACCCTTAATAAAAGACGACAATTACGTTAACGAATTCTCTTAAGGGTATACGGGATAGAGACGATAGTAATGCTTTCCGGGCTCGTCGGAGCGTCTTTCTCTCTTGCGACTTCTCCAAACCAGAACGGAGACTCTCCAAAACCACGACTTGACCTCTTACAGATACTTCTTCTGTTCGTTACAATTGCGTTACCCCTATTCGCTCTCAATCTTGGTGGAGATGTACTTCCCTGGAGTCATCCTGCCGTGATAGTGCTGTTTGCCTGCACCCCCTTGGCGTTCGGTGGATTAATTCTAGTCACCACGAACCGTTCGGCGAACACCTCTACGATCAAAAGGCTGCTAGATCATCATGCTGTTCTGGCTCTTTTTGCTACTACCTTCTTCGTTGTGTATGCATTCAACGCGGTAAGACCTTCAATTTCCGTGAACTCTCTAGAAGTTTAACCACTGACATGTATTAGTTTACTTATAACATGGCTGTATACATCGAGGCTCGATCATTCAACAACCCGTCCGGATTTGGAGACTGGGCGCTTTCGTGCATATTTCTTTCACGGCCCTTCGGAACATTCCTAGCTGGCTTAATAATTAAACAATATCGAAGCCCCTGGATCTTGCTACGATGCAATATGATAATATGGTTTATTTTATACATAATGGCGATGACGGGGAAGATGCGTAAGGCACCAATGTTACTGCATAAAATCGACAAGTTGCTGAGAATCGTTCATAGCTCTCGAAAAGCCTGCAACGGCCCCGTATCTGTTACTCGTCGGTCTAAGTCTCGGAGTGTTCGAAAGCTCTCTTATCGTGTCACTATTTGCAACTGTACAGAAGAAAGGTACCTCTACGATGGATTCGCCCATGGTAGGAGATGAGATGTTGCTGCTCGTGCTGACAATTAAATAGAACAACCGTCGTTCCTCGCCATGTTCAACGTGGTCGTTGCGTTTGCTGGAGATGTTGGCGTAGGAGTTTCCTTAGCCTTAACACAAAACTTCCTTAAACGAGGCCTATATCGCGAGTTAGCCGACATGCCAAACTCGGAAGAGGTAATCGAAAATACTGTGTCTTCATCCCTTGTTAAATCCCTAACGTTACGATAGGTCATAGCCAAAGCGTTGGAAAGCCTAGATTCGATCCGCAACATACCCGTTGACGAGCAAGCTAAGATTATAGACGTATACAAAAATTCGATAGAGAAAGTCTGGGGTTCGTAAATTCTATTACTATGATTAAAAGTTTGTGTGCTGACAATTGAAGCGATATCCTGTGTAACACTTCTCATCGGCATTGGAGCGACGATGTCACAACGAGTAGTTTATCGAGAGGAGAACGAATCAGAGACTAACGAGCATGTCCATACGGGGTAACCTGAGATTATGGGCCAATTACCGCGAACTTTTTAGGTCATAAGGTCAAATCTTACATACCCCTTTACTGATAGAATAGATGTCGCACACAGCGAATAGGTTCATTCCTAATAATCATTACAAGCACAAAGGCCTTGGCAATAAGCACAATATTCCGTGAATAAAAATGTACCTAAATAAGTACCAGTAGAGGAAAATGTGTTGGTGTTGTGGCGGTGCAAGGTGAAGAATAAAAATGACCCCTAATCGGGAAACACTAGGAGACAATGACATATGAGGTGATGCGCCACCTCCATTCAATCTTGCCTTCTTCAACTTTTTTTCTTCTACGTAGGTATTCAATACCTAGACTCAGAGCGAACGTATCCCGAAATGATTCATTAAATTCGGGAGATGAGCCTGTTATGGAGATACTACCGTCATATGAGGATGCGATAAGTAATCCGGACTGGCTGGATCTAGTGGCCGATTACATCCCTGTGATTTATTGGTCCCGGTGCTGTCTGGTCGATCACCGGTTTTATCGCCGGTTTGCGCCCCGTCTTTGGCAAGATCCGTTGGTGACTATCAGACGCCTTGGACTGCATCCGAATGATGGTGAGCTTTGAAATCTCCGAAATGAGATATTCTTTATCCGGATTTATGCATCACCCCATTCCCTACTACAGCTCGATATTATACTAAGACGAATATCTAGACTTAGCATGGTATCGTCGTTTTATAAATAAACACATCAAGGCCGCTAGACTTCAGACTCGGTCTTATGTTCGCTCTTTGGACTTTCGGAATTTCGCATCGCGGGCATCTGGACTCTATTCCTCAGAAGCAAGCGAACGAGCCATCTCAGAAAGTTTCAAGCAGCTACCTCAAATATTCCCGGGGCTCATATGCCTACTCGTGGACGGACATCCAGAACTGAATCCGGAATCCTTGGCTACCACTACCGGCACGTCTGAGTCTTTACAGCTACTTGATCTAGCTCGCTGTCGCCATGAACTCACGCCAAGGCTCTTTAAATCCGGCTTATTCAGGGGCCTGGTGTATTTGGATATCTCCTATATACCTGGGTCCGTGAAAACTGCACTTCAGTCGTCTCTCAACCCCAAATTATTACCCGAACTCCGCGTATTGAGGGTGGCTGGCCGGGAGATGGACAATGCGACCGCCACCCTACTATTCCAAACCTTTCGGCGCCAGTTATGGAGCCTCGACCTGAGCTACAATAAGCTAGGAGACGAAATCCTTGACGAGATTGTCGAACGCTGCGTCTCTCTTTTCGACTTCCACACAGACGCGCATTTCGGAAAAGAAGGAAAGTTGATCAAACCGAAGAACATCGGGAGCCGAAAGTATGGGCCTTTCCAGTTCGTCGTGGAATCGGAGTACAGTTGCGGCCCGCACAACTTGGAGAGATATCTTGCCGATTCTCCGTTTTACTCTCAGCGAGCTGACGAGACAGAGCTGCAGGAATGGCAAGCTGTTCGCCCCGATGGCCTTTCTCCGCCTAGGCGCGACGACGCGAATACGGCAAAGGAGTCGTTGCTTGACGAGGCAATGTCGAGCACAGCCAAGAGGTATAGTTTCAGGGGGCAACCTGGCCTGCGAGAAGGCGGTTTGACACACTTGTACTTGAATGGGAATAAGTTCACGGTGTCAGGCATTGAAAGGCTTCTGAGAACGTCCCGTGGGCGACTCGAGCACTTCGAATGCGATTCGTGCCTATGCACTCCAGCCAATTCCAAAGACGTGAAGATTCTAGGCTTTCCGGGTTCCGCGCCCCTATTTCGGCCACTCATCTCGTCAGCAATCCGGTCTTTACGAGTCCATCATTCCCTCGTAACTCAAGTCCCGTCCGTCTCTATAGAACAGTATTCATCCGCATCCACGGCGCGACTTGCGGAAGAACATATGTTTCGGAACATCCAACGTTCTTATCCCTTAGCTTTTACACCTGACACCAACCCGCGCATCACTTCATTAACGCTCACGAGAATCCCCGCCCGATCAACGGGCCCGGTAATCGATCGACTCATCCAGTTTTTACAACTTGCATCAGCGCAACAGAAAGCTATCAAGAACGCCCAAGCGTTATTCCGCGGACGTGGCTCTTCGGTTTTAAGGGGCCTTCGACATATACGCCTCGAGCTGGAGCCAGAATTTTCCGAAAGAGTAGACGTCATCTCGACGAGCGGTGATATTGACTTTGACAAACTCCTCGACCCAGCCGACGACGACTTCAGCCAAGATACGACAAGCTTTTTCGACAACGAAGATGTATCATTCGGAATCACATCTAGAAGTAGTAAAACTGGCGCGAAGCCACACGAACCAACCCCTGACACCAAGGAATATGCGAAATGGACTTCAGGTCGATTAAAGTCATATCCCTATTCAGAAATCGACTCCGAATACATGACCCAGTTCGTCGACGCGACTCAATCGTGGTCCGGCAACGTTTATTCGGCCCCGGTATGGATCGGACCAGGAGTCATCACACCACACGCCGCGGTTAACGAATACATGTGGAATCTGCAAGACCCAAACCTCCGCAATGACATTGGGCCCGTGACTCCCAACCACGTCGCTGCCGGGGTACCGCCACTAACTTACATATTCCACGCAGCGTGGGAGGCTATGATCATGCCTAGGAACAACACCATTCGAGAGGCAGCGAAGAGCTCCACTCGATTTAAGGATGTGGCTACGGCTATAAAGGAGTATCGTGTTCGGACTAGAGGCACGGACGATCATTGGGATGGCAAGCTAGAACTGGTGCGGGCGGGATAGTATGTAGGGACGTTCGTGCACAAGAACTGCTCTCAAGGCTATTTTTCTTCTGACATCCTACAGCCCTTAGGTGTACATCCATGTGTAGGCACGTAGGAAATACGAATACAACTTCTTGCCATACGCTCCAACATTTCAATATTTTAATCCCCCAACACCAGCCCCCTAAGCCATCTTCCCCAACACATAAGGATGCCCCGCACTCAACCCCCCATCCACAGCCCACGCCTGCCCATTAACATAGCTCGCCTCATCGCTGCCCAGGAAAAGCGCCACGCGCGCGACCTCGTCCGCGACCGCGCCCCTCTTCAGCGGGTTCAGCTGCCCGATCTTCTTGCTCGTGCCGCGGGCCCGCGCCGCCTCGAACGTGGGCGCCGTCATCCCCGTCTCAATGAGGCCCGGGCAGATCGCGTTGGCGCGGATGTTGGTCCCGGACAGCTGGTACGCGATCGTCTGCGCGAGCGACACGACGGCCGCTTTGGAGGCTGAGTATGGTGTTGAGCCGGCGTTGGAGCGTAGCCCGGCTACGGATGCGGTGGCGATTATGCTGCCCGAGGGCGCGGGCTTGGAGGGCGAGGTTCGGCGCATGGCTGGCGCGGCGTGTTTGGCTGCTAGGAAGACGCTGTTTTGTTTAAGTGGCATGTTAGCGTACGTGAATTATAAGGCTTCTGTTGTATAATACGCGGAAGGGGTGAATAGGTAGGTAAGGTAGGTAAGGTAGAAGACGGACCTAGTAACATTCGTATCCATAACCTTCGTAAAATCCTCCCTCTCCACATCCGTGAACAGCGCATGCGTCCCAATAATCCCCGCGTTCGCGAAGAACACGTCAAGCCTACCATACGTATCAATCGCGTGGTCCACGACGTCCTTCACGGCCTTCTCGTCCGCGGCGTCGAACCGGCGCGCGTGCACGTCTACCCCCGGGTACCGCGCCTCCATCTCCCGCTTGTGCGCGGCCAGGTGCGCGCCGTCGAAGTCGCAGAGGTACACCGCCCGCGCGCCATTCTCCGCGAACTGGTGCGCGCTCGCCCGCCCGATGCCCAGCGGCGAGTTGGCCCCCGTCACGATGACGACTTTGCCTTCGACGCGCGGGCCCGCCGACTTGCCAGCGATCTTCTGTATCGGGGGGAGTTCTGAGGAAGACGAGGAAGACGAGGAGGAGGAGGAGGAGGAAGTCGGCGGGGAAATCTGGTTTCCCAGAGCTTGAACTCTTCGGGTTGCGTCGGACATGGTTGGTTGGTTGGTGGTGGTCGGTAGCTATTCCGAGCTATCCCGTACTGATGATCTAGCTAGCAGCGAAAGGAGTGGACATTGATAAGTGCGACAATATTTGCATATCCTTCATCCCCTACCCTGGTGAAGTTGACGTTGTATCAACTTCGTAGCTAGCCATGCTCCGAGGTCTTTGAGCTGGTGGTTTGGAGAGCATTATCTCCGCATTGTTGGTCCTCCCTTGCTATTGAGGAGCCGAGGTATTAGATCGACGGATCGTATTACCTAAAATAGCATGCGGATGCACAAGGGTTACAAGGGTTGAATCGGGTATGCAGTGACATGTAAAGTCGTCCAATCAATCAACCGTTATTATGCAACTACCGCGGCCTGATATTCGTCTGACATCCTTATTAAACACCTCTGACGACTTACGACTCTGCATCGTAATCATACGTTTGTCATTACTCTACATAAGCCCGACAGTTATAAAGAGGAGTGGTGTTGGTGTTTCAAGACGGAAAAACTTGAACAGTATGAACTAGTCTATTATACAACCTCCATATCAGGAAGTATCGTCTTGTTCTTCTAGATGCATCCCATCTATGCTCTATGCATCTATGACATACCGGATCTGAAGCTCGAGGCATCCCCAAAACCTCATTGCAAATGACACCCTTAAGAGAAGCCTACAAGACCAGTCCGGTACCATCTAGTCTAATGCAAAAAATGGAAAAGGAAAAGCAGCTTTTACCGGGAATCAACGCCAAGCTGCCAGACGTGAAGAATGACGACGCCGCCTCCAAAATGCACAAATCATTATATGGTGAATGGTCCATGCATTAAGGTGGTATCGTCCATTTATTCATTATATCCATCGTCTATTCGAGGTCGAAATCCGCTTATTTCGAAATCTCTACACCGCCGGTGGCACCAAGGGCCTTCTTGATGTCTATAAACGAATTAGTACCATTCTCGGTTTTAATCGTTGTGAGTGTAAGGGCGATACATACCACCGTAGATGGCGAACTGACCAGCGGTCAAAGTACCAACCATGAAGAGACGGGCACCGATACCGCTGTAAGATCCACGGAAACCGAGTTCCTTGGCGATCTTGATAAGACGGCTGGTGGTGCTCTCACCAGGGAGACCCTTGGTCTTGTTGATCTTGGAGAGCATGGTGTCGGCGGGCTGAGAAACGAGGGCAGCGGCAAAACCGGCAATTAAACCAGATCCCAAGTTGACACCAGTTTGCAAACCGTCAGACATGTCCTTTTTGGGAAATTTTCGGTAAACAGCCTCAGCAACCTTCTCGTAAACAACGAATTTGGCCATGGTGTAAGGAACCCTGTACAGAGTTAATATCATCTGGGATGCCCTCAAATGAAGCCTGTGCGAGTTATGCTTACTGCTTGAATAGGATAGGGCCGAAACCGGCGTAGAAGGCACCAGCACCCTCCTGCTTTAGCATCTTGCTGAAACCGCTAACAAGACCGCTGGCATATGTCGGCTCGGAGACGAGACGGATACGGGTGGCCTCGAGGGGGCAGAGGGCAATATCGGCGAAGAACTCGGCGAAGGCGGAAGAGACGAGGTAGACACCTGTTCGATATTGCGAGGCGTTCTCAAGACCGACTAAGTTGATGGCTTGTTGCTTGAAGAACTCATATCCACCGAACTTGAAAGCGCCCTGGAGGAAGTAACCGGCGAAGGTAGGGCCGGCACCAGTCAGAAGAGCACCGGCACCCTCATTGGCGATAACCTGGCGGAAACCACCGATGAGACCTTTGTTGTAGGTAACGGGGTCGAGTTGGATCCTGGTCTTGACGCTACACGCAGTTCACATTAGTCAGGGTACACTACGGATGGCGTTGGCGCATATATAATAAACTCCAAAATATACGAATTCGACCTGGAAAGTCCCATCGATTTGGTGCGAGCACTTGTTGGCGCATAAATTCGCCGAAAATAAGGATATGAGCACCTACACATCGACGGGAGTAAGGCCACCGTGGGTCACGGAACAGCAGACGGCACCGGCAAGGGCAAATCTGGAGTAGAGGGCAAGACCGCTAAGAGGGGCGGTCTTCTCGGCGGGCGCTGCAGCCATCTTGAATACTGGATGTGGAATAAGGATATTGGAAAAAAAGGAATTAGGATGAGTGGAGATTTACAAAAGTGACGACAAAGGAGTTAAGTCAGTCACAAGAGAGGCCCAATTGAGGATATTTTGGTGGGGGAATGGCGAAGCTTTGAGGCTTTTTAGGAAGTATTGTGTAGGAATAGGAAGAAGCTGTTCATGTTTCGGCGCCAACTAAAAAAATTAACAATTATCAATTTCGTCGGAAGATGGCGGGAAAAGTGGATCCGGCAAGAGAAAAAAGGGCAAAGATGGAATTTTTCGGGTGCTGATTCGCCGATTAGTCTGCCTAAGCCACATCTCATAGTCAATTCATATCCACCAAGCCTCACCGCTTGGCGAATTCGACCACTGAGAACAAGGTAAAGAACCACATGTTAGCTCCCATTTAACCGCAATGTGGCTGAAAAGTTCTTATCGTCTACACCCTCATCCCGAAATCTTCAAGATTATTAATAGATCTATGTGAACCCCTTCTCTGTTCCCATCCATTTCGGACATCCTCTTGAACTCTTACGAGACCTATCGAAGGCAAATTCTACCGGAATATCGTCATGTATACAGGACCGTCAATGACTCGAGTTCGAATAGCTGGGCCTCACTCGAGCTTATCGCCGTCAAAGTCCGGCATGTCACAATCGCATGTCACAATCACAAGTCAAAGTCACAGGTCCAGATTCATTAAGAGTTTAAAGAAAATATAAACCATGAATCGGTTCAATATAAGACTATTGGCTTTGACGAGTAATATTTATCAATGAGGCACGGTTTAGTCGCAAACTCTCAGCATCCAAACGGAGCTTAAGCATTCCAAAGCGGCTGATTATATCAAAGCTTCAGAAAGGTAGTCTCAGTTTACAAGTTCTGAACCCATCGTCAAGCCTTTGAATACGTATCGGATGGGCTTCCCCACAGCTCAATATCCAAGCGACTACTCAGATTTTATCGAAGGATAACTGAGGGCAGATAAGCCAGGCATTATTTTGAAAACGCCTTCTCCAAGCTAATTTCATAATTAGAGGACCAATGAGCATATGCTATTTTTATTAACATCATTTGGTTTATACGTAGGCTCTCCAATTGACACATGCATAGCTTACGAGAGCATAACGAAGGTCAGCCATGACCGAACCCCTTACATGCCTAGTAGTCATGTAGCTACCTACATCTAGATGCTGAATTTGATCAGCTCCCCTAATGCAAATATCTTGCTCAAGCGTCTCTTATACGGCTCAAACCAATAAGGCGTCTGCCAACAGAAGTAAGTACGAGAATTACGTTACCCTCAATTCACACATATTCTTGGCTATTTTTTTGAATCTGCGACCACACGTACTAGAGTAGGTATGTATGATTCGGAAAAAAAAGGGGGGAGGGGGGTGAGGAAGAAACGGCAATGGCGAACTGATTGCTCGACGCGATAATTAACTGATGTGGATACACTAAAAGGTGCATTGTGTACGTGACTGGAGATTCGATGTCGCCTTAGACGGGAAAGCAAGCACTTGTCGTTCCCGTCGTCCCTGCCTTCTATCGACTTGTGACATCGAGCACGTTTGAAGTAGGTAAGCACATAGAGGTAATTTAAACCTCATTCCTGGACGCCATTTCTGTACCAAGATCAACTCCCTTGCTTGGATCTATTCGAGTATTCAAGATGCAGATCGCAGCCATGCTATTCGTCCTTACCTCCGTGTGCGTCGGTTCGGAGGTATCAACGGCGATCGGGGTTCATCGAAACAATTCGACCCCTGGTTCTCCTAGCATTGGTGACGGCACTCCTGTCAAGGACATCCGTCTCCAATGCGACAGCAACAGCTTGGGGCTGGTAAGCTCTCAAGAGAGACCGGGTATCTACTACCTTCGAGGGGTCTGCGGTAATTTATATAAAGGCCCTCACCTATCAAGGTGTTCTTTCCTGGATCTCAGCATGTAAGTCAACCGTCCATATGCTTACACATCATCCATGATGCACAGGAGAGGGACTAACGGATGCTGCTCGACGTAGGTGTTACATCAACGATGGAGGAAACATCCGAGCTCAGAAGATGGGCAATTTCCTTAACTCTTGCGATAGCTGTACCCTCTATTCAGCCCATGGTTCGAATATGTTGGCATGTACTTGCGCAAGAGGCGAACTTCTTGGTGGAGGGACGCAGGAGGCTGCCGTCCAGCTTGGTACGTTTGGTTGTAGGATAAGCATTCAAAAGACCTCGGGCAAAATGCTGATTTTCCTTCAACGAAGACGATCTTCTGTACGTCAAGAACGGATTCTTAAGCTGCTACGGCTACACCAACTTCGAGTGCCCGTACGATGATGTGCCATACTAGACCCTCGAGAACGAAGATGCCTTAAACACGTGTAGAAGACGATTGATTCTCAAAACAAAAATTTTGAAAATTACGTCTGACACCATCAAGGTTTCTCCGTGGTGGATTGAGGTCTAGACCGTAGCTCGGCATTAGCAGGTTAGGTCGAAACACAATAGTGAAGCCGGACCGATTTCGACTTGAGCAACCCATATTTCGCCCCAGTTGTGGATTTCGTCCGGTTCTGCCCCCGTTAGATAGTACGGTCGTAATACTAGTTATATGGAGCAACTAATTGCGACGATGAGTCTCGTGACGACTTAATCGTCTGTTAGAATCGCGGATGCAAATTGGAATCCTAAGCGCCTATGACGAACTACTTTTAGGTAGGCGACTAGCTAATTTAGTAAAAGGGGAAGATGATAAAGGGGACGAGGATGGGCCGGTTATAAGGATACAGGTACCACTATGGCGTATTGTGATTAAGTAATCGAATATCCACTCTATCCACTCTATCCGTTTAGTAAAGTTCATCTCTTGCGACTTCACCTCAGTAACTTCCAACACAAAGCATCACCATTACATCTCCAAAGTATCCGTAGCCTGTTCTAATACATCGGATTTAATTCAATTGAATATTGCTCTGAGAGCCTTGACCCCCCAATAAAGTATTCAGCCGCGTTTTGGTAACAGCTAGGTGTCATTCGGTATTCAAGAGGCTAACTTTCGATACTCGTCAAAATGTGATAGCTCAAGATTTTGCTTAGTAAAGTATACGACATCTTCAACTCCAACATGATACGGAGACAGCCTCTTGAGCGAATTCATCGACTTAGTACGACTTCTCCAACTTGCGGGGGCCTCTCCAACTTTCCAATAATACCACATTCTGGTATCAAGAGTGGATTCTTGCTTCATCTCCATGATGTAATTTAAGCAAGATCATACAGTTATCGAGCTCGAATCCATTCTCACAGGCAATGGAAATTTCCGAATCCTCAGTTTCTTCAGTGGGGTGAAATTGGGGTTTATTCGGGGTCGATAAACCCCTCAGCAGCGTTGAAATGATCTAAGCTTTCTAAGCTTCCACAGACCTTCGTGATCGACAGAACATTCTATGTAAGTAATAATGAAGCCTGTCGGGATAGCCGCCAAGACGCGTCATTCGTTCTCCTTCCCGCCGAAATGCTGTACATAGCGACCCACGGATTTCTCCGGTATGACTTTTTACAAAACATTGGCCTAGAGCGAAACTAACACGAACAGAGATATCGTCTGATGAATTACACGCCCACGATAGGAAGTGACTCCAGAGATGCAAGGCACACATCAGACACATCAGGGAAGCGCACGTACGTTTTGCGAAGTACGCTCGCGTTTACACTAGATATAGGCCACTCCATTAATGTCATTAACGCCATTAGCCTCCCCCGCGATGATACATTTCCGCCGAATCCTTCCAAGTTGAAGTCGAACGGTCAAGGATATGGGGTCATACGGCATGAGACACGGCAGGATCGCCGACCAATTAGGTGTGTAACCTATACGGAGGATCACTAAGGCCCTTACCATTATGACGGACTTTTCATTCTGTTTTCCAGCCTAAGTGGTCCCAAGTACCGTTCTCGAGAGCTACTAAACCACGAAGAGACTCGGTCCTCGGGCTAATTGCGGTCTCTCCACACTCCGCAAATCTCCAAGTTCAAGATTCACCCCACATACTAGACCCCAGAAATCCTAGAATCCCTGACGAACGTGGAGCGTGGTCTGCGTGGTCTGCGTGGTTGGGATCTTCCAAGGTTGTCAGGAATGGCTAGGAATGCTGCTGAGTACGAAGTACGAGTGTAGGTGATCAGGGTGATACAACCCGTTCAACTGCAGTCCAGTGAACAAGGGGTAATCCAGCGGTGGCCAAGCGGTGGCGTCGAAAAACATTATATTAACATTGCTATTTAATTAAATAGCAGGATCCTTCCCGCCATTTGCATGCCCGAGTTCTAGACTCGTCACACTGTTCATTCTGAGGTAACGCAGCGACCGCGCAAAGCCTTTTGAAAGATTGTTAGGCTTTGGCTTCGAGTATTCACAACCGGTCAAGATGGGCTTGAAGGAATTTGTCAAGAGGAGGTCCCTCAAGGCGAAGGATAACCAGCGAACCAAGGCTGCCGAACTCACTTTAAGGGAGTCGCTGTATCCCATCTGTCTCGTTACCGTTCTTTTCTTCCTCTGGGGTTTTAGTTATGGTACGTAACATCAATACTCCAAGCCTGTCGGTTATTCTCGACGGCGAATGGAACTCAAGTTAACATTGCCAAGGTCTTCTCGACACGTTGAATAAGCATTTTCAAAATACTCTTAATATCACCAAGTCGCGATCTTCCGGTCTCCAAGCCGCATACTTTGGGTATGTCTAGCCCTACGGGAACACATGCGCGACCTGTTTGCTAATCTCCTCTTGTAGTGCCTACCCTCTCGCTTCTCTCGGTCACGCCAATTGGATTCTGCGTCACTATGGCTACCGAGCTACCTTCATATGGGGTCTTTGCTTATACGGTATGTCGCGCTTACTCACCGAAGTGTAGAACCACCTAGATTAACTGTGATGTTATAGGCATTGGTGCGCTGGTCGCGTTCCCTTGCATCAAGGCTAAGTCCTTTGCCGGATTCTGCATGTCCATCTTCATTATCGGTAATGGCCTGGGATCCCTAGAAACCGCGGCGAACCCATACATCACCGGTAGGTCATCCAATTCGTCGGGATTACGACGGTACTAACATGGATAAAAAGTTTGCGGCCCGCCCCGATATGCAGAAATCCGTATCAACATATCGCAAGCCTTCAACGGAATCGGCACCGTCGTCGCCCCCGTGCTAGGCTCCTACGTCTTCTTTGCCTTCGACGACGCGACGGCCCTGCAAAACGTGCAATGGGTGTATATCGCGATCGCGATCTTCGTCTTCGTCCTCGCCTTCATCTTCTTCCTCTCCGTCATCCCCGAGATCACCGACGCCGACATGGCCTTCCAGGCGACCGAGACGCACGCTAACGCCGACGACAAGCCGTTCTGGAAGCAGTACCGGCTCTTCCACGCCGCCTTCGCGCAGTTTTGCTACACGGGCGCCCAGATCGCCATCGCCAGCTACTTCATCAACTACATCCGGGACACGCAGCCGGCGGCCGACGACTCCAAGGCCGCGCAGCTGCTGGCCGGCGCGCAGGGCGGGTTCGCCGCCGGCCGCTTCTTCGGCTCCTTCGTCATGCGGTACGTGCGCGCGCGCAAGGTCTTCCTCGTCTTCCTCACGCTGTGCATCGTCTTCATCGCCCCCTCCATCACGCAGCGCGGCTGGACCGGCATGTCCATGCTGTACGTCACCTTATTCTTCGAATCCATCTGCTTCCCGACCATCGTGGCGCTCGGCATGCGCGGCCTCGGCCGCCACACCAAGCGCGGGTCCGGCTGGATCGTCGCGGGCGTCATGGGCGGCGCCGCCGTCCCGCCGCTCACCGGCGTCGCGGCCGACGCGCGCAATACCGCTTTCGCCATGGTTGTTCCCCTATGCTTCTTCGTTATGGCTTCGTCGTACGCCGTCGCTGTGAACTTCGTCCCCGCGTACCGCGATCCGGCGGATGCGTTCTCGACGACGGAGGTCGGGTTGACGGCGCATCGCGACGATGAGGAGACGGGCGAGGTGGGGGTTATTAGTGATGAGAAGGCTGTGCAGGCTGAGATTGAGTCGTGATGCGTTGCTTAGGTACCTGGGAGACTGGGGGTTGCATGTTTGAGTTGAGGGGTTACGGAAAAGGGATCTATGAAAAAAGAAGAAAGAAAGAAATTTGGGATTGGGTTTTGATTGATGATGAATGCACGAATACCCGGGATGCATACACGAGGATACGTCCGTGAGAGATCCCTTGTACTTGGCGATAAGCGAGGAAATGGAAATGGAAATGCGAATGGAAATTTAGCATGCATGCGTACCAGCGCCCGTGTCTATTCTTGCCATCAACGAGAATAAGAACGATAGAAGAGGTTAGGATGTAATGAAGACTACGTCTACGATCTCTAATTCGGCTTCTTGCTTATTACTGCTATGACTTCTACGAATTATAAATGCATTAAAATTCATAATTACTAACTACTACCCAGATACAGTACGCGAAGCATTGAAAAACACTCAATCGACGCGAAAACGAGCCCATCCGTAATGAGCGAAGGTATCATCATAAACCCAATGTGCGCCATGCTATTGCAAATTTCCGACCCGCTGCTCTAATTCGCAGTATAAAGCTTAGCGAAACAGCCACGCATGTACCTCCCCAGGTAGGCGTTAGCCCAATTGACGCCGCCCAAGCTCCCCCAGATTACCCCGGAAAACAGCCCTGAGCCCTGGAGGGACCGCGTGTCCTCGGTACAATCCCTCCCCCTTCTATCCCCTGTTTTACAACACCATAATCGGTGGAACTGCTCCCGAATTTCGATTCCGTACGCATGTCGACGGCACAGGCATCGGAATGAATGCAATATTTTGACATGTGCGATGCGTCTTTAGAAGGCCATCCTTAGGTAGGTAATCACTCCGCCTTGGTACCTAACGAACTCGCGGACGCATTCTTCTGATACAACTTGGCGGCCGTTTGTCCGACCACGAAATCCGGGGACCCGTAATATCCATGCAATTCATTTTCTTCCGAAAGCGTCCCGAGCGGGTTTCCTATCGTTGTGTCACTGTTGTCGCGCGCGCCTCGCGAGGAACTGGACGGGTCGCTGCCCCGCCTGACGTGTGTTATTGGGGTTTTCGTGATACTGCTAGACCGTTGTCGCCCCGACTCGTGGGTATCGCTCGCGTCGTTGGCGCCCAGCTCCGAGATGCTGTTGGCGTTGCCGTCGAGTTCGCTGGCGTTGCTAACATGGCGAGCATGCCCATGGGGCCCTTGGGAATCGACGCTACCTCGTTGTGGGAAACCCCCGTTATCGTGGCGCGCATAAGAATCCATACTCGACTCGCGACCGTCGGAAGAGTCGGAAGGCGGCAATCGAGTAAAGTACCCTTGCCAAACGGGAGGCGTCGTCGACGCATTAGAACCGTACAGATTTGGCGTTTGAGCTGGTGACCGCCCACCGACGGTGGAATCGTCGGATAGGGACCGCAGGTGTGCGTTTCGGGCGCGGGCGACGGAGTCCGCATCCATCCCGTCGACCTCTGAGATCGTAGTCTTCCCGAATAGCGATTTCTGCGAGCGAGGTTGGTCGCTGGAAGACTCTTGCTTAGATTCGACGGCCGCTTTAGTAGCTTTTTCGGTACGCTTCAGCTGCCATATGACGATTCCCGCAATTAGAACGATGACGACAAGCAAAGCGACAGCACCTCCTATTATGCCGCCTATCTGGGACGAACTGAGACCGCCACCTCCACCACTGCTAGTGCTAGTATCGGTCTCGATGGATGGCAACTTTGAGACGGTGCTGGCGACTAATTTTGGTGTACCTACGGCAGTGGCGGATGTAGCTGATGCGCTTGGTGTGATAACTGTTATGGTCGTAACTTCCGTCGTGATTGTGCTTCCTTTTGAATCAGTAGTTGTCACCGCCTCGCTAACCGTGTACGTCGATGGGGGGCCATAGCAAGTGTAGCTACCGCATGTCATTCCGTTCGGACAGCACCCGTATGGAGATGCTGTACAGGCAAAGAAGGATGCACGGCACGTCTCCGATACCGATAACGTAGCCGGCGCCTGGCACCCAGTATCGTTACATATGTAACCTGTAGGGCAGCAACCACCTGCGAGCTGGTATTAATACCCTGCAAATGTTGCAAAATATACTTGGGAGTTGATGTATGCTCACCTGGACCAGCGGTTAATGGGCAATTATAATACCCGTCTTGTCCGCACGCCGATGTTGGCCCTCCCGTTGTAGCATAGCAGGATGATACGGCGCAAGCGTAGCCCTCAGGACAGCACCCGCCATTTACTGAGGCCGAACATAGATAATAACCTGATTGCTGACACGAGGCCTCGCGTTTAGGATGGCGAAGGAGATCATAATTCTTTTCCCACTTGTGAATTTGATAATCGTCGTTGGTAGCTATCGTGCCAGGAGCTGCCAGGAGCGCCAGTACCATGAATCCAACACAACTCGAACAACTCCAAAGCTCCCTCATCGTAATATCCTCAAAATTCGAAGTCCTCGGAGGGCCGTCGCTGATTTTCTGATAGGTGCGAAATGAGTCGCCTGATCGGGAGCCTTGTCGTCCCTCGCACCGTAATACCCTCGCGAAGTCACATGCGAAATGCTTCAATATTGTCGAATGGCGAACCGCATACAAACAATCCTCCCAATGAATATTTTTATGTTCAAAAGTCACAGGAGATCGCAAATGTGGTCGAAGATAGATAAACCTACAATGCGAAAGTGAGGCTCCAGCTTGTTGGAACTGCGCCACGCTGGTAGAAAAAGACCCGACGACTGTCAGCACTACTCGGATGACGGCTTACAAGCTGGCCTGGCCAGTTACTCTGGAAATAGTATTTTCCAATAGCCTCGAGATCGAGATGCCCCATCAGACTATAGCCATAGACACGTATAAGGGCGGGGCCAGCGGCAACAGATCGACAGCGATGCAACTCGGGGGGATTTTGGGGGACGACAAGGGTTGGAGAAGTATGGATATCTCAAGATGGGATTCTGGGGAGAAGATCAAGACATATTCAGCGGCATCTTGGCCGCTGGACTGCAGCAAAGAGCGGGAGGGGTCTTCCATATGCAGAAACCCCAGCAGCTGCAGATGGCGAACTCGAATGTCTCACGCCAGTCAGATTGACGAATATATCTCGTAGGTGTAACGCCAACGAGCTGAGATGCATGGTTGGCCCCCAAATAAGAACATATCCCTGCTACGAGTGAGTGCAAATGTCAGCTTCGACAGATCTTGATTGGATCCAAGACACGGATCGAAGGAAAAATGGTGTCCAACTGTCCGCCTTTTCCAGCTGATACGACCTTTTCTGTCCGGGCCTTCGTGGCACAACCATCTTCCTGTCGGGTTGTTGGTCTTTGAATGGCTACTCCCCCGCTGGCGGTGAGTGGCGCGATAACCGGACTCTACCGGACTTTGACTCGCATTTCGTAAATATTGTGATTCGTGAAGAATGTTAACGAAGCCTTCTTCTATTCTGCTTGAATGCGCTTCTGTGTTTTCTCTGCTCATGAGATCGCAGACCGCAACGACAATAACTAGGTAGACCCATCTCAATTGGGATCTATCGTGTTCGTATCACTAGGTCGGTGGCTCTAAGCTGGTCTAAAGACGTGCACATATACCTAGTCTTAGACTCGCAGGTAACTGGCCTTTAGGGCTGACGCTTGACAAGGGGGGATGAAATGGCATGGTAGAGAACACGCTAACGACCTAATTATTTAGGTACGAGACAGCCCTGGGGACAATATGACATGACTTTCGTGAACGGATTGGTGGATGAAGATTGACAATTGACTGGCGTTGATGAAAGTATTGAAGACCAGACACTACAGGTATCGATTGTAGAGTCAATTCGAAAAGGACTTGCGCAACGCACCTACCTACCACGGTATTCATGCCTTACACGAGTATAACAGAAGTAACCTTAGGTTTAGATTATAGTTAAGCGCTGGACTTAATTACATCTCTATATGAAGTTGCGACTGATTTTAGCGCTATTTCGTGCCCAAACAGGCAGCTCGTACCACATTGTCAGTCGCACAATGGCTTCATAATGGAATAATTATGGAATAGCCGGAGTTAGGTCAAGTCATTCTTGAATCTTGTACGAGGCAAGAAGATTAGAATGAATCAGTGATTGATTTGTCAAACCTTACTTAGGTGTCTAGCTCATTTCTATATTTAATCATCCTCATCAAGACAATATCTAATATATTACCTTGATAATAACGTCCCATTCGTCGCTAGAGTCGGCGGGGACTTGGTATTAAATACTAAATATACCTTACCCTTTTTCCAGACCCCCCAAAAGAAACTAAGAAACCAACATCGTCATTGATACAGTTCCTTTCGCTTACGACTGTCATATCGATAACTGTAAAGCCGGCAGGCGACAAGACGGCAGACGGTACCTAGAACGGCATGTTCCGATCTAGTCGGCGATGAGACAATGTCACGTTCTACTTCGTTGGACCAACTCCAAAACTCGTGATTGCAATCCTAGCTAGGCCTTACCGCTAACCAGCTACTAAACTGGGCAGGTATCAACTAACACACCACATCAAACTAGGTACGAACGGCCTAAACGCCATACACAGTAAAAGTCAGGGGCGACGATACAAGCAACGGACAGGCAACCTGAGGTATTTGATTCTCAGGTCTTGGGTTTCTACCATGGTAGATACATATCGTACCTACACCCAAGCAGCGTTGCCCAGGTAGGAACCGGAGGTGAAACAGTCATTTCTCCACCAGCCCGTCCTGTCTTGACTTGTTACATATTAATCATATCTATAGGAGGTACGTAATATTCGGGCTTTATGCCGTAGCCTTGGATGCCATCTCGAACTTGCTTGCTCCGCAAAGCAATGCTTCGAGAAGATTTATAATGGGTTTCGTGTTGAGGTCATGAGGTTAAGGTTTGGCCGGACAAGGTCGTCCATTTAATTCTGGATAATATGAGGCTCAATTGCCGCCTCCAACGACTTTAGGCTTGATCGTCTTGTCTCTCGTGTCTTCCAAGTTGGGAAGATTGGGAAGATTATGAAGATTACCTACGCAGCATGTAGCTGACAGGTCCCTCGATTTCGTCTCCAACAAGAACCAGCAAAATCAGGCGAAGGATCATTTTAATATGTACCTACAGTAACCTCCCCGACGGCCGTGGATTGCGTGGATCCTTACCGTTGCAACCCCGCAAGTTGGTTTACCTAGTCGATCGTCGACATTTCTCCACACTTTGCTTCGTGATAAGTCCAGCATGGGGGCTTTTGGACCTGGATCTACCACCGCATTGCGCTAATCTTTGGGGCTCCTTGGACCTTCTTGTGGATTCCTTGAGACTTCTAGTAGTTCTAGACTTCATTTCCGAAATACACACGAATGCCCATCGTCAGCTGTATTCATTTCTCTCCCTTTCGGAACCCATCTCCGGTCACCGTCCTTCTCGACTAGGTTAGAACTTAGTGGTCGAGTTGGGGCTTTGACCTGCAGTTTTCTCCACAACGTCACGATGATGGTCGAAAGGTGAGACTCCTTGGGCCTTATTTGCTGCATTCTACTTCACACACTCTCTCCATTCTTTCCCTTCTTTTAGGATCATCAGGAGTCTCATACACCTCGCGATTTTCACTCTAATAACCGACACTTCTCGTATTGCTGTGTGCCTCGAATGCCATTTCTGTTGGAGTAGACAGTAACGACGACATCCCGGCCGCCTCGGTCTGAGTAGCCTTATCCAATTTGAGGGGTAATAAGTTCGCGCGGATTGAATCTCCACGACGAAGAAACTGGGTACGAAAGCATGAGGAAATGATAATACTGCTTGATCCTAGTTGGCAAAATGTTGCTATATACCAAGTTCGCACCCCCTAAGGTGCCAAAGAGGCGCTCTCGAGCAGGTCAGTACGAGCTGCGCAATTCGATTCCGAGATCTAGAATGTCACATCTTTTAGACGTGTAGCTAATTCGTAGGTCTTATTTGGTATAGGTTGCACATTTTGGTATGTTAGGTTTATATCCTAGTCTATCGCTTGTCCATTGACGAACACGCTGATTTCCTAACACGACTATAGTAAGGAGAAAGTATGGTGCTTGTTCTGTTGTTAGCTGCTACCTTGCTGTCAGGAGCTCGTTCTAACATCATATTTGCGGCAACTAGAAGAAGAAATGCGACGAAATGCGCCCTCAATGCGCGCGATGCGCCGAAAAAGATCTCGAATGTACTTACGAGGCGGTAAGGCCACGCCAACGCAGAAAGAAAGAGCCTTCACAATCCGAATTTGCACAAAACCATGGATCACGAGAACCTATGCTAGATGATCATCAGTGGCAAGAACCTATGACTGATGATATCTCTGTAACCGAGTGCTTCAGCCCTACGGATACCGAATTTAACGCCATGTCGCCAATGGACCTCTCGACCACGAGTGAGATTTCAGTCTCGCCCATAGATACCAACTCTACCTCTTGCAATTACAGCATCATGGATGATATAAATCAGACAAGCAGCGTGGCGCGGAAGAATTCGAGTACCAATGTGGTTTCACAGGCGCGATCCTTACAGCCTGACCTCGCCATGATTGCTCCTTGTCCTGTTGGGTCCCCTAGGTTTGAATTCGTTTTACCAACATTTTCCGAATTCTCGAATCGTCCTAATCGACGCGCTCTTGTCGATCATTTCTGCAATGTTCTGTCGCATTTAATCGTTTTTCGGGAGGAATCCGGCAATCCTTTCCAACAATTAGTCTTGCCGCTCTCCCATGAAAGTCCACCAATCACGAACGCCATATACGCATTAGCCAGCGCCCACTTAGAATACCGTGGTGTTGAAACCTCGGAGAAATCGCTGTACTTTCATAATCGAGCTATTCAAGGATTAGCTAGGTTGATCGAACAAGAAGGTAAAGTGGATAGGATTGAACTTCTGGCGGCTATTATGCTCCTAGTTTATTACGAAGTTGTGAGTAGCCCTTGCGATACCCGCATAGCTCTTCTAGATTACTAACTTTGCAGCTTGTTCAACGCGGACGGTCAAGCATAGTAGATGGTCACCTTAAGGGGGCTCTGACCATTATGTCAGCATCTCAAGAAGAGTCAACCCCGGCCAGTCTCTTCCTAGAACGCGTAAGCCTCGATGGTAGTGATCTTCCAAGCGGCCAGACTTGCTAATTACCTGTAGGCATTTCGGTTCTATGATGTTATTACGGCGCTGTCACTAGGATCGGCCCCTCTTTCGACAGCTCCAGCCGCCGGCTGCCTCATCCCCTTTGCTCCCCTAGATGCTCCTGCAGCATCGCCTATGAGCAACGTGGACACCTTGCTTGGGATGTCTACTACGTTATGGCCTATAATGCATCGTCTATCTAACCTACTTTCTCTAAAGAACGATATCGAGCGAGCGTCCCGGGAAAACCAAACCTCCAAAAGCGCTGTCCTCAGAATGGAATTCGAAACTACCTCTCAGGCCATCGAGACTGCTCTTACACAGTGGGAGCCATTTCTCCCGCCAAATATTGTGATCCAGGATGGCGTGTTAAGAAACACTGATGGGGAAGATATTCCAGAGCAACAGCTGTTGCAATCCATTCTTCACAATGCTCTAGCATACCGGCACAGTGCTTTTGTCTACCTGTATCGCACAATCTATGGATACCCGGCGCACCGCGAGGTGGTGCAGAAACACGTTCATTCTGCGCTTACCCACTGCGTCGAAACTGTTACCTACGGAGGACCTATGGGGGCATTATTGTGGCCTTTATTTGTAGCCGCATGCGAGGCGGTCAGCGCGGAAGACAGAGCGTTGTCTCAGAGAGCGTTTATTGGAATCGACCAGCGTCAAGGCATGACCAACATTGCGCAGGCATGGAAGATTACTCAAGAGGTCTGGAAAAGGCTAGATGCCACAAATGATGATATCCCTGAGGTTCATGATACCGCTCTATGGAGGAAGGTTAGCGCCGAGATGGGTGTCAATATCGTCCTTGGTTGAACCCCCGGCTAAGTTCGGACCAAATTTCAGGTTGCGGCAGCGCTGTAAGGGACAAATCTCGTTGACGCGACCGCCTACTAGCGGGCGAATTTTTATTTTTACTGCCTTATCGACGATGATCCTTCATTCCATCCTATCGCATCGACGAACAAGACGCCGAAGTGAGATCTTTCGCCTCAGGCGTAGCTACCAGCTAAATGGTGGGACGGTGGGAAATAATTAATACACCTGGGTAGTCGTGGGTGATCCTCACGACAGTGGGCGAATAGGACCTTACGCGCATCGGAACAGTCCATCAGACACTAAAACGTGGTTGGATGCAGGTAATCCCACGGATTTTGTGTAACCAGCAGTGATCGGATGTGGGAGAGATGATGGTACTCTGACATCCCCAATGCCATTAGAAAACCGACTCTGGAAAAGACTACTTACTATAAGGAGTGTGTTGCTGTAGGAGTTTCGCAATGCCTACACCTTTTTTTAGGCTATTCTCTATACGGACATCCCCCTTTTAAGAAAGCATATCCGAAGATTCACGGCCCTGAGCTGTTATTCTGCGCAATGCCGTGCCAGGTATAAGGATTTTTATACACATATGAGGGAACGAGAAGATGATCTGTTTCATCTGGACCTTTATTCGGATACTAATTCTTGTAACCTTGATGCATTTCTCGCAAGCTCTTGGGTTTCGCGTGGACCAATACGGTCGCGAGGGTCGTTATGGCGCCATCGTACCAACTGGTTGTTGACCAACCCCTCAAACCCCATGTCAAGCTTGGACTATGGGTGATTTGTAAGTGGTAAATTCCGAGTCGCGCGCAAAATTGCCACAGCTAGCTTGGGTAGCCAAGGGTGGCCAAGGACTGCATCCTTCAGGTTTCTACTACCGATCTGCCGTGTGATGAATTGGGGAGGATTATGCGTCGAATGAATGGAGGGGAAGGTCAGCGAGCTATTTAGCTGGGTACCTTGGCCGGTGGTAGATAAAATGACTATAGCCAGATGCAGAAGAGACGCAGCAGTATTCTCAGATAGACACGGAATTATAATCCGGGTGCCTTCAATGTTACCCAACCGTGACGGGCCAGGATCTTAAACATATTCCGGCCTTATCTTTAAATAAGAAGACTTTCAATATTTAGGTACTTTACTGCCGCCGGTGAGGCGAGAAAAATCCGACCAGGTATGCAATTAGCATACAGTAATACATCTATGGATATGATATATATGATACATATGATACATCGTGTAGCACATTGTACCTATACCGTACATATGCTGAGGGCGATGATAGGAGTGTACCTTTTTATGTGTATGTACGTAAGTGAGAATAGCGGCTTTTTTTCTTCTCCTTTTACTGCTCTGTGATTCGACATGATTAATCACTTAAAAATCTTCCCACGGACCACGTCGTATTATCTGTCAAACCCCGCGGTCCCACAATCTCCTAGTCGATCATCACCACCATTCCATCATCTCCCTAAATTATCTCTCTTGAACACTCGACCGTTTCCCCCAACTGCCCAAGTCCTACGTAACCTTGGATATTTTCCGCTTTTCCGTCGTATTGGTTCTAACGTCAGTCTCGGCGTTCTTATTATTAGCGATCCCCAAATTCGATAGACTTTCTATTCCTAGCACCACCTAGATATTTCACACAGCACACGCGACTCCTGGAACTTGCCGGATCGGTTATTGACCCATGTACATAGCTTGGAGCTCTCGTACACTAGTACCTCAACTCCTCAACCTGCTAGCGTCTATTTTCTCTCGCTCTTTATATTTGACGACCTAAAACACGCAGCACACCCGCAACTCTGATTTATTCCCGTTGGTCCCGGTTACACGCACCTGTCTCGCACCCATCTGCCGTGCTTCGTGTACATCACACCGACTCAACTTTAGTTCAACTCAGGGGGGGCGATGACTTCGTCAAGAAGTTTGCTGCCGTGAAGCTTATGGAAGAAATGAGTCTCGAGCTGAATCTAGAAAGCTTCCTTCGAATTCCCCTCGCCTTCTCCATCTCACCCCACAGCTTACAGGGCGGAGTGATAGAAGCTATATCTTACCCTTACCTATTACGCGCACGTTGATCCTTGTTGCATTTGGCAGCGGCGCAGGGACAAGCACTGACTAAGAAAACCTATCCGCGACTAACTCGATTTGACGCTGGCTCGCCTTCATCCCATCAACTGGAGAACTTGGAGTCTGACCCGGCATCAAAGCTCGTGATCTTCTCGTACGACCTAGCCTGCGTCAGAAAAAGGATTTTTCAATTCTAACCTTCTCTGCGTCCTCTACGTTTTCTACGCTGATCCTTAGCAACGCCTCATTCCTGCGATTTGTCCACTTCCAAGGTTTCCCAGTGCCACCTAGAATCGGCCCCCTAAGAATGGTCCATTGAAGGCGAACCCCACCGTTTTCGTGTACTTAATGTGTGCGTATGTGAGACAATCCACAAAAAAATAAGAGCAACGCAACTCGATGGAGTTATAGACAGCCTTGGTGTGTCGAGCTTTAGGTGCCCGCGATATATCTGATAGAGTTTCTTACTTTTCTAGCACGGCGCTTCGGTCGAAGTCTTTTATAAGATAAAGGGGCTCTTGTTATTTGTTATCGTCATTGCTGTCGTCGTCATAGCGCCCGCAACAAATACACTATGGTAACTCTCATCAACAGCAGCGGGCCCGATCCGTTGCCAACGCCTAAACAGATTCGATTCGTCAACAATCAAGGTCAACCTCCTACCAAGAGGAGAAGGATAAACGCTGCGTAAGTATCGTTGAATTCCTTTGTCCGATGATGAGGACCTGAGAGGGCGACTGAACCGTGATTTGCACCTGGGGTAATTGACGACTCTTCTCCTATTGTTAATTTCCTTCTGTCTCTGTCGCAATCCTCACAGGAATCCCACAGACCCGCCAGTTCAGTCCCAACATCAGGGGGTACGACATCGCGAACGTCTCAGCTGACAGCGGCTTCTCTCTTTATGTCAGATGCCTTACTTGCCGCAGGCGAAAGACGAGATGTGCCGGTGAACACCCTACGTGTTCGACCTGTACCAAGAACGGACACGTGTGTTTGGGATACTCCGACGGTATCGAGAAGAGCAGTAAGAAGGAGCCTGGCCGAGGACCGGATGGCACTTTCGACCCCGACGAGGACGAATACGCAGACGAAGAACCGGATGTCGACCGCAAGCAATGGAAGAGCGGTAAGAACGGAATCAAGCAGTTCGATATGCCCGACGACTCCCCAAAGTCCTCCCGCCGCACATCGGAGCCGGAACAGGACGTCACAAAGCCTGATATACAACTGAAGTCGGAAAACATAGATTGGGAAGAACCTAGTTCACAACCGACGCCGCGTCCCGAACCACTCCGGCGACCTATCAATCCTCGAAATCCATCATTCTCGACCGAAGGCGGCCATAGCGAGACCGGTCATTCACCGATACAATACCACAATGAGAGTCATCGAGTCCCGTATTTTCGCTACTTCGGCCCTACCGCCATAGTACCAGGTTTCAAACAAATGGTTGTTAAGGTCCGAGATCGAAGACGAAGCTCCATATCGGCTACCTCACCAAGCGGCGCGAGTTCTATATTCTCGGGCCTCGTGGGCTCGATGCAGCAAGACGTCGAGCTGGGCCACCTAGACGATATGCCCATTTACGACCCGAGCGATACGAATGATGTACATCCTCTGATTCTCCACCTTGTCGATACGTTCTTCGTACATCTGGGAAGCAATTATCCCTTCCTGCGCCGCGATAAATTTCCCAAATTGGTCCAAGAAAAACGAGTAGAGCCTATATTGGTAGATGCTGTTTGTGCCCTTGCGGCTCGGTTCTCTGATAACCCCTTGTTTCGAAAATGGAACGAAGGGAAGCTAGCTAAATCGGAGTATGGCTACATATATGCCCAGCGAGCGAAGTCGGCGACCGTCGATACCTTTCCATGCCCATCGGTCGCTGCTGTCCAGGCATGCCTATTAATGGCATACGACGGTTTCGGTGCCGACCAAGACAGCGCCCTGTGGATGTATCTAGGAATAGCGATTCGTATGGCAGTAGACTTGGGCCTGTCCAAAGAAGATGGTGTGCGATATCAGGGTGAACGAGACCCTTGGTATGCGCGTGGCTATAATATAAAGGAGGGTGATGAGTTTGTCCAACAAAGTCAGGTTGGTGCAGACGGCAACGTCCTCACTCCTGAGGAGCAGAAAGAGGTCGAACAAGAGCGGATTGACACATTTTGGGCTGTGTTCTTTCTAGATCGCGCCATCTCCTCTGGTACAGGCCGGCCGGTCACCCTTAAAGACGATGACTTCGAACTGGAACTTCCAAAATCGTCTATCGATCCTGTATCCGGCTGGCCCGACCCTTTAGCATCGCTACTACGAATCATTCATCTTTATGGCCGAGTTTCGGATGTACTCAACAATATCACTCATGCTCAAGACCTTACGCATGACAAGCTGAACAAGCTTGCTCATATGGAATCCGAGCTCACAAGACTCCATCAGAGGACGGATCCACGTCTCCGGTTCGACGCTAACAACTTCCAAGCCCATGTCAAGAACGGTCGGGGCACGACTTTCATACTTCTACACTTCTGGTTCCACGCGTTGATCATCGTCCTCCACCAGCCGACGCTATTGACCAGAGAGGGCACGATCAACCGGTCGCATCAATTGAAGCCGCACAGTCGGGAGCTATCTATGTCAAGTGCCAAGACGATTGCTGATATCCTTGCCTTCGCCGAGTTACTCGACCCTACGTGCTTTATCGGCAATCCGTTTACCTCCCAACCCATTTACATCGCAGCATGCGCATTCATTAAAGAGTCTAAATCTAGCATGTCACAACCGGCTTCGAGAGATACAACGCCAGCCCCCGACGGCAAGGGTCAACCGAATAAGAACCATTCCATTGCGATAGACCCAGGTCCGGCCTCAAGGCACCTCCTGCTTGCCTCCGCCGCGAATCAGAACTATCAAGCCTGCTATAAAGCCCTAAAGCAAATGCATGCTTATTGGGGGGGCGTTCGATACATTCTAACCGCACTAGACCAGAAGCTCGATGGCCAGTGGGACTGCGAGACTTACACGAACGAGGAGTATGAGAGCGCTAGGCGTTATCGTCAGAGCAGCGCCATCGCCAGGTTCGCGAAGCAGTTCGAATACCCTTCGTCTCCCATTCCCGATAACGGACCTCCTTTGGCATGGTCATTAACGGGAACGACCAACTCGCCAAACTCGAGCTTGACGCTCCTCTTCCAGAACCCTGTGAACCCCAACGGCGTCATGTCTACCCAAGTAGCCCAATCGACCGCCCCCACCTCAGCGGCGCCAACGTCCGCCCCTACGCCGCCGGGAAATATGATTTACGACCCGATACGCCAGAGCCTCCCGGAGACCACGGCGTCCATCTACCACTCCGCATATCCCCAACCCGCTACATCGGCCATGCGACATTCCATCAACCGTTCCCGGCGCGTCTCCGGCGGCGGCTCGGGGATGCAGGGCAAGTCGTCGTATTTACGGTACGAGAGCATGTCCGCGCAGGACGACGCCAATAAGCCCGGGTCGTCGCAGGTCGCAATGAGCGTGGCGCCGACATCGTACACGCCGTCGTCGCAGCAGTCCACGTCGTACGACCAGTCGGGCGGCAGCGGGTACCCGGGCAACGGGTCGCCGGCGAGCAGCACGCAGAGCCAGAACATGTCGACGAACTCGTCGTCGGACGGGCCGTCCAACTTCGCGCAGAGCGGCAGCGGCCTCGCCGGCTCCGGGTACTCGTACCTGGGCCCGGGCGGCGCGTCGAACCTGCACCTGCTCACGTACGACAACGAGACGGACATCGGGCAGCACCTGACTAGCTTCGAGAGCACGGAGATGCTGAGCTGGTTCGGTGATTATTTCCCTGGTGATAGTACTTGGCTGTTCCCGGGTGACTCGACGATGCCGTGATTTTTTTTGGATTTGGATACGATTATGACTATGACTCTACGCGATATGAATTAGAGTATTAGGGTATTAGGGTGTTAAGGGGACGATGATAATGTAAAGAGATGAATGAGTGGGTGGAGAACTAGGTAAAATACTGGAAAGGGTTTATCATCGCACATACATAAGGTACCCCCATCTACCACCTACCTACTTCCCTTCCCTGCCTAAGCACATATCTGCTCGCTCAAACAGCGCGATTTTCCATGTTTTACCATAATACAACTATACGTTATTTGAGATATACTGGTTCCGGTGGGAAATATCTCACGAGATTTACGATTACGGCTCGACGTTATTTTGGGAGCAAGAACCCGGGCTATGAGTTTTTTTTTTAATCGAGATACCATGGTCCCCTTTCTTGTCTACCTACCCTCTATTCTTTAGATCGAATTTTCATTCCCGTCATGGGGTTTTTTCTCGGAAACGACTTTTTCTTTTGCGCGGGAATTGAGCTTCGCGGCTTGGGGTACACAACGCAATGCACTTACTTTGGGGTTTCAAGAAGGCTCCCAGCGGAAACAGGAGAGAATGTGAGGGAATAAGAGAACTGGAGTTGAATAGAGGGGGTCGCGGTCGTTGGTCAACTTGCCAGGTGATAGTACCTTGGTAGGGATTGGCTATTAACGTATACGTTATGAGGGGAGAACATAAGGTCCGATTGTTTCCTACGGAAGACAAAAGGGGAGCTAGGGTTAATAGGCCATATGGTGAACTACCTATCCACATCGCTCCAGGGCGACCTAGCGCAATATAAAAAGATAACCTTGACATATTTCAACTGCGTGATGGTGATTGAAGTAATGATACATGAACCAACATGAACCAATATAGAAAAGGGAAGAAGGGGGGTTAAGGCTCATAGTGTAAGTCGGGACGGCCAGACTTGACCAAACTCGAGTCTCACGGCATATCTACCAAGGATCCGAATCACCTCCACGAGGATCATGTAAGTTTTATTAAAGTTGACAAAATCGCCAAGCGACAAAGCAAGGGGCGAAGACTCATCAGCCGCATGTGGAGCGCTCTCCACTGCTTTGCATATATTACCCCTGACTAGATGACATCAACGAAGCTGTCAAACTCGGGCCTTGACGTAATAGCACAGGGTGGGATAAAGCTTCTGTATGAGATCATATCCAGCAGGCTCAACTTACTTAACCAGAACAAGCACTACTGCTTATTCTCTTCTATCGTTTCGTCGTTCACTCTATTCGAACTTCACGAAAGTAAACAGACGCTTAACCTAGGTAAACACCTAAACTACGGAAGACACATACAAATCTCGAAAACAAATCAACTACCTTAGCAGACAGCAGACACAATGGCACCATCCAAGACCCCCGGCCAGAACGAAGCCGCCAGCCAGACCTTCCTCAAGAAGCAAGCTCAAGGCAAGTCTCATCCCATTCTCCCCCCTCCCTCCCTCCCTACCTAGGTATCCATCCATCCCACAACCCTTCTCTACATCAACCCCCTCCCCCTAGAGCTTCATCGCCTACCAACCTACCTACCTACCTACCTAGTTGGATACTCCCAAACTAACAAAACCCTCGCAACCCCCAGCCCAAGGCCTAGGCGCCCCCAACGCCCCCGCGCACAAGGAACCGCACGCGCCCGGCGAAGCGCCCGTGGCGTCCGACTCCGGCGTCACGGACGTAGGGATCGAGGGCGGCAGCACCAACGTCCCGGGCGAGAAGGGCATTACGGGCCCGCGCGTGCGCGACGAGGTGGATCGCCAGGGGAATTCTATGGTTTGATTTGAGTATCTACCTGCCTACCTAGGTAGTGTGCTAGGGGTACCTACGTATGGTTAAAGCATGGCCGAATTATGTAGGAACTGGATAAATAGGTATGTAATGGTGAAAGGGGGTAGATGAAAGGGTTGGTCCTTACGAGAGGGGGATAGGGGGGAGTACTCGTTAGAGGGGTTGAAAAAGGGGCATTGAGATTCAATTGTAGCTCCCTTGTACGATAGGATCAGTGACATACATGAAATAATGGTTTCTACTAGACGCAATGGGTATAACCAATCCCAGAGCCATTTTATTCGCAGAGGTCCAAGCTGTTTATTCCGTTCTACGGGAGCTATGATATATCGAAGCTAAACTACGTCCATGGTCCCAGTCGTTCCCCTTAGAGGGAAGGCAGTTCTAGAATCCCTGTCGAAAGTTAGGCCACACAGGATCGTCGCATTGTCCCTGCTCCTCTACCCATGCTTGAATCCGTTCAACGTCCCACCCACTGATCCACTTGTCGTCCCGATTACCCGCCTTCATAGTTGGTTTTCCTAGCCTGAAAGACTTATTGTAGATACAAGCGCCGGCATGGTATGAGAACTGGAAGCAGTCATTAACGGTTTTACATAACTTACGGCAGTCCTCGAATGACTTATATGCATTCATCTCGATGGACGGCACGTGGAGCTGATGCTGCAGCTTTTTGAGACGGTCTTTTTCCCTTTGCCACGGCAGGAACGTGTCTCCACGGTTCGGGTCTAGGTACACCACGTCTTCGCTCATGTTGTCCCAGTCGTCGCGTCTAGGTTTTAGTTTGGGTTCGACAAACTCGTGATAGATGTCCCTGAACCGTATCGTAGCCTGAGGTGCGCCTTGAGATTCATAGAATTGCTTCTCGAACTTCCAAAACGAGGAGATCTCCTCCAGGTTCATGTGGTGCATGGTCACAAGGGGGTGGCACCACTCGCGTGGGCCATATGGGATGGTGAAGGGTTTTTCGCCGTTGATGGTCGGCCACTAGCGAGTGTCATTTCTCTCTAATTTCTCCTTTTATTGACTAGACAAGGTAGATATCCCAATTTACCTACTATGCTATTCGAATACCGGTAAGGTAGGGGAGTACTTACAGCATATCTAACACCAACCCCAATCGTTTCGTTCAAGGCTAGGGCTAGCACAACGTCTCCGCAACATGACTCCTTAGCCTTCATATCGTACTGGTTAGCGATGCCGGAGTGGTTTCCAACGAACTCCTTCATAGTCCATTGTGAGAGAATATATCCGCTACCGCCATGTGCGAACCGGAATTCGTTAGTGAGGGCCACGCTACCGATATAATACCTCTCTTTAGGCAGAGTCTCTAGCTGGCGTAACCATTGAGCAAGATTGTTCCAGAGAACATACGTGTCGGCGTCGATGAAAAGGTACCAATCATAGTCGGGGCGTAGTTTGTAGGTCTTCTCGATGATATGGACATTCTTGTACTTGTCCAGAATCCAGCCGTCAAACTCACTGCCAAGATTTCCGTTGCTGTTACAACTCTGCTGATCCACCACGCAGGCCTTTTGGCGACGATAGAGATTGAAGTCCTGATTTCCCTTAGTCACTTCGGGGAGCAAAGTATCCAGGCTGTCGTATACGTGATATCCAGCAATGTTCTGCTCCATATCTGAGAAGATAAGGAAGTCAGGGAGGCATCTCAAGGTAGTGACCAGTTGGAGGGGAATTCTTGCATATGACTCAGTGGCTCCGGTCTTAATGACTACCAGTATGTTAGATGTATCAGGGAAAGAATTGCATGTGCCATGATGTCTTGTAGGACGCAATGCTAAGTTGTCAGACCAGTTGGTATGAACCGAGTTATAAGGATGTCTAAATGACGGTATTCTCAAGGAAGAATTCTGAAGAGACCATTCAGAGAGGCGCCTCGATGTGAGAAGGAGCATGACAAGGCATGAGATGGCCAGGATGAATTTCCCGTAGGAATATCTTAGGATCGTCATTTCAAGGGGTTATGGTCATGGTTCCATTCAGTAAGGTGAGCCACACGATGAGAACTTGTGAATGAGACGTGGACGTTTTAGTTGACGTGTTGGAGGCACGAGTGACTGGGTAAGTCGTGGGTTACAGGAATTTCGACGTTGGCTCACATAGCGACGTTAGGGTAGAGATGTTCAGGAGTTTATGTTGAAAATTTGGTAGCATGACTTAGAAGAACAGGTAAGTAGAAATGAAGAAGATAAGATATACCTAGCCTAGCATGTATAAGTCTACGTTCAGAGGGGGAAGTGACGACTTGATGAATTCCTATATAGGTACGTAAGGTAGAAGGTTCATAGGTAGGTATGGACGTAGGCAAGTGCGTGTAATTCAGAAGCAGGCACGATGCTGTCATTAATTAGATCCCCCTTTCTCTACCTACCTACTTACCCACCTCCTAGGAGAGATTATCTTCCAAAAAGGGGGCCGATTCAGAGGTTGCCGTATATACCACACATGATGAAATTGAAAGCACACCTCTCATTCAGAGCTTTTTTCGACTTTGCCATACCCTTCCAAAAATAGGCCGTTCGAAGGTGGTTCGTATTGAAATGTTGGTACCTGGGAATATACCTATATGTGAGGAAAATCACAAGTTGATACCACTAGATTCAATATTTCTGAAGGTACAAAGTACCCCATTCGACTCGGAATAATTATGCCCTTTTTTGGCTCCCCCCCACCGAATTCCTCCTTCCTGCCAACCCATACACACGGGATATTACAACAATCTTGGTTTGATTGAGACTCATTGCGTATAGGTGTTAAATATAGTGGATTAGGTAAGAACCCGTTCCGCATTTACATGCACGAAAGCTTCATGAGGTCATGCCATTGCGACCTACCATGTATCATTGGATTATTCATAAAATCGACTACCTAGGTATCTGACTCAACTTGGTAGCTAGGTACCTAGGTAGATAACCTGATTGTTTCTTCGCCAAAAAGTAACTGGTCATAAATCCAAATTGGCCGTCGTCCGATTCACCTCCGATTTGGTTATCTCCAAGTGAGAATGCGCCTACTCGGGCTGCTGTGCTGCATTCTAAGGTTTCACCTTTAGACGTACCTCCTATAGGTAATCATTGACTTTCACCGTGCCCGCACTTTGTGTTACCTTAGCCTGCTTCGTCCCCTCCCCCGCAATGCCCCGGATCATCGTGACTCGAAAGTCACGGTGGTTGTTGCCTAACTCCACGCAGCGAAGCATACCGGCAGGTGCTTTCAACGATATTTAGTAAAACCTTAATAGAATAGGAGTATACTTCAGAAGTGCATTCTTTCTTTTATTTCATTCAATTTCGTCCTCTACCCATCCCTCCATAGAAGCGTGGTTGGCCGATTTCGCGAAAGTCCAATCAAGCTCTAGGTAGGTGGGTGTTGTTTAGGAGAGCTGTCTAAGTTAAGCTGTAATTGGCCTCGGGCGCCTATCGTGAGTCCGTTGGCCCACCCCCTCAACTACTACTCTGTTTGACGAACACCTTGCCCTTCCTCTACTCCGTGCGCACCCGCATTTAGCCAAGGCTAAGGATCCCTAGACCTGTATATGGGAACTCCCTTGCGCGTGGCTTACTCTAATCCAACATGGACGGCTTGGAGGTCTTTGTACCGAATCTCCCTGTCGGCTTGACTGACCACAGCCTCCGAAAACAATTGGATCCTTACATCACCGGCACACTCAACATTAAAGACTGGACTTGCGAAAAGAACCGAGGGAAGCCTTTTGGGAATATTACATTCCTCCACCGAAGCCATGGCGAGAGGTTCTTGGATACTTATGGCAATCAGCGTATCCGTCGAAATAACCCGCAAGCTCGTCTAGTTTTGCTTGGTAGGGAAGTTCAATGCAGAAAGAGTAATAGAAGTCCAAATTCCTTTCTATTGAAATCCTTGCTCAAGACAGCCGAGGACGAAAAACTTCAAGATGAAGACGACGATCACGAACAACCGCTCCCCATGAGCAAGGATGTTACATTCGAACTTCGCGGTCTTTCCTGTGGCCACTATGAATATCCAAATGGTGCATTCACATACACCCCAGATATTGATTGGCAAAATGAAGGGGTAGTCAAATTTGCTAGGGATACTCTCATCGTCTCACTCAAGTCCCACGTCGGTCCTCTCAGAGTGGAAGTCCCCTATCGTACCATTGAGGAGATAATCGTGTCGCAGCGACCGACGACCTTCACATTGACACTTTGGGAAGCACCTCGATTATTTGAGGACAATGCACCTAGCTCTGCTTCAGGTGCGATCAGAATTACGAAGACTCGGCTAAGCCAGCTGCCTCACCTTAGCGGAAGCCATGGGGAGATCTTAGGGCAATCTCTCGTCTATCGCGCCCAAGTCTCTCCAGCTGGTTTTCACGCCAAGCTGGAACATCTAAAGGAAAAGGAGAAACTTAGTTTCTCGTACTTTGACTTCCCGGAAATTTTGTACGGCCGAACCTATATGGCCGATGAGATGAAGACATTCCGGGGTCTTCTTGACGAATATTATGCCAATTCCATTGTTCCCTTTGACGTCTTATTTCAATTTCAAGCCCTCGTGCAGAATGGATATTTACTGCCTCAAACGGTTGGAATCTTGCTGAAACGCATCCGCCAGATGGCACGTGTACCCTCGACTAACGGATCTTCAAGCAACACATCCGGCAAAACTTCTAATCTATCTATGTCCTGTCCCTTTTCTGCAGGCGCAGTGAAGAAGCTTTTCAAACAGACACCTTTTCCTGGTCCAGACACCAGTGCAAGCACGTTTAGTCCAGACGATATTTGGTCACTCCTTGAGTCCAACGAAAAAGAGATCCGCCAGGGTACCGCCGAAGAGCTGATATCTGAGAGGGTAGGTCGGAATCTTGTCATGGTTTATAAGGTGGAGGTTACCCCCACTAGAATCATCTTGCTAGGGCCTGAGCCTGAGGCAAAGAATCGAATACTTCGGAAGTTTCCCAACCATATCGGCTTCTTTGCGCGTGTCCAATTCTGCGAGGAAGATGGGCAAGATGTGTTCTTCAATGCTCAGGTGTCCCTCGATCATATCTGGAGTCGATTCAAAAGAATCCTCCTCAAAGGGGTTCATATCGCCGGCCGAGAATATCTATTCTTAGGGTTCTCACATTCCTCGCTTCGAGCACACGGCGTATGGTTTATGGCTACTTTTGTTGACCATAACTCGAATTTCCAGACTTATTTCTCAGTAATCAAAGATCTTGGGAAATTTAGCAAGATTCAATCACCCTCTAGATGTGCTGCTCGGATTGGGCAAGCCTTTTCCGAAACCCCATTTGCAGTTGACCTTCAGGAGCTCGGAGCGACATGGGAGTTTATCCCAGATGTAAAATCTCACGATGGAAGTCGGGTCTTCAGCGATGGTGTTGGCACATTGTCGAGGTCTTTGATGGAGGCCATACAAGCTGCCCTACCGCAGAATAGGGAAACTACTACGTGTTTCCAGATTAGATGGGGTGGTGCTAAAGGAATGCTTTCTTTGGATGACACTCTTAAAGGCATGGTCATGCGCATCAGGCCGGAAAGCATGGTCAAATTTGAAAGCGAGGACCTTCGTTTCCTAGAAATCTGCGATATGGCAAACAAGCCCATTCCCCTTGTTCTAAATCGTCAGATGATCAAGATTCTAGAGGATATGAAAGTCTCAGAACAATGGTTTCTCGATCTGCAGAACCGCGAACTTACACGACTCCGTGAGATCACCGCTCACATCCATAATACCGTGACATTTCTCAAGAGACAGAAAGTTGCAGAGCAGATCAACTTCTCTAAGTTCATTCGCCGTCTCACTAGATTGGGCATCGATTATAGAAAAGATGCCTTTCTCTGCTCCATCGTGGAAACCGTCGTCCTCAAAGAGGTACGCCTTCTCAAACATAAGGCCAGGATTCCGGTCGAGAAAGGTGTCACATTGTTTGGTGTCCTAGACGAATTCAATTACTTGGAAGAGCATGAAGTCTATGTCACCTTTGAAAATGAAAAACTCTCCAGAAGTCGTGGCCTAAACCTGCATAACAAATTAGTGTTGGTAACCAGGTCTCCAGCTCTCCATCCTGGAGACATCCAGGTACGAAGAGCAGTAGTTCCTCCGCCAGGTCATCCACTCCGCTCGCTCTCCAACTGTATCGCCTTTAGCCAGAAAGGGTCGAGGGACCTTCCTAGCCAACTCAGCGGTGGTGACCTTGATGGTGATATATACAACGTCATTTGGGATAAGGAAGCGGTTTTTTCGTTGGAGGGAGTGTTCAAAGCAGCTGATTATCCTCTAGTCAAGCCCAAGAACATTGGTCGTGAGGTCACTCGAGAAGATATGACAGATTTTTTCGTCGATTTCATGGCAACCGACCAGTAAGTTTCTAGTCAAATCATAACACTCTTATTCTATTTAAAAAGTAAAAGAAATTCTTGTCCTAGGAAAGATATCTTGCTAATAAGACATTTATTAATTGCCAACTGGCATATCACACATCGAAGTCGTTCAGTCCTGTTGTTTAGCCTCTCCTTTTTAAATGGAATATCACGGGAGCTATATCCTTGCTAATACGTGTTTTATAGATTAGGTGTAATCGCTACTAAACATATGATTCTTGCTGACATGAAGAATGCCGGTACTGCTGACAATGAATGCCGGCTTCTGGCCGAGCTACACTCTACCGGTGTAGATTATAGCAAATCAGGCATTCCGATCGATGTCAACAAACTCCGGAACTTGACGCGAACGAATTACCGTCCAGAGTTGTGAGTGAACTACCAACGCACGACAATGTCATATCCTCTCCCAAGATGATGCAATTATCATTATGCCTCAAGCTTGATAAGTGATGCTAACTTTGCGACAGCTTGGCACCAGCTCCCCCTGCAAAAATCGTAGGTCGGACGGAGGTTGTCTTTGAAACTCAAAGACCCACTTCTATTGATGATGACGAAGACGAAGATGGCCCAAGACACAAATATTATAGATCGGACAAAGTTCTTGGGAAATTGTTTCGAGCTATCGATGAGAAGAAGATCTGGAAGAAAGACATCCATCAGAATATTGACCGTCATGGATATTCAGTTTGGGATCAATTAATCTGGAACATCCAGAACCGATGTAGAGCACTAAGGAGAGTTAATTGGAAGGCAGCTCTAGACGAAGCCCATCGCATCCGAGAGGCGTAAGGACCTGTTATCGCTATACGATATAAGACTAACTAACTATTTGAACCTTTATAGTTACGACGATGCGATATGGAGCGCGACAATGGATTACTCGGATAACTTCACCAAGGGCTTGACGGAGCTAGAGGTCTTTACTGGCTGCATCTTCAGCAAGTCAGGTATCCAGGTAGGCCTCGTCCAGACCAGATCTATGCCGACATCTTTATCTAAATCTACATTGCATTGAGGATATCGGAATACTAACAATTATTAGACCCGGCGTCAAAGAGATAAATCGATCCGGCTTAAGGACGAGTACGACAGAATTGCAAAATGGGTCGAGGGAGTGATCCGCAAGAAGGAGGTGAAAATGCGGGAAGATGAAGATAACGACAGTCATGCCGACGCTGACGAGCTCAATGACGAGCCCGCCAGTCGTGATGTGACTAACCTGGATCCCGGCCTCGCATTATCGGCGCTCGAATTGAGCATTGCTTGTCTTCACGTGAGCACCGAGCAGTCTGACAACTTTGGCAGAAGCAAAGTCGACTTCCAGAGCTTTAAGATAGTTGCTGCTCAATGCGCGCTAACAGAGTTGGATCTCGCCCTTGCGCGGCAAGAAGCTGCTCTAGCAGCGGATCTGGTGGCAGCAACTTCGAGCTTTCCTCATATAAAAATCTCCGAGTCTCGAAACAGATAGTACAGTTGGGAGATGCTAATGACATGTATGAATGGTTGATTTATGTTCGGTTGGTCAGCTACGTATGGTTTAGCACGTTTATGGTTACTTACGAGAGGATGAGATGAGATGTCAGGTCGGCCATTGGCTTATCAGATACTTTCCTTGGGTTACTTGAGAGATGGTTCATCTAGGTTGCCGCTTGGTGCTACCAGATCCATAACCTCATACGATGATACGCGAATTCACTTTTAATAATCCCAATACAAATAGGAAGACCTCTTGTGAACAAGACCGCAAAGGCCTTTTTTAACGACTTGGAGAGCAGGTACAGAATGGGCCGCAAGTAAAGCCGTGGAAACTTTTCAATTCCAACTCGACTCGACCCAGCTGGTTCTTCGGCCTATTTATCTCGACTACCTCGTACAGCCCTTGATGCATGTCCCTGTTTGACGGAGGGAGTTTAGTAACTTATATACAGCTTCAAACGTAGTAGCCGGTAGCTCGCTCGCTCGCTCATTACCCTTCCAAGGTTGCTAAGAGTTTGCTCATGCGCCCCTAATCTTTCACCCACACATCCCCTCTCCCATTCCCATGAGTTTTATAGTTTCCCACCTAGATATGCATATTCTCGCACCCATCGCCTCTCTATTTACCATTTACCGTTTACTTAGTACCTAGGTACCTAGGCATTTTTCACCTATTATCTCTATCCCTGGCCGTCGCCTTATCCCGATCCTTATCCCGGTCGGAGCTCTCCCGCTCCCTCACGTCGCGATCGCGCTCGCGCTCGCGCTCCCTCTCCTTCTCGCCCCGGTCGCCGCGGCTCGCTGACGCGGACGCGGGGCTGCTGGCGCGCGTCGGCATGTAGAAGTCGTACCGGTCCGGGAACAGGATGATGTTGGCCAGCCGCACGACCTCGGCCTCGGCCTGCGTGCTGCTGGAGCTGCTGGACCGGCTGTCGCGGCTGCTGCTCCGCGACGACGTGTCCATGTCCATGTCCACGTCCCCGTTGGCGTTGGCGTTGGCGTCTTTCTTGTCCTTCTCCTTTGGAAGAGACGAGGACGAGTGCTTGTGCGCGTGCCGCCGGCTGCTGCTGCTGCTCTTCTGCGCCCCGCTCCCGCTCAGGTTCCACGGCGCGAGACCCATCGCTTGCAGGCCCTCCTCGCCGCCGACCCCGCGGATGTCTTTCTCCCCTAGGCGTCCCGTGTGCGGCGCCTCGCTGCCGAGACCCGTCCCCGTCGAGTCGAAGTCCGGGCCCGGGTGCCCGCGCAGGAAGGTCTTGCGCTGGCGCGCGAGATACAAAGCGTTAGTCTGCGTTAGGGGCGCTGCCGGCGTGTATACCAGCATGGACGTGTTGTCTTCGCTCGTTGCTGCGGGAGCTCCCTCGGTGGTGCTGCCGCCCGACGAAGACGAGGTCTGCGGCCGGCTGCTGGTCCGGTAGTTCGTGTTGGAGAACTGGTACGCCTGGTCCGGGTGCCAGATGATGTAGTCGCCGACCTGCAGCGTCGGCGCCGTCACCAGGCTCTTGTCGAGCTGCAGGTGCGGGTGCCACGCCGCCGTCACGCGCTGCGCATGGCCCGGCACCGCGCCGTGTATTATCGTCGACGGCTCCTTCTCCAGCGTCCAATTCGACGCGTCTAAGTACTTGTCCCACGCTTCGGCGCCCGCGCCCTGTGGAGGCGGCCCCTCTTTCGCCGTGAAGAACGGGCGCAGCAGGAAGTACGCCGTGGATAGCTTCGGCGAGGGCAGGAGCCTGATCATGCCCGGCTCTACCACCGTTAGCGCGAGGATGCCTTGGAAGAGCCGCATCATGGAACACACGCCCGCGCCGTTATACAGGTCGGACGTGGCGTTGATGCGGCCCGCCGGATCCCACGCGTCGTACGATTCCCAGTCTCCCTTGAAAATGGCGTCGTAGAGGCCGGTGCGGCCGTACCCGTCCTGCTCCCAGCGCTCGAGGCTGCCGTTGTCCACCTGCGCGATCTGCGCGGCCGACGTCGCGGCCGCGGCGGCGATCAGGCTGTCCTCGTGCGTCGCCGCCGTCACGGCCCCGTTCACGGTCAGGTTCCCATTGGAAAAAGACTCGATCCGGATGCGGTCCGCGTAGGTGATGGGGAAGCGCGTGGCGAGGCGGTCGTCGTTGTTCGTGTTCCACAGCGACATGGCGAAGCGCTGCGCCTGCAGCACGTGCGGGTGCGCGCGCGACCGCACCTGCGCCGGCGTCCAGAAGAAGTCGAAGCAGGTCGGGTCCTGCGCCGGCGGCGGCTTGTACTCGTGCTTCATCTCGAGGTACTTCTTCGTCTCCTCGACCCAGGTGCTCGCGTCGGCCGCGGGCACGACGCCCTTCACGACGCCGATGCCGTGGCGTTTCAGCTGGGCATGGAAAGGCGCGACTTTCGCGTCGTCGTCGATGTCCGTGAAGTTGATTTCCGGGATCAGTCCCGCGCCGTTCTTCTCGATGTACTTCACCTCGTCGCGCAGGGCGGCAATCAGCCGTCCCCAGGACGCTTCGAGCGCCGATTCGTGGCCGGCTACGAGTCGCTTTTTCAGACTGCCGAACCGCGAGGGCAGGGGAACCGGCTGGGTGCCGTAAAAAGACAGTACCGGGGGCTCCATGCTCTTGGTATTAAACGTCCTCGTCCTGCTTTTCGAATTCCTGCCTTCTCTGTGGTCGCCGTTTCTTGTCCTCTTTATCCCTATAACTCCGATCTGCGGCGTTGTCGGCGGCGGTGGTAAAATGGCTGCTAAAGAGGAATTATTATGATTAATTGGTGTCGTTATCGCCGTATTCGTGGTTGTCGTCGATCCTGCTGCTATCCCTATCGACGTGGAAGATGAGGAGTGGGAAGTTTGGGGTTTCGTCGCAGGGCCAGCGGCCGTTGCGGTTGCGGTAGCAGCAGCGGCAGCCATAGCGCTCTCGAATGGAGGTAGTGGTGAGGGGAGTGCCGCAGCAGCGGCTGTGCGCTGTACCACGTCTACGTTGGACATCCTCAGCCTTTTCCTTTTTCCCTGGTGCGTACCCCGTGTCTTGTGATCTCTCCAGTGCGCTGTAACCCGGCCATTCAGATTCCGTAAATCTTTCTGCTGCCCACACTGGGCACCGCGGGGTCGAGCAGGGACTAAATAGGTATGGGATGGGGAGAGCGGATGTATGGGGACGTATGGGGGATGGGAATGTATTGATGTATCCGGGGAGGTAGCATGTGTAGTATGGGTGTAGTATGGATTATGGCAAATATGACAAGTATCTAATGGGCGAGAAGCAGGCAAAAGCTAGCTACCAGGTTTGAAGAAACGTTTGTTTGGTTCGCGAGGGGCATACCAAGATGACAAGGGTGTATGCTTCTCGCCCACCCGCCCCCATTCATCATCCCCATTCATCCAGGGGTCTTTTCTCCCATGCGGCAGCCCGGGCCGAACAGGCATGGTTGCGGCGCACCTATTTAGATTGACGAGCCGGCTCGCAGCTCCGGGGACCAGTGTAGGCCTAGCCCCTAGACCCAGAAAAAAATAAGTGTCGCTTGACGGACCGCCTTACTTGAAGCGATGCTTAGACGATCAAAAGAAGCTGGCAGGTGGATTAGCGGATTCTCGATTAACGACCGACAAGACACCAAATAGATTGAATCTGGGTCCCTATCTCTCTCTGTCTCTTGTCTCCAGGATCTTTCTAGGATCTCTCTTAACGTCCTCTTCTGGTAAAACCCAGTCTGACAGCCTGAGAGGGGAGGAGATCCTTTTCTTCCTTTTTTCAGTGCCACTCCGAGTCCCCGAAGCCCACTGCTGTATTCAAGGTGATTTATATCCCGTCCATAGCAACCGGAGCACCATATCAATGGCTTTCTATTGGTCGGGAATTTCGAACAAGGAAATTTCCCGTCGAATCTCACCCGGATCATATACTCTGCATGATCCATCCAGTCCATTCAAGATGAGCTTTTTGCTTGCGCATGTCCCGAAGCGGACCATTAAGGAAAGGCATAGCGAATTTACCAAGACGGGTCAGCTTTCTTCCTCCTCATATCCCGTCCCCATCTCTGCCAGCTCCACCCTATCACAAAAGCCCGTATAGCCTCTTATTTCTCGACGACGCTCGTCGCGAACGGCGAACTCGCAGACATATTTCTACCGGGGCACGTGCCGTTCGCCACCAAGCGGTTGCGACATCTCAGTGCTCACTTTTACCCCGAAACATCCCTTGCTGCATTGCACCTACGGTAAGACGTCGCAAGTATCGCAAGTACCTCCCCACGAACAGGTAGGAGGCAGAGCATTTCTCCCGGGCGAGAGGCTCGACGTGGCTCCTTTTGCCTAGGCCTCAGCCGCGTTCCAACCTTGAAAAAGGCTCTATAAATTCCCGGTTTTCTCGCTGTAGCCCTCCGTTTTCGGCAATCATGTCGCGGGAAACGCAACGCGTAGCAGGAATCGAACTTCCGGTCTATGGTTCGTTGGGTAACGTTACGAAGGTGGTGCTACTCCGCGTATTTCTTACCTTCCTACCCGTAAGGTACTGTGATACGTTTGAGAACCCAGATATGCGGGTTCGCCTGGGAGTCCTACGATCTCGTTATGGCGGAGAGATCCTACCGTCGTCGTCGGAGTCTTGGGCGTTTTGAGTTAAGCATGATACGAGAAAATATTCTGGAAGTTGTCACAGAATACTTTTATTCCTACCCAAGAACAACGTTTAGCTACTATTATACCAGGCTTAGGTCTCTAGTTTGGCGTATCTGTGGCTAAGAATATCGCTATCAAGTAATGTGCTAGCTCTTAAGTTCTTTTCACCCTTTCACGCATTACGTCCATACCTATTCGTTTCCATCCTATCATTATCCCCTATTCGGACAAGGCATAATGGTAGCTAATAGCCGATTAAATTTATTGATTAATTGTCCCACAAAAGATTTCAACGGCATCATGAGCATATTTCCATCTGCCTAGGTACGATTTGAAGATTTGAACTGTAGCGCCCACGTTCTGTCGACTTAAAGAGTTAGCCTCGCCGCATTGTCGATGAGATGAGCAGCTTAGCGTCAGATCACAATTATAGGTACCCGTCCAAATCTGGAGCGATATCAGTACCAACTGCGGTTGAAGATTGGCTAGGGTCAGCCCACGAACAGACAAGCTCGAGAGGCTACCGGGAGTAGGGACCGCATGAAGATCAATTCCGGGGAGTGTCATTCACAGGCGGCTCCAAACCTCCCGTCGAATCCACCAGACCGGGACCCTGGAAATCCACGGAGTCTCACATGTTTTCCCACAGGTGTTCAGTACCTACCTGGAGAATCGATATGGCGTTATTGACGACGACGATGATACGCGTGGGGGCTTTATCAGCTCACCTCCCAAGGCATCAATTTCCAAATGGGCCGTACATACAGAAGGTAACCTTGGCGGCTGCCGGGAACACATCAGACATATATTTAATATCTAGCGGCTTTCCGACTGGCGGGTCAGCTCTGCTTGCGTCATCTCGAGGCCTTTCCACATGCAGTAACACCCTAACAGACTGCCCTTCCGTCGTGCCGGCGGCGTAGGCTAATCCTCGCCAAGGTGGGGGTCAACTCGCCGACGATTTGATTATTTTCGGAATTCGGTTCCTCCTCGTCTTCCTCTCTCCCACGTGATCGTCAAGATCCCTTCTCGACGGACAAGTCACCGTGATATGATGAATCATGCGTGAGTAATGCTAGTCGTTCTCTATTTGAGACTATTCGATGTCATTTTCTACGAATAGATAGGATAAACATCAGAATCGTTGAACGACGCGTCATATCTGCCGATATGTTTGACTGATCGACGGAGGGATCTAAGCCTCAAGCGAGCATGTTTGATCGCAGAACTGAAACTATGTCGTTGATCTAAGCCACTCTGATATACCCGATCCAACATCCCTGAGGAAACATTTGAGAAAAATGCGCATTGTACAGTCCTAGGCGGTAACCTGGCCCGCTTGCCGATTACCGAGCTGTGCTCGCCTGGAGATAGTATCCGAAGCTTGAATGGGATTTTCGAAGATATTCTATCATCGCTCATTGTAGCGAGCCATCGTGGCAAGCATACTCGTCGAGAAATGTTAGGCATGTTAAGGACTAGAGCTAGAGATCTATACGGGGATGAACCACTGAATGATCGTAGGTCTCGATTCCTTTAGTCCCACGGTCTATATATCTGCGCATAATGTTACTTGCAGACTGGACTACGTAGGACAACGCTCTTCAAGCATCTTGGCTTGCGGGTTAGGTAGCTTTCTCGTGGTGCATGGCATACTTGGCGTTCTTATCAACCCATCATAAGGTTGGTGAAGCACGTTTATATTGCCAGCCCACCCCACGAGACCTAGATCTTACTCAATTCTCGTCAAGGAATAAGTCGTCTCCTACGCAGCACATTAGGTATCTGAGTAGTGAAATAGGAGATGAATGGGATCTTAAAGACGACATAGCGAGCTTAGACGTAGGTACCTAGGTATGTAAGGATTGTTAAATCAAGAAGATCGCGATGTTGGATTCTATTTCTCTGCGACGACTTCAGAGGCTACCTCGACCTTACCCTTACGTAGGTACCTACCTACCTGTATTGTTAGCAGCAGCCGGAACGTGAAAATAATTTTGTTAAAATTCAAATCTATCTGAAGGGATATCTACTCACAACCATAGTTTACACTCCAAAAAGGAAGCCAGTCCTTTCGATGTATTCGGCCCGGCCAACGCAAACCGCCTAGGTAGGTACCTACTTATATAAACCCTTCTACGGCCTTCCAGAAACCTTCCGGGTTCTCGCACATAGGTAAGTGACCCGCCTCCGGCACAACAGCTAGCTTAGCACCAGTCTTTCCCAGCTGATCCTTAAAGCCGTCCATAGCCTTGACCAGCGCTCCCTTCCCATCCGCCTCCCCGACGACCAATAAGCCGGGGAGCCGGCTCTCCTTCAGCTCGGGCGTCATGTCGTAGTTCCAGAGGGCCTGGCACCCGTTCTTGAAGCCCTCGACGTTGTTCTCGGCGACCATATCCGTGATCCAGCGCGCGGTCTCCGGCTTCTTCTTCAGCGTGTCCGGGTGGAACCAGCGCTCGACCGTCTGGCCCGCGAGCTTCCTCATCCCGTCGGGGCCTTCGGCGACGGCGATGCGGTCCTTCCATGCCTGCGTGTTGGCGGGGCTGGACGCGGCGTTGAAGTCGCACGCGACGAACCGGTTCAGCCGGTCCGGGTGGTCGAGCGCGAACTTCAGCGTCGTCGCCCCGCCCATCGACACGCCCACCAGCGCCTCCAGCTTCGGGATCCGCAGCGTGGCCATCACGTAGCTCAGGTCGTCCGACAGCAGGTCCAGCGTCGCCGGCCGCGGGAACGGGATCGCGTGACGCCCCCGGAAGTCGTACCGCAGGATCCGGTACTTCGGCCGCTGCTTCTTCAGGATCTTGATGAAGGGGTCCCACATGTGGTACGATGTCAGCAGCGAGTTCACGAAGGCGATCACCGGCGCTTTGGGGTCCGGGTTGCCTTCGAGCCGGTACGGGACCGCGAGGCGGTCCGATAGGGTTAGGGTGAAGTCGATGACCGCGTTGGAGGTTACGGAGAGGTTGGTGGGATCGCCCGGCCCGAAGCTAGATGCCTCGCCGCCGAGCTTGGCTAGGTTTTCCAGATCGCGCGGGGCCGGTCCGAATATGTAGAACAACGAGTATACCCGTTGCGTTTTTAGCTCCGCGGACTTCTGGACCTCGACCCATCCCGGCGTGCTCTCTGATATGTTCTTCGCTACGTCGCCGAGCCTGTTCTCGTTTGCGAACTCGTGAAGCACGATGAAGGACGTAGGCGCTCCGATCTCCAGACTGGACGTCCGGAGGATCCGCGAGCGCAGCCAGCCGGGCACTCTTGATAGCATGTCTACGTGATCATCGTACCATTTTAGAGTCTTAGCCTCCGCGTTTGCTACTTTCTTGAGCTTTAGCTCTACGGTGAAAAGAGTTATGCGCTCGGCCTCGAGGTCTGTCAAGTGCGCGCTCGGGATGAACTGCTGGGATTGCTTCGTGGACACCAAGTCCCAGTAGTGCCTCTCCACGTCCACCTTGGCGATAGTCGCGGCTTCGTGAGCTGAACGGTTCTCCCGCAGCTCCTTGTACATTGAAGTTTCCAGCAGCGGCATAGACGTTACATTGTAGACAGCTAGAAACTCGGGCTTCTTCCCGTCGGCGGCCTTATAGCGGATCCCGTTTTGGAAGAAAGGCAACCGAAGCCTAGTCGGGCCATGTTCGTTATTATACCATTCGTGGAATTGTGCTAGTGGCAGCTCGGGATGAGGCTGCATAGTCACGAAGAGCATACCGGGGTTGGCCATGATGTCTGACGTCTCCTGTCTCCGGTCTTTCCGCGATGGTACTGGGGAGGCATTAGCTAACTATGTTGATATTTACGATTGAGCTCGCAGGATAGGACGGAATAACGAGACATGTGCTTACCAAGGTGTGGAGATGGTTACTTTAACCCCAATTTTGCAATTTATAATTCCTCGAATTTTTTTCTCGATTTCTTTTGGTCACGAGTTTAGGTAGTTTACGCACGAGTAGCAAACAAGGTAGCTTGGAGAAAGCGACAAATGGTTCTAGATTTCTAGAATCTACCACCCTTTCGGTAGAGAGCCGCTCTGCAATTAAACGATGGATATTCCCCACGGCAACTCGTCGGCAGATAAGAGAAAATGCGAAGTGGAGTGAAGGTCGCAAAAACACTATGGAATATCGTGATCCCGACACCAGCCCGACTAAAATACCTAAAAATGCGTCGAAGCACGCGCCAACGTCAAGAAGTATTCTTAATCAATCCATCCTTGGCATATTGGATATATGGCCATTATGACGAACATAATCCTGTTTTCCTCTTTACCCCCAGCTAGCCTCGCGCTCAAGCGTGCAACATGAGACTGAGCCCTACATGACACTAAGCCCTTACCAAGACTGATATGGATAAAAGCTATCGTCGGCAGTCTAATTTAGTCTCATATAGCTCTACTGAGCAAACCTAACGGACGCGAGCTTTCGGGCGAGTAAAGCTGAGCTACAGCTCTGCTTTTAGCCCTACTTTTTACATAAGCTCATACCATTGGTACAATTATGTAGGCAGCATTGAAGAGCGAGGAAGTTTTGCACGTGCTTTTTGCTAACGCATAAGAATGAACGACAAATGACGAAGGAATTGAGGTGGACTGGAGAAGTTGGGCATCGTCGTAAGGTAGAAAAAGCGACCAGGAGCTTTTGTCAGCGACAGGATGTATCATACAGTCGCCCGACAAAAGTTTGAGTCCGTTTTGTTAAGCCTCAAGTAGCGCCAAGATTCTACTATTCCTATTATAGAACACGCTATCCTAATATAGTAATTAAACGTTGCCGCTTTATACATTTTAAACCTGTCTATTCTAATAATAAGTATACCACCCGTTAGCTGCTATTATTGCCCGAATTTTTTAGGTAAACATTAGATTAAATATAGACTTTGATAGGATAAGTTGTTATAGCGTTTCCTTAGTGTTTAGGCGCGGTCAGTCAGGGTGTAATTTATAAAGCAACCAGACTAAAATTACTTAATCAAGCTTAGTATTACGGTTCTAGGCCTAGCGCCTTGGCGCTACTTGAGCCTTAACAAAACGGACTCAAACTTTTGTCGGGCGACTGTAAGTCTAGATATGATTCCGGCATGGTTAGCTTCTAGAAAACATCCGATTTTTTGACAGATATGGAAATGGCATACCCGATCCTCGGGGTTATCAGGGACTAGAACATCGTCAACCCATCGACAACGCAAAACCCATGATTGGTTAGCGAGACGTCCCTGGCTCGATTCGGATTCAGCTCATCGACCCGTCCGGGTCCCAGCAAACAAGGTGACGATCTTCGGTCAAAGATGTAAGCACGTCAGCGCACAGGAAAACCTTCCGACGCGGCCTGCCAAGACTCAAAAAACTATCCGAACGGAAGGTATTTCGCCTCGTAATAACGGCGTGGGCTCCGAGGATGGTCAGAGGCTTCCGGGTTTGCCTTCGTTTTTTCTTTCGCATATTCTTTCTCGATGCAATAGTCCTACCGTTTCAAAAGTATTTAAAAGAAACTTGGATCATGGCTTCACCGATAGCACGTGGCTGTAGGGTCTTCCCTAGCGTCCGAGCAGCGATTGGGATGATCCTTGAACACGATCTCTTATTAGACGAGAGCGCACAGCACAATGCAAACCGACTCAACCGCGGCCGTAACTGCGACAGCTAGCTTCAAACACCAAAACCTGCCGGAAAATACGGAGGACCGCGTGGACGTGCAGATTTCAAGAACCCCTGACGAGAAATCGCGAAGAGACTATCGGTTCTGGGCTATTATAATAGCGCTTTGCATAGTGTCGTTGCTCTCCGCAGCTGAAAATACCGTCGTCGTCACATCCCTGCCGACCATTGTTAAAAAGCTTAACGTCGGCCAAGACTATGTATGGATTAGCAATGTGTTCTTCTTAACGAGGTGGGTGTAATCTCCCTTAAACACCGAAACGTCTCATTCTTGTTAAATGACTAATTCGCGTAATGGATGAAGTGCGGCCGTACAGCCTTTATGTGGGCAATTGTCCAACCTCTTCGGACGGCGCCATCTCGCTCTATCGATTGTAGCTATTTATATCCTTGGTAGTGGAATATGCGGTGGTGCCAGCAATCCCGCCATGCTAATCGCTGGCAGGGCTGTCCAGGGAGCTGGGTCAGGCGGTACGATCGAGCTTGTCCACACCTAACGCGGTATCAATATCTAGGTATTCTTGTGTCTAACTGCGACTAGGAATCAACATGATTATCGATGTTATTATATCCGATCTCGTCCCTCTAAGGCAACGCGGAAATTTCATCGCCATCATCCTCGCAGTATACGGCATCGGGACGACACTAGGACCATTCATCGGCGGAATCATCGTCGAAAACACGTCTTGGAGATGGGTCTTTTATATCAACTTGCCGATTGGAGCTGCGGCGTTCATACTCCTATTCCTATTTCTCCGCGTCAATTGGGATAGATCCGCGACGGCCTACGACAAGATTCGCCGGCTCGATTATATCGGGAACGGTATCCTAATTGCGTCTACCGTGTCAATTTTAATAGCATTGACGTGGGCAGATGCGGTATATCCTTGGGGGTCCTGGCATATTCTCGTGCCTCTCCTTGTCGGAGTAGGGGGTATGATGCTGTTCGTGGCTTTCGAGGGCTTGCCGTTCGTAGCTGAGCCGGTCATGCCCTTGCGATTATTCAACAACCGTACTGCCGTCATCGTTTTTACCGCCACCTTTTTGAATTCGCTTCAAAATTATTGGGCATTCTTCTTCATCCCGCTTTACTTCCAAGCCGTTCGACTGGCTTCACCAGCAGAGTCTGGAGTAGACTTGCTAGTGTTCAGTCTCGTTGGCGTACCTGGAGCAGCGATCGCGTTGTTGGTTCTGTCTAAATGGGGCCGATATAAGATTCTTCATATTGTCGGATCTGGTCTGTTCGCCCTCGGGATAGGGTTGTTTAGCATCGTGGACCAAAATACTAGCACCGCCGCGTGGGTTTGGATGAATATCGCAGCAGCGTTAGGGACCAGCATGCTCATGAATACATTACTGCCTGCTTTCCAGGCGTCGGTCGAAGAAGCCGACCAGGCGGCCGCTACGGCCAGCTGGGCCTTCATCCGAAGTTTTGGCAACATATGGGGCGTGGCAATCTCGGCGGCCATCTTCAACACCTTCGCTGCAAAATATGCGCCGTCGATTGACGACCTTAGGGTTAGAGAATTACTTACATCGGGGAATGCATACTCGAGCGCGACTAAAGTCTTCGTAGAATCGTTCGAAGAGCCCGTACAGCAGCAGATCCGGATGGTCTTCACTCTGGCCCTTCATAAGGTATTTCTGATCGGTGTGCCGTTCATAGGGGTTATCTTTGTCTTGACCCTCTTCGAAAAGGAGGTCGGGCTAAGAACCGAACTAAAGACCGAATTCGGTCTCGAAGAACGGGAAACAGGTAGGTAACAGTGAGAAGTAAATTAGATATCTAGGACTTGTATTTCCGTGCCTATATATATAAAATGTTACCGTTGCGATGGCAGTAAGATCTGATCGACCAGAATATTCAATATTTGTGATATTGGAGTTACGTCCTAGGGAGTAACGTACGGAATATTGCTGATAGGGGATAGGAATTCCACTCCGGCGTATACCCTACTCGTATTGGCTACAGGGCAGATAAATTAGGCAACAGAATAGAGCGATCAAGAGCCTGTGCGAAATCGTGGCTTAGCGGGTTTAAGCGGGCGGCATTGCTACATATGCGTATAGGGCAACCGGACTTCAGATCATACCGCCCTGGTCCGATTACATGATGGAACTTCTCCTTTTTCGTTCATTCAGGGTCGTTTCAATTTAAACCAACTTTACTTCGTATAAATCATTTCAGATAATCCCGATTATTGACCCACCAAATGTCGTGAAGATGGCGACGACTCCCCATCCCCGATCTAGTCTACGACGTACTGCCTGTGACCGGTATATTCCCTATACCTAATCCGCTATGTACATACCTAGTGTTTAACATCTTGTGAAATAGATGTCGGCATTCGAAGTTGAAATGTTTCCGTGATGAGAACCAACTAAAATGTGCTCGTTGCCTACGACTCGAGCTACGCTGTGAAGTTGCGCCAGCGAAACCTCCAGGAAGGCCTCGAAAAGTACCACTTGCCCCTGCTGTAGTAGCTGAGGCGATAGATAATACAGACATGATATCTCCCCAATTTTTAGAGGGTGGAACCGAAAGGACCGTGGAAGAAGAAGCACAGTGTAGCTTGTCGCAGAGTCAGAATCCCGATGATCTTCAGCTAGATGACTTCGGCCACGCTCCTTTAACGTCACACAATAATATCAACGGCTTCTTCTTAACGCTTGTGCCGCCAATTCCCGAGCCTAAAATGCCCGAGTGGTACGAGACAAGCTGCTTCGACGCTGGCCCGAGCAGAGACCCCCTAGAGGTGCACAGTCTCTTCACTGCGAAACTAGATCGGCAAGAATGCCTCAAAGAACTCTCTCAGCTCAACGTCGACCTCCAAGTCCTAGTCCTAGCTCTCAAAGAACTCGAGAGCGGCGGAAAGCTCAACTTCTCCGCGTTCTGCTCCCACTCGCCTTCTCCGGTCGGCGACGGCGTCTCCTTTGCCGAGAAGTTCCTCATCATGTCCCAGAGGTTCCAGCAGGCCATCACGAATCTCAGCTGGGTCGTCAAGAACGATACCAAGCCGTTGCAGGACACGGCGCCTATAGTCGACGACAACAGTGACTTACCACTAGACCCTTTACTCAGCATCGACGGACCGCTACCAGCGTCAGTAGGCCAAGAGGGAGGGAACGATCACGATCAGATAGCCGCTGAAGCTGGAGTATCCGAGCAGGGCGAGCAGCTCGAAACGCCGTTCGCCTGCCTCCTCGTAAGCTGCTACGTGCAGCTCGTCAGCCTGTGGGAGAACATGTGGTTCCACGTGCGCCGGCGCACCAGCGGCATCGACCTCTCCGAGCTGACGCTCTCGGACCCGAGCAAGGGGGTCCAGATGGGCGCCTTCTACATCTTCAGCGGCCGGCTGCAGAGCATGTTCTTCTGCCAGGCGGTGCTGTATTTCCTGGACAACATCGACCGCGGCCTCGGCATCCTGGCCGAGCAGCGGGAGCAAGGGGTTTCCGGGTTGCTGTTGTCTGGCCCAAGGCACTTCGAGCTTCTGCAGAGGGAGCTCGGTGGGAAGGTTAGCAAGGGCGAGAGCGAGCGCGTGAGAGCGTTGAAGGATATGGTGGAGAAGACGAGGGAGTTCACTTCCAACGATACGGGGTGGTGAATATTACGTGTTCGTTGTCGGCCCTGCGACAAGTGCTAACTTGGCCAAGTTCGTTGTTTCGTCCTTGAATTGGTGAGAGCAAAGACGTCGAGACATACCTTGGGAGGGACGACGAAATCGTGCATTTCGGTGGAATACTTCACAGAATACTCTACTGAATCGCCATAGGGATACACGTAGATAGTTACCGAGGCACGTATCTGGTTCTCGTCCATCCCTCCGAGGGGCCCAAGAGGCTCGGTCGTTCCCCGGCTCGAAGAACCGAGACTAGACCGAATCTCCCACCGGCCAAAGAAGTAACATGACTCCTCTCACGAGCAAACATTGGATATCGCCGTCCGGTTAATAGTCTGTAGGACCACCAATTTGAAAGGGAGCAACAAACGACACTATCGTCGTTTGACTAGCGAGATCGATACTTGCTGCCTTCAGTCCAGGATAGCGGATATCCGGACAGCCTTCCCGCTGCTGAGGGAAGGATCATGATTCGGGTTGGCGAAGTAGATAGGTATTCGAATGGATTGTGTAGGTCGGGTGATATATTCATATCCCTTCAACACTCCTCTTGGCCAAGCACACTCCACTCCCCCATGCTTGCATACTCATCGTCTATGATAGCCCATTATTCGCGACCTGAGTCCACAGTCGGATGTCAATTTCTCTAGGTTAAATGATTATTAGCCAACTGAAATTCTTGAGCTAGTAACAGGGGAATTGAAGAATATACGGTTAACGTATACAAGTTATCTATGTATACTATGTCTAGCTAGTGTCCAGAAGCGATTGAAAAGCCCTCTCCTCTTCCATGGTTCTGCCCGTTTATTTCAACAACCTCTCACGTACTTTGATTCTCGGCAGTTAAGCCATTGACAAGTTACGGGTGAACCTCAGCAATGGCGGCAATCTCGTAGATTTGATCACGATGCCTTCCCCTACCGAAAGACTATCGCGATTCGACAGCGGCAAGTCTATAAAACTACCTAGGTAACAGGTAAACCTGAGTTCGCTAAGGCGAACATGAGTTTTATTGTATAAACCGAGTCTCCACGAACTTTTCATTACTCGTAAGCTATGCTCCATGGACGCCATCCTTCCTTGCGTACTCCTCGCGACCGATAACGCCTGTAGCAGTTTGTGGGTATCAACACCTATAATCAGGAGAACAGAACAGAAGGAACATTCTCGCGGTTCATCACGTCTCCCTCGACAATCTTGTCATCCGAAGTTGTCATGTGACGGAAAACGGAAACCGACTAATAGCGCGAAATGTCCATGCTAAGCACTCAGCGAATGAGGTACTTCAATAGTGAACTCGAATTTGGATTTGCCACCATCGCCGAACATAACAGGAAGCCCCTCATATATTTTGGTGTCCCGGCTCTGGGTATCATTTAGCTTCAGCTTCTTCATGTCATCGGTGACACTGGTAATCCGGGTTCTGTGTCCCTTGTTACTGACACGACTCGGCTTAGTTTCTTGTCGCTTGGGAGGGACCAACTCTTCGGCATCCCATTCGCACGTTAAAACCTTAAACTTGACCTTCTCCGGGTCTGCTCGGCCCTTGTGACGTTTCTGGCAGTGCGTAATGTAATTATCGCGAACCCAATCGAGGGTTCGGAAGACATGCGTGTTGACCTTGCAATATTGAGGGTCAACCTCATAATACGTGCGTCCTCCTTCGCCGCTAGCAAAGCGCTCTCCCTTATTTCCAAATGCTTACATATGTTAATTTCAATCAATGGGCGTGGAGGCTTACAATTCACGTACCTTGCTTTGCATAGACGCACGAGGTAGGCATAGATTTATCACGTTGCTTGCGGACCGCTAAACAATCCATGAAGTAGAATGTCTCGAGATTTTTGAACAGAGCTGCAAACTCGTAGGCATGCCGTGGACGAGTGTTATCATGGTTCCGATGAAAGTTGTGGATAATACCACAGGTACGACACACACGACATTCTTCATCCCATTTAGTGCTATAACGGATGGCCACACGGCGAATCTTGGCAAGTTGGTCAAGGTCTAGATGATCCGCCCAGTAGCCTAGCGATCGAGACCACGAAGCACCTGGATAGTCAAAGCAGACAATATCAGATGATCTCTCCAGGAGAACCAAGCGGCCATTATCCAGCGTTAAATTTCCAGAACGTGAGATCAAGTTCTCTACCAGATCCTTAGCCTCGTTGCAAGCTAAGGATAGCTGAGTGAAAGTCTTGTTCATCGTAAGATAATATGATTTGTCGGCTGCCGGGAAAGGGAAAACAGGTTTGAGGGTGCTGCTGAACTTTGCCCGTTTGGCATGTCTTCCAGGCTCGGCCTCGGAGGTTGGTACGCGATCCATGATGCTATCACCGTCGTCGGTTGCTGAGTCCGAGTCGTCCATTACGGTATCATCATTATGCTCGAACTTGAGGAAATGAATTCCGGGTGTATAAATAATCTCCTCCCATATTTGATGGCGGATATCGAATGGAAAATGTGAGAAGCAGGCGAACCGCTGGAGACTCGGCGGTACGCCTATGTGGACAGTAGAAGACGGCATGGTTGGTGAATCTGGACAGTCGAGGGGTAATTAGAGAAACTCGGCTGATGTGAGGGAGGGGATTCTCGGCAGTGTAATATACAGCAAGCGAGCGGTGACGAAAGGTGGCGTTCGTTGGCGGTCCTTAATAACCCTTGGTGGTCCTGGCTTAATTCTTCCCGGATCGAAGACAGCCCGACTGAACTATGGTAAGAGAGGTGCCTAACTTCAGGAGGCAGATTCTAGATGGTTCATATCCAGACCAATAGACGACGAGACGAAAGACGACATGCAGCCGTATCAAAGGCCCATAGTCTAGTTAAAGCGATAGTCTGATAGAAGCGAAAACTACGGGTTGTGTAGTACGGAAAACGGTTGCCGGAGGCGGACGACGGATAGAAGGATTCAATGCCTAATTTCTGTAGGTGAAAGATGAGATGGAATGTTATAAGAGATAAGTACTTAGTAGGAAGTAAGAAATAGAAGTAAAGAGTAGAATGTAGAAAGTTAAGTTGAAAGATGTTAAAGTTGAGAAGTCAAGAAGTCAAGATGGTCCGAGGTTGAAAATGGCAAGGAAAGAGAAGGGTTAAATCGGGTAGGTACCTAGGTACTGTACCGGTACTGTAGTACATGAGATACCTAAGGAAAGCGCACAGGACGTGTTTGGGCAGTTGTACGGCAGCATTCGGTGTTCAGATTGTTCATAATGTTGTACCTATCATATGCATCTAACTTGCATCTATACATATAAGTATAACAAATGGATCTATTTCGTCATATGAGAGGTTAAATCAGATGAGGCTGAAATTAGGTCAGGTACCTACAGGGCCGAAACTGCCCATACCTGCCCGCAGTAGTGGGCACGACGGGCAGTAGCAGTGGGATTACAGAGAAGTGGGATTAGGAGATTAGTGGGCTTCAGGGGAACCCCGCACTACCCTTATTTCGTGGTGGGTTGGCGGGTTGGCGGGGTTCCTTAAGTGTTTTCTTAAGGTTCGGTCCTACCTAAAATTCGAGATACGGGACGAATTAGGGTGTCGTCACATCCATGGATCATTCACATTCCATACCTACCCGGGTGGGGGGGGTTTCTAGACATTCTTATGCAATGATCTGGACATTCTAAATTATCCTTAAAATAATAAATGCAAAAAATGATGTTTCCAGCATATTGAGTATAATATGTAATCAAGTATACATCCATTATAAAATAATACAGGGGTTTTCGACCAATTATATACGTAGGAAAATAATGCTTATTAAGGAAAAAGGGTTTTGGAGCGCGAACAGGATATTTCATTAACATGCATAACTAAATAATGACCATTGTATAAAAGAATATATTGTAATTGATTGCAAAGGTGACTAAGCTAAAATAATATTAGGTGTGCAATGATTTTCTCCCACTGCAATGATTTTCGTCCTGCAATGGTGGGGCTAGTTTAAAAAGGGAAGAAAAAAGGGAAAAAGGGTAGGTGCACCTTCTTAATTAAGGAAGGTGCTGTAGTATTTAAGTATTTTTTTTACATGTACTAAGTGGGATTCGAACCTAAGGTTTTGTATGCATACTACGGGTATTACAGTATTACGAGTCACTACTTGACCACTTGGCCAATTGGCTTACGAATCTACGCGCATGTGGGGCAAGTCCGGATCTTGGAGCTTATATCCTGGGTTCAGTCCCCGAGATTTGATTGGTGAAGCCCCCCGGAGATCCGCCGAGACCCACCATTGCAGGGAGAAAATCATTGCAGTAGTAAGAGATTATTGCAATAAGAGAAATAATGGTGTTTTTATATAATGATATTACATAGATAATGGGCGTATGCAGGTAATAAATAACTAGGTAAAATGGTGTCCCAAGAAGAACAGTATATCAACGTGGTTATTTTAGCCCTGGCTGGCCACTATAACTACAGCCTATACCTGACTTCAATCAATTGATTACTAGATACGTCAACGTTTTTCAGGATTATTCTAACGCAATCATGTTGAATCTATTGCCAGGAGTGGCGATGGTTGCGAGTATGCAATTAAGGGGTAACAATGTCAAGAAACCCCCCCCACCCGTATAGGTATTCATTGACTTTATATGTTACATATTAATAAGATTCTTCTGAGAGCATTAATTTAATCCCGAGGCAATTTAGGTACATATTAATGTAGGAACACAAACTTAGATAAATTGCTTGGTATCGCAAGATTGTTTCTCTCTGCAACCTTGGAAATCCGACCTGTCCAACTGTCCAAGTTCAAATTTCAACGGCTGCTGGCCCCCGATACGGCCCCAAGCCCCTACCAAACTAACAGTCTCCCTTTAGTACAGTATACTTACTTCTAGGCTAATAAGAGACCGTATGAATAAAACGACTTCGTCAGGCTCAATCCGACGCTTTAATACCCAACTGCTCCCACCTACACCTTACACGTAACCAACACTAAACCTCCAAACAAGAAATATTTCACACCGTCTCTTGGGTATTTATTCAACCAGGTATTCATTTGAATAACACGTATTCTAGCCCGATGCTTATATAAACCACCATTGAGACGTCTCGACTAACAAGGTTCTGTCTTTTGTTTTGCCATTTGCGAAATACACCAACTTCAACACCAACTCGGGAGGATCTTAGGGCTTTAGGTAAAACAATAACGGATACACAACGGGTGATCAGGTGCCGACACAAAAAACCAAGCTCCCCCTTTCAAAGCTCTATTTCAACTGCCTCACTTCGGAAGCTTCCTCTCAACGCATCCTCACTGGCGCCAGCATTCTCCAAGGAAACCTTAGTAATAGCGTCGGCCTCTGACAGCCAGACACTAGTCCACTCTCCGCTGCAGACGACGGCCACTCGTCTGCCACGTAGCATCTCCAGCGGCGGACCCTTGATTTCCAATTCCTGCTCGCTCGTCTGACCCGCCCCGATCGTAACGAGCGATTCCGGCCCGGGAGGCATCCTGCGCCTAATCTGGATCGTCGGGATCTGTATCTGTATGGGGCTCGCGCCACTGTCGTCTTCGTCGTTCTCGCTACCGGCGGGTACTGGTGCTGGTGCTGGTGCTGCTGCGAAGAAGGACACGACGCCCAGCTGCACGGCCAGCGGGTCGAGCGGAGAGTTCCACGACAAGATCGTTACCGGGCTGTCGTGTGCGTTGGTGACGGAAATCGCCAGTTTCGCCGGGCGCGCGCTGACTTGGCGCACTGACACCTTTAGCTTCGAGATGACGTCGTCGGCCGAGTCTGCCATCTTGTCGTCGTCGTCGTCGGCGACCGGGGACCAAGTACCGGGATGGACCGTGTACCAGGATAAAGTGAAGATGATGGTAAGTAGAAGTATCGACAGAATACTTCGGCTTCGACTAGAATGCTTGATGCCCATGTGTCGTTAAGCGAATATTAGAGTAGGTAGGCTTGTGGACGAGAGGTGATTTGTAGCTTGTAGATTTTCTATTGCAAGTATTGCCTCAGGTAACTCTTATCGGCTTCAAAGTCTGCCCTGTAACACCCGGGCCTTCTTACTCTGATGTTTGTGGGTGTAAGTTTGTAAGTTTGGACTTGCACCAGACCTTAACCAAGATTGCATCTACCTCTACCTCTACCTAATATTTAACATTCGATCAAGCGCGATCGATCGATACCGATTGAGGTTTCTTCGCCGTGGAATTTTGCGAAACGACTTCTCGATTAGGATTCTATCTCGCTGCCTGCCCAGATGGAAGATACCATCGCTGTGGGTAAATTCGATGCCAAGCTGTCCCGCCGGACTGGTCGAAAGGGGCAGGTGTTCTAGAATCGTTACGAGGCCCATGTGATTGGCTATTGGGAAAAGCGTGCATCTTGGTTCGACACAGGAAGCGATAATAAGGACGGCAAGCTGAGATATAGTTAATGCAACTCTGCTCAAGGTACTGAATATAGGTTTACTTAATCATAGCGAGGCAAGAGGCTCCTAATTATCAACCTTTATTAGCAAAGGTCTATTACATCATCAATTTAGACATCATAATCTATAAACAATCCTCAAAAACGAAGAAGAGTATATCCACCCAATCCATTCCGTACTGCCCGTACAACAAACCCTAGGTTTATATACAATAACATTCCCAGTCTACAAGCACCTTGCCCCGAGCAGCCTAGACAGCGAAATGTCTCCCCCCTTTTCCCCTCTTCATACGTGATACCAAGTAGATACCTAGACAACTCAATCAAAAACATCCGTAGCATACCTCGTATTCCTCAACCCCTCCCACCACTTCGCCGCCGCCTCATCGTCAACCTCCTTTCCAGACCCATTCTTCACATCCCTCTTCATCAGCTCCACGATCGCATCCCTCACGCCCTCGCCAACGGCCCTCGAGCCGCAGATAAACAGCTTCGCGCCATCCTTCCACAACTTCGTGACCTCGTCGCCCGCGGCCCTGAGCGCGTCCTGGACGTACTTGTTCCCGCCGCTCATCTCTGGCTTGCGGCTGTACGCCCTCTTCACTACAACCGCGCCGCTCTTCTCCCACGCCTCCAGCTCGTCCGCGTACAAGTCGTCTTTACCGGGCTCGCGGCACCCCACGAACAGCATGGCGGGCGCCAGCTTGCGGCCCGCGGCGACCATGGCCGCGCGCTCCTGCACGAAGCCGCGGAAGGGGGCGAGCCCCGTGCCGGCCGCCACGCAGATCACCGGCGTGTTCTCGACGTCCTGCGGCAGGTGGAAGGCCGCGTGCGACGGCCGCACCGCGATGTGCAGCTTGTCGCCCGCCGCGAGCGATGCGAGGTACGACGACGCCACGCCGACGTACCGCCCGGACCCGGATTTCGAGGGCGAGTCGAGGACCGAGAAGGTGAGCGTTACGTGGGATGGGTTCCAGAGGGGGGAGGAGGAGATGGAGCTGTGGGGTCGGTGGGTTAGTAGGTTGGAAAAGGGATCATAGAGGGGGCAGGTTACGTACTATTGTCTCACACGCATCGGCGGAAGCATCGCGAGGAATGCGCCAAGGGGTAGGTCGACGGACTCATACTTCTCAAGAAGATCTAATACAGAGATCCTCTTAGCTGAGACCTCTTCGTAAGAGTCGTTTGCCAGTTTCTTGAGAGCTTCTTTCTCGCCCTCGTCTTTCGTAGCTTCTACGAGGGCACCGATGTTCTATAATCGTGGTTAGTTGGCCTGTTTGCATCGGAAGAATGAGAGAAGATTCATCGACTTACCCTCTTGGTCGCAGGCTGAGATAGTTCGACATAGGCGCCGAAGATGCTGTGAGCAGGTAGAGACGCGTTTGTCGGGAGAGATGTCATTCCATCGCTGCCAATGGTAATATGGGCATCCCATGGGAGGTGGAACCTACGCATAGCTCGCTCCACAGTTTGCTTAGGGTTGATGGGCAGAACGGCGAGATAATCTCCAGCACGGTAAGTTTCGTCGCTCGGGAGCACGATCTCGATATGCTTTTTAGTAGGTTCTCCTTCGGCTGTCAACGTGCGACTCTCAACCACCAGGCCCTCCATGACATCTTGTCGCAAGGTAGATGTGCGTGGGCTCGTGATGGAGACCTTTAGGCCAATGGCTTGCGATAGATCTGATGTGTCATCAGACGTTCCATACTGTTTCTTGAATGCCGGCCAGAGCACTTCATCCTCCCACGTTTCGAAATCGGTGAACGCATCGCCATTTCCAACATCGGTAAGTCCCATATCCGCCACTCGGGTAGCTCCGGCTTCTTCAAGCTTGCTGTCGACTAGTTTGGGAATCCGGTGGAAAGTCTGGGCCCAATCGTGGTGGCCAACACCGAAAACGGTGTAGTGCACGCCTTCAAGCGCTTTCTTGTCCTTGATATTTTCAATCCACGAAACGAAATGGGCGGCGTTGTCGGGTGGCTGTCCCTCGTAAGATGCAGTGATGATCACGACCGGTTGTCCCTTAGGGAGATTTCCGTTCGCGGTATCTAAGATATCAATCTTCGAAACTGTGAATCCGTAGCGCGAAGCATCGCTAGCTACTCTCTGAGCAAAAGATTCGCAAGTGCCACTGTTGCTTCCATACAAGATCGTGATAGGCTTCCCGCCGCCCTCGTTAGTCGATTTCCCGGTATCTCTCACTGAGAGTGAGCTGATAGATTCTGCCAGTGGCTCTTTGCCCGCTAGGCGGTGTTCCAGCTGACTAGGTGTTAGGGCGTCGCGAAGAGTTGCCCTCATGCGGAAGCCCTTGGGCTTGATAGTCAAGGTCTGCTTCAGAGCTAAGCTATACGACGGGTCATCCATCACGAAATTGAAGTTCTGTAAAAGCATAGCTATAGCTAATGTCGCTTCTTGCCAAGCGAATGGGCGTCCGATACACTAAGTCAAGTCAGTAAGTGGGAACCAGGGCTAGTCTGGAATACACGCACCGCCCGGAGTCCATTACCAAACGGTTTCCACGCGTTCTTAGGGAGCTTATTGAATGGTTCTTCCAACATGCGCTCCGGCTTAAATTCTTCTGCGTCATCACCATAGACTGCTGGGTCTACATGCGACTTCTTAAGAAGCAAAGACACGGGCTCATTCTTATATACCGGATATTTGCCCGCAAGAAGAGTGTCTTCTATGGCCGTAACTCCGATTTGAGAGATCGGCGCATCTAATCTGAGGGTTTCGCGCATTATCTAAAAACGTGTTAGCTGGTTCCATCATGTGCTGGAAAAATGCATGAGGGAATGGACGGTAATTGTCAAGATGGACGACATTTGTTGACTTACGGCCGCAATATAGGGGAGCTTAGACATGTGCTCCACTGTGATGGGACCTTTTCCGATAACCGTGTCAACTTCTTCCTGCGCTTTGCGGTAGGCATTAGGGTGCTTGAGGAGTTCGTAGAAGGCGAAGGATAGCAATCCAGATGTTGTCTCGTGTCCTGCGATGAGAAAAGTAATGAGGTTGTCGGTGATACTCGCGTCAGTCATGTGTTGTCCAGTCTTCGGGTCCACGCCGTTGAGCATGGCATTCAGCAGATCCTTCCGATCAGATGGATTCTTTTTACGCTCTTGAAGAACTTCATCGGACGTCCTCCGTAGAGTTTCTATGTCCTTCCAATACTTGGCGTCTTCATTTCGATAGAACCACGAAGGCATCGTTCTGTTCGGCCTGTTGCCTGACTCGGTAAGGAAATCACCCATAGCTTCGACAAATGGGTGTAGCTCCGACGTATAGTAACTGTTGAAACGATATCCCATCGAACAAAGAGCGAGCGTGTCGAGCGCGAGTCGAGTGAAGTCATCCGTGACTTCGATTGGGTGATTAGGTCCATATCGAGCCCATTTCATAGTTAATTGAGTTGCGATCTCGTGCATTTCCTCAAACATGCCCCGGATCGACATGGGGCCAAATGCAGGCATGAGAACTACCCAGTATAGGTAAGCAACCATCGTTACACAGACTGGATCCCAATCAACAAACCTCGATGGGCAATGCCCCAGTTTGGCTCTTCTATCTTGGCCTATTACATTTATTAGTTTACTCATCTCGTTAAAAGAAGTTACAGTGCCTTAATTCACTTACCGTGAATAAACCATCGTGGACACCATTCCGAATTTCGAAAAGAGCACCTTTCGGGATCTTCATGAACCGTTTCTCGTCACAAACCTCGTCAACGAGGCGATGACTTGAAACAAACACTACAGTTCGTCCGGGAAGACGAAGTCGGTAAGTCTCACCTGTGGGAAGAGTGTTAGCAAAGGGTCTGAATAGGGGCATCTGCTTCATCCTATACATACCATACTTGTCTGCAAGAGAGATGAAAGAACGTAGAGGAAGTTCTTTATCAAGTTCGGCGATGTGTCCTAGGAAGGGAAGGCCTGGTGGCTCTGGAATAGGTGTTATATTTGACATTGTCTCGTCTGGATTTATACTCGAGCGACTTAGAATTGAAGGCCACTCGATTTGCATATCCTATGAGGATGTTGTCTCTGGGCTAGGAACCCAAGAGACTTTTGTAGGAAAGATGTATATATATGAATATGAATACCCGTAGGCGCAAGACTCAGCCACCGGGGAGTGGTACACAAGTCCGAAACCCGCCTGATCGGTATTTTGTGAGAGCGGTCCGGCAGGTGCTCGGCCGATGAAATGCTTTCAACAGGGAATTGGTAGTGGTACGAAATAACCGGGCTAATTGATGCAGATGCAGGTATTGTGCACGGTATTGTCTGACCGATCAATAGGAGGTCGAATTTGATGCAGCTAGCTTGTCTTATGATGATAAAAAGCAAACATTGAACAAGGAAATAAAATTTATTACTCGACATATCGAGCCACCGCCGGCATGAGCGAGTTGATAAGTTTTCTAGCAAACCTCATGCTGGCGCGGACCTCGGTTCGGGGGCTAGTCGTCGATCCACTTGGACCTTGAACTCGCTTGACCTCATAGATCTTCACGGGCCTTAAGACTTACCTACATAGACATACTAGCTTATCAACCTACCAATCTTAGCTGTCTTGACAGGGACACTGCCGTTAAAGACCCTTGAGATCTGAAGACCCGTACGCTAAGGATGGAACGGTGCCGCCGGGTGTCGGATCGTAAGTTGCAGCACATTAGTTTAACCCTGGTCTCCATGCATATATGGCTTGAACAGCTTGGGCTCTGCTTGGCTACATAATAAAACGTGGCAGCGTACATACAAGGTAGCATACGTTTACGTATTCGCAGGCCGAGGTATGTTCATAGTAGATCGTCTAAGAGGCGTCGTGGCACAGGGGCGAAGCAAGCAGATGAGTAATGAGTCTCGGTCGCTTGGCCGAAAGTTGAAAAGGATTCCAGGTTTTTTCGGGGCGGATATTTGCTTATCGCATTTTCTATCGGGCACTAAGTCAACGGGTTAGTCTCTTTTCCGCATGTACCAATATTGTAGACCACCATCAAACCTAATAACGAATGGCTGGCGTCATTGTGCAGGTTGCTTCATGTAAGCTCTCTACCGTAGATTCTGCAAGAAATATTGAATTTTCTAGCTAACCATAACGGTTCTAGCAGGTATTATTCTTCAATGTTGTTGTCAGAAAAGATGATAGCAGTTTCTATTTTCGATCAACCTTCAAGGTTCGATTGTTAGGGCTGAGAATTGCACCTAATGGGGTATAATACCCTGTGTATGTACTTTAGTACCTCCTTAATATGGAATTAGAACCCTTGAAACCTTCGACCGAGGTTGAAATTTGAACGTTCCACTTTTCCAATTCAACATTCTCTTAATCAAGACTAAGGACATTTATTCTCTCAACATCTTCTTTCTGAGCTTTCTTAAAATCTATGTAACACCTTGTATGCTTGTATGTTTATGGCATTCTCCCGCGGGCTAATCTTTAAACAGCACTTAGGTGCGAGTTAACCAATGGGGCTATTTCCAAGTAAACACCACTAGAGTTTCACCCATCACAAAAGAGGAATAGTATGACGTCTTGGCATCTTGCCGATTTCTCGCTCTAGGTAGCGCTCTACGGCTCTGCTAGGTCAGCACGGCGGCGACACCGCCGCCTTATTGTGTTATTCCGGTCGGGTTAGTGGTCGGCCTAATTTTTAACCCGTCCATCTTTCCATATGACCCATATGCTACGAGATACATAGTATGCGTTCAACTCGCGCCATATAACGTCTCTTCAATGACACAAGTTCGCCGACTGGCAGTATCGCCGCCTACGCCGCACCCTACAGCATGCGCTGCCGTACTGACACGCAATCATAATATTCATCAGTACCCATTCGGCGACGGATATGTCTATTTCATCCGATTATCCAGCGGAAAATAGACGGAGTTTAGGCTTCTCCTGTTGGCTTAGCCCAACCTGACGCCTAGCAGAGTCCGCCAATCTAACCTTCTCTTCACAAGTAAATGAGATATTTTAAAGGTTTGATATCTACTATGAGAGTTACATAGCAGTGTCCTACTAGCAGTTATCACCATTGGTATGGACACGATAACTCGCCTCCTCCCTACCATTGTACGTATATGTGCCTTACGACCTCCTATAAGGTACGGGCGGCTCCGAACATGTTACTGTGTTGTAAGTCATTGTTTCTAGCAGCTCTGTAAATCTCTTTTATTCTAGGTGGGTTTTGTTAGTTCCCATATATAATATCCTATTACACATGTCTTTGTCTACAACCATCATATATTGACTGCATTCGGTAGGTATCTAGGTAATCATTGTAAAGCGTCATCGCACATAAGATAACAATCATCGTCTAGAGCTTGAAGATGACAAAGACCTATTTCATCATTACCGCAAGCGAAGGAGCCATAAACTATCCTGGATTTATAGATGAAGGATAACACGGAGTCAAGCTTTGCCGGCATCACATCAATTTTAAGGAATCGAAATTCCCTATTTAATTCCCTGATTCATCACAGAGTCTAGTTTGTTGAGAAACTCAAGTTAAAAAGCTAATCGGAGAGTACTTTACTTCGAGTTTCGTAACCACAATAATAATCGAGGACATCGTAGGATCGCGGAGAAACAATGGCTCTCCTACCGTTCTCCCTATTCCAAACTCTTACCATAGCCTTCATTGTTTATACTATCACGAACTATTATAACTCGGATTCATCCCCAAGCACAATTTGGGACCGGGACTACGAACCGCCAGAGCCTACACCGAGCCATGCTGGGGGGACGGATGTCAGCCGGGTTATGGTCCGTTTCTGGGAGGGTTGCCAAACGATCTTCGACGATGAGAATGGAATGGCGCCCTGGTTCAGTGATGCGGATGCTAATAGTAGGCTCATCACCACAATGATGGAAGCCGTACCCCTGAGTTATAAAACAACGTCTAAATATAACTCCATAAACATACCGAGAATAGAGACTCTAATTGAGGAACGCAAAAGCGAACTCGTAAAAGCCAAGGATGCATTCAAAGACTACGCTAGCGTTCGCCAAGAGCTACGACGTATCCTATTTTCCAACAAAGTCCTATGGTATTGGTACGCTGATAATGAACAGGACGTTGCGTTCTTGCGTCGTATTTCTAAGTTTACAGTGGCGAACGCAACGATAGGAAAACCGTGGCAAGATGCGGAAGAATTTGCGAAAACTTCTGGGGTCAAGATCCTCAGAGAGCTTCGAAGGACCTGGGAGGAACACGGTATCGCCGATGACCTTGGAAAGCACCTGGCTACGATGCGAAAGCATTTAAAGAGAGCCTTGGGCCATGAGGAACAATTCATCAGAGAGCTACAGAAAAGGTCGTCGAAAGGCCACATGTGGCCTTCGCGGCAAGCAAAACATGTTCTACCTTGGCTCGTTGAGAGGGCCACAACCCTATATCATGCGCACGGAATCATCGACGAGACTGTAATATGGATGAAGCTCATCATGATAAATCCTCCAGGGATATTCAACGGCTACGGAACATACCAAATGTCAACCATTCATTGGGCTAAAATTATAGATGACCTCTTGAGGGAGTGGGGTACGTTATTACTAAGTTCACAACAAGGCATGCTGCTCGCCACGCGACGAGAAAAGTTAAAGAGCATCAAGGACCTCCGCTATTTCAACATTGAAGAATCATGGGATGAGTGGAAGGAGCAAAACTGCGGTGGGACATCATGTTACAAAGCCACCAATCCAATTTTCGCGGTGGCAAGATTCTTAGGCATTAATGGGCTACCTCTAGCAGGTCGCTCTCGGGACGAGGAAGCATTCTGTAAGAAGCAGACTCTGGCAGTTGGCAAGACACCTAAGGTTTGGCGGAGTGTGTATGAGCAAGCTTGTTGTCAAGAGGGGCCGGTTAACGCGTTCATAAAATACGCGCCATTAGAGACGTTGCTCTACCAACAGGAGTAACCTATGCTGGATATTGGAAATGGGATACCGGGGAGCTAAGGTGGATGTATGATAATTGTGTGTATACGTATTTAGGTACCAACTATTCTGGGTAGTTTGTTCCAATAGCTATTCATTAGGTATGCATAAACTTAGGTATCAATATGTAGTATGAATAAGTCAATTCTACCAAGACCTATCCATCTATCTAAGTTCATATGCCCTGGCTCGGTGGTCCCTCAGGTACTACAGCTCCTTGAACTGAGGCTCCACCTCCTAGGACATTTACCCTTGCCTCCGCATTACTTCTTTCCCTTAGATCCTGCTTCAATGTCCGGCGAGAAGTGGACTCTCGTATGAACTGTGCTGACGCCCTGATCCCAGACCTCCAGCTGGATCGACTGCTTACGGAGGTCCTCCACATCCTTGAAAGTGCTAAGAGGTGCCGTTTTCTTAGTCTTCGACAGTCTCGCCACTGTGATAAATCCGGAACCGGGAGGCGATAGCGCAGCTTCGAAGTCGGCCGGCTGCGCACACGGCGGATAGATTGCCATGGAACAAGCCGGCCAGGGCACGGTGCGCTCGGCTCTCTGCTTGGCCGTGTAGTTGACCACCGGCAAAGTGAGATGATGAGAGCTATTGGGATACACGTAGATGTTCGGGCCCAGCTGCGGGTTGGGGCTGGGCGAGACGATGATCTGAGGACGTTCGGAATGCATAGTTTCCGCTGTGGCATGTTCAGTATTGAACTCGAGAGGTGGCGTGGCGCCTATGCGCCGAGATAGTCTCATCCAGACGCACTGGTCGCATGGGCAGGCATGGGGTTCATGAATGACTCGTGGAGTCAGAAGAGGTGGGGAGGAGTAAGGGGTAAATGACTGATGAACCGCCTCGGGGGCTGAATTCGGATCTGGAGGAAAATTTATCGGCATGATGGACTTACGTCTTCTCTTGTGTTTCTTGGTGCGGAGTATATGGTAAGATCCTGAACAGCTTCTGATGAGACACATATTTGTACGGCTCTTGGATAGATATTTGCTTACCTTAATGGACGCTAAGCCTGAGATATTGCAGATATTGAAGCTGCAAGTCTTTGTCTATGCTCAGATAGAGAAGGTCTCAGGCAGGAAGGTGCTCTTAAGAGATTGAATAAGAGGTTCTTTGACTTCTTTGCTGCTTGGTTACATTAGCAACATGAAGAAACTTCATCGATGATGAGAGGCTTTGGAAGACTTAAACCCACGTCAAGTGCGTGATCTTTATGGCCTGTTATTCCGAAGCTAAAGAACCGGTGAAGAGAATATGTTTAGTGTTAAGTCTAGTACCTACCTAGGTAGGTATATATAAGATAAATGACCTGGCCTCCTCACTTGGCTGAAGCTTCATCTGGGATCTTAAAGGAATATTCACACTTTATATTTCCCATCAAAACTATTGGCTATGAGTTTGCTTGACTCTACCAAGCACTGTGATCTCCGTTTGCTTAACTTTTGTTCTAGGTATGGTGATTGGACCGCCTTGACTCAAAATATGTGAACAGTATAGTATCTATATATGACTCATCTATACATTACCATGTTTTTTTGAGAATGTTACTACGCTGATGTGTTTGTTTCGAAAGCAAATTGGAGCTAGCTCAAATTGTTCCCCAAGTCTCCAGTACTATTAACCATAAACTTGAAAGTGAACCTCACCCTGATCTATCCGTGAATAGAGTACTTCTATCTCTTTGGTTGGCATAAGACTACAGCTCCACCACGATTAGTAACTGTACTTCCAGCAACCCCTGAGTTCCACAAAATCTTACTTCTAGTTGGTTAGACGCCTCCGAAGATCACTGTGAGAGCCTCAACGCTCACAGGCTTTGAGGGCCTGCGCTATTGCCGATGTACAGTTACCGGTTCTGTGGAGACTGTAGTCTTATGCCAACCAAAGAGATATACTACTTATGTCGCTTTATATGACTTGGGAGAGGTATTTAAGCAATTGGACATTATATTTACATATGTTAGGCGTTGTATCAACACTGTCGATACTTTGATAAAGGGGTCACTCCTTTTTATAACTTACATAATACAGAGCTGATTATATAAGCCAACCGGCACAAGTTAGGGAACTCCACCGAGCTGGACCTGTCCACGGTGGCCATAGCGCATGAGCAATGGAACGTGGCCAGATCTTTGTTAAGGCTTCCAGCAGATAAGCGTAGCTGAAGTAACGCAGGTACGGAACAACTTTTTTAGCTTTTTTAGCACTTAGTGGCTCAAACTTACCGAATCCATCATCGCCGCATTGCGACAGATCCCAATTGCAATTCACCACTTATCCTTTAATTTTTTTTTCCATCCGCTTCTCTAAATCTAAGTCACTCCTACACATCCGTCCTTCCGTTAAAAAGGCTGTCGCACTCTGTCCTGCCCACAAAGCAGTCTTCCTTTGCTCATTGCTGTATTCTATCCCTCGTGGTGTTCTCTCGACAGTCAAAATGGCCGGACTTAGCCCTCAAGTGTATGTGTTGTTGAATTCCCTTCGCACCCGCACGTGTGCGCTGCGCCTGCAAGACACTGACAGTATCGCAACAGAACCAACATCATCATCATTCTTGGAATGATGCAGGTGTCCAAGCGAATCCCCTTCGAAGATCCTAACGTCCTCAACATTGTTCGCGCGCTCTACATTGCTAGCAACGTGATTATTGCTAGCATCTACCTCTACACCCAGGTTCAGATTAACAAGAAGAAGGGTATGGCCTCTTTTGCATACGGTATCATGTGCATGTTCAAACAAGGTTGCTGACTTAATATTCTATAGACCTCACTACTCTTAAGTATGTCGAACCGGCGCCGATGGGATCCTCGGAAGAGGGCAAGCTCGTGACAACCACCGTGCACGCGTACGACTCTCAACAAATCAAAAACTCTTTCCGGTCGCAGCTTATGGGTATCGCGATGATGAGCTTCATGCACTTGTACATGAAGTACACCAACCCGCTCGTTATCCAGTCTATCATCCCTCTCAAGAGCGCTCTCGAGTCCAACCTGGTTAAAATTCACCTCTTCGGCTATCCCGCAAGCGGAGATCTCAAGCGTCCCTTCAAGCAGGCTGCCGGACTTATGGGAGGTCTCCAGAGCGGTCCTGCGCAGAGTGACAAGAAGGCTGTCGAGGCTGCCGAGCGTGCCGGTCGCGGTGGAGTCAAGGACGAGTAGACACGTCTTAGATCTTCTCACCTATAATATTTTGGGGGCGGGGCAGTGACTTCAGTCATGGTATTGGTGTTCTAGATTTCGGATGTCATTAATGTCGCTATCCGTGCCTGTTTATTAACATACCGGCGCATTGTCTCACGAATAGATGATCATAATTCATGCGTACTTGCCTATGATATTGTCCAAGCGCTAGCCCGACCATGTTTCTCTTTAACTGAGTATTTCATGATATGACTAACTTCGTATTTGTGACAGGAGTCGAAGTCTAGTGCATGTAATTTCGGATCTTGATTCAATAATTCGTAATGCAATTTATTGTTGTATGTCCAAGAATGATTGTACCTTTGTACATTTAGGCAGGCCTCAATTGCCGCAGCGCAAACGTCGGTGCTAGTTTCCCTTTCTAAAACTTCCGACGTCACCGTCTTACACCACTAAGTTTGACCCCTGTATTCTTTTAGACAGCATCATCAACTTTCACTTCCTCGACATTTTTCCATTCATCCTCTAAATACCCGACCTCTTTTACGCTTACTTACCTGTATTTTCGATCCCATAAAATTCTATATCGAGATGGAGCGTCCTGTGACGCCGCCATCGCAGGCTCGAACTGCTAACCCGTCGAAGCCGATAGCCTCTCCTCCGACTCCTGAAGTTACACGGCGCATTGTGAGTCAAGCTACTACAAATCTATATACTTCTATCTATCGGGTCTATTTTCTAAACAAATCTCAAATCAAAGGAAGAAAACCGTCTACGAGCCAAGGCATTGCGCGAGCAACATGAATCCGCCGTCCGCGCATCCGGCGCACCATCCGTCTCCCGCACACCGTCCGGCTTCATCGCCAGCGACAACGTCCACGTCCCGAACGCGTGCAAGCGCGCCCACGATGCCATATCAGGCCCGTCGACCAGCCGCGACGGCCGCGCTAACGGCGCTTCACCGGTCAAAGGCGGCGCTGCCGCGGGGGCCGACCAGGGAAAGGAGGGGAAAGACGACGGAGCCATCCGGCCGGCGAGGAAGTTCACCAAGTTCGTAGACTACGACTTCGGGAAGATGACGGATACGAAGGGTGGATTTTTAAGCGCCGAGGATGATCCCTGGAATAAGGCTATGTCCGGGTCCACGGCGAAGGGGAAGAATGGCGCGCCGGCTGACGGACCGCAGGAGAGGCCCAAGGGCATGACGGTGCAGGAGTGGGAGAGGCTACAACTGCTGAGGAAACTCCAGCGGCAGAAGGCGGGGCCGTTTGAGCCCGGGCTGAGTGTGCTACAGGACAAGAAGGACCGGAAGAAATGCCGGGAGTGCGGAAGTCTTGAGATCGACTTCGTGTGGGAGGAAGTGTTCTCGTGCTGCGTCTGCGCGGCTTGCAAGGAAAAATACCCGGAAAAGTACAGTCTTTTGACAAAGACGGAGTGTAGAGAGGACTATCTTCTTACGGATCCGGAGCTGAAGGACGAGGACCTGCTACCACACCTCTCGAGACCTAACCCTCACAAGTCGCATTGGCATGACATGTGGCTGTTCCTACGGTTTCAAGTCGAAGAGTACGCCTTCAGCGACCAGAAGTGGGGTTCCGCGGAAGCGCTAGATGCCGAGTTCGAGCGCCGTGAGACGGAAAAAAAGAAGCGGAAGGAAGCTAAGTTCAAAGAGAAGCTGCTGGATCTGAAGAAGCGGACGAGGACGGACGCTTACAAAAGAGAGAAAGGGAAACTTGGGGGGTCGGCATCGTCGGGTAAGAAGGCTCAGTTCGGCGACTCGGTGTTGAACGGCGCCAAGCACGTTCACGAATGGGGCCGTGTTATCGAGAATGAAGATGGTGAGACGGTGAAGACGTGTACTACTTGTGGGATGGAGGTTGAGGAGATGGAGTTTTAGAGAGGATAGTAAGATGATACCCGTCCATTGAATCGAAGTAACGACAGGAGATGACGTCTTTTTATGGCCTTAGGGCAACATGTCGGTGGTCATAATATTTAGACATTACTGTGTAGGTACTACGCATACGTCTCACATGGCATTCACTAGAGCTCAGTTTTAGGGTGTCACAGTAGACTCTTGAACCTGTGCACTCAAGGTTCTATGAGAATGCTCGGAGAAGCGGCCTGATATCGGCGGTTCATGGTATGCTGTTTTCAAAAAGGGGTTTCTCAGCCCTATCTGAATTCATTGACGTATATTTGAGGATATTGAGATCTTTCAGCATTAACCTGTGAAACTCCGTAATTTTGTCTCTTGCGCGCGGGTCCAGTTCCGTTGCATGGAAACGTGGGAGCGCAGGATTTTGTGGGACCTGCTTATGAAGATGGATAATACTTCGCTGCTTCGGTAGCTGCGAACATATGATCATGTAAGGGCGAAGCACCGAGACTATAACAAGATGATGTAGGGCAATCGCTATAGACATTTTAGAATAGGACATTGATTTATTTGGACATACTAACATTAATTCGGTCCTCGATTTTCTGATCTCTAAATCAGCCTTAGATCGAGACTTTACGAGTCATAGGCGTAAACTCATCGTCAGTTGATCCACTAGATTTCCGTGGAGACATGTCGGGTGACAGCTATCAGCCAGTATAGCGTGGTATCACAGCATATCACATTTTCAGTACAGAGTAAGACGGAAGGTTGATATCGCAATTTGAGCCGAGTGTACCTTAGGTGTGCTATATCATCTCTATTCACCGGTGAGAAGTAATACTCCCTTACTTACGCTAGATACTCTAAATTAACGTCGGAGGCTTGCTCTCGCATGCAGTTAATCCTAAGCAGAAGCTTACTTAGTTAGACCACAATGCTACCGATAAGCTTGAATGTTTAACAGTCACTTATAGACGCAGTGTCGGGTTTCACCTACTAGCACTGGCTTGTGACGCCTTCTCGTGCCTTCGGCACTGCGCTTTAATTAGGGAAACGGGCAGCGATTAAGACGATACTTCTTCTATTCACTAAATCTCTTATACTACCTTGTATTTATACCGAAATTCAATATACCAACTAACCTCCAGCAATATACTAGTTGCTGCCCGTTTCCCTAGTTAAAACGCAGTGCCGAAGGCACGAGGAGGCGTCACAACATTAGTCTGGATAGGCCCCTAGTCGATCCTATCTACCCCAGGTGCGGGATCTCCCGTTCGTGTCGGACAATTCGGACTCATACCCTACCGTCCATCCGCTTCTGGGGCCGCATGAGAGCCGTCTTTAATTGCCATTGCTACTATTAACAGCGTAGCTTGATGGTGCCGCTCTTACGCGTTGATGATGCAGGTCGGCGTCGGTCACTATTATTTGATCACACCTGGCAAGTCTGCTTCGTGAGTCCGAACAGTCCAATACAGGCGAGGATCTCGTTCTCGGTCTTTCGCAACTGATCCGGCACTGTACATACCTAACCAAGAAAGGAGTTCAATATAAGACCAGACTTCTGCGAGAACAATGTTGTTGTGATAAAAATTCAACTGTGACTTGACTAGACGACATCGTTTATTTCAACAGGATTCATCTGTGCTTAATTACCATATTAATACCCAAATACGATCATGGAAGTATTAGGTGGCGTCAAGGGTTACCAACTCTTTGCTATTGCCATAGGCATAGCCTTGCTAAGCGTAAGGGCTCTACACTTCAAAATCAAAGTCTCAAATGGTATTAACTTATCTTCCAGTACATTTATACCGTCTTGACTCATCCTCTGGCGAAGATACCAGGACCTTGGTATACCAAATGGACCATGGCACCTTTCAAATACCAAGTGATCACGGGGAAACGGCCAAAATGGGTTCATGCTTTACATGAGAAATATGGTTCGTCATCTACTCTATCCCAAGCCCTCTTCGTGCACATGTATTTACTATATCTTCTTTGATTAGGTCCCATAGTTCGCATCAGTCCGATCGAGGTCAGTATACAGGATCTGAAGGCTGTTCAGCAGATGTATCATGTCAAGAACGAGTTCCGCAAGTCATCCTGGTATGCAGACTTTAACCCTGGGCTTCCAAATGTCTTCAGCACAACCGACCTCGATTACCACAGACGGCACCGGAGGCTTCTCGCCGCGGAGATCTCAGAGTCGGGATTGGTAGCTCATAGGCCCACAGTAGACTCTAAAGTTCGTCTAGCTGTCGAACGTATAGCTGAAGAGATGGAGGAACGCGGAGCGGCAGTGAGTGGCTCTATCAAGTATAGTTGAAAAGAGAAAATAGAATCTAACCTTACTCCCATGAAGGACGTATATCGCTGGACTTTGTACATGGCTACAGACGTTATCGGAGAACTCAGCTTTGGATCCTCCTTTCGCATGTTAGAGACTAAAGAGGTACATGCTATCGCTTCCTCTCTTTACCATTAAGCAGCACCACTGATTAAGTCAACGACATATAGGAAACCCAGTATATCCGCGACCTAAAAATGGTCGGCTTCGCCGGCGGACTCAGGGCGACATTTCCCTTCCTCACATATATCACCAACTACATAAGGCTGCCCGTGATAAGCGTGGGGACGGAAGTGCGCAACCGCCTCCGCGAGTACGCGAACCAGTCTCTCGGACGGCACTACAAGCTCGTCGAAGAGCAAGGCGACGACGCCAAGCTGACGCTCCTGTCGAAGCTGTACCGCGCCAACGAGAAGGACGGCGAGACGCTGCCCTTCCACGAGCTGCGCGAGGACGCCATGGCGTACATCACGGCCGGCAGCGACACCACGACCAACACGCTGACGTACCTGTTCTGGGCCGTCGGCCGGGACCCGGCGATCAGGCAGAGGCTCGTGGCGGAAATCCGGACGCTACCCGATAACTTCGAGGACCCGGACGTGAAGAAACTGACGTACCTCGACAACGTGATCCAGGAGACCCTCCGCTTGTACTCCGCCGCGCCGGCCGGCTTGCCCCGCCTTGTGCCCCCCGAGGGCGCGACGCTTGCCGGATATTTCATCCCGGGGGGTATCACTGTTTCGGCGCAGGCGTACAGCATGCACCGGAATCCGGATGTATACCCGAATCCGTTGAAATTCGACCCGTCGAGGTGGGAGAACCCGACTAAGGCTATGAAGGATTCGTTTGTGCCTTTTGGCGCAGGTAGTCGAGGTGGGTTTTATTTCTACAACCATCGATTTCCATCTGATCTATTTGAAGAAAACCTTCTGAAATTGGGTTCATTGTGATTGCTGACCCTATGTACCTAGTTTGTCTCGGATTGCACTTGGCCAGGATGGAATTGCGCCTTATGACTGCCCGTTTCTTCACCCGGTTCCCGAACGCGAAGCCGTCGACGTTGGAAGGGTTCACTGATGACGATATGGACCCTAAAATGTTCTTCCTCATGCAACCCAAGAACCAGAGATGTCTTATTGAAGCTCGTTAAGTGAAGGTCACTAGATTGGTGTTTATGGATGGTAACAAATAGGCGTAGGGGAAATATTCAACAGGATGCCTTCACCGAGGATATAGGGGAAAATTGTATAAATCATTAAATTTAGATTGGTCAGTCAGTTAGTTACCTAGAAGATAGAAAGTGTGTCAAAATTGTCGTGTGGCAACGAAACTAGATCCCATCGACTCTCATAGGCATTGTCGGTTTTGAATGTCTCTTATTATGCCAATGGGCTTGGGGCTCATGGAACAGACTTAATGAAAGCTTCATGTTTAACCAAGAAATACACAAGCGGCCCCAGTGACGAGGATATATAGTAACTCCATATTTCTAGAATAGAAAACCAACAAGCTTCGATGAACAAAATACCGCCTCTCTATATTACCAGTGTTCCGCGCTAGCAGTGGCCACGCTACCGCCCCAAAATAACACCATATAACGATTGTAAGAACAAAAGGGTATCATCCCACACCAATGCCCACGATATCTTGCCCAAAAGAGAGAATATGGACCCGTCAAACCCGAAAACATGACCCAGTAACGCCAATATCACTCTAACTTCCCAAATTTGACGTATATGCTCCTAAGCCTCCAATGGATGAATGCGGGGGTATCAATGACTGTAGAGAATAAAAGAATAGGAATGCCGATCTTGGATGAGATTTCATCCGCATCTCTTCCCACACGTGAAAATCCAACCTCCTCTAAACTCTTTCGACAGGGTGCACCGGTCTGGCTCCCAAAATACTCTCCTCATCCTCATCACGCTTAACAGACGCACCAAAGAAGCCGCTAGGCACGTCTTCAGCAGTCGCAGTCAGAGGCGGGACTGTAACCGGACCCGGACCGCCAAGTTCCCAGCTCCCAACACGCTCGTGCCTGACGCCGGTTTTCGCGATCGAGACATCATGGTCCGAGGCCATCTTCTCAGCACCTTTGAAACCTCCTAAGCTAGTACGCCGTCTATCAGCGTCCGACGCATCCCTGCGCCGGATTCGTAGTCCACCGAAGAAGAACGCTGCTAATCCAGCAACGAGGAGAACCGCAATAGTTGTCAGAGCACCAATCACGCCCGCAACGGCTGGAGAAACAGACGCATTGCTCTTCGCACTACCACCAGTCAATTGGCCAGCCTCAGTGCTATCATCCTGGGTCAGAGCACTGCAGAACAGCGTGATGGAACCGCAGAGACTGCACCACTGCGAAATATCCTGGATCGAGAACTGCGCGACGCTATCCTCGAAGTCGGTCCAGCGCATCCGCGTCTCCGAGTTGCCCAGCCCGAAGAGCGGGTACTCCGTCATCGGCGCGTCGGCGCCCGTGCCGTTGCGGTACAAGAACCGGATCCAGAGGTCGTCTTCGCTGGGGTAGCTCGCGCCGCCGTCGTCGTCGTCCGTGGTGCTGAAGAGCTCGAACACCATCGCCGAGCCCGGCAGCGGGATCTGGCGGAAGAGCCCCGCCGTCGACGCGGCGTCCGAGAGGTTCGACAGCGCGAAGAAGGCGAGGAAGGGCTCGAAGGAGCCGAATAGGAGCGTCATCTTGTTGGCGGAGCCGCCCGAGTGGATGTGCGCCGAGAGCTGCGCTACGACGCGAGCTGCGAGCATGCGGCCCGAGATGGCGCGGATCATGTCGCCTTCCTGCGACCCGGACGCGGATAGGTTTCCGTTGAGGTCGAACTGCTGGATGCTCGCCAGGCTGCGCAGGATCGTGAGGCGGTCATCGTTGAGTACTTCCTGCGCTGTCTCGTTGTGGTCGTACTCGTACTGGGCGTAGTCGTACAGCTCGTAAGCGTAGTCGAAGTTGATCATGGAACTAGCTATCGCGTTTGGGAATACCTCCGCGAACGTGGTTTCGTAGAAGTTGAGTGTTGAGTTATACATCTCTTGGCCAATTGAACTGCTCCTGAAGTCGTTGCTCGATGCCCAATATTCGGCGCATGCCGAGTGTCCTTCGAGCCTGGTAGTTATATTAGTGGGCTGGTAAGCTTCGTTCAGTTTCATGTAGCTCACCAGACAGAACTCATATCTGTGACTGGTATGGTCAAAATATTTGGGTATTGATAGCCATCTAGAGGATAGTCTACCATAGTACCATTGGCTAACAAAGAGGCATTTTCACCACCATTATTAGATGCAAAGGTTCGAGTGACTGGTGGATATAGGCCTTGGAGGAAGGCCAGGGCACCTCCGACTACATAGTCGTCTGTGGTGCTGTAAATGGAAAGTTGGCTGTTATCAAGAGCTTGCAACTCTATGCCTGAAATAGGTGAGTTTGTCGTTATTGCGTTTTCTTCAGCCGATAAGTTCGCATTGGGAGACAGATATCGAGCTCTGTAGAGCGATCCCTGAGCGTAAAGCTGCTGCGCACCCAGTGGAGTTAAACTAGGCGCAAGTTGACCTTGTAGAGGCGTGCGCTCGCCATATAGGACGTATGAAAACGAAGACCAGACTGTTTCATTCGTGGATATGGCTAAAGCCTCGCCTACGAGTGAGAAAGCGGCAACCGCTGCCTTTAGCGAACGTGAAGCCATTTTACAGGCTTAACTGCGGCACGCTCGTGTTTTATGAATGTTAGGATATCCAGAGACTAGGTGACACTATACAACAGCTCAAGGAGTAGAATTGAGAGAGCTGTGAAGCTGACTGAGAAGACAAAGGAGGGGTATCCGAGGGACAAAGATGGATGAGCCCAGTCTGCCTCCGGACCTGGCTTACCACTGGCGCAAACGTGCATATACATACCTGCATACCTACCGATTATACCTACATATATATGGCTCTCAATGGCACCTGATAACGTGCCTACTTTTCCCAGATGTGCCCTGACATCCCGCTAGGTGCGTAGTACCGGCGCCGGAGTGTCAGCTTAGGGACATAGAATGAGATAGAGTATGAGCTATCGCTGAGCCAGTGAGCCTTGACCATTGAAAGCGGCGGGGAGCTTGGGGAATGGCGGGGTAGCTCGCTGGCGTTGTGAAGCATGCAAGATAAGAACAAGCACGCCAAGCTTGGCATTGCCTCTTTTGGGACTTTGGCCCTGGATGGCTGGGATGGGGCTATCATCGGACACGCCTTTACCCCTGTCGAGTCGATGAGCGAGTCGATGAGCTAGGAAACCTGCAGTGGTGATCTGCTCTATTATACCACGATGGTAAAGCGGTTGCATGAAGGTACCTGTGACACAAACTGCCAATATTAGGTAACTAGGTAGATATGGTTCCACTTGTAAAAGAGAAGCCCGGATCTAGGGGCGTTTTATTGATACGGTCAGTGGTGGGGAAACTGGGAAGCTCAGGTACTCTTTTGCTGCATGTTCTTTTGCTGCATGTCTGAGGTATGCAACTAAGCGGAGATAAAGCGGTGTTTGGCGTTGAAAACCGGCCTGATATTCTTCGGCAACTTTTACGTAGACGGACTTAGCTTAGCAATCTTAATTATATCCATACTTCCTATTACCTAGCATCAACCAGTCTGAGTACCTCTGATGCTGCCTACCTACCTACCTATCTACCAAGGTACCTAGAGCATGAACCAAAGACATCGAATATGGAATATCTATGGATGATAAGTCCTTTCTCTGGAGCCGCTAGGCAAAAACGAGTATTTGCAAAGCTTGGCAAGGGAAATGAAGCACGATGTGTCATCCCATCGTGCATACAGTACCAACTTCAAACTCGAATCTAAGCCCCGAGCCGCAGCTGCTTCCGGAAGGATCCAGGACCGGCACTGTTAATGATATTCTCTAGGGAGCTAGAATATCACGTAGATGAATGCTCGATTTATAATAGCGAGATGAGATTGCGCATAACTCAGCGTCAATCTACGCCCACGTGAGCGGACAGGTGCAACACTTTCCTTAGGTAATTATACGATCTGTCCTATCAGCGACGGCAAAGATCAGGATAGCTTTGCTGACGGGCGGACATTTTGTCCGCTAAAGCGTCCGCCTTTAGTCTATTTCCGGGTATTGTCTTAGGATAGCACGGGGATGTGGATCCGCATCCCCTACTACATGGACGTCCGTATTCTTGCCAACAAAGTTATAAAAGACCTGTTTTGCCCGCTCGACGAGATAGCATGAAAATAATCTCTTTTTAACAGTATCTAAATATTCACACTTTTTTAGGTCTTCTTGCTATATTTGAAACAATGGCGAAAGGCTCTGTTCTGGTTACTGGCTCCAACGGAGGTCTAGGCTCTGCTATCATTGAACGGATCCTACGTCGACCGTCTGTCGCGCAAGACTACTACGGGCTATACGCTGTACGCAAGACTGAGACCGCTCATGATGCGAAGAAGTCTCTTCAGGGTGCTGCCAAAGTGAATCATCAATATGAGCTTGTCTCGCTTGACCTCGCAAGTCTCGATAGCGTACGCAAGACTGCTGCAGATATCAACGGGAGAGTTGCGAGCGGCAAGCTACCACCCATCAGGGCGCTCATTCTTTCCGCCGCCTACCAAGAACACTTCACCCATAACTTCACCAACGACGGCTTCGATATGACTTTTCAGGCTACTTACCTCTCACACTTCCTCTTGGCGCTTCTTCTCCTCCAGAGCATGGACAAGGAGAAGGGTCGTATCATCATTCTAGGTAGCTGGACACATGAGTAAGCGACCATCACTCATTTCCACCGGCAACGGCTTCGACTAACCTCTCCTAGCACTACCGACCCCAAAAACAAGGCAGGACCTTATAAAGAGACATACGTGCCCGAGGAGTTCCACCAAATCTTCACTGATCCCGAGGGTAGCACGGAACCGATCGCCAAAGGTAAATGGGGTGTAGCCAAGGGTCTCAAGGAAGACCAGGACCCTGTGGCTGGTATGAGGCGATACGGAGCCGCTAAGCTAGCTCAGGTCATGACGATGTAAGTGTTTTCAACCGTGCCTCTTACTTACCTGCCTAGGCAACTAGAGAATCTACCATCACTCGACCCCGTTGCCCCCGTGCCCGGGCAGATTACTAACATCCACCAGGAAAGAGCTAGCACGTCGCCTACCCAAAGATCCGGCCTTGTCCAACATTTCGACACTCTGCGTGGACCCTGGGGGGATGACTAGCCCATTATCTCGTCGCGCTCCGTGGTTCTTGCGTACCATTGTTCTTCCTCTCATTGGCGCAATAGTCGCGCCGATCATGACCTGGTTGCACCCCAACGGCGCCCTGCGAACCCCGTGGAAGTCGGCCGGCGACGTGGTGCGCGCGGCCTTCGACACGGACGGCTACCTCGCGAATCCGAACGGACTCTACATCAACGGAACGGACGTCATCGAACCTGGCCCCGAGGCCAAGGATGAGACTAAGACCCAGCGATTATGGCGCGATAGCCTTGTTTATGCTAACGTCAAGGAGGGCGACACCGTGCTGGCGGATTGGAAATAAAGATGAGTGTTGGTGGTAATTTGGAACGGTCCTGCGGTTTCCCCGTTATTAAGTAGTATATATCTGTAAGATTGTCTATACGCGATAGAATGCTTTTTAATCAGATCAAAATTGGAACGAGATTAAAGCGGCTCGGGTGATTTCGCGCTGGTGTTATATTACGACATGTCATATGACGACGATGGGATATCCGAGGTCGGAAACCGCCTTCCAGCATTAGATTGAGAGCTAGATTTGCCGAGTATTAGATGAGTGCCGCCAGGTCGGTATCGAGAGATTGCCATCGCCGGAGACAAGGTCGATCGTTTGAGCAGGCGAGCTATGCTACGTGCCAACGTAGATAAATGGGCGTTCCTGTAGGGACCGTCGTAATCCGGATGCACGAAATGCATCACTTTGCCTATGAGAAGGTTCAAGGGGTTACGACGACCGAAGATGGAGAGCATCTGCAGCCCTGCTGTGCCATTGCAAGAACGTTACATATGTTGGGATATATATTACGGCTATATTACCCGCTAGCTTGTTCTTAGATATGTATTTGTATTTGTATATCTTATGAATGAAGGTGGCGTGGATTTCGCACACAGCGGAATATTACCCCTTAATCCCGTCTCTAAGTTGGGCTAGGTATCCTAACAAATACCTATGATACTCTCCCGCCTTACAACCGGAAGTAATGGGGACGGGAATAACTTTGGAGCCTTTGCCTCTTCGGCTATTTATCCGCGGGTTTGGAAGTTGTGATGATCTACTTGCGCAGTAAGGTGCAAGTATTGCGGTTAAAGTCGAGGCGCGTGACCGATGCCGTAGATCTTGGGATCTATGCAATGTATGCCGTGCATACCAACCAGGTAGGTAGGACCAACGTCGTCTCACATATATTTTCCCCATAGGAAACCGGCTTTTGAAGAAACGCTCATTGGTCTGGCCCCGTCGTATGGGGTATCTTGGACAACCGCGTGCAGCGCTGATTCGACATTGCATACCTACTTGCCAGCTTAGGGAGCTGTATCCCATTCCCCCCAACGGCATGTCGCAAGAAGGACCTCAGAAAATTCCTCAATTTCTCCATCAATGATCCAAGCGGGATCTTCAAGACCTACGTAGGTAGCCAAGGCTAACGCCGAAAAATATGACCGGGTAGATGGAAGCCCGCATCGTTACGAGTTGCAAGTCGTCTCTTCGGAGGTGACGGAAGATCTGTCTTACGACCACTCGACAATGGCGTTCTCTAGGTTGTTTCTTCTAGGCTTGCTGCCGTTCCTATGTCTTTCCGCATCCCTAACGGACTTTACGCGACTTTATGGACCGCGTTCTTGGAGTAGACTCGCCGGAGGAAACGACAATGTTGGGAGCGGAAGACACATCAGAGCGAAGCTCCAATCTAGGAAGATCAATAATGTGACTGGCGTTGCCGTGTCTACATATGGGACATCCAAGATCTCGGATCGATCTCCGCGGGAGCCATTGGCCAGATATGGAGCGGGGATAGTGTATATGTTGGAACGTGCGTCTTGCACACTGGTCTGCATGGAACATAAGCTGATGATCTTGGGTAGTTGACATCGGGACGCCTGGACAGAAGGTCTCGGCTATCCTCGATACCGGATCATATACGCTACTCTTGGATCCGGACTGCAAACAAGCAGCCGATCCGGAAGCTTGCCAAACGTATGGGTTTTATGACACAGCCCAGTCCTCCACCGCTAAGAATCTCAACGGCTGGTTCTCGGGGCAGTTTGGTACGGGCTACATGCAGGGAATATGGTATAGTGACACAGCTTATGTGGGATTGGATTGTACGTATGAACCCTCTTACAAGGAAACATTTGAACAAGGCATCACAGAGTTAACACATGACGTTCGTATGGTAGACTTACCCCTTCCGAACTTGAGAGTGGGAGTGAGCAAATGGAGCCAGTATATCTGGGCAGGAGTCTTGGGCGTATCATATGGTAAAGCATGGAATACTGCTTATCAAACTTTACTTGACCTTCTCGTCTTCCAACGCTATATCGAGGTACCAATATTCAGTGTAGGAGTTGGATATCAAGGTGGTGGAAGCCCAAGTGAGTTGTTGTCATGAGTGTTGTAAGATAAATATCGCTGAAGCTGACTCAACCTAGGTGATATGATCTTTGGGGGTGTTGATAGAAAGAAATACCGGGGATATCTCGAGCCTCTCGAGGTTTATCCGTATCCGGAACAGCAGCTGAAACTCTTTGGCCAAGTAAAGTAAGATGCCCTTCGTTTCTTTGAGACTCATGCTGACTTGTAAAGCTATCGGGTGAACTTAACGTCGTTAGCGGTCACTCCTCCCGGAGAAAACGAAACGATGCTAACAGGCAGCAATTTTGGGCGTAATGTGTTGATCGACTCCGGATCAACTTACACATACCTCGACGCGGGTTTAGTTGCTGTAATTGCTAGAATTTTGAATGCGTATAAGGATGAACATGGGGTCTATCTGGTGCCATGTGAGAACCGGGACTTGGATGGTTCCGTGAATTTCGGGTTTAACTACTTCAATATGGTCATTCGCGTTAACTACGCCGACTTCATCGTCGATTTTGACAGCTACTGCGCCCTTGGTGTCCAACCCACAGACTATTCAGACTCGACGTGGGTGCTAGGAACTAGTTTCATTCGAGCCGCGTACAGTGAGTACTAGCTAGAAACGCCAAATCCATGGGTACGGACTGCTAACAGCATGCGCAGTGGTATTCGATCAGCAAAATAATGCAGTATGGATTGCGCAATATTTGCCATGCGGTGATGACGGGGTAGCCGATCTAACCGAGGATGCTGGCAGACAATTGTGGTTAGAGGTTACGGGTTTGTGCTGATCACTAATTACATCTCACTGCACTTACTTCTGTCTCAACCTATGCGATAATCCATTCGACGAACAAGACGAGTGAAATTAGGAATACAGATCGCTTGGCTATACAGAGATATCTTGTACATATAACAATATTTAAAATATGTAAAACCATCAAAGGTTCTTCTGGCTATAAATCAGACGTCTGGTCCACGGATATCCTCGCTCAATGGACCTTGCCTTGTCCAAATATTCATCTAAGATTTGAGTTAGCGGATTTGATCAAACCTAGAGTGAATAGGGGAAACTGATATATCTTGACTCTTCGCCATGTTACACAACAGCAAGTCACTTACCCCTATTTTCGAACCGCTAGTAACCGGCAAACCAGCATGTAGCGTCCGCTGATCTCCCGTACCATCCTCGTTCAGATTCTGCCAAAAGACAGCATTTCCAACAACAGGCCTAAACGTCACGCCGTTCTCCCACGGCTCATCGCAGTCGACAAACTTGCACCACCGCTCATCGGTAGGAGCAGCTACCATAGGGAAATTCGTCCCGCCGCCCGTAATATCGTCGGAGGCGGAGACGTACGCGAAGAACGAACTGAGCCGGTTGCCGCCCAGTGCAGATGTGGCGTGCGCATCATTTGTGTACCAGTCAGTGTGAAAGTGGTACCGCTCTCCCAAGCCGTACTTGACCAGCTGCAAGGGCTCAAGATGCGTTCGGGGGACGTCGAAGCCTTGGAATAATAAGGCCCGCTCCTCGATGCACCGGACTACGGCATCGCGCGGCACATTGGTCGACTGAGAAGTCCGTGTCTGACGTAGCCCTTGAGCTCCGGATTCATCGGCAACGGCTGAGTGCGAGAATGTGTCTTTGCTGTTTAATGTTGTTAATATGAAGGTCTTGGTAAATATAAAGATAAATTAAACCCACGTTACTTCTCGTAAGTGTTCCATCTCTTCAGCTGTGACGAAGTTCTCTAGGTATATGACCAAAGGCGATTTAGATACTATATGGCTCTGATAAGCAGGGTGTTTGCAAGATTCGCTCGACGTTAACGGTTTCTGCGCGCCATCGTGACTGTGCGCGTTGGCCGACCCGGCGGCGAGCCCTAACAGCAATATTGATTTCAAAGAGTTCATTATGGATTTAGTCTCTGACTGAATATGAGAAGTGAAAACTGTAAGTTCATTCTCATCTCCGGCACGACTGTAGAAAAGTTAACACCCTCCATGGCCACCAATGAAATCCTACGCCATGATAAGGAGAGAACATGCACGGTTGAAACACCAATTGTTTGCGTAGAAATGAGCTCCCCTGTTTAGCGTCGCAGCAGCCCGTTGATCAAGCTCATTAGTGGAGAGCTCTAGCGCAGATCCAGGGTTACGGGGTCGTGCATCGTCAGATCTAACCCCTGACCTGCCTGATCTGCAGGTAGCTCAGCTACGTAGATGGCTTGTATTTGACCCCGCGAGTTCCCGTTCGGTTGGGTTCGAGAGAATTGATGATGAAATTAATCAATTCAAGTCATAATGAAGGTCGGAAGCAAAGATCTCTTATTGTCACTGCTAAAAGGCACAGCAGTAGCCTGGAAACATATCGATGAAGACGAATTCCGTCGGGCCATAGGAGGTCATAATCATGCCTTAGTTGCGTGTAAGTTGCTATCCGCCGTCTACATACTAACCACAATAAGAAAATTGGCAGCAAAACTTGAAGCTAATATCTTAACGTGATTGTAGTTATAGAACCTTCAACGTGAGCGAAATTCAGTTTAGCATTCAAATAACTCATCACATACTGACACAGCAGATCTTCAGTGCGGCAAGTCAAGCTCTGGAGCCAGAATGGACATCGGCGATAGAATCAGAGACGAAGGGCTTAATGAGCATAGACTGTGCCTCCACGAAAAGCTTATGCCAGGAATTTGGCATCATCTCATATCCCGCACTGCGTTTCTTCGACGGCCATGGAAAAATGACTTCGTATAGAGGTCCTAGAAGGGCGTCTTCGTAAGTAATTCGAGAGTTCAATAACGAACAATTTCAGCAGCTAAGACCAGCTCTTTACCAGTATCCTCTCATACCTAAAGCGAGCGGTTCGTCCCTCCGTCACGGCACTAAAATCAGAGTCAAAAATCAGCAAATTCCAATCCGGTGACGACTATGCGGTAATCGCGCGGATCAACGCTCAAGACCCTCACATCAAAATATTGTACGAAAAAGTCGCCTCCCAGTACAAGGACCGATTATCCTTTGGGTCAGTGGAGACGACGGGTGCGACGACAGTGTCATGCAACAACAACCGCGATGGCCAGCAGTTCACTATCTCAGATCTAACAAGCATCAACGCTCTACCTAAGCTCGTCGAAAGTTGTCTCGAACCTGTGATTGGGGAGTTTACGCGGGCGAATGAGATGAAGTACCTGCAAGTAAGTCATCTCCCAGCAGTTTATCATAAAGTCTTTGATTACTCCATGCCCCAATTAGCTTCAATTGGTTTTCTTTTTCCCTCTCTTTTTCTACAGCACTAACAATGACAGACTGGTAAATCAATTGTCTTCTACTTCGTCACGTCGTCCCAAGAGCGGGATTCCTACGTATCCGCGATGCGGTCCGTAGCTAAGATGTACAAGGAGTACCTAAGCTTCGTGACAGTCGACGCCGGTGAGTACGGCGACCTCGCAGCACCGCTGGGCTTGGTGCCCGGCGCCTTTCCCGCGTTGTCGGTGCAGAACCCGATGTTCGGCCAAGTATTCCCGTATCCGCGAGCGAAGCAGATCACTCCCGAGGCTGTGGGCGGCTTCTTGATGGATATTGTACAGGGTAAAGTGCAACCATGGGACGGGACGTTTGCCACGGACGCAGCTGGTGAGCATGCGCATGATGAACTGTGAGATATAAGAATTCGGGCAGGGCATTGGATCAAGCAATGAATGTGTAAGCATAGTTTCATGACAAGGTTGTATTTATATTCATAACGTTCGCGCAGAGATCCGTAGTATCATGGCATCTCATTCCTACTTGAAGTCGCCCAATCTCAACAGCTAAAAAGACCATCCCAAGTTTCTATGGAAGACTCAAGAAGAGTTCCAAGAGTTTAGGGTAGTCCGGAACACTAGATTCATATCATGTTAGCCAGCATTCCCAAGTTCATACGCAAAAGGAATACCTACCCCATCCCAGACACGGGATCCCAGCCCTCGATCGCCGGGAAACCAGTCGTCTTACACGCTCTGTTATCCCCCTTCGTGACATCCTTGAAGACCTCCGGGTGAGAATACTATAATGGGAAGCATTAGCCAACAACCACCTCACATTCAACCACATGCAGCAAAAAGACTCACCAAAACCTGATGCACAAACCCAACCGGCCCCTTCCCCAGCGCCAACCTCTCCTCATTAATCAGCGTGATGACCGAACCCCACAGCGGCGCCGACGCCGACGTGCCCCCGATCCTAAGCAGCTCCCCGCCGCTCGAGATGACGAAATGGTCGCCGTTCGCCGCCACATCCGGATACGCCCTGCCCAATTTATTAAACCGGCCCAGCCCCGCGCGCGGGTTCGAGTAATTCTCCCCGCCGCCCTCGTACCCGTCGAACGTCAAGTTCGCCTTGCCCAGGTACGCGGCGACAGCGTCGCGCTGCCACTCCGGCGCATCGTAAATATTCGAGAACCCGCCGCCCGAGCGAAAGCGATCCGTCGCCTCCTCGGCGTCGACGCCCGGCGTACCATTCGTCTGCAGCACCGTCGACCCAACAGCCAGGACATACGGACAACTTGCCAAGAACTGGGGATTAAACACGTCGCGGTCCGGGCCCAGACACCCGGACGGGGCACCGGGGGACGAGAAACCGCCTACGCCGTCGTCGCCGGAGGATATGACGACGGTGGTGCCCTGCAGCCCGAGCTTCATGATCTCGGCGCACTGGCGCTGCTGGTACGATGCCGGAAGGTCGACCTCGGCGCCGCTGTACGAGATGCTGATGACGCTCGTCGGCGCGTATGCGCCGCACATCAGGGCCCCCGCGTACCCGCCCCGGTCGTGCGGGTTCGGGTACTCCGGGTCGCGGCACTCGGGCCGCTTGCAGTTGCCCGACTCGCCGTAGGCCTCGAAGGTGCAGTAGCTGCCGTCGATGGCGTTCCAGAGGTCTGGGCGGTGGGACGCGCGCGCGCGCGTATGGTTAGCGGGAGATCGAGAGACGGGAAACCGCTTTTCCTAGGTACCTACCTAGGTAGGTAGGTACTAGTAGGTAAGCAGGTCTTGGGATGGGGTTGGCACTTACTGTTGAAGAAGCCGGTGTACGCTGCTGGGTCCGTCTGGTAGATGTTCTGGTACCACTCGTCGTCCACTTGGTACAGCACGGTATCCTGCGGGTAAATCAGGCCGTACGCCATCTGGAAATCGAGGTTTGCTTCGGAGCCTGCCATTCGAAGGCTCGTGGTGGGGCCTTGGCCGCCATCGACGGAGAAAAGCTCAGGGTGAGTTCCGTTAGGGATGTTACTACGCGATATTAGTTACTTAGATATTTATATTGCGTATAAAAAAAAGGGTATATCGATTACTCTGAGAAGCTCCAGAAAAACTTGTCGAGGTCGTATTGGGTGTAATGTTGCCCAAGCGACTGGAATATTCCCATCCGGTTGTCAGGGTGTTTCTTCGTCCCTTTCGGGATACCGTATAGCGCTGGATTTTCATTAGCTGGTGCGAAGTCTAGTTGATGGAGGCACTTTTACCCCTTATACAGTCTGGAGTGATATATTGGTCACAACCGCCTGGAAGCGTGAAATTCCCGCTTTCGATATGTGCCGTCTCCACGGGCTCGGAGAAGCGTAAATGTCCCTCGACATTTCGGCCCGTACTCCGTTTTGAGGATGGGCTACGCTTACTCCTCTCACTCATGACGTTTGCGAGCTCGCTCTCAGAAACTCGCTGGCCAAAGCGAGGAAGACTGCCTACGCCCGCTTCACCTCGTTTCTTCGATGGGGGTTGTGGCGTGTTGCCGTGACCCATCAGCTTGATACCGGGGGTAATGTAGTCGATATGCTCTTTCACTTGTTTTGGCACGTGGTATCTTCCAGCTAGTTAGACCAAGGTTGCATGACTGTTTCGAATGTCGCACTCACTCATCGCAGGCAATGTCTTTGACTCCAGTGCTCGCGTGCTCCCACACGTGGTAGTCCGCCATCAAGAGTTTTTCGACTTGATCAACAGAAGCATCAAAACGAACCCACTACCGAGATCAATGGTCAGGAGGTTTCGTATCACAATAATAGACCTGCTGCTTACTTGTTTGTTGCTAGATTGCGAGATATTGCGGGAGGGGATGCCCGCCTCGACGAGCCAATCTTTGATTGCTTTAAAGCTTGCCTCCGCCGGCTCGAAGAATTTAACGACCTTTTCTGCTGAGAGATGCTTACCATAGTTCTTCGACATGGGATTTGAGCTTCCAACTCCAATTAGCTATCCTGAAGATACGCATCAGGTGTAAGAGCCAACACACATGTCCATTAACAGATCGTGCCCGGACTGAAGGTTTTGCTGCTTCAGCCCTACACGCATAGGTAATATAGCTTCGGGAACCGCCCTCTGTACCTTCGTCCAAGACCTTGCTTGCACTGCTGTTCTTTTCTCATGTTGGATATGAGTGTCTGGAATACCACGTCTCGGTCTAGAAGAACCGTGATTATGGAAAGGGGGTGCGGCGAGGACCTCCAGTACGCTCAGGCCCGCCAAGGTAAGGACATAAAACAACTTCATCTTGACGGCCTCCCAACTGGAACGAAAGAAGAATGAGCCGAGGTATGGGAAAACCATGCGACATAGCACGAGATGGTCAAGATACGCACGCATTATATCAGCGCCATTGCATCAGCTAGACTGTGCTCCGTTTCTAGGAACGGGGATCAGGTACACCATAGGGATCTTCGTACCGAAAGACATTTCGGCATTGCTTGAGCCAAAGTGTAAATATACTACTATCCACTCTCGCCGGGTACGGATAAATGTGTAAGGTAGGTAGCTGATTATCTACCTTGGTTTCTCCCATTAACATGTGGTTAACAGGCATGATAAAGGGACTAGGTTTCAAAATCGATAATGAAGTCTCTAAGTATTTATGGTCTATCATTAGCTGTAGCCATCAGAGCCTGTCATGAGCTTAGATGAAATGAGTGTTAACTCGCGAGTCCATGACCAATTTGACAATATAGAATCTCGCAAAAGGATGCTCACACCTTTTAACTTTCCCCGGCTTTTTTTTCCCTTCCTAAAATAGTAGTCAAGATGGGTTTGAGAACCATGCTATGAATTAATATCATAGGAACTATCAGGAACAGGAATCGGTAAGTAACGCCTTGGCAAATAGCTGGGCTAGAGGATATAGGCCAGAGAAAGTGATGCAATATTTGATTAGATACTGCATGATTCAAGAGGTATCCCAACTTAGACTGAAGGCCGTGGAGGCTGGTTGACCTAACCGTGATCTGCCGGTCTGCCGGTCCACATTGCATATAACCGGTGTGAAGGGGAGGGCAGATATTCTGGAGAATGCAACAGCAACCCCTCTCACACTCAAATTTAATCAGGGCAAGCTGCACTCCGCAGTTCTTGGAAACGTCAAGGACGAGAACCCTGAATGAACCATGCCAACTTCGAGAAAAAGCCGCAGACCAGGTACTTCTAACGGGTTGCCTAAGCTTGACGTGACTAGAAGATTACCATCATTTGAGGTCTCATCTACCCATTACCACTTAAAGTTCGCTATTATAACGATTAAGAGGACAACGATTGATAAAGTCGTCCTTGACTAAGTAGTCGTTCACATCGTCGCGGAGAGGTTCTTCAAATTCGTCCGGTATTGAGAGGTCCCAAAATTCCTCGTCGTAAGGTGGAGATTCTCTCCGCCCGCTTACTTCACCGCAAATACAAGCATCGTAGAGGTTCATCGTTCTTCGGATCTTGGGGAGGAGCACTAGCCACGAAGTGCTCCTCAGGCAGATGTCGCGAAGACATAAGTCCGAGAGAGTACTCTTGTGTCTTTTCAGCATCGACATAAGGTCCTGTCGTTCGCAAATAATATTCCCCAAGGTCAGGCTTTCGAGGTGTTCCCATACGTGTTTTGGTTCCATGATATCCTCGAGACTGGCGGCGTAGCCGTGTTCCTCCGAATTGAAATTGAAGACCACATAGAGCTCCCGAAGTTGAGTCAGCGACTTGATGAAGTCGCGCAGCAAACCGGTTGTCAACAACTGTCGACATTGGGGGACTTCTGTGCCGGTGGTGATATCCAACTGAGCGCCGGGGTCCTCTGTCATGCCGACGTCGATACATAGCTCAAGGCATGTCAGATCAGAATAAAAAGACATGGTGCGTTTAAGTTCTGCAGGTGGCTTCTGAAAAAATTGCCAGCTCAACTCGCCCGCGGTTAACTTCTTTAACTTGATTTTGTTCTCAAAGATTGCATTGAGAACGGAGTCAAGCTGTCGACACCCGTCTGGCATTATATAGGAGCCCGGACGAGCCAGGATTTCTTCGAATGGAGATTTCCTTAGGCCTTTACGAAACCAAAAGCCGCATGACATGACCAACTCTTGAAGTGCGGTAAAGCAAGAGATGACTTCTTTCATGAAAGAGATATCTTCGTCATTGCGAAGCATCCTTTGCTCCTGCTCAAAGGCGTGTTCATAGTTTTTGTAAAACTCCAAGAGCTGATGGTTTCCTAGACGCGGCGGCAGTGGCTCGTTTGAGTGCTCAGCGGCCAATTTATCCGCCATTCGGATTGTTTCATAGTTTTGACGATATTCCTCTATACTTTGCTTACGCGATCCTAGAGTATGGCCGATGTATACGAGGGAATGGACATTCTTCGAGGCGATAGGATGTAGTGAAATGCTTCGAAGCATTTCAAAGTCACGCTCGTGAAGATAGAAGATGACTTCTCGGTGCACGAAACAAGCAGCGGCGTCTGCAAACGCTCGGCAGCAGACGGAACCTTCGTACATCCTCGATTTCAAGATATGAGCATATCATGTATAGTATCTCCGGGATCATGACATCCATTATGACGTTTCTTGTCTGAGGAGCGTACTCCAGATGAAGTTTATGTTTTTGGTAAAAGAAGTTTCGATGTGAGTTGGCAGTGGCTTTTGTGGAACCACGACTACGGCTGACTTGAATATTCTCCGTATGATATGCGATTAACCCATACTTATATGCTACAATCATACATATTGTAACAAAGCAGCACGCCCCCGGTCCATCACTCGACGGGATCGTCACGGAGTTTATAATGGTCATCAGTTCCATAGACTACTAGGAGCCATAAACTCATTACACCTGTCGAGCCCCTATCCCATAAGCTCGCATCCTTCCCGCACTACACCGACTACAGCACCGGTTTGAATGGCCTCGCTTCCACCAGCAGAAACTCTGTATTCTATCTCTGCTAGACCGTCCAACCATCGGATCATGGCTTCAGGCTTAACTTCCATCCTCGACAACTCTTCGGACAGGGCTGTGATAATGTCCGCCAGCGCAAGGCCATTCGCCACTTTCAGCGTATTAATGGTCGAGAGACACGTCGTTACATCGCTGGTCGAAAGCAGCGTGCTAGCGATTTTCGCAATCGCTTCAGGGGGCGGGGCCGCTATGCAGTTGTAGATTGTCTCTGTCGTGATGGTTTCCCTCACAATGTCCTTCTCCGGGACTTTCGGCGCATCCTTGGGTTGTATGGGGGTGCCTGGCCAGAAAGTTAGTACCCAATAGAAATGAGAATGGTAGACAAAGGGCTGGCAAAACTCACTGGATGCGTGACAAGCCTGAAGGACGTTGAGGGCTCTTCGCATGTCACCTTTGCTTAGCTTAACTAGAGCATCCGTAGCTTCGCCTGATATTTTGACATCCTCCTCTAGAATGACCTTGTCCACCAAAACTCGAATATCGCCCTCCTTCAACGGGCTGAATCTAAAGCGCGTACATCGGGATAGTAAAGCAGGTGATAGTTTATGTGTGTAGTTGGCAATAACGCAGAATCGTGTGTTCGCCGTATACTTCTCCATAATTCTTCGCAGGGCCATCTGGGCGGTATTGGTCATCGCATCGGCCTCGTCCAGGATGATCAGCTTATAGCTTGCCATACCACCCGGACGCGACGCGCCACCCATCGTAAAGATCTGTTTAGTTGAAGCGAAAGTCTTGATCTGTTCTCTAACGACATCGATACCTCGATCATCTGATGCGTTTAGTTCCAAGACCATCTGACGCACATTGTCAGCTCCATAGATTCGCCTAGCCAATGCTAGGATGGTAGATGTTTTACCCGTTCCCGGCGGGCCGTAAAGGAGTAGATGGGGGAGGCGATTCGAATCGACGAACTTGTTGATCGTAGCTAGGATGTCTTGGTGGCCCGAAACGTCGGACAACGACACGGGTCGGTATTTCTCAACCCATGGTAATGAGTCTTCGGCTTCTACAGGTAGATTGGCAGCACTTCGCTTTCCCTTAGCTGTGTTATCGGAAGAAAACTTAATGTCGTTAGATGTTGTAGGGACATCAATGTCCATCTCATCCTCGAAATCAGACATGATGAGCTCTCAGATTCGGGTAATTGGATCGGCGCAGCTTTTGTCGAGAATTCCTAGTCAATTACAAACTTCCAAGCTTCGTCAATGATAGAACCGTCTCCGTAATGATGTGTTTTCTCATATGGATCTAAAAGGGGCCTTTGGAAATAGTATAAGAAGGTTTTACAAGTTCGGTATGCGGCTCACGATATCACACTTTTGGTGTAGATCTGTTGGAAGACGCGTAAATTGAATTTCTGACTGTCTTCACGCGTTTCCCACTAGCGGGGTGAAGTACCTAGGGGTGAGGTGGGTCCTTGAACAGCCATTTAGTGGCTAGCCATGTGGCGCAAGCTGGAGAGAAAGTGCGATGTCTTGCCGTCAAACCATTTAAGCATTTTAAAATATGTACTTATCGGGAGGCTCTATATGCTCTATCTACATAACCTCAGGTGAGTCGTCGTTTAAACAGTACTTGTATGCCTATGTAGGCATATATGCTAAAATGATTTGGCGGGATGGCGGATGTTACTAACATACCTAGGTATGTACTATCGTCCTCCGTCCAAATGTACACCACCTTAGTCTCTACCGAAAAACGCCCAATCATGACGAACACCAGAATGGCGCAGCTGCATATGAAAGCCACGATGGGAGTAGGCAGACTGAGGTTGGATTATCTTCATTTTGCAGAACGTTCCCCATTTCCGATCTTTCTCTAAATGACACCGTTGGATTTTTGTAAGACCGTGATATCTATTTAAAGCACGCCATGGACAAGAAGGGATATTCCAAAATCGCGTTATTCATGCAGGACCATCCTGAAGATGCCATGGTGCGCCGTTTCGCTGCATTGAATTTGCAAAACATCCTCTATCTACAAGCTGAAGTCATTAACCTCCAAAGAGATCTGGACAAACTAGAAACTGATAATGACTCTTCGGTGGAAGAGGATAGACGCAACTTCGCTTTGGACTGGTATACTCTGGCCCATGTGCACGATACGCCTGGCTCCGACAAGCAGTGGAAAAAATGGCTGCAGCTCCGCAAGGCATTAGAAGAATACAGTCAGTTCGCCCACTAGGCTATCATGTCGAAATACGATGGGTGTTAATACTAGACAGATACTGCCATAATGCAGTACTGTCAATTATCCAAGTTACCTGCTTCTGATCAACATGAGCTGCAAAAGCTCCAGTCTTGGCTGAGCGAGACGAGACTGGGAAACGTCTATCTGCTCGGCCGTGATCACGATGTGTGGTCTCAAGGCAAAGACCTTATGACACTGGCATTGTCTCCTCACGACAACCGCTTCTCCAGATTTGTTGCTAACAAGGCTTTACCTCTATATCACCGCCTTGGGCATAGCACCATAGTATGTAACATGTTGAAAAAACATTCTCTTCCTCGTAATAAGTGTATAGGTAGTGACCCTGACTTAGATGGAGAGGATACGCGATGCTTTCTTGAGGTCTCGTGGTTCAGCTTCAGCGACGTCTGTAGATACTGGTATCGCGACGTATGACGATGCCGGTCTCGTCTTAATTTCCCAATTCATCTGCACTGTCATTGCCTCTTTACTACCCATTCTATCAATCATCGTTCTCTACTTGGTGGAAAACATGGGGCATCGGCTAGCCTTAGTTGCTGTCTTCTGCGTATTATTTTCTAGCGCATTGTGGTTCATGAATGATGGCGAGCTGGTTGAGGTTTTTGGTGCTACCTCTGCGTAAGTCTACCACTTCATCACCACCCCCTTGTGTGTTTGGTCTCGTACCCGACGACCTAATCTCTTCGTAGCTTTGCTGCAGTCCAAGTCGTGTTCATCAGCACCAGCTCCGCCTAAGTACCTAGCAGACAACCAAAACTCAGACGAGCCAATCCTAAACGTTGGGCTTATAACTAAGACTTTCCAACTATTTCGTTCTGAGATCTCAGCATTGATCTCTCATTCTTGGTACTGCCAAGTCCCCTATTGGATCAAGAGGACTTCAAGGTTTTCAGATCGGTTTAGCGAGCCCATAAATAGAGCTTTGCCTACCTCATACAACTTTTCACAAGTCCAAAGCCTCTAAATGCGAGCTAGAATTAATCAATTTGAATACAAGGCACTTCAAGAGGAAAATAATAAATTTTCATGACTAAGACTTATAGAAATCAAAGAAACGGTGTTAACTGAACGCGTTTACTCCAGATACGATGTGGATATAAAAGAACGCAAGGCTGTCAAATATGAGACCCATCCCGCAATCCTTCCCACAATTGCCTCCGAATGTCAATCCTCGCCTTTCCCCTTACTCTGATGGTGTAATACAAATGTCCTTGCACATACATTTAGCTTCGGTGCTAAACATCTCAAATAGCCAATGGATATAAATGGAGTATGATCTGCTGCGAACAGTTTAAGGGATGGTGGCCAAAAAGGATAATTACCATCGCGAACTCTTGATATAAGCCAACAGGGCCACATGCTAGGCAAGCTTGGTGATCCATTAAAGATCTCCCCTCGCGTCCCTCATGTTGCCAGGCCAAAGTTCAATCAGACACTCGAGGATCCAGCAAAGCGATCACCCGTTAAAATCCACTCATATCCAGATTATAGACTTGGATTCGGCAAACCGTGTCTGATGTTTTGACCCCGGCCCTGTAAGCCTGGAAAAAGGTAGTTCCTCAGGATAGATTCTGTCAGGAAAAGTAGTGCTTGTTGATGGATGTCATACATAGAGTGAATGCTAGGCAGTATTGTAGGTAGTATCAGTGAACTATTAACGCTTGCCCTTCGGGCAGCACCCTATATATAATATACCCTGGTCTCGAACTATCCCTGATCGGGACTAGTGCTAGCGCTGTCCCCTGACACATTTCATGTGTGGCCACTTTGCGCCCCGGTCTATGTGATGCCTTGGTGAACGCTTCCACCACTATCAGAATTATGTCCATTAACACGCTGATGCATGTCTTTCTCTCTTTGAAGACGTTTCATTTCCAGTGCATTGACTTTGGTCTTTTGTTGACGTTCTTGTTCCTCTCGTTCTCTCTTTTGCTCAGGGGTCTCCTTCTTCCTAGAGAACCAAGTTGCGAACATACTAATACGCTCTTCAACTTTATTCGACAACCTCTCGAAATTATTCCTGGCGAAGTTGCTAGCGCAGCCTATAACATTCTTGAATAACGTTTTGAAATTTTCCGTGATAAAGTTTGCTCCGATCATGACGTCGACAAACCCATCAATCGCGTCGCATACCCAGAAGTCGCCAGAGAATGTGGCCGAGCTCTCCCTTAGTCGAAATTGGACGTTACGTAAGATCCCCTTCACTGCCGTCAAATGCCCAGAAATGCTCTGTAAACATGGGTCTTCGAAATCAGTAGATATCTCATCTAGAACTCCTAGCTCTCTTGCGCATTGAGATGACATGATGAGATCATCCCTACTACCGTTACGTATCTTTAGCTGTGTGTCGAGATTCGCCAAACGGGAAACCTCCAAAGCCCCGTGCTTGTTGCCAAAGAGCAACTCACGTCCATCAAAAAGATCCTAAAGATTTGAATTAGCCCTGTCCCGGGAACTCGTTCAATGGGGCATACCGCATTTAGATTCTCATTTCTTTCCTTCCAATAGGCATAATTTCTACGTGTACCGCGCCCACAGCGGGTTATCTTTGGCCTGCAGGTAGCTAAATGTCAGCATGTGCTCAAGGGGGTGTGGGAAACGGTTTTGGCGGAGATTGGAAACGGAGTGAGACCCATGTCGCCACATTCTTCTTGGCAGTGCATACCTTATGATCATCGGGCGCCAATATTTTTTAGGAGCTTGGCACTGCTCGTTATCCCGTGTGGAAATACTATGTTCGCTTTGGGCATTATAAGGTTCGATACACTTAGACTGTTTGCTAGGTAGCTGATATGGCCAAAACTCATCGAATGGTTCAATCCGCATCTTCTCTTCACCACAATCACAGTGGCTAAGACAAAATGTTGAGTAAAGATGCTGCTGCGTCCTTCACCAATTATCCTAGGAAGGCTGCCAGAGTTCGTCCTGTCGTGGGATGTGAAGATTGCGAGAATAGGTGGAGGGTTATGGTACGAAAATTAGGGAAGAGCGAGGAATGCTAGAAATACCCAATTCTAGGCAGACTCAGCCCCGCTACGGGACTCTTCATGGCTTTGAGGGTGGCTTAGAGGCCTGCTGTATGACCTGGGGAATCGTTGCTGGCCTTTTCTGCCAATCAGGCGCACTTCAGGCATCCTCTTCCCTTTTGAATCATGCACTGCCTCCATGAGCATTCATCAATCAACAAATTACGTCCGATGCCTTAAGTCTGAAATCACTACCGATGGACTACAAGTGGTCAAAATCTAAGAAAGCCTTCGCTTAAAAGTTCCCGGGCCGCGAAAATGAACTTCCTAGGTACTACCCAGGTACCTTACCTAGGTAGATTTCTCACTTACATAGGTACGAATGAAGCCATTGGTAGCACTTCACGCTGTAGGAGACTCTCATCATCGCCAAGCAGCCATCAAGTTAAGAGCATTCCGAATTAAGACGTTTCATAAACTCTCTTCATATCCCGTTTACCATGATCGTAATTTATCATAAAAACACCATCAAACCATGACACTACCCTTATGCTAATCCCGCAAGAATGACTTCCCAGCCTTAACCAGTGCGTCCAATTCCCTTCCTACCTCCGTCTCTAGCTCATCTTCACTTCTTCCACGGGACTCCTTGCTGTTGATCTCAGAAGCGGAAGCCGTTTCATTGGCCGAGAGCCATTCGCCGTCCAAGGAAGAACACGAAGATGGTGATGATAGCAGAGAACTTCCGTCCGACTCGCTATCTGACGAGTCTTCCCAGTCCTCCCATTTATCTGCATCGGTGGGGTTCCTAACGACCATTTTCCTCCTATGTTTAGGATGTTCTCGACATGAAAGTCTCGATTTACATCGTCGACTCGAAGTATCGTCGACGACTTCAAGAGGCATCATCTCCTTATCCTCTTCTATGAGGTCACGTAACTCTTCAGGATCCATGCCGCCACTCGTTTCCTCCGGGATGATCCCGAGGCCAGTGAGTTGCTCGATTTTCTGTTGAGACTTAGTCTTGCGCTTCTTCTCTTTCCTCTCGCTGTCGACCCACCACGCTTTCTCCTCCTTTTCCTTCGGCTCCGGCTCGTCCCAGAAGAAGCTAGTTTGGCTCAGGGGGCTCTTGGGACTGGTAGGGCTCTTCTGCTCCTCACCATCGTCCTGCCTCTCTCTTAACTCCACAGCCTCGTTTAGCGACAGCCTGTCATCCGTGCTTAAAGTCCTGCTCGTGTCGAACGACGGGGAGTGCGGCTCCTCCAGCTCTTCCGATTCTTCGTGCATCCTCCTCTCGAGCGCTTCGGTGTGCAGCCTGTACCTCTCATGGTGGCACTCGGACGGGTAATCGCAATCGACCGCGCAGCTGTGCGTCCTGTCGCAGAAAGCTTGCTCGCGCTGCCTCTGCCCCACCCGTCCGCCGACTTCCAGGCCGAGCACCTTGCGACGCCACGCTCCCCACTCGGCCCAGCCGCTGTAGTCGAACTCAGAAGCGCACATCCCGCTATTGCGGCGGCGTTTCTTGCCTCGCGTGACTTTCGGGGGGCCGGCTGAGACGCAGTACTCGTGGGAGCACACGAGACATCGGCGAGTGCAGCCGATTCGGTAGACGGTATTGCAGGAGTGGCACTGCCATAACCAGGCGTACGGCTGACGAGGCGGGAGTGGAGGCGTGGGCATGCCTTCTGGAGACGTTGGGAGGAGATTTCGGAGGTGCAGGCGAGCTGGGGGCGTCAGAGGTGGTAACGAAGACTGTCTAGGCGACGGTTGCGGGGGCGACGTGGACGGAGGTGCTGAGTGTCGAGAGAAGATGGAGAGCGTCGGTAGGCCTCTGCGTGAAGGCATGATCTTTGTCTGTGTGTTGTTTTGCTATGATAATATGCGTGGTAACGGGATGACTCTGATTTGTTGACGAAAAGTATAAAGGTGATATGTTTGCCTATGGATAACGGGAAAAAGTGCGAGTAATGATTGTCTACCCGAGCTATGATGACTCAACTACTAACACAGGTACTTCTTGGAACACAAATAGTTGTCGAATGACAGCAACACCTCTAGGATGCGCGATAGTAGAACTAGGAAAAGGAAATGGTCTTGTTTCGATTTATTTTAGATTTTTAGATGAGACAGACTTGTTTCTAGGGAGTGTCGGTGAAGGAGTGACTGATCCAGAGAGAAATAAGAATACATGCAAGAAAAGGAGAGATATAAGAAAATTACTAAAGACAGGAAAGGAGACGTTTTGGATTGAATCGTATATACACTATAGTTTCGTGCGTAAGCCCTGTTGCCACGGAGCTACCGACACTTATACAGGATGACGGTACTTTGTCCCAGCCCCTAAGACAAAGCAGGCAGTAGATAGATGTGAGCTCATCGCTCGTCAAATCATCAAGGTGCAGGCAGTGCCTGAGAATTTCTGCGTCCATGAGCTGCATCTCTGCCTTTGTCACACAAGTTCCAATGCACTGGTTGTAAATAGGTGCGCATGACACTGACGAGGTGATGGTACGATGGGTTTTCCATTCACCTTCCATTGACCGACGACAAAGGGCAAGGGAACGAGGAGACAAGGTGAGCCTCTCGTTGGTTGATTAGCAAAGCGACGTCGGACTCGAGGACAAAGCGAGATAAGCTACGAAGGAAGATAGGAAAAGGAGTTCATATCGTCGAATATTAATTATGGAAACAAAGAGAATCGAGTGCTAGAAGAGATAGGGGTAACATAGGGGTTCATGGTGACAAGCTGTCGGGTTCATAAAATTACAGGTTTTCAAATAATTATAAGAAATATGTACCTTAGAAGTAGATGCATATGCACTACCAGAAAATCGAAAGATTAAAAATGATAGTAGTATTCATAAAGTATTTCGTTTCCATCTACAGGTAGGTACTTCAGGGAGTCCGTAGATACGTGATACGACGAAACACAACAAAAATAATATTTTGAAGGCCCAGCTCAGGTATTGTTGATCGGCTCCTGACTCTTGCGCCCCTGCTATTAGGTATTTGTTTGCCGCTCCATTTCAGGCCTGCAAAGATTCGCGATCTTTGAGAATCGAACCCTGGACCTTCCCATTTCAGGGGGGTCTTTTATGGGGGTAAGATGCGGTGTCTGAGGCACATAACCAACTAGACCATTGCCAGCAAGGCCGTTGATTTAATGCCGCCGATGAAAATTTGTGACTCTATTGCATTATTTAAACTTCACTTCGGAAATGTACACCGTGACCTGGTGGACTGACCACCTGACTCACAGTGACGATAGTGACGATAGTGACTATAGCAACGCGTGACGCGAGACGCGAGACCTATCTACCTGTATATATGCTACTTATCTACCGTCGATCCACTCCGTCAGTTTCATGATGACTGACTATGATGGTTCAATGCCGCTGACATTAAAATAGAAATGCTTGAACAGCCTACCAACAATGGCGGTTACGATTCCGTTCGATATGGCCTAGTTGGTATGCTACTCAGATCAATAAGATCCAACGGTGGAAGTTTCATAGTAACGTACTTCGACCTAGTTCCGTTTCGATACTATACTTTCTCTGATGTGGGACACTGGTTATACGGAAGAGGAGTCGTGATAGTTGATCTCTGCTATTTAACGTTGGCTATAGCTAATTAGGTAGGTGTCTTCAACGACGCATTCCTATCTCGTTTGCCTTCAACGACAGTCGAGTATGATGGACAGCAATGTAAAACCTCATAGGATGAGCCGAGAATCCTGCCAGAGTACGAACGTGGTACCTGTATCGAACATCCCATCCGGTCCCAGCACTCCTCCATTCAACCAAGTCATTCTTCAGGTGTAAAGGTCCTCAATAAACACCGAGGTCTGCCTTAGTATTCTACCCATGCACTTAAAGCTTCCCATGGCTCAATTTCGCTGTTGATGAGTTCTTGAAACTCCAAGTCCATGTCGTTGTCGTCCTTGCGGAGAAGGTATATTTCAGAGACCGTTTTATAACCAACGCCTAGCACGTCGGGCTGTAGGGCCATCCAGCATGCCATTAGAAATCCTTCGATCTTCCAAACCATCTCGCCTACATCATCCTCGACAGCCCGGTCCACAACCTCTGGGTCGGGGTCCCACATCTGCATACCCATAGCATTCTCGCGGCTCAGTCTCCAATCGTCAAAATCGTCAGCGATGTTAGGAAAGCGGCGATTGATTTCAGCCGAACTCATTCCCCAAGGGTTCCCGCTCCCTTCAGTTAAGTACGGTGTATCCCACATTGGGTTAATATCATAGAAGTCATCTTTTCCCTCGGGGTGGGAATTGATGCTGGCGGGCGATGGAACGAGACTGAAATTGAACCATATGCCTCCGTCCTGCTCGGTTTTTGTCACTCTCAACCCGTACGTGGTATCGAATAACGTTGTGGTATCTCCTTCTGAAGGCTCCGTGTTTTGACTGACTAGAAGATCTGAACGCTGTTCCATGAAGCGCTTCAAGTAAAGTGGAATTTCTGCGGACATGTTGAGGTCGGATTTGTTGGACTGCTGGTAGTTTTGGTAAGGAATTGCATAAAAGTGAGATGATTCGGGATGGATTTTTTTTGGTTGGATGTAAGGTGAATAAACAAACCTATGGTTTTAATTTAGTAGATCAGAGTAGGTGATTCTGTTTTTGTAAGCTAGGTAAATACGGGACCGCGGCTGGTGTTGCGGCTCTGTTGCGGCTTAAAGACTGACATGGCATAACCAAGTCTTTATTCAATAGCTATGGACAGTCAAAACTAGGTATGTACCTGAGATTTTCTATGGTATATTGTTCTCGACAATCCATAGGATGTCTTAACCGGTCTTGACGACATAATCTCTGAAGGTTGGTTTTCCGTCAGTTGAGATATTTGTTTACTGGCTTGAGTCTCAGATAACAAGGAGCTCTGTCAGAAAAAGAGGAATCAAATCAAATTTACATACACGTGCTTGGTTCCTCTATATGTCAACAAAAGTAATTGATGTAGTCTGAGCTTTGGCAATTAACTTATAAAAATGAGATTTTGATGTCCAAATTTTGAAATTGTCGAACAAAGGTGAGCTAGACAAGCCAGTTAAGACAGTAATGACACTGATAGATTCATTTATACTTCCCGGTAATATCAAGGACAATCAACTGACATCCTCGTATATAGAGAATCTGCAGCATAGTACAGTAGGTAGTTGATTTGAGTATCTAGCTAGGTAGGAAGACACGTAGTCGGCATGAGCTCAATATACCCGCAAACCTTTATAGAAGATCAAAAGGATATACAATAGTAGAAAAAAGCATCTATGTTATAATAAACCCCCATGTTTCAGGATAAATATTGTTCTAGCGTTGTTTTAGTTATAAATTCACCAGCGTCGTATTAGTGAAATCCGAGAAAGGGGAAGGATAACCCGCTCATTGAATTTTCATTTTCGTGATAAAAGGCTTGATCATGATATTTCTATAATAATAACCTAGGAGAATGAGCTCGGCAGCTTCGTAGAAGCAATTTTCTTGTCACCCAGACACCAGCCAAGGCCATTTCAGACGACTCATATCCCTTTCGTTGGCATAAGACTACAGTCTCCACAAAACCGGTAACTGTACATCGGCTATAGCACAGGCCCTTTAAACCTATAAGCGTTGAGGCTCCCACAGTAGTCTTTAGAGGCGTCTAACCAACTAGAAGTAAGCCTTTGTGGGTGCCAATGGAGCTTAGGGGTTGTTGGAAGTACAGTTGTTAATCGTGGTGGAGCTGTAGTCTTATGCCAACTAAAGGGATAAATGTATAACTCAAGCTACTATGAAATAACGAGGTAACTCCACTAAGAGGGCTAGTTCATACAAAGCAAAATGTAGGGCAAGGCAATGGCGATAATAGATTATATGCAATCAATATATGAGTTCATAACACCGAGTCTTATCTTGATCCTTATACAAGACATTCTCCTTTTTCATGAAAAATTAGAAGCTTGAAAGTTGCACAACTATAGCTAAGGGTTACCCTCGGGTACGGCTAAAGAAATACGTCAACGTAATCTACGAGCCAACTACCCATTACTTATTTCAAGCTCATCACATCAATATCAGAACCCAAAAAACCAAGTTAATATCGAAGCAGCGTAGTATTATTTGTTGTCTCTAGCAAGGCCTTGAAAAGTTAGAAGGCAGCCTACGCCTTGATTTAACCCTAGAAGGAATCATCTTGGCTAGCCTGTCTGGATACCTTCCTTGCTAGAACCCCTCTTAAGAGCCCCTTTTTAACCCGTCTGGAATTTCCTGGATGAGAAATTTCAACACACGGGGCCAAACCCAGAGCTGGAAAAACCTCAACGAAACCATGATTCCGTAAAACGAATCAGACCCCCAGAATTTGTCGTCGTAAATCAACCGTCATAGGTCGGGAAGACCGCACTGCCCACCTTCCGAACTCGTCCCACGTATCAAGTATCAACGACAGCTAGAAACGAAAGAGCGTGCACATGGAAAAAGTCGAATAAACAAAGGGCGCAAATAAGCCTATGCCTCGATTGCCTTGTTCTTCTTCTTCTGCTCGACCTTAAGTAGTAGGGCGCGGTTAATGTGGGGTAGGACACCACCAAAGGCAATGGTTGCGCGAATCAGAGTATCCAGTTCTTCGTCACCGCGGATGGCCAGTTGGAGATGGCGAGGGGTGATACGCTTGACCTTAAGATCCTTGGCGGCGTTCTAGATAGAAAAGTCAGCTTTTGAGATCAGACAGAAGGTATGGGCATCGGGTATGGATAGGTACTAGGTAATAGTGGCAATGTGGCATAAAGAAGGCAGACAAAAAGGATGACTCACTCCTGCAAGCTCGAGAACTTCGGCAGTGAGATACTCGAGAACAGCGGTAACGTAGACGGCAGCCTTGGCACCAACGCGCATCTTGTTTTGGGTATTCTGCTTCAAGAAACGCTTGACACGACCACAGGGGAACTAGAAAGATAGTGGCATATTAGTAAAGTGATATATGGCATACGTGACATTAAAAATTCGTCAGATATTTTGTCATTGTCCAAATATAGAGAAACCGATTCAATAATGCACCAATCTATTGATTGAGAAGAGTTGTTGTCGCATTCCATCGCAATATCCCTAGGTAACCTTCCGTGAGCGTGATAAAAAGTATACATGTCTCCAAAGGTCGAGGTCGAACGTGGCATGCGCAACAGTAATTACTGAGTTATTGCAACTTAAGCCAGTAGACAATATTCGTATTCGTTATTTGAGTAGCTCGAGATAATTCGGTGTAGCGTTCGTTGTGTTGTTATGAATAAAGGTGCGCGTCATTCTGCGAATCGAGGGGCACGATGTAGATGCATGTCGACGAGGAGCTTCAAGTTGGAGATATGGAGACGTCCCGATAATCCGGAAAAATTGAAAATAATTACGATGCATCGTGACAAACGATATGATACTACAAAGATATAATAATAACTTACTTGAAGACCGGCGCGGGCAGAATGGCTCTGTTGCTTCTTGGGACCCTCGGCAGCCGAAGTCTTTCCACCTGAGCTCTTGCCGCCGGCTGATTTGCCTTTTCCACCAGCCATTGTTTATATCGATGCGCGAGAATTCGATATTTTAATAATATTATTGTTGGGATTGGTGGTATGCGAAGCGAAGAAATAAAGTCGGTTTCGTGGTGAATTAATAAATTTGCGCGTCGGGTCTGGGCTGTTGGTGAAAATTGTTTTCGGGATGTGATGTTTGTGTTTTGATTTTATTCAATCGATCGGGTTCGGAGGCGTTGAGAAAATCGAGAGGCGGCGCGCGGTGTATACAGTTTGGGGGAAGGCGGGCTGGGCGGGTTGGGGCAAGAACGCTCCAGGGCTTTAGGCTGCTTGCCTAGTAGACTGCTGCTACAGTAGGCAGATACAGGCTGCTACTGCTTGTTTGTCTGGGTTGCCTGGGTTAGACCGTCCACTGTTCGTAGTTGCTGAGGATAGTGCTGAAGGCAGGTGCAAATCTTGTTCCCAGAAGGCCCGAGACACCTGGAAAGACCCCGCCTCGTACTTCGTAGCACCTACCTATACTCTGCTGGCCTAGATTTCCACATGGTCACACGGTGCTAGTCCGAATGTGGTTAGTAAACAATGCTGAGCGGCAAATCTCCGGCTGTAGCAATCAGCCGCCTGAGGAGAAACGGGGTGTCTTGATGAACAACATGAAGGAGATGATATCAGAGGCGTGCTACGTTGGTCAGATGCAAAACGGAGGAATTAAAGGGGTAGGATGTTTCCATACTGGCATACTTACATCATTCTGGAGGGTTTGAGCCGAAGGGAGGTCGATGTTTGGCTGGCTAGGAAGTTAATAATATACGGTATAGACCAGCGTTAGTCAGGAGGATGGCGGCATAATGTTCGAGGGCGACGGCAGCATACATGCTGCTGCACATCAAGTTGTTTTAGCGCCATTTGAACACTCGAAAATAGAGTCGCTAATAAAGTGTATAGGCTCTAAGTGGCCTCTAGCGACGTATTGAAGACTTGTTGGGAAACGATGGCATTCAGAAGATAGACTTTGACGTTGAAATCAGAGATTAGCTGTGATCTTCTCGGACGGCGGGATCGACGTCAATGTGGAAACTGAGCAGCCGAAACGAGATGTGGCTTGAGCACGCACAGCCACCTAATCTCGCTAGCTGAGGTACGAAGGTACTTATGCTTAAGTACATACATGTAACCATTCAACATTTCACGTCTTACACTTCACATTCCAGACTGTTTCGCTTCTCTTCCAAGACCAATGTCTCCAAGGCAATATAATTATATCAATTACCTGGGTATATTACTCGCAGACATAATACATCAACTCATGCCTGCAAGGCAAGTCCGGAGAGTATCCAGCTTATAATCTGGAACAACGACAGCCAAGATCCCGCAGAAGCAACCACATCCTAATAATCTGTCAACATGCGGCCTAGGTCTATCTCAATATATCAACACTTACCACCCAACTCATAGCGTATCCCTGAGTAGAAACTTGACGTTCGAAAGTTGGAAATTGAAGCCATAGCGACAGAAAGCAAGGCTCTGTGGCCGGTTCTGAATCGGACCCTATGTTGCAGAGCATGTCTAAGGCTGGGATGGTCGACAATGAGATATCATAATCGTATGCCGGAGCCCTCCCGCGAACTTGTCTATAGTTCAGGCCTAAGTTTACCTCCACCATTCCGTTCGCGTTAACGAGGATCGGTCTCGTGTAATCGTTCTCTAGAGCTTCGGAGAGCGAGAGTGTGGGATCGTACACGGCCAACCAGAGGCTAGGTGACAAGAGACGTGAAGAATCATTGATAGCCTTGCTAGAGTCATCTAGTATCTATCAGCATCCATGGCCAAAGATGGTACGTAGTAAGTTGTCGTACACCACAGAAAGGCCTGTGCTAGCATGAGCGTAGTAGGCACTGTACACAATAGAGCCTCCGATGAGACCAATGTTAACGTCCGATACTTGGTTCCATGCCAAGTAAAATTCTCAATGCTCTCCTCCCAGCGGTCCTCACACCGGCAAGGTAAGGATTGCGAGTCGCTTAGTCCGCAATTCGGCGCATTCTCCCCTGCCCAGCCGACGAAGCATTTAGGCCTAGCTCGAGAAACATCAAGTATCCCCTGAGAGGTCCAATCATCGCGTTGGAGAAGTGTTATTGATGGGAAGTATGCATGATCCTATACCCAATGGTATTATCAGTCATAGCACCAAAAGGCGACAAGACAAGAGGGTGTCGGTCATACCACAGTGTCTTTCGTGGTCGTGATGACGTCTTGGTTCAAAGCAGGATACCAAGCGTACATGTACAGCAGAGGGATGGCAATCAGCGTGACTATTGACGTGGAAACCGTATTCCCTAGATTCCTAGCATATACGGGAACCCCATCCCTAGGATTATACCGTCGACGATTCAGTATATCCAGGAAGCAAAGGAAAATGACAAGGGCAACCAGCATGCTTGAAATTATAATCTGGATATTTGGTGACTGCTTCTGCACTGCGGCCACAGTACCGATTAATAAGCACAGAATGAAACCAATCAACGAGACCAAACGTGTCCGTGTCGAAGGCAGGCGATGACCGTCGGGACTCTTGAGACCAGAGAACGAGCTCCCAATCCTACTCAGAGGACGAGCCAGACACAACACCGGTCTAGCTTTAGACATGATCTTGGTATGATTGAACGTTACCGTTTGGTCATCTACCCCTCGGCTTCAAAAGAGCAGGCTGCGTTCCATATCTATTGATAAATGTAAGCGACAGGCCGTCCACTTACTAATAATTCTCGATTCGTTAACCCCCATCGGCACTACCGTTTCTGACAACGGGCAATATAATTAAGCTTCATAGTCAGACATTCAATACGAGTGGCGGTCTAGTAAGGATTGGCGCAGGACCCCTGCATGAACTGAACAACGAATGAGGCCGTTCACCTTATTACCTAAGATCCTCGACCGCAGCACTTCCATTCCTAGCGGCTGTAATATCTTCAGCCCAATTAACTGCTAGGACTCTCACCGGTCGACCCGCGCTATAATTGGATCTTATTTGTCCATAGGTAAGTCTAAGGTGAGGCTTTATCGGCGTCCTCCAGAAGGGCTTCTATATCTGAAACTCAGGTTCGTAGGACTTCGAGCGATTAGCCTATCGTTAAAGTCCTATGAATCACGATAGTAGATATATTTTCGACGACAGCCTCTCCAATTTCAATGTTACGGCAACCAGACCCCAAGTCTTCTTAGCAAACGCGACTGCCAAGCAATATGCTGCCCCTATTTTCCTTGTTTCCTATAGCCTTCGCTGCCTTCGCCGATGGCCAAAATGTCTTCATCGACGAAGTTTCGGCCTATTCTAGTCTTCCTCGTTGTGCTGAAGTTCCATTGAGCTTCATCGTCCGAGATATGGCATCCGGCTGTGGCGATGGAAGCAAGACAAGTTCATATTCTTGCTTCTGCACCGCCAGCTCGTCCAAGATGAATAACGTCATCAGCACTGCCGTGGCTTCACGATGCTCCACCGGCCCTACAAGTGCAGCCGCCCAGGCTTTAGACGTCTTTTCCTCGTATTGCAATCTAGAGGGCTCTAACAGAATTGGTAAGTTTGATTTCGGTCGCTAGAAGAGATGCGAGGGGGAATATGTTGCACATCTCAAGAGCCATGCTGATCCAGTTGTACGGCTTAGTAACCGGTAATAATACTTCGCCAGCTACAGTCAATGCTACTGCTACTGTCATTCAGACTGTGGCATCAACTCCATCGATGTCCATGCCAGTAGAGACAGCTCTCAGCCCAATACCCTCATCAAGTCTTGCGGCAAGATGTGATACGGATACGCGAGTACCTATACATGTTATCGCTATCATTTTCGCAGTTTTTGTCGCTTCGTAGCGACCTTTACAATATTGGGTTGGCCGTTGTATCTAACAAGAGTCATGAATTCAGACTCTGAACATAATCCTTAACCAAAACCTCAAGATTCACTACCTAGCCAGTCTAATTTCACATGTAATCGTGATCATTTTTGACTTGTTAAATATTGCAGCGGCTTATCTCCTTAGCTAGCAGAAGTCTTCGGGCATGGGTTAGTACTCGGATAGAGCAAACAGACTGCCTATCTGAAGACTTCCACTATCAGTTAAGGGGTTACAAACTTGAGGTCTGGCAACATGAATGGTTTCATACCTAGGTAGCGGATATAATATATACCGTCATATTTCAATAAGCTAGGCATATATCGAAAGCTATGAACCATAGTGACTTGTTTGAATATTTTATTTTGGGAGATGCGGGTGGTGATAGCTAGTATCTATCAAAAGGGGGAGGCATCTAGGTAATCATTGGCCTACCTAAGTACCTAAGATAGGTATGTAGTCATGTCAAGTTGAAAGGACTACATACCCGAAAAGTATCTAGTTATAATCCAGTCTTTTATCATTAACACTCTTGCGCCAACTCTGTCAATGCCCCTATTTCCCTCTTCGTGGCGCATATTCTTGGGTAGCAAATGGTTACGTCGTCGTCGGAGTTCACTTTTGCCCCTTTCTCGCCTTACCATAGTCTATAGAGTCACGCCTCTAGCTCTCCAGGTAAAGACTGCATGGAGTTAGGAGTAACACCAGTTCGAATTCGTGACACGTTCTTCGGCGCCAACATGGCCAAGAGCACTACCGACAAGGAATGAGATTTTACTACGTCGTATTTCAATGACCGATGGGAACGAAGGGCTACTTATGGCTTCATGTTGTGTCTTGCGGGCGACGGCCAGTGGTACCAGCCCTTGGTGGTGAGCTGTCAAGGGAATGAGGTGATGGAAGACATGTAGGGCTTCCGGGATGTAACAATGTAGAAGCTCGGGGTATCTTACTCTTGATAAGGGAGGTGACGAGGACTAGAATGTTTGAAATGACAGTTTAAACATTTGAAGCATGCCACTGGCAGAGGGTTGGAGGGTCTGTTTAGACCTTTTGAGTAGAGAATGTGTGCGCCTACATATGTTGTCTAAACTTTGATATTAGCTGGTTAGTAGACGTAGGTGGTTATTGGATGATTCAAATCATCAATTCCTTTCAGGCAAGGGAAATACTGTGGGGGAATCTTATGGTTCTTGAGTGGCTCTACTATTGAAGCTTTGTAAATCGTCGACAATCGGCGAATACATAATCATATTGGTCTTGGTTTGGGATAGCGACGTAGGACATCGATTACACAAGCTAATTGTTGCAGTCAATAATTGCAACGAGGAGTTCGTATACATAAACGTGGCGTCTGGATGGGAACCTTGGAACTCAGGAGGCTAATCAGCGTGGGAAGTTTGGTAAGACAGAACGATTTCCGGCTACTATTAGCGATGGTTCAGGATAGAGTTCTGTACCTAGTCTGTGCAAACTACTCGGGTAGATATCGTAGTTTAGGCAACATGCTTGAAGCGCATGTGTTACGGAAGGCGGATGCAAGATGCCTATTCAGATCCTGCCGGGACCTCCCATGCATAGAGAGAGCCCGCCAAGGACTTGCTGGAGAGCATACCTAGACAGATACAGCTTATTCGATGATGTTGTGTAGTAGACAAACATATAATATCATCCGTGGGGTTATAGGCATGGAAGACTTGACAATGGGCCCTCCAATGGGCACTATTACGTAGTATGATCATTAGTCTATACTAATTAGACTATTTGCCTTCGTCTATTGAGTCTGGTGTTTGTTGTTTGACTTCAATCTTATAGGATTCTGATTGAACAGTTGTGTATTGATTGACTCGACCCTCCGTGTTAGATAGATAGTTTGTACAGCCTTTAATACCGGCGGCCACGCGCCGGTCCACTCCAGTGGTAAACAGCCGATGGGCGTTTGTTCATTCGCTTCGACGAATCGTGGTAACCGGACATTATATGCCTAGGAATAGAGTTTGTCGGCCACGTTATGAACGAGGTAGGACGTAGAACTCGTGAGCGGCGTGGGTTCGCCCCGTTTTCCACGTTGAGAAAGGCGTAACACAGTCGTAGTTTCTATGTTGATGGCAAAGCATATTGCCATTACAGGCTTTGAGGAGCATTCCATTATTTTCGCACAAGAGATTAGAACCAGGAGGATCCGGAGGTTTGTGGCATCTATCTGGATAGGTATTGTACTTGGCGGCGTTAGAAGTCGAGGATGCTGACGTCGAGAGTATCGAAGTTACAGGGAGAATCGAACTTGTACAACCGTCTAACATATTAAAGAATAACAATTAATTTTGGCGGATCTTAAAAAGCCCCGAGATAGATTTGGAAGGTATTAACAAGACACTGATAGTTATGAATGTTGTAATACGTACATGTTGTAGTTAATGAGTATACACAATTTGACATGTACCTGATGCTTACCTACCTACCTATCGCTGCCTGTCTACGCATTGTACGTATTAGCATGCTCTCAAGGACCCAATATCTATGGAAGAATGCGAGTAATTTGTACTACATTCATGTCGCTTTAACAATCCTTCAGCTCCTCACTGGACAGCCTGGGGTTTATGGAGCTGGGAAAGGGGCCACCACATCCTGGCGCTCGGTAACCGGCATGCAGTCTCCAGCTGCGGCGGCAGCCTGCATTGCGGCACACATGCTGCCCCTTGCGTACCTGCCTGAACGCCGCTTAAACAGACCTCGGAAGAAAGGTGGAAATTAGATGAGAGAACATGTAGCATCAGAATATAGTAAATAAGCACTTGCCAGCCTGTTGGGTAGCATCTGCTTGAAGTAATATGATAAATATAATCGTTAAGGTTTCTGGGCCTGGGAATGCTGCTATCTAGGTAGGTAGCTAGATGATAGCACAGTGTATGTGGGTTAACTCATTTGCTCTATTCCAACGGGTATCCCATGTCCATATGGTAGCTTCGAATGAGAGGCCATAGGGGTTGATATTGCTACCTCATACGAGAAAAAGGGGTCTCAACCTGACCGACCAACTTACCAACCAGGAACATTACCGACGGTCTCAGATACAAGTAAGAGCCGATATATTGCCTTGGCATAAGTATTTGTAAAAAGATACTACCAATTCTTGTATGCATCTCACTCTGTCGGGAGAGATCGGTCCGAGATCATAACTACGGCCACAGCCATTTATAGAGCATAGCCGGCTGAAAAAGTTGTGACTATTTTGAATGTTTGATGCTAGGATTATGTAGCGTAGTTCCTCGCCTCGCGTTAGGACACCCAGCATAAACGAAAGGGGAAAGTATAAACAGGGGAGATTGCCGATTGGATGACTAGCTCGACGTTACTTTCATGATGCCAGCTCCCGAGACAGAAAGCTTAGTGTGTCCCCCCACTGAGGCTAGGAAGCATAACTCCCCTAAAATTGGTAACATCTTGACCCTTGCTGGTGCAAATCGAACTGACAGCTGGAGTTGGGAGAGAGAACTTTTTGCGTAGCTACCTACCTAAATAAACGTTCATGGGTTCAATCAGCACTTCGAGGTCTCCCCTCGTGTGGACGCTCCCGAGGGTGCGTTGGTACAGTATTCTATATCTCTTGTCGTCCGTACGAAGACGAAACATGGTCACATCCATGATAGATGGTAAAGGGATAATAAAAAAACCTTGCTTTCGCATGTACCTAAATGTTGAGCTCGAAAGCAGCCATCTGAACATGAGCATTGGATGAAGTGGCTAATAGTTGCCACCTCGGTTGCTTCTGCAATAATCTCCCTCTCTGCTCGCTTTAGTATAGTCACCAATTATCCTAGCTGGTATTAATATTTCCGTAGGACAAACGGAACTGGGGCGGAGCAAGTTGATTAAAACCCATCTGTTGGAGCCAGCAAGGGTAGTTCTTCATGGCTGGTATTGCTCGTATGTAGACACGGGAACCGGGTTAGCTCATATCAGAGGGCGTGGTAGTAATTAGTTAACCAACAAACTCTCATGAACTAAGAACGTCATCGGTGTGACACTGGAGAATGAACCAGGGAACAAAACGGCAATGATGGGTAAGAAAGGAAATGACGCAGACCTGGCAAAAAGGAGAAAACGTACGTAATCGAAGGTTCTAAATAATAGACGAAGATGAGTTCCAGAATATGCCAAGCTTCTAGGTCCCAGACGGAGTTGCCTCGATTTCCTCGAAACAGACTCAGGACGGCTCCTGATTTGCTGGTTGCGATGAACGATCATTTCGAATCCCTAGGGGTTTGACGGGGGGAGGCTGGGACCACATTGCGATCTGATCTTAGAACCGGACCCTGGAATTGGGAGCGTTGGAAGCGCACAGACGGTTGCCAGGCTGACAACTTGATAGGCCGAGGAATCCAGGAATCCCGCAATTATATGTATCTCGAAAGATGCCGATACTATGGAAGACATTATAGACGCTAAAGAATTTGCTTGTCATGGTCCCTTTATAACTAGCAAAAATAGCGTATGTCGTCTATTTGAGCAAACAAAAGGCAATGCGGCTCGACAGGTGAGATTGGGCATCGCTGCCGCATGAGGTTGGACCGAAATGATGTCCCTTCTCATTAACGGGCGCGGGGAGAGGCTATCCTATTGTAGGATTGCAGATTAAAGAACTTGCAGCATGGTGACATCCGCTGCATGTTGCGCTTCTCGCGTTAGGTAGGTACCTAGATCAGCGGGCCTGCCAATGCAAAGTGCTCGTGATCTACATGAAATGGGTGCATTAGGGCACATTTCATCACCAGATACACCACCGTAGGATGTCAGATCCATCATTTGCCGGGACTAACAAAAACAAAATATTCCAAAGGTTGGGCTGTGACGCTGATCGGGTCCGATTGGTATTTCTGGAATTATTCTAGTAGAAATTTGAGGGTCTTGTCTAAGGGTGCGGCCGGCAAGACCGGTGCTTAGACGTAAAATAGGGGCGCAAAATTGAATAAATTCCCAGAAAACCAAGAACACGTAGATGAAGCTAAAAGTAATAGGAGGGATGGGAGGGACGGACGTACCCAAGAGTTCCAAAGAAAGATGGATAGATGGGGAAGGGTTAGACGAAAGATTCTACATAATTAGTACCTCCAGGTCTAATGAAGGCCGCGATGAAATGAAGTGTGGCACGCGGCTCGAATGAAGAAGACCCATGAGAAAATCTCAATTCCCTACCCCTGCGGATAAGGCCTATCGAGGTTACTCATTGTTCACTCACCTGGGTCAACGTTTTTGGAGTCTGTATGATCGAGACGCTATGCATGCATGTTTCACGTCTTTCGTCGAATCTGTATGGCCGCCGTAGAGGCCGACGACTCACAGTAGAGCTCCACAACCCCCCTCCTTTTCACAAACTGGGTACGAGGGCCGGATTCGATGGTGTATGCGACAAAATAACCTCGTATGTGCCTTGGCCGGCAATTGGAGATATGTAGGTTAGGCGATCCCGTACATAGCAGATTTCCACGCCCACATGAAGCGGGACAGAGACCACATAGTCGATTTCAAGTTTTAGAAGCAAACTGCTGGTCCTGTGGTGGTTGAGGAAATCAAGCATTCTGCTTTGATTTATGTGGGATGGCAAGATAGGGTCATTTGACGTCTTTGTCAGTTGAAAAGCGGAGCGGTCGAGAAAGAGGGTGTGATGGGAATGCTCACGAGGCTTCTGTCTCTGTTGCCGGCAGCCTTGTGTCCCGTGATAGGACTTATCACAACGAATAGATATAATAGATTTTAATGACGAGGGTCAAACATACTTGGGGATTTCGCCCACGTTGGCATCGGCTTGGTGTGGTATATGTAGGTAGATAAGTTGAAATGGGGTGGAATGTTGAAGTTATTGATCTATGGAATACATATACATATGAATACATTTGAACCTTAAATGTACATAAGTGACAGAACATTGCCTAGCGTACCTGGTAGAAGAAAGGAAAAGAAACCTAACTTTATTTAAGGTTAAGTTAAGGGATCTGGCGAACTTGAAGCTTAACATGGGTATAATGAGATGTAGTATACACATGTAACGCGTGTGCTGAACTCGTGATTCCAAGATGCTGTCAGATCCTTGAATCGAACGTGTTTACGTCGCCTTTGTCGTTGCAGTACCTATACTACCTATGTAGATAGTAGATTTTCATGGTTGATGACGATGATGTTCGAGCTTCCCGCTTCTCGTTGCCCCGTGCACCATAACACATTTTTTTATGACGGCTTCCAATAGTCGTACGGTAATGAAATTTATGTTACTTTGTACCATACGGAATTACAGGGTTATGGGGCCCTAGGGCTGGCCTATGCTGAGCCTATACCCTGAGGTATACTCTGAAGAACAGGCCAATTGATGCTCCGAGCACAGTGTAAGTCTAATTTTAATCCATTGGATCCAATGGGCTTCCGCTAACTTTACCTTGCAAGCCGCGACGGCCCCCCCTTCCTTTGCAACTAGCAGCTGCAACTGATTGATAGTTTCCAATGACAATGTCCAGGTGAATGGGAAGTATCGATGAATGGATAGGAAATATGGGATCCAATGTACCTAGGTAGGTAGGTACATCGTAGGCATGTACCTAGCGCCATGCCACCTGCCTGCCATACTCCTTATCACTCATAATAAATTTCATGCTGTTTAAACTTCTGACGTTTTGTTTTTGTTACCAGGTTACCAGGTTGCTAGGTTCCCTAAAGTCTCCATAGTCCATTATCCCCCGTCAACCATCGACCGTTCCACCATCTTACCCAACCAAGCGACCCCCCTTCTTCCCCCTGCGTCCCTGGGAATCTTTCAAGTGCCAAGTTTCCATCCATACCTGCTACATGCTTGACGAGTAGACAGAAAAAAAAATCTAGCACGATATTTTTCTTCATCTCTTCTCGAAATTTACCAATACTACCTAATAACATATCATCTCAATATCGACTTGATGGTTCTCATCTTCTCTTAAGGCATTTTGCCATAATCTCTTTTCTCCCTTCTCTATTTCTACTCCCGCATCTCCCTGCGACACCTGGGCATCTCTCCAGCCTATCCCGCGGCATACTCCGAGTTGCTGTGCCGTGCCCTGTTGTACCTAGTATAAGAGTATATCTCCTCACCTTCGTTCCAGCTTTCTGATTGGTCTTCTCGCTTTCGACTTGTACCGTTCTGCCGCACCAAGATCTCGACAACAGCTCAAGGTGCCAAACAGATCGGTTAACTTACCTGACTCACTACCTCCCTACTAGCTGACTTATCCACTGCTTAGCACAGGGACCCCTCTGGAGAATTTAGAGTGGACTATCTCGTACAGCTGGGTTGGTAACCTTTAGGTCAGCCAGTCGACCTTTATTGTTCCTACTACCCGTCCGATACTCAACCTGATAGGTGTCCTGGCTTTGAGCTTCTGCTTCAGTCGACCATCCAATCTTGTTACGTATCAAGTGCGCCGAGACCTCTCTAGCTGTTATTAGGAATCGCAAGAGGGTTCCCCGGTAGACCCATCACCGCCTCACGCACTGGTTACACCCTTGCCAAAATTTACCCCCTACAGCCTACAGCATACAGCCTACTTGGAAAAGTCGCTCTATTGGCCCTAAACGTTTTGCGCGTCGCGTGCGAGCACAGCCTCCATTCCCTCGCTACAAGCCATTCGCCAAAAAAGAAAACGCCATCGAAAAAAAACTCAGTTAGCAATAACCGTTACTTTGAGTTTGTCTCCGACGAAGCTCTGTTGCCAAAGCGATTCTGAGTTTTCTGAAGGGTTTCTATTAAGAGGCGCTAAACATCCCAGGCTTAGCCCTTCGTTTATTTTGGCGGAAGAGGAGGACATAAAATAAAAAAGGCGAAAAAAATAAAAAGTGAAAGAAAAGGAAAATCCTGACTTACCCAGGTTGGAAGGGTCCCTGCGGTCAAGCCCGCAATTCTTCGCCGCCTTTTTTCAACTTGCCCTCGCTGCAGGCCAATTTTTTTCTCCACCGCAATCACTTTCAGGACAGGTCCAAGTCCCCTTTCTAGAGGTTTAGGACCTATCATATATACCTTGGAAAGATTTGGCAACCTCCCAGTGGTACACCAACATTAAATAATCGGTATTTCAGCTCCGTCACGGCGTGCTACCCGACTTAATCTCTCGGCTTCCTGCATTTTACTGCACAGCCAATCCTGCCTAACTTTTTCAGCCAACCAGCCATAACTATCCGTTGTCCCATCGACCGATTTTACCTGTCTTTTCTACCGACCACCCTCGCTTCCCAAAGAGACGTTGCGACTTTGACGAAGACGCTTTGTCTCTTCCTCGTCTCTTGTCTCAGCCGAGACTAAGGAGAGGTTGCGAGTTCGAGTTCGAGTTCGGACATCGCCGACATCACCTAGGCGTTTTCGCCCATCTATATACGCGTAGTTCAGGGAGCTGCAGCCTGCTGGCTCCCATCAGCAGCTGCCCCAACCCTCAATACTATTGTGGTAATCATGAATCAACAACACGATATGTATTACGACTATCCGAACACGGCAAACCGGTCGCCGGGGTCGACGAGGCAAGGTTATGCTACTGTTGGCCTACCCTCGGGCCTAGGTAATCGGTCGGGGCAGAGACCACTCGAGTCTCTTGGTCAGCATATGGGATCCCCTTCCTTATACGGACACGATGATCGGATCGGTGGCGGTGCAGGATATGAGTCGCTGTCCAGATTCGACCGTATCGCACCCAGCGGTATGCAGTCTGGTTACATGTTGGAGAACAGTCAAACGTGGGGATATAACGGCGGAGTGGCTACCATGAACGGTCCCATGAACGGTAACGGTAGGTTAGCGGTGAGGGCTGTAAATCGCCGAGCCGCTCTACCTACGGTGAGTGCCCCTTGCCTGTTCCTGGAATATGGAGAATTGTCGCTGATCGGAATATGAAACACTAGACTTGGACTGATCAATCAGGGTTGGGCGTGCATTCTATGCCTCAGCTATATGATCCGAATATGTCGATGAATGGGAACGACCATGATCTATCCAGCATGGCCGGCGCTGCTGCTGACACTCGGGGGATGATGGCTACTCCAGGAGCGTCCGATTCCGAACAGCTTATTCCTACAGCCATCGTTATCAAGAACATCCAGTTCCAATGTCGAAAGGAGATCCTGCAAGGGCTTATGGCCTCGATGAATCTCCCGCAACCGTATGCTTTTAATTACCATTTCGATAAGGGTGTTTTCCGAGGGCTTGCTTTTGCCAATTTCTCAACAGCTGAGGATACTGCTGTTGTAATTCAGAAGATGAATGGTTTAGAAGTTATGGGCAGGAAGTTGCGCGTCGAATATAAGAAGATGCTGCCCCAGGATGAACGCGACCGGATTGATCGGGAGAAGCGGGAAAAGAGAGGTCAGCTTGAGGAACAGCATAGAGCGCCGCTTCCTATGCACCAGCAGAGCGCCCTTCAGGCCCTCGGTGTGAGTGTTAACAAGCAACCAAGCAATTCGCCTCTACGTGGGTCTTCCTAGATCATGGTCGAGTATGACGGCTTTGCTAACATATTGCAGGAGACGTTGACCTAAATGACCCAACGACTCTCGAATTTTACACGCAGCTTACTCTCTTCAAGAGCGATCCGTCCCGCGAAGTCCACATCTTCTCCCCCGACGTCACCCCCGAGCAGCGACGGCAGATACATATCCTTGCCCATAATATGGGCTTGGAGCACAGATCCGTTGGCGAAGCTGATCGAAGACAGATCCAGATTATGAAGCGACCGCAAAACTCGCCTCCCGTCCATGCCCAGAGCCAGCTACCGAACGTCTCTTGGGAAGATCATCGACGCGGACTTAGTCGTGCTGCTACATACGACTTCACCGAGTCCCGTATCGGATCTAGCGCCTACCACGCGCTCGGTAGGCAGGGCCCTACGTTGGAGCTCCCTGGTAGCCCAGACACCGGAATACCGAACAACCTCCGGGCTGCTAAGAGCTTCGCGGATCTGCGCACACACAGTCCGAGCCCTGCGCCGTCCGGTTCGAGCTATGCTGGCCTTGGAAATGGCCTCGGGGCCCGCTATGGTGATTTTTCCCAAACCTCGTTGACCACGCCGCCCAACTTAACCCCGACATCAGGTCAAAATGCGGCGTCGAGCACCGATGCTCTATTGGCGAATAATATGAGCTCGATAAGTTTGGGATTTGACTCGGGCGCTTCGCACATGCGTGCTAGGGAGACGCCCGGGGCCATCGGGAGTCAAAGGCCTGGTGCGAACGGAGCAGCTAATCGCAATGCTCCCGATAGACAGCCACGAGGTCCTGAATGGGGAGAGGCTGGCCAAGGATTCGGTGGTCGCAGCCGTGGTCATATGCAAAGAGGTAGCGGTTAGTATCAATCCTGAGTGTCTGACAGCGTCATTCGTACTAACTTGGCCCACGCACAGATTCGTCAGATGCAGGACGTAGCGCTGGCACTGCTCGTTATCACTGATTTTATCATTCCTATAAAATCCGAAATGGAGGGCGCGGGAAGTAACGACAAGCCGTGAGCCATATGGACTTAGACGCTTCTCGAATGATTTTCCAATTCCTTCTAGCTTTGCTTTACTGCTCATCGCTATGGCATAGGCTTCAATTCTTGGGATTGGCAGAAATGCACGACGGTCACGACGTTTTGAAACCTCGGCTTCTTTTGCATCAACCCATCGACCAATCCGCCTCCACGACGAGCGTTGGATCTCCGTCATCACAAGTATAACCCAACGAGAGACGACTTATGACATAGACTTCATTGCCTTCATTGACCTGACGTCAAGGTTCGGCCTGTCGCAGCACGATTTTTCGCATCTCGATCGATACTTCGACTCGCATTGTTTTATCTCTTTTTCACGCCGACGATTTCCCCTAATAATATCTTTGTAATATGAGATTTGATTTTGATTATTGTTTTATTCGACTTCCATCTTAAGTTTCTCCGGCCGTCCCGGATTGGGAAGAACTGCAAGATCACGGAGTTTGCGATGGTGAAAGGTTGCAGTGTTGCATGGAAAACAAAATTTAAGGGGAACAATGGTGCACATCGTTCCATTTTTACAATACCCTCATCACGATGATTGACAAATGAACCATCTCTGGATACACCATACAGCAATTTATGGGCGACCATTCACGGCATCACGACTTGAACTCCTATACCCTCCGAGGTGTCTTGGGGTCTTGACGGCTTCCGAGGGGAGGTTGTCAAGCCTGGAGAACCTCTTTACGATGGTTACGCTGTTATGACGCATATGCACATCACTAGATGGCAAAGCGATGCTGGCTGGCCAATTAGCCCAGGCGAATCCCTACTAATTACTGTTCCGAGGAGCAATCTACGGGGCATCCCTGGTAAATAAAGGTCAGCGTAGCTTCGGAGCGACTGGAAACGACGAACGAAGCAATGAAGATGAAGATAGCAAGAAGAAGAAAAAATTCATTGCTGAGCAAGGAATTTGTGTTTTCACTGGAGGACAGAACAGAACGAAGGCGGACGGGACAAGAAGATCAGATAAAATTATTTGCATTTGTATATGGTTATTCGCGCCGCATCGACTACGCTATGTTGAGGTTTTTCGTCTTTTACTCCTTTAGCCGCATATCATCCCGACTTCTACCAGCATTATTCGGCTCGGCGCTTCCCGTCTAATGAAATATAGCGTCCAAAGACGATGCATTATCGTTCCGGAGTTTGCGGAAGGCCCTTGGGCCTCGGGTCGGGAAAGTATTAATCATCGGGCTAGGGAGAGACATTCGCTATAGGCGCCCTGCTGCAATACAAAAAGTATTTGATCGTTTTTTCAACATGAGACTTCTACGTGATACAGCACCGATTCGATTAACGCCGGACTTCCTTCTACCTCCTGGAGTGGGCTTCTGGACGAAGGTTCAGTCACAATTGTTAGGATAGAGTGTGCCTGGGGCTCTCTTTTATTATTAGTGAAGTATATGTGAGTGTAAATTTAGGGTTAGCTAATTCTATTAGATGATTCATATCGCAATCCCGTTCCTATAATCCCTGTTATCTATATGGGCACGACCCTCCACTTCACCTCACCAGGCGCACAAGTCATTGAGCCCTCCACGCCGTTCTTTCCACCTAAAGTTTTGGCGGCGTCAATAGCAGATCCGAGCACATCGACGACATCGGTTCCCCCAACGTATACTTGGTCGCTTGATGGCGGCGTCGCAGGTTGTACTTGGAACGCGCAACCGCCCGACGTAAGCAGCGTGTTGAAACGGTCCGTCGCGTAGGCTGAGAGGAGATAGTCTCGATTTGAAGATACTTGAGCAGCGCGAAGAGAAGCACAATTGTCAAGCCAGGACGACGAGGCGGCGCTGACGGAAGCGACTATGGAGGGCGTTGTGGGCCCGCAGTAGTTGGATGGATTTCCGGGTTGGGTTTCCCACGCCCAACAGGACGGTGGGTTTGTGGGCGGAGACGGGTACGGGTAAAGACTGCAGGCCGGACTGGAGTCATCCCATGTTGTTGTGGTAGGGCCTGTTGGGAGGCTGAGCGCCACATTGGGTAGTATTAAGGACGTGAGGATGTGATAGATATGCATCTTGAATGAGGATGAGAATAGGAGACACGTATGTGCCGATATCGAGCTTAATATCACTCAACTGATCTAAGGAGATTTTATCGAAACGACCTACTTATATCGTAGGATGAGGAGAAGCAGTGATGCATGTGAAACTTATATATACATTGTTTGTGTATATCCTCGGTGACCTTATATACCCGTCTTGTATAACGAGGAACCCCAAATCACCCTTAAAGCGTCTACCAAAATACCCGACGTGATGCGTTCTTCCAAAGATCTACGGTGAGAGCAACTCTTCCCACCTTCGCCGTTTGCGCCCCAAAGGCCCGGCCCCCAAAGTGAGGGCCAATGCACGGGCTCGTCACATAAATTAGCTACTATATACACATACATATTATACGACTTAGGAAAATTTAAAAAGAGATCTCCGCCGCCAAAACCTGGGAGCCGGATCTACGCGCGGCCAATTGGCGACGTCGGACGCGCGGGCGCGGAACCCCCCCTCCCCAATTGCGTCGCAAAGCGAACGTCCAATGAGGAGTGCCGGGCCCCCGAGGAGCGCGGGCGGCTAAGGGGTCAGCTGGTTAGCTAATGCGTATACTAATACTAATACTAAGGGGCGGACGCGGTCTCAGCACAGCGCTGGGCGGGCGATGTCGTTGGTTGGTTGGATGGAGTTGGGGATGGGATGATAGGATGGCGGGATGGGTTTAGGGAAGCCAATAGAAGAGATTAATTACCTATGATATAGCTGTATTATAGCATAACCACTGAACCGATGGAGAGCCGGTGTGGGTTAGGTTTATCTGGGGGGAATATTTGAGAACACCTAGGTACCTATATTCACAGCCTACCTAGGTCAAGGTATGTATTACGGTACGAGCTATGGTACGTGCCGTGCCACCCCCTGTCCTCGATACGATACCTGGGATATAATGGGAAATGTTTTTTCTTTTTTTATTAAAATAGTTTACTTTTTCGATTTCCTCTTAAGGGTTAAAGTGTGACTCGCATGTCGAGTTTGCATGACCTCACTCTTTGACGGGTACTATTGACGGAATGGATTTCCCAACACATGGAGATTGGGTCTTCGGCCAACATGCATTCATTTGATGATAGTTATATCTGCCGATCCTCTATGCCGTTCAATTAATCTAGGGGGAAACGATGCATGAATCTCTACCAGGGATGTAAGGGGGAGTTGAGGCTGACATGGCCCTGAAGATATGACGACGTACGACGTAGGTATTATTTACCAACGTCATAACATACCTACCTGGGACCTATTTAAATATATACTTATACACTAAATATTCACATCTATCCATAAATCCATTGGTAGTTTATTTCATTATGCCCATACCGTGCCCCCAGATGTCGATGCGTCGACTCCTATCCTCACGATACCGGAAGCGCCTCTAATCTCGCCGAATTCATATTTCAAATTCATCTCATTAACATGCCAGTCCCTATCCCTGCGTTTCATCGTGCTCAAGCTCTCGAAGCGGGCGAGCATCCACGAGTCGCACACGTAATACATGGCTCCCGCGATGGTGCTCGGGTCGACGGGCATGTGCGGCCACGCGACGAAAAATGAGCCGATGACCACGAGAACCATGATGCAGAGGATGCCGACGGCGGCCCACGTGCAGATGTTGTGGACTAGGAAGGTCTGGGTAACGCGGAAGGGCACGTTACTAAGGAAGATAGTCAGGAACTCCGAGAGGATGGATGTTACTGCTACCACAGCGAGGAAGCTATGTCGTCGACGGATCGCCGACCAAAGACCTGAGAAGGCGTTCGTCGGTGGCGCGAGCAAAATCGAGTGTCGCGCCTCCTGGGGCGAGCTGGCAAGAAGTTGGTAGGGGCTTAGGGTTGCGATGCCTGGTAGATTGTTAGATATTTAAATCTGGATAAGGTACAGATAGTAGTACCCCTAGGTAGGAAGATAGAGAAAGAAAGGGAATCGGCAAATGGGGACGAAATGGGGAGAAGAGGAGGGGAGACTTACTACTGAAGAACGAGGCCCAGAAGAAACTGATAACCACACCAACAGCCGTAAACAAGAACCGCACTCCAAACGATTCGCTATCCATGAACCTCTCAAACGGCGTATCGCCACCCGTATTGTTATAATACAATATCAGGGCCAACAATCCGCATAGGACAAAGAGGAATAACAGCCGTCCCGCGTAACCCAGCATTAGGAAGGGAAGGTGATGCTTCGATTTCGTACGTGCAGCATGATGATCTTGCGGCTCCTTTACCTCGCTAGCAATCAGCCCTGGCACATTTCCTCTATCCTCGCGCAGCATAATGCCATACTCCACCGTCCCATTTACGCCCTGGAAGTAATCCAGCTTGAACCAGCGATCCTCCAACACGCTCTCCAACAACCCCTTCGGCATCCTCCCCGCGTCACTTCCGGCCGGCAAGCTCGTAAACAGACGGCGAACATCCGGGTTCAGCGCCAACGACGCCGTGCCGCATATACTCCAAGGATTCGTGCCAACGCCCGACCTCCAGCGCATTAGAACCGCGAGGATGGCCAGTGTCGCCACGCCCATGACGCCAAGCAGCGCAACGGTAGCCTTAGCCGCCTGGTCGAAGACGGCGAGCACGTACGCGCAGTTCTTCCCGACCCCGCTGCCCTGGACGCACTCCGCGCCCTTCAGATCGAATGCCACAGCCTCCGCCGACAACGGGATGAGCAGCGCAGAAATAAGCACCAGCAAAGAGGTCAAGAAGACGAGGGCCTGGCCGCCGGCAAGAGAGCGAATGCCGGAGATAATGGACTGCCAGCCGGAAGTGTTGAGGCACAGTGACTCGTGGCCGGGGGCGCCGCCCCGGGAGTGCGTGAGCTCGTGCCAGGGCTGCAGGATCTTGGCGTTGACGTCGAGGATGCGGATCGGGATCGCGAGGAGGATGGCTAGGAGAGTCGGGAGGAACATGCCGATGAAGTAGGAGCCGTAGGTTATGGTGTATGTCTTTACCCCCTTACCATTACTATTACTAATTTGGCTGTTTTGTTCCGAGGGGAGGGAGGGGTAGAATGTTGCTGTGGCGGTAGGGGCGCCATGCGAGTCGGTCTGCACGCTGGTAGAGGGCGTGACGAGAACATGGGTCTCTTGCGTACCTGTGGGTTGCCCTTGAGAGTTTGTTAAGGTGACCGTTTGGGGTATTGAGACGGGCGATGGGATGCTTGTTGAAGTTGTCGTTATGCCTTGCGAGTCAGTAGTAGTAGCTACGACAGGCGTTACGAAGGTGGGTGTTTGAGGGGTTGTTATTTCTGAGACCGTAATGGTTCCCACGTTGCCGTGATCCGAGGCATGTACACTTGACGTGATGTCATCTGATATAGTCTTCGATCCAACATCGCCGTAGTCCTCGCTAGCCTTAGAAGACGCTATCGTTGGTGTTGGTTTCCTACTCTGCGAGACGGTCACAGTCCCGCCAGCACTGCCGAAGTCACCCTCCGGCTTAGACCACGCTGGCTCAGTAGTGGGTACAGTTGTGCCTCCATCGGCAGAATTAGTGGTATGTGCTGCTGGCGTAGTCGATGGGCCTGGATCGGTAACGGTCTGAATACCGACATGTCCAAAATCGTCTTCGGCTGGCGACATAGTCTCCTCGGGCTGGGAGGTAGGTTGAGAAGTAGGCTGAGAGGTGAACTCGGTGGTCTCGGCGCGGCCAACTATTGAGTCGGCAGTGGAATGAGGACCAGAACCCGTCAAGTCAACTGAGATAGGTGTATAAAAGTTTTCAATTTGGATGTCTCTTGCATCAAGAACACTGATAACGTCGAGGTCCTTATTGAGAACGGGTAAAGCGTGCAGAGCCCACGCGAGTAACCCTATGAGCGCTAGTATTACAAATAGTAACGTGGTTAGGAAAGGCCATCTCAATGCCGAGGGCTTGTAGTTTGGACGTTCTTGATCTATGACAAGCGGGGCATCCACAGGAATTTCGTTATAAACGACCATATCGGGTTTGTAGGCCGTTGAAATTGAAGTTTGACTGTAGTCCATCCTTGAACTGGATCGTGACCGGTTACTGTGGTACTCAGGAGGGCTCTCGTCCTCGATGGAAGATCCAGTTGGGGCCACATAGTGTCCTCCGCTATATTGGCGCTCATATCCTCGAGTCGTATGAATGTCATCTTCATCCACCCCGTCGTCGTCCCTTGAGCTCCCATGCTGAATATGGGACTGTGGAACGGTATCAAACCCTAATCTCCCCCCACGCGGTACCGTCGTAATATGCGACATGATGTCGTCTTTATTCAATAGTTCCTCGATTCCATTCAAGCCATTGTTGGACAAACGTAGCGGTATGTTCCTGGGGCACGTCCGAGTTCTCGGCGAGAGAATATAAACCCAACTCCATCATAAATTGTAAGATGGGGCAGGCGCGCTTGATATTCTATTTGTGAATCCTTGGCGGAGCACTGCCGTCGATGCATCGTTATATTACAGTCCTAGGCTAGGCATGGGTTATAGCTGATTATAGCCTATCCCATTCTTATTTCAGTGGTTGGGAATCTTGGCAGTTTTCAGCTGGCCATACAATTAACCTCTATTTCACCAATTAATTGGAGATGGTCGCCTGGTGTCTTGTCGATCAGAGCATCTAGCTGATTCTCTAGCGCGAAGCCTTATATATTACCTAACGCATAGGTACCTAGAAGCTCATGATTTGGCTCACCGCTTAGTCAGAAACGATGTTTTGAAGTTCGAGACGCTGCGTGCCGAGAGACCTATAATAGTATCGATTTGATGGAGAACGGTTAGCTCAGCGGTGCCTATCTACCGAAGAAGCCGTGTTGGAGTTGGGCGCAGAGGCGTCGACGCTACCGCTGCGGGCTATTCCTACAAGACCATTCATTCTCTTGCTAAATGGCACGATCATAGCGCTCTCTCGAAACGGAAAAGTTGGATGCAATAGGAAATTGTTGTAAAAGAGCGGACTCATCGAACCTTGTATTAGAAATGAGAAGTCATGCGACGAACGGTAGATGGGCTTAAGATCGCAAAATGTCTTGGCGTAAGACACCTATTCATAGCGTGCCCGTTTGGGGTTGGATACCAGCCCTACAGGGCGCCGCTGAACAATGTGAGATTGTCCCTCTTTTAGTCAGACGGACTGACGGGATTGAAAATGACCCGTAATGGTACCATTTAGATTTCAGGATCGCATTCCTAGCGATACCCACCGTCATTATCCACGCCAATCGATCGGAATCATAAATCATAACGAAATGTCCACCAAATCAACATCGCCGCTGAGGCTTTTGTTCCTGACAGAGGGCGTCATGAAACTTGCCGGGGGTTTGGTGTTCATGATCTCGCCTCAAACCCCATTGTCGGTAGCGGTGGCTGCTCCCATCCCGCCGTCAGCCCTACTCCTGACACGGCTTTTGGGTACGCAGACTTTCACACTGGGCATCTCCATGCTTCTCGCATCTACTAGGACGTCGAAGGCAGTATCAAGCAGACGGATTGTCTACTGGACGATATTCGCGAGAGACGCGACATTAGTAACCGTGCTCGCCTTACAACTCTTGTTTGGTCAGAATAGCGATGCTTTGGGGTTTTCGGTCAAGGGGCTGCGTGCGTGTCTTGCAGAATTGATGCCCTTTTGCTTGGGTCACTTGTGGATTCTTGCTGCGAAACCGCATTGGTTCTAGTGGTCATAGAAAACATGAGGTTTCTGAGCCTCCATGAAAAGGCTAGGCAAAAGTTCTCTAATTCACCAGTGGGAGTTAGCCATGAGCATCTATGATATCCATAATTAGAATATCATGAGAATAAAAAGAAAGGTATACGTTATGAGCGAATGCCCTTCCTATATTCAACGTTTGTGATTAGAGTTTCTCTAGTTTATAAGAGTTTCGGCAGGTGCACTACATTTGGCGGGGTATTGGGGTATTTTCCATGAACCTGGCAAGAGCTCCCTAAGCTCCCAACTTAACCAATGCAGTATCGATTCTTCGCAATAATCACGCATGCAATATAGAAAATTAATCTTGAAAGGGGTGGTCTTCGCGCTCGGGTTTACCTCATTTACTGCCTTTCGCTGGTTCATTTTACAAAGGGTGAAACTTAGTAATTAATTCATTTACATGGGGAACCTAAGCGCACGAGCAATGTGGAAAGATATATAACGTGTTTTATCTCGATCTAAAACCAATCCGGTCTGGAAATTCATGTCCGAAGGTCCTCCTGGCGCAATGGTAGCGCGTTAGACTTCTAATCTAAAGGTTGCCGGTTCGAGCCCGGCGGGGGATGCATTTGATTTTTGATTGCTTCCGCTTCCCTTGCCCTCAAAATACGTCATTTTTCTTTTTCTTTTTATATATGTATTTTTTTCCAATTCCGTTTTTTACAGGTAATTGGAAATTCTTAGTACAATGGAACAAGAGCAACCTCGATATTGAAATCGCAAGTGATTGCAACGCAAATCGTTGAAATCTCGGGGGCTAACTCTTAAGTTAGGTCCCTAATTAGGTAGGTACTTGTTAAGTAGTATGTGTTGCCCGGGGCTATAAGGGCATTGGTGTTACGCAAGGTTCGGAGTGTCTTGTAGGTACTAAAATCCGGTATGCGGCCGGCTTTCCTGCACCCGAACTGGGTTAATGCCTAAACTCCCTTTCGCGATCGGAGATAGAGACCCAATCGAAAGCGCGGTCCGACACTGTTGGAGAATGGCGGGACCAAAGATCAGACTTGGCTCTTAGAGACACGAACTTATCGCGCTTTCAAAGTTCAGTCTCGCAGCACCGCAGGAGAAAAATGTCTTCTCTACGAAGTATTAAAAGCGCAATGCTGGACACCGGGACTTTTCATTTACCAAGCCAAAGCAAGCAATGAAGCAAGCTCTGTGCAAACTCTCACGTCGTCTCAAGCCAGTCCGCTCTCCTTTACCAACTACAGCTACAGCTGCACCATCCAAAAACCCCATCGTTGCGCCCCCTAGTCGCACATACGCCAACCAGTCCACCATGGCTTCCAGCGTCTCTCCCTCCCTCAGCGGCAAGGTTGCCATCATCACCGGTGGCTCGAAGGGCATTGGAAAAGCCTCGGTCATCGCGCTCGCGCGCCTGGGTGCCACCGTTGTCATCAACTATTCCTCCGACGAGCAGGCCGCGCAGGACACCCTCGCCGAGGTAAAGAAGCTAGGCGCGGGCGAGGCCCGTCTCGTGCGCGCCGACGCCGGTACCGTGGAGGGTGTCCAGTCGCTTGTCAAGCAGACCGTAGACGCCTACTCCAAGATCGATGTGCTGGTCCCCAACGCCGGTGTGCTGCCCATGAGGGACCTCGAGCACACCACCGAGGCGGACTTCGACCGCACCTTCGCTATCAACGTCAAGGGTCCCTACTTTCTCGCCCAGGTAAGCGTTTCTGAAGATATTCGTAAACATAGACGTGATATGATCGTTAACCGCTCGCAGGCCGCCGCCCCGCACATGCCGCGCGGCTCGCACATCATCTTCCTGTCTACCACTCTGGCCGTCGCCTCCACCGTCATGCCCGGCTACCTGCTGTACAACAGCACCAAGGGCGCCATCGAGCAGATGACGCGCGTCATGAGCAAGGACCTCGGGCGCAAGGGCATCCTCGTGAACGCCGTCGCGCCCGGTCCCACCGGCACCGAGCTCTTCTTCCGCGGCAAGAGCGAGGAGATGCTCAAGACCATCGCCAACTTCAACCCCCAGGGCCGCATCGGCACCCCCGAGGATATCGCCGAGGCCGTCGTTTTCCTGTCACATTCCTCCTGGGTTTCCGGACAGGTGCTCCGAGCTAATGGCGGTATGGCTTAAGTAAGGATGAAATCCAAAGCACCTGCAGGGGGAGACATCAGTCACGAAGAACCTGAAAGGGATATACCCAGATAGCCGTAGCCAGACATTAACAGTATATTTTCTTCCTCGAGAACTATGAATGCCCCCTGCCCAGTTTGTTATGTGTCATGATCGTATTAACTGTTCTTTTCAGGGGGTATAGAATACCGTATTCAAGAATAGAATGCATAGACTTAGGCACGAGCTTATCCTTTAGTCGCTAACGACTGCTTGTTGTCGTTGTCTATTTCATCCTTGGCAGCCTTTTTTCCACATGTGACTTATGTTCGCTAATTTGTCAGAACGCCGTAGTATTCATTCCTATTGCTAGCCTGTCAATTTCCTGGTTTCGACAAATAATTTGCTTATTTCATTATCACTCTTATGTGGTGCGCATGTAGTCGAGATAGTTATTTGGAATTCACCATTCTAATTGTTTTCTAGGCTGACCTGAACAAGGCCACTAAATATAGTCAAGCAGATCACTTTTTAGACCCTGCCGCTTTTCCAAAGTTTCCTAGCATGGCCTTGGTAGGCCGCCCTCGCAGCTATAAATCCTACAATGCCTACTATCATTCCCAGCGCGCAGAACACCTTAAGCCACACATAAGGATCCCGGCCGTTCCTATCCCCGGCATCAGCCAACAAGCCGGCCACAGGCTGGGCGATGAGCACCGACGGCGCGATGACGAGGTACACGGCGCCTAGGTACAGCCCAAGCTTGCTCATGTCCGGACAGACCTGAGCTATAAGCGTAGGTACCATAGACACAAAGGTTCCGGAGCCGAAGCCATAGAGCGCCGCGAAGACGATGCGTCCGGCCTTGAACGGCGCCGCTATCCACACGCATAAGACGAGCACGATGGAGAAGAAGGTGAACGCGATGGTGGTGTTGAAGCGCCCGTAACGGTCGCCGAGCCAACCGGGCATGACCCTGCCTACGGTGCTAGTTATCAGAGTTAATTAGATCCTGTGTGAAGCGGAGGTGAGCCAACATACCTTGTGGCACTCAAGATAACGAGTAAGTTGTTGGCGGATTGCTGGCCGTCGCCGGCGTCTTGGGCCTCGACCACAATGAAGTTGTAGGGGATAAAGACTCCTAGAAAGTAGAAGAAGCAGGCAATGGCGAGAGTAAGAACTGGACCGGACCGGAGAAGCGACACCGGTACAAATTGAGATACACGGAAGGGCGCTGGAGAAGAGACTGCTTCCTGCGGCCGGCGCGACGTGGTAGCGATGGCTATGACCAACAACACAAAGTAGGTCAGGGCGACCGCGCGCATGGTCCAGGAGAAACCGATGTGATCGAATAGTACGGGGATAACGGCGGTGCCAATCACAGCGCCCAAGGCGCTCCCAGCACTGACGAGGCCGAGCGCAAGCCCCCTCCGAGCTTTGAACCAGGTACCGACGGCGGTAGTGCCAGCAACGAAGATGGCGCCGGTGCCCATGGCGCTCACGATGCTCTGGGCGGCGAAGAACTGGCCATAGGTACGGCAATTGGCGACGCCGAGCAGACCACCCACATGCAGGACGGTGCCGATGATCAGGATCACGGTAGGACCGAGACGGTCGAATAGGCCGCCGAAGATGGGCACGCCTAGAAAGAGTAGGAAGGTCTCGGCCGAGGTGATCCAGCCCACGTCGCTGGCGTTGTAGTCGCGTAGCTGGTGCGTGCTGTAGTACGCCTGGAACACGCCAATACACGTGATCCAACCAAACGATACGAACAGGCAGGCAAATCCACCGACCACAGCTAGCCAACCACGTGGCGATGTATCGAGAGGAGGAAGGCGATTTAGGGCGGGATCGATGTTGTGAGCAGGTCTAGAATTGCATTGATGTAAATCGGCGGGCATACCAGCAGCCTTCTCGGCATCACGCACCTCACTAGACATGACTGGATTCAAAGGCGTTGACGGGTCGAATTCGCAGCCATTACCAGTGAGTTGGTTAGCATATAGAGTGGCAGGCAGTCACATGTGGTTTGTGTTTAGTGTACGGATTTTAAAGTCGCGACCCGATCCGGGGTGCATGGGCGGAAGTGGCTCTATGCGTGTGTGCGGCGCATATGTTGCGGCGTCGCGCTCGGCTCGCGCCCATAACCCCGTCCAACACGCTCAAATAAGGGAGATAGGTAAAAGGGACCCGAGTACTTGAGACCTGCTACACGGACAATCGGGAATCGTTACACAAAATCCGTGCCCGAAAGTCTCCTAAATGCGGCCACCCTTCTGGGCGCCATTGTAGGCTGTCCTATTGAAGATTATCAAAATATTGTTGTGTGGGGGAGACTTCCAAGTCACGAAAACACATTGATGGTCCTTTCATCATTATTATTACCCGTGTAACATACGGTAAGACAAGGTGCGAGAATGAACCCTTGTTTGCGACGGTTATACAAGTAACTCTATAGACGATGTATTAGTTGATGTTCTGAGAATTCGGGATTGCGATGTCTTCCTAGGATGGAGCAACCGTTAGGGTGTCACGTGAATCATGCCCCGCCCGGACGTCTGAATAAGGTTGCCAAAGGGATAAGGAACAAAAAGCTTCAACTCGGTTGTTCCCGCTTTTACGTAAGCGTTGTGTGTGGGAGGGGTTGAATTTCTCCCCAACGAAATTGGATTGATTCACTCCCTTCCTCTTACCTTTTACTCATTACAAACCGGAGTAACCTGGACTCTCTGCCTCTATCGCGAAAACGACTTCTACGGACCAAGATATTCATGAGATCTACAGACATCTTTCAAGCTTGGGACGATTTCACAACTACCCAAGGATTGCAATAGTAACCAGGCTTATGTCACAGCTCAGGTCACGTTGCTAGTAATTTAATCTTAACATCGAAATGGGAATTTGACGAGGTTAGTCTTTTAAACAGGTTATACGTACTGCTATAATACAATCGTAACAAGGCCCTTATATACTACCGAAAAATGCCCGTTCATTCATATCGACCCGAACCCGCATCATGAAATGAATTTTACTCATATATCCCATAGATCTTCGTGAATTTGCCGGAATAAGTATCCGGTAGTAAGGTATTGAATGTAAGCTAGCCTTATAATTGGTGGCGAGGGGGTTGTTCTCGGCTATTGGGACGTGCATGATATACTCCATGCTGACAGAGTGTAAGACGGGAGTCACATTCTGCTCAGCTTAGGTCATCTTGTCCGGAGACAGGAGATGATTCTCGGATGGCATGCCGGATGACAGCGTAATCACTTAGCGCTGTTCATGAGAAGGCAAACTTATAGACGGATCCACAGGTCCTATGTCTGTTGTGGCAGTGTCCTAAAACCGGGTTATGTTAGGGTTGCCACGTTCTAGATCCGGCGGAGCGCGGACTGTCTCCATGGTGAAGGTATTTGTCCTCAATATCTTGTTTTCCTCCCCAAACGAAACCAGATTCTGAGAATCCGAGCTCACTTTATGTTGGTAAACCCCTCCCCACTTGTGTGATGGACCGGTAGAGATTTTCCCGGATCTAGATCCCTTCGACAGTGAAATGGATCGGAAATATGACTTGGCTGATTCTGGTAGGTGGTGTCTAAGGAATGCCGGCAGCAGCATTAGACAGGAGCAGATAAGACCGACGTTTATCTCCAGTGTGCTAGACGGCTTGTTAGATCCTGAGCATGACTTCATGGTTTTTCTAGGGGTACCTACGCCCACACCGAAACCTTAGCGATATTGTAAGTGGAATCTAAATCGCTCTGTAGAAGTGGTGTCATTCCTAGGCGCACGAGACTGGCTGCGCAACCACTGGAAATAGGGGTATCAGTATGTGTAACCACCCACTAGAGCCACGCATGACTTACAAAATACCAATTCCAAAAACGGCACCGAGTCTTATCTTTCGCCTTGGGCCCATGTTCAAGCCCCAGAGGAGAGGAATAGGAAGAATAAGGACATAAAGATCCACAAACGCGTTCCACGCGCCAGAAAGGTAGCTCACCGGAGCTGGAGACGAGCAGTGACCCGGAATGGAGTCATCCCACGCCTTTTCAACTGGGAAGCAGAAGAAGATAATGGCAAGCAAGATAGCCACACCCATGAGCGTAACGACAATGATCCCCCCGTTAACGAACCACTTCGCCGTTTTCTGTAGATTGAATATGCGGCGGTACAGGAAAAGGAGACTGAGTTTGATAATCGTGGTTGCCGCGAAGTACATCTGTGCCGCAATAGTTTGGTACTAAGTAGGGCTTCGTTAGCACTACCTATCCTTCGATTATATCGCGAACATCTCGGAAGCTAACCTTCAAAGCCGGAATAAGCCAAATTACTGGCTCATCCCATATGTGACGACCAATTCCCCAGTGGAAGCCTTTGATCGAATTAGCAAAATGGTGTAAGGGCGGAATGATAAGTGCATCAGCATACATGTAAGTATTAGGCCTGAATACGTCGCCGTCGCTGCCTATTCTGACGGTTAGTTCGCAATTCTGGTGGTCAGATTTCGGTAGGGACTTGCGTATGCTAAGAGACAGAGGTCTAGAGTTCACAAGTATCAGCCATCGTTATGTTCAAGTCAAATGTTTAAACCCAGGTAGGTGGTAGACTCACAATCATCCACGCCAAGACTAACTCGAGAAACTCGCAGGCGCGTGTATATTCGCATAATGACTGATAAGGTGCTTAGAGTGAGGAAGACGGTGTGGATCGCGATGTTCCCGGCCATCTGGTTCTCGGGATTGACGAAGTTGACCTCGACGCCCTCCGGGGGCGGCACAACTCCTTGCGACCACTGTGATGACATGATGGCGTTGGTTCTTGGAAAGTTACGATGCGAACAAGCAACGGAGAATAGGACTCTTGGATTTGACGACGGGCTAAGGTGGGACAAATATTATGAGAACGAACGGCAACTAAACAGTATTACGGTAGCCACTCGAGGACAATCCGATCAGGAAGCATTACTGATTTGGGCCGACACTTTTAGATCTCCACCCCTCCATCACGACTATGGGGTTGCAACGCAGGCTTACGCCGCTCGCGACCCTTACGACCCTTCAGACTAGAAAGGCATGTGGTTGCAATGCATGCTTCCTCCAACGTAAGCCGAGGCGAAGGATTGGCTTTAATACCACGGAAATATGCACTCAAAAGGGGCGTAAAACCGTTTGAAATCGAAGTTTTCCCATTGTTCTACACGCGCTATACCACAATAAGCCACGTGTTGAAGTCTTACTGAGATGGTCGTATGCATGTACCCGATAACTAGGTAGGCTGGGTGGAATCTTGGTGAAGAAGTTATAGTTTATAACTTATAGTCGTATTAAGCTATATGAGCTAGTGCAATAGGGCGAAACAAAGAACCCCTACCCCCCAGACTAGGTCTTAATATATTCTCCTATTGAATCCACCCGAATCTCACCCCACAATCACCCACTTGAGGGGCCTCCCCAAGTAAAAAATTGTCAGCTGAAGGTGAATATTCCCTCGCTTATGCAATATAATATAAAATCATGAGATTCGTCGATAAGTCGTTCCAAAGGTCTTGCTTATCGGTACCGAGTCGAAAGTCTCACAAGCGGTGCCACCTTATCCCACGCGACAGAGGTGATTTTCATTTTGATTAAATGCCACAGAGTTGTAAAGTTTGGGACGATACCTAATCTTGCAATCTATGTACATAATACCTATGCACAATGCCACCAACGTCTGATATCGAATGCTTCTATGCCGCATTCGATCCCTTCTTACCCACAGACTCTTGCTAGTGCTTTAGCCCCCTTTTCTTGGCACTTCATCTCTACGCCCTGGATCTTGGTAACGTTAGCGAACGAATGCACGTATGCCTTTCGTATCTAGTTTCGCCGTCGCGACCATGAAGTCGTGGACTTGTCTCACGTCGCTCTCGTCCGTCTCGAAGAGCTCTAACTTAGGTCCGTTAGGGCGAAAAAGTACCGCCAAGGCATATGTTATTTCGGCCATTGCTAGACTAGAATAGGAAAATCAAAAGTGTCAGTGGGCCGGAAGCGGTCTAGGTGAAGAAGTCTAAAGGAACCTTACTGTAGTCCGAGACAGTTCCTAGAACCCCGAGCAAACGGCACATAGTTCCTGTTCATTGCCGGGGTAACCTCTCCAAGCCACCGTTCAGGGATAAATTCGAACGGCGACTCATACACGGAAGGATCCGTATGCATGAGATATGACGACATCCCTACCGGCACCTACGAAACGATTTTAGTGTGGGTTTCTTCCGAAAAGATATTCAGGGGTTGCTGGTACTTACCCCTATCGGGATAGTATAGTCCTTATACTGAATAGGGACATCGGGCGAGATCCGGGGCAGTCTGTGCATGACTCCATAACTGATACTGATTTCCAGATCTCAGCATCACTTATCAGCCCGAGTGGGGACGATCGAAATCTTACCGAAGCGATTCCTTTATGATGGCCTGCAGCAAAACAAGCTTTTCGAGCTCTGCCCACGTCGGGACGTATTGGGGCCATCTGTCCATGAGATCTCGGAGCTCTGCCTCCACACCTTGTCTCAGATGGGGCCGAGATAAGATGTAGAAAGACGCAACGCCGATAGTTCGCCCGCTAGTCCAGGTCCCCCCGGCAAGGATCAGCTGTGCTTCCATCACAAGACGACTCTCCGTTTTCTCGGATTCCGGCATATCGCTGTTGACAACGTGGTGGAATAACGACGAAACATTCTCATCTTTCACGGTGTCCGTTGTGAGAACTTTACGAATATTCTCCCTTGCTTTCTGTCTTATGAATTAATCTTCAAAATAATCTACTTAGGTAGGTAGGTATTTGAGCATTGCCGGATTTTACTAACCTGTCTCAACTTGCGAATTCCTTGACCGCGGGGATATAGCCATACGAACACGTCTTCCGGCAGGTAACTCATCATCCTGCTGCGATGTTAGGTAATTACCTATGCTTGACGATAACAAACATTAGCTTACCAGACAAGTAATGGGAATGCGGTGGCCACTGGTATAGAGCGTATGATCATAAGCATAGCATTAAACCTAGACTTTCATTTAGCAATCACTCAGTAGTATTATGCACATAGAAGCAGCGTACCAATCCGGGGAGAAATTCGCTTCGTTCAGGAAACGGTCGCGGCGGTCTTTAGTGTCGAGGCACATTCTGCCGACAACATCGCCTGCGTACGCGGAGAAAGCATGGTCTAGTCGGATCACTTGGTTCGTCCCAGAGAACTCCCTAAGCCGTGACTCCAGGTGCAGAGCTACCTCTGCGATAACCGGTAGCAAGCGATGGATCCCCAATTTGGAGAAAAATGGCTCTAGGGCCTTTCGCCTTATACGATGAAGGTCATGCTCCTTTGTAAATAGATGGGAATCTAAATGACACTATTAATAACTACTACCTGTATCACGATATCTATCTAGGGATGGTTGCAAACCTTCAAAGCCAATACCCTTGCCAAAGGCATCGTAATGATCAGTTCGCCGTCTATTCTCCGTGACGTATAATTCATTATAGAAATCAGGGTCATTTATAGAAAGTTCATCTGGATTGACGCGAACTATGGGACCTAGAAGAGGGCGTTAGCGGATTCTCTAAGTCATGAAGGAAGGGATGAATTCACCATATTTCTTGTGCATCTTTTCAATCTCGAATACATATTTGCCGTAACACCACACTTGGTAGTAGAACTCATACCAGCCAGTAGCGGCGGCGATTTTGGGTCCAGGGAAGCGAGCAAGGGGTGAGAAATAGAGACGATATATAACGAGGGAAGCGAACCAAACAATTTGGGCCAACAATAATGTTGCTACCACCCTGATTGGGAAGCTATCGTAATCTTGCAGCGCCATCCAGTCTCTCGGTAGCGAGGTGTTATATGTATGTTTCGAATTAGAATGATGAGTGGGTAACCTGCATTAACAGTATAACAGCTCAAAACGGCCCCCAGAGATGTTGGTGAGTAGGTAATTTGGAGGGTATGGGCTTTGAAGTTTTGGGGGCGTCGTAAGAGGCGCACTGTCTTACCTAACCAGGTTTTCCTTCACAAATAGGAGACTTCTCTTCATAAGATTACTCAGATTATATCTTCCTTCACAACTTTGAATCAACGCACTGTTTGGCACATGGATCTGGCCACTTTAATAGCTAGCCTGAGAACGTGACAGAAGACGTTACACATAGTCCAATATAGAGTGCCTGCGCAAGCACATGTGAGAGCGGCCCGCAAAATGTCAGTAATGTCATATTGCATCGCGGGTAGAGATAATGCATCTTTTCGGCCCAAGATTCCTCTTTGAGGGCTGCGGCCCCTGCCGTACTCACCAAGCTAGGACCGAAGGAGTATCTCTGCATTGCCGAGTCTAGAGTCCCACACCGCTGATCACCCGAGGAACATATTGCACTTTTCTGGTTGGCTGGAATAAGAAGTGTTGGACATCTGAAATGCTGTCGTTAATATGGAGAGCCCTAGCAAGGTTGTTCAGGTTTTTCGACTCCCCTCATATATTTTACCTACCCAACCCGATCGGCTCTGGCAATAAGAGTAACCATGCGTTAGTCGGATACCTGGAGAGTCCTGCCCTCGTATGGGGTAAATCTGACTTCAAACATGGAGTTCCGCTATTCCAGAGAGGTCGATCCGACTGTCTACGAGACAGATGGTCTTGACTACGGTATTCCGCTACGTATGCATAACGACCAATCCGAGGAAATCAAAGGAACTCTGCGTGCTCAACGGGACTGGACGAAATACATCCAACCTGTTATGGGCTACAATGGAGGGCTCGGTGATCCCTATAGCTTCATGTGCGTGACCGTTCCGGAATGCCTGCCGGACAGGCTCGAGATCATTTCCTACGCCAACGAATATGCCTTTCTCTATGACGGTAATTGTCTAACATATCTTGACAATTGAACATAGGAAGCTAACTTGAAAGCAGATTGGATGGAAAGCTTTGACTTGAAAAAGGATCTAGGAGAGAACGGTGGGTTTCTGGAAACCTTTGGGGCTAGCGCTCTTGAAGGCAAAATCGACGCCAAAACTCGTCCCGAGAAGCGCCTTCAATTGCAGCTTCTCTCTGAGATGATGGCCAAAGACCCAGAGCGGGCCATCACTACGATGAAGGCATGGGCAGGATTTGTCCAATCTGCGTCGAAGACGAGATCTTCGCCATTTGAGACATTGGATCAATATATGCCAGCACGAGCTATTGATGCCGGCGAAGGGTGAGTTCAAGTCAGCCCGAAAAACATCAGTTGATGAATCCTCACACTTCTAGTATCTGGTTCGGTACCCTGACTTTTGGTATGGGCTTAACTATCCCGGATGACGAACTTGACTTATGCATGAAGCTCGCTAGACCGGCCTACATAGCTTTAGGCTTGGTTAATGATCTCTATTCATGGGAAAAGGAACGTGCTGCATCCGTCCAGGCGGGGCATGACTATGTTTTTAACGCTATTTGGGTTATTATGAAAGAGAGGTCTGTAGGAGAAGAGGAAGCGAAGAAGATATGCCACGAGGAGACTATCAAGGCCATTTCAACGTACTGCCAGACATTGGAGGAGAGGAGAAACGACTTTACCTTGTCTCAAGACCTCCGGACGTACCTCGAAGCTGTGCTGCTGAGTTATATCGGGAATCTCGTCTGGAGCATCTATTGTCCTCGATATCGGGATTTCTGAGTGGTGGGAATAGAGCATCTGTCATGTTGCCGTCGGAAGTCGGGTGTACGTAGCCGCTTCAGATTACCGGCATGTAGTTCCGAATTGTCAGTCAGCATTTTCCCTTTTCAGGGGTATGTGCGAATTATCGTTGCCAACGACTAAGTCTTCAAGGACTAAAGGATCACATAAATTTCCGAACCACACGCCACCCTTCGTTCTTTTCTGTTGAAGAGCCGGGACTAGCGATGACCAGTTGTGGTCGTAAGCATGCAAAGATGCGGCGTGTGGCGAGACTAATACGACGTGCCGAGGTGACTAATCAAGGGGTGGAGGTGGTCAGGGTTATTGGTGGTCTCTTCTCGGCTCTTAGATAAGCGATGGTCTTTGAGTGCTTATAAGAATCTAGCCTTGAGGAATAATCTCCGACGATCTTTAGATTAGCGTTATCCCCTTGTTAAAACTAGGGTGGCAGGGGAGTTGAGGTTATTTCGCTATGTTATATGACTAGGTAGGTATACTAAGGTAGGCTAAAATAACGTTAGTAACGATAGTGGCCATGAAGGGAGGTCGATTATACTATGTAAAACCCTATTACATAGCTAGTCAAACGGTTGGGTCGTATAGGTTGGTAACCAAGACCCTGAAGCCGGTACGGCCTGGTTTGGTGGTTGGTGATTTACGACGTCTCTTGTTGTCGTCAGCCTGGTGTTACACAAAATAAATTGAATGCATCCGTGACATGTCTAGACTCTTCCTTGCCATTGGTCGTTGATGCACGTGAAGAAGACGATTGTGGATACGTCGACTGATCTGTGGCCTGGTTAGCCTCATATAGAGGCATTATTCGATGATCTCTTTCTAGGAAGCGAAAATTGCCAAGCCACTTCATATGGAAATGCGAAATGTGAAATGCACGATTTGAGCAGACTGGGTTCTTGGAAACCATGAGCTAGTGCATTAGAAGGGTTACAGTTGCAACATGTAGGAGTGTTTATCTTGCCTAGCATGGCAAAGTATCATTGGGACTGGAGAAAGGCGGTTTTAGGATTCTCTGGTGTCCAAGGTAAGCGCTCGGTATATGTGGGAAGGAAGAAAAGCCCAATTCAAGGCTCACCTAAGCGAAAGGGTTGGTGTTAAAAGGAACAGGTTTCATTGGCCATTATGTTCGACCTATTATAGTACGCTATTCTGACTCCGCCCTTTCGAACTGCTGCTGCACTGCAACTACAGGGGCACTGAGGGGTGAACGGAGAAAAGAAACGAATTGGGGGCCATGCATATAAATACCTTGTAATTACAAATAGGGGTAATATTTCTAACCAGATCGTGATGATATCTCTCTAGAAAGCAATATTCAGAAAATAGACATAATCATAACCCTTCCATCAATTTATACGATTGCGCCATGCCTATCCCTAGGCAAGTACCAAGTATGCTTACATTGCAACGGTCGCATGTCCGGAGGAATCCTTCCAACATAATAATAACACCAACGTCCCGTCCCCTCGGCCGTTTAATCAACGAAAACCTCATAGCTAGGTCCTAGGATCTAATACTTTTCCACCAGCCACCATGGGAGGGGTCGCGTCTATACCTACTGATCCTTCTAAGAAGGTTCAGGTCATATCGGCGGGTTACTCGCGAACTGGGACTGTGTCCATGTCCTTAGCCTTAGAAAAGCTAGTCGATGGGCCTGTACTCCACGGAGGCACCCAGATTCTAGTTCGAGACGATGGTAAGCCTGGCAATGGCGGCAATCCTATCTCCTATGGCTAACATCTTCAAGATTACTGTTCAACATGGATCAAGGCATACGAGGCAAGGGAAGCCGGCGACAAGGAGCTAACTCTGAAGCTTGTCAGAAAGGCGACCGCCGGTTTCGTGGCAACTGCAGATCTACCGCCGTCTGACTTTATGCCTGAGATGATGGAACTGTATCCTGACGCAAAAGTTGTGTTGGTCCGAAGGGATCCGGAGAAGTGGTGGAACAGCATCGCAACTCTGACTAGCAGAACTACGCCATGGTGGCTTGGTGCTGTTCTCGCCCCTATCCCTGGATGGAGGTACCTTGCCAAATTCGCAAGTGTATACAGTCGTTCAACTTTACGACTTGCCGGCCTGGATAATAAGGATGCTAGCCCAACCGACCTTATTGAAAAGGGCGGCCCTCGTAAGTTTGAGTCACTGCGGTTTCTCTAGTTAGCTGCTAACAATTCTGCACCAATAGACATCCTTACAGCTCATAATGATAGAGTCAGATCACTTGTCCCTAAGGAGCAGCTTTTAGAAATGGACTTGGGTCAGGGTTGGGAGCCACTATGTGCATTCTTAGGAGTCCCCATTCCCGATGAACCGTTCCCTAGAGCAAATGATGCTAAAGCAGCAGATGAGTACGCTACCAAAGTCCTTCTCGGCGTCTTAAAAGCCTGGGTTGGTATCTTCTCCACTATCGGACTTACTGCATATTCCGCAAACTGGCTATGGAAGAATAAGTTTTCTTGAGATCGCCTCTGCAGATACTATCCCTGGCATAAGAATGGTTCTTTTTAGACGCTATCCTGGGATTCGAGACATGTCAAAATGCATGAAACTCGATCTAAGATCTACTAGTTACTCCAAGGATTTGTTTAGCGTGGGGTAGTTAATGCCGACAGTGACATTGATTTATTATTACGCAAGCGAAAGGCTAGGAATTGTATCGGCCTATGAACTGTATCATGTTAGTCGGAAGCTCGTTCGGCGTTTAAAGCAGCTTTTATACAACGACCTTTACACGTGTATCCTAGGAATGTTAAGTAACATGTAACATAGGTAGATTCCGGTCGGTGTACCTATCTAACTAGATTGGTCCTTCAATTGCATTATAATATGAGTTTTCCGTTTGGGTTGTAAATATGATACACCGGTTTCTAGTAGATACCTATGCTTGAAAATAATGTAAATGAGTTCTGTCACATTAGGTAAATAAAAACTCTGGCACCACCAATTTAGATGAATCGCTACCTACCTACCTACATAGGTAACGATAACTTTTTGCGTTTTAACGAAAAACTACAGATCCCGATGGAAAGTGGGACAGCAACAACAACATATACCCAAAATATTATAAACTTAATACCCATGATAGTAGCTCATAAACAAGGGCGGCAATGGTAAATTGCTGTTACGAGGCAGAACTAAGGAGAAAGGAAACGACGGCATTTTTACGCGAGGAACTCTGAACTCCCCTGCCTAGGGACTATGGTATACACTATACATACAGAAAAAGCCCTCCAGGGCTGTCTATTCTGCTGTAAAGCCCAGACACCAATAAGTTTCCCTGAAACTGTCAGTAGACGTACTACGTAGTTATGCGTAGAGTGAATGCAAAGGAGCAGCGAAGCTGCTGTTAGTATGGGGGGTTGGGGGTTTTGGTTAAGGGTATTGAATAACGCCACTCTTCTCACAATCTAAGGGAGACGAAACCTTATATACAACGGCGTACAAGCTGCGAAGCAGCTTGTTAGCAGGACTGGCACCTCACGGGCCTATTTTGGACCTCTCTCACTTCTCTCCTACTTATCCCCCGACAGAGACCTCCCACAGCCTCCCGAGGGCCGGCCTCTCCATCCTACTAGGCCCCTGGCTGCTGGACCTCTCAGCAGACTAGATCTCTAAAGTCACCTCACGTTTATGTATGGCTTCTGTAGTTGACCTACGAGAATAAAAGAACAAGAACATTAATATTACTACCAGGGCGGCATCGTTACTACGGACACTATGCGCTTTAACGACTGACCACAGACTTTATTGTGGGCCAGCAGGTGCTTCAACTCATTTGAGACGCAGTGATCAATGGTGCTTACTTGACTCTTTACTTACTTTAAGCTAGATATTTTAAGTGTTGAGTCGATCTAAGAATAACCTTACAACCCATTATTCAATACCATTCCTAACGTCATCAGGTGACTAGTAAGGAGCTTTATCATCACGCGCCCCCAATCTAGTCTTACCTAAGGTCAGGTGGTCTATGTGTTGGAGATATCTTTAAACTTTGGTTACTCACGTAATTTTTCTTGAGAGGAGAATGGGTTCGAAGAATTTGGTTTGTAGACAGATAGACTTTGACACAATGAATTCGTTGAATTCTGTGATACTTTTGAAGTAAGCAGTGTGATGAAAATCGAAAGATATGCAATATGCTTACCGATGGAATGAACCGGGTAAACGCGGTTGAATCAAAGGTTATGGGGTGTACAACTGCAAGATCAGGGAATCGAACCCAGCGCTCTGTAGTTTCGGCGAAACTTAGGATGATTGTGCTCCAAAAGGGGATGTGCTCCAAAAATGGGTTGTAACGGTAAAGTTAACGGTTTTACGGATTTCACGCACCGTAATTTTATATGAATAAATGTAAGTACTAAATACATAACATAAAACTCAGGTACTCAAGGGTATGTATGTAATATAAAAAGCTCACAATATGGATATCTTTCGCTACTCACAAGCACTGCCTTTCTTCGATACTAAGGTGCTCAGAAATCATTATTTCACTTGTTTGATATGAGCAACGACGTTAAAGGAGGTCCTCATAATAATCCTACCAAGATGCCCCTTTATACAGCTTCAAATGGTTGCCCAGTCATGAAACCGGAGGGATCTCAAAGAGACGGAAAGCATCTTTTGCTAAAGGATTTTCATCTGATTGATCTGTTGTCACATTTCAATCGTGAAAAAATTCCAGAACGAGTCGTGCATGCAAAGGGTGCCGGTGCATATGGAGAGTTCGAGGTGACTGCTTTGATTTCCCTGAAAAAAAGCAAGGAGAAATACTAATAGTCAAGGGATAGGTCACCCACGATATCTCTGACATTTGCAACATCGACATGTTACTAGGGGTCGGGAAGAAGACTCCTTGTGTCGCCCGGTTTTCGACAACCGGTCTCGAGCGAGGATCTGCCGAATCAGTTCGCGATCCCAAAGGGATGGCAATCAAGTTCTTCACGGAGCAGGGCAACTGGGATTGGGTGTGTTTGAACATTCCCATGTTCTTCATCCGCGACCCCATTAAGTTTCCTGGCATGATGCATGCTCAGAGACGAGATACACAGACCAATCTTATAAACCCCAATATGTGGTGGGATTGGGTCTGTAACAATCACGAATCGCTACATATGGTACTTTGGCTTTATAGCGAGTTCGGCACCATGTTCAACTACCGTAGCATGAGCGGATACGTGGGCCATGCCTATAAATGGGTCCTACCCGATGGTAGTTGGAAATATGTTCATTTCTTCCTTTCCTCAGACTCCGGGCCCAATTTTACCACAGGCGAGAAGATCCAGACCGCGTCCCCGATCGATCCAGATTCTGCTACAAGAGATCTTTATGAAGCGATCGAAAGAGGGGAGTACCCGACTTGGACAGCAAACGTCCAGGTGGTTGACCCCAAGGACGCAGACAAGCTTGGCTTTGATATTCTTGATCTCACCAAGCATTGGAACCTGGGCAATTACCCTCGGGATATCAATGTCATTCCATCTCGCCCATTTGGAAAACTGACCCTGAAACGCAACCCGGCAAATTACTTCGCCGAAATCGAGCAATTAGCATTCTCGCCTTCGCATCTCGTCCCCGGCGTCGAACCGTCTGAAGATCCCGTCTTGCAAGCCCGTATGTTTGCATATCCTGATGCTCAAAGGTATCGCCTTGGAGTGAACAACCAGCAGTTACCAGCTAATCGGTCCAAATGTACTTTCAACCCCCTTCTTAGGGATGGGGCGGCAACAAGCACTACCAATTACGGTAGTCTTCCAGGATATCTATCGGACTGTAACCTCATGACATTCAACCAGCCAAAAGAGCCCGATACAGAGTTTGATTCTTGGGTGGCTAAGGTATCTTCTAAAGCATGGCTGGAGGTAAATGAACAGGACTATAAGTTCCCTAGGGAATTCTGGGAGGTATTGCCCACGTTACGAAGCCCCGAGTTCCAAAATAGCCTCGTCGAGAACATGGCACTATCCGTGGCACAGACACACCGGGAGATCAGGGAGAAGGTTTATGGTACCCTGGGACTAATTGCTACCGACCTATCAGAGCATGTTCGCGAAGCTACAGAGAAGCTGATTAAGGACAAAGTTGTGATTCCTCGAGGGAAGCCGGGGTCTTTGAAATTGTAACCAGTACTAGAAGTAAGCTTTTGTGGATGCCAATGGAGCTTAGGGGCTGCTGGAAGTACAGTTACTAATCGTGGGAGAGCTGTAGTCTTATGCCAACTAAAGGAATAGCAGTAGGTACTTTGGCAGAAATTGAAACATTAGATAGGTACCTCTGTATAAACTCGTAATCTATTTCTAACCATCAATTATATCCCCAACCAGACTATCGGGGCTTTGATACAGTCCTCGAAGGGCGTGGCTAAAATTAGTCAATATTCGTTGCATCTCATCCTCTCTCACCACGTTGGAGTCATAGAAACTCGTGACTTTCATCTCGTCTCCTTCAAGCCCACAAAACAGGTTTATAGCATAAATAGCATCTGCCCGATAATCTAGAGCTGAATCGGTCTCTTGCACCCATGAGAATGTGTTAGGGGTCACGCCTGGCTGTATTACTAGCAACGTTTGAAAGGAACATGCCAGCTTGACATGTTCCCCTATGCGACACATTTCGGGGAGACCAAGTTGCTCAAAGGGGATACTTGTCATCATATCATCCTGAATCTTTTGGAGAACACTTTGAACCGGGCTCCGAATATCCAACGTGACCCGACATGGAACCGTGGCGACAGTCGGGATGGTCATCAGTTCGATGCCAGCGACTGGAGCATTCCTGCCCGATACTACCGTTCCGAAGAAAACGTCGTTGGTTTCTGAATGCTGAGCGACTGTGATGGCCCATGCTAGCCGCACGTAAGCGCTTTTAGTAAATTCTCTTGGATACGGACTAGAGGTGATAATTGCAACGTGCATGGTGGCATCCGGAGACGGATGGTATATTTTGGAAGGTAGAGTAGGGAATGTGGGAGTTTGAAGGCCCTCCATCAAAGAACTCCAATAGCTTTCAGAATCGTGAGCTGACTGCAGGTAATGGATGAAGGCGCTGACAGGGCGTGGCGCAAGCGTTCTTCCATGGTAAGCCGCCTCGACTTCTGCGAAGATCAAGGGCAAAGTCCACCCATCGTAAACAGCGTGGTGGATCATTAGCAAGAGATAGGGTCGACCTGGATTGCCCTTTTCGCAACAGAGGTGCAATTGCACCAACGGTTTTCCAATGCCAACGCTGAACTTTTTTCCTTCCATGTCTTTCGAGATAATCCATTGGATATCCTCACGAATCACGGCTTGTACCAGACTATATGAGGGGGATAGGACCATCCTTGTACGCAGAATCGGATGGGCAGCTGCTACGGCTATCCACGATTCCTTCAGGCGCTGAAGATCGATGTCTATTGGCAAACGAAGTGTAATAGTCGCGATGTACGCCTTAGCGTCTCGCATGGTTTCGAACATGAGGCCGCGTTGAAGCGGCGTGCAGGGGTATAGATCCTCGATCGCTCTGACCGGCAAGCCACACTGTTGAGCGGCAGCTCTGATCTCGTCTCGCTGTTTATTCACAAGGGAAAATGGCTTTGGAGGTGCCTCGTCGATGTCATTCGTTCCGCGTCGAACTATACACGCTAGGGTAGATAAGCGAGGGTGATTGAAAACATCCTGAACAGTGAAGATATGCTTGTCCTTCCTAGCCATTGCCACTAGCTTCATTGCCGTGAGAGAATCCCCGCCGCGGTAAAAGAAGTGATCATCTGCCCCGATCTCATCTACTGGAAGGTTCAAGGCCTGAGAAAAATACAGTTGCAAGAGCTTCTCCGTCGCAGTCAGCGGTGTGCGTTTCGTCGTCGTTGGCGGTTGATATCTCTCTAGCTCCTCCCTTGATAGTGCTGCTACAAGCTCCCGCAAGGCCTTGCGGTTTGTCTTATCTGTGCTAGTCAACGGCAAAGCTGCTAACGGGAGAAAGACCGAAGGGACCATATAAGAAGGCAAAGATTGTTGAAGCCGGGACTGTATTGCCGGAATTTGGGAACGAAACGAATCGCTAGGCTCAGCCAACGTATTCTTTCGGACTTCCTTTTGTTCTCTGCTCTCCACCCCAGGCTCGTTTCCACTGTAGATGAAGGCTACAAGCATTGGGGGCCACGAAGAACCAGGCGTCACCACGACCTCCGCAATCGCGTATCTTGCACTAGGAATTGCTAATCGAACATGGTGCTCGACCTCACCCAGCTCGATGCGCTGTCCCCGAAGCTTGACTTGCGTGTCCTTGCGTCCGATAACTCGTATTGACCCATCAGCGGTATATTGTGCGAGGTCGCCACTCTTGTATAATGTGCGGCAATACTCAGGGCCTCGGAGTTGTCGTAGCCACCTTGGAGGCTGGATGAAAGTGCACGATGTCTGTACTGGACTGCCGAGGTAGCCACGCCCTACGATCGGCCCTTCAATAATCAATTCACCAATAGCTCCGATAGGCAGGAGTTTCTCGTGGTCGTTCGGATCCACGATCCAACGAGCGCTCCCCGTCGCATAATCTGTGTTCTGGAGAGCAGATCCGGTCATCAATTGGATCGACATGATGGTGCACTCAGACGCACCATACAAATTGAGGACCCGAACATGGCCAACCCATTTTGCAACATCATCTATCGTGAGCCTCTCTCCGCCGAGGACTAATGTTCTCAAAGTTGGAAGGTCCGTTGGATGTAGGATCCGCGCGACTGTTGGCGTGAAGCTGGAGTGAGTGACTCGAAAATGCTCAATTGCCTTTGCGATGTCGCTCAACCTATCATTATCCGAGGGAACGCATATACATCCACCGTTGATCAAAGTCATGAACGTGTCGAAGATAGTAACGTCGAATGCATATGAGGAGGATTGGAAAACCCGCGACTCTTGGTCGAGGCCAACGGCTTCGGTATACGGGCGGATCGCAGCATCAAATGATGAATGCTGGCTAACTACCCCTTTGGGTGTCCCGGTTGAACCGGAAGTGAAGATTGCATAGAGAGCATTTTCAGGAACCGCAGATGAAGAAGTCCATAGACCCTCACCTGCAAGCCACACTGTATCCCCGTCTCTGACCTCCACGACCGTAGCCACAAGATTCGCAGCTAATTTTGCACACTGGGCCGAAGAGACGATCAACTTTGCGGACACAAGCTGACAGATTCTTTGGAGTCTGGCCTCTGGATGTGATGGATCGAGCAACACGAATGCTCCGCCGGCCTTGGTCACCCCAAGCATAGCGACAGTAGTCCATCGCGACTTTTCGAAGCAAAGGGGTACAAACACCTCTGGACCAACGCCCAGCGCTGCCAGGTGCTGCGCAAGTGCCGATGAAAGGTCATCTAGCTCGCCATAGCTGAACTCGCCATCCCACGCACATACTGCGGGTGCCGTCGGCCGAGACAAGCAACGCTCATGGATGAGAGTATCCACACAGGGCTGTGTGTGAGAAGAGGGACGCTTGTTCCACATGCATAACTTTTCCTTATCCAGGTCACTCAGGAGAGACGATGTCTCCGTCTTTGCACCGTTTTCGGTTGGAACAGACACCGTTTTCTCAAGCATGTTCGCGATAATGATCTAACAGGATTGAGATTTAGTAGGTAGGCAAGAGCTATGCTTGCTTCACTGCTTAGCCGGGTATTTTTTACTTCGTAATAAAAGTCAGCCCTCTCTTAACATGATGGTGGGCCTCTGGCCTGTTGATTCATTTTACATGGCACTATGGAAACGGACTTACTTCGTGGATAGTAACAAGTCTCCCGGCTAGCTATCCGAGATGTCCGGAGTACTTTCGAAGTCATGATGGTATCACCAAGTTCGACTCCACACGTCCCGCATATATAGTGTAGTAGACATTGCTACATCGCCGGAGTGTGTTGCCATTTGGGATACAAGCCTCCCATATAGGCAATGATACCTAATGAGCACCTAAGTAGGTACTTAGATGAGAGTGAAAAAATAGAGAAACGAGACGCAAAATCCAGCACAGCAGTTCTAATTGGGTTTAGTAAAATGCTTTAATAGCTTTCATATAAAGCGGCGCTGGATTCGTGAAAGTCTGAAATTCGATAGGCTGGTATTGCAGGCAAGCAACGATAGAGTCGCATCTCTGTGCATCATGATGAGTACCGTACCTAGGTACCCATGCAATGGAACATTAACCCATGAGATATGTAGAACAGATGTAGTGGTGCGGGGCCGGTCAGTGATTCAGCTGAAACTGTTTCATGGACGAGTGACAAAACGGGTAATATGCATGATAATAATCACTTGGTGGAGCGATCTCGTGAGCATTGAGGCTCTTAAGGAGATTGCAAGTACAGCTGGTACCTACCTATGTACCAACTAGGATGAAGATCTTGAGGGTGCTGCTCGCAACCTCTGGTGGAGTTTTAGTCTTGTGCCAACCAATGGGTTATCACAGTACGGAATTTATCAGCGGGAATCAACCGACGTTATCGAAATCTCGAAGTCCAAGGTTAGGTGGCTTCAAACCCTGTACACCTGAGAGAAACAACCTGAGCAGGGTCATGATGACAAATTATTCTCCATTAGGTACATAGTAATAAGCACGAGGCGTGTCTATCGCAAAGAGCTACTAAGTTGATAGCCCAATGAGCTTTGAAGACAAAAACTCGTCACAAAATGGATAATCCAAATAGCCCTTCTCCGAAAAGGGCACATAAAATGTATCACGATCGTATTTCTGCAGTGGTAGCCCACGCTTCATACGGAACGGAAGATCCGGGTTCGAGATGAACAGCCGACCAAGCACAACAGCCACATTGCCATGTCCTTTGTATGTCTTGTCAACTACCTGCTTAGCTGACGTTGCATCATACCCTCCTGCCAGCAGGACCGGCTTTTCCTTCCCCCACATGCGCACAAACGTCTCGTTGTCGGCGTCTGGATGTGTGACGTCCTCCACCCACCTGGAGTTTGCCAGATGCAGATATGCAACGTCCATATCGCGAAGACGGATAATTACGTATTCGAATTGAGCAGTCAAGTCACTCATGGTGCCCATCCCTTGGAACGTGCTCCAAGGAGAAAGCTTCACGCCGACGCGGTCAGCGCCAATCGCGTCCACAATTCTGCGAGTTATCTCGAGACCAAATTGAGAACGTTTTTGGATACTCCCGCCCCACTCGTCGTTTCGCTGGTTGCATGACGCTTGGAAAAATTGGTCAATCAGGAACCCGTTTGCTCCGTGTATCTCGACGCCGTCAAACCCTGCAATGATCGCATTCTTCGCGGCCCGTACGTGATCCTCGATGTAAGTCTCGATCTCTGCCACCGTCAATTCCCGTGGAGTAGGTTCATCTGGTCCGACTGGGACTGCGCTGCTGGATGTGAGGTCAAATCCGTTAGCAGCCAGAACATCTACTTCTGCGCTGCGACCTGTGGCCCATAATTGAAGCCAGATGTAGGACCCTTTCGAATGAACCGACTCCACAACTTCTTTCCATGCGCGGATTTGTTCCGTTTCCCAGATACCAGGGACGTTTGCAAACCCCTTGGATCGGGGGGAGATTGCAGTTGCTTCCGTGATCAGTAAAGTGCCCGGAACAGACGCTCGCTGCGTATAGTACTCTTTGACAAACGGCAACGGCACGGCAGAATCATCCGCTCGAAATCGGGTCATGGGGGAAAGAACCGCTTTGTGCTGCAGTAGACATCGTCCGAGTTGAAGGGGCTTGAATAGACTAGAAGAACTATCCATCTTGGTATTGATGGTAGCAGTCAATCCGATATTCAGTTGAAGCAAACGACTAATGAATTGAAACGCTATTGGGCGATCAATATCAGATGTAAAATCGATCTATTTTCGGTTTCTCTGAAACAAATTTGAGAAAAGGCATACGAAAAGAAAGCATCTAGAAGTGGAACATGAGTTCGTGGTCGACACACAACAGGGAACCAAAATTCCTCGAGTTGATGTAATCTGAAATGCTTAAGGACTGGTTGAAACACTCATATCTTGCGCGTGATTTTAGCAAAATCTTTTACTAAGGGATAGCAGGTACCCAGGTATATCTTATAGTATGATTCTAGTTCGACGTATTTAATCCATAAGTAGGTAGGTAGTGAACGGTGTACGTTGTGTCGGTTAATATTATCGATGTTACGTATTATTCTGTAAAATATAGGTACCTATTTATATATATGATATCGACCGTGAATTAAGGCTCCATTCGGAGTCAAGTCATGGATATTTATATAGAAGAACTGGCATGGAAGTTTCACTTTGCCTCCCTGCCCACCAACTTACCTGATAGGTACCTACCTCTAATTCATCCAACGTAGTCGCCCAAAGGCTCGAGGTTTCGATCGATTTGATATCTTGTTATGGCATCTGTAACATCCAAGACCATCGCCGTAACGGGTGGTGCATCCGGCATTGGAGCAGCAACGTGCCAATTGCTGGCCCAGCGCGGTGCCTCCGTGATCTGTATCGGCGACATCTCAGATAAAGGATTTCACAGTATTACGCAGCACATCAATGAAATCAATTCATCAACTCAGGTCCACTGCACCGTATTAGACGTCGCATCTTCTGCTGAGGTTGAGAAGTGGATGGCAGCCATCATAACCACTTTTGGAAACCTTGATGGGGCAGCCAATATCGCCGGTATTGCCCAGGCAGGGAGCCTACGACAGACCCCCGCAATTTTAGAAGAAACAGATGAAGCTTGGACTAGAATCATGAGAGTGAATTTGGACGGGGTATTCCACTGCACGCGGGCTGAGGTCCAAGTGATGAAGAATCTTCCTGTGGGGGATCGTAGTATCGTGAATGTGGCAAGCGTCGCAGCTCTCCACCACATTCCAGATGCTTTCGCATACGGCACTTCAAAGGGGGCTTGCGTATACTTCACGACCTGTGTAGCCTCGGATACATTTCCGCTGGGAATTCGCGTCAATAGTGTTTCTCCGGGTGAGCACATCACTGGAGCTAGCGAGGCGCTCTTCTTCAAGCTGACGGAACTACACAGGAATTACAAACACACCACTACTACCGAGATTTCAACCTGCAGCGAACAGCATTGATGACATCAAGGAGTTATACAGGAAAGAGGGGTTCTCATTGATTGAGCCACATGATGTGGCTAGGACGATCGTATGGTTGCTGAGTGAAGATTCTCGCCCGGTATATGGGGCGAATATCAATGTAGGCGCCTGCATACCTTAGTAAGATATCTTACCTACCTACCTACATACCCAAGGTACCTACTATGTAGTTATTTTATGGTGTCAACATCCCGGTGTGGCATATGCATATAGATATGGTGGGCCAGATCGAAAAAAAGGGTTTGTCTCAGGGAACCCTGCCTACATAGCTGCAAGCTACGACGAATGAAATTAAGGGGTTAAATTGTGACGTCCAGATCGGGAACTTGACAAGCAGCTGAACTGAGACACGCAGCGCCCCGTTGCGTTGGCCGCAGATTTGCTTACTGCATATGTATTATATGTACATAGAGCGGCAGGTAATGATAATAAGTTAAACCACTGCGAAGCAGTGTTGATTGATGTGCCATGTTCGCCTTTTGCATCTACTGGGATAAAGAATAGGGACACGGCTTGGAGTATGTATTCGATTTTAGCTGATAGTTCTCTCGGGTCTCGAGGTTCGGTTCTATCGTTCGGCGTTCAGACGGCCGTCAAACATACGAGTTCTACCAAATTACTACCTAATGTATTGTAATTATTGGAAGCCGAAAGTTGATTCATTATTTCCCTAAGCTTCCTCAGACTCCGTAACGTCTGAGCATCACTTAGCCAACAAAATCAAAGTGTTAATCAATCCTTATATCATGACTATTCTACTGCTTGGCGGCCGAGGAAAGACTGCTAGTCGCATCTCCTCACTCATCCACGATGCTCATCTTCCTTTTCTTGTAGCATCTCGCTCAACCAATCCAAACAGCCCCTATCAACAAGCAGCCTTTGACTGGACCAAAGCCGATACCTATGAGAATCCCTTCACCAAAGCGTCTGCTGAAGGCATGGCGCCAATCTCAGAGGTGTATCTTGTTCCGCCTCCAATTTTCGACCTAGCCCCGCCTATGATCCGTTTTGTGGACTTTGCTCGGAAACGAAATGTGAAGAAATTCGTGCTTCTCAGTGCGAGCACCATTGAGAAAGGAGGGCCGGCGATGGGACAAGTTCATGAGTATCTTGACTCACTGAAAAACGTAGAGTATACTGTCTTAAGGCCAACGTGGTTCATGGGTACACTCTTTGTACTTAACCCATCGATAGGAGACACCAGCTAAAAAAAGAATTCCAGAAAACTTCTCTGATGCCCACGAACTCCAGACAATTTCAATTAAAAATGAAAGCAAGATCTATTCCGCTACCGGAGATGGGAAGATCCCGTTTGTGTCGGCGGATGATATTGCTCGGGTAGCATTCCGTGCCTTGACAGACCAAACATCTCGCAACACTGATCACATCATCCTAGGGCCCGAACTACTTACCTATGACAATGTAAAATTCCCCGTAACTTCTGGCTTGGGAGAGAAGTAGTGACCATTGGAACTAAATTATGTTTATATTAGGTCGCGACGGTTCTCACGTCCGTTCTCCGTAGAAAGATTACCCATGTAAATCTTTCCAAGGGAGAATTAGTCAAAAGATTGGAGTCCACGGGTATGCCTACTGAAGATGCAGAGATGCTAGCTGAAATGGATATTGCAATCAAGAACGGGGCGGAGGATAGACTGAATCATGTTGTGGAAGAGGTGACAGGAACTCTCCCACTGAGCTTCCGAGATTTTGCTGTCCGTGAGAAGGAAGTCTGGTTGTAGGATAGCGCTTACACAAGTCTCAACCAAATATTGCCTACGATTTTCGATTTAGCAGGGTGTTCGTTGTAGCTCAGGTCGGGGAGCGCGTTCTCTGGTTGGCTGGAAACTAGCTTAATTGCACGATTCGACATTCGACGTGTTCTATGGACTCTAGGGACTTCAGGAATAAGTTGTCGCGGCAAAAATAATAGCGTTCAATAGAGTTAGAAAAACCCGATAAGGGCTGTTGGGACTACGCCACGTGGTCCCGACGGACAAGCCACAGCTTGTATGGCGCAGGCCACCTAGACTATCTGACTAGTCAACCTTACTTTTCTTGAATAATAAACAATTATCAATCCACCCAGTCTATTCTTGAATATTAACGCGTTAACCTAAGTCAAACCAACAAGGGCTGAATGATCTCTTCAAGACCACCTATTTTTCACAACGACTACTTCCACATCCTTGAGGTTTGTTGCAACAAATCGGTCGACCCACTCCAATCTATTCCCGGTGTTGTTCGGAAGAGCGAGCTCAAAGTGAGAAAAGAGATACGCGAGACAGGAGTGTAATTCAAGGTAAGCGATACTAGAATGAATAACAAACATTTTAGTCAAACGTAATCTTTTCTCTTGCCATGCATTATCGAATAACAAAACTCACTTTGTCCCGATGCATTGACGAGGCCCTCGACTGAATGCAATGTTCCATTTTTCAACCAGCTTTCCCTCTTCGCCCAACCATCTCTCTGGCCTAAATTTCTGGGGCTCCGGAAACAGCTTTTCATTTTGCTGGATGCACAGAAGTGTCACTGACACGGCTGTCTATTTTATCCAATTAGAAATATCTCGAAAAGACACGTCGCTCGCGATTGTCTAGAACAAACCACTTACACCAGCAGGAATATAAACAGATTTGACGTGAATACCGCCGCTCGGAACTATCCGGGGAAGACATCCCGGGACGGGGTTAGAAAGGCGAAGGGTTTCCTTGACTACCGCATTCTATACATACACTCTTTTTAGTAAAATGACGCTTTTGATAGCCTCCCACCGCACGAATGGTTTTTGGGGGGGACTGGAAAACATACCAAGTATGGAAGATTTTGGATCCTTTTGTGGTCAAAGTCCCCACGGATAATTAAGGACGACTGGTCGAGCTCGGCTTGGAGCTTGGCGAGAATTTCGGGTGAGCTGAGCAGATAGTGGACAGCACAAGATGCTGTGTATGCCGTTGTATCACTTCCTCCAGCAATGAAGTTGAAGATATCTTCTAAGGGATGAGGGACGGCTTTCACCTTTTTATGGTCGTTAGGATCTATATCTAAGTATCTAGTCATATGAGAGTCGCGCTCTAGCTCTCTTTGCTTAGCTCGAAGTAGTTGAGCATCATTTGCCCATTCTTCACAATACTGTCAGCTGTATTAGTTATTTCAAAATCCAAACCTAACCGTGGCGGGGGTTTGGACTTGCCCTTATGAACTTTTCGTACGCTTGGTTAACTTGAGCATAACCAAATCCAGGAATAAGGCCAAGCCCCATACCGATAAGGGGATAAGTAAGCACTATAATAAGAAGAAAAGGAACATAAATTAGCTTGACTTAGCAATGAATTAGGACACTAACTTAGCCATGTCTTAGTCATGATCATATCAAAAGCTTCCAAGAAAGGATGATAACCTTCAGTCTCAAAAAGGTTCACATCCTGAGGGAAAAGTAGTCGAAGAACTATGTTCGCCTAGATCATCAATTAGCTTCCAACGGGATAATAGTATGATCTAGGTCCTCACACTCAAGGTTCGAAACATTTTTTGAATATTGACTGCTCTGTGTGCGCCTACATTTTGCTCCAGCCGTTTCTCGATGGCTTGGAGTTCTGTCAGTAATCTTGGCGCGAGCCTGTCAGCAGACCTAGCCGAGTACAACGACGAGATGTGAGTACGATATGTGCGAAAGTCTTCGGCATCCAGCATGGCATCCAGACCACCAAAATTCTTGTAGAATGATGGGTCTTTGGCATAATTTGATCCGATTCGAAATATCCTTGAACAACATATCAATTCTGCACAAATGTTTGATGGGTTATGAGACTGTCATCCATACTCCTCGAATAATTCTGGACTGTCCACATGAACATGATTCGGACCAATCCGAATAACTGGAGAGGCTGTTGAATGATTGTTTAGATAAGTGCCCGAGCGACGAGTTTATAACACCTTAGCGTAAACAAAGACTAGGTACACGTACCGTGTTTCTTGTGAAGATCCCGGAATAACTTCGAATACCCTCCTCCTTTGAAATTATGATAAAATCCATAAAAGTCAGTCACGGCTGCCAACAACGGCCCTGGTATATGGCGAAGAGGGTGAATGTAGACACGATGAATAATAGCAATGATAGCAGGCACTACAAAAACAGCTGCCAATGCAATTAAGAAGTGCTGAAACCATGGCTTGCCCGTCCATTGGTCTTCTCGACTTGAAAACTCGTCTAGAGGCATCTTAATCCTCTCACGTTTGTGATAAATGAGTTACTCGAACATAGATCGGTGCCGACACGCATGGATATGAGTAACGACCTGGCTATTAGACAGATCAAGGGGGAAAGCTTGAGCCGGATCTGTCCTGAGACTGCTCAGAGCTCAACTGAGGGGCTTTACTTCTCATTGGAAATTCTCAAAACCTGTACATGAACGTGTGAGACACACGAGGGTGAGATACATCGTTATACCATGGATAAGATCTGCGATATGATGGCAGCTGAACATCTCTCACTACAACCACCCCACCAACTGCACGAACGATAAAGATACCACGTAATAATGTCGCATCGCTCCTTGAAACATATAAACGGTTGGGGTGGTCGTTACGCACACGTGCACGAGCACAATCACCACCAAGCAATCGTATTTGCTCATGGACCAGAGCTAGGAGATTACTAAAAAGAGATATACGCATATTAAAGCTCGTTTGACCACAAAATATTCGTTACTATAGGTAACTGCAACAAATATGCAGTACTACATTATTGCCGCAGTGGCTGCACTATTCAGCTGGTGTGCTCTAATTCTCACTATTCCTCCTTTGTCATGTCGATGCCGGCCGAGGGAAGCATGCTGGCCATCCGATGAAGCATGGAACCAGCTGAATGTCTCCACCGGTGGCAACCTTGTTCGACTAAGGCCTTTGGGGCATGTTTGTCATTACCCAACTTTTGACAAGAGTGCTTGTGATGAGTTGCTGCTTCTTGCCCGAGATAGTGGCTGGAGGGCTTCTCAACCAGGTTAGCTTAGCTACATTCAGTCTTTGGATTAACTATAGGAGCTTACATAAAATCAATATAGAAGCTTTACAAGATTGGGTTTGGGAGGCAGGGTCTTCTCCAAACGAGACTTGTTCTATTGGCGGACCAAGTGAGGTACCATGTCACCAAGGTCATGTTCCTCTATACTCTGTCACCGCGAGAACCTTTCAGCACGTACAGATAGCAGTCCTATTTGCCAAGGAATACAACTTGCGGTTGGTGATCAAGAACACCGGGCATGATGGTTCCGGGCGTTCGGCTTCTCAAGATTCGCTTCAAATCCACACGCACCTACTCAAGGGGATTCGATATCACTCGGATTTCACAGCGAAAGGGGCTGCAACATCCTCAGGGCCTGCTGTGACGGTTGGAGCTGGTGTCATGCACTGGGAGGTTTACGAAAGGGGCTCCCAAGATGGCTATATCATAGTCGGCGGGGAATGCCCCACCGTAGGCGCCGTAGGCGGCTTTCTCCAAGGAGGTGGCGTGTCTAGTTTCCTCAGCTACACAAGGGGACTTGCTGTCGATAATGTGCTGGAATTTCAGGTCGTGATAGCCAATGTACGGCTCAAATCTCCCTTCATTCCTATTCATTTCTCTGAGTATAACCAAACTGACTATGACCGTGCGTTTTGCTATTATGATAGGGAACACTCGTAACTGCGAACCATCATGAGAACCAAGATCTGTTTTGGGCTTTAAGAGGAGGTGGCGGTGGCACTTTTGGTGTCGTCACCCAGGCCACGGTCAGAGCATACCCTGATGACCCTGCTGTGGTATCAACGATATCGCTTTCCTCATCCCGTACGGACACTACCTTTTGGGGAAGTGGTATCAAGAGTCTTCTCAGGATTCTTCAAACTTTTAACAACGATAACATCCCCGGACAATTCATCCTCACGGCCTCCAATGTTTCACTAAAAGCAGGTCTCACTCTATATTTCATGAATGATACCAGTATATCCGCCGTAGAAGAAGAAACAAGGCGACGTCTAACTGAATCAATGGAAAATGGAATATCCTACAAGATGTCGGCTCAATTTATATCTAAAATTAGCCTCAATTTTCGGACGACTCCCGATGTCTACCCTGATGATTACGGGATAACCCAAGCCTCTATCCTAGTTTCCCACCAACTCTTCACTTCTCCAGAGGGCCCGGCGCGGATGGCAGAATCATTTTCAAGGCTCGCCTTGGGTCCCAAGGACATGCTTTTCACTAGCAACCTTGGGGGTAAGGTTAATATAGAAAACGAACCGACTTCTATGCATCCGGCTTGGCGATCTTCGGCACAACTTGTAAACTATGTAAGAGGTGTTGATCCGACAGGATATGGGAAATCACGAGCTTTAGAGGAGTTAAACAGCGTTCAAATGCCGATTCTTTACTCACTCGAGCCGGGATTTAAGGCTTCTTATCTCAATCTAGGAGATCCCAATGAGAAAGACTTTAAGAATGTATACTGGGGAGATAATTACAAGCGTTTGGCGCAAATCAAGCGTGATGTAGATAAAGACGGACTATTTGTTACTCGGCTAGGTGTTGGAAGTGACGCATGGGATGACGAAGGCATGTGCAAAAAGGGGGTGATGGGTTGGTTATCTCAAAGAAGAGAAGCCTTTCGATTGTAAACAGAATACTAGGTATCAGCATACTCCATTCCTAGAAATGAGTGACCATTTTCCTGTTACTGAGGCAGATAGGCTGGGCTAAACCGCCATTCAGGTCTGAAATGATATCTAATTACCATTACCAGTTGTATTCATCTTATTCGTGACTTTAGCAATTTGTAGACACATCAAGACTATAGCAGATCACTTGATTATACAGGTAGGTACCTAGGTTAACTTAGTAAGATGATGCTTGAATCACTACTACTTATATAGGTAATTATCAGTTGCAAATAAGAATTTTATCTTGAAAGGACCGTCACAATACTTAAATGCATTGCAGCAAGAGTGGAATGTAGTGTATATAAAAACGGAAACACTAGGTGCTCGTTGTGAAATTTAACCACGATTCTCAATCGTACAAGATGTCTACCATCCAAAGTCTCAGCACATCTCACCAAGAGGTGTACGAAATTCTCAGTGATGCTTTCGACTTCCCTAACGACGATCAGAGACTTTGGTGGCATAGCACAGCGCCCATGTTTACCGCGATGCTACAAACCGCTGATTACGATGTACATGCCCAATATAAGCATCTTGCTATCTACAAGAAACATGTAATTCCATTTCTGGGTATCTACCCCTCAAATGGCCGAGAACGTTGGCTGAGTGTTCTCACCCGCTACGGCACGCCCTTTGAGCTGAGCCATAATTGCTCCGATTCCATTGTCAGGTACACCTTCGAGCCCATCAACGCCGCAACTGGTACGGAGCTCGATCCGTTCAATACTTGTGCCATCAGAGAGAGTCTACGCAGGTTGATGACCATCCAGCCCACCATCGACCTTGAGTATTTCGATCATTTCAAGCGCGAATTAACTCTCGACACGCAGGAATCCACCTGCCTGCGTCAAAGTTCTTGGGTAGGAACTGATATTATGACCCAGAACAAATTAGCACTTGATCTGAAAGGGGGCAACTTCATCGTCAAGGCTTACATCTACCCTGCTCTAAAAGGGATCGTCACCGGCAAATCGGCGCAGGAATTGATTTTCGGCTCTGTCAGCATATTAGCTAGGAAACACACCAGCTTGGCCCAGCCCCTGGCAATGCTAGAAGAATATGTCAAATCCCGCGGTCCGGGAAGTACAGCATGTCCACGGCTTCTGTCCTGTGATCTGGTTGACTCCAGCAAGTCACGCATCAAAATCTACATTTCAGAACAAGTTGTCTCACTATCTGCAATGCAGGATCTGTGGACATTAGGTGGCCGGCGTAATGATCTCTCCACTCTTGCCGGTTTCGATATGATCCAGGAGCTGTGGGACTTGCTTCAGATTCCCGCCGGTATACGTTCGTACCCCGAGGGCTATCTGCCACTGGGAACGAGACCCAATCACAATGAACTACTGCCCAGCATGGCGAACTATACTCTTCTGCCCAACAATCCCGTCCCGGAGCCGCAACTGTACTTTGCCGTGTTCGGAATGAATGATATGGCTGTGGCAGACGCGCTTACGACATTTTTCACACGACGTGGTTGGACCGACATGGCCCAGAAGTACAAGAATAGTCTCAAAGCATATTAGTAAGTTGATGCTCTCTAAAGTCACTCGATTAAGGTGTGCTAATCAATATTTCAAACCACAGCCCGGAGGAAGATCACGAGTTGACAAACTATATCCATGCGTACGTGTCGTTTTCGTACCGCAAAAACAAGCCGTACCTTGGCGTCTACCTCCAAAGCTTCGAGACTGGTAATTGGTCTAGGGGTAAGCTGACTCTGCACGCGTATATGCTTAATGCATAGTAGTCACGCATGTAATTTCAGCTCGTTGCCGCCGGGTGTTCTCCGAAGCACTTTTGAATTAATCGACTAATGTGGTGCATACCACGCATGATAGATGCATGTGATTTAATATACACTATTCAATGGACATAAGAAAAGACATATTTAGTGCAGATGCAGTCCAACCAGACCCGTCTCATGTAGCCTAAAGTTGAAGTTCAGCTGATTACATGCTACACATGCATACCGGTACTATAAAACTTCAAGCTGAAACTAGGTACCAGGTAACCAAGAGATGCACAGATCGCATGACGCACCAAAGACACTCACTACCTAGCCTTCAATAGCCATATTAGTAGCTATTTCCTAATCAGGCCAAGTAAAACCAATATCAGGGACGCCAATTCGATGAGTAGATGTAGCACATTGTATCATATCAGACCCCTTTCAACTTTAGCTCATAGAAAGCAACATCACACCCGTCAACTTCCCAGGTCCTTGAATTCCTCAATCCCGCCAATGAAATAAGTGTTTCCCTTTCCAGCGTGTCGTACTTATAACTGCAACCAAACCGAACCTTCTCCTCCCGTGTTACCACCACGCCGTCCAAGGGAGGCCCAAGTTTGATGTCCCCACAGCGCGAAATTAACGAGGCCTCGTGGCGACCGATGATGTGATTCCACTCGCTGTGGAAGTACCATTCCTCAGGATTGAATACTACCTTCCCCTCCTTTCCTTGTCCTAGAAGTATATTGCCGTATCTCAACGCCTCGAGCGCGAAAGGTACTACGCCATCGCTGGTGTAAGCCCGTAGAACTTTCGTGGGGACCTTGCAACTATCGATCGTAACCAGGATGGAAGAACTCTGGCTAGCTTTCCCTGACAGAGCATCTTCCGCGATCTGCCGCAAAAAGGCCGCGGCATTCGCTCGGGAGTAGTTGCCGATTGTCAGACCCAACAAAAGCATGCAGTGTGGCAGGTCTCGGACTTCTGGTGTCTCCTTGAGCCATTGCAACCCATCTTCAAATGTCCCGTGCAGCGCGGAAAACCGGACGTGGTGAAAATCCTCCGTCGGAATCGCTTCTAAAGTTGATGCGAGCTCAGCGGCATTGAGATCTAGAGCATAGTAGGTGATATTCTTCTTCTGGACTTCCAAGGCGTTTAGGAGATAAATTACCTTGTCGAGGCTTCTGTAGATGGACATAGCACCCGGTGAATCAGTAAATGGTCGAGATCAAGATAGCAAAAATTAGAGAGGCAATCGGAGGTTTCATCCTTCGACAACTCACGCGCTTCCCATGTCGACGACCACGCTGTCATGGGCAATAGCAGATGCCATTGCATGAGCCTTTTCTTTCAAAATCCGAACCTCTTCGTGTCTCGGGTAGAATTCAAGCCCATGAGAGTGATGAATCCAATGCCGTAGTCCCTCGGCGCTGTAGAATAGCAGGGCTGGGAGTGTCTTGGGTTCATTCGTAAGGCCATCGACGACTCTTTCGTAAATAGAGCCCTCTAACTTTGGGTGGCGAATGTCAATAATAGTGGGCTGAATCCTAGAAGAAAAATTGGTAACAGCCATGATACTAGCGGGTGATCTTGGCCTCTGCTCCTTAGGTACCGTATCGTCTCCGGATTCTTAGCTAGTGGGAAGAGTTTACTCAGGGTATTTATACACAACTAGACATCTTATCCTTGTAGGAATAAGCGCATAAGTGAACGTCTACTTGCATTTCTGTAGGTTACTTGCATCTTGAGAAAACCCAAAACTATTGCAATCCCCGTGATTAAATCAACAAATAGCTAGGTAGGTAGGTGGCCATTTAAACGAAGATAAGCTGGTTATTTGGCATATCGGCGAATCAAATGAATGGATTTAAGCACGTTCTATATAGTAACGTACTACATATAACATGATCGAATGTCATAGTATAGACCTGTTGTCCTATCCTATCGAGGCTAGTATCCCATGTTTCTGACGGCATTAAGAACCACAGAGATACGAAATCACACCGCTGTTATCCCATCTAGAGGTCAGAAGAATGGGCCAGGAGATTGTGAGAGTCGGGGTAGACCTTCAGAGTAGAGATACGGTCTTGGCTGTCGAACTCCATGATCATGACCCATTCATGTTTGAATGGTTTGCCTGAATAATTGGTCAGTTGTGATGCTGTATGCTAAATTCTAGAAGAAATATACCAGCTCTGGTCGTGGCAGCGTTTCGAAGAACGGCCGCCACCCATGGGGACTGCTCGTTTCCGATCAAATGCACAATCTCTGTTTTAATAGGCTTGCTGTTATCGACGATCTTCTGCAGAGAAGGGCCAGAGTCAGAAGAGACCATGGACTGTACGGCCTCACGGCTGGAAAGCTGGCGAGATAGCTCTGTAGCCTCGCTGACAATCTGGAAATTGACGCGGTCGGCAAGATTATCGATCATGTTTCCGGACTTGACATTCGCCTGGTAGTCGGCGTCAATCTGGGAAAGCATTTGCGTTTCCAGCAACTGGCGAACAATATTCAATGGCGGTGTCATGCTGACTGTTGTATGAAGTATAAGATGCTAAAGGGGTAATGTTATTATTCTCTTTCCCGATCGTCTTTTCGTAGAAAGAGGCGGAAGAAGGAATATTATATATAGGGGAGCAAGTATAAGTATCTAAAATTGACTTCGATAAAGCAAAAAGAGGTTTTATTAAGCCGTTACACCAATTGGAGGTGTTGGAAGGTGATCTAGGTACAGATAACAAGATATATTCTCTCTACACCATGTGTATACTAATACAGTAATGATATGGCAAGGGGAGGCTGGGGGCTGAATTTGCCCCTGATGACACGAGTCTTATCCAATTGTTCCTCAACACGTTCTTGCATCATGGAGGCGTCACAATCCAGTGCTGGTATGCATTTCTCTATGGTTTGACAAGTTCGAACAGACGGGTGGGTGCTCCTCTGTGTCACGTCGTCAATCGATGACTATTTGGGCATGAGTACGTGGGTAGGGGGGTATGTTCTGATTCTTTGATCGATCAGATGCATCAAAGAATGCCTTAAGCGGGTACAATGTTGAACTGCTTACACCATGAAACTATGAGATGTTTCTAATGATGACCTTGTGATCAAAAGGATGCAATATGATTAGTCACCTGCAGATGGATTAAGTCTGTCAAGGTGTTGGTAACAACACCTCGAAGATCAACTGCATTATTTCATTCTCAGCTCTCATGGATGCACTTCATTTTCCTTTTTAGAATCAACATCGAATGTCTTTTACATGTGCTTAATATTTCCTTCCGCTTGCATTTTTCTCCACTACCACAAAAGTGAATTGCATGGGCTGTTGAGTACACCGGTCAGCAAAGTTGTGGAGGGAACCTACGTCAGACTCAATACTCTGAATCATACCTAGTAGGTAGGTAGATAGTACGAAGAGTAACTTGAGTTTTATCTTTTATGGACGTTAAAAGCTTACCGATACGGTCAAAAGATACGTTCAAAGCTATAATACAATTCTTGGAACAACCATCTAGGAAGCCCCTTTTTGTATAAACCTTTTACTGTCGCTCAAATTGTAGAATATCAAGTACGAAACATCTTCTCTAAGAAACACATTGATTGACTCTTTATCCCTCGCCCCCCAATTGAAATGGCAGCTCTATCTCATCCTCAGCCCCAGATCCAACGGTTTCCCGTCACCTCAGACGGTGCTGCCGTATACAAAGCCCTCGCAGATGACGGGGTCGTCATAATCGAGGGATTCCTATCTCCTGAGCAAGTAACCAAGCTAAATAGAGACGTCGATGCCCCACTGATCTCAATGAGAGAGGATGGGAAGATTTCGAAGCCTCCAAAAGAAGGCCAGTCGACCTACTGGATGGCAGATATTGTCCCACAGTATGTACAGCGGGTGCATAATCTTGTAGGCTTCAGCAAGGTCTTCCGCCACGAGATACTCAATCATGAGTTAATGCACGAGCTTTGCCGTTTGGCCTTCGAAGTCTCCGGCGACTATTGGCTGGGATACGGGGCTGTTATGGAAAATGGCCCTGGCACACATGAGCAATCCTGGCATCGAGATCAGCCAAACTACCCATTGCTTCGATCCGGTCCTGGGACCGCTGAGGGAATGCTCAATTTCTTCACGGCCTTGACCGACTTCACCCCCGAAAATGGAAGGACACAGTACATCTGGGGCAGCCACAAGTTAGTCGAAATAGGCGAGCCCGACGCCGAGCATCCAGTCGTGTTTTCCGACCTCAAAGCCGGTGACACTGCGGTACTGAGTGGCAAGATAGTTCATCGTGGCAGTTTAAACGCGACACTTGACACTTATCGCAGAGCTCTAGCACTTATAATCATACCAGGGGTCCTAACACCATTCGATGCGACTTGTCAACTACCTCGGCGTGTAGTTGAGACCATGACGCCATTAGCACAAAGGATGGTTGGTAGGCGAAGTGTGAGAGTTTCTCCGCCTTCTGCGATTGGGATTTGGTGTTTGAACATGAGAGAAGTCGGCGAGCAGATGGGTTTGAAATCTAATCAGCCTGATGAGGAGGGAGAGGAAGAATAAGTTTGTCTCTCCACGCCTCCATCTCTCTCGTTCTTTAGTTCAGTTTTGTATCATTCAATTATAGCTCCATGCTGGCTAAAGCTGATGAAGATCTTCCTAGGTGGATAGTGCTTCTCCCGTATCATCCATTTTGAAAGACTCGACTTAGCGACAACTGTTCTTAGCATATATGTATAGGTATTCCCCCTATTATATAAACATGGCAGAACTGTTACATTCTTTTGAAATTGATATTCATTTTCTTGGCCCTTTGGATTTTCTGATATTGGTGTCTACCTACCTATCTCTTCTCTATATTCATATCGCTGGAGAATTGGTACTGAATGTCATAGTCCCTACAACCCCGATGCAATGGTTAAGACAAGCCGTTCCTATAGGTATTTTGCTTCATATATACCTAGGGTTTTTAGTCTTCCGTTTCTTAACAACTTGGAACTTAGAACACTTTAAAGCTAGCATCTCTCTAAGAGGACACATTATAGCTATTGATACTAAAGATCGAGATTTATAAGGTTTGTTACATGAACTTGGTTGGAAATGACTGCTGGATCACGTAGCTTCAGTCGGGTTATTTAATCATTGGCCTAAGTAAAGCTTGATTCTCGAGATAATGGTCACAAATGTCCCTCTAAGAAGCAGGAAACTCCATTTCCCAGCGAACAAACTACATTCCCCGTGTTCAAAACGTAATAGATGCCCGTACATGGCTACGGTAAAGCTAACACATCTTCCTAGATGGATCCCCTGTGAGGTGTATCTAAGTTACTGGTTTCCCCTCTTTCAGTGGACATTCTGCACGTGTGCGCGTTTGCATCCCCGACGAAACCCCCCTCTGGCATACCTACTTGATGACGCCTGGACCCTTTCGATACTTTGCATGAATACCTAGGTCCGTACTCAACACTCTAGGCCTACGTACCTATGTAGGCAGGTACGTAGTAGTACTAAGGTACGCCTCGTTTTTTAAGACAGGTAGGTAGGTAGGTAGGTGTCATACCTAGGTAGGTATATATTCAACCTAGGGTTTGACTCGTCAGTTATCTAATAGTCATTTCTACCTACTAATCACTTACTTACATCAACAGAGTCTTCATTGATATCTCAAGATCTGTAAATACCATGGGATCAACTACCATTTCCAGTATTGCCAGTCGTCCTAATACCGGACAGTTGGTGACGCATAAGTCAATCGTTCAGAATGAGACTCATCATTCTCCAGATGGCGACGTCTGCTCTCACGATGTCATTGAACTTGCAGACAAAGACCAGTCGCTTGAATTTTGGAAATCACGCCTACACGAACTCCAACCTTGTATCTTGACGCTTCCCAAGCATGATATGCTACCTTCAATCTCATCACCAGTCAAGTTGGAGGTCAACTTGTATAGTAACGGTGCTCGATCCCACGATTTCTGCAAGAACGTTGGCGTCTCACTCGCAACTGTATTCAAGGCAGCATGGGGTATGGTTCTCCGCACCTATATAAGTTCGGATTATGTCTGTTTTGGATGCAAGACCATGGAACAGGATACGTTCTCAGATGACGTGGATGCAATTATAAAGTCACAAGTCGCAACACTCCCTTGCGAAGTTCAGTTCAGAGAAGACACGACACCGTTTGATATCATTCGCAAATTGGAATTTGAATTCATTGAAACACTTCCACACCAGCACATCCCTCTGGCCGAAGTCTATCGCGAATTAGGCATGGGACGTGATGCATTATTCAACACAAGCATGATTTTCTTTCCCGGGGAGAGATCCTTCAACAATCTACCACCCGAGGCTCTTTCAACAGGCACAGCTGATATGAAGGATCTAACAGATGTAAGAAAGCATGTTTCTTTTTATGTATACATAAAATGGGAACTTCATTCGGAGAACTAATTGTGGATAGTATGACATTATTGTTCATGTCGATTCAAAAGGGCAGTGCTCTCTCTCGTACTGGAACCATTTTATGTCAGACGAGCAAGCCAACCATCTGGCCGGTGCACTGAGCGTTGCTTTCAATTCCATTGTCGAATCTCCCCATTCGGCCGTCGGCCAAGTAGAGGTATTCAGCAATCTCGATCGGCAGAAACTATTACAGTGGAATCAGCGGGCGCCCGTCGCATCAGAATCCTGCCTCCACGACTTGATTAGTCAGAAATGTCACTCGCAACCCGATTCTCTTGCTGTAGTCTCATGGGATGGTTCATTTACATATCGCGAACTTGATCGACTCTCGTCTACTCTTGCCGGCCAGCTTCATGCAGCGGGTGTAGGTCCTGATGTTTTTGTGCCCATCTATTCTGATCGATGCAAGTGGGTGCCAGTCGCCATGCTAGGTATTATGAAGGCAGGGGGAGCTTTCTGTGCTTTGGACTCTTCGTACCCTCCAAGCCGCTTGTTGGAGATTTGTCGGGCGTTGAAGTCGACTATGATGCTGACAACGGCGAACAAAACCCAGCAAGCAGGCCAATTGGTATCTACCATAATCATCCTCGGAGACAACCTACGGACATATAATAACGCAGATGGAGGGGAACCGCAGACAGCGTTCTCGGATATATGCCCGAAAAATGCCCTGTATGCTGTTTTCACCTCAGGTTCCACCGGAAAGCCGAAAGGGATTGTGATCGAACATCAGTCGTTCTCTTCGTGTGTGCTGGCCTCACTGATGCCCCTAAATATCCGACCTCAAGAACGCGTATTACATTTCGCATCTTATGCATTTGATCTGAGCATTTTTGAGATCCTTACACCACTCGCTTCCGGGGCTTCAGTTGCCATTCCATCAGAAGAAGCCCGACTCAAGGATCTCCCCGGAACAGTAAGAGAACTCCAGGCGACGTGGGCGTTTCTGACACCTACAGTGGCCCGCCTATACCAGTCGGATGATTTCCCTTCGTTGCAGACGTTATGTCTGGGAGGCGAAGCTGTGGATGCTCGAGATATTGGCATGTGGACGACGAAGAACCTTGTCACAGGGTATAATCCCGCCGAATGCTGCCCGCTTGGCATCTCCGGCCAGCTTGACCAGCCCATGGCTAATTTCTTGGGATGGTCCTTTTCATCGCAGTGCGCCTGGATTGTGGATCCTCAAAACTGCCAGAAGCTAGTTCCTATAGGTGCGATAGGGGAGCTTGTTATTGAGGGACCAGCCATTGCAAGGGGCTACATCCATGATCCAACTTCCTCTATTCCCGATTCACCCTTCATTCCATCTCCACCGTGGTTGTCTCGCTTCCGTGCGAGCTCTTCTCGAGCTACACGTCTGTATCGAACGGGCGACCTGGTTCAGTATGGCCGCGATGGGGCCGTGCACTTTGTTGGCCGGAAGGATCTCCAGGTAAAGATTCGAGGACAGAGAATTGAGCTCACTGAGATTGAATTCCACCTGCATAAGGCTCTTTCCCACGTCACCAGTCAGGTGGTCGTTGAGGCGGTGGAATTTACTGACCGCACAGCTCTCGTCGCCTTCATTTCATCTACAGAGAGATCCGGCTCGAAAAGAGTCGGGGAGAGCCCCCTTTTGTTAGAAGAAACTACCCAGCAGTTCGAGCATCAAGTAGCAGATGCAGCCTCGAAGTTACGAAGAACTTTACCCAGCTACATGGTCCCTGCTTCATATCTACCTATAAGATATATCCCTATGTCTAGAAGTGGGAAGATTGACCGGTCGGCATTGAAATCACTGGCCATCTCACTACCCCCGGAAATTTTAGTCCGCATTGGGGGACAATCCGGGCCAGGAAAAGCGCCAGCAACGGATATGCATCGTCGCCTACAGAGCCTTTTCGCTCAGGTGATAGGCTGTACTCCTGACCGAATCCAGACAGACAGTAATTTCTTCCAGTTGGGCGGCGACTCGATCCAGGCGATGAAGCTTTTAGCACTGGCTCATCAAGATGGGTTGGGCGACCTCACGTTCCAAGACATCTTCCAGCGTCCAGTATTGGAGGACATGGCCTTGGCCTTGAGTTCGATCATCGAGCGCCCTTCTTCAGGTTCTGAAGATCTCGGGCTAGCCCCCTTTACTCTAGTTAAAGATGCCAGTTCACTTGTCAATATCGTAAGTGAGCAATGTGGTGTCGCCGAGGGAGATATCGAAGATATATACCCCTGTACCCCTCTACAAGCAAGTCTGATAACCGCCACTTCACACGACAAAGATGCCTACGTAGCATTACAATCCTTCATTCTACAAGACGATGTAGACAAAATTAGGCTTGAAAGAGCGTGGAATACTGTCGCAGAGAATCATGGCATCCTTCGCACACGCATCGTCCTGGCCAATGATAGCTTTTACCAGGCTGTCGTGAGAGGCCCGGTCACTTTCTCAGAGGGAGTGAAAACCGAAGGCCTTGCCAACCCGCTTGATCTCTCTATTGGTTTAGGGACCCCATTAATTCAATTGCACCTTACAGGTCAGCGGTTACTAGTTGCCATGCATCACGCAATATATGACGGGTGGTCATTAGCGCTACTCTTTGCCGAGGTTGATCAAGCGTATCGCCAACTTTCCATCCGACAAGGGCCTATGTTCAACCGTTTTGCGAAGCATGTATTGGACTCAATGGACTCCGCGGTATCATATTGGAAAGCAGAGCTACATGATGCGGATCCCGTACACTTTCCGGGGCTGCCCTTTCTTGATTACAAACCCGAGCCTTGCGCATCGACTACAAGGTCAATTTCTCTTACCGACGTGAACGACGTACGCCGCATCGTGACTGTTGCGACTGAACTTCAATTGGCTTGGGCTGTCACTAGCAACACGTACGAAAAAAGCCAGGATGTCATTTTCGGCGTTATCTCCTCAGGACGAACTGCATCAGTTGAAGGCATTGATAGGATGCTAGGCCCCACACTTGCGAGCACGCCGCTTAGAGTGTTCATCAATCCAGGCCAAAAGGTGACAGAAGCATTAGAAGAGGTTCAATACCGGTCGGTGGAGAAGATGAGATACGAGCATGCTGGCTTGCAAAATATTGCCCGGCAAGGCCCAAACGAAGCAGCAGCTTGTCGCTTCCAGACATTGCTTGTTATAGAACCCAGGCGCCCAGACAAGACTCCCGGAAGATGGTACAGGAAACATGAGTTCTTATCCAAACTCACGAAGTTCAGCAGCCATTCATTGACACTCAGGTGTCAGCTCCTACCCGATTCGGTCAAAGTCACTGCGATTTTTGACCCGATAGTTGTGCCCGGCCCTCAGATGCAACATATCTTGTCCCAGTTCGAACACATATTGACGCAGGTTCGTGCCGTTGGGTTGAAAGACACCAGAATCGGAGACATCAACAGGTTGAACTCCCAAGACTGGGATACGTTGACAAAGTGGAATTGTACACTTCCTCCGGCACCAGAGTTATGTGTACATCAGATGATACAGGACAAATGCCAAAGACAACCTGAAGCATTAGCAATTCATTCGTGGGACGGTGACCTAACGTACCACGAGCTTGAGCAGTATTCAAAGCGATTGGCCAGTCATCTCCAGTCGCTTGGGGTTGGTCCTAATTCTATTATCGCCATCTTCCTTAAAAAGTCGTTATGGACGGTAGTAGCTCAAGTTGCTGTGCTAACGGCCGGCGCTGCATTCATAACCTTAGAGACCTCCCAGCCCATCGACCGTCTGCGCGAAACCTGTCATACTATTCAACCAGCCGCAGTGCTAACGTCGGATGAGTTACATATATCCAAAGTCGACCTTGGGATTGGATGTCCGTATCTCGTGCTGAATCAGCAATTTCTCCATCGAGAAGCCGACGGCCCTGAGCGACCTCCTAAAATAGCCGTAACAAAAGCTTCTGACGCGATGTACAGCATTGCCACATCAGGGACCACAGGCAAGCCCAAGGTGGTGGTTATTGAACACAGAGCATTTCTAGCCACTGCAATGCGCCTGATAGATCTTTGGGGCCTCACTGCGGACTCTCGTGTTCTTCAATTCGCCGGATATAGCTTCGATATCATGATCCTGGAGCATTTCCTTACCCTGCTCGCTGGTGGCAGTATTTGTATTCCATCGTCGTTCGACAGAGAGAATCGTCTCGCGACGATTATGGAAGAGATGCGTATCAATTTCGCTTTATTGACAACCTCGACAATCCCTCTGCTCACTCCTGCCGCTGTGTCTAGCCTACGAATTTTAGTACAAGCCGGCGAGCCCATGCACCATGGTATCATCGACTGCTGGGCCTCTCATGTGAGATTATTCAACGCCTATGGGCCGACGGAGTGCGCAGTCTGTTGTTGTAGCACCGGTGTGATCAGTTCAGATGCCAGAAACCCTAAGAATATCGGTTTCGCAGTTGGTTGTGTTCACTGGGTCGTAGACCCAGACCTACCAGACAGTCCGCCGGTTCCAATTGGAGCTGAAGGTGAATTAATCATAGAAGGTGCTGTACTTGCTCGGGGCTATTTGGGTGATCCGGCACGGACAGCTGGTGTATTCACCCCCCGGCCTCCTTGGCTACATAATTTCAGGGGCGGCAGTGGAGAAGACCGAGTTTATCGGACAGGCGATATTGTTAAATACCAGCTCGACGGATCGATCTCCTACGTGAGACGGAATGATTCCCAGGTCAAACTCCGCGGCCAACGAATAGAACTCCAGGAAGTTGAACATCATCTCCAGAGCTGCTTTCCGAATGCGGCTCAAATTGTCGCTGATGTTGTTACCCTATCTGATACCCAGTCGACTATCCTGGTAGCCTTAGTATTGATCGCTTCTGCTTCCTCGTCTGAATGGGTAGCAGCGAATCCAAATCATGGCGGGGGAGCGCCAGATAATAATATTTTGTTGCCGGCTAATAGCTCTCGGTTTCTCACCACCGCATCCACCGCTGAGCTCGCACTCCGGGAAAGAGTTCCTTCTTATATGGTTCCCAGTCTATTCATACCAATCTCAAAAGTCCCACGTGGTGTAAACGGAAAGGTCAATCGCAAGGAGATTAGTAGGTCTCTCGCATCTCTATCTCGGGAAGAGTGGAACAGTTACGCCTCCCTTGACAGAGTCGCTCCGTCCACCGATCTTGAACGCAAGCTGCAATCGATCTGGGCTCGTATCCTCAATATCACTCCCGAGTCCATTGGTATCTTTGACAGTTTGTTTCGCTTAGGTGGTGACTCAATCACCTGCATGCAAGTCGCTGCGCAGTGTAGAGGGGAAGGAATCCTGATTACCGTCAAGGACATCTTCGAGCAACGGACCATTGGAAAGCTAGCGGCTATTGCGGCGGAAATGCATCGTTCTGAACCATTAGAACTCATAAATATCACGGAGACTGATTCCTCTTGGTGCCGGCCTGACCAATTGGAAGAATACATGGAACGTATCAGACCCTATCTCAAGAAACACCAAGTCGTTCAAGACGTCTATCCATGCTCTCCAATTCAACAAGGCATTCTTATGAGCTGCGCCCGTAATCCCAGCCATTACGAGGAGGTCATCCAGTGGAAAGTCTCTAGCAAGGATCCCATTGATGTCGATCGTCTGCGTGATGCATGGCATCAAGTTGTAGAACGGCATTCCATGCTTCGTACGGTGTTCTTGGATGTATTTGGGGAAAATTACTTAGACCAGGTAGTCCTGAAGAGCCACATACCTTCGGTCATAGTGTACAGCGACGGAGAAGACCCGGGGAAACCAGACTTGTCAGACAATGCTCAGCCTATGCACCATCTCCAGGTTAAAATTTCAAGTGCGGGAACAAACACTGTCAGTTTGTACATAAACCACGCACTTGTAGATGGCCACTCACTGTTCATCATCAGACGGGACTTGGCCCTGGCGTACGAAGGCCGTCTCGTCTCGTCTCCTGCACCCTCCCCCTATCATGAATACATTGCATACTTGCAAAAGGGCCATTCTCGACAAAAATCCAGGGAATACTGGAAGTCCTACATAGAAGGCACCTCCCCCTGTCTCTTCCCCAGTCTAAACGACCTCGGTTCAGAAGACCAACCACAGCCTTTTGGCGCATTCACCCTAACACTGGGAAAAACCACCAATATCACTCAATTCTGTGAGGATCACAAATTGGCGCTTACCAGTGTACTCCATGTAGCATGGGCTATAGTAGTGCGACGATACACGGAAATGGATGAGATTTGCTTTGGCTATATGTCGTCTGGTCGTCATGTGCCCATAGCCGGTGCGAATGATATCGTAGGTCCCTTATTCAACATGTTAGTGGCGCGAATGAACTTGTCATCTGACGCAACGGCTCTCTCCATCATGCAACAATATCAGGACGGCTTCCTATCCAGCCTAGATCATCAACATCAACCGTTGGCCGAAACCTTGCATTCTATCGGGTCGGCTTCAGGAGAGTTATTCAACACGCTGATCTCGATATTCAATGATACGAAAGAGTGCGATCCATCCCAACAGCCTTCCGCCATTTCTCTTGTTGGCGATGATATACAAAATCAATCTGAGGTAAAAGATGCCACATTCTCATCTCTCTTTCCACGTTTAGTATACTAACACCGATGTCCTCGCCATAGTATCCTATTGCATTAAATATCCTCATGCTTGCCGAGCAGGCTCACATGATGTTCTCCTACCACAAGTCGCTACTAAGTGATGGTTATGCCCGAATAGTAGCTAAGGCCTTCTGCCACGTCCTAGGCACGGTCCTCAAACGCCCCCAGCTCCCTCTCAATGAGATTGAGGTGCTGGACGAAGAACATAGATGCAACCTCTATGAGCGCAACCGTTCTATTGTGGCTCCACTTGACAACTGCTTGCACTATGTTATCCATCAGCATAGTCTTGATTTCCCTGATTCCCCGGCTGTTTGTGCATGGGATGGAGATTTCACTTACCGACAATTAGACCAGCTCTCTTCGTCGCTGGCAAATGAACTCATCAGTCAGGGCATCGGCCCAGAAGTGGTTATTCCAGTGCTTCTGGAGAAGACTTGCTGGACCCCAGTGGCTATGATTGCTGTTCTAAAGTCAGGAGCTTCTTTCGTCCTCATGGATGCGTCACATCCACTGAAACGGCTCCAAACAATCTACAAAGTCGTCAACGCTCCATTGATCCTAGCATCACCGCAGACATCATCTAAAGCGCTAGAAATTTCGCCTCTAGTGATCGAGGTTACAGGCCGGTTGTTCGAACAGGAACAATCTGAGAAAAAGCATTCCTGGCTTAGAGTGACGGTAGAAGGAAGCAACGCTGCATATATATTATTTACCTCCGGCACGACAGGACAGCCAAAGGGTGCCATTATCGAACATTCGTGTCTGGCAACGTCCCTGGAACACATGAGTTCTCGCTTTTTCACTAACTCTAGATCTCGTGTACTACAATTCACCTCACATGCCTGGGACATAGCTGTGCTAGAAGTACTACTCACTCTCCGTGTAGGGGGATGCGTCTGCATCCCTTCTGACGAGGAACGTATCAGCAATATTGCGCAAGCAGCAAATCGAATGATGGTAAACTGGGCCATTGTAACACCTACCGTTTCCCGGCTGGTCCGGCCGGAGGATTTTGTTCACCTAGAAACACTGGTACTAGGTGGCGAGCCCATGTCCCCTACAGATCTAGCCACCTGGCACGATAAGGTGCGCCTTCTTGAGGGCTATGGCCCTGCTGAATGTAGCATGATTAGTACAATATCCAAACCACTAGTTCGGTCGAGTCATCCAAGAAACATTGGACAACCCAGCGGGTGTGTAGCATGGGTCGTACATCGCGATAACCATCACTTGCTAGTACCGCCCGGCGCGATAGGAGAGTTGGTCCTGGAAGGGCCGATCGTGGGCCGTGGATATATCAACGACCCAGAACTATCTGCTGCAGTCTTCATCGATCCTCCATCCTGGCTCGTAAGCCTCAGGAATAATCATATCCCCAGAAAATTATACAAGACTGGAGACCTCGTTCGCCCCACTCTAGACGGTACTTTTATCTTCGTCGGACGCAAGGACAATCAGGTTAAAATTCGGGGCCAGCGCGTTGAATTAGGCGAAGTGGAAGCTTCAGTTTCACGAGCCTTCCCTAAGAGCTATGTAGTCGTTGAGCTTGTGAAAGATTCAGGCCTGGAGCTCTTGGTAGCTTTCATCTTGGAGAAAGAGGCAGCATATGTACCACGAAACAGCAACAGCAGTCTCCTCCACCCCGCCTCTAATCTCTTCCGAGAGTCTGTTAGCGCAGCGATCTCCGGTCTTCGAGAGAGCATGCCATCATATATGATACCCAACTTATTCCTACCATTGGCCTATCTGCCAAAATCGCCCACGGGTAAAACCGAGCGGAAAGTTCTTCGAGATCACGTCGCTTCTTTATCCCAAGTAGAACTTGAGGTTTATCGTACTATGAACAGCTCTCGGCGAGAACCATCAACTTCATTGGAAGCACGACTGCAAGAATGTGTGGGTGACGTGTTGCATAAATCCTCGGATAGCATTCCGCTAGATGAGGATCTATTTGCAGTCGGACTGGACTCGCTCAAGGCCATGGCGCTAGCAACATCAGCTCGCGGAAGTGGACTGGAGATCTCAGTGCCAACAATATTTGAGTATCCGCGATTATCTGAGCTGGCTATAATCCTTGGCCAGAAACAAGGGGCCAAGCAGGAACAGCGTCCAATAGCGCAGCCAAACCTTCTGATGGCATCCATAGACGAGCTCTGCCAGCAGTGGCGGCTAGATCGAAGTCAAGTTGTTAACGTTGTCCCAACAACATATTATCAACGGACATTTATTGCTTCGCATCACGCCGCTTTTATCGCATTGCACTTTTCTCGGCCACTTGACTACACAACGTTCCGAACCGCGTTCGTTGCTGCTGTGCAAAAACATCATATCCTTCGTACTGCTTTCGTCCCTTTCCAAGGCTCATTCGTGCAAATATCTCTGAATAACTTCGATGTCCCAGTACAAGAAATCATTACCGACGAAGAAGACCCATCTATAGTAACGGAGTCCATCTGTCGGGAAGTAGATAAGCTCCCGGTCTTATTCGGGACTCCAACGACTCAGCTCCTACTGATAGTGGGGCGAGTAAGCGGCCGTCTTTCGGCAGTGCTAAGACTCTTGCGCGCGCAGTACGACGGTGTAACGGTGTCCTCTATCATTGCGGACCTGCGTTCCGCCTTTGACCATCCAGCCATCTCGCCTACCTCACTTCCGACACTAGCCTACCCCGACTTTATTGCCAGCCGTATAGCGTATAACACGCCACCCGTCTATCAGGTGTGGCGAGAATTGCTAGAAGGGTCGTCCATGACTTACCTTGCTCCGCGTAGAGAATACACTCGAGATGTAGATATATCACAGATCGAGCTGGAGGCGAAAGTCACCCGTGATATCGCAATGCCCGACACTAACTGGGGCTTCACTATGGCTACTGTAGTCAAAGCAGCGTGGGCCCTGTGCCTTGCTCGGAAGGCACAAACTCAAGATGTGGTGTTTGCGCAGATCGTGAGAAACCGTCATCTGGCCATCTCCGGAGTCGAGCGCACCGTTGGACCTTGCCTTAACCTAGCCCCTGTCAGGGTCCCCATAAGGCCCGAGTGGGATGGGAAGGACCTTCTGCAATTTGTCCAGTACCAGCAGATGCGCACCATGGCTTGCGATACGGTGGACTGGGATGACCTAGTCACCGAGACCACCGCATGGCAACGAGGTACGGATCCCGGGTCCGCAATTCACTACCTGAGCGCGCCTCTTGGGAGTGACTATATCTTTGCGGGAGATGTCCCATGCCATATGCAGCTTTTGGACTTCAAGATGACGCAAATCTACCCATTGATGTTATGTCTGCCATTTCCTAGTGAGCAGGATAGCACGGTTACGATATTGAGGATCGTTTTTACGAGTGCTATCTTTGGTCAAGATGTAGCAGAAGAGATTATTTCGGATTTCATAGAAATGGTTATTCAACTCACTAATCATCCGGAATTGTTAATTTCGAAATTACTTGAGCCCGTCGGAGGTGGTTAGGGGGAGGACGAGTCTACCCCCGAGGAGGAAGAACATCTTCCAGACCTGGCTACTATGTAATAGACAGACATTCTCCCTCGCCATTTCAAATAATGTATTGCAATAGATACAGTACAACGTAAAGATTTTACTGTATCATACATCCAATATAGACCAACTCTTCCTCCGCTTAATTGTAGTCAGGGGGATATCTCTGCTCGACGCATTGGGGATACGTCCAATAAATCAACCCTGCCATAAGCATGTTGAGCAGCTTCCTTCTAAGGGACAGTTGCGGGACGTAGTGCTTCGTCATATCGTACTCATACATCAGGACGATATTGCCGATGAAGTTGAGCAATCGAAACATTCTGCGTTCAAGGTTAGTCAAACTTGTTCCTGCATCATAACGACCGAATCCTACTCTTCTCGCATAAACCCACGGAGATACCGAATATACGCCAGATATTTAGATGGACTTCACTCACACATTCACCCCATAAAAAACCAACGCCACAATAGCGCTCCGTTCAGGAGCTCCATCACCCACACCCGTAGCAACAGCATACACCGGCGGAATCCACAAACCCAAGATAACCAGCTCCAGCACCCCAACCCAATGATACGTACGCACGCGATTCCCCCTAAACGCCAGAAACGCCATGCACACCCACAGCAGCGCGAAGCCTGCCACCACGGGCGGGAAAACGCGCCTATCCCCGCGGAAGTAGATCAGCGAGAGCGCGGCGGCCACGACGCCCGCCGCGAACTGCGCGAACCCGAGACACAGGAACGCCCACAGCACGCGGTAATAGCGGTCGTAGCAGCGGCGATGGAACTGCTCGTAGGGAGAAGCCGTCCCGCGGACGGGCCACCCGCACCAGCGGCACACCCACGCCGAGTCCGAGTTGGCGAGGGTCAGGCTGGTGCCGACGTGTAGGTCGCGCGAGGAGACGGCGCAGCGGAAGCATTTCGAGCTTAGGGGGCGGTCGTTGGAGGTGGCTTGGACTTGGGGTTGGGGCTGGAGGATTAGGCTTTGCCGTCCCGGGCGCTTGAGACATGATTGGCAGTGCGAGATCAGTTGTCGCGAGAAGCGCTCGTCGCCGCCGAAGTGCGCGCGCACGAAGTCCCGGGTGAGGAGGGCGCGGAAGTGGCGACATGTGCGACGGAGACGTTCCATATCGCCGAAGTTGAGGTACGCTGCGATCATGTACTGTAATTCGTTTGGCAGTTCCAGGAGCCGTGAGCGGGGTTTTAAGACGGAGGATTCCTCGGAGAGGTCATTTTGGAAACATGAGTAAACGCTGCTCCGGGCTCTAGATCGGGATGAAAGGTAGGAACGGGGTGATGTGGGGCCGGTGGCATCTCCTTCCTGACCCGGAGTTGCCGTCTTTTCCCGGAGGTGCTCGATGCCTTGCCGGACAAGTAAGTCAATCCCGCTTGTTGGGGTGATGGAATTCATATCCATCGGGTGCCTGATCCTTGTAATCGGGGGTAATTTGAATTGTAAAGACAGGTTAAACCGGAAATCGTTTCAAACTGAAGACTAGTTGCCCAAAGCTAAACGAGACCATAGCACTCGTCCGCTCAATGATTTCCTTGTCTCGGGGAATTTGACGTCGTTCCAGTATCACTTGGGATTTGCTAACCTGATATTTAGTCTGCTGATTGTTTGAACGGAATTCAAGCTAGATTCCGGAAGTTGCTTCAACTTAATTGAAAAGGCCCTTGAGGAAACGACCGTGAACTCCAAGGCCTCAGCATACGATATGTCCCCTTCAAATACTAGATCCTGTGGAATGGGGGAGCAAAATTTATGAATTATATTCATGCAAAGAGTAGAAAACCTCAGATCGCAGAATATGGATCCGACCGTGTTTATCTGAGGTTTCCGTTTGTTTGCGTTCGCATGTCAAGTTTTGGTAGTTGTATTTTGATCAGGGTGCTCATGCGTTGGGCGTCGCAACAGGGGAAAGTAACAGGTGCGGCCAAGATCTTGGCTACAAATTTGAGTGTCTGAGCGACACGCACAGCGTCGTAATTATCGCCGATGCAGTAACCCGATGACCATCGATCAGTAACACAATCTACGCTGATTGTGCTGAAATAGAACATACGAATTCTTTGTGATACTATTGCGACCGGGTGATGGAGACTCGCCTTGCGCCGGATTAGATGACTAATAGACCCTTAAAATGAAACATGGAGGTATGGAATGGCTACATACCTTGGCACCTAAGGATCTCGCAGTTGAAAGCTTCTGGTAGTTTTAAATCAAGAACACATAGTGAAAGAAATGACAATCATGAGAAACATAGGGAGTTAGAAGAATTGATCATTTGGTCGTCATTTTAAAATCAGCCTGCTACACTCTTTTGGATACATTTCCAGCTTTTGCACCCCTTACCGTCTATCTGGTATCGTAATCAACTGTCAACATTACACTACGAACCACCAGGTCCACCAAGCAGAGCGAATCTTCGGACAATTCCGGGGCCGTATTCTTGATACTAGGTCAAGTTAGCCTTTTATCCGCTGGAATTGTTGTCTAGGCAGAACTCACCTCAGCCTTAGTGTGGCAATACGATCGGAATTCAGGGGTTTGTCCCAGCAAGCTACCGCCAAACCACGGTCCGTGTCGTTGCCTCTTGTGAGTGATAACCTGAACTTCTAAACCACCACTCTTCGCTCCACCGCTGCGGACCTCGCTAGCTCGAATTCTTGCATCTACCAAATGCTTGATGTCACGTTGTAATCTTCGCCCAAAGTCCTTGTAAAGCGTGCTGCCTCCAGATAATACAATGTTCTTGTACAATCCTCGTCGAACATCGATCGGGCTCGACTGAATAACACCATCGACAACAACAGGGAGTGGCGTGAGGAAGTCGGAAGAGTAAATTTCTGGGTTAAAGAATATTTCAGGGGCAAGGAATCGCTCATATCCCACGTCGACGGTGACTTGGCGGCCGCCTGGGTGCGCAACAACATGCTTGGCGAAACGAGTGCGGTCACGGTCGAACTTGGAGAACTCCTTGACGATATCGGGACATACGTAACAGTACTCCTCCTTGATTTCTTGGGCTGTTTTTAGAGAGCTGTCGGGCTCGCCTCGGTCACGTAGTAGGGACTGGACAAAATAGGTGATATCTCGACCAGCGATAGGAATAGACTTGATCGAGGAACCGATTACATAACCCTCGGCAACAGGAATGACATGGGTAACACCGTCGCCCGAGTCAATAACAGTACCCGTGAGGGATCGATCCGATACTTTCGCCGATGTCCAAGACGCTGCCAAGGCGAGGACAGCTTGGACGGCAATGTACAGACCAGCACAGTTGAAAGATTCGAAGAAGATTTCGGCCGTATTTTCTCGATTTTCAGGGGGGTTCAGAGGCTACATGACGTTAGCACTATGTTACGAAGCTAGTCCGGTGGTCGTTGCATACGGGTTCGGTCAAGAGGAAGTAATGATCTTCGGGTTCGACACGTAGGTACTTGAAGATAGAATTCGACCAAAACCTTTCCATATGGTCCTAATACAACACGTTAATACCGGGCTGGAGAGCACTAATTCGGAGCCTATACCCAGTTCTCTATTTGACCGTGTCGAATAGGGTAGTGTAGTCCGTAACCTATACCGACATCAGCATCCTGTTCATATTCGGTGTATGATGGTCATAGCCGACCTGGTCCATTCGCGGCAGCTAAGGCTTCGTCGCCAATGAAGAAATCTAAGTCCTCGGTGCCTCGTTTCGTTGATAAGTGACCTGCGGGACCGGCACCTCCCGTGAGGAAAGATGGTTTGTTGGCCACGGCAGGTCGTCCCGAGCCGGTTCCTCCACTACCTCCAGCCTGGCCTTTCGTCGCTATCGCGGTTGGGAAAACGAACGAAGGAGAATCGTTACCGGCGAAACCTATCGTAAAAAAGGGGCGGTGGGTTAGCTGGACTGTAACTAGCGGTATGCGGAGTCTACTGGAAAGCTCGCTCACCAAGCTTTGAAAATCCCGTGCCGCTATTTTCGTCACCAGGTTAGCATTAGATTCCTCCTTATTCATAAGTTTAAGCAGCTCGTAAATATAGCTGTCGATTGCGGGGTCAGGAAGACGTACTTGTCCATGACAACGGCAGGGGTTTGGTTGGCCATTATGGATAGGTAGGAGCTACACGAGCTTCCTAGAGTCTCAACTTAAAGCCAGCACAACAGGAAATCAAGGTCGGGGGTAGTTGTGGTGTTGAGACAAACTCGTGGGGTAGCTGTTGGAGTTGGTTGACAATACAATGATGCGGCTTGAGAGTTGATTTAATTACGTGCCTATCGTGAGTTTAGGTGCCCGGGACAATGTGGCTGTGCATGTTTGGCGGGGCATGCGGGTCTACCTACGTCGTAAATGCGGCTGTCCAAGTCGGCGTGGCTGCCCCATAAGGTGAGTGGGTCTATGCAAGAACGGAAAGAGGCAGCTGTCGGCCACCTGCATTGTCTCAAAGTCTAACTTCACCGAATAGCTCATAACCCATCACACCTTCTTCATATATCAGTTCTTATTACACAGTGAGCCGCACCAACTTATACTTACCTCCATTTGCTCTACATGGATATCTCATTACAGCCAAACATCCTATCTGTATTGAAAATGGATAATATCGTGAGACGTGATGAGGCATAGTAGATCTTGGTCAAATGAATAAGATGAGAAAGCCTGCTGAAGCAAAAGACTCAAGGCTGAGAAAGATCATATAAGACGACTGCCTATGGAAGGTGCCTCCGCCCATTTAACTCAAAACCTTGGAAATCACAGCCATTACGTATATGCCATCGTCACATTCTTCGTATCAGGGCAAGAGCATTCTAAGCTCTTTTCATCAAGCCCCTAACTCTCATTTCTCACCGTAACAGTTACTCCATACGATTTTAGCCAACTTCAACTTCATCAAGGCTTCGACTTCCAGTTCCAAACTAGTATCTCGGCATCTTCAACATCATATTGACTCGTACATTCTTCTACAAGTGCAAATCTTTCCAATATTCCGTCCACTCCTCGAATCATTACCTTAACATCTCCCTACATATACTTCCACGCACTCCGCCGACGTTCAGCAGGGATACTCTTAGGTATCCCTCTAACGAGTACTTTCTATATTTCTCCCTTCTTGTTCTAAGCACTGATTACTCGGTATTGATTCTTCTATCTTTGATCGCTATCGATCTCGAATCTCAAAACGGTATCTCGTTGCCCTTGAGTTGGTCAACCAATCGTTAAGTTTAGCTTCCACAAGTCTTCAACTCACGCCCGTTACATGAACCGTCATCCTAAATCAGCTTTCGAGTTCCTCTCTTTCCAAGGTGCTCGGAGTGTCCGACTTTTCTTCCAAGGACCATGAACGGAAGCACGTCAACGACTTTCCATCAGAACCTCACATATCCATTGCCCTGAATCTGCTCTAGAGTAACCCTAGTTAGTCCATTGGTTAGACAAACACTGGCAATACTTTTCTCTTTTCACAATTACCAGTCAAAACATCGGGCAAACCGGCTCTCTATACAAACAAGAGGTTGTACACACAATTTAGGGCATCCGCAAGCCCATTCAGCTCGTGAGGCGCTTGGTGATCAAGTCCGTCTGATCTGGGCCAAGAGGAGTTCCCAAACGGCAATCAGTTGCTATCAAAGAGTTGGTGTTTTCTGCGATATCGGTGCTCTTCCATTGCAGCATGGACTCTCACAACTCTGAAGAATCTGCCAGCCTGAATCGACATGAGACGGTTGACGGGAGTGATGACATTATTGACGGTTTACCTTGGGTTAATAAACGTCGAAGATCTCTGCCACCAACGGATAGCGGCATTATCCCCTCCATAGATGGAGCGGCAGATCGCTGGGGGAAGCGTAGGAAATTACCGGTAGCAGCTATTTTCATCCATGCTGGAGCCGGCTACCACAGCACCGTTAACGAGAGGATCCACCTAGAGGCATGCAGCGAGTAAGCATATGCTCTTTTTCTCACACAACTCCCTTTAATGGTCTATTCTAACTATAGCCTTTGATAGGGCTGCTCGCTTGAGTATAAAGCTTCTACGAGCAGGAAATTCGGCCATTGACGCTGTCGAGGCTGCAATCAAAGTCCTCGAGGACAAAGAGATCACCAACGCTGGCTACGGCAGCAACCTCGCAATCGACGGAACGGTAGAATGCGATGCTACGCTTGTTGATCACCTTGGTCGAAGCGGTGCTTGTGGTGCTGTTCCAAGTAAGTGATTGATAGTTTCTTGTGATATTTGAAATCGCTTACAAGTCTTGGTAGACATCAAAAATCCGATTACTTTAGCCAAGGTCATCCTCGAGTATAGCAGCAAGCCCCTCTCTTTACGCCGCGTCCCACCAAATTTACTTATCGGAGATGGCGCCAAAGAGTTTGCTCAGGAGTCGGGTATGACATTAATTCCCAACGAATATCTTGTGTCGAGAAATGCCCGAGACCGTTATATCAGATGGCAGGAAGATCTGAGACGGGCTGAGGGCAAAGAATCTCCAACTCTAGAATCCGGTGGTTACGATCGAATCGTCGCCAGCGACTATGATACTGAACTTCGCCACCGGGACCATACGAACGCTATATTGACTGGAACTTGGAATGAAGGTCAGCCGGACTCGCCAGCATCGCCTTCACCATGGGAGAGCGGTCCTCCTTCGCATACTCACTCGCCCGTACTGATAAGAGTCAGTGGAGCGCCGCAAGTCTCACCTGGTAGCTCAGTCGACCACAATCCGCTTAATTACCTAGGCTCGGCTCTCTCTAGCTCGAAGAATTCATCTGGAAAGTTAGCATCGCCAGCCCCGAATCGCCCACGGTTCATCTCCGGGCCGAGTAACGAATCCCTGAAGCCACTCTCTCGCGCATCGACGCCTAATAATACGACTGGAGCAGCACGTCATGATGGTGCTGATTTCAACCTCTTCTCAGAGCCTCTCTTATCTCCAACTAGAAGGGCTTTCAATACCGTAGTGCCGTTGGTGAAAGTAGATAAGCCATCATCAAACCGGGCTACCAACGGTTGCGAGAATCATGACGATGGCACCGATAAGATCACTGACACAGTGGGTGCGATCGCAATTGATCAGAATGGGAAGATTGCGGCTGGCTCATCTTCGGGTGGCATTGGCATGAAACATCGAGGACGAATTGGCCCGGCAGCCTTGGTGGGCATCGGAACAGCCATCATCCCAGCTGACGAGCAGGATCAGGACGGTATGGCCGTCGCCGCTGTGACGAGCGGCACTGGAGAACATATGGCCACTACGATGGCATCCCAGAAGTGCGCAGAACGCATATTTCAAGGTACACGCCGAGGAGCGGGCGGAAAAGACGTGCCCGAAGACGATGAGAGCGCCATTCTCCAAGGCTTTATCGCCAATGACTTCCAGGAACACCCAGGTGTCAAATATTCCTCCTCGGCTGGTGCCATCGGTGTCATGGCCGTAAAGAAGAGTCCTATGGGGTATTACTTGTATTTTGCACACAACACCGATTCGTTTGCCTTAGCTTCAATGGGATCCAACGACCGCGAACCGTCTTGCGTCATGTCGCGCGTCAACGAAGGAAGTTCTGGTATTGCTCAAGGAGCTAGGAAAATTCGCTTATGAGTTGATGATATTGATGCCGGCGCCCGATAGTTGATCAACATGAAACCTACTAGATCGAATCAATTTCGTTCCGTTTCATGGATTCGTCGAATTACTTTTCTCTACAAATCCACCCACTACCTGGTCTACCCTTCAACTCGATTCATCCTTATACCTCACCCTTACCCTCATTATCTGTAAACCTAGATTGGGATGGATTCTATTGCATTGGGGCTACTGTTCTTGAGATACCCCTGGATGGCCGTTTTTCACCATCGAAAAATGCCGTGTTTGTCTTCACCCTGGAAAGATTGTCATCATCAGGCCATGGTCAGCTTTTCAAGCAACAGGGTGACAATTTGCAAATGACTACCAAGTTGAAGCCATAGCATCAACACCGCCCGGATAGCTTAGATAGAACGAAGATAATTCGATGATTTAAATTTGCTCCTAGAGTAAGCCGACCGACTTACAACCATGTTTAATGCTTTTTAGAATTCGTGGTATTTTCATTTCATACAAGACGCCGTTCTCTCTATGCAAATCCCAGGTCTACTTGGAAACCTGTATGGTACAAACTTCATCCGCCTTAAGGATGTCGTACTAGTACACCAGACGTGAGACACGCAAGTCGCCCTGCCTCGGGGCCTAACCAGGCACAGGCGTTCCCGTCGCACTCCCCGTCTCCTCCCTTCCGCCAACGCCGTTAATACGGGTCTTCTTTTTCTTCTTCTTACGCGGTACGACGGCCGGCTTAGCGCCGTAATTGCCGAGGGCCAGCTTCGTGCCGCAGGTCAGGCACTCGGCGCGGTCGGGCACCTCGCAGAAGATGCTCAGGCAGATGCTGCAGACGAAGCCGGTGTCGATGACGCGGCGGTGGCAGAAGCAGGCGGCGCGGAAGTCGACGGTGTCCTGGGTCGGGGTGACGAGCGACTTCCGGGCCTCGGCGTCGGCGAGGAAGCCGCACATCAGGTAGGAGAGCAGGCCGCCCGGGTTGGCGGCGGCGGAGAGGAAGGTGCCCGAGGTGATGAAGGCGGCCTGCTGCAGGAAGGTCGGGCTGCCGTGCAGCGAGAGCGTGTCGACGGCGATGCGCGCGTGCGAGGCCGCGAACACGGCGTTCATGGTCGGGATGTACTGCGCCGGCTCCGAGTCCGACACCGACAGCACGAGGATCCGCGAGTGCAGGGTCGCGGAGTTGGCGGCGCTGCTGACGGCCGCGGCGGGCGGCGGGTTCGCTGGGTCAGAGGAGGTCTTGGCCGGCTCGAAGGAGGCGGTCATCTTGTGGATGTAGGATAGGGCCATGGTTAGAGCGCCGGATATTAGGGTCGTCGGGTTGAGGTCGGATGGCGTGGTGCTGTCGATGAGGGACCGCAGGGAGGTTAGGATGGAGGTTTCGATCTGCGCGAACTGGGGGAATTTGTTGGCGGAGGCGGTTAGTTCTGCCGGCGTCGATGCTTTGTCCGGTTGCCCGTCCGCGTCGGTCATCTCGACGTCGCTGCCATTGGCGAGCTTATTACCGTTGCCATTGCGGCGGTGGTCAGGGTTGGGAGATCTGGGGTACAGCCATACGGCCCGGTTGGGATGTGCGGCGAGGATGGCGACGTGGTTGTCGTTGCCGTAGGCGAGGTGGGCGTTGACGAAGACTAGGAGGTTGGCGACGGCATTGGCGATGGTGAGACGGTTCGATAGTGCGGCCCAGGCGCGAGGGTTGGTATCGATTATGATGGTGAGCAGAGATGGGATTTGGTTGGTGGCGGAGGGGGATTCGTTGTAATGGTCCGAGGCGTCGATGCGATTCATCGTGCCGGCTCTTTTTAGGGTTGGCGCCTCTTAAGTCATAGGATGAATAACCTTCATAAGTCTATCGGTTGGTAGTGATTGATGAAAAGTATGAAAGGCTATTCCACCATTGTAACTGTGGCGTTAGGGCAAGGCGCAATGCATACTCCTGAGGTAGAATATATGGAATAATGAGAATTGAATTTGTGAAGCTGGAACGAAGACGGTAAATGGTTAATTGGCCGATAACGATAAAGATTTACACGGTCAGCACGGTCAGAGCTTCAGCTAGCACTTACCTTGTCACCTAACAAAGACCGTGCTTTAGCGCGCCTTCTCTTTGAATGCCGCGACGAGCCGGGGTTGACTATCCACTAATAAAGACGCCAGCTCACATGACTAATAAAAAAGCTAGACGTCATCTTTTAGTAGATCTTACAGAACCCTACCAACCCTGCCCCTGCCCAGGATAAACCCCTGCAAGTTGCCTTGCTATTACGGTCATTATCATGCGCGTGGCCCAAGGTTTTGGGGCTTGATAACTTTATTGGCGTCGATAGTTTTCAGCGGGGTAATTTTAGACTTGAAGAACTTCTTGAACGAATAAGGCTTTTGGATTTCAAGATTCCTCTCCTTCATACTTTGCCAATGTCACCACTAACTCGGATTATTCTCTTTAGCTCCTTGGAGCCAAGCCATGCCCCGAAAACTTCGAAAACATCCCATCCCATCCCATCCGATTGTCCAACTGAGACACATGTGACAGGCCCTAGGTAACTGTCTGGTACCAAGAATTAGCTGTATGTGGTTCCAAGCCTTGCCAGATCAATATCCCCCACCTTGTTTTCTACGTCTCTACTATTATCTTCGGTGTTTCTATAAGTTACATGCATATTGCATTCGTTCTGCATGATTTCATCGGTTCTATCTCCGCATTTTAATCCATAAGGCTTCTCACATTTGTTGTTGTTATATAAAGCTAGATGAGGTTGCAGTGGCTGACATCGAATCTATTTAGTTCATGTGAGTAAATTTGTTAACGGCCTGCCAAGATCTTTTACCTCCTTTAACCTTCATTGAAACAAGCCTCGGATGTCTTCCTCGTTTCTGGTTTGTGGATTGTTCTAAAACACTTGGAAGCCTGGTACCTATCAAAATAGGTAAAATCCTTCATGGTTGTCCTTGCGGCTAACCAGGGTTATTATTTCTGCCAGTCGGATCACAGACCTTCAAGGTGAGAAGAGGTATGTGTGCGTTATCCTTTGTTTCTAAGCCTCTTTCATATTCTGTCACGCGTCCAGCACCCTCTCATTACTCGTACCATACGTACCACGCCATGCCCAAGGTTCCCATGATAAAAGCGCCTTCAAGGCGCTAGAAACTTACATAGTACTTTATTGATTGGAGACTGTCACCCTCGAAGCTATTTACTTCTACAACTATATAAATATTGTACATCTTTCTCTCAAGTTCTCACAGTCATCAACTATTACTCAGGAACACTACTGTAATAATAAGATATTGCGTTGCTGACGAGGCGTTAGACACTCAATACGCCACTCCGCCACCACAGTTCATTTAAGCTACTATTATTCAAGCACTGGCTATTTCTTCTAACCCAGCTTTTTCAAGCTTATCTCAAAACAATCACTTCTTTCCATCGTGGAACACTAGAACAAGATGGATGAGACACCTATCGACCTTACCTCCAACCGTGAGGAGATGGCCAAGTTGAACAGTGTCGAACAAACGCAGCTCATCCTTGCGCGATTAATGGAAGGGGGCCAAGAAGACGACGATACTTGTCGAGAACTGGATCGCCTCACCAAGCTCTTAAACAATGATATCGAATCTAAGACTAAGGAGCAGTCTATCTGTGATGTCATTGACGATGTATGTCTTGATACTATACTCGGCTATCTCGACATGCGACAAGCCGATCTGGTTCGAGCCCATGGAATCTTGACCACTTCTGCTTATCTAAAAGCAGCCGGAGACAAAGGGAACGAGGCTCTACGCAACTTCTTCTTCGACCGAGTCAAGAGAGGCACATATGACGATTATATCGTTGCTTTCTGTGTCGCCGCCGCCGTCTTTCCCATCGTCCCCGATGTTATGGCTGACATATTCCTCAGCGAAGGCTTTTTGCCAAGCCTCGACCCCTTGATGCGAAGAAAATGGAAGAGTAGAAAGGTCGAGACGGCATGTCTGGAAATGCTTAATGCTGCCTCTATGAACTCGCAGTGCCGTGAGGCTATTCGAAAATACTGCACTGACTGGCTAGAAGAAGTCGTTGACCAGGATCTTAACGAGCTAACTAATTCCATCCACTCGGCGGACCCCGATGTTCATGTTACGGAAGGTTCAATCGCCATGAGGAGGCATTCCGAGACAGTCCAGAACTTGGCCGCGGTCATTCTAGCAAAATTGAGGGTAGGCACCCTGAAGCTTCCTCTCGCATCACCACCCAAATTCGAAAATCTTCAATGGAAATGATTGGGCGCGGTGAAGAATGGAGTTGGGCTGACCTGAAGGCTTCAGGCAGTGCCCTCGTCGGCGCAACAAACGACGGAAGGATCCGATGAGAGAATACAACAAGCGAATACTAGTATCGAGGATCTCTCCAAGATGTTTAGTTCGATGATACTAAAAGACTCGGATAACGACAAGCGACTTTCGGTGGAGGGTTTGGCATACGCTACTATCCAACCCGCAGTTAAAGAGGAGGTTGCGGGCAACAAGGAGCTCCTAAAGACTCTTGTGAAAATCCTAGGTGATGCGCCTGCAAAGTCGCCACTTACGTACGGAGCTCTGAGTGTTTTTATGAATCTTACCCGCTACCAACCAACACAATCCGAGGAAGAGAAGAAAATGTCACAATTAAAGGCTTATGCTAACGCATCCGGAAAGCTGGGACCGTCGAACCCCCTTAATGACGATGATCACGTTTCGCAGCGATGTAAACGAGTTTTTGAAGCAGGCATTGTGCCTGTCTTGGTAACCCACAGTCGCCATGGTTCTGTTGCGTCGCTGAATCTAATCGTATCTATTATCTCTGCGCTGTCGGTCACAACTAGTTTACGAGGTCAACTTGCCCAGCAGGGGGCAGTGAATCTTCTCATTGCCGCCTGCACTGCTTTACCTGACTCTGAATCGCAGACGAAACGCACTTCCGCTCAAGCACTTGCTCGTATTTTAATCAGCACAGATCCTTCTCTTGTTTTTGGCGGAACACGCGCGCGTCCGATGAACACAGCTATCAGACCTCTCATTTACATACTATCCCCCGATCCTGCAGCCGAAACCCGAGATCTCTTACCAACATTCGAGGCCTTAATGGCGCTCACCAATCTCGCTTCGACGGATGACGATACGCGAGCAACCATTATCCGTAACGCGTGGTCCGAGATCGAGGAGCAGTTATTATCCTCTAATCACATGGTCTCCAAAGCTGCTGTGGAATTAGTATGCAACTTAGTGCAATGCGTCGAGGGTATTGCTCTATACGCGGCGGACGATGTGCAAGCCGCAAACCGGTTGCATATTCTCCTTGCTCTAGCGGATGCTGAGGATGAGGGGACTCGAAGCGCTGCTGGTGGAGCGCTAGCGTCTCTAACATCATTTGAAGCTGTCGTAACGGGTATCGTGAAGAGAAAGCGTGGGGTTGAGGTAGTCTTAGGTTTATGCAGCGAGAAAAGCGAGGACCTACGTCATCGAGGCGTATTTGTCGTCTACAACATGGTAGCATGCGAAGGAGAACCAGGAAAGTTGGCGAGAAAGGCGATACGTGAGAAGAATGGAGTTGAGGTACTAAAAGAATGTGCTAAGAGCAGCAGAAGGGCTGAGGTTGTCGAGGTCACGATCCAAGCTCTAAAGGTTTTGCTTGAGCAACAAGATTAAGATTGATTAGATTGCTTTTCAAGGAACAGAGGAGTTACGCCGAGATGGCTAATACGTTACAAATTCTGGTAATGAGACCTTAAGAGAGAGTACTTCATTTATTTGTCGTGGAGTCAAGATATAAAATATTCCCCAACACCAAACTTCGCAGTTTAGTAGCTATGGCAGTTCATCGTGATCCTTTTCTACGACTTCCTCCCGCGCCAATTTATATGTACATCGCGTAACGTGACGTTTGTTCATTGCCCTAAGCTACGTATGTATTCCTTGTAACCCAATTTTTCTGTAGTACATCCATCCTTCCTGTATCGACCCGAAGAGCGGAGACTTAGCTCACCTACGTAGTGTAATTTCATAGATCGTAGCCTACCTACCTAGGTATCTACTCATCAATCCGGTTCAAAACGCAAACACCCTCCACATGGCTCGTCTGCGGGAAGAAGTCGAAACCTCGCAGACTCTCGATTGCGTACCTCGTCTTCTTCTTGCCCGCCGTACCCTTCGCGCCCAAACCACCACTACCACCTTCTTCCCCATCCCCCACGCCGCCCATATCAACATCAACCTCGCCACGAACCAGGATCCCCACGTCCCGGGCCTGCGTATGCACATTACAGCTAACATAAACAACACGCCGGGGCCCGAAATCCAGTAGCTGGCCAAGGAAATCGACATCGCACCCCTTGCGAGGCGGGTCGAGCACGACGACGGTCTCGTCGGCGGGGTACCTGGCGCGGACGGCGGGGATGAAGAGCTCCTTGGCGTCGGCGGCGACGAAGCGGGCGCGGTCCGGGGACAGCTTATTCGCGCGCGCGTTGCGCGAGGCGTACGCTATGCTGGCGTCGGCGATGTCGATGCCGACGCTGCCGCCGGAGATCAGCGGCGACAGGGTGATGGTGAAGAGGCCCGAGCCGGAGTACGCGTCGATGAGGCGCGTGATGGGCGGGCCTGAAGAGGAGGAGGAGGAAGAAGAAGAAGAAGAAGTGTCGGGGGGTAGGATGTTGGAGCGGATGTAGGAGGTGACGAGGGGGAGGATCGAGTTGTTGTTCTGGAAGAACTGGCCGGCTAGGTTGTGGAAGACGTAGGGCCCGACGTATTCGGTTGATACGGCGTTGTTGTCTGTTATGCAGGTTTTTATATCGGTGTACGTGTCTGTTTCGACGCAGATCGAATCGGCGTCAGGGGGTGGGATCGAGGGGGAGCGGGAGCGTGGGGCTTCTCCTTCTGCGGATTCTTTGGGCGATGATGGGGTCCCCGCTTGCTTCTTGGGAATGCGCTGCGTGCTTTCTCGAAGAAGGATCGTCGCGCCGCGCGTGTAATTGCCGTATTCCCTGGCCATACGCGCTCGCTCGCTCCTCATGCCAAGCCGCACGGCGTCTGTGCCTATGGGGCAGTCTTCGATATCTATCGTGGTTCGCTTGCCCTTGGGCATAAAGCCTATGGGAGGGCGTTCCTTAAAAGGCACCTGAGTCTTGCGCCAGCCCTGGGGGCCGTCGAAATGCGGGGTCAGTTTGGTGCGATAGCCGTACTGCAGCGGGCTGCCGATGGTGTCCTGGACGGCGGGGACGAGCTCGGGAGGCAGCTGCGAGAAGTTCTGGAAGGCCTTCTCGACGATGCGCTTCTTTATCCGTAACTGTTCGTCGTAGTCGAGCATCTGGAACTGGCATCCGGCGCAAGTGGCGAAGTATTTACACTGGATGCGACTGTCGTCGCGAGATGGCGCTGGTTTCACGACTGAGATGAAGTCCGCGACGGTGTACCCCTCTTGCATGTGGCGGTATACCTTCACCTTGACGGTGTCACCTGGGACTGCGAATGGCACGAGGTAGATCCTCTTGGAGCCTTTCTGCAAGGCCAACCCTTCTCCTGTCGACGCAAGCTCGACGATGTCCACTTCGATTTCGGAACCTTCTTCCGGTAGATTCTCAGGTAACGTTCCGTTCGCTTCGTTGTTTCCATCGTCGTCCCGATTCAGGGACTCGGTAAGCTTCTGTATATCCACAGCTAAGACCTCCTCGGCAGAGCCAGTGGTCATGTCTCTCTCCCTCTTACGGGCCTTCTTCTGGCTCTTCTTATTTTCTCTCTTCATGTTTCGCTGTCCAGACGCCGCCTCTTGAGGACGGGGTCTTTTCCCGCGATCATTTTTCTGATTGGATATTTGCTTCTGCTTCTGCTCTTCCTCTTGCTCTCCCCCCATCATCCAGGCGTAGAATGAGTCCGGATTTAGAAAATTATTAGTATTGAGATCGGTATTATCTGCTGGAATTTCTGGCCACTCGCTAGCGAATTCATCCGCGACAGTCCTTTTAGGAGGCTTTTTCTTAGGATTCTTCTTAGGTATCCATTTTCGACGAGGAGTATGGAAAGACCTGGTGTAGGCAAAGGACTCAATTAGCGATAATGATGGACTAGAGGTTAGAGAATATGCGGTTCTGTATTTTCCTAGAATCAATCGCGAGACTACTCTTGTGTAGAAACGCATTGATTTGAAGCAGATATCTTATTCTCAATCCCTCTTTTTCCAACGTCTTTTTCTCAACTCTTTTTTTTTCTAGCTTCAAGGTTTGGAGAAGAAAATATATGGGTCTTTGGAAATGCCGGACTTACAATTGGCCACCCAGCTAATCGCCCTTATCGGGAACTTGAAAGTTTGCTATCGCACTAGCCCCGGTATCTCCGTACATGCCCCGCAGATGGAGTGTACAAGCTGGGAAGGTGCTACTTGCACTGTGGGAGGTATTTAAGATCTCCGCAGGAGATTTTAGAGCTTAGAAAACAAACAACAATACAACATTCTATCCCCTTTAATCCTTTTCTCCCGCATAGGGCTGAAATGTGAAGTAAAGGCATTGGCTCCAGAGAGGGAAAGCCCATCCCTACCATCTCCTGTTAATTACCTATAGACTCCTGTTATGTTTATCGAACTATTTACCTCGCTAGTGCTCAAGTTGATTCCTCCCACCACCGCCAGCATCATCTATCTACGCCTCACTTGATGAAGCATCGGTGCCACTCCTCTCTCCTTACACAGTAGGTCAAGACACCAAGGCAGGCCAGGTAATAATTCAAATTTCGTAAATACAATAATATTAAGACATAAATTCCGAAGACCTCGATCCTCTCATGGATTTAGGTAGGTAGAACATAATATTCGTACGCTTTAACATCCACCGCCGCCGCCCCCACCGTCTCCGCCTCCGCTGCTGCTGCTGCCTCCGCTATCACCACCTCCACTATAACCTCCGCCGCTGCTATCACCGCCGCTATATCCTCCTCCGCCCCCGCTTGATCCGTGATGCCCTCCGTGATGTCCTCCGCTGCAACCTGCGCCATATCCTCCAGTGTATCCTGCAGTGTATCCTCCGTTATATCCCCCACTGTAGTTACTGGTCGTGTTACTGGTGTATCCGCTGTAACCTCCCGAGGTTCCCCCTCCGTATTTGGTAGTCGGCTTCGTCGGCTTTGGATTGAGTTTCACGATCTTAGGGGGTGGGGGTGAAGCCTTTGTAGCGTATTTCTCTTTTGACTAGAAGATCCAAATTCCTGTCAGTGATGATTCACTTTTGCCTATCAAATGAAGTAGGTCAGAAGATGCTTACCCCGAAACACCACATGTTGCCGACCAGTTATTTAGGTAATTGGTAGATTGTTGATAGACACTCTATTGTGGGTGGTAGGTATTCGGTACAGGAGATGAAGTTGTGTGATTAAGTGAATTCTACTACCTACTTCTCAGACATTGGCTACATATTTATATTACACTCTCACGTTAACCGTAGCTTTTTCGTTGCTGTCCTACTTCCCAGTTGACAAATTACAAGTGTTTAGGCTGACGATGCCGAACATAGCCTTCCATCCGTCAGGGCGTCAATCACCCGCGATGACGTATCAAACCTTTCAGCTCGGTATCCAATATCGCATGGCGATTTTAAATCGGTATTTCACAAGGCTGACTTGTGAGCCTCTTCTACGTGGTAAATTGAAGTTGAAGAGACAGCGTGACCATATCTGTTCTCACCTAGTACGCGAATTCACACCGAGTTGTTAGGTTAGCGGTGCAAGTTCAGCCCCGGCTCCGCATTTTCCTAATCGTCCTCATATCTACTAGTGTATAACAGGTCTAACTTACCAGCTAAACGTTTACAGTCACCGTAGGCGATTTTGATTGGCCACGAATAGCACGCACCGTCCAGCTCCATTCAGCGAAAGCCTCGCAGGCTAGACCAAATGAGAAGAAATTTAGCGACTCGAACCAAGTGACAACTACAGCGAAGATGGCGACTAATACTGCGCCACTCGCGACAACGGGGTTTCTTGACATAGAGGATAGTTGATATTAGGATTATCACGAGATCAATGATAGCAACATCGAGCGCTGTATTGAATAAGGGGTATCATGTGATCACCGATCTAGATCGACCCGAGTTACCGGTAAGTCAACCACGCAATAAGCGTTACACAGGCTGACAGTTGGTAAGTAGTCTCATCCAATCAATCTGTAATTCTTTAGCTAAAAATGACAATAAGGTTTCGTACCTATAGGTATATTTTTACTAAAAACGCGGTGTATTGCATGTCAATTGCAACTTGACAGCGCAACGGCCGTAACTACTTATGAATACTACTGGTGTAAGATGAGAATACAGCAAACAATGCTGAAACGGAAATATTTATGTAAGTAAATATTTGATAAGTCTTACACATCGTGCTACAATTGCTTTTCTTATTGTTTCACTATACTAGATTTCAAGTTAAGCAGTATAGATAGTGGAAAAGCTAGTCTAGTTTATACCTTGAACGAGAAGAATATAAAACGAAGAGTATAAAAACGAAAAGGAGAACTTGGGACGGAAGTCGGGATGAATCCTTGGCAAGAGAATTGTTGACTCTCAGCGCTCAAAGAGCTTTGGGGTTCGAGCTGGAAAAGGATAAGTCTAAGGAGGCTGCTGGGGTGGGGCTTGCTTGGGGGTTTACGGTTTACTAGTCCAAATACAGGCTGCCATAGGCCACGAATATCAAAGCTGTTTCCAAGCTTATCTCTCCGTACTCCGGTGCTTTATAATCTTAACGACCCCTACAATCCCCGATCTGTCCGAGATTACCTCAAAGTACCCGATAGGTACGCTAGAGCGCGTGACCGTATTCCTGTCATTCTTACCTCTCTTTAGACTCTCCATTAATATTTTTATTGTATCAAGTTTTGAGGAATCGCAGTTGGCGGATGGATACCTAAAGTCAGAGAGAGTATCAACGTGTCATTGCTTGAAAATACCATACTATCTTCGTAGGACATGCTGTCTCTTAAGAGTACCTGATGTTAGACAATTAGAGACACTTAAGACGGATTACGGATTACAACATTTTAAACCCGAATCACAACATTTCGTGACAGACAAAAACGATGAGTGAGCTGTCACATTTCTCACAACTCCATCACCACAAGTCTAACCTAAACTTCCAGTAAACCTTGCCAAACTCCCGCGGAGCCTGCTATTGCTACTTCTAGCTGTTGCTCCTTCAGTCGCAGCTCCGCAACAATGGCAGCCATCCGGTCAATCCGTGTTACAACAAGAACGGCCTTCCAACGCGGGCAAGAGAGGAGCTGTCGCATCCGAGAGTAAAGTCTGTAGTCAAATAGGCATAGATCTGCTAGCCCAAGGTGTAAGTAGTACTCGTGAAAACATTCATTCGTCATATCACTCATCGACCCTCTAGGGCAATGCTGTCGATGCCTGGATCGGTACCCAGCTATGCGTCGGCGTGATTGGCATGTATCACTCGGGGCTTGGCGGTGGAGGCTTTGCTCTCATTAGAGACGCCAATGGCAACTATACGGTCATCGACTATCGTGAAGCCGCGCCTAGTGCCGCGTCCGAAAATATGTATAAGGATAATATAATAGGTAGCGTCTTCGGCGGGTTGTCTGTAGGCGTACCGGGCGAATTGCGAGGACTTGAATATGCGCATAAGAAATTTGGCATATTACCTTGGAAAGACGTCGTGCTCCCTGCCGCTTCTGTAGCGGATCGCGGATTCACCGTCTCAGAGGACCAAGTGCGTTATATGGACGCTGGTCTCCAAATAGCCGGCTGGAACTTCTTGACCGACGATCCTTCCTGGGCTCAGGATTTCGCCCCAGATGGTGAGAGCTATGTTTTATATGAAAAGCTTCTCATGGGACGAGTAAATACTAATATCACAACTTAGGGACTTTGGTAAAGCTCGGCGATACCATGACCAGGAAACGCTATGCAAAGTTAGTCTAAACCCCGTGAAGACATCTTCATACCATCAATAATTCTAACATGTAAACCTAGAACTCTCGAACAAGTTGCAGAATACGGCGCCGACGTGTTCTACACCGGCCCAATAGGTTCGTAGCTTCCCACTCTCCTTGGAGACGTACCATCCTAATCTCGCTCTAGCCGAGGCAACGATCAAGTACATCCAGCAGCACAACGGCACCATGACCCTAGACGACATGTCCAGCTACCAAGCCATCATCCGCGACCCCGTCAGCATCTCGTACAGAGGCTACACGCTCGTCTCCTCCGGCGCGCCCAGCAGCGGCGCCGTATGCCTCAGCACGCTGAAGACCATGGAAGGCTACAACAGCGCCTCCTCCTCGTCCGACACCAACCTGACCCTGCACCGCTTCGACGAATCCATGCGCTTCGCGTACGGCGCGCACCAAGCTCTCGGGGACCCGGCCTACGTCCCCGACGCCCCGGACCTCGAAGCCGTGATGCTATCCGCCTCGCACGCGGCCTCCATCCGCTCCCGCATCGACGACGCCCGCACCCAGCCGGTCGAGAACTACGACCCGGCGCGCGTGTACGTGCCGACCGACCACGGCACCTCGCACGTGTCGACGGCCGACGGGTCCGGCGTCGCCGTCTCCAGCACCACGACCGTGAACCTGCTGTTCGGCAGCCTGTTGATGGTGCCCGAGACGGGCGTCGTGCTCAACGACGAGATGAACGATTTCTCCATCCCGGGCGTGCACAACGAGTTCGGGTACGCGCCGAGCCCGGCGAACTACGTGCGCGCGGGCAAGCGGCCGCTGTCCTCCATCACGCCTGTTATCGTGGAGCGCGCCCCCTTTTCCTCTTCCTCTTCCTCCTCTTCTGACCGCGACTCTCACGCCAGCGTCCTAGTCGCCGTCGCGGGCGCCGCCGGCGGCTCGCGCATCATAAGCTCGACGACGCAAGTACTATGGCACATGCTCGAGCGGTCCTTCACCCCCGGCGCCGCCGTCGCCGAGCCGCGGTTCCACGACCAGCTGATGCCGAACGTGGCCGCGTTCGAGTACGGCTTCGACAACGCGACGATCGCCAGCATGCGGGACCGCGGCCACAACGTCACCTGGGTGCGCGAGGGGTTCAGCGCCGTGCAGGCCATCCGCCTCGGCGACGACGGCGTGTTCGAGGCCGCGAGTGAGACGAGGCAGAAGGCTAGTGGAGGGTTGACGTTGTAGGAGGGCCTTGGTCTGTATTGTATGCGGGGTGTTGGTGTTGCATATGTTTTGTGGGATAGAAATGGGTACACATTACAAATACAATTATAAGAATACGAGCAACGTCGTGTATTTTGTCTGATTTTTGAATTCTTGATAATCGTGAGCCGTGAACAACCAAGCGTAGCCAACGTAGGGATTCTACTACGCAATGAGAACATGGGACACGTTTACGTCTGAAAACACTTTTTATTTGTATTTATACGTATTTGCGGATACCTGGGCGACACCTCCTTATTCCATGGTATCCTCCACGCCTCTCTCCCCTTTGGTGGGTAACACAACGCAACGCAACGCGAACTCCGAGCCTGCCTCCCACCGTATAATCCTGGGGGTATCGGATGTGGGTCTATATCTATGTAAGGGGAATGAGGTGGTAGTAATTGAGAGGGATGGGACTGGCGGGGTATTTCACAACTTCATCGCAACAAGCTTCTCTAGCTCGGCCAGCCATCTTCTAGCGAACTCCTCTTCAGTGAATCGCCTGGAAGACAAGCGGGCTCTGCGTCTGACCGAGAGGGGGTCAGGGTGCGAAAGAGCCTTCTCGAAGCCCTCGGCAAACTCTGAAGTAGTTGAGGCGTGGTAACCTAAGATAATTCATTAGCCATTTTATCTTAGAAATTTCATCATAGCGATCATCATACCTGTAGGTTGACCGTCGACATCGGTGACAATATCTAGTTTCGGTCCTCCGCTGTTATGAACGACAGAGATCAAGCCTGCCGCGAGATATTCAACCACGCCGATTCCGAAATGCTCATTCCACATTCCGTTCACCCCCACGAAAGCCTTGCCAAGCCACTGAAGAATCTCAGACCACGGAGCATCAAGCTGGAATATTACCTGGTCCTTGATGTGAAGCTCGTTGACTAGCAGACGAAGCTTGTACACACGTCGCGAGTCGTTGTCGTCTCTAACGCTACCGAGGAGGACCAATTTGGCTGCTTTTGCAGAATCGGTACCGGTCTTGACAAATTCTGCAAAGGACTGCAAAATGAGTTGATGGTTCTTCTCGGGTCGGAATTGAGCGATGTACACCAAATACTTTTGGCGTCTCTTTTCGCTCTCTTCGGATATCTCGACTGCTCGTTCGATCTCGTGGACAGCGCATGGCGGATACACAACGGCGATAGGGTGGCTTTTACCCCTTCGGTTTCGACGCGGTCCCCATAAAGATTGGATATGTGCTTGAGTCCAAGTAGAATTCGTCATAACTACATCGACGGAAGCACCCATCCAAGAGTAGATGTTGGCAAAGACTTTCCAGTAGTGCCTCTTAAGGAAGCCCTTGAACCCAACCCCTTTTCCGGCATTGACACCTTGGCTTCCAACTTTGGTCTTGGGGTCGAGAGAGTCGAGCATGTCGGTGGAAATAGTAGGGTAATGTACATAAGCGGCAGTTGGCATCTCAGGGAACAGGATCTTGCATAGACCAAGGACGAAGGCATATCCTACGGTGTCGACGAAGATATCGGGAACTAGAAGAGATAGAGCATCCAAGCCCATAAATAAAGATCCAACTGATTGTCCTAGCAAAGTCATGTGAGGCCACGTAGAAGCGAGAACCCAGTGTCGAGTTGATATGTAGATGAAGTGGATCGTAGGGGGGTGGATGTCGATACTGAAGGTGTTCTATAGTCCAATTAGCTCATTTTTCCAACGCACGCAAGTAAGGGGACCTCGAACCTTGACGCGAGCGAGCATATTCTCTTTTGTTACATCGTGGTCGCCTGTGTACACAACGATCTTGGCATTGGGCCATCTCTTCTGGGTAGCACGAACTGCAGCCCACAAGACTCGCTCACCACCTCCTCCAGCATTGCAGAAGGGGTGAAAGAAGCCCACAATACCATCCCATTCTCGACTACCCTTCTCTCCATTGCCGGAAGAACCAGCTATAGAAGCTTCAATATTCTCCCAGCTCTCATCGCCACTACTAGCATTGTCGTCTTTTTCCTGAGCTTTGCTCTCTCTGTATTTGGCCTCATTTTCGGCAGTGGCGTGGACAAGTAGGGAACGGCGACCTTCGGCTCCTTTTTTCAAACACCATCCCAAGCTTCTTCCAAAGGTGAATGAAAAGGCGCGAAGGAGTAGAGGTAGGAAGTAATTCCACCATATTAATACAGCGAAGGGAGTGCAAGCGACGGCGATGGTCGTGAAGACCAGAATTTGGGGCCCCATGCCGAAAGAGAAGAGTGCGTCGTCTTTACAGGAAGCTGAGCAGGATGAGTCGTCGGAAGATGGGAAGAAGTGTGACATTTGCCTAAAGAGCGACGAAGAGATATTGTTAATCTACCTAGAATAGGTACGTGACAATTATGCTTCTATGAACGTAAGCATACGTGTCAAGAAAGGAATAATGTTTCTGGCCTTGTCAGGCTGCGCGGCAACCCGTCCAGTTGACCCATTGAATGATCCGGTGATATGGATGGCGTAGGTCTGAGGTTGGCGCTCGTGAATGTTTAAAAGATTAAAAAGATTAAATAATTCCGGCGTTTGTGATCACCTGAAAAGACAAGAACAAGGTGTTCCATTAAACATCCCACCAAGGAAGGTACGAGCTCATGCTGCCCGTGCCGTGTACAGCTCAGTACGTACAGTACGTACCTGACTAGGTACCTTCCACATGCGTTTCAAGGTTCGTACAGTTTCAAGTCCTACCTACTAGGTTGTTGTACGTACCTACATACATACCCTGATGCAGCACCTGCAGCCACATGGTTATGTAAGCACAGTTAAATAGGTAGGTAGTACGGCACTGTACTTATCGATAGAAGCTGTAGTTGCGCCCACTATAGAAATATCGAAATCCAACTCACCAATTAACTCACGATCTTTGCCTACCTCTCAACATCATATGTATCTACAGATCCTATTACTTTATAAATGATCCTACACTGTCAATACCAATCTATATAAAATGCTTATTCCTTCATAAGTACTTATACATACCCCTTGAGTTGGCACAAGCTCAATATGGTTCATAATGAGTTCACTATATTGGGCACATCCTCTCCGAACGGTTAGGTCCTTTGGCTTTTTATCAAAATCGAGATTTCAACTTCGACTTTCACAATTCGATCGAGTTCCACCTTTACATCATGGACGGCAACCTGGAGTTAGATTCTTTAGTGTTGCGCCAGCCATTCTCACCACCATACACTCAGCGGTAGATACGATTATCAATATACATACTACTACACATATACCCTGGTTCCTATTAATCCCCTGCTTCTCAATTGGAGTCAATGCTATCTCCCGATTACCTTTTGCCGTATACACACGTAAACTCCATCAACGTCAAGCAAAAGCATCTATGGTCATGCAAGGATGGGGCTGGCGCGTGCCACAAGCTATTCACAAGGACGGGATTCCGAGAGACCAAGGAAGGAAAGAAGCAGAGAAGAGGATTTCGAGGATAAGGTCGAGGATAGACCGCGCCTTGGGCACGCAGAGATGGAGGATGTTTTCTAACATATTGACTTTCCCCGTCTGGCTTGTGGGTATCGAATGTATCAGGCAAATATGTGGCGGTCCAAGGGGAATGCTCGGGAACCTTTTCATGGGGCGCGTCAAGAGCGAAGATGCGGTCCCTAGTGCTCAAGAGGGCACAGGAGCTGCTATGTCTCCGACAGATATCTCGTCTGCAGCTAGCCAAGGGTCTCTTGTTGATTCATCAACAACTTCTATCGTGGCCGACCATGCCAGGAACATATTAGACCCCAGCATTGCGTCTGAAGGTTGTCTCTGGTTTTCCGACCTATCCGTCGCCGACCCATACCATATTCTCCCCTTCGCATTATCTGCCATGCTGGTCGTAAACATGGTGCCGAAGGGAGGAATTCCTCAATTGCTCAATCACAAGAAGTCTAATGATGCATCTACGCTAGTAGGACCACAGAACCTGTTGGGACTTAGACTAAGCCGAGCTTCTGTCGTCGTAGCACTCCTAGTAGGTCCTTGTACTGCAGATATGCCGGCCGCGCTCCATCTTTATTGGTTGGTATCGACTACAACGAGCTATGTCATGCACAAGGTGCTAGCTCACCTCATACCTATTGAGCGGAGGCAGGTTGAGAGATGCAAGGGGGTTGAATCTAACATCATTCAACCGAGACGAAAAGCGGCATCTCGAGTGGAAGAGAAGAACACCGAGCAAAAACGAATCTCAAGCAATAAAGCAACTCAAAGCTAAAATTACGACGGCTAAATAGGGATGGCCGGGTCAAAGGCAATGACTACGAGCTACATTACGAGCCACATTGATCCGATATATAAGATATCATTATACAATGTGTGAATACGTGCAATTGGTTAAGACGTTTATGGCAATACTGTAAAATATCCAGCCTTCAGAATTGGATAGTCGAGCCATTGCGATAAACCCTAGCGCCTATGTTCATATCAAAGCAGTCTTTAAAGGGGTGTGGTCTCCCGTCCCGTTCCCTTAAAAAGCTAGACTCGAAAAGTATACCTGGAATACCTTAGTAGAAAAGGAGAACCGACTGGTCGATTATAGAGGGCGAATCCCAATATATCAACCCTTGTGGATATATCCACGTTAACTCCGTAACGCCCAAGATGCCGCTCGCATTCTATCAGAACCTGAAAACTCAGCCTAGCCGAGAAATACAGCTAGCAGCACGATAGCCATAATAATAGCTAGAATCAATAGTAGACAGCACGCCTTGCTCCGTGCGTTCTTCTGATACCTCGCGGCGCTCCTCAACTCGTAATCGGCACCCCGAGTATCATCGCGCACGTTGACAGCATTGCTCTCGATCGTCTCCAGCACCTCTCCTTGCTCACTAACAATTTGCGCCACCTGCTGGAATAAGACGTTGAGATCGCCAACGCCTTCCTCAATCTGGCGGATTTCATCTTCTCGTTCGGTGATCAAGGCCTCCTGAAAATCAACTTCGTCTTGGGCAGCTAGGTGGACCTGTTCCTGCTGCTGAAGCTGTACCTGTTCGCCTTCAGTTCCGGGTGGGACGCCTTCGGCTCCTTCGTGATCAAGCGCGGCTTTTGCAGCGGTAACAGAGGCTCGTTGCTTTTCGAGGGCGGTGCGCTGGAGTGATTGGAATTCGCCGAGAGCCGTCTTGAACTCGCGCGACAACTTTTGCTGAGAATACTTCTGGGTAGGCTTCATGGTAAATGATAATTAGTAATGCGCCACAACGAAGATAAAGCATATTACATCTCCCTATCACTTACCGTAGGTTCTTCCCATGTCTGGATCTTCTTGATACCTTCACCAACCTCCTTGAACTTCGTAGTGGACTCCTCAATCGTAGCGTGAACCCTCTCTCGTAACCGGGGGTTATCTCGTCGTGTACCGAGAAGGCCGATATCCGACTTAAGTTTTGAAATGTTTCCCTGAAGATGAAACAGCGTATTCATGAGGCCTTGCGACAATCGAGAAAACTCCGGATCATCCGAGTAGGCGCCATTGTTCTGACGACGACCTCCCCCGCTGCCGGATTCTATGGAAGATAGTTGATCAAAAGACATGGCTGGGCTTGACGGGTTTTGAATCGAGCGAAGGACAAGACAGAGATAATGTATGAATTCTTCGATGCATAAAAGAAGGATATAGAAAATTGGTGTTTGAAAGATCAAACGTTGAAACGACGTCGGTGGTGATACAGTAAAGTGGCTGAGAAAGTAGGAAGGTGAGGTAGAGGGTGGGTTTGATGTTCGGTACCTGGACAGTCACCTGGGCCGACGCTTCCCAAATAGTACGTAACAACGGCGAAGCAACCGAATTAGACCTAGCACATGCTCACGCTAGTTGGATCTAGTAAGCCACTGAATGTACGAAATACATGCATGCAGCCTAAGAAAGACCCACATTAAGTAAGGAGCCCACAAGACTGTGGCTGGTGTGCAAAGCTAGCGCACTGTGACGCCCCATAGTGGATCTTGGAATATTCTCTTCAGTGGTGTATTGTTCTTTTTATTTACATTCAACTTCTGATAGGTAACCATTCTCTACAGAGCAACCGTGCTCGAGGGCGACATTCCTTTTTCCCACAACTCAACATCGCGGGTATTCGCATACGTCTTACATTTCCTACTTCTTACGCATAAACAATGTGCTAGCTTTAATATTTCGTTTCTACAGAGCTGCGAATATGCCTCCCGCAGCTGCGCGCCGAGCGCCCTACAAAGATTTCCTGCAACCTGCCCTGCAGAGACGGTTCGCCTCGACTACCGGCTTCTTACTAGCAATCTCCTACATAGAAGCTATCACCCTATCCAAGTGGGATAGTAGTACGTCACCCTTTTTTATGCCATTTTTCCTGTGCGACTGTTCGTACACACAGCTAACTTCCTATCCAAGTCTTCTGGCCATGGCTACCGATTGGGCTTCCTGGTATTCGTACCCTGGCCATCTTTGGCAGTATTCTCCCCATCGTCATACTACGAATTGCCCACTCGCACATCGGCATTCGAACTTCTAATTCGCCTTTCGACACCTTCCGCCGCACAGCGGTGTCTTTCGAGACTATCGAGACGATACTTACCTTCGCCATCTCTTCCTGGCTATTCAGCCAGATATACCTATTTTCCACACCCACCGACGCGAATCTCAGTTGGATCACGTACTACAGCGGAGATCGCGCGCGCCTGAATGAGCGTGCCTTGTTCTACACTGTCAACCTGATAATCCTAGGCATCGTTCAGGGTGTTGTACACAAATCCCTGGACTTTGATCGAATGATATTGGGCAAGGTGAGACCGAAACGCGAAGGAGAACCGAATAACCAGGAACCGGGAGGCTGGGACAAGCTAGGAGAATGGGTTCCAGTACTTGTCGTTCAAGCTGGAATGTTCTCGATGGCCGTCTCATTTGCCAACTACCTAGTTATTTACCACTTCGTACGACGCTCTGCCTGGGGCTGGGCTTTGTACTTTTTCCGGATATTTTATAGTCTACCAAAATCCAACATCCCACCTAGCCAAGCCCCATGGAGTATCTGGATGCTTGGCCGATCGATATGGTCAGGATTCCTGCTATGTATCTTGTGGTACTTTGGCGATATCGTTTTTAGGCTTCAGCTCGGAAAGGCACCCCTCAAGAACAACCAACCTTTGAGTGCCGAATCTAAAGATCCAAATGGGAGTCTACTGAATGGCTTGAAGAGCAAGAAACCCCGGGTTTCAGTAAGTTTATTATTTGGTTCTTTCTCTTGAAGCTATCGCTAACAGTTTTAGGCGTTTGCTCTGTGGGAGCTAGCATTGATCGCTAGAGACTTTGATGACAGACGACGAAGCGTCTTTGAAGATATCGACAGGAAGGATGGTCCCATGTGGTCGCAGATCTACGTCACGTGTCTGGACACTATCAAGTCACTCGAGGAGAGGATTGATAATTATGGGAAGCCACCTACTCCTCCCGCTGCGGAAGCCGTTGCTGCCCCTCCCCAACCGGCAGCCCGCATTGTCCAGCCGCCGAAGGATGATAACGTCTGGGCAACAGCGCCATCCCAGAATGGTCTCCGGAATTCACTTGGCAGGGTCGCTAGGAACGTGGTGATATCTCCGGGAAAGACACCTGCTGAAGTCTACCTACCCGAAGCAAAGAAAGTGGCGCGAGAGGCAGCGGAACATTTCCTTACGGAGGAACAGAGAAACGCGCTCTCGCCCCAAGGGATTTCCGGGTTTACCCGAACTATATCGCTTCGTGTCTTGAACCTACCCAGAGTCGGCCAATTCTTCCAGCAAGTTTTCAGTCGCCGACTAACAACTATCATACTCGGACAGCCATACGGCGAGCTCAGCATCTACGTGAACGCGGCCTACGCTCTATCGAGATTGGCGGTTTCTAGTCTAACAGAGGACCGTTACGGCAATGTACAGAGAGATGTCCCCGCTATCATACGGACGTTCACCGTGGTCATCAAGAAGTTGGAGAGGTTCAGGGATAACCTGCCAGCCCACTGGACGGACCTCACACAGAACAAGGAGTGCCCCGAAGTTGACGAATTATTGGACGCATTGAAGGAGGGATTAGGCGAACTTATCACGGCGTTCGGACAGTACAGCACCGATCTAAGACTTACCCGAGCAGATATGCGGTTGGCGAGAGAGGCGGCGGAGAGGCGACAAGCTGAGCCGGAGATGCCGGCACCAGCACCGGCCGCGGGACCGGAGATGCAGCAAGTACGCTAGTGGCGTAAGTCGCGAATCTCGAGTCTCAAGAACACACTGATGAACGCATTTATGAAAGTGCTTTGGGGCGCAATCGGAAAGGTGCGCTCCAGGTTTGCAGGGGACCAATGAGTCTAAAATACCTAACAGGTACAGGTTGTATTGTAATCGGATGCAACTTATGATGCAAAGCCAGTAATGAAACTTGTCAATGGGATGGGTTATTCTTCGTAATTATGCATGTGGGTAATGGAGTGATGAGCAGTTGAATACGTGAGACTTGACGCTATTCCGCTATTTAAACGATGTGGTTAAAGGTGGAAATGGGTTCTTGTAACTAACCCTTGCTCATTGCTCTATGAGCTATATGGTTGAGCAACGCCGTCACGCCGTATTTGTCCTATGATCCAACATAAGGCTGAGTGAGGAGGCGGCTGAAAGTGATGTACAAGGCGACCAATCAGGTGCACTCATCGAAAGCGGAGAACAGAGTGGGGAAGTGATACCTCAAATAGCATCCGCTAATCTTATCTAATTACGACACGGGTCATATCAACATCACCCTTATTAGGCAGTGTCCGTACTTTCCTTTCTTCTTCATCCACTTCGGATTGTTCCCTCGCGGCCCTCCATGGACCTTATAATCGACAAGCCTCTTTGGCCCCATTAGCAACCTATTAATTCGTCAATAATAATTGTCTCCTAATATGCGCTTCGATTACGCGCTTTCAGATTTATCGCGGTCGCGCATTAGCCGGAGCCTTACGGTGCTGTACTGTGCGGCACGATAATGCCATCCATGATATCACTCAATTTAATACCTCTTGTACTATTGTAATACCATGACGACAAAAAGCAACCTTGTATTCCGCATCGTCTACAACTCTATTTACTTCCTCTTATGTTGTCTCCTTGCCGCCCTACTTCTCGTCGTACCTGGCGACTTTGTTCGTCAGGTTTTAGTTGCCTCTAAACAATACATCAACCTAATCGTCCTTGCGATAGTCTTCGTCATCACTGGTCTCATTATCCTGTTCGTCTACTCGCTGAGGCTTTATGTGACCCGGACGGTGCTAGCTTCCATACCGAAGACATGGATACCTACCGAGAAAGGAGATTGCCCCAAAGAGGTACGCAAGATGATTGCCACTGACCTCAGCCGGAGTGCTGCTATCGCTTGGGGTGCTTACCCAAAGGTTATCGCCCCGGCTACTCGAGCACCATCTCTCGGGGGTAAAGCAGAGGAGGTCTTGACCGAAGGCAACGTGAAGGAGGAAAGGAAGTCTCTTCAGCTATTTCGGTCCAAGCCGCCCACAACTGTCGAAGAGAAGATGGGTATCTTGCTTCCATCCCTACGACCCGTATGGGGTGAGGTTGAACATGATGGCTGGGGCTCACCGGATTCACCGGACTTGGCCAATCTCCAGTACAGCAATGTCGTCGCTGAGCTACCGAATCTAATCGAAGCAAAGGCTGTCACACAAGCACCCCCAGACCCAGAGTCAGCTGCAATCCCGCCGACACTTGATGCTGACGCTGTCGCCCTTCTTCGGCGTTCTCCTAACATGACGATGAGGGACTATGTTACTCATCTCATAAGCGTCGGCGTGCTACCCAGCTCTCGAGATGCGTTCAGTTTCGTTGACAGTTATGAACGCGCCCGCTTTTCCACTCGGCCCCTGTCTAACGCACAATTTCGGCAGCTAATGCATCTCTTTGCGGAGCTCTTGCGCTCAATACGGCCTCTGGATACTGGTTCCATATATCACGGTACCGATGACGCCTATTCAGAAAGTGATGGGCATATTGACGACGACGCGCCTAACACTACCCCTACCACTCCAGCGCGAAGCAACTCTAGCTCCCTGAGTCTAAGGAGCGGGAGTAGCATCCGGTCACGTGCGCGTAAGCCGAACCTTGCTGCTCGTAACTCGTCTTCTCATACTTGGAACCAATACCGTACCGCACCCACGACTCCGAGAAGCAAGGCGGGCGGTAAAGGCCTTTCGCACACATCTAGCACGAATAGCGGGAGCAGCTTTGCGCAGGCGAGGCTTATGTACTCCGCGAGTCATACTTCAAGCTCGAGTCTAAGGTCGGCTTCCCAGACGTCTGTCATACGGCTCGCGACTAGGGAGGACCGTGGCGACTTGCCTTATGTGTTGAGGGTTGGAGAGGCCTACTGACCTCTTGCGGGATAGAATGTGTTGGAGTAAAGGGGCATCAAGGAAAATGAAAGGTTGCATTGGGTCGGCGTTAGATCCACCTCGGATTCGAACGGTTTGTATATGAAATTTTGATATTGCCTAATATAATCTTCCTTTTCCAAGTCATACCCTATTGTCTGAACTTATGATACATATGCAGCTTACTTAATGCGACTCAACGTACCCACGGCCGCTCATGCACATCATGGCATGACCCATATACGATATGACCCCATACAGATCCAAAATCTCGATTCAGACTCTCGACGCCAGACACCACATTCTCATTATTGACAATTGAATTGAAGCTCTCATGATGTCGTCTCATTTCCGAGTTAAGTGAAGAATCTCACCTATAATTAAGTTAGTGTGTATCGCCGATTGAAAAAAAAAGGGGGTGATAGGAGGTATGTATGAATTCCAAATTGTCAAGATGAGGCTGAGGCCCTTCGCCCAATCAGGTCAGCCGATAAGCAGAGATCATGCCATCATCAGCCAACTATGATGTACATGACCCCTCGGCCTCTGATAGAGGGGCTCAATCCCCGACGACATGCTATGCGCGGGGCCTTTATTGGATATGGAAACGGTACATACTCGGCCGGTGTCTGGCTTAGCTTCGCCATGGCGTTGTCAACCTCGTGCTGGACCTTGGTGTGCCGAGTGGCTTGACGCGAATCGGTATCCCCATGTTGGAGGAGTGTGTTGACGGGAGCATCACCCCTAGTTACAGAGGCAGCGTATGCGAAGGTGCTGTCAGTGGCGAATGAAGCACGATTGGTATGAGTGTTGGATGGGGCCTCAGACGGGGCAGAGCTGGTTTGAGGACCGATGTATATCAGTTGAGGTATTGCTTCACTTGAGCGATAAGAAGAGAGAGAACATATGGCAACAGGTAGTAGGGAAGAAATGAACACTGCGCGGTCTTAACATGAAAGCTTGCCACGCTTAACCATGCGATTTTGGCTGCTTGACTTCGCCAAAGAAAACAGCAGGTTGGCGTCTCCAGCGGACAAGATGAGAGAGGGAAGTGTAAGTGCGTACCCATTTACAGACAGTTGAGATAGCTTATCCATGAGTGCTTATTGAAAGGTGACGGGCGGCGGCTAAGATGGTAATAGAAGAAGGAATATATTGAATTATAAGGACGAGAAGGGTAAGAGTTTCTCTCCAGTTGGAACTCAGTGTTGATGTTTCCTTCTACAAAATGAACGTCGGGGGGCATGACTTTTTATATACCTACATGAGAGTGCAAAGAGATCGCAGAGACCAAGGTACTTATTTGCACTTCACACCCTCTTACATTGGTTTAATATTGGTTAACCACGTACGTCGCCACCTCGCTGCAGTAATTCTAGGGATTCACCAATGAAATACCTAATTGTCATAGAAGACTAAGTCCCTCCGGCCTTCAATAACTGTAGACTGTGTTGGAAATTCTAGTATGTACTAAGTATGGCCGTCGTCGCAGGGCGGCCCCGCATTCTTTTGACACGGTCAATTCTCTGTATATCGGCCGCCTTACTTATTGTACACAGTGCAAGCAGTGAATTGCCCTGAAATGGTTCGCATCCCAGACTGCGGCTTCAATCACAGTCATGGGGTTCAGAATTTCCCATAATGTTCAGAATTTTCCATAATGTTTCGCGGCCATAATTAGACCCTCTCTCCACCTATCGCAATTCACTACAATAACTATCTGCTAAGGTTGTGCGATAGCACATGAAATCTTATGTTGGATATGCGACAACGAAGATTTCTGCATCTCAAGCCCATTATCAATGATCATTCAGCAGTACATCTTCGTCTTGGCTATCAGTAGTGAAGGTCTCGAGCATCCATTCATGACTATTGCTGTCAGGCTTAATTTGTTAATCTGTATGTATATCTAGTTAAAGAGTAGTACATACTCAAAGGATTGCAATTATGTAGCAAAGTGTCATGGAGCGGAGTTAATAAGCGAGGAAACAACTATATTGCGCAAGGAAGTATTCTCGCCTAGGGACCGCTGTCTATATATAGGAAGAACCCCTTATATACTTTCCTCTAAGACCGACTGCCAACAGGCCCCCTAGGGTCTTCCATAACCTTCAACAGTCTCCTATAAGCTAACCTCCAACCCATTAGACCTCTACTTACGAGTGCTCAAGAAAAAAAACACCGATATGAAAAAAGTGAGATTTGCCTTTACCCCATATACGGACTTTTGTAGGAGTGTGTGCAAACCAAGGTAATCAAGGTGTTGTTAGTCATCAAGGAGGGGTAGGTAGAAATACTACTTGGCAAAGACCTGCAGGAAACAATTAACCGTTAATTTATGGTTTATTTATTTAAACCATAAATATATGGTTTATTTTAATTTGACGTTTACTTATCCGAGCGTTTATAAAATTAAACGATTAGTTACATTCTATTGTTAAATATCTTCAAACGTTTGAGTTTCAATGACCGTTTCTAGTTGGCAATAACTTCAATAAGTGTGTGTAACCACTTTGGTATTCTAGCTATCCTGATCTAGGTGTGTGTAGCCATTTTGATACATTGGACCTTTGATCCTAAGGTGTGTATAGCCATTCCAATCGTCCTAGTCTAACTGTTTTGATCTTGTTGTGTTACTTGCCTTCAAGCTCTATATAAGACTTTGCTCCCACCCACCTACTTACACGCCTTCTTCTTCTTCAAAACTCCAAGTGCTCCAAGGTTCAAAGTCTTTGAAGAAGTCTTCAAAAACAGACCTACCTACCTACCTACTTAGGTCCCACCAGGATCGTCTCCAGGAACGCCAGGAACTCCAGGAACTCCAAGACCCTTATTTGCCAGTGGTGCTTACCTACTGGTGAGGCTCAACAGGTAGGTAGTGCAGTATCAACTGCAATTGAGGTAAGTCTGCAATTGTAGATTTCGTAGACGTAGAGGGCCACCTTGGCCTGAATAGATTCAACCTGACCTGACCTGACCTGACCCGTTTGCCCTGTTGGTCCCAAGGTTACACCTACTCCCGTTAATTCCCGTGGCCTTCCCTTCTAGGTATATCTCGAGCTTCAAATAAACGATTGAATCTTCAAACGTTTAGGTTTGGATTAAATATAAAAAGGCATATAGACGTTTATTTAAAAAGATGGTTTCTCAGTGGTTTCTTTATTCCCAAACGTTTATTTTTTCGAACCATAAATTAACCGTTAATTAACGGTTAATTGTTCCCCGCGGGTCCTTGTACAGTATCTCTCAAGATATACCGATAACGAATATGTAAAAGGCTCAGTAAAGAAAAGAGAATCGGCTTTAATAGGAGGGAGCAAGGCTTTAGAATCGGGATTTATCCCAGTTTTACCCGTCTGGTTGATGTCTTACATGCTGCAGGGTCTGCCAAGCAGTATATGCACGCAAATGGAAGTTAAACTGCGACTAATAAAGTTAAAGTGCTGTATTTACGATACATAAACGATATTTATAATCTGCCTATCCACAAGTTAGCTCGACATGATTTGGATCGTGCCAGGAGCACTTTCACAATTGACCCTTATTCCGAGAAAATCCTCTTGGGCCGTTAGTTCGAGCGGCGCGAGCATTTATTAGGAAGACAAGGTTGAATTCATGGAGAAATTACACCTAATGTCTATGTACTGTAGTCTTGGACTTTCCCCGCTAGGTGGCCACCTTCTCGTCGATCTTAGATCTCTTAACTTCTGTAATCATAGTTTCTCGGCTGGCGGATTTATGTTGGCTTTTCCATGTTCACAAACCACCAGCAGTAGACCTTCTTGGCCATCCTCCGTTACCGATCTCATCTCCCCTCTCAGGGAGCATAGATTACGACCAGCGTGTAGGATGCTGCACTTGACGTGGGTGGTTGTGCCAACGGGGATGGGTCGAATATATGTAACATTGACCGTCCGGCTCACGCTAGCGTACTGCCAGAAGCCTGGCTTCGAGATGAGATGAAGTACCAAGGTCGTACATGAATCAAGAATAGTTGAAGCGCACCCGCCATGTAGGGTATTCAGGTTGTTGCAATGAATGGGCTGTACGGTGAATTTGAAGGTGATACTAGGATGTGGTGGTGAAGACGAGTATGAGACGAGGGAGAGATAAGGTATTATATTTGTCATCCAATCCTGGAGTGTGGTTAGTAAATGGTCATTGCTCTCAACGAGATTATGGAACAGTTAGGTAGTAAGGAAAGCTGTGCGATATTTCTTCTATGAAAAGAGATCAAGGCGGGGCAGCAGTATATCACGAGTCTGAGTTCAAGAGCGCTCAGTTCTCTTCAACTCCCTATCTACCAATCTCAATAAAATTGAGATTTATTCCGGCAATATCTCTTGCAAGACTTCCTTACTAAAAGTCGACGGGATAGAATCCCTCAATTCTTCCGGGGTATGAGTGTAGTCATTCGAGATGATATGAAAGAGATGCTAAGAATGAGCTTACTGGATTCTTCGAGTCCTTGTAACTTTCCAAAAAAGCCTTGACTCTCTCGATACCTTCACGTGACTTCGTGGTCTCTAAGCCGCAAGACGAGCGAGGTAATTCCTTTTCTTTAGGGGACTCGGACATTGTTTGCGGCTGATTGAGTTTTAGTTGTGGCAGATCCTTAACTAAGGAAATCCTAGTCTAAGCGTTGAAGGGTAGAATTTGTTGAGAACTAGGAAGCCACATGGGCAGCGACCCATAGGTACCTAAATTGAGGAACCCTCAAAAATCTAGGAACAGCTTAAATGAACCTCGGCTGTGGCATTTGAGCGTCTTGCCGAGGGTGGACGATCAGATAGATACAATCGTGGAGCATCTAGCTTCAATGCACATCAAGAGTAGTTAAATTGCCTACTTCTTCCTGTTGGTATATCTGAAGATAGATGAGATTCTTAACAGTGTCTCCAACTTGGAGAATCACAATAATGCTGCTGTAAATGCACCGACCGCGCGAGATAGATAAGCTGAACAATTTGAGACAATATGAAGTTATGAACTGTTAATGCATTCATGTATCCCCTAGTTTGCTAACTAGGTAGGTAAATATAGTCATATCAATGATTCCTCGAAGGTATCAATGGATATTGATGTTACTAGGTATGTATGTCAAATGTGTAGAACATCAAAGTTGGAATTGCTAAAGAACTTGAATGCAATTATGTAAGCAGGAACGACAGGCGCCTGAACAAAGACGAAGCGTGGCTTTAGCTAAGGAGCTTTGATGAACGGTGGTCATAGCGTCCGAAAGATAGCAAGTTGGAAAGATGCACAGCTTCAGGGGAACTTTAACCTAGCCTTGCGTGACATCACGTTTTGATTGGTTGTGTACCACTGGGTCGGGGCGACAATGACCTAATTTAGCAGAGTACATAGGGTACATGGCCAGAATATGGGGGTCCATACCTTTGGTACGTACTTGTCCTTCTCGTTCCAAAGCCAGCAGCAAGCCAGCAGACAGGCAGGTCCAACCTAACAGCTTTCCAGATCCATCACGTCTCAAACTCTACCAACTTCCATCTCGAAAAAAAAAAAATAATAAAAACATCACAATCCTCCGACGAAGCTTCCAGATATCATAACCACGCGTTCACGACAGAATAAACGAAATTAGGTCGCCAGGCACTTTACGATATTTGTACTGCGTCGCATTTTGTTTTCGAATCAAGTTAATTATTTGAACTGTCTTGATTCTCTTCGCTCATTACTCGCCCTATTTAATCACTTCTTTGGATTTCCGACCCACGAACAAGAGTCCCTTTTCGTACCTCACTTATCGCGACTATTCGATCACTCGATATCTCGCAAGCCGAAGTTATTTCTGTTACGTCCACGATCTTTCACACCTAACTCGAGAAACGTCGGGCCAATTGATTTCCCGCCATTTCGCATCTCCCTATCCCGGATACAACCTCGTATCTCGCGGAAGCACTTACGACGCAAATGCGCATGTTGAGAAGCCAACCTCAACTTAAACGGTGAAGACGGTAGTGAGGGCTGAAATACCGTCAACTTGGCCAACCGGATACTAACTACCTCATGAGCTGGCCACAGGTCTCCGCCATGGGAACCGGTGGGAATGGATCTGGTATTCCGGGTGCCGGTGGCCAGGAAATGCCTGGAGGTGCGTCTGGTAACCACTCAAACCAACCACATGCCACCGAGTACACATTACAAGGTATGGGTTTATCGTCGAAATATACCTCGATAATGCTGGTGGTATATCTTAGCTAACTCGGACGTGCTCACCAGGCGTTATGCGCTTCCTTCAAACCGAGTGGCATCGTCATGAACGAGACAGAAATGCTTGGGAGATTGAACGCCAGGAGATGAAAGGGAGGATAGCCGCTCTCGAGGGCTCGGCTAGAAGAGCAGATGCCACGCAGAAGGCACTTAAGAGATATGTTACTATTTTGGAGAAGAAGGTAAAAGACCAGGCCGCCCAGTTGAAGGTTGCTTCTTCTACACCTTCCGCCACGGACCATTCCGTGAAGCAACCTCAGAAGATCGATAGGGCTGCCTTGATACAAGAGAAGCTGAAGTGTACGTATAGAGTTGGATCTCTTATATGATGCAATATGTGCGGACTTGGAACACTAACATCGTTTATAGCATCTAGCGAGAAACCGAAAGAGCCGCTACCTGGTCTAGAAGGTCTTCTAGGCGAACGCGTCCAGGAAGATGACGAGCGCGAGAACCTCAGGGTCTTCTTGGATCAGTGCCAAGCTGAATTCACTTACCTCATGGTCACTCCCGCTAACCCTATGCCTCCCCGAGAATCCCCGCCTTTGCCACTGATGGAAGAGGGCGACTTCGGACTGCCTATGAATCAACAACCTCTAGACGCCGCCTTTCAGGCCTTGAGGCTTAACCAGAATCATGTGAAGGACCCGGGTGCGCGTCCAGGCACAGGGAACACTAACAACCACCATATACCGGCGATGCAGCAAGGCCATAACGTTAACTTGCCCCCGAAGAATGCCGACCTGCAATCGGCACCTATGGTTCGATCGGGTGAGGGTCCCGCTCCGATGTATTCGCATCCAGGTGACTGGTCTGTCTCTGGACCACCTGCGGCTCGTATGCAGGAAGATATGAATGCGAAATCAAACCATTCGAACGAGTCTTCGCGTTCCGAGTTCGGGGAAGCTCCGTTAGAGAAGCGAGGACCAACTGATAACGATGCTTGGGACTTCGGCGAAGGAAATTTCCCTGATCCAGCATCTACGCAGCAACTTCAGCCCCTTACGCACCGCCCAGATACAGATGCTTTCCCTAACGCTGAAAATCTTCCCAAGTCACCAAACCGCGGTCCTGCTTCCCACAGACGAAAGACTTCCATGTCTCGAAGGAAGAGCGCGGACCAGGAACTTTCGCTCAACGGCATGTCACAGAAAACGGAGCATGGTAGTTTCAAGCTCCGGTATGGGCTGCGTGGGCATCTAAACGCGGTTCGCAGTGTGATATTCTCTGGTGGCGGAAGTCCGGGCGAGCCGGAAATTTGCACGGCTGGTGACGACGGTTTGATCAAGCGTTTCCATATTCCACGCGAGACTCCGGGTCATCTCGGAAACATATCCTCTGATCTCGATGTACCTGCCGATTTTACCCATCGCGGACACACCGGTGCCGTACTATCACTAACGTCGTGGTCTCCATCCCCTAATTTCTCCACTGGCGGTCGTGCCCAAGGTGACGGCTGGATCTTTTCAGGTGGCCAGGATGCGACAATTAGAGTGTGGGAACGTGGTAGAGTAGATCCCAAAGCGACTCTCGACGGCCATAGTGATGCCGTCTGGGCTATCTGCGTACTGCCCGCCACACTTGGCTCTGTTTTCGGTCAGACTAACCCGTACGGCACGCCGGATCGCATTCTGGTCGTTTCTGGAGCTGCCGATGGAGCTGTTAAGATATGGGCTGTTAGTGCGCCACCACAATTGACGTCGCCGCAGCCGGCGCCACCTCGCCGTGGTACGGGAAGTGGACGAGTTAGAGGCAACTCCATGAGTTCCGGATCACAGTTTCCAAGTTCGCCTCAGCCCAACATGGCCTCGAATTCGCCGTTCCATTACACCTTGGTCCACGATATTCGCCGATCTAATGGGTCGCAGGCTTCACCGACGTGCATTACGCCCTTGTCAGCTAGCGGAGAAACTTTCGTCGTCAGTTATTCGGATGCTGCTATCATCGTATTCGACACGAGGACAGGCGAGGAGATTGGCTCCATGGCTAGCCTCGAAACCTATGACAATACAATAGGTACAAGCGTCAACTCTGTCGTCGCGACCACAGCTGGTCTTGATCAGAGCTCCGGAACGGGCTTGGGCGATGATGATACAAGTGGTCCTACCGGCGGTAGTGGTACGGCCAGTAGCGGGATCGAGGGTGTTATTATATCTGGTCACGAGGACCGGTTTATTAGGTTCTTCGATGCCAATAGCGGTAAGTTTACCCATAACTCTCACCCCCTAAACATATCTGTCTCTAATTCGGTCAAAAGGTCAATGTACATACAACATGCTCGCGCACCCCGCGTCGATCTCGTCCCTTTCTCTCAGCCCCGATGGCCGTGAGCTCGTTTCTGCTGGTCACGATGCAAGCCTTCGATTCTGGTCTCTGGAAAAGCGAACATGCACCCAAGAGATCACTAGCCACCGAATCATGAGAGGGGAGGGTGTTTGCTCCGTCGTTTGGAGCCACGACGGCCGATGGGTTGTCAGCGGCGGAGGGGATGGGGTTGTAAAGGTATTTGCGCGGTAATGCTAGCCGCCTGGGGATGTTCAGGGCAACACATGAGGGGAAATTATGGTAATGGTGTGCGCCTAGCCGAGGAGTTGGTGGAATTATCCTGCGACAGAACGAATCTCACACTAGACGGATGATCCTATCCGATGCTCTCGACTATTACTTGAGATACATCCACGAATTTTGGGAAATCGACTAATGCATGGGTTTACACTTGCGGTTTACGTTCGAGTCTAAGGTGGAGCGGCTCGTGTATAAAAAAATCATGAAATTTCAGAATAATGGGAGAAAGGGTGTTGTTACGTTGTACGACTTCAGAGGTCGCCGCGGATCTATACCCACAACCAATAGGGGACAGGATAGGAAAGCAGTCTAGTTCAGCTAAGGTTATGATTGGCGGCCCGGACGTAGTGTATCTGCCCGGGCTTCACGGGATGGGGACGAAGTGGGAGGAGGCTCTTGACGTGTAGATACCTAGGTGGTGTACGAAACGCAGCTTGATACATTGCGGAGCATAGAACTTCCAAGGTCACGGATGTGGAAAAAATCAAATCCCAACTAAGAGACCAGGTTGCATTCTATCTCCTTTGCATTCGACTTTGACTATGGAATATTGCAAATGGCAGTCTGCTATACCGTATTTATCGTTGATCTGTGTTCCTTGTGATTTGAACAGATTCTATTGGTATTGCTGCTAGTATTGGTGGGTTTTGTTGTCTACCTAGTAGGACGAGAATAATTCTGTGATTCCTATCAAACGGTCCCACTATTTAGTGAGGTATAGGTATTCTTTGATTGGTCGACTCTGTATCATGTTATCTTAGGCCATAGATAGATCTAACTAGGCCAATCATTATCACGAGATGCACAAGCATTCATGTAATCCGAATTGGTGTAGTGGCTAACATTTGACGCTCTCAAGGTTCGAAAGATCCAAAGGTCCGTCAAGCCCGGGGTTCGATTCCCCGATTCGGAGTTCATTTTTGACAATATCTCGTCTTAGTAACCCTTTTTTTGTCCTTATGATGAAATCGTCCTGTCATGAGAAAGGGTTAGTTCCTATTATTGTATGTGCGGAATTTCGTATTGCGCACATAGATTACGCATTCGAGGCAGCCGTACCTCGGGAACATCCATTGACGGATTATGCGTCTTGAAGGCATCTATTTCAAAATTACCATTCAGAGGAACTTTCTTCTGTGTGTATTCTGGAAGCAAGGTGTTTATTTCGACATTGAAGCGAATCTCATGCCCTCATAAGCCAATGCTGGAAGTTGTGATCAATTTAGGTACCTTCACAATACATCCACGGATAGGAACACCTACACGTGTACAATACAACATCTCACAGGAGCCACTCACAGATATCTGAAAACAACTAGGACTGATGTAGAATTTTTTTTGTTTTCCTATTTCGGTTTCACAGTAATTCGGGTGTACTACGTGCTTGACGTCCGCTCTTCCATCCGCCCCCTGTATTGCCAGACTGTCCCCATTTCCGATCTCTTATGCCTCGTGTAACGGCAAGCAAAGCAGCACACTGCTTAGATTATTAGATATTGGTATCTGGTGTTCCATGGCACTGCATTACCTTGTTCTTGCTACACGAAAGAGCATATAGATAGGTACCGTGTAAGGCTTTGTAGGCACGCGCACACCCAATACTAGCGGATCTTCACACCTCCGTCTCTTCTCTTCTGCCTGTTTCCCCTGTTCAGACTGTTCTTGAACCATCATCCACCCGTCCTCCTCTCACCCACCTTGCCCATCCCATCCACCTCACCAACGATGCATGCCTAGGTATTTGATATATATCTCGAATAAAAACACAAGCAAAAACAAAAGAAGTGCAGGGAGGGGGTATCATGGCATGCACGCATATGCAGGTCCAATCTCTTCTAAGAAAAAAAGAAAAAAACAGAGGTCCAAAAAAACGAGGCAAAAAGATCAATCAAGCCAGCCACCATAAGCGCGAATGCGAACCGATCCATAGAATAATGTCAATGCGAGAAGACGCTAAAATAAGCTCCTCTGTTTGTTTGTTCGATCGATACTCCGCGCTGCTAAGTCAGGTATATTTTTTTTTTCTTCAATTCCAATTCTGGGAGTAGTATACCCCCCCTTCTCCCTTTCTCCTTTCCCTTTTGTTTTCAGCCTCCCCCTTGTAAAACCTCTTATTGCCAATGGCTATCACCCCCTTTCCTTTCTTGTTTCTCGCTCACCCCAGCCCAAAAGAAGCCTCCTCCTCCGTCGGCAACAGCGTCGGCGCCTCCCTCACATTATCAACACTGACATCATCCTCGTCGTCCAAGGCGCTTAGGGCAACAACGCTACTATTCTCGCTATCCTCTCTCGGACGGGGCGCCGGGCTTGGGAGCGCGGACACGCTCTCCTCGGTAACGAGCGCCGGCGCCGAGAGCCCCTTTTGGGCCCGCCAAGCGGCGCTGCGCTCCTCGCGCTCCTTCATCATCTGCTTGTCCGCCTCGATGGCCTTGGCGCGGCGGTCCTCGACCTCTTCTCTGCGGACGACTCTCCTGAGCCCTTCCGACGCTTGGATCAGGCCGTCGATGCTGATGGCGTGGTTGGTCATCTGGTGGTTGATGTACGTGTAGACGGAGGCCGGCGTGTCGCACTGGAGCAGCTGTCTCTCGTTGAGTTTAAGGAGGGCGAGCGCGACCTGGAATAGGAACGTGCTTCCGTCATTTATGCAGAGCACCACGTCCCAGACGCGGAATAGGGCCTCGGCCGAGAGGCAGTCGGTGAATACGCTGAGGAACCATTGAAAAGTCAAGGCTTCGAGCTCGATGCTAAGCATGTCGAGGTGTTGCGATAGCTTTGGGAGAACCTGAGCGACGTATTGGCGTAGGACTTGTTGGTCTGCGCGGGACGCCATTAAGCTGTGATCGTAGTATCCTTGGGGTAGGATACGTTCGATGAATGAGACGAAAACCCAGAAGGCGTCTTCGGCAGACGGCATAATAAGCAGCAAATTCGCGGCGATTAGATTCATACCCTGACAGTATCCAACTTCGGGGTTATGCCTAGCATAGGCTCGGAGGACTTCATGTAGCTTTGCAACACCGGGCCCCTTGCGGAAGAATATGTTGTCGGTTAGCGTACGGTTGATATCCATCTCGATCTGCGAGATAACAACAGCATCGTCGGTCTCGCTAGATCTAGTAGCAAGATCGTGGTAGTAGCCCGGAGTTCGCTTAGAAAGAGCACCAGAGCATTCTGCCCAGATCTTGGGGCGATTCGCCACGGGTATCCCGCCAAGTACTAGATTCCTGAATTCGTTCCATTTCGCGCGCCCTACTTTACCCTTGACTCCGAGATCTGCGATACCGATGGTCTCGCCGTCGGTGAGCTTGGCTTCCGGGATTATAACGGGCGCGGCTTGAAAACGGGCTTCGGCTGCCGCTGCGGCATTAGCAGCCGCAGCCTCGCCTTCACGTCGACGCTCAGCGCGGACTTTTCGTAGAAATTCATTCCAGCGGACGGATCTTTCCCTTTGTAGATTATCGTGAACATCGTTCAACTGCTTCAGCAGAAGCTTCACCGCCTCGACATCCTCATGCACCAATGTCGCAGTAGCGGACTCTCCTTCCGGCTGTGGACTCGTCTCTCTTCCAAGGGCCGAAACAGTAGTGCTCGCAGATGGGACGAAGCCACGTTCGTCCGAGTTGATCATGCTCGGAGACCTCGGATGTTCGGTCCCTTCGAGTACTTCTATATTCGAAGCCATTATCGAGGGAGTATGCGAAAGAAGCTCTGTCGGAAAAGTAGCAATCTTAAGATAGTCCTGCCATCTCTTGGCTTTGCCTTGTTCAATGGGGCCCTCGACCGACGTCGGGCTCTCCGGGCGATCATCATTCACGGCATCGCCATTAGACCCTGCCTCGTCGTCTAATAAGTTGGGTGATATGCCAGATCGTCCACCCGAAAGCATTTCGTGTCCTTTCTTCATTTGAAGAGCGACTTTGGCTGCTTCACGTTGCCTCTTCTTTCGACGTTGGTCATAAATGAAGCCAAAACGATCAATCAAGTATTCGCTGTTGTTGTAGTTATTATATAGTTGCGACAAGGCCGGTGGCTGGCCTTCAGGGGAAAATATAGTATCCATTTCCACGGGACCAGAGTTATCTGATCTCGTCGCTGACGAATTCTCAGGGTTGGCGCCTACACCATCCCATCTCTCACGCGGCCGGGAATACTGTATACTTGGAGGTTTGGGGGTAGTACGCCGCATTGACATCAGCGACTTAGGACCGCCTTGTGTAGATACTCCTCGGTTCGAGGCGCCTGTTTTGGCGCTAGCATTCGATGACGACCTCACGGAACCACCTTGTCCCGCCGAATCTGACCTTCCCCTAGTAGAATCAGAATCGCGGACCGAGGTCCCCTTCCCAGCTACCAGTTGTAGAGCCATACTAGCAAATGAAGCCGAAGGTTTCCTATTTGCATGTTCGGAGTAGATACTTGAAGCGCGACTAGAGCTTCGAGCAGAGTCCACATTCGGCGGAACGAATAAGTCTTCCTGTATAGGAGGTCGGCGATCTACCGGCGTAGGTGCATGAATGACTGTCTTTCCGATCTCCTCATTAATGCTGCCAGCTCTGCTCTGCTTTCTGCTAGTACCACCCCAGAGATATTCCTTCCAAGCCCTCATCGTGCCTTTGCTTGTAGCATTATCTCTTGGGACAGACAAACTACTTGCTCTTACCGTAGCATCATTCACGTCGTTGAGACCCAGCGCGTTGTAAGATATCGAATCCTGTATCGCGTCGCTCATCATGCCAGAGACGTCTCCGGTCGGTGGGCATTTTGACTTGTCCTGCGCCTGGAGCTCTGCTTCGACGGATCGCAGCTTTGTCTCGAGATCCAAATTTGATAGTCCACAACCTAGGATTATCTTTCTTAGCGCCCTTTCTCTCTCGTCTGCTCTTCTTCGTATTCTGGCGATCTGAAGGTCGCGATGGGCTAGGTCCTCGGCAACCTGGCGCACAAGGTGAACGGCTCCATGCTTCGCAATTAGACGTTCGATATGCTCGTCGTTGGCGTGATGGAGGGCACCCGGTATCTTCTGTGTCGTTAAAGGGGTGTCGTCGAATAGCGCATTGCGCGCCGTCTTCTGGGCCTCAGACGAGGTCAGGTTGTCGACAATGGACGTCCTAATAGGAGTGTCGGATATTTTGCTCTCGATATTATGCATGGAAGCATGGTTGGACTCGGGAGTTGCAAAGGAGTGTTCGTGACGCGGAGACTGAGGAGAGAAGGAAGGGAAGGAAGTGAGAGACTTGTCCGAAGCGGCGACAGACGAAGCCGAACTCGAAGGCTGCGAGATTAGTTTCCTAGGCTTGGATTTCGCGCGCATCGAATGATTCCGAGAGATCCTGGCGGAGGCCGAGGTTGCAGAGAGCTGTGACGTCGATCGTTCCAGGGACGCATTTGACTCGGGGGAATCCATATTGCCGTCTTCCTAGGAATCATCATCTCTCTTTCTAGCTGCCTATCCCTCTTCCGTCTTCTATCTCTGATTCCCTCTCTCGCTTTGCAAGTTGGAACAAGACACGTATAGCCATAAAGCTTAGGACATTGGGCTCGAGTGCGAAGAGTGTGTAATGAGACAGGAGCAGGTAAGGTAGAAATTCAAAAAGTAAGACTGATGATACGTTCAAAAGTAAAATGGAGTGACGATATATTATGGTTTATGATTTATGCAAGAAGAATGGATGATGCATGTGGCATGTGGCATGTCCAATATGTAAGTATAATATAATAATACATGATACATATTATTATGGATTCCAGCTAACTCCATTCATTCCAATCCCCATATTACTTGTCCCACTAACGTCTTTACAAGGTGCATAATGCGGCGCCTTCTTTCCCTGATCGTTATCAAACATCTCATTGATCTGAATGCCCACAATTAACCGACAATTAACCACGGCACCCCACCATGCTTATGTAAGGAAATGAAGGTCAAGTCCCCACTTCTAAGAAGGTTCTCCCCTTTTCTCCTTACCTCCAGTCCAAGTTCATCGCCATTCTTTCATACTACCTACCATACCTACCTATTCAAATATATCCAGGGAAATAAACTCGGTGTTATTAAATCATACAAAATTTAGGAAACAGGGATGGAAAACTGCAAATACAAAATTTCATTATGAATCAATGCGCTATCGTCTATCCAATGTCCCAGACAATAATTCATTCAATAGCCGTTTTACGATCAGCCCTTGCATCCCTCGATAAGTTTCTTTTCTGATATACCAAATGAAGGGTCCAAGTTGATAGGCAACACCGTTTATTCTCGGCGAGATAATGGTTTCTTACCGAAGACGATTCTGCACTCGATCTCTTCCGTTCGTCCTTGGTCCCGTACGCTGCGTCGAGCTTTTACCTCGACAACTCCATCAAACCCAGCTTCCTCATCCTGATGACTCTTCTTCGTGAGGTTGTTTTGTTGCTGATTTGCATCGTCTTGTTGGTTTAACCATTGAAGTATCTCTGATTTTTTCTGTTGGTCGATCTTCTGGCCATAGTGTCTCATAGGCTCCGCCATTGGGTGCCCAGGACACTGTGAACCCTTTAGATACTTTAATAATGAAGATTGCCTCGGCGGCGGGATAGCGTCAGGAATATATGACGGCCCCGGCTGCCACGGTTGTGGTACCGGTGCTTCGCGTGCAAAATACAATGGTTGCGGCGATAGTCCCCGTGGTGGTGGTGGCGGGCCATATCTTTGAAGCCGAGATGACGCGTACGGATTAGTCCAGCTACTCTGGTTATCCTGTTCGTGCTGAATAGCCGGACGTTGAGATGTCTCAGGTGCCCAGTCCGATTCCTACGTCGGTCCTTGATATTGACTCTCCGGGTTTAACTCCTTTCTTCTACCATGGTTCGCATTTTGAGCAGGTCCGCTTCGATTTCGGGATTGTGGAAATTGCGCTTGAGGAGTGTGTGCTTGAGATTTGACCATTTGATGTTTCCTATCTCGACGTGACGGACGAACCTCCGTTACTGGAGGCCTACATGCCTTTTTCTTAGCCCGTCCTCTCTTTTCCCGCAGCGCTCGTCCCTGTCGTCGACGCTTTGCTGGTGGGTTGGAGGCATGCTGAAGCAAGGGCGACTGTGATTTATTTGGAGAACGTGTCTGAGTCTGAGGCTCGGGTTCTGGTTCAGACATAAGCTGACCTCTACCATCCTATGGTTCTAGTTCTGGCTGGAAAGCGTTTGAAATCATAGCGGACGTGGGACTCGGAGAAGATCGAGGCTCTTGCGCAGGTACATCATGGCTGCCCAGTAAGGATTTATCGTGGGCCTTAGTATCAGCTGGGGTTCCATGCGCTTCCGGGATATCAGAAAGAACTGACACTACTTCAGAAGTTGGTGCGGAAAACTCCAATCCTGTATCTAAGCCCTTGGTGTCTTTAGCGTTGTTTCCGGATTCCAGGTTTTCTCCAACTGCTCCGGCACTTTCTTCCGGTTGTATACGCCCGGTTTTATCTGCCTGCGGCTCCTTGTTCGACGACTGGATGTAGCCGAACACGACATCAATATTTTGATACTCGAAGATCGGGTCCAGATTCTGGGTGTAGCCTTTTAAGACCTTCACGTATAGGTTTGAATGCTCGGGCAATAGAGCCTGTGCTTTGGGCGAGGAAGTTCCGCGATGCTCCGATGGAGATCTAGCCTGTTTAAACTCTTCTTTACCCTCCCCTTGGTTGTCGCATTTGCTGTCGCTCTCTTCGTAATCCCGCGACTTGGTCTCCCGATTGTCTTCTTCCCCTAGAATCATATCTTCATATAGTTCAATATGAGGAAATTGTCCAGACTGACCGCTGTGCTGTGACATTTGCTCGATCCACTGTTCCGTTCGCTGATGATGATCGAGCTCCTGGGTTTCGGAAGAGTTTGAAGCATTTTCGATTGCAGAATCGGCTTTTTGCATCACGTCCGGTAACTCCTGTATGTCATCACGAAGTTTCTGACTATGAGATGATTGTTTGATCTCTCTCTCACTGTCGTTTTGAATTTGCTTGGGCACATTTGCTTTTTCCGCTTCTTCAATCTCCTTGTTTTTTCGAGTCTTCCTCTGCTCAGCTTCCTCTTGTTCTCTTCTTCTCGCCTCCTTTACCTCTCGCTTGGCTTGTCCCGCCTTCGTTTTTCTCTCCCACTCCGCGGCAGCAAGCCTCTTCTTTCTCTCCTTCTTCTTTGCGTTCTTTTTTGCGTTCTTCTCTTTTGTCTTGGCTGCGGCTACCCTTTTCGCCTCTTCTTCGTCCTCGTCATTTATACCTCCACCACTTTTCACATATTTAGGTGCAGGTGCGTACCCTTTTTCTGAAGGGCTCGTATCGTCTTGACGAGACGAATGTGGCAGTGACACATCGGCAGGATTCACGGCTTGAGCGTTGACGCTTCGGGACAAGTTATTATTGGCCAGGGCCAAAGAACCAGGCTGAACAGTTTCCGCGTATCCTTGTGTTGTAGCTTCCTTTGCTTGTGCCTCCTTCTCTGTTTTCAATGCTTCCATGGCCGCCTCCACAAGCTCTTCCCATGGATTCCTCTCAGTATTCTCATCTTGGCCTATTATCTCCGCTTGGAGTGTCGCAGACGATGGAGGCCCGATTGATACATCGTCGCTTGCATTTGGGCTCTTATCTTGAACATCCTCGCCGTTTTCAAGAGTTTTGCCGGCCATTTGTGTTGTAATTCGAGCAGTCATTTTGGGCAACACAGCACTCTCGACTTTAAATTCTCTTGGAGTTGGCTTATTTGTTCGCACGCTGTCTGCTCGTGTGGTGCCTTTGGCTCCAGATGGCTCCTTTTCAATGCCTTCTGCAACTAGCGCGTCATGGGACTTTATATTCGATTTCTCTGGGGTTTCCAAGCTTGTAGGATGCGAACCACTTATAAATTTCCTATATTGTGACGGATTCATCGGCCTATATGGTTGACCTGAAATCTCAACGTCCTTTGACTTCTTATTCCTCTTCTGTGCTGCTTTCATCTTCCATCGAGGTATATTTGCCTGTTCTGGTTGACTTTGCCGCTTCTGCAGCTGCTCCAGTAGAGACAGCTTCTTCTTTGGGGGAGGATCCGTAGCCTGACCTGAGGCTTGGCTTGGGGCCCGACTTAGCGGCACGCAATTCGTGACTTTCTTGTTAGGCGTATCATCCTGCGCTCCGTGCTGTTCTTGGAAATCGAGGGTTGTTGGGTCATGTCTTTTCTCAGGTTTCGCACGCCCGTCATTAGTCAGGGGTTTAGGGCCGTGGCCATGCTCTTCCGTACTAGACCGTAAATATCCATGAGATGGTAATTGCACGCCGTCGCGTCGCCTACCCGCCTCGGAATTTGAAGATGCTGCAGGCGTTGAAAAATTTGAAGATGTTGAACTAGTTGGACACACCGATGAACTCTTTCCCTTGGTTTCCCTCGGCTCGTAATCAGTTAAGAAGGCAGTATAGTTGAAGTCTGGTTTCGCCATGGTGTCTATTTACGCTAGTATATAAAACTAAGGAATACTCTGGCTGTAAATAACGAGAGGGTGTGGGTATAGAACGACTGACGGTGTCCAGTCCAGTACTATATGGTTTCCGCTTGATGAGGTATAGCAAGCTCCTGTGGGTAGGTAGGTATATGCTGAAGGAGGGATATCTGGAAAGAAATCAAAAGATTGTGAGAAGTATTAGGAAAGAAGTATTATCAGAGTTTGTGCTAGTGATGATAGGGACGTCGGTGGATGGTGGTTATCTGAAGTGATGTTCTGATGTCATAGGTAATTAAGGGGTAGAGTGCCATAACATCTGATGGCAGGAACTACTAAAGAAGTAGGGATTTATAGCTGCGACTGCGGGTGTGAGATTTATCTGAACTATAGTCGATGGCACTTTACTTTCACTATCAAGTTTATGGTTCCAGCCTCCAGCATTACGTGAACTCTGTTGAGCCTCACTAATGATAATTACACGTTTACCTTATTCCAACGCTTTTGTACCTAGGTATTCGATATCCGGCCATCCTATGATGAAGAAGTAAATCAACCAGTTCCGCTCATATAAGTATCCTTTCTCTTCCAGATACAATTCACCTAGGTGGGAATTCCCTGAACTGAGAGAGCAAGGGCGTATCATCGAATTGTTAAGGATATCCCTGCCTGAAGCTGAGTTGCTTTCACTATTTCCTATCGAAACTCTTCGCTATAAGTTAGTAACGTATTGTATCTATGAGAGGAATAGGGGTAGTAGGCCTGACAGAGCCCTCAATTCTCTAAGTGTAAGAGTACTCGGGGTGGCTCTTAGTGGAGATGTTGCATCCAATTGGGCTGTTTGTTTAGCTGCTAGTATATAAAAGAGGAGGCATATAACACTCCTCAGAATCTTCTAACCTTACTACTTATCAAGTAGATCGGCGCGAATGTAGAGACTACGTAGTACATTATCTAGGTAGGACATGGTGGATTCGAGTCTCGTTGACCTATACAGGCAAAGTAATCAAAGAGAAAATCGCGCTCTGTCACTGCCCTCCTCAACAGCTGATGAAACAATAAACATGTTCACGAGAACTGAATGAATCAAGCTAGGATAGACAATATGCCAACTCGGAAATAGAGGAGCCCATCTATAGGTAGGAGTCGTACGAAGAATATAGAAGGCTTCGGACAGACTCGGACGAAACGCTACTTGGAGAGTTTTAACACGTGTACAAATTGAGAACCCGGGCGTGCCGTAAGCCGAACCGCTACACGGGTGCCGCTAATGTCGGCAATGGATCCGTTTGCTCGAGACGGGGTGATAGATTAGGTAGGTAGGTAGTCGAACCCGGCGCGGCTAGGCGACGCCGGTCGATAGCTTTGGGCTAGATGGCGCGTCGATGAGGTCGAATCCGGGAAGTCAAACTCGACCGTAAGCAGGTAATCTCAAAGGATCTGAGATGACGTGGACTGTCTTCTAGGTATGTATGTATGAGGTAGGACGACGCCTAAATGTAACAACCGACAATTCAAGCTTTCGCAAGCTTTTCCAGTGTGCCATACGACCCATTATCATAGCCTAATTATTGGTGACTGCGGTACAATGCGTTACCAATTCCACCTTTTAACACGATCTGGAGTTACTTACGTGCAGTGGTATTGTGCGCAGGCAGATCTCGATGTTATCAACTCGTACACCAACCAGGTACCGGCCAGGACGGGGAGAAATGATCGTCTGGTCAATTCATGAAAATCGCAGAATGGTAGATTTGGAGGCCGCCCTCTAACGAGTTTCTATTATGGACGGAATCTGCGGTTGGATCCGCAACTGGCAAAGCCAAAACGAAGCTAAGCCGGTCACTAAGTCAGCCTATATTTTCCTATTCGCTGGGCCCGCTGGCTTTTATCCCTGCTGGCTGAACCAAGCGACCTGCCCAATCTCTACCAAGCTTTCTTGCCAAGGCCCAACCCTTGACGATATGACTAGGGAGCCCGAAGATCCCCCTCCTCCCCTGTCCCTTGTTCCCTGTTCTTTGACGTTTCCCCCCTGATGGGGAAAGTGAGTGGTGAAACCAATGTGGGAAAACACCACAACCGGAAGAGAACCTGAAGCTTCTCTCTGGATAGCTCGGAATTGTGATTAATTTCGAATCTCACGATTCATCATCCCTTGTTCCGCTTCTTCATGCCCAATCCTCTTACGTACCTTTCATGTAGGAGTACGAGTACCTGTGAGGAAAGGGGGCAATAGGAGGCCTGCTGAGTCGGTCGTATTCACCGCCACGCCTCTTCCACCTGCATGTCATGTACCTATGATGTCGGTGTGCTAATTGAAAGCTTAGGTCGAGGGGTCTCTGCATGTCAAGGATAGTGATTCACTAGCTCTCTTACGTACAGGTCCGGCAAATCAGCTACGCCAGCTACCTGTTATGAGATGCTTCAGCAACTAAGCTACCCCGCATAATGCATTTGATCCCATCCCTCTACCCATCCCTACCATGTAGACTTTAGTAGCTGTGACCTGTGAGAAACGCTGCGCTGGAACGTGGGGTGGTACAATTGGGGAGCTGCCGCGCTCATTACGGGTATGTCGAACCAGTCTACAAGAATATATTTAAAGATACGTTATCCTCTCCCTTCTCTCACACCTCCCATCTTCGCCGCAAGTCTTTTTAGTTTTCTCTCTTCGCGCGACACAGAATACCACACTATATTCAACCGCATATTCCCGCGAAAATGGTGCACCTAGCCAAGGTACCCAACGAGGCAGAAGTGGCGGAGAACAGCCTGCCAGAGGCCGTCAAGAAGATCAGCCTGCAGCTTAGTAACGACGAAGATAGCTTCACGACTAGCGTCTACGGGTCGAAATTCGCGGCCGAGGACCTCCCCAAGCATGAAATGCCCGAGAGCGAGATGCCCAAGGAAATTGCTTACCGCATGATCAAGGATGAGCTAAGCTTGGACGGCAACCCGATGCTTAAGTAAGTCAATTATGACGTACATCTCTCCTGACGATGCTTCGATGTGGTCTTCTAGAAGTTCCACCTGGAAAACGAGGCGACTGTGGGCTGACGAGCTAACCACTTATTTTATTTTCCATATAGCCTTGCCTCGTTTGTTACCACATACATGGTACGTAGCATCCCCTATTATTTTGTCTTGGCATCCGGGTCTCGTGGTGGCGTTACATCGTATGGACATCACCCGCAGCTGACGCTAACCCCGTCGATCAGGAGGAAGAGGCTGAGAAGCTTATGGCCGAGAGCTTCTCCAAGAACTTCATCGACTATGAGGAGTATCCCCAGTCGGCGGACATCCAGAACCGATGCGTGTCTATGATTGGTCGGCTATTCAATGCGCCCACCGACCAGGAGGACGGGGGCGGCGCGGTCGGCACCTCATGCGTCGGAAGCTCCGAGGCCATCATGTTGGCTGTGCTAGCCATGAAGAAGCGGTGGAAGAACAAGCGCGTTGCCGCTGGGAAGTCTACTGACAAGCCCAACATCATTATGTCGTCCGCTGTTCAAGTGTGCTGGGAGAAGGCGACGCGTTACTTCGAAGTCGACGAGAAGCTGGTCTACTGTAGCCCCGACCGCTTTGTCATCGACCCCAAGGAGACCGTAGACCTAGTAGACGAGAACACTATCGGCATCTGTGTCATCCTAGGAACAACTTACACTGGAGAATATGAGGATGTTAAGGGTGTCAACGATCTACTAGTAGAAAGGGGCCTCGACATTCCTATTCATGTCGACGCTGCCAGCGGCGGCTTTGTAGCGCCGTTCGTCGTCCCGGACTTGGAATGGGACTTCAGGTGCGAGAAGGTTGTGTCTATCAACGTCTCCGGTCACAAGGTGAGTCGGATAGGAGTGGAGATGAACCATGGTGTATCCCTGTCGACCTAAGCTGACAATCTTTACAGTACGGTTTAGTGTACCCTGGTGTTGGTTGGGTGGTATGGCGAGACGCCAAATTCCTGCCTCAGGAGCTCGTCTTCAACATAAACTACCTAGGCGCCGACCAGTCATCCTTCACGCTTAACTTCTCCAAGGGAGCCTCCCAAGTAATCGGGCAATACTACCAGCTGATCCGGCTGGGAAAGAAGGGCTACAGGTCCATCATGTCCAATCTGACGCGCACCGCGGATTACCTGTCCGACGCGCTCACGGCCCTCGGCTTCGTCATCATGAGCAAGAGGTCCGGCGAGGGTCTACCGCTCGTAGCCTTCCGGCTCCCGGACACCGAGCAGGAGCGCAGCTACGACGAGTTCGCGCTGGCGCACAGGCTCCGCGCCCGCGGCTGGGTGGTGCCCGCCTACACCATGGCGCCGCACACCAACGACCTGAAGATGCTGCGCGTCGTCGTGCGCGAGGACTTCACGAAGAATCGGTGCGACGCCCTCATCACGGACATCCGGTACTGCCAACAGCTGCTCGAACAGCTTGACAAGGAGTCTATCCGTAAGCAGGAGGAGTTTATTCGCAAGCATGCCATGAACAGCGGACAGGCCAAACACAACCACCCCCGGTTCCGCGTAAGTGTTTTTTTCCTTTTTTTTTCACTCCATACCTACCTCCGCCTCCTATTACCCCTTTACCTACTTAGGTATACATGCTAACACCCTGTCAACAGAAAGAGAAGCATTCGATCCAGGGAAAGCACGGAAAGACGCACTCGATCTGCTAAGGTTCATCGGTGTGGAAGTTTTGTAAACCTTGATGTTTATTAGCGGTATAGCAAAAGGGGGGCTCATATAGGGAAAATCTGGTATAGCTAGACTGATATATAGAAGCCTTTACAGAGATATTCAATTGTGATACAGACGGGTAGACGGCGATGACATTACTCCCATTCCACTTAAGCTTATCTGTACTCAACGTGGAAGAAGGTCTAGAATAAAACATGTTCTTACCATGAAGGAAACATCTGGCAACCTTTTGTGGTTCGTCCATAGGAGGTCAATGAAGTGCGGTTGTGGTTGCTTTGCAGGGCCACTAAGGTGTCCAGTAACCTTCCCGGTAGTCGTGGTGTTGTCTTCCGGAATACTTACTTATACTCTAGATCGTGACAAGTGGTAGGGAATAGAGGAAAAGTTATGAAACTCGATCATTATGGTGACCCGGCGTCAATGGAGCCATCCTTTGCATGCAAGAATAATTCTCATGAAAATATGCAGAGAGTGGTCATCTGCATCGACACTAGGAAAAAGTTGATAACGTGGTTGATGTGACTGTCAGGACGCCAATAATAGTAATGCTCCAGAGATATTACATGGGTAGGTAGGTAGTATAGCAAAATATCAATTAGGTACCGGGTAGGTACCTGATAAGCGTGGAGAGAAATGCGTCAATGTGTAGGTAGAAAGAAGTAAGAGCATGAAGAGTGAAGATGAAAAAAAGATAAAGATAAAAATAAAGGGAGAAAAAAATTTAACCAGGTGCTGGAATCGAACCAGCGTCCTTCGTCAGAGCAATTCTTCATCTAATCGGAAGTGGGTCTGAGGCGCCTGAATCTGAAAGACCCTTCTGGAAGCCTAGCCAACTACGCCATATCGGAAAGGCTCTTCGAAGTGACATCCTATTAGTCACACCTGGTTGTGTGATTTGATCATAGAATAGTATATAAACCCAACATATCGAACATGACAACCCGTAGAATAACCGGAGTAACTACGTACCTATCTCCTTAGCAACCAATATCCCTCGTACATATACAACAGTTCAATGCACGAGTCCATTCATTTATCAACCGGGAATCCCCTCTATTCCCCCTTTTACTCTACACTGTGTCATTTTCTCATTAGTTACGAGGTACCTATCCTAGGTAAACAGAAGGCAATATAGCCAGTACTATATCCATCGTTAACAACATTTTGGACCTCCATGAGAGCATCTCTTATGTTTACGTACCTTGATAGGGTACGTTGACGATGGATATCGTAGGACAATGATGACAAGATCTTACAGTGCTAAATTTTTATGACGAAGTAGAACATTTTTATTTAACGTGCCGTGGAAACGGTTCAATTAAAGAGAGAACACCCATTTACTAGTCTTCAGGTGACCTGGTTGCCTTTAAGAAAAATCCAGCCGAATGCGTTTCGATCGAGCTCCTTCGTTCGTACCAGATGCGCCACCCTGCTCCGAGTCGTCACTGTCCTCCAATACCTCACTTCTCTCCTCGGTAGGGTCACTATTCGCCGAGCTACCGCTGTCCTCCGAGCTATCAGTCTCAACCTTGCGAATTTGGTCTATGACCACCGGCGAGAGTAGACTAACGGCCAAGTGGGGAGCGTCTGTTACCACTTGGAAGTCTTTATCTACCTTTCGCGTTTGCTTGATCGCAAATCTGAAAGTTCCCTGCTCCGCATGAGCTTCAGCTTGCTCCTTGATTCGACCTAGGATATGATGAAAGAGCTTGATCGTCTGCTCAATGTCCTCTTTCTCGGTGTAGACATCTAGCTTGGACTTTTCCTCAGGGTCATCGCCCTCTGAATCGGAATCCGGATGGCCCCTCTTTATGGCGCCAGCATCGAAGAATCGGAATCCTTCGTCAAACGTGATGACCTTGGCATACCCCCTGTTCTGGTTGTATTCGAACACCAATGCTTTTCGGCTTTGCGATAGCCACAAGTAAGACATTAGACGAACATCATTCTCCATGCCTGGCTTGAGCGGAACTTTACGGGCCAAGAACTGTGTAGCCTCATGCCTGATTCCCCGTGTTCGGAATGCCATGTACGCCGGACTGGTGTATTGGTGGGAACGGCTGGCATCCTATTCCAAACCGTCTGGTCCCTTAACAACACCATGGTCGAGTGCTTGGCATACATGGTTGGTCAACAACATTTGATGGTCATCTTGGACAACCATGCCAATATCGCCGAAGGTATAGGAAATTACGCGGTTGAATGCCTTAGGCTTCTGTGGCTCAGTCCAGCCTCCTTCCACCGCCGCTCTGTTACACCACTTCATTCCGTCTTTCTTCAGGTGGTCCGTCGCGGCCTTCGCAACCCAATCATCACAGTGGTGAAGATTTAGAGCCTTCATAAATATTGTATGTCCGACAACTTCCACGGCCATCCAAAGGCCCTTTTGCTTCTTGCTCTGGACTCCGTGTTTGTAGCCAGACACTTTACTGTGCAGGGTGGCAAAAAGACCCCAGAGGGTGTCGACATCTGTAACGAATTGGGCCGACTTGATTGAACCGAGCTGTCCTTGTTCAATCGCGGCATAGCAGAGATTCTCAAAGTAAAGCTCAGGGCGATAAACACCATAAATGTTCCACACTTTGCGGCTTTCTTGATGAAGGTTTCCAGCCGATGGAGGACATCCTTGAAATTTTGTTAGCTATGGAGGGTTTTAAAGATACGAAGGACTGATGTTAATTTCTCAAACACTGCTCCTACTTACCAGGTATGATAAGGGCACGCGGGTCAGGAGTCGTATCGCTGCCGTGTTCGTTGTCTTCGTCATCATTCTCATTGTCCGAACTATCCTCGGTGATGGCTTCGAAGGAATTGTGGGCTTGTACAGGTGCTGGCAGATTGCTGCTTGCAGTCATTGCAAACTCAGACGAATCGACTGTAGCTCGGTTGCTCTCGATATCCGAGTGATCTGTATGAGAGTCTTCTATCTCGTCTTCGTAACAACTGAAGGTAAATAACTCTCTAAAAGATGATATGTTGATCGGATCGGTGTCATCGTTTTCGGGTACCGACAACGAGATAGTAGGGTAGCTCTGTCCTCTGCGTCGAGGCATCTTATCCACGTTCAACTTGCCAATTTGAAAACAGTCAGTAAGGTAATTTTCATGCTAGAGTGCCCTGGGATTAATATGAAGGGAACGAGAACACGAAAGTAGAGTGCAGCTATATGGGAGTGATGCGAGTGATATGCTTGGTAATGTTGCAGGAGTGTAGTAGGAGAGTGTGTAGTACAAGAAGCGGGTGAAGGGAGAAATTGGTGCAAAAAGTAAGGAAAGTGGGAGGTATGGGAGAACAGTTGATTAATTGGCACTTGCAAATACGCTGTCTTGGTGAGAGACAGATAGGCTGCTTGAAGTTGAGAAGTGGGAGGAGAGATAGAAAGATGGAAAGGTGAGGATTTATGGATAAGAAATGGGAGTAGTGGGAGAGTGCTTTATGGACTGGCACTTACTAAAGTACAAGGCGGTATGATTTGGAAAGGTGCAAAGAAAAGAAATCATGGAGATGAAAAATGATATGTTCGCTCACGAGACGGACGACGGTGGACTGTTATGATGAGTCATCCTAATGAGCGTCCGTCGACTTGACGAATTTCATCTACCTACCTAGTACCGTGCCTCTAGCAGCTGCCTAGTTCTATGTAGATACCAATAATCTGGCCGATCTGGCTGCACACTTACTGGGTACCAAGTGTACCTGACATATTAGAGCACTGGCGCCGTCAAGTAGCCATGCTCGCCTCTCTTTCACGTCGCATAAAAATATATTGCTTAGAAACCAACTCGATGCGGATCGTATAATCATCTCGAGATCTGCTGCGCACCAACAGCTAGTCCTTCTTTCCAAGGGCAGCAAAAAAGTTGCCAGTAACGAATATTCCGCTGGTAATGATGGTTCTATGAAAAGCATAGTCGGGCTCAGGTTGATTTGGTCGAGAGCATAGTTAATCATGAGGATCTAATAGAAACAATGTTAGATTCGTGTAAGCCTTGGAGGGCAGCTGCGACTTTTCTTACTTACCTATATAATTTCTTATATTCGTACACCAAACAAATATACGTTGAGATGTTTCTTGACCACCAGTGACGACATCTTTCAGATCTTGTTTAAGTGACTCCATGATTATGGTATCCGAGTACGGTATATAGTTACCGTACTCGTCCAAAACAGTGTGCTAGAATACAATCCTTCATACTGTCTCGATGGGATCGATCTACTCTAATCTTTTGGTGAGTATATGCTCGGAAAATATGGTAATTTCTTTACATTTACCAAATAAACCATCATATCCAGTCAACCAGTGATATTTTTAATCTACGCCCTTGACCCGGCTGTCGAGATATGGGGCATCCCTTGACTATGGTTGAAGCTATGACCAAACGGTCAGTTTTTAAGGTACGGCACAATACAGGTCGTAGATAATCTGCGCTTGTTGGAGACTATTTAGTTGTATCAAAGCGAGAAGAATTGCCATAAAACTAATATGTGGACGTGTCCTACCTGTAAAGGACTGGTAAAGTTAGGCTCGAAAATGACCAGATCCTATTTTTTTTTCCCCCGATGGGAAAGAAGGGTACATCGACTGCATAGTATACGGCGGCGTCGGCTTATGCTGTTCGTCATTTAGGGACTTGTAATATGTGTGGAGTAGTGTAGAACTGATCAGCATCTTGATCTTATTGTCGGCCCCATTTTTATCGTCTATCTCGCTGGTTACCGTGATTGGCCATTTCGCCTCCTACCCCCAGACTTGCTCCTTTCAATATGGTTCTTCAAAATATTTCTTGTCGCTACAAGGCTTCGCTTCTGTTTCGATTTCGCCTTGCCTAGCGTCATCATGAAATTCTTCCGACGAGCTTTCTCCTTATTGGTCGTGGACTTGCCCTCCGCATCCTTCTTGGCCTTGCGTATAGCCTGCGTGGACTTGTGCTCCTCACGATCCGGCTTGCCCTCTTTAGCCAAGGCTATCCGCTCTTCCTTAGTACTCTTGCGAAGTTTAGACGGTGCCTCGATCTGCTCCGCGGTCAATCCTTCGTCGGCGTGTCGTGATTCCAGCTCCTGCTTGCGTTTTCGATTTCCCATAGCCTTATTAACACTGGCCTCCATTCGCAATTCGCGGAGCTTAGCTAAGTCGGCTGGCGTAAGGATCTGGGTCGTCGCCAATTTTAGGAAATTTGTATCCTCGTCTCCCTCATTCTCTTTGTCATCCTCTCCCAGATCTTCCGAGTCAATCTTTTGCCTCTTCGCGTCTGGCTCAGGCTCCACCTCATCTTCCGAATCGCTCACTCGAATCCATTCTCCAGAGTCGCTGCTATCCGTTGATGCAACCTCCCAGTCGTCTGAATTCCACCCGTCTTCTTCATTTTCGCCTTCAGGCTTTCTAATACCTTCCTCTCCCTCAGGCATATCTTGTTCGGCTCGTTTCCGCCTCTTCTGTTCTTCTTTCCATTTCGCTAGGAGTTCAAGGCCATCGATTTCGCCCACCTCCTCCTCACCGAATCTGGGCTGTTTCATACCGCCGCTTTTGAGTCCTATAGTCGCGTCTTTGCCACGGTCTTTCTTCCTTAGCATATCCGCGCCCTTTTCGCGGTATAGCGAGAGGAGACCCTTCGCAGCCATCATGACTCCCTTGTCTTTACTCTTCCTATAGTCAACTAAATCTTGTAACAGGGTTTCATTCATTGCCAACGGTTGCCGAGCACAGATCTCACGGATCGCATTGAGACCTGCAGAGCAAACTTCTGACGCGGATGCCTCAGACACGAATTCGTTCGCAATCTTCTGTATAAGAGGCTCGATTGCATCTGGCGGCACTAAATTATGCGTCCCTTGAGCGAGTGAGGCTAAGAAGGAGGAAGCCGATTGCTGCCTCGGAGTGAGATATTTGATGAACCAAGAGTATAGGGAAATAACGGTTAACTTATGTAGCCCGACTAGACGCGTGACGAGCTGTAAGACCAGGAGCTTGCTCTCGAGAGCTAACTTGGACTTTGAGTTCTGAAGATGCTTCTCGAAAAGGTTCTCGCTAAATCCCTGGGGATCTTGTAGTAAGTGCAACGCCGAGAAGTTGAGCGGATGGGGCGCATTCTTTTTCCGCTCCTGCTTCTTAACTTTGTCGACAGCCCTATCCAGAGCCTTTTTAGACTTCTTCGTCTTCTTGTTGATCTCAACAGAGTGCTTAACCTTCTTGATGTCAACCGTCTCCTCGTCACTGCTTTCATCCTCATACTCTTCGCGCTCCTTGTCTCCTCCTAGAAAGAATCTTACGCCCCCACCAATCACCTTTTCGTTATCCGCTAAACACGCTTGGCGCATAATATCGACAGCCCTAGCATCCGTCCAGATTTGCCGCCGCCACAATTCCCGTACTAGCTTCACTGCCCATATCGCTTTTGGCGAGGATCGATCTGAGGTGACAAGATTGTAGAGCACAGTCTGCATCGTCCGATTTACCTTGTGGTTCGTTGTCTTCGTGTTTGTATTTCGTATGTCACTCAGGATTTTCTGGTAAAGGATCATGCGCAGAGACTTTGACGGAGTGCTAATGAGGATAGGAAATAAGGTGGTGAGTAGATAGTTGCTGTCGATAACGTCTTTCCGCCTCAGAAGAGTAAGGCTGGAAACAATTTTCTCTCGCAGTGTTGGTTCTAATACGGCATGATGCTTGGTAAGGACATCTTTGAGCGCGTCGGGGAACGTAGCGGTGATCTGAGGATACAATTCGGCGCAATGGGCAACTATCAGAGCCTATAAGCTTGAGCACGCAGAAGGCCAGGCGGGTAAGTCACCTACTTAGATCTATCTGCTCGCGAAAGGTTATGAGGGAGTTCGAATCAGCTCCTACAGGAGCAGCTAGGAACTTCTCATGCGCGGAGTCGAATTGTTGCCAATTCTCAATGAACTCTTTTTCGTACGCTCTGTAGACGGGTTAGACGGATTGCCAGACATTGTACAACAGGCGCAATATAGATATACGCACTCTGGGTCTTTCCGAATCTTGTACTGGAGACCGGCAAGATCTGCCTCGATTTTCTCGAGCGCCGCGACTTTCCTCTTCCCCATGGCGCTGTCGTTGATTGCGCAATACAGGTGGTTGTAAGAACTACGTAGCAGTAGGTACAACTTTCACATAAAAATTAATGATAAGAAAAGTTGAGGGCCCTCGTTATCGATATCGTTATCTTATATTATCGTGGGTCGATATACATCTATGCATATGTACCTGATATGTACATATGTGCTTACCCCATGCAACCCATCCTGCCCAAGTATTCGCTCCAACAATTTGTTCCTCCTTTCTCTTCCTACACACAGATAGAAGGGATAAAAGGAAGGCACCAACAGGCCTAATAGGAATCGAACCTAAACTAACTTTTATTCCTCTACCCAGTATCTCACACATGGATACATCCATGGATACATTTAAATCGCACTTCAACGCTATGAGAAACACAAGTGTATATCAACGCTACAATAGATTACTTCCCCATCCACTTGAGTAAATCATTGGTAATTTTGTAGAGTACATATATGGCTCGCCTCATTCTATCCCCTACTAGTTAAACAATATTAAAATATCAAAGACCATTATCGACTCTAATTAAATCTCTCACAACAGTTGTTTATTTATACTATGCACGCTTTTCTATTCTATCTCTAAACATTCCGTATATATACTCCTCGTTAGTGATTTCTATGCGGAAAAAGCAGATTTAGCATCCTTCAATATCTCGTCCGTCGCTTTCTCCGCGAGCATGAAGATAGGGCAAACCGGAAACGCGCCGGGCACCGAGGGGAATGCAGATGCGTCGACCACACGCAATCTCTTTACACCGTGAACCCGGAATTTCGAGTCTAGGACCGCCAATTTGTCATCGGCGGGTCCTATACCACAGGTGCTCGTGGCGTGGTGCGAGTATGTCTGCAACTTCAAGAACTCCTTCTGCGCCGCGTCTGTGCAGTTTTGGTTCTTTCCTGGGCACGGATGCTTTTCATCGAAGGGACCGATGGGCTCGCCCACAGCCGTGATGGCTTTGCGGAATATCTTAGCCGCGTCTAGCATCTCCGTCAAATCTTCGTCCTCGCCGTGTTCAAAGAAGTTGAAGTTGATCTCCGGTGGCTCTTGTGGATCGTTAGAGCGCAAGTGGACGTAGCCTGTCTGTGAACGAGGGTTCATGTGCACAAACGCACACTCGTATTCCGAAGGACCATACTCGGTTGGAAATCCGGGCCAAAACCCTTCGAACGAGAAGGATTTGCACCAGCCGTAAATATTGCGATTCTTGCGAGCCGTGGGTGTCTTGAGCAGCACTGCGAACGGGCCCGAAGATCCGTTCAGTGGCTTGCTGGTCAGTGCAAGCACACCCCCCTCATAGTTGTCAGATAATTTTTCGCCAACGCCGGGGAGGTCCTTGACAACGGGTATATTAAATTTCATGAGCTCTTCAGCGGGGCCGATGCCGCTGAGTTTGAGGATTTGCGGCGAGTTGAACGCTCCACCCGCAATGATAATTTCCTTATTAGCAAACAATTGGACAGCCTCTCCCTTGGTACCGTTATAGCGTGGGTCAGCCTTGTACAGGGAAGGGCCACGGAGAACCTCCACTCCGACTGCGGTGGGCTCTTCGGCGTCTTCAGAAAAGAGCACCTTTGTCACGAGACTCTGAAGCTGGACGGTCAGAGGAAACTTTGCTGGGTCATCTAAGGTTGCCCGGATGTATGTGTTTGTCCCAACACGGTGCCCATTAGGGTCTGCATGGCTAGCAAGCCCAAAGACCCCTGTAGATTGATCTCGGTCCGGATCAGGGGCGTTGATATCTCGTGTTACCTCGCCACCAACCACGCTGATGATGCCTTTTGCGATTTCCTGTATGTCAGACGATTGTTGCATGAAAGCAGGATCGCTAATTGTTACGTTGAGATATCCGCTGTATCCATGTCCAGGAGTTCCAGCCGGTACAGATTGAGCCGTCTCTATTCTCTCAAAGTACTGTCTCATATTCTTCGCTAACCACGTCTCGTCCCCAGTGCTCTCGGCTATCGCGTTCCAGTCATCATCGGAGGGTAGGTTGCATACACCGCCGTTGTGCACTTAGATAATAATAATAATAATTAGCAAGTGCTTATCAAATAAGTATAGGGATTTCAGGTATGCCTCTGAAGTAATAACACCCCGAACAGCTTGATTAGGAAATCCTAACCCCTGAGATAAGCTAGCGGGAGAGGCGAAAGGGCTCAATTTTACCTACTTGCACAACCCCCAAGAGTAGCAGATCGAGGGTAATAGATTCCAAGTCGTTCAGATCCTTCCGGGGGGTCTAAACCGACGTAAAAGGAGCCGTCCGGGCTACGCCATGTTGTGTGCTCATATTTTCCCTCTCGCTCCTCATCCGAAGAGTGCTTAACGAAGAAGTCCCATCGCGATTTCTCGTCGTTCGCCGCAAGATTGAAGTTGATCATCTCCGAGTAATTCTTGTTATTGCCTAAGTCGTCGCCCGCTTCCAAGAGCAATGTCGGGTATCCTGCTCTCGCAAGATTGGCTGCAAGTGGCGCGCCACCGGGGCCTGATCCCACGACGATGTAGTCATAGCTAGCAGTTGTCTGCGCGGCGACCCCCGTGAGGCCAAGCAGCCCCAAAGCAAGAACTTGTCTGACCATACTAGATAATTTGATCTGTGTCCGAGTACTTTACCTCTGAACTAATTACATATCGGGCATATTGGACGATGGCTGCGAACATGAGGCGAGAAGTACCTCTTTATACACTAACGACACGAATAGCCCCCCAGACAAGCACCTCTATTGGAGAAGCTCAACCCCACGTCATCGTCGCTTTTGATGCGGAGTAGATGATAGCGGCATGCCCAATCTGATAGAATATATAACTATGATTGCGGTCTCGACCGACCCGGCTAAATGGGTAGTTGGAGAAGGGTCGTGGGATTTCGCAGACTGGCAGGTCTAGAAACCTTCACAACGCATTTTCGTTATTACCCGACAGACGAAAGCCGTTGCGGCTGATTACGAACGACCCGGAAATTCCATCCTTACCCAGTCAGGGGCTTGTATGATCCAGATAACCACGAGTTCAAACTCACGTATATGCTTATCTAATGCATTGATAATTGGTGGCTGCGGGCCTTACTCCAGACGACTTCGGCGATAGTCATATAGAGGAGAAAACTCTAGGTAGAGTGTTTAATGCTGATCCTGTCAGAACTTTTGATGCTGATATAAGTACTAGGTCCAACCCTCGGGATACTACGAATGCTGGCATCGCACAGGAGAAGCTCTTCCTTATTACACAGTATAATTCCTCCGAATATCTAAATGTTGTATTTTCAGGGTATGTCAATTTGATACCCAAAGAAACAATCCGTTTCACACATTGGACTTTTCTAATAACTAGGTATTGCCAATGCTAAATGAAAGAGTAGTTGCGATGGGCTAAACCCGTGCCCCGAATCCAATCAGCGGGCACACAGCCCCTTGTCACATCCAAAAGAGGAAATTCCCAGGACGCGCATCGGTGAGTGGGAAGCTACGGCCCAGACATATGCGCGGGTCCATGCCGCTCTACTAGTCGGAGATGCCGATTCACGGAGTCAGTCCGAAGTCTCATATACGCCGAACCTAACCTCCGGTTCTTCGGGCGAAGACGGCGCGCCTTTCCGCAAAAATGAGAGGCGTTCTTGAGGTTTCGAGGAAGGTGTTTACTAATTACCTAGATTGGGCCGTTCTACTTTGCCTCCATCTAGAGCCTCCCCTTTCCCCTTTTGCGCTATGAGCTTGAGGAATAAGTATAACATCAAGTTCGCTATTTTACGCTTCTTTTAGCGATAGACCCCTGGATCCATTTTACAGCAACTGCGTCATCCTCCGATACCTCCTAATAATATGCCTTCGGTCTTGGAGCTTATATAGAGTACGCTCACTTCATGTTAGTCACAGGCTCAAAACCACCAAGCATAATATATACCTACCTATCTACCAGTAATCACATAAACTTCTGTGTGTGGATTACGTGCCTAGGCAACCTTCGAAGTTTCTCAAGATGCTGACTGACAAGAAGGTGGAAACTAAGGACGGTGCTGTGGTTGAACAATGATGGGTAAACCGCAGTTTTTGGGCCTATCTGATAAGGCGCTTTGGCACATCGCATCAAGTGCTACGTAGTACTAAAGGAGAAAAATGACCACAGAGATTTGTTTCTCACGCATTTTTGCGTTGAATCACGGATGATTTTCGTGGAGAAATGATCTCTACTGTTCAGTAGAGTTTTCAACACTACTAGACAAGTTTTATCATCCACCTGTGAGTAAATCTCCTAGTGAATCGTGAGGTTGGCTAGAACCCTGTAGGGGCACGCGCTAAGACCACCTACTGTAAGCCATAGACAGGAAACTAATCTACTCACTATCATCGGCAAGCCTAGAATCTAAGCCAGCGATCTTGTCGTAGCGACGGTATAGAAAACTCTAATCTGACCGATGAATGATAAGCCGCAATCTGCTCTCCAATCATGTGCAGTATTCTTTGTTTGCTACCCATATACACTGCCTTATCATGCTTCCTGGCCACGCTTCTCGGTAAAGAGGGTAAAGTTGGAAGTAACACAAAAGATAACACGGATCGGTGCGATTTCTTTTTGGTCGGCTAACATGAAATTCTATTCTGCACTCTGTGGTGTTATGTCTATGACACGATTAGATGAATACGATAAATGCCTGATTACTTCATTAGTGTAGACTAAGATGCCTGACAAGTCGCTCGGTCGTCCTACGCGGAACCGCCGCCGACCTGTGTAGCAACCACAATGGGGCTGGCCAACTTTTAAACACTCGACCACATGTCAGCCAAGAACAAGCACAGATTTAAGTAACAGTTTCATGTCCCTCAGAGGTTAGTGCCCGCTAGATGCCGTACATGCACGTACATACATACAGATCTTGCTTCAGATGTTATGCTGTATAATAATAGCTAAGCACCATACATAGGTACATAGCACTGCAAAGTAGTGGAATCGATTTGTACCCACGTTTACGTAGGAGTAAAAGACCCATAGATAAGAAGACGGGGCAATGGGGATGACCCTGGCCATTGTGGAGTGAGATTCGAAGGATACTAGGTAGGCTACAGATTTGATCTACTTGTCACGCACGGTGCAATTTTGATGAGCCAAACAAAGACCATGCATTTTATCTTACCCTCTCAGAATGGAGTCAGAGAAAGTGTCCCATGTGCTAATCTTACTAAATACACTGTGACTCTATCTATCCCCTTGGTTATATAATTGGCACTCACTACACGCTATGACCCGTATAAGCTACTTATATGGGTAAGGTAGGGGATAGCTCAAAACACAGTACAATACAGTAGCATTAGCACATGGGACACTTTCTCTGACTCCATTCTGCCTCTATGCTGTGCCTCTATTATTAGCCTATGGTTAGTGCGAAAATGCAACAGTTATCTCCGTCCATGACCGCGGATACTACATTTGACAAGCTTGCTAGCAATGGGATTTCTATATACCGAAGTAGGTAGGCAACGAAAGAACAGAATACGCATCTAGGGTTAGCCAAACAGCAATTACCCAACTGCCCGTGTCCCCCAGAATCGAGGGACAAATTTACTCCAAGATCTAACATGATCTCTTCCAACCTTTTGTCCAGAAAAGAGGTTCTACCCCGACTTATTTATGTAATAGAAAAGGAAAATCGGATTAGGCAGCTCCATGCACAATACCACCCCTCCACAATCTAACCGGGATCCGAAATGATGACATATCCAACATACAGCGCACATACCAAAAACAATGGTCTGACGGATGCGTGACTAGGATAGTTGTAGGAATGTGGCATAAGCGATGATAAGATACCTCTATCGCGCAACGAGCACGAGAGCAGAAACAAAGAGAGCAATGTCTCAGAAGATGACTACTCGTCATAACAAGCTTCCGTTCCTGTCTCGGCGGTGAAGGAATGGCCAGGGAGCCGCTAGGAGTCGCTAGGCGTCGCCGCAAAGTGGAACCCGTTAGCAAATAGAATAACTCCGGCTGCGCTTGATCTGCAACGCTAAGAAATCTCTTCTTTTTCTAGAAGGCCTAGGGACGTACCAGACCAGGGGGTTCATCGTGACGTCCACGGGTTCGTGGTGCTAGCGTCGGTAGCTGGCCCAGGCGTTGCTTGGCGAGCATCCCGCTACCCATGGATCTTGGTAAATTTGTGAGTGTATGCGTTCGAATTCGGCAATGCCTTTTCCGGAAATCGACGACCTTTTTCTGATTATTACGGGACCGTCGTCGCAACTCGACCACGCGAGACCCTTACCTCACTTACAAACATCTCGGTATCCTAGGAGGTCTACCGCGGATGGGACCCTTAACAAGCTAGTGCCTTCAGCCACCAACGTCGACCAGTCGACCACGTAATGTAATGTAATCCCGCCGATCATTAGGGCTTTCGTCACGATACAGAACCGGGGATGCCGGTGTGATTGGCTTACCCACTATGGGGTGAGGGCCCATTCATCATGAATGGGGACGGGCTCGTGTACTGTACCGTACCGTACTGTACCCGGTATGGTTTTTTTTCCTTCGGTGGGAGTGAATCCTAATCCACCCGCCTGATTACCAGATACTTTCCTAGTGCGGGTTGTCTCGCCTCTCAGCTCTGGTGCATCGACCGCTTATATTAAAACCCTGGAACCATCGCCTTCTTTTAACTTTCGGCCGTGAGCCTACTACCGGGCGCTTTGACTCTCTGACCAAAACCTTCCGTCGTCAACCTCATCGCCAGCATCACCTTCGTAATTATCCACTCATCTACCACTCGACACGGTCGGTTACCCGGACTTTGCAGACAATATGGCGGACACCAAGAATGAGAAGAATGAAAAGTTGTTCGGCTCGGATCCTCCTTCGGAGCAAGACTCCAGCACCGAGGTCGTCGGCCAAGTCAGCGATATTTCGGGATTCGAACAGCACAAGGCTGCGCTAGGTAGCGCTCACTTCAAGAGGTTAGGATGGAAGCGTCTCACGGTTGTGCTCATCGTCGAGGCCATCGCTCTCGGTAGTTTGAGTATGCCGTCTGCGTTCGCTACTCTAGGTATGGTCGCCGCAACTATCCTCAGCGTCGGTTTGGGTCTTATCGCCATCTACACCAGCTATATTGTTGGCCAGGTGAAACTGAAGTTCCCGGAGGTGCAACACTATGCGGACGCAGGTCGTTTGATAATGGGAAAGTTCGGGTATGAATTGGTCGGCGCGATGTTCGTACTGCAATTGACATTCCTCGTTGGATCGCATTGTCTTACGGGCACCATCGCCTTCCTCAACATCACCAACAACGGTACTTGCTCGTTGGTTTTCGGTGTTGTATCGGCCATAATTCTCCTACTTCTCGCTATCCCCCCCTCTTTCGCCGAGGTCGCTATTCTAGGTTACATCGACTTCGTGTCCATCATGAGCGCCATCTTCATCACCATCATCGCCACCGGCGTTCGACGAACCGATGCGGGAGTTGCCTCCGACTGGTCCGCCTGGCCGCAGGAAGACCTTACCTTCACCAAGGCTTTCATTGCCATCACGAACATCGTTTTCGCTTACAGTTTCGCCATCTGCCAATTCTCTTTCATGGATGAGATGCACACACCGAAGCATTTCGTCAAATCCATCTGGGCTCTCGGCTTAATCGAAATTGTGATTTACACCTTGACCGGAGCACTGATCTACGTCTTCGTCGGCAGCGGTGTCAAGTCCCCGGCTCTTCTATCAGCCGGCGACCTTGTCTCCAAAGTCGCTTTCGGTATTGCCCTACCCGTCATTTTTATCTCCGGTTCCATTAACGGCACTGTCGTGGCGCGATACATTCATGGTCGCGTCTACAAGAACTCGGTCACTCGTTTCATCAACACCACTAAGGGCTGGGCCACCTGGTTGGCGCTCATCTCGTTCATTACGCTAATTGCTTGGGTCATCGCCGAGGCCATTCCGTTCTTTTCCGACCTTCTGGCAATCTCATCGGCGCTATTCATCTCCGGATTCACTTTCTATTTCCCTGCTGCCTTCTGGTTCATGCTCATCCGGCAAGGAAAGTGGTACGCGAAGGAGAACATAATCAAGAGCATCACCAATGCCATAGTGTTCATCATCGGAATGATTGTGTTGGTTGGCGGCACATATGCCAGTATTGTTGACATCGTAAGTGCCTACATATTCAACTCACCTTTTCCTCCCCCGAGAATACAGCTAACACTTTGCAGATGGATCAATACACCGAGGGTACTGTTCGAGGCGCATTTACCTGTGCTCCATTTGAGTAAAGACGTACAGGGACGTACAGAAGAAAATGGCCTATTCGATAATACCTCGAGGAATAAACGACCGCGCCCCTGCCACGACTTGAATGGCTCTTTGATGACATTACGATACCTTTTCCTTCGTCGGAGCATCCCACGCGAAATGTGATTACCATGGCATGACGATTGCTAGAGCGCTGGATAGTACCTCGTGTATAGAATCTGATTCGCGGCCTTTGCAAAGGAGTTAGGTGCATTATTTGGGCTATATACCTATGTACATTGTTGTTTAGTACTTATTTGACTACCTTCATAGGTACATCGCATGATAATAGCAGTCTGGTTGAAGGTTATTGCTACATTTATTATATTCCGTGAGCCTTGCCACTCGTTACGTATTGTTGGCATGCTCTGCTTAGGACCAGTGGGCATACATTGTTTTTGATTCACCCACCAACTGTTTCGCAAACTACCCAGGGACTTCAATTGAGTATCCTATATTACTACATAGTATTATCCTATGTGTATTAGTAGTTTGTAATGAATATCGCTGGTGGGTCGAGACTCGAGTATAGCCGGGATTTTAGTCCTAGAATTCTCACCGAGCGCCTGTCTATTCCCTGAGCAGTAAGACTTCCATCGTATGTTTCACTACCCATTAGGCCGTGAACTATGACCATATAATAACCTAAGAGCGGACGGGGCGAACCTAGATTCTTGTTAAGTCGTTGCTAATACGTAACGACTTCTATTTCACCCTCGTTGATTGGTAAACTCTAACCGCTACGGGAGTTTCCGTATTCACTCTACATTAAGATCACATACCTACCTATATAGTCAAGAGAAAGCATCATATTAGGTATCTAGGTGCGAGGGATTCCCCAAACACACAAGAGCAGCTCGGATTTCGGCATGTTTCGGTACCATCCAAGCCGTCTTATACCTCAGGCACTGTAATATATCATGAACAAGCTGTAAGTCTCGTACGGTATACGGTATCTGACAAATATTCATAGTGACGTCTGGATTTTGCTAAATGGGAACTCATAGGCAGCTTAATGCATGTTTTTGCCATATTTTGTAAAAGTCGGGTGGGAAAACGTTCCCATACACGAACTAATACAACAGGTTAAGCCAGAAAATGACTAGGAAGCTAACAAGAAGCTTTAGAAGCACTTAAGCTTATTCCTATAGCTCGTTGAAAGCCACATTTTTGAAAGTCACTACAGCTATGTACTTAGTAGGTAGGTAGGTTAAGTACGTACCGCTGGCTGGCTGCCCGAGGGAGGTAAGTATATGTCACCTCTTCTCTTGAAAGGTAAAGATCAATTGACACACCAAGACTAAAAAGAGTCACCAATCCTAGGCACATTCTCGATTATGATACATTTGTATCAAATAAGGAAATGTTGGAAAACAGACCTTGCTTAAACCCGTGATTCGATGCTAGAGTATGGCGGTTAATGACCTCTTAGTGCACGTACATACCTCTATATCCAGTCTAAGGGGTATTCGAACATTTACTTAGCTATGGAAGGGCTATGAACTTTCAACAGTTATTGTGACATCAAAGGCAAGCTATACTACGTAGATATATACCAAAAGGCACTGCCACGTTTCCCTTTCCACACTAAAGCGCAGCTTTCCCCTTGCCAAGAAGGCGATAAGACCACCTCTAGATGTTGACGGGAATATATCCATTCTCGAATGGCATGTATAGAGCTACGGGAGGACGGGAACCATGGCGATACCGGGCGTAGATGGCTTTGCCTGAAAGACCTTGGGCTCGACATGCTTGTGATGTCAAAGATAAACCTTTGGGATCCGTCCTTCCCGAAAGACAATAAGGCAGCGAATAAATAATGCCTTAGCTGAATAGAGAGTTAGTACTGGCATGACTGTGACGTTTATCGATGGTCATGCAAGATCGCTAAAAATTGGGAGTGCATCCTCGGGAGGTGATCCAGGGTGACATGTATTGCGAGATGGAAAGGGAATAAATAGAATAAATAGAGCTGTGGGACCAGATCTGAAATATGTATCTCTATGGATATCTATCTTAATAAGTTTATCCAATAATAATAAGGGGGGAAGAGAGGAGGCTCTTCGAAATGATCGCCTCATCGACACTGCAGCTCTTAAATCCCGACTCCCGACTTCCGGCCTTGAACAGGAATCCTTATTGGCCTGTGCTGCGGCATCAGATAACGTTAAAACGGACATTGATCCACTAATATGTACCTATGTACCTGCACAATGTACTCTGATACTTGAGTACATACTACGTACATCGTCACCTGCAGGCTGGAAACTATGGGGGCACTGCACTTACCTTGGAAACGACCCGTGTAAAGAACAATGGAAATTTGAGCAATTAACTCGAACTTTGCTGCGCACACGAAAGTAAGATTGGTAGGCACCGCCAAACGAATTTTCATTTGAATCAATTTGTATTTGACAGGTACGACCAAAGTTTGGAAGGTGCAGATCCATCTCTTTGGCTTCCCAGCCTTCCTTATCCCTCGATAAGTTGGAAGGAAGCAAAGCGCCTCCGCAGCCTGAACCCGCCCGAACTTCCCCCAAATATCCAAGTACCCCCAAGCCCCCAAGCCCTGAAAAGGCAAAAACGTACCACCAACATACCACTGGTAGCAGTGCCGTAGATTAACCGAGTGGGGCAGTTTGAGTCAAGCCAGCCAGCAGCGCTGGACCAGCCTAGGGTCTAGCACGAGGTAGGCAAAGCTTTGATACACCACCTTGGCAGTTGCATCTCACACCTCTCCACAGTACTACGACCGACCAACCGACTTCATTTCGACCACTCAATCCAACAAGGAGCTTTTTGACAGTCGACTTTTAGTCGTAACTTTGCATCGATTCAATTCAATTCATTTTTTCTCTCTACTTTTCTCTATCGACGACAAATAACGAAATAGAGAAATAAAAAAGAGGAACGGTTTATTTCTAAACCGTTCGACAAACGTCGATGAGAAAATTATTCCATTTAATCGGTCGCATGTAGCCAACTAAATTCCAACCATGTCTGCCGAAGCGACCGCCGCAATGGCGTCTGCGCCCAAGTCTGAGATGGTTGAGATTGAAGTCGCAAGCGATCCTCCCAACAACGATGCACTTAACAACAAGCATACCGGCCTTCACTCACCGCCCGATAGTAACAGCGCAATGAAGCTGGACGGTAGCGACGATTCCGAGCTGAGTGATTTGGACGATCCAGATCTCATTGATATGACTGTCGATATGGACCTTCACTTATCGCCTCCCTCACCCTCCGCACCCTCGAACAAGCAAGACCAAAACCAGGAGTCCGATAATGTCAAACGCGAGGAAGAAGAAGAAGAGGAAGATATCGGCGAGGTTACCCCCGACCATTGGTCCGGCACTGTGCCCGTTTTCAAGCCGGACATGCACCAATTCAAGGATTTTAAGAAATTCGTATGACTTTAACCCATTAGCTTCATTAATCGATCGATCCTAGTCCAACTAACCGTTTTACTTTAATAGATGACTAAGGTTGATTGTTACGGTATGAAATCCGGCATCATTAAGATCATTCCTCCAAAGGAATGGACGGATCAGCGTCCTCCTCTCGACGATATGATCAAGCAAATCAGAGTCAAAGAACCTATTAAGCAGGATATCATGGGTTCCAACGGCACTTATCGACAAGTCAACATACTTCATCAACGATCTTACAACATTCCACAGTGGCGACAACTCTGCGATCAGAGCGAGCATCAACCGCCTGCTCGACGTGGCGAGAGGCGTGCGCAGGCTCCCTCCAAACCGAAACCAGCTTCCTCGACTACCACCGACTCTAAGAGACGCGGACGGCCATCCAGGGGCAAGGGAAAGCGAGGCGCCGCTAAAGATGCCGCCGCCGACCAAGAAGATCGACCAATGACACCGGTCTCTCCAAAACCGAATGAAGAAGTCATCGAATCTGTAGAGCAGGACCCGGGCGCAGATGTGGACGATGACGACGGACCCCCCGTTGTCGGTCGGATGGGTGGCTCTAGGCAGGCCAAGCCCAAGACGCAGTCTACGTCGGCCCGAAGGAAGTACGCGAGGCGAGAAGCATCAGCTAGGATCGATGAGGAAGCCTTCAAGGACTTCGACTACCGTATGGACATCTCCGATTATACACCTGAGAGATGCGAGGAACTCGAGCGAATATATTGGAAAACCCTTACCTATGCCCAACCCTTGTACGGCGCCGATCTTCCCGGAACGCTATTTGACGATGAATGCGATGTCTGGAATCTAAACAGGCTTCCCAACTTACTTGATGTCCTCGGCACTAAAGTGCCTGGTGTCAACACGGCATATCTCTACCTGGGTATGTGGAAGGCGACTTTCGCATGGCATCTCGAGGACGTCGACCTTTACAGTATTAATTATTTGCACTTTGGAGCTCCGAAGCAATGGTATAGTATCTCTCAAGGCGATGCACGTCGATTTGAAGCCGCCATGAAGAGCATTTGGCCTACCGAGGCCAAGGCTTGCGACCAGTTCCTACGTCACAAGGCTTTCCTCATCTCACCAAACCATCTGCAGCAGTACTTTAACATCAAGGTCAACAAGTGTGTCTCCTATCCTGGCGAATTCGTTGTCACTTATCCATACGGTTATCATTCAGGGTACAACCTGGGATATAACTGTGCCGAGGCCGTCAACTTTGCTTTGGACTCCTGGATGCCTATGGGAAAGATTGCTAAGAGGTGCGAATGTGCCCAGGCTCAAGATAGTGTATGGGTAGACGTATACGAGATCGAGCGCAAGCTGAGAGGAGAGGAGACGGATTATGAAGAAACCGAAGATGAGGAGGAGGAAGACGAAGAGGACGACGAAACTGGCACCGTGGGTCTGACTCCGCTTTCCTCCCAAGCAGCGAGATTCAAGCAGCCTGGACGAAAACGCAAACGTGTAACAACTGAGAAAGGGGAGAAGAAGGCCAAGAAGATACGACTCCGTGTCAAGAATCACATCGATCCCCCCTGCTGTTTGTGTCCTCACGATATACCCGGCCAAGAAGTGCTCCCGACGAACGATGGTCGTGGGGCTCATCGCATTTGCGCGCTCTACGGACCGGAGACCTGGATCGAGACGGTTGAAGGAAAGGAAATCGTCGCCAACGTGGAGAACCTTAGCAAAGCGCGCCTGGAGCTCAAGTGCTTGTATTGCCGCTCTAAGAGGGGAGCATGTTTCCAGTGCTCGCAGAAGAAATGCGCTCGATCATATCATGCCACTTGTGCCGCAGCGGCTGGCGTCATGGTAGAAGAGGCAGATGTCCCGATCTTCGGAGAGGATGGGACCGAATACAAGGAACGAGGTTTCGAGTTTAGTTGTCGCTTCCACCGAACCAAGAGAGACAAGAAATTAAACGGTGATGTACTGGACGAATGCCAGAAGACTCGGCAGGCAGCCGCAGCTCTCAAGAAAGACGACATATGTCAGCTGCAGTACTACCGTGGGGAAATATTTGCGGGCGTCATCGTCGAAAACCGAATTGATGAGCGCACATTCCTGGTTGACATTATTCCTCATGGGTATGGAACTTACGACCAAGTCAATGAAGGACTACTGCTAACTGCATTTAGGGATCGTGTCGAGGTGGAATGGAAATGGCTTCTTCTCCCGGATCCAGCTGACTTCCACCTACAGAGGGCGTCTGCTAATGCTATTCCCATGCCCACATCGCGCAAAGCCAAAGATCAAATCAACGCCACCAAGAGGGTCACGGAGGAATTACCTCGCGCAGACGCGCCATTCGTCGAAGGATTCACCTGGGCGGAATTCAACGCATGCGATTGCACCAATAAGTCGCAGGCCAAAGTTGATCTCACCAAGGACAACCAGATCTGGTATTACCTTGGAGGAACGTCGACGGAAGCTCGCGCTCAGTACACAGATGATCCGAAGAAGCCTAAGCACAACCCTAAGAGCAACTTCTTGGAGACTATCCCGCGACCAGCTCCACCTGCGGTTCAACCTCGAAAGTCGTACGGATCTACGTTCTCGGTCCAAACACCGAGCACGACAGCTGGGAAATCCGATAAGCCGTACCAATACAAACCAAGGGATCCTGTCGCACCATCATACGTTCGTTCTCCCTTTACAACCCAGCAGTTTGTTCCGAAGCCTCCTCCGTTCACAGCACATCAATTCGTCCCGAACCCATCACCATTTACCTCGCAAGCTGCCTCTGCACCAAGGCTAGTCCCGGCGCCCAGACCTCAGCAAAACGTACAGTATGCCCCACAGCAAGCTGTGCCGAAGCAGGCTCCCGCAATCCAACAAAACGAACAGTACTCTTCGCCGCAAGTAATCCCCAAGCCTCCCTCCACCCCTCACTACATCAATCAATATTCTCTGCAGCAACCTATGCAGCAGCCGGCTTTTACAAACCAACAAGATGGGCATATTTCTCAGCAGACGGCACCAAAGTCCGCTTCTGCATCACAGCAGAACGGACAGTGCCCGTCGCGTCATTCCACCCCCAAGCCTATATCTACGCCTCAGCAAAGCATACAGTATGCTTCACAACCGACTATATCAAAACCAAACCCTATACCTCGTCCGACACCCACACAGAACGGACATAAACGGAATCGATCATCGCTCAATAGTCAGGGTAGCCAAGCATTGGCGTTTGGCTCGGATCGACGGTTCAGAACTCCGCCTTTCTCATACGGAACTAGTCGGATCGATTCCGCTGCCAAATCGCCCTTCAGCCATGGGTTTATGCAACCTCCAGGCCTTGGGCCCTCGCCGTCGCCGCAGAATGGACAACTTTTCCAGGCTCAAGCCAGGGCCAGGTCGAGTTCGCTGGCGTCTAACCGTTCTTACGACACGCCGATGACTTCATCCGCTATTCGCCCACCTTCTTCTGCATCGGCGCACGGGACAATTGGAGAACCCCAGATTCTCCAACAACAGAATACCGTTAAACAGCCACGACCAAGCATTGTCCAGAAGTATGCGTTTTTCCAGGTCCATCACAACAGGTAAGATGATCGTCTTCACTGTTGTAGCATAACCTTGCACTGACTATCATTCAGGGATTCCACGAAGTACAGGACGCCATATGCTCAATGGGGAGGGTTTACCAATGGATACGAGGGCAACCTTCGAGCTCACTTGATGAGATCCCCCGAAGCACTGTTCGATATTAGGAGGCGCTCTACAGGATTTGCTATGGGCACATCTGGTCTAGGCCCAGCTCCTCGGATTCCATTTAGTAATGGTTTCGAGAACAAGGATATTCCGAATCCGGCGCTGCACTCGGCTCATCATGATCCATCTCGTCAGGCAGCCGCCTTGCCTCACCCTGCCTCTCCTGGCCCACTCGGTGCGCAGAAAGCCGTGCCATCTGTTACGGATGGTCGTCAGCAGCCATCCATGTTTACCCCAAGTTCATCGGATCCAAACCAAGAGCCCGTAGCGCAATTGCACCCTGCAATCCGAGCTCAGTATGCTGCCATGTTACAGAGGAGCAGCCTGGAGGTTCATTATCGGCCTCAGAGCCAGCAGAATCCTGCTGAGGACCGCCTAATTACTCAGGATAAAAAACCAGCACCGGCTGTTTCAGCATCCTCGCAACCATTCAGAAATCTAACGCCCACATCAGTGCCATCAGATACTCAATTTATAGCAGATAGCCGTATGCCTTCGCTTTCGACCACGGATAACAAAACGTCTTCGTTGACAAACGCAAGCTCCACGACAACGTCCAGTGCGCCCAAACAAACTCACATACCCGCTCCTCGACCATGGGAAGCATTAAGAAAGACGCAGGTCACGGTTCAGCCCAATGAGCAACCCTCGAACCCGTACTCGCCTTCAGGTGTTGTTGTTCCCGCCGTACCTGCTCCGACTACTACTCCAAACGCGCCGGGTCCCTCTATGGACGACGGATCTGGGACTCTGAGGCACATGACAGATCCAGGGCTTCAGCCCAGCAATGTAAGCGGACCTTTTTGGCAGGAGTTTCCGCAGACAGTGCCTAACAGCAACAGCGTCAACCCAGCCAGCCCCGAGAAATCGTACAGACTTTACAACCAACCACTATTCATCAATTACGAACCCCCGCAGGGCATTTATTCGCACCAGCAATTCAACAGGAATCGACGGAACTCGCGCAACCAGCCCCTGTGGTGAATACTCCCGCACCGGTGCCCGTATCCTCTTCAGTCGTAGGGGCAGGTACAAATGACCTCCCAGAGGTACCGGACGACTCGATGGAGTTGATCGAGAGCATCATCAGAGATGCTCGCAGGATAAGTGATACGTATAGTGGCCCTGCGAGCGGCAACGTTTAAGTTGTCGCGCGCAGGGTAGAGACGAGACGATAGGCTCACGGGCGACGAAGGTAACGACAACCATGATGCGATAGTTACTCAGAATGGTACGCACCGTTCGGCGGAGTTTGGCGTTCATTAAGCAAGACCTTTCTCTTCGGGGTCTATGGAGATTCGCATTTCTTTTCGACTAACAACCTGACCATTAGACCTAGTGCCTGCATAGGCTTGTTGTTTTCCGTGGGGTAACACGCATGGGGTTCATGGGACAAGGTCGACATCTTTTCATACCTCTCGGAATCGTGGATACGAACGAGATTTATATGTGACAGGCGGATTAGGGATCTTGAAGGACAGGACAGGTGTATACTATGGAGGCCAAGGCGAACAAGCTTGTGTGGCACGTGTAAGGACATTTTCTGTTTGTAGTGACTCAACCGCGATGATTTCGACAGGGCCTGGTTTTCAAAGCAGTGGTATGAGATCTGGAGAGTACCCACTGCTTTCTAGACTCTTGCTGAATACAAGCTATTGCTATGACTTACTGGTCCTTGGTGTGAAGCAGACATTGCTTCACCTCCCCATAATGAATAAAGCTGGTTAATAAATATATATGCTTCTATGAAGTGAACATTGATTACGGTAATTTCCTTTTTGGTTACATATCCTGCATATCTAGATTAGCACATGCAGTATGCGTCAATCGGGTTATTGGTGGGGCTAGCCGTTGAACTGATCTCTAGAAAATTATTTGTTTTTTTTGGAACGTCAAACTTCAACCTTTTTTTTGTCAGCCTCGCCCGAACCCGTTTGTTGCGAAAGCATAGAACCTCTCGGATACGGCGCCACGCGCGGTTATTTTATCCTTCTCTAATTCTTGGTTCGTTCCTATTCACATAGTTGATAGCTAGCAACCATGACCGACCAAATTAAGCAAGAGTCTCCGCGCAATGAGCGCAAGCGCATGAGCAGTCCGGACGTCCAGGCTCCGACGAAACGCGTGAAGAGAGAAGACGTTGATGATTCGAAGCCGACAAAATATAACCCGTACCTTGCGCATTGGAGTAATGGCAACGGTGACGCAGATGGTGATGATAAGGACGGTTCCGAATATAACGATCGCCTACCAAAAGGCTCTCCGCTCGCACACTTCAAGCGACGAAGGACTACGGCGAAGCAAGCATTTGAAGCCGAAAATTCCGACAACAACCCTTTCACAGGAGAACCGCATTCCCAGCAGTACTTCAGCATCCTGAAATCGAGACGCAACCTTCCTGTGTATAAGCAGAGGTTTGTTTACCCTTCTTAATCCACACCTTAGTGTCTTCTTACTAACGATTTTATCAACAGACAAGAATTCCTCGATCTGTACCAGAAGTCGCAGATACTCGTTTTCGTTGGTGAGACCGGTTCCGGTAAAACTACACAGATACCTCAGTATGTAGTTTACGACGAACTCCCCCACCTCAACCGGAAGCTAGTCGCCTGTACGCAACCGCGACGAGTCGCGGCGATGTCCGTCGCGCAACGTGTTGCCGACGAGCTCGATGTTACCCTAGGAGAAGAAGTTGGTTACAGCATCCGTTTTGAGGATAAGACTAGTTCGAAGACCATGTTGAAGTATATGACCGACGGTATGCTGCTGAGAGAGGCTATGCACGACCACGACATGTCTCGCTATAGCTGCATCATTCTGGACGAAGCACACGAACGTACTCTCGCAACCGACATTCTCATGGCGCTCCTTAAACAGGTGACTAGGCGCAGGTCAGACCTCAAACTTATCGTCATGTCGGCCACCTTGGATGCTCAGAAATTCCAACGTTACTTTTATGACGCTCCTCTGCTTGCCGTGCCGGGCCGAACGTTCCCTGTCGAGATTTTCTACACACCCGAGCCGGAGAAGGACTATGTTGAAGGTGCCATCCGCACTGTGCTTCAGATCCATGCCGGCGAAGACGAAGGAGATATCCTCCTTTTCCTAACGGGAGAAGAGGAAATCGAGGATACCTGCAGAAAGATCTCGCTCGAGGTTGACGAGCTTGTGAGGGAAACGGATTGTGGTCCGATGGCTGTGTACCCGCTTTACGGAACGCTTCCTCCTCACCAGCAGCAGAGGATATTTGACCCTGCACCGCCACCACTAAAGAAAGGCGGCAAGCCGGGCCGAAAGTGCATTGTGTCAACCAACATTGCCGAGACGAGTTTAACCATCGACGGCATTGTTTATGTGGTCGATCCTGGTTTCAGCAAACAGAAGATATACAACCCTCGGCTGAGAGTAGAATCGCTGCTGGTGTCCGCCATTTCGAAAGCTTCTGCTCAGCAGCGAGCAGGTCGTGCCGGTCGAACGAAGCCCGGAAAATGCTTCCGACTATACACGGAGAAAGCTTTCAAGGAAGAACTCATCGAGCAGACGTATCCCGAGATCCTCCGTTCTAACCTCGCCAACACGGTCTTAGAGCTGAAGAAGCTCGGCATTGAGGACCTTGTGCATTTTGACTTAATGGACCCTCCTGCCCCCGAGACTATGATGCGTGCCCTCGAAGAGCTGAACTATCTCGCATGCCTCGACGAAGATGGACAATTAACGCCTCTCGGTGGCATGGCGTCCGAGTTCCCCTTGGATCCTTCCCTAGCGGTCATGTTGATCTCGAGCCCAGAGTTCTACTGCTCAAACGAGATACTCTCGGTAACGGCGCTCCTCTCGGTTCCCCAGATTTTCGTGCGCCCAGCCAATAAAAGGCGAGAGGCCGACGAGATGAAGAATTTGTTCAAGCACAGGGATGGAGACCACCTGACGATGCTAAATGTATACCATGCGTTCAAAGGAATACTAAATGGCGGTGGTGATGCAAGAGAATGGTGCCATAAACACTATCTGTCATTCCGCCACCTTTCTAGCGCGGACAACGTTCGTGCTCAACTTAAACGCATCATGGAGACTCATGATTTAGATCTCGTCAGCACGGATTTCAACGACAAGGACTACTATGTAAACATCCGTCGAGCTCTAGTCACCGGCTTCTTCATGCAGGTCGCTAAGAAGGAAAAGGACAGGGTGTATCGCACGCTCAAGGAAAACAACCAAGCAGTCATGCTACATCCCAGTACAGTGTTACAAACAGAATACGAATGGGTCCTCTATAACGAGTTTGTCATGACGTCTAAGAACTATATCCGTACAGTTACCGGAATCAAACCGGAGTGGCTCTTGGTAAGTAAACATATACATTGGACTCGGAACAAAGTATGGATAGTGGACTAACCTGATGATGATAGGAACTTGCGCCTGTTTATTACGATATCGAATCCTGGGATGGACAGAAGGACGTCAAGCTGGCACTGAAGGCGGTAGCTGATAGGATGCGACGCCGAGCTGCTATGAAGGGCCGCCATTAAAAGAGGATATTAGTATTGATAGGCATTAGAGGGGATAGTGCGCAGGACGAGTTGGGACGGTCCGAGACCACGATCGATTACCCTCCCGGACTCAGTTCGCATCTTTAATATAAAGAACATGACATCAACCATCCGAATTCATACATGAATACGCTACTAAGATGAAAATGCCTCGGACTTTGGGGCATCGGCATTGTTTCCATAGCCTGAGATGGAACGACGGTTGCGCTAGGCACGATTTTGGCATCTTAAGAGGCCTATGATACCTTTTCTAGCAGAGAAACAAGACGAGGGAATGGCTAAACAAGGCATTTAAGGTGAAGCAACGATAGAGAAAGAACATAGATGGCAGCTCCTGCTGTGGACTCATCTTAGAATTAAGAAGTCTTGGACGGATAGTACATTCCTAGTTGTCCTAGATAGCGAATCTACTTGCATGTCTAGGTCCCTTCATCTATTCCCAAGCTTGCATTTTGTACCTACATACCTCAGATGCGGCTCTTGTAAAGAGCACCAACTTCCTGTTTTCCATCGTCACTGTCAAATAAGTACGCCGTATTCAACCAAGGGGCGAAAATGAAGTTTGCCACTCTTTTTACTTTTCCCAGGCTCGCCGGTGAGTAGAGATGTTCATATATGTTGTGTAAACCGAATGCTTACGGTACCCAGCCGCACCGTCATTAACCTCAAGGACCGGTCGCTAGTGTACATATACGCCTTGGGGCCCGCTGTGTAGGCGCTGAGATCGGGCCTATGATTGTCGAGAGAGGTTAAAATAGACACACATGTATCCAAATAGGTGCTAGTAGGAACTTGGCACGGAGGTTGGCTTTTAGCCAGCCTTACCCGTCATGTTTGTGCCGTGCTGCCGTGTCATCGCGATCGGTTACCTGTACCATTCATTAGATTAGCAATGGCACAAGCTGGGGAGCTGTTTTAGCAGGCTGGTTGGATGTCATCTACATATGGACGTAATTAAAAGGCAGGCCAAATAGGTAATCTCGCGAGTAGGAAGTAGGGCACCCCGAGGATGCTACCCTACTTTCCAAGCCTCGGCGTCAACCCGGTATCTTGAGACCCAGCCCACGTGGAACTAAGAGATGCATATGCCGTATGGATGCATAGGTAGAGCCATTCCAGACTACGAGGTATGGATACGTAAGCGCGAGTTCATGAAATCCCATCGTAGGATTTGATAATTAGCATTACCGCCCCCCAGCCCCATGGGTTACTTCAAGCACCGTACCACAGCTTGTGTACATAAATTGTAGCTGAGAGTGAAGTTGGCAGGTTAGGACGGCAGCCATAAGCGGCACATAAGTAATGGCAATGCATGTAATGACGATCACTTCTCCTTGACTGACTTCGACTTGACGTGAGAATATATATATGTATGTGACACGCCGCCACCTATGTATGTGCAAAAATTGATATTTGAATTTACGTCGTATCTACGCAATGGCTGCTTGAGATGTTTCTCCTCGAGCTGACTCTTTTGCTCTCTTCTCCAATCTCGCCTATCCCGCGATACTACGTATTGTCTTTCAGCTACGGCTTCGCCACTCCATACTAAATTCTCACCTCGACCAGGGCGTTTGGATATTATTAATAATCTACCACAGGTCCAATACACCGCGCGTCCAGCACATATACCATTGTACAAAAGGACTCGACTAACTGCCTAGTGTAAGGTGCTTTGGCCCAAAGTCCTATTTACTTCTGCACTAATTATGTAGGCGAAGACAATAGGAGAAGAGGATTTTAACTTCTTATTTTTAAAGTTATCCACTTTCTGGAAATGCGCCAACGGGATCGTCTCTTCTATTGCGCGGAAGATGCCGCCAAATGTGGAGAATTGGTCCAAATTATTCCCATGAGACACGTAGGTATCCGTGTATTATGTACAGTAGTAGTATGGGGGCGGCACAGGTTTTGTCTCATGTTTCCGACTCCACGGCTAGCTATCAACTCAGCAACGGCGGTTACATTGATAATCAATGAATTATCGTGAAAAAAGAGGAAAAAGAAGCATCATCGAGTGTAGTCGTTGGAAGTCAACGAAACAGATAGGTATGGTTTTTTTGTAATTCCGGAAATACCTTCAACTATTTCCGCTTCCCGCGCCGTTTAGACAACCACTTAGCTGTCTGCGGTCCACACAAAACACCAAAAAAAAAAAGCTCGAACGAGTTTTAAATCAGCCTAGGATGCCGATCCCACGCTGGAAGAAGTAAGGCTTAGTGGGAAATAGGGCAGGGCGCTTGCGATGCTACCCCAAACCATGCAGGCTTTGCATGAGGTGATCTCAATGGCGGTCGAATTGGATGGCAGCAAAGTCCTGCCGACTGCCAGCCCACCAAGACGGTAGCAATCAGGTCGACCGAAGAAAAGCGTCTGGTAGGCTAGCCGCAGTACACCGTTGATTGGGGCCAGGGGGGAATGCGTCCCAGGGCAGGCAAAAGGCCCAGCACTGAATGAGGGTAGGTAGGTACATGATGTATGTATCCAGCAGTAAGATTATGGACTACCACCTAAGATCATGGCTTCTGGCCGGGATGCGAATCCTTCCTTGTTTTTCCCTGGCTTATAGCCAATTCCGGGACCCGTTCTGGGTCTTTTGGGGGCCGTTTTATTTGACTTTGGGCTGAGTTCTGCTCATAACCTTGGTGAACCTGATAAATCCGAGTTGGAAGAGAGACCTGTCGTGCTTCTTCTCCACTCATAGATATTGAGCATAGTCGAGGCAAAGTCAACGACCGTTCTTCGCCCGGATCGTCGTCCTAAAATCTACTGTCCTTCCCGCCCGCGAGCACGGCCACTGCGATATAGAGGCACGTACCGGTAGATGATCACGGAATTGTTTATATCTCCTTCCAAACTTGATTGGAATAAGGGAAGGATCCGGATATCAAAACACATCCGAGACGATAGACACGACGACTTCCTCTCCCGTGAGAACATAACCCGGATAATTGAGGCGATTGTGCCCCGTTCGGTTTCATTTTGAGTCGGTCCTTCAGATTGATATCGAGGATATCGCGGGCATTCGCGTATAGGAATTGGGCACGCGAGACAGAAAGGGCGGAAGAGGTGGATCAAAAGTCGAGAAGAATAATTGTGCCCGGCAAAAATAATAATAACAACGCCTTGGCAACTCCACCAAGCCCATCATGTCTCTCGGTGCGCTCACGACGAGCTTCACGCCGCCCGCCGACTGCACCGCGTCGTCGGCGCTCTACTGGGTGAACACAGATTCCACCTTCTACTGGCTACACGGCCGACCGGGCCAATCCTCGTGTTTCCCGGAGAGCTACTCGCCCTATCAGAACCAGTACTATAGCCCCGGAGTATGTCCAGTGGGTTACACACGCGCGTGCGAGTCGGTGTCGACCGGTGGAGACAGCAGCTTCACCACGACGGCGACATGTTGCCCGTAAGTACAATCTACGATGCCCCTTGGTCCTATTTTTTTCCCTCGGCACGCGACAGTCGCGATAGCTATTGAGAAAGTACCTTCCTAGGTATACAAAGCAGCTGTGAGGAACGGCTCAACACATTGGCCGGTGGAAGCAACGTAGTAGCCGGAAGATACAAATATACAAAACGGAAGTCTAACACTATGCATACAGGCAAGGAAACTACGTGTGCGCTTCGACGTCGAGCAGTTATAGTTACCCTTGGGGCCCTACGCTAGGATGTATGAGCGTGTACAGAGTAGACACGCAGACGAGCTTTACGACGATCGACGGTACGATAGCTGGGGACGAGACGGCCGGCTCAGTGACGAGCCTACGCGCCCCGGGCACGATAATGGCGTACGGTGTTGTGATTCAGAACGGCCCGGCAACGGCCACGGCCACATCAGACGCGACGACGACGTCAGGTTCGCAAACATCCACCAGCTCCGTCGCGTCGGAAACCGCGTCTTCAGCGGCAGCATCCAGCACGAGCCACGGGCTTAGCAGCGGTGCCGCGGCCGGCATAGGGATCGGGACAGCGCTTGGCGTTATGGCGATAGGCGGCATGATACTATGGCTGTTCTGGTCGCGGCGGAAGAGGAGGACGCAGATCCCGCAGCAGGAGCTGGAGGCCGAGGCCCCGGGACGAGGGGCAGTGATGACTCCCGGCTCCTGGAGCGATACGACGTGGTCGGCAACCCCCTACCAACATCCCCCTCCTCCTCAGCAGCCATACCCGCACCAACCAACTGTAATACAGGCCAACTGGCCGCCGACGGAGCTAGCCCATAACGGCACACCCGTGGAGATGGGTGACGGAAACCAAATGCCTGCTGAGAAGGACGGGAGGAGTTTGCACTGGCGACAGCCATGACCGGCGAAGAAGAGGAATAGGATGGGGGGGTGGCGTCGGAAGAAAAGCAAATACGGATTTACTCGATAATAATTGAATTTGGAATACCCCAGGCACGTGATTAGACGAACCAGCACGTTGCAGCTCTTTGGTTGAAGTGGTGGACGGGCGGCAGTCAACTAGAATATTAGAAATTTGAGATGTGGCGAGGCAACCATTTTCTCGCCAAGGAAACTTGCAGTCATGCACCTTGCGCCCTTTGTAAATATTTTCGTATTGTATAGCGGGTACAAATCATTGAATGATATGTTACTTTAGCCACCAGGTCATATAAGACTTAAAGGCAAAAAAGAGATTCACGAACATGTTTGGTCTTGTGGCGGTTTGAAGGAAAGTGAAGAGACCCAATGAAGAAAAGGGGGTCGCTCTCCCGTGGATCTATCCCTAGCTCAGGGGCTAGACGACTAGTCACGGGACGGCCCGAAAAAATACCTAAATGTGACAGAAAGGAGTTCGGTGGTTAACCTACCTGTGGCTTTCTGCAGGCGTATAAGAAAGAAAAAGATTTTTTTTTTGAATGGCCTAGCCCGAGGTATTGTCGATCTGCTTCTGACTACTGCGCCCCCCGCTATTAGGTCCATATTTGTTTGCCACTCATTTCAGGCCTGCAAATATTCGCAACTTTTGAGAATCGAACTCTTCGATCTCCCTATTTAACTTTTGGTCCGAAAGGGGTGGACTAGTAGCGGTACCTCATAGTGATAGTCCCTACAGGCGCTTGGGGTGACTTGAGGGTATTTGTCCATGAGCACCCGTGAATAGGTAAGGTGAACTGGCTGTGGATTAGTAGCGGCTACCTTCGCATCGTTACCTGAGGCAAGCATGTTGGAAACTTGAAGACTTCTAGCAATACCCTACCTTGACTGCCTTGGGCAATTTCCAGAATGACGCGTCATTACTGATACATGACAGTGCATCAGTTTCCAAGCGAATAATTTCGAAAAGGGTGTATAGTGTGCCAAGGGCAGCACTTCCGCGTATCTATAACACTTGAGATCGATCGAGTGTACGCATGATGAATTTGAGACGCCAACTGAGGGGTCGATTCGAGACGACTGGCTGTGAACGAGTATCGGCTGTAACTCTCAGTGGCAATGCAAGATATCAGCTTCCATGTGTAGCAACAATCGACGAGGCCGTTCGAAGAGCCATCACAAGGTTCCAGCCGGCGCAAGCTCCCCATTATAGAACAATCTAGACAGCTTCGAGGCGAATCTGTCCCCATCATTGGCTCGGCCCCGAGGAAATGTTTCGACTCCAGCGTCCAGGCCACGAGACCACGATGCCTGCCGTCCGCGAGTCACAGCCTCCTAGATGTTCCAACAGCGGTGATATTGTCGCTTGCATCGATCCGTGTCCCTACTGTGATCGTCAGTCCGGAGAAAGCCGCTAGTGGAAGCAATTGGGCCAGGAAGTTGGGGTAATCACTTGTCTGCAATGATGAGTAGCTAGATTAAGCATCATCCCGACAATGGCCAAGCCGAGTGGCCGGTTGATGTGGATCGGCGCTGAGTTTCAGTCGGCGGAGTGATGCATACCTCAGCCTCTTCTCCGCATCGACGTCGTGAAAGACGGCAGTCGTCACGGATTCAAGGCGTCGGTCTCATGATAGACTACAAGTCTTATCTCGATGCTCTCCAGTAACGTCGCATCATATTAGGGGGATCCACAGCATTTCCGGTCTTGCCGCCACTGGAGGCGTATTAGAAAGTATCATCAGGATTATACAAATTCTTACACATGCTCATCACTGAGGCTGACAAGTAGAGATATCTGGGATATTGCGTACCTCGTCAAGCCATACGTATTAGGCCAAAAGGACGTCACTCGGGGAGCTGGACGCGAGCGACCAAAGTCTTCCTCGCTTGCATCTAAGTGATTTTTCAGCTCTTACGCTTACATGTCTGCATGTATTCCGTTGGCGCCATCTTCGTGGCGACCTACTTCGACGAAACAAATCCGATCGACAGAGCAGAGATACTATCGGCCATTCGTTGAAAACTTCGTGCCAACCATCTCACTTTTGTGGGCGGATGATACTCGTGTCGGATGAGATTCTAACAAAGGCTCCACAAGCATACTAAGGTGTAAGCCGACATGCCTTCAGCTTCCTATCGCCATACTAAGAATCCTATAATAAGGAGACGCTTAGTTGAACAACAGCGCGCCCACTCCTTGCATTAGGTGGAGACAAATGTGTCCATTTCCAATTAACCGCATTAGGGGAGGGTATGATTATTGCTTTCCTGACTTGTCTGGGAACAGGTGTCATACCAGAGCGGAACTGGGACTTAGGGGCCGCGATCCTGATCTGCGAATAGGGGGTGATCCAGCTAACTGTGCAGAGATTTAGGAGGGTAGCCAAACAGATGTCATTGTCGTACTAGCTGCAGTAATACCTCGGTGCAGCTTCTGCAGGTTCTCTCTCCCTAGCCGATTCCAGTAAGTATGTCCAGGCCCCTGAGCACGGTGATAGGATTACCGGATGCTTATCCTGGACCCTGCTGTTGTACAACAGCATGATATTAGAACAATAATCATTTACAAACCCCCTATGTTCCACGATAATGTAGGTGGTTCGTAATAGACAGCCTTGTCGTTTGGGACCTGCCCCAATTCCAAGTTGGGTAATATGGCAAGGCTTTGAAGTTAGAATAATTCCCATCTTGTCGGGGGAGTTGCCGGACAACCAGTATCGACCATAATACCGTAGGGTAAACCTTCCTTATTGCACTAGACAATACTAGAAAGCGAGCTAGCTTGCCATCTTCTCGCACCTCCAAGCCTCTAGAACAGGAAATGAGGGATTTGCATGTAGGAAAATTTTGGTCGTGTTGTTCTCGTAATTAGCCCTAGACTGGACACATGCAGACCGGCCATAAACCCACTGTAGCCTGTAATACGACTCATCTCTAGATTAAGAGCCTAGTTGCAGATCAATACTGATAGCTTAGGGTGCAGCATCGTGTGATGCAAACAGGTGTCCAGCAGCATTGCATTGCATACCATTAGTGGGACAGTGAAAGAACGTCAGCGAACAAAGTAGACTCCCGAGTAGGGCGTACATACATAGAAGATGTAGCGGAGCCAACAGCTTGGGTCGACTATTCAGGTTGATGCGCTATCGAAAAAGGTTACCAAAATGTACCCGGCTGCCGTCAATATTCAAGCTGCATTTTGATAGATTTGATGTTCCTAGAAGATAATCGTAGGTTGTGAAGTACCTAGGTACTCTAACTCCGAGTCTGTACAGAGATCTGGATGAACCGTCTCGATCTCGGCTAGAATCGAAAGATAGACGCAGTTATGAGACCGGAACGTTCTGAAGCAAACTCTGCTCATGTGATAGCAAATCGATAATAATGTAGCGGGTACTAGCTAAAAAAAGATCGATAGATCTCTGCTTAGTTGGGTTTGATTAAAGTTAGTTTACGAATCTGGTGTGGAGGATAGGTACAGGATTGGCTGGGAATAGCTTCGCAATCCGGCCTAGCAATCTACCGCGGAGAAAGTATTGCACGACAGCATATTACTAAGCCGCATGATATCGAGAGGTACCCATCTAAGCCAAATCATTAAGCATAAGAGGGCGGCCGTCACGTCATATAATATCTTAGGGTGACATACCTAGGAAACCACTGGCTAAGTAACGATATCCGTTACGAAGGCACACCAGCCGCAGGCTAACTGGCCGGCATGTAGTCTCATGAGTAGAATACAAGCACGGCTTACAGCTCGTTTTCGTCCATGTTGTGTACTTAAGAGACATGGCTTCCTTGAAAGTGTGATGAATTATGCATTGATTGAAATGCTCTAAATCCAAGGACTTGGCAGGATCCGCAGTCCAGTCAGCCAGCACGACTATAACCTCGCAGTTTCGATACATTCCCAAGCTTTTGTGAGAGGGCAAATGATGTCTCGAAGATTGATAACCCTATGAAGTACTCGCAAGTTCGGTTTCAAAAGCCGGGTAACGCTTATGGTAATACATCGACGAGCGGGTGGCTTATCCAAGTTATTCATTGGTACTTGGTATGAAGATCGGTGGGTAACATTATACAAGAAGCCGGTAACCTGGAACCGCCATGGAAAGGCCCGTCCAGGACGAGATGTTGACGCGTTATTCATATGCTCGTACATAGGCAAAGTACCCAGGTAAGTATGGGCTACGTCGAGGAATTGGTAGTGTGACATCATGGTTAACAAGCGAAGAGGCAATCTCTGGACCTAGATACGCGCCGTTGTGAGAGTAATGAGACTGACGGAAGAAACATTGTCCCAAGTGCCTATCTAAGTAAGTAAATCTTGAGAAGATGAGAGGCAAACCACAACTTTCCAGATCCTAGAACTGTGAACTGGCGTAAATACCGGAATGAGGCTTGCGCAATTTAATGAAGAACAGAACTACATGCAGCATGTCGGATTTGTTACATGTAACAGGCAAATGATGGATAAGAGGAGTGAAAGAATAGGCATTGTGAGGGAGTAAGATTGTCTTTTTTGCCATGTCGTATACAAAGTATAAAATAAAATTTCTTGTTGATAGAGAATTGGTGTGGGAAATTCAAGAAGTGATGTCAAGGGTCTCTTTTGTGAAACCCTGTCAAATAACCCCGGCTCTCCAATCCCGGAGAATTTTCAACCTTCTGGATCCCGGTCTAAAATGGAAGGCCCTAGCCGACCTAGTAAGAAGGCGGGAGTCAGTGCTTTCCGGTACCTACCTGTATGTAAGGGCTTGCTGATCCCAAACTAACGCAAGGACCCTTATGGGGAACTTACTTTGGTTAGGGGGTACATATGTAAGTAGGTACAGATTCATCCATAATATATCCGCTGCTCAATGTAGTACACGTCCATCCCCGCCAACAAGTATGTATTATCCGTAGGTATGATGTATTTTCACATGTAGTTTAACACTACATACAAGCATCCCTATGTAAGTATGTAGTAGATAATTAACAAGCCCGTCTTTAACTTATAACGGTAGGACAACGCAAGGGGATCGATTATACATATTTATGCCGTTATCCACCGCGGAGTACATCCCAACCAATAGTTGGGTATCAACTTGTCATGTCATGTTCAGCCTCATTTCAGGGTGTGCCTTTTGAACTTTAGACAACTGGTCCGCAGCACGTAGCATTATCGTGAAGAAAAGGATGACAAATTGTTCCTCTTAGGGGATTTGATATCGAGATGACATGACACCTTCGATCTCCTACACCGCCGTATTCAATCCTGAAGGTGAACATAACATTTATTACTATGGATGTACATAGTAGCGTATGGCCGCAGTGCAGTGCAGTGTAACCGCGGGCGCAGGCGGAAGACAAGTTAGTCTCCCCAGAGGTCTGTATCGATCTCCCCGAGGAATCGCAGATCTCAATGGGCAAAGTCCCGTGTATGTGCGACAATAATGCGGCACTGCGGCGGCAACACCAGAATGCCAGAGTAGGTACCAAATGGTAGGTACCCTAATTACGTTGGGACGATGGAAAATGGTTATTATATAAGAGCCAACCAAAGACCAAGTTCTATCAGAATTCATATATCCCACATTCGGAGTTGGCTCGTGTAATTGTTTTGAATCCATGCCTTCTTTCGATCCGAGTCTCCGCTAATGGCCGATTGTTCTTATTCTGTTATTACTGTCGCATTGCAAAAGACCACAGAGTCCAGTCATCGTGGCCCGATCATTCTCTGCCGGCGCTCAGTCCTGCATTTGCGCCGCTGTTACACAAACAAGTACCAAAGAGAATATTTTGGTAACGTCAAATTTACATACCACAAAGGTACTGCATATATGGGTCATCCTCCATGTATGATACGTTAGAGGTCTATCTGTCAGCTGCTTTTCATGTGCTTCCTATTCGATGAGCGTGTACCAGAGCAAATGAAGGTGTGTTTCCAGAATAAATGGCGACCCACTAATAGACCCTGGTTGTTGCAGGGTCTTGAATGATGCATGGCAGGGGATCGCCGTTGGTAATGGGATTTTTCGTCCTTTTTTTAAGACTGCTTCTTCTAGGCGTGTTCAAAATACAGGCAGTAGATTTAGAAACTGAGACCTCCATGGATGTCTCTCCAGGCAGAAACTACATAGCTAGATACTATATGATACATGTATACGAAGTGGCACTTCTACATAGGAGGTACGTATCCTAACGGCGTACACGGCGTACATGTGTGATACCCCTGAAGAGATAAATAAGGATGCTTCCGCACGCCTACCTTGGGTAGATCCCATTGCTTTTCGGAGCATCCTTGTAGCAAGAGCCATTTTGGGTTCTTTCGTACTAGGCTGTGATTTCTTTACTGATTTGGACTTTGTCGTCCGTCAGTGAAGCTCCGTCGCTTGGCTGTCAGCGGACAGTCACCTCTTGTCCTTATCACCCAGTATATTCCTTATTTATCCCGCAACTCAGTCATCAAGACCTTCTCTTCGAAGCTGCCTATAGTCTATCGGGGTGACTAGCTGATTTTTGTCACCATGAGTGGAAGCGGCGGCTACTACAAGTACCGATGCAAGTACTTCTATACCCATAACTGCCCCAACTGGGTCTACGTGAATAATTCCCCTTGCGCAAACTGCTGCGTAAGTCACTTACACAGAAATATGGTTATCTAACATTGGGTTAAGAATTAGCTAATATTTGGAAATAGGCGGAAGGGCGCGAGGTCGATGGTGGAGCTCCCGAGATGCCTCCGTCGAGGTACTCACATGACATTTGCGTCCCACGAGTCGAAGATGGCGTTGTACACTACACGCTGATGGAAATCGTCAACACAGACGAGTCCGGAAACCAGTGGACGCTGAGATACAAGGTCGACCAAGCTCAGGTTCCCACCGTCATGACGACCAGTGCTACTCCTGGCCCGCCAGTCCCGGCTACGAGTTATTGAAACAAGAACGACTTGCGGCCAAATATGACAGCAAAAGATGTCGAATGTTGACAGCTACATGAAACTGTTTGATATGGTTTCCCGGGGTCATAAGATAGCAGATTTAGGCATTGGGGATATCTAAGACAGGCCAGATTGTGGGGCGCAGCCACCATGTTGCGCCTAAGTTGTAATTATGGACTGACGATCGTATGGCGGAAAGGGCGGCGTTTCTTGCAAAATTTCCACCCATTCTTATTAGCGTGGCTGGGCATAAGGATGACTGTTGTAGATTGGCGATGGAAATATTTATAATTTGACATCACGAAAAATCCTTGTTATAATTCGGAAATACGCACATCACGCCCTAATGATAGGACGGGAGGCCGAGATGTTATTTTGAGGTTTTCAGCACTAATACGGCTATAGCCAATGGCAAAATGACACTTTACACCAGTTTATCCCGCAAACTATACACATGGGTGAAGACATTGATCATTTCGTTTCGGTATCTAACGCTTAGTCTAGTTATGTTTTGGTTAACATTCGATATGCCGGGAGCCACAAGGCTACACAGATTCTTTTTTTCAGTGGAGGGATAGAAAATTCGTTGAACGGACGAAGATACGCGAGGCCGAGGTGGCAACGATGGAACAGCGTCGCAATACAGATCTCGGGGTCCTTGATTGGGCCTACTGCATGACTTGTTGCGTTAGCTGTGAGCCTCGTGATGACCGACCTACCACCGTCCTGCAGCTTGTAAGCGCTCTGCAAGCAGAACACGGATGACAGGATCTGTTTCTAGAATTTCATAGAGCTTACTGCATCTGCTCAAGTTATGAAGGCTGGCAGAGCATTTTGACCGACTCTTTAATTTTTATGACTTGATCATTGCTGGATATTGAAGAAGGGTTAATGTAACAACAGCCGTGTTAATAACTCGTGGCGCATTGCAGCTCTCCAAATACCCATTTGAGATCATCGAAGTCAAGAAGAGGGCAATGGTCCGCAAGCTAAACCGTTGCGTTGGTAGACTCGTACGACGCGGAATTGCGATGCTCGATTTATGTTGCAAGAATGCTACGGTCATGACAGTACCACGCACTATCTGAATATTTCGAAACCCCTTCGGTTCAAGACGACATTGATAGCACAGATATAGATAACCGAGGCTTATATGCGACGCTCCCCTGAATCTCCTTGGACACTATATGACTAAGAAGGTAGGTAGTAGGTAGGAGAAGCAACAACAAATTCGAATTAGGGTGCCTAGAGACGTAACCTTATGTGTTTTTGCCAAGGAAATATTATTCATACTATTATCTGGGTTGTAATGATGATGAATTAATATGGATACGTACATAACCCTACGGACCCATCCAGCCGAACCAGTCGGCCTATTACATGGGGAAGGGGTGGTTGGGAAATCGGGAACGCTAGGACGTGCCTGCCCGTAGCCGCTACATTTTAGGAGCATTAAGGGTGGGGGCTTCCCGGTATGGGGTATCGTAAGCCCTGTCCGGCCACGTGCTTTATTCTTGGACTTACTTTCCCGGGCCGCAGAACCCCACTCCTCATGTGTCCATGCTTTCAACGGCGACTTTTTAGCTCCTTCTGCTCCTTGCAATTCTTTTTTCTACAACCGCGAATATCCTCAATTCCGAGCCTCCCCGCAGTGGATAATATTTGATGTGGAAGATGTTATAAACAGCATTGACAACGGAGGACGAGCATGTAAGCATTGATAGATTACGCGGAAATGCACAACATTCCCGATTCCGCGATGCCTACCACTGCAGGAAATATCTGACAGCTGCAAATCTCGTACGACCCACCTCCGATTTATTAATGTATTACATGCTGTGTTACGACTAGATACATTCATCATCACCTCAGATGCGTGTAGTGGACAAGTACCCAGCGATTCTCCCCGCCCAGACCACCTCGCTGATTCCCCCCCTGCCATGCGCGTCAATTGTTCGGCTGGTGATCTACACTAAGCTGAAATTCAGAAATACCATACATACCTAACTACATAATATGTAAGTAAATGGTCTAGATTTCCCACCGGGCCGAGAAAACCCTAGCCGTTTCTCGAAGTTCTCGTTTCTTACCTATACATCTCCAACTGCGGCATTCGGACTTGGTCGGTAAACGACCACTCTGCAACTTCGGCATGGTATTGGGTCGATGCTAAGCGTGAGTGGGACGTCAGCTTACCTAGGCAGGTAGATATGTATTTCCTTTCCGGTAAGCTGTCAGGGTATTAGTTCATGCCCTAGGTTACGACATACCTAGGTACCCAGGTAGTCCTATGTAGGGCTGAAACATTGACATCAGACATAATGAAGGAAATATATTTTCTTGAATCAAGAGTAGAAAACAGACTCATGCCATCTACGTTGTCATTATGATGGCAATAGAAAATATATTTGGCTTGCTGTATACCTAATAATCCCGATACCTAGCAGACTCGGAGGAATAGACTACATCTACACTATGTAGTAAACGTACTTCTCTACCTACCCAAGTATCGCCATCACGATGCGGACCCAGCATACGAGGAGTCGGCACACATGCAGAAAATGTCTTTTGTCTATTCTACTCTAGGGCCAGCCACCAACAGGTCTCCTACGGGCCGAACTCCGATCCGACTGGATCTCTAACAATAGTGTTTCCTTTCAACATTTTATCTAAAGTTCATGCCCGAAGCTTCTCAAGATTGAGATCGTACTCAGCCTACATCATAAGCTTACCAAACAACTACAGGATGTGGTGATGTGACGAGAAATGGATTCGAATGAAGCTTTTGCACCACGACACTTTACCTATTGAGTAACATTCGTAAAGCGACGTGCCTACATCGTCCCCTACTGTCAACTTACGAATTAAATGTAGATTACACTATATATCATGTCGTATTAGGTTTGGGGTTTGTTATCTACTTATGGTACTCCAATGAGTCTGACATGCTCAGAAGGCAAGGGGGGGGACACTTGTTCCAATCTCGTCCGCGCATCTTTTAGAAGGGTTGTATTATTATTTTCTCTATTTAGGCGCTGGAGCCAAGACTCGTATGATCTATTTAAACGAAGCTACTGTGTTTTTCTATGTCTTGTTTGTCGGTCCTTCTCAACGTTGGGTCCCAAGTGACGGCCGTAGCTTCTGAAAACTACCTGGCAGTGATTTACTGCGATGGGTTTAATGTAAGGGAAAGAAAAGAAAGGTCACGCGGAACCATCCACGCCCTCGGTTAGATATGCCAGACTTCTGTTTCATCGCTAGACTGCGTTGGCCCTCCTGACGTTGATCGTGGCCCGCCACGACGAACTTTGGTGATAGGAAACGTACAAACATCCTTGTTCCAATCATATGCTCTCTGGTGGCATATTACATGTGCTCCAGTTGCTTAGATATATTAGATAATTTACTTCTAGGGATACCCACATGATGCCCTAAAAAACAGCAGACCACTATGGAGAATCGTTGCATCTAAACATCGAATTACCTGCAGCACTACTAATATTGGTGTCGTTTAAACTTATCTAAATCCCCAGCTCGCTCTAGACCACCCAAGCTCATTTAGAGATAGGTGGCATCGAAGTGACCATGAAGGGTGGCCGGCGACGTTATTGCAGTATTCCGTAGCGAATAAGCTAGATCTCAGAGTAAACGTTAAGGCAGAGACCTCGTACCCGTGATCGACATGGATGAGTATCATATCTGTCGCTACGGCCGTGATGCGCTATCCCCAAAATTACCTTGCTTGCGATCATACTGGTGTGGTAATCTACAGCTTGGTGCGGCTTTTAGCAAACTCGCTTGAAGAAGGCCAAGCCGAGCAGGTATGACACCATTTCAACCTAAGCGAACTTGGGCGGTGATGTACACTTGAGGGTATTCCGCTACTAACTATAGACTCCTATGACTGGCAATTTGGCCTGACCGTAGTTTGGTTCGATGGATGTCAGCCACACTGAAGTGCTACGAGCTTGTCATGAGGAATGTTCCGCATTATGTATAATAAATATCCACGGATTATGAATTTAGACTTCTCGAGTAAACTCGACTAATTTACCTTGAAGGTTTGATGGTTATTGCCATGTTCAACGTAGATAAAAGACTGCTTTTCTTGTGTATGTATAGATTTCATGTATTCCTATGCTTGTTTTCTGACCGTACGAAGCGAGCTTAATTGACCAATCAAAGAAGTACGCGATACATTCATTGCCTGTCAACTTAACTGCAGCCGTAGACTTTTATTCAGTTGAGAGACTAGGTGGTATCCCTTAAGACGATGATTATTCATGTGATACGTAATAGCAGAAAAGTTTTTGCAAGCCCCGAACAACTCCTTAATTTAACTGCATTTATTCTCTGCTTTTGCTTTTGACTCCTGGAATTCTCGTAGTATTTACCTATTTATGTAGGTGTGTACCTAACTATCGGTCCTTCGTATTCACGGCTAGCCTAACATAGGTAGATATCCATTGCCTCTTTGGCAGAAAATTACTCCTATCGGCCAACTCTACCTATCCAGAATTCGTCAGACCGCTGATTCAAAATTGGCTAGATAGGTCGTTATGATGTACCTACATATTCTGCCTCGACAGCCAATTTTCATCACATGATGGCGCATTAATCCAAAAAATCCCGAGAGGTTGGCCCCCAAAGATCGACACGCATATGGTGTCGGTATTGCATATATGATCATTGACGCAATTATAAGAAGAACCGGAAGACTAATCGGGTATTGAATGCATTATTTAATATCACTATGATGTTAAAGAGGGAGAATAACCGTGGATAACTATCCAATTATTTGGAACGAGTGGCACGAGACTGAGTAAAATAAATAGCATGGTACATAATCCCCGCTCCATATTATGCTATTAGGTAGATCAGAAGAATCTAAGGGGAAGGTCTCGGCCCAATTGAGTAGGCATCACTCGTTAGGTGGATAAGCCGAGACTACAATTTCGTAAGATAGAAATGCCTGTAACTAACATATTTGGAATGATTATAGGAAAATAGGTATAGCGAACTCATATGTTGATGTATTAGGCATTATTGCCGAACCGGGGTTCGTGGCTTTATCCCTTTCTAGCCCAATTCCATCAACCGTCCTTGCTAATACTTTTCTTAATTAAAGCAAGAAGATTTTCTGTCTCGGCGAGATAATCGACAAAGAAAATGAATATGAGAGGTACCTATATCCAGAGCTGATGCATAGCTCCTTTAACCAAGTCGACCACCTAACCTTTCTTACCTAGGTGTGTTTATACCTGTTACTCTTATGGCTTCTTAGGTTCTATCAAACCCAAAGCGAGGCGACGACATACTACGCGCGATCTTCAACTCGACGACCACTTTTTCCAACATCATATTACCACTTGCTCGTTTATAGAATACTCGACGTGTCGAGTCCTTGCCCTTCGGATCCGATGGAATCTTGCGACGCGAAGAACTTCAGCTACAGGACAACGAACTTGTCCGGAGCCGCCTACATCTACCATTTGTATTACGGGCGATACTATTATCATCGACGTGACCTCAAGTCCATGGATATTGTCAAGTTCTAAACGGAGGATGATATAAAACAGCATATTCCGATATCGTGTCTGTCATGTCATCATGTCATTGACCTAGAGCACCAGTGACATGATCTATCAGCCTATAGGATACTGTTCAACATTTACGTATTTATGCCGTTATATATGCCGTTGCAAGCCCTTTTATGCACTAATTTAATTTTAAAGAGAACTCCTATACAAAACCGCCCCCGAGACGAACTTCGTTTATCTCCTAGACTTTACCGTTGATCGTACAGTCTACACGGATAGACATGCCTATCGAATTCGATCATTCCAGTATCGAACAATCCCGACGAGTCCGAGGTGGTGGCAAGGCACGTGGGTTGGATATTCAAATTGCAACCACCAGTCACGAATACATCTTCGAGTAGCCAATAGCCTCAGACAGGAATTGCAAAATACAGAATAAGGGGAACCCCAAGCTACGGTTGGGTATCATGACTTGAGTTCGAGTTATCCGAAGTTCATGTGATCTTTACCTGAGCCCATCTAGAATTTAAAGTCAGGTTTCATGGAGCTTGCCTGAATCCAAGCAGAAAATACATTCAATATCACGGAGAAAGATGACGATAGTGGAAAGACCGTAACACATTTACATGTGTGCTTCCAGTCGCTGACCTGTCATATCCATAATTGGCCATCGAGCTGTAATGATAATATATCAAGAACCAATTACTACAGAGGCTGACTGGAATATGAGTTGGAAGTACCTGGGCATTGAGGTCCAGTACTTTGCAACGCCGGGTAATAAATCCAGGAGAATCCATATGTGTGTACTGTACCGAGATTGGTCTCCAACGGAAAAACTGACATCCATCTTTCTCATCAAGAGTAGGAACACATCCCTGGGACGAGGAAGGAATAGCTCTTAGGCAACTGTTAAGGTCACTGCAATATCAAGACCGCTTCCTTATTTCGTTTCTCTACCTAAGTTTCCTTCAAATGCAAATCTCATGAAGGCGCCCCAGTCACCAAGCAGGGAAATTAGGAGGCTTTAGCGGTACTAATCTATTCAAATTAAGCTATGAATCGTCATAATCATGATCATGAATTATTTAGTTTCTACACGTTAAGACATTAGAGAGACAAGCAAAGCACTGCCATAACTGGTAGCCAACTTAAACTCCAGCTCCAACGGACGGAGGAAGAGCCGGCATTTCCAAATCCGCGACCTTGATACCCGTACGTCACGTTCTGAATGACAGCTGGATTATAGCAATTTCCGCCAACAATATCTACTCCTTTCAGGTCGTCAGGAGTTAAGAAGAACATGTACTGCTTCTGGTCAATGCCCTCGAAGCCCTTCGTATCGTACGGAAACAGGTCCGAACTGTCCGTGGCGGTGGTGTTGCGTAGAAAGATGCACTGGACCTGGCCCGGGTAGTCTTTTACCATCTGCGGGTAATCCTTCATGACATCCGAATTGGATGTATCGGCAATGAGGACGAATTTACGCTGCGGGAATGTCTGGAAGATCTTGTCTAGCAGCGCTTTGCGGATTGATAATGTTGCCGAAACGTCTGAGAAGTTGAGGGGTCGCGTGTCGAATGAGCCTAGGGGGTATGTCTTGAAGATGAAACTTCAGACATTTAGAGTTAGTTCTCTGTGCGAATTCAGACATCCTTAAGACCCGAGAATTATGTATTAACTTACTCCATATAGTTTCTCGTCACCTGTTCCGGTGTTGTAGTGAGGTAATGAAAGTGGAAATTTGGTATGGTAGCGGACCAATTGGCGTATATTTCCGGCATGTTCATCCAGGGCGTGAACGCTCGAGCAAAAGAATTCAGGAGACCCTCCTTCGGATCATAAATCTTGGTGACACGGAGAATATCGTCGATATCGGAGATAATGGTGAAACCCTCTGGCGGAACTAGGTAGGCGGTCGCGTTTCCCGAATTGGTCCCGTTCGTATACATATTGAGAGCCTGAATGGATGAAGTAGCGTTACCGGCCATTAAGTGTCCACCACTGGGACCTGTTGTATTCTGAAGGAGGACCAATGCATCGAAGTCGCCCTCATCAGTCGTCGGGTACGGAAGCTTGAGGGTTTGAGCACCACCTTCCTACGGATTGGCCTTGTTTAGCTGGGTGATACATTTGTCATATCAATTCAATAAATATTGACTCACAGCATTTATGACGCCGCCGCTTGCATCAGGGCGGATATCGACGTCGTTCTCGAAGTTCATAGTGACATTCACATCCCTTTGCTGAACGACGAAGATGGAAGCCGTCATATTCCTCGCCTGCGTTTGTTCCGGCAATGACAACTCCTCAATATCTGTACCAACTAGGAATACATTGGCCAAGTCATTGAGCTTTGACTCCGAGATATTGGGCTGCTTGTAGACATTGCCATGTATCCTAACGTTCCATCCTTGCTCGGTCCAATTGGCATAGGCCCTAGATTTCGATTTGGGTTAGTCTAGGAGGATGAGAATCTGGAGTAATGTGGTTCTTACGGAAGATTTAGAACTTGAGTTGGCGTTGCGGCAAGATCTGAGCTGTTTATCCCCAGAGAACTTTCTACGGCTGTGCCACTAGGGAAGTCTTGAAAGAATTGGGGCACGCCCGATGCTACGTAGCTGGAAACATCGCTTCCTAAACTAGTAATAAGGCCATGGACGTAACTGGCCGCATCGAAATCGCGCTCTACTATTCGAGTTTTTAGGTCTGGAGCTGGTGTAATCATAGGATGGCTCGGTGGTATAGCTATGACTGACCTAGTTAACAGTAGCGGCAATAGCCATGCTAAAGTCAGCCGGTCATATAACAAGATCATCATTAGTCTTAGGTAAACGAATGTATTTGAATAATGATTGTAGGGTTGCTCATTTATTTACACTGGTGGGACGAAGCTCGGAAGCATGCATAAAGGGTAATCTAGGTTGTTCAAGGTAACAGAAATCTAAAATATCTGTACGTACTGGTCTCCTTTTTATTCAATCAAATCAATTCTGGGAGATGACATGCGTGGCACGCTAGCATTCTGTCCTGCCTTGTTTGTTGTTGGCAAGTCCTTTGTCTTCCCAGTGGCTTGGCGATGACATCACTGGGCCGTGATGGTTCCTTGCATGTGTGATGCGGGAATGGGGAATCAATCCTGGAAACCGGAATTTACCCATCAAATAAGGTTATGTAAGAAAAGCGGCCGGAGCCGAGTGTTACGTCTCGGCCCCGCTTGTCTTAGTTGAGAACATCGGGATGGAAGGAGCGAAGAAAACTGAAACTTGCCCGTCTTGTACCTACCGATTGTAACGAGCTGGGGTTAGCCGACGAAAGAACTATACGATACCTAGTAGGTAGCTAATTAGCTGATAGCCTGATGATTCTAGTCTCCTTATCAAGACTGGAATCAAACGGTGCCACGATAACTATACAGAGAAGGATCGAGCGGAATTCGAATATCGTTTCATTAAGTAAGTACCTAGATATTCAGGCGTCATCGTGATGGTAGTACTTCCGAAGCCGAGAACTGTTTGTGCATCCATGTCGATCGCTGACACCATCTCACCGACAACCCTCCAACACCATCCGAGTCCTGTATCGATTGAGATCAGATATTCTCAACTAGTCGCAAGTTGAATATCTCAAATTCATCGACCATAGAATTCCTCCAATCAAAATTGGTTAATTCATCTCTCCATTCAGTACTGAAGCTTTGGGATTAGGTATTCGGCGAATATTGGTAACCGTCGTAAGGCTTGCCCATACAACGAAACAATTCGGGTTTAACGAATCTCGCATCCTTGTAGCGCCTTGTCGTCTCGTTGCCGAATTTTGTTTCACTCGACGAATGGCCAGTATCATGTTTCGAGGTTGATACTACGTCCAAAACGTGCGTAGAGCTCAACCTTCAACTGTGTCATCTCGTCTTTCACCGTAGCGAGCTTCTCTTCGAGCCCCGACACATCTTCCTCCATACGCGAAGTCGACGAGGCTAGTAGTTCTTGCGCCTGTGGCAATGGTATGTGGAAGAAAGCGTCACCAATCTTGTACCTATGTGTTGAGTCGCTTGTCAGTCGCTGCTAAATCCCCCGGTGATTGTTGCGGTGGCTCGTCCAATTATCGTCATGCCATATCTGTACATTCCGTAGGGGGAGTTTGGAATGTTCTTACGGTATTTTGTCATCCTCGTCGGCAAGCTCCAGTTCCATGGTGATATCGTCGAGTTCTTCCTTCTCTTTCTATATGACAGGGTCCCGTTAGCAACCACAGTTGGTTTGTACAAGGTCGAAGCTTGGGCTTAGTTTTCGTACATTCTTGGTTTTTAGCTCCTCTTCTAGGCCCAGTTCTCGTTGATGTAGGCGGCTGAATTTGTTGATCTTGTCTTGGTCTTCGCGACGGACCTCGACCTCCTCACCGGCCGCTTCATCTTCTTTGGTAAGCTAATAGTAAAGGTATGTCGGTTAGTTCTATAATGAATTGGGATAGTAGGAAATAGGTGCAAGCTAACCATACGACGATTCATCTTTTTTAGATTTGGTGGTTCCCCCTTTTTATCAGGCCGTTTGTCGCGAAACAGAGTGTCTATGAAGCTCAAGCTTCCACAACCGAGAGCTTTGAAGGTGGGGTGAACGTTAGGCGGGATCAGGTAAGGCCATTGTAGGTACTAGGTACATGACAAACTTTAGACAGGTACTCAATTTAGAGGGCTGGGTCACGTGACTGATAAGATACCTAACCCAACACCAGACGGAGTTTTATTAAACATCAGGTTATTACAATATTCGAATATCCCATCTTAAACAGATGAAACCTGTACCTATAAATGAATTTAAGCTTAAACTGGGCGCATTACCTTCAGTGTTGTATGTCTTAGCCACATATTTACATACTGAATATTCTGTTATTTTGGGGATGTTACTCAAAAGTACGAAACGTACATGTACCCAACCTGATTTTAGGTACGCTATTGTGCATCAGTAGCAACGACGCCTGAACCAATGAATGTGCTTGTATCTTTTTGATACTTCCATCATACCACACAGCAGAGAATTGTAAATTATATTAGCAAGCATGCTTCATGTCAAAGTGATGCTCGTTTGTCTAATCTGAGCTCTTTATTTCATATGACGATGGGTACCTGACCTTTGGTTAAATATTGAACACCATCCCTCTGGCCTTACTACATTCCAGTTGTGACTAAGACGAAATACTACTAGCAGTACTTTTCGCCCGCTACGTATCATAGGTAGCTATTGTACTTGCATACCTACTAGGTACCTAGGTAGGCACATATCGACGAACTTCTCCCAAAACAAAGAATAGTTCGCCTTTTGGGCAACCTACCAGTCGCCCCACGATGTCGCATTCATTTGACCAGGAGTCTGATGGCTACAATGAAGTCCGTCCGACTTTCTACATCGGTCAACATGACTCGACGAGGTCTGATTCGTTGACTGACTTACAATACGGTCAAGTCCTGAACTCTGGTGTAAGTGATCATCAGCCGAATTTAATACAGCGATACTTATACAATGCGCAGTTTAGCTTTATTACAACCCCCATCACCAACGAGCATTTTCATGATCGCGTCTTGAATCTCCTCAAAGCTAGCCTGTTGGATGCCAAAAACAACGAGCAAGCAGGCTCCATTTTAGATCCGGTGGTACCACCCTTGACCACCGAGGATACTAACCTCTTCCCGGGAACCTACACAAGTGGGCTTGTTGCTTACTCTAGCCCGTGGATTGACTTATGCTCTCCTAATCATGTTATCTCCAGCATTTCTAGGCAGGTCCTGAATCTGGAAGTCTCCTATGCCAATTTCTGTGGTGTCAGGAGCATCATAGTACCTGGACCTAGGCAGGACTCGATCAAGGTTGGCAACAGCCAAGGGATCGCTCAGTATGGCCGAGCTATCCACGAAGCCTTTTCCATCGGAACACGGATTAGCATTATCGTCCACATTCCCATGTATCGCGAGCCTAGCCTAGAAGAAAAGGTACCGCAGTTGTCTTTATTCGACGAAAACACAAGCGAAACACCCTCCAAAGAAGAAATCGATCTCTTCAGTGCCTGGGACTCTTGGCACCTCATTCGTACTGTTTGTGAATACGATGCTAGGCTTTTCGTTGGTACGTACCTCCTATTGCTGTGTTTACTGCCCAACATGGTGAATGGTTTGCCATGATAGTTGCAACGTCGTCATTGATCTCATTGCTAACTCGGTACTAAGCCCTCAAAATCCCACGTGTGCTTCCGGAGAAGGAACTTCAGACGAGATGGTTCTCAGAGCCTCTTCAATATCTGTCGTTTAATCCCCAGACATTCCAGACGAACAAAGCCGGACACCCTTCTCTTAGCCGCCATCATCAAGAATTGATCTTTAGCTATATGCGCCTTAAAAATGCGCCATACTTTCTCCTTTGTGATGTGGGCCCAGAGGTGCAGGCCGATTTCGACCCTAAGCAGATCACGAGCGCCAACTTCCCAACGTTAGTCGAAGCAGCCGCACACCACACCGCAAGCAGCAATGGCAACGGCAACTTCCAGGGACAGAACGGCTACTCGGCCTATCTTAGGCATCTCGAGAGGCAACAGGAGCCTCTCAGCGACTTGGAACTGACCACCCTGACGAACTTCCAGGACTGGCTGCAGTCGCCATTGCAACCCCTCTCAGATAACCTCGAATCCGTCACATATGAAGTCTTCGAGGGCGATCCCGTGAAATACTTCCAATACGAAATGGCCATCGCGGCCGCACTTAGGGAGTGGGATGCGCTAGGAAAGCCCAAGTCCGGCCCGGCAGGCGAAGTTGTCATCGCAGTCGCGGGATCCGGTCGAGGACCGCTCGTCACGCGAGCCTTACGAGCCAGCGAGTCCACCGGCGTCCCCGTGCGCCTGTGGGCCGTAGAAAAGAACCCGAACGCGTACGTCTACCTCCTGCGCCAAAACCAGCGAGAATGGGACGGCCGCGTCACCGTCGTGAAGACCGACATGCGAGCGTGGAAAGGCCCGCTCCTCTCCGACCCTTCTTCTTCCCCGCCCGTCCACGGCAAGGTAGACATCCTCGTCTCGGAGCTCCTCGGCTCCTTCGGCGACAACGAGCTCAGCCCCGAATGCCTCGACGGCATCCAGCACGTGCTGGCCCCGGGCTCCGGCATCTCGATCCCGGCCTCGTACACGGCGCACGCGACCCCCATCTCCACGCCCCGCATCTACGCGGACATCTGCCAGCGCGCGGCGGCGGCGGACGCGAACGCGTTCGACACGCCCTGGGTCGTGCGCCTGTTCGCCATAGACTTCGTCGCCGCGAAGGGGGTCCCCGACCATCCCCGCTTCCAGCAGGCGTGGGAGTTCGCGCACCCGCTGCCCAAGGCGACGATGGATGCCGTGGAGGCGAGGCGCGCGGGAGGCGTTGCAGGTGGCGGCGGAGGCAGCATGGCGGGTGCGGTGGGCGCGAACGATCATAACGCGCGACATTGCTGTATGACGTTCGTGTGTCGTACTCGAGGGGTCGTGCATGGGCTCGCGGGCTACTTCGAGGCGGTGCTGTATGAGTCTAAGACGGAGACGGGCGCAGGAAAAGAGGGCGAGGAGGGGGAAGAGGAGGGAAAGGGCATGGTGGATGGAAAGGTCGAGTTGAGCACGCTGCCGGATTTGATACAGAGGAAGAGCAAGGATATGATCTCTTGGTTTCCCATCTTCTTTCCGCTGAAGGTAGGTTGTTACGATATATCTCTTTTGATGAATAACGTCGCGTGCGCTAATACGGAGATATCTAGGAACCGCTCTACTTCCCGCCGGATACCGAGCTGGAGGTTAGCATGTGGCGACAGACCGACGACGCGAAGGTGTGGTACGAGTGGATGGTCGAGGCATTCATGTGGGTTAGTCCGTCACATAGGGTTAAAGTTGGGGGATCGGGCCTATGCAGTAGCCGCAAAGTGGCTTGCCTGTTGTGATACCTACATCCACGATCTTAGGTAAGGGGGACATTTGAAGGGGAGGAGGGGGAAAGGCACGAGCAAGAGAGGGACGAGGTTAGGGGAAAAGCATTTGCATTTTAGGGACTGTCCTCCGTTAGGATAGCCCCTTTTCCCATGCTGCCCAGCTCGGGACCACCGAGTTGGCGATGAATTCAAAGAACTACCATGACCGAACCACAGAAATGCCTATCCCGTTGTGTTTGCTAATCGGGCAGTAGGTCGTATACATTCATGGCATTTGCTCCAAGGCCGTTGATTTTTGCCCGTCATCGTAAGCCCAGTGCTATATCCTGCCCTGCTTCGTTCTTCCAAGACATCGAGGCCATGCTTCATTTAAGGGTATATATCTGCCACCTTCGTCTGATCCGAACCTAGCTTTAACTTATCCGCCCATCTTGACGTCGCCGTTTTCGCCTTGGTCGGCGGCTTTGATCCATAATACGTTGTTACATCTGCAAGGGTTGACGTATTAGCTAACTGCCCAGAGAGCAAGCCCAACTCTACTGTCCCGCTTTCTCTAGTATGGGCATGGGGTAGTATGTGTAGGAAACGCACCGGATCAAGATCTGTCCCAGGTCGCTCGTGAACTTCTGGTCGATGAATTCTTGGGCATTGGTGAGTTGGATGTTCATGTAGCTGTCGGAACTGACGAGTCGACCGCGGTACTCGGTCTCGCCCCACTTTAGTCGCACAACGATGTCTTTGTTGACACTGTCTTCTGTCAATTTCACGGTAATAGCATCTAAGGATTCGCGTAGGGAGACATACAGGTCTTGCAGCATAGGCCGCGGGTTGACAGGCACGAACTATAATTTGGTCAGTTGGTGTTCACGAGAAAAAGACTCATTGAATGAATTGAATAGAATAGAATAGGAAACTTACACTCATGGTCGGGGAGGATGATGAATTTTCGTGAAGAATTGAAAGTGTTGTTTGTCGCGGTAAGCTTCAAGAATAATGGCTTCAAAAGTTCAAAGCTAAAGGCCGAAGGCTGCACCTTGAATTTTTGGACATTGACCCTTGAATCGTAGAAATAGTTTCATTGGTCAGTAGAATTTGTAGGTAAGCGGCATGTACAAAGCGGGGCTTTTCGTTTTTAGAATCCTGCCCCGCCCTAACCCAGGATTGAGCGATTCACTGTATAAAGTCTATGTACTGACTGGCAGGTGGCATCAGGACAGCGGACGATAGTACCTGAGGTAAACATTGCACGTGGTATAACTGGGATACTATTATTAAATTCATTCACGGACAGGTACCTAGGTATGTATTGTAGACGTTCATAAGTCGAATAGCAAAGTTCAGGCTCTCTTAACATCCCATTTCAAGTCCTTAATGCTAACCTCGTCATTGGCCTTCTCGTCATACTCATACCATTCCCCTTCTTGTAAATCAACACCCTCAAACTTGGTTCCAGACTCTACACCATCTGCTAGCCATTCACCCTAAACCAAAATTTAGCTGAAAAGGAAACTAGATAAGAGAGAAATAAGAGCTTCCTACCTCTGGGCTAAAAGATGTGAACTCTAACCCTCTGCAGTCGAACTCGATAATTGTCTGCTGTTTCGGAGGTTCACTTTGTTCATATGGCTTAGGAGCAGTCTTGATAGAGCAAGATGATTCTCGCTAGGTGTCCAAGCATTAGAACGTAGCTCGGTATATGTGTCTATTTGGATGGCAAACAAACCTTGCAGTTCTTGCACTTCCATACGAAATTCGCTTCTCCCCTGCTGCCACTTAATTCGTTGGTTTCCTTAAATTCATGTGTAAGTAACCATATTTGAGAACTACATATACTAGACGGCAATGACATTGAAGAAATGAGTTTCTTACAAATCTGCTGACGGCGACGGGATTGCCGTGCGTCTCTCGACATGAGGTACACTGGACCGTGAAGGTATACCAAAAAGGGTTCTCGGCGGTATCCTTGGGCCGCAGATTGGTAACCCTACAAAGCCCTTCTGATTAGTCAAGTAAAGTGAAGTGTACCTTGACCGTTACTCACCCATTCAATTCTGCTGTTAGCGTGAGCGCATACATGTTGAAGTTTTTGCTTTAAGATATGGGAGTATTGAATGAAAGGGGGGTATAAGAAATTGAGCCTCAATCATTCAATATATTAGGGATATCTCTAAGTATATGCATATGCGTAGGTATGAATGTATCAATATACCTCTATATATACAGGTACCTACATAAATATGCATATTAATCGCCTTTTGAAAGATACGTCAGAGCGGGACAGCACGATAAGTACCCACTAAATTAGCTATGTGGCTTATCTAATATTCGGCAACTTCCCGGATCGCAATATCGAACGATAAAAAACCGATAAAATGATAAAATGATAAACGCTTCAAAAGACGAAACTTCGAACTCGAAGCGCGGGCAGTACCTATAGAAGCCCCTCACTCGGCAACTGAGGTCCGATCGACCTAGATGGCATGCCTCAGGTATGCATTCGTTATGGTCAAGGGCCGCACAAGCGCATATTTCGTGTCGATGTCGATTATGCCTTCATACCGGTCACCAAATCGTGCGCCGATCTACGAATGCGGCTGCGAGACGGAGGGTTTCGGCTGCTGATCTCTTCACCGCGTGCTATACAACTATCCTTGGCACCGCGACCGTTTTCGACGCGAAAAGGAAAGAGGACAGGAAAAGAGACCTCGATGAGAAGTTAGAAAAAGCTAGAACTGCCTTGAGCAATTTGGGTGTTCAAGAGTCCGCTGACCAACAAGGCGATGGACCCTATTATACCGACGACACCACCGCGAATCACGACCAACATAACGGCGCTTGTTCAAGCAAGCTAAATCTAGACGCTTCCTACTCTCCCCATATTCTGCCACAAGAATTGGCAGCTCTGTGTAAAATTGCTCGCCGGCCGCCATCGTATTCATCATGGTTGCAAACCCAACTAGAGTGGGTGCAGATCGAAGCCGCCATCGTCGCGGAAGAGCAGGATCCTGCATACGAACTTAGAGAACCGAGATCTGATCGGCAACTGGAGATGACAACGACAACAGTTATAGGACTGGTAAATCAACTTGTATGGCAGAACCAGGTCAACGAAAGCATGCGGATCCAAGACAGTAGAGAAATACGGGGGGAGAGTTCCAGGTCGGTAGATGAGTTTCTGGACGAGCTTAGAGATACACTACGAACGTCACATTATCCAAGCTACCATATGCCTTATGCGGACATCGAAGATACAGCAAGGAATCGATTTCTTCTGGGAGAATCGATACGGCGTATCTTTAACCAGGCTGCTAGTTCTGCAGAGATTGTAGCCAAAATATCTTACAATCTCTTGACGTCTAGCGCGCCCCCGAGTATTCATACGTACAATACTCTAATCGCTGGCTTCAACCGGATTCAACGCCCCGATCTTGCGCAGGCAGTTGTCGATTCCTACATTTACCGGACGACTTGGCCTGCCACCCAGCAGACCATCGTGTGCTTGCTGAACCATTATCGAGGAACCAATCAAGTGGAAGGTCGGCGAGATATTATTCAGCGAATGAGGGGCGTCAAAGACGACGGACTACACTATCGAATCGTTAATAAGAAGGTTATCTACACGCGCGAGTGGTTAGAATGGGCCGCAGACAATTGCGCTTCGCGAAAGCATGCATTTGTGGAACGGGCACAAAGGAACGATGCCGTATTCAACAGCCTTATTAAAGGTTACCTTCATCGCGGCGAACTCGGCAATGCTAGCATGGCTTTGGTCGCATGTGTGCGCGTTGGAGGCTTCGTCCCCGTCCGAACGCTCCAAGAACTCTTTAGTGCTTGTCTAGCAGCAGTTGATTACGCCGCAACGCGGAAGCTAGTTCGAGGATTTACGAAGAATTTGCTCAGGTTCATGGCCATTGTTAAGAGGATTATCCAGGAAGAATCAGTGGCGACGTCTCGTCAAGTGGTGATGAGCGTTTCTCGTTTATTAGACATATGCTGGTTTCCAGACATAAACATTTTTGGGCCCATCGCTGGGACCTATGTTCGAACGCAACAGAGACTGAGGTCTATCCTGACTAGGGTCCAATTCGAACTCGAGATACGAGAGGCAGAAGATCTATATACGGCTACGCTAAAGGAGATTAATTCGACTGATCTATTGATAAGTCGGCTCGAGAGGACGATTGCTTCTCTAGAGTCTGCTCAACGGAGCAGACGGAAGATTACGGGGCCGCTCACCAACTTTGCCAGTGTGGCTAGAGTTCTTTCTATTGATGCGAGGTGTCGTGACTTAGAACGAAAACTCAAGCTCATGAGGGCGTTGGTAAACGCAGCCGTCATCAAATCCAAGACAGGCTACGACTTCGACCCATCTGGACTTCTCTCCTCCGAACGGCCTTTGAACTTAAGTTATCGCCAGCAGATGCGACGTAAGTCGATCATCAACGCTCTCCAGGCTATCCAGATTAGCGAAAGTCAGATGACGCAAGGGGATACCAAGCTGCAACTTCTCCAAAACTTACCTGATCAAACGCTGGCAAGGAGATTGGAGGACTCGGGCGATGTGGAAAACCTGACTATATTTACTCTCACGACATTTTATGCTCCGAAACTAGGCACCTCCGAGAGATTACGAAAATACAATTGTGGCAAGCCTATAGGGCAGCTGGAGCAGGAGTTCGCGGACGTTGTAAATACGTCCAAGGCGATTCTATTTGCACACCTCATCGGTGGCTTTCAGAGCAAGCTCAGGTATTGGTATCCGGACTGGACCAGGCTACCTCTTGGAAAACTCGTGGAATATCACATGCGGCATGGCATCTGCAAAGCCCGCAGAGCTTGCAAGGTATAAGCTACGAAGCAAACGGAGGTTTGCTGGATCACGCGACCAACAAAACCCCGCAATGAGAACCAGTGAGGACTCATCAACGGTCCTAGAAGACGCGAACGATACAAATGGCATCGTTCCAAGAGGACATGCAACAAACCACGCAGGTATCGAGAGGGGGCCGCATTCACGCCGACCGATCACAAAGCATCGTCCAACGGGTGGACCCGCGTTACGTGACGGGGATTCCATCTTTGGACCCCTCGCGACGTTGGGATGAGGATCCAAGTAAAAGTTGTGGGGTGAGAATGAGGGATGCCCTGCAGAATAAAGGAGACCCTAATTGGATCTGGAGAAGCTTGGCATAAAGACTAGAGGCTTGAACCAAGCCTCTCTTCCCCTGTATATAAAACACGGTATACATAAAATTACTTACATATATGTTTTAAACTAATCGCTAGCCGGTTCTAAAGTAGGTGTGTATTTGGTTGCGCCACGATAGTGATCATGCAGTTTCTATCCCGATACCGGCTGTTGGATAACTCACCGTCTGAGATATGACTATGGCATTTCTAGGGCTCATGGGACTATCAGATTGGCTTAGCTCTGGTTATTGCTTCTTCCTCTCGTGCGTGATATTCGCTATCTAGTTTACTGGGTAGCTAAGATAGGTGAAGATGTTTTAAGTGCGTAAGCCGGTGTGCGGGATTATATTAAGATAGGTACCACCTACCGACATGCATATATGCAGATACAACGTTGACTATGTATCTATCTAGGTATAATATCGTACGTACGAATAGACTGCGGCATACATGAGATACCTAAACATCGAGATATAACTACATACCCTACCTACTACTACATGGCAGTATGGTGTGTACATTAAGTATAGAAATGGATACCTACGTACTAGGTAAGTGATAGATAATGCTGCAACATTGCCACACCTGGGGCTCCCGGTGGGTCTCGTCCTGTCCTCGGACTTTTTAAGGGTTCAGGTCTAGGCAGTTCTGATGGACGTCGACTGCAACGTGAAAGTACTCGATAGGATCGGTTTTTATTTCGGACCAACTTTGTAAGGGGCTTGAATGGGTTAGATGCCGAGTGGATGGAAGGCGTATACCGGTCACCATGTACCTGTATGTGTGTCAATTGATATTTATAACATTTGAAGATTAGATGGTTTTGACCGATGCGAGCGGAGCCGCCGTGTCCGTGAAGGGGTGAAGGCGCGGTAAAGCCCCGGTAAAGCCCCAGCAATAAACAAGCAAGAACGAGGTACTTACAGTTCACTAGCGGGCGGGTGGGTCGAATGGGTGTCTTCTCTACTTACCCCGATTGACCAATCACAGCTCAGCATCTACATCACGTCTCCCCACGGCAAGGATTTACTGGCCCAGGAGATCCCACAAGACCACGAACCAACAAGGACCTTGAAAAACTTGAACTCAAATGATTTAACCTCACCGCTCGGGAAGGTAGAAAAGCGGATCTTATATGGGTTATTTAGGGCTTACTGCGTCACTGCCAGTTTGCGGATGCAGATGGAGCGATGGAGCTACATATGTAATATCCATACTTAGGTCTACGTACCTAGAAACTTAAGGGTCTTTAACTGGCAGGACTGGCTGCATATTGCATGTGCTCCTAAGCATCTCCCCAGACTTAACCCTTAACCACTGCAAACAGGGTACAATTACACAGAGTGACACGCCTCTTGGTGTGGATTGTGGATTTTCAAATAAGTACCTACTTACCTAGTCCTCTTCCTCACCTAGATACTTCTCCCTCTACCAACCCACTTCTACCTTACATACCTATACAAAGGTAAACTGTCTTCTCTCCTCCCCGAGTCTGACAGACATATCAATGGCTCCAGATATCAGCCATCGACAGCAACAAGAGGCACAATCGACTGGTTATTCGTGATATCCACCGGCCACATCATCATCGTTCGATCAACCTGAGTATCAATCGAAGAGTTCGTCGTCACGCCGGTGTTGCAGATTTCAACTATTTGCAATCACCTAACTCTTCTCCGGCGATTATTAGTATCCAATACGACTGACTATATCCCTGGGCCCGCGTAAGACCTTTATTACTTCTATGAGGCACTGTAATGAATAGGTAATCAAGAGCTAAACACATCATAGGTAGTACATTGGTCACTAGATCCAGGTCACTTGTACAGCTCTGTTCGTTATTTGGTCAAAGCCATTTAATACACTACCCAACTCTTATCCTGCTATTTCAACTCATCTTCTCTTCCGTATACGTATCCAGAAAAAGGAAAGGAAAGGAAAAGACGCGATGAAGTTTGGTAGAAAGTAAGTCCAGACAGCTCTATGCCAGTACTTATCTGTAGGTGGATGCTCACATTGCACCATAGCTTACCACGGAACCAAGTCCCCGAGTGGGCGGCTTCGTATATCGATTACAAGGGTCTTAAGAAGTTGATTAAGGCGGCCACGAAAGCAGCTCAGGCGGGAGAGAATGTTGATCTAGCAGGTGGGCTAAATTCTTCGACGCTATGTCGATGCCGGTTGTATCCCCTAACCTAATCCAACAGAGTTTTTCTTCGCTCTGGATCGTAACCTCGAGGACGTCGACTCCTTCTATAACAAGAAGTTTGCCGAAGCCCATCGCCGTATCAAGCTCCTCGAGGATAGATATGGCAGGAGTCCCGATGTCGTTACCGATCTAGATGACCAGGAGAGCGAGGAGCTTATGGGAGCTCTACTTGAGCTTCGGAATCAGCTTCGAAATCTACAATGGTTTGGCGAAATTAACCGCAGAGGTTTCGTCAAGATTACCAAGAAACTGGATAAGAAAGTGCCCAATACGACTACTCAGGAGCGATATATCACGACGAAGGTCGACCCTAAGCCGTTTGCTAAGGATACCACCACCGTGCGGTTGATCAATGAGATTAATAAGTGGCTGTCAGCTCTTGGAGATGCCCAAAATCTTGACGATACCGCATCAGTAAAATCTACGCGTTCAGTTCTTTCACTCGGAAGAGTGACCGCCAAGGCTATGTTAAGCGTCCCGCAAACCATCCTCGATAAGCTTGACGCAGCAATTCGCAAGGACGACGTCAGGGCCTTGGAGGGTTGCCTGACCTCCGAAAATTTGGTTACTCCCGAACAGGCTTCCCAGGAAATGTTGCTCAACCTCCTTCAACGTTCCATTTCTGCTCGGTCAAAGGCTTGTATCGCTTATCTTTTGAAACAGACCAAGTCGTTAGATGAGCCGAGTGATTTAAACGAGCGGAACTGCGTCCATCGTCTAGTCATCCACATCGGAAGAAGTAAATCATCTCTGGCTAGCGATCTGGAACCTAATGCCGTTTCCCTCCCGATCAAGTCTCACTACAATAGCCATTATATTGCACCAGCCCAGACCAACGGTTCTGCAACGACACGTTCAGTTAACGGCAACGGTTCTGGTCCACAACTGTTGAGCAAAGAAGACGAAACAGTGCAGATTTTATGCTACCTTTTAGATTGTCTCCAGGATGGTCAACGCTCTGCTTTGATCAGTAAAGACTCTCTGGGTCGTATCCCGTTGCATTATGCGGCGCAATTCGGTTTCGTCGTCCTTTGCCAAGTCCTCATGGCAAAAATGCAAGAATGGGGGCAATTCAATGTCGAGGATGGAATTGACGCTCCGCAATGGCAGGATAAGGAAGGCAACGCGCCGCTCCATCTTGCAGTTATTGGCGGTCATCCGTTAACCACGAAATGCCTCTTGCAAGGTGAGAATTGGCAGGGTCTGACTCATAAAGAAGGAAGGAAGCCTGTTTCCAAGTCCAGCGCAGTGTTGGCATTGGCCACGAAATCAAATTTCGTATACATTATACGACTGCTAGTAGAAGCTGGTGTTGACATCAACTGGCAAGACGAGACGGGCGAGACCGCGCTACATATTGCCGCTAGGTTTGGACATGCCGATTGTGCCAAGATTTTGCTCGAGGGTTCAGCCGAACAGAAGGCAAACCTGGAATTGACGGAGAAGTCTTTTGCCTGGACTCCTCTACATATATCAGCTGTAGACGGCCATTTCGATGTTGCGCAGCTCCTGGTGGAAGCTGGAGCAGATGCCGGAAAAACGGACTCTTTTGGATGGACGGCTAAAGAGCATGCAGCTTTAAGGGGGCATCTGAAAATTGCGAAGCTCCTTGCGGAGTACACAGTCAGCTCCCCATCTCTCAACGCCGTGGAGGACATCGAAACGCCATCGTCTGGACCATCGACGCCTCCAGAAACATCATCCCTCGAAGACCGAAAGTCTGACGGAAGCACCCGAATCGCGGAGCCGATCAAGTCCTTTGGACATCGCTACCTCAGGGACCGCAGTCTCGTGCTGGTGAGTCTGGGCTCTATGGATATGCGGAAGAACATCGAGGCTGTGAAGCTCGACCGTGTTCCCCTAACAGAAGCCCATATGAATCAACTCGACACAGCTCTGTCCGTCGTGGTTTCAGCACAAGGCGCCCAGGGGGAACCGACCATCATCGACCTCCCGGTGCATGAAAACATCTCTACCGAGCCAATCTTGTTCACCACCTCCGACGCTTCCAATGTCAGGCTACTCTTCGACATTGTGCCAACCTACTCTGGAAATGAGAAAAACAAGGTAGGCCGTGCTGTAGCACTGCTATCATCTGTACGCCCATCAATCGGGGCAAAACGAATGAACCTTCAAGGTGACATATGCGTGCCGATTATGGGCGCGAATCTTGAAGTCATCGGCGCCGTCAACTTCAATTTCCTCATCATTACACCATTCTCTCACCCAAACATGGAGATCAACTCGCAGCAAACATACTGGAAGAAGCTGTCCTCCACCATGGTTTTCGGTCATCGTGGTTTGGGCAAGAATTTCCTCGAGAATAAATCGCTCCAGCTGGGAGAGAACACAGTCTCGTCATTCATCGCTGCGGCCAATTTAGGAGCTCACTATGTCGAATTTGATGTCCAGCTAACTAAAGACCACGTCCCAGTCATCTACCATGATTTCTTAGTGAGCGAGACAGGGATAGATGCGCCAGTTCATACATTAACCTTGGAGCAATTCCTTCACATTAACAACGAGTCGCAATCAAGATCCGGAAGAGCCTCCCCGGAGAGGAAGAAGAGCGAGACGAACGGAAATGGTACGAAAGAACCTGGATCGCGGCAAAGATCTCTTTCCGTGGACTTGGCCAAGGGGGTCAAGGACAATCTGAACGAGCGTATGAAATACACGCTCAACTTCAAGAAGAAAGGATACAAGGCCAACACTCGTGGCAATTTCGTCCAGGCGCCCTTTGCGACACTTGAGGAGCTCTTCAAGAAAATACCGGAGAATGTAGGGTTCAACATCGAGATGAAGTATCCTATGCTATTCGAGAGCGAGAAAGAAGACATGGATACATATGCTATTGAGCTCAATTCATTCTGCGACACGGTTTTGACCAAGGTTTATGACATGACCAAGCATCGTCACATTATCTTCAGCAGCTTCAACCCAGATATCTGTCTCTGTCTCAGCTTTAAACAACCTAGCATTCCGATCCTATTCCTGACTGATGCAGGAACGGAGGAGGTCAGCGATATCCGAGCCAGCAGTCTTCAGGAGGCTGTACGTTTTGCTAGTCGGTGGAACCTTCTTGGCATTGTGAGCAACGCAGAGCCGTTCGTAAACAGCCCTCGGTTGGTGAAGGTGGTCAAACAGACCGGATTGGTCTGCGTTAGTTATGGAACACAGAACAACGACCCTTCTTTAGTCCAGGTAAGTTGCCTCATCACTCTATTTGCGCGTGAGTGAACGAAGAACTAATCAAGGTATTTTCTATATAGCGGCAAGTTAAAGAAGGCATTGACGCGGTGATCGTGGACAATGTACTAGCGATCCGCCGGGGATTGACCAAGGATGATGATTGATTATCACTCTATGCATAGGGCTGAAGAGGACGAACCGAAATGTTGGTTCTGATAGTCAAATCAGAGAAGATATTATCTGTGAAGTAGTAATATGAATTCGCAGAGTATGTGGTGATATATGACATTATATCATTACTAGATCATGAATGGATCGTTAGTTAACATGTGTTACGGCGTTACAGCGCTCCAGCTGTCTCCCAAAAGTCGTGACCTCCCGTAATGCCTAACCGCAATAACCGGGGTTCTAAGATCGGAGTTCCGACCGTGACGACAGCTGAAAGCTGCCTGAAGCCGATAATACCGATAACATTGTATCGGTGGTTGAGCAAATTGTTGAATGATTTATGCATTTAAGACGATCCGGCGGCAGACTTTCGCCGAAGACCGGCCGATTGGTAAGGACAGCCAATGCTGCGCACCTGCCGGTCGTCACATCACCAGAGGCAAAAGGCAAAAGGCAAAAAGAATCAAACTTCGTTCGAAGTCCACCAATTCGCCAATTCTCTTCTGACAACAACAGGTTCTAGTCATTACTATTACCAACTCCTGAGGTTTTACCATCATCCTTAGGAGAATGCAGCCTCTTCCTTAGTCACCAATCAGAAGCTACCTGCTCTTCCCTTTTTCTTAGATTCATTATTCGTTTCTATTCCCGATTTCCGAATTGATTGGTGGCGGTCGGCGGTCTTTTTCATAGTCTACCCATTTTTCGTATCCTCGCCCGTCATTGCGCATATTTCCTACCTTCTTTTCCTCCGTCGGCTCCGAGTAGAGAGTGTTATTTAATCCCGGTGGACTGGCCGTCCGCGCGCACCGAGTCAAGTCGCCATGGCGCTCCGAACGTCTGCTCTTCCGAGCATCGCGGCGGCGACAACGGAGCTGTGGCCGTCAATCATGAGGGCCATTATGGTACCTTTACGAGCTTCATCGCTGCCGCCGTCGAACCCGAATGCGCTCCGGACCAAGGAAGTCGAAATCGAGTCAAGCCCGCAACCGACGAATGCGAACGTCCAAGCTAAGGTCTCTCCCGGTCTGGCCAAGTTCGAGCTTCCCGAGTTTCTTCGAGATGCTCGAATTGGTGCCCATCTCCTACCAGCTGCATCTGTGAAGAATGTCTCCGCTCCCTTCGATATCCGCTCATCGATTTCGACACTGCACCGTGCCTCTATTCTTGCATGCAATCCGATGGTACCTCGTCTTCAACCACAATATGTACCGCTCCGATCTATGTCTGCCGCAACCACTCTACGTCCATTCTCGAACCCGCTCATGAAAATCAATATGATGAACATGCCTCAACGAAGATCTTTTCAGACTGGCGGATTGTCTAGAAACCTACTTGCTCATATGGAGGAATCTGCCAACAGGAACCCGACAAGCGCTACTGCTCAGAACGCATTCTACCAGGCCCTTTTGAGGGCGAACATGCCCGCTATCATTATCGAGAGATATCAGTCTGGACGGTTTGCGGCAAATCCCGCGGCGACCGAAGCGTACCACAAGGCATTGAGCATGTTGACTCCCAGTGGTGGCCAGGGTGTGCGCGATGAGGATATCAACCAAACTGTAAAGAACCTACCCGGAGATCTGACGCCCACACAAGTCCAAGCCGTAACTCAGGCTCTAGCTGCCCGATCTCGCGGCGGTAACCTAGCGGTTTCCAAAAGTGGTCAGGCAACTGGCGCAAAGGATGGTCCTCTCCACGTTGTCGTTGACGAGACACTGGGTGGTAGCGTCTTCCGTTGGATCAAATTTCTCCTGTGGTTCTGTCTATTCACATATCTGAGCTTGGTTGTCGTGACTATGCTCATCGAGGGATTAAGTGTTCTAAAGCGACCTGGAGGCAAAGTCGAAAGCGAAGTCAAGGCTGAGCACCAGAAGACTCGATTCTCGGATGTCCATGGCGCCGACGAGGCCAAGGAAGAATTGCAAGAGATGGTCGAGTTCCTGCGCAACCCCGATAAGTTCTCCCAACTCGGTGGCAAGTTGCCCAAGGGTATTCTGCTAGTTGGACCTCCCGGCACTGGAAAGACTCTTCTCGCTAGGGCCGTCGCCGGCGAAGCTGGCGTCCCGTTCTTCTACATGTCTGGTAGCGAATTCGATGAAGTCTATGTCGGTGTCGGCGCCAAGCGAGTGAGGGATCTTTTTGCCGCTGCCAAGTCTAAGTCGCCCGCCATCGTTTTCATCGATGAACTCGATGCCATTGGAGGACGCCGTAATGCGCGTGACGCTGCTTATGTCAAACAGACATTGAACCAACTTCTCACTGAACTCGATGGTTTCGATCAGACCAGTGGTGTTATTATCATCGGTGCTACGAACTTCCCCGAGCTGCTTGACAAGGCCCTTACGCGACCTGGTCGTTTTGATCGTCATGTCACCGTCGATCTTCCTGATGTGCGTGGCCGTCTTGCCATCCTAAAGCACCACTCCAGGAAAATAAAGGCCGCTACAGATGTTGATCTCCAAGCCATCGCCCTGGGTACTCCCGGCCTGTCCGGAGCCGAGCTGGAAAACATTGTCAATCAAGCTGCCGTTCACGCCAGCAAGGTAAAGGCTTCCGTAGTCAGGAAGGAGGATTTCGACTGGGCCAAGGACAGAGTTATCATGGGCGCCGAGCGAAGGACTATGGTCATCAGCGCCGAAGAGAAGGAGATGACAGCTTATCACGAAGCCGGCCATGCGCTTGTCAACCTCTTGACTAAGGGTTCTGGTTCAAGCCTGTACAAAGTTACCGTTCTACCCCGCGCCCATTCGCTAGGTCATACTGCGTCTCTTCCAGAGATGGACAAGTATTCTTACACCATCAGCAACTATCTAGCTCGCATAGACATGTGCCTTGGTGGTAAACTCGCGGAAGAGATTGTCTATGGGGTCAACTCAGTCACCAGCGGCGCCTCATCGGTAAGACACCTCCGTTAGATTTTCTTATGCTGGATCAATATTTATTAACATCTCGATTAGGATCTCAAAGTGGCTACCGCCGTGGCCTTCGACATGGTTGCAAGCTTGGGAATGTCTTCTAAACTCGGAAACATGGAGTATGGGAGCCGATACGACACTCTCAGCAGCGAGACCAAGGCCCAAGTCGAGTCGGAAGTCCAACGTACTCTCAACGAAGCTTATGAGCGCGCCCGCAAGCTCTTAACTGACCATCGTAAGGAGCTCGACCTATTAGCCAAGGCTCTCGTTGAATATGAAACATTAAGTAAAGAGGAGGTTGAGAAGGTTATTCGCGGAGAGAAGCTAACCGATCGTATCGCCGTCCCGAAGGGCCCCATGGTTGTCCCCTCATCTGCTAAACCTCCGGCTCCAGGCGAACTGGCGCCTATTCCCGGCACAGGAGAAGAGGGCGGACGACCTCCGCCACCAGTGCCTCCAGCACCCGGTGGACTTGCCCCGAAGAGTGAATAATTAATCTAACCACTTGGAATGGAAAGACTCAATTGAACTCATAATTACCTGGGGCATGTCGAAGACAAATAGAAACGAGTGGATCGAGCATTGTCCTGACGCTAGGCATAGTAACAATGCTGGGATTGGAGTTGCGTTAGGCGGCTTTACCACATACATATATGGTATACATCGCAACTAACGCGCCAATCGAGAGGGGCGGAAGGACACTTGAGACGTTGGCTACCTAGATATCATCTGATTACCTAGGTAGGTACCTGCGCGAGACGAGGGTGGGATTCGCAGAAGCGGATAACGCCTGTACGGCATCGCTACTACTTGATACTACTCCTACTCCTATTACTACTAGTTAACGGGGATGGCTAGTAGATAATCTACTTTGCCTGTGTATATGTCATAGGGGACTCCTATGTCAAAAAATAAAAAGCATGTACCGATTGTAACGTTAGGGATATTCATCTGCTCTCTACATTCGACGAACAGAGCGACTTCAAAAAGAATATCGGCCTTGGTGGGTGATTTGTTCATGTGAGACGACTTGTGATAACGTGACTCGTGACGATATCCATCATATACCGTGGCTAAGGGGGTGAGGCTAGGTACCTGTTGGTTTGGTCTCTGCGTTCATGATGTACATACCTGTAGTAGTGTGTAGCAATCTTAGTAGAATATCGAGAGCCTGGGCATGGTCAGAGAAGCTATCGCGAGACCTCCCTCGAGATATGCGCCGTGCTGGGCTACGGAGTTAAGTTAAACTCTTATCTAGGAAATATATTAAATCATTCATACGATGGACCGACGTGCTCTCTCCAGCTCTACGCATACTATTGCCCCGTACCTCCCTTATAGCGGTACAATCTTTTTGAAAGGAGCTTCTAATTCTAGATTGTATCGCCAGAGCCCAGGCGGTAACTGATTTACACCATCAAAGGAGTAGCGGACAATGGCCACATCAGCTGATATCCTTAGAAGAGTTTATAATTACATCGTGCTTCTAATGTAAGAAATGTAGGTACCAAAATAACTTGGTGCTTTGTTTCTTTACAAGCTCTCATATATATTAAGTTAATCTTTGAAAGTTTACCCGTCTAAGTCGTCAGTTAAACCTATATGATATCTTCATAAGAGCGTAATTTACCTGGTAACTAATTCCTGGAGGCTCTTATCCAGGACTATTTCACACAGAAATATAGGTACCTAGTTGAGACAAAAACCAATACCTCGATAACGGTGATAACATACATTAAATCATGATATCATCATTTGTTAGATACGCCGTAGGAGGTTAACATGGTAAAGGGGATGGGCAAAAACATCGTCATTCTGGCGAGCCTCAGTTATTTCATGGTATTAAACCGTTTTCAGTGATTATAAAACAGCTAGCCGAAGACCAAATCTACAATCGAGAACTTAGGTAATATTCAGTCAAGGGGCTCTACAATGGCGCCAGATCTTCGAGAGATTTCCGACAAGCTCCTAAATTAGGACGACTTCGAATACAGAAATTCAGACTAACAGGATTCAAGCTACACAACCTTATAACGTAGGTAGATACCTAAATTGCCGTCGAAAAAGTAGGCTAAATAAGTAATAAGTCACCTATCTATTTATCTACCTACCTAGGTAGCCAACTAATTCCCACATTAACCTATCTTGTATTAAGACATGATGAGACGAATCTCGGGCATTTTGACTTCTCGTAAGATACATACTAGGATCATACTCACTTCACGCTTCCAGAAAAACGAGACAAAGAACATCACTGAGTAGTAACGAGACTAAAAAGTTACATAAGACATATGACACCAGGGATTCGCTGGTCGTCACCGATCCAAGTACTTATCCGGCAGTATGTAGTTTACCTACGGGAGAGTGGACGGGATCCAGAGTTCCCCAGATTCTATGGTCGTACGTGCTTGAGCCGTCTGCTAAGGAGGTGTATGGACCATGCTAACGAAGCAAATCCTTTACCAATTCGTGTATTGCGATTAGATAGGAAAGGAACTAGTCGTAAAGAGTCAGGAGGCTACCTGATAATGTATGTAACGACTCGGCATAATAACTTCATATTAACGACTAGGAAGAATAATAAGCTGGGAATAGCGCGAATTTCACGTTTTCCTTTTTAGGTCATGACAGCAAGCTTAGATATGTTGGATGTTGAGAGCTGACGATCAACTTGTCCAGATGGAAATAGCCATTTTCACGCTCATATTAGTCCCACTATTATTCTTTATGCTTCTTCGACCGGGAGAAAAAGCCTAGAACGGTGGAGGCATACCTAGTCCCTAACATGGGAGTTGGATAGGTAGTGGTTAGTAACGTACATCCGAACTTAGGCATGCGCTTTGTTGCTACCCACGTCGGATAGCTCGGCCGATAGCTAGATTCGGAAGGGCAAGGTTTAGGGAAAGGCTTGTCGCCGAATTTCCAGGCCTCGAGCGGTCAAGGTTAAGCGGCCGTGGTTGCGAGGCTTCGGATAGCCTCCTTGAAAGGTCAGTGCGAAATGGATACTTTGTCATCTTACGACAACTACCGGCCTTTTTTCATACATCAGCTATTGGAACACACGAGAGAGTCCCGGCGGTGAATTGGAGAGACGGATTTTGCCACTGTGGGTCATGTTTCGTGAGAATGTCTATCTTATAGCTCACAGACAGGTAAGGTAATCATGTACAAGAAATTCTTTAGGCGATCCATCCTAGAGCTGGCTATCGTCGATGGCTTCGCCGCGTCTTGGTCCTTGTGTCCAAGGAAATGCTAATGCTAATCTACAGAGTTACTTGATGCAGCGAAGTCAAATCTAGCCGCCTATCCGTTCAGGCTCCTAGGTGATCGACGATGCCTCATATTCAGTTCTACGCTACTATCCTAGTAGTCTATCTAAGCGATATGCTCATTATAGCATCTTGTGAGGTGCTCACAGGCAATTGATGTCAAGGAGTAGAGTGTTGGTAGCGACCTTGATTGGTTATAACTATTTAATTAGGTACTTTTACGCCTTGCCGAGATTAATCTATACCGTTCTTTGAACGTTTGATACGCGGCTGAACTTATTACGTTCAGCAACGTCAGATATCCCGAGACCTTGGACTTGGAATGAACGTCGGCTTCTCGCACCCGAAACCACGCAGGTTCAGCCGCAAGCTGACGGGCTGTTTTGAGGAAGAGCGTCAGGGCCAAACATCGGGCTCAGCAAGGGCAAAGTTCAAGACAAGTGCCCTGATGGACCTCACTCCCTTGCGTTTCTGCTTTTGCCTCGCTAGCTGTACGACTTGAACTAATTATCGTGACAGCTTCTAGAAAAAATATGCGGTTCGTTGATATGGAGCAGCATACATATTCTGATTGGTTTTTGATATTAAGTATAAGACATATTGGGCCCCTATATTGACCTATTTCAACTAGATATTAGGTCAGTCAGCTGCGAAGAAATCCATACACCTTTTTAACATGTCATAAGCCCGCTAGAGAAACAAGGGGTTTTGGCATCTCGGGGCAAGATTTTGTTTTCGGACCCGGTAACTGTCCGTTGGTGCCGTCCTAGTTAATGCTCATGAGTATAGATTCACAGGAGGCAGGTTCTTGGCCTCTCTCATGCTTCCCACCACAAAGGATGATAGGACATGACAAGTTAGCAACAATTCGATTCCCCCAAACTGCCGGGTTTAGTTGGATATTAACACCACGTAATCCACTTGCATGTCTGCAGTAGTCTGTTTGTTTTGTCGAATACACGTTGAGGACAGCTGCTTACCTGTAGTATGTTTGCTGCATGTCTAGGTAGGTATCAATTGTTGAGCTACGCCTCTAAATATGGACTGATATAACCTTGCAGATGTCTCAGTTTGTAGTGATAGACCTGCAATGCGTTGTAATAATACAATCAGCTCTAGCTAGGCATCTACCTGCCGGCATATTGTCATGCAAGCTGGCCCTCCTCTATAATGAGCCTTACTAGGAGGGGACATACTACGTGAATACCACCATCTTGAGCACTAACCGAGGCAATCTTGATCCCTTTCTCCGGCACGCGTTCGAACTCTGCGTGGGATAGTGGCGTCGGCTGAAAAGTGGCTTGCAGGACGGCACGCACGAGAGGTTACACGGCGTTTCGGAATTTTCCCTCCCGTGATATGCACTGGAACGGTCCCGACATATGATCTGATCGGTGGACTACCGGTCTGCGATTATCGTAAGGTTTTCGGGTTGGACAAGATCGTAGTCGATGTGATATCGGCCCCGACGGGCATAGAGGTTGCAACAAAACTGCCGAGAGGTGACCGGGTAGCTGGGTTTTCGACCTCGAGCAATTTCCACGCATCGTATCGACATGTTTGTAGTCGTAGGTAGGTAGCACAAGTTATGCATGACGAATCCTTTGGAGGAAGTTCGGCGTTATTCAGCATCTTCGCTTTACAAACGGACGGTAAGGCGTACAGTGCACCACTCGGGACAGGACAATCTCATTCGGTTCCGAATATTATCTTGAGTATTATTTTCGCTCCCGTAGAATCATTCTGGCGGACGATGAGGGAGGAGAGAGCCCTGAACAGCACGAATCTGGCGTATCTACCACCTTACAGACGATAATATGTCCTTGAGCGTTGAAATAAGTGATACCGACAGCATGGTAAGCTAAGGATCAAGCGGATTCGAATTCTCTGGACGGATCAACCTCGTTCTGAAACTCAAGGATACCCTTAAGTTAGATAGTTCCTCATCTAACCTAACGCGCCGAGATACCCCATATGAGGCTCTTCATGTACGATGTAGCTAGTTAAAGGAGAGACGCGTCCACTTCGCCAGCATATGCTCTAGTTGTCCTAAGGCAGGCGAAATCATACGATGCTGTCTCACTGCGAGATCCCGCACCCAGCGCTCTGGAACTCTAGTACACCTGCAGTCATCATAGGTAACGTTTGATCGAATCGATATCTTTGGGAACTGATGCCAAGGAGAGAAAGGGCGGTTCGTAGGTTTGTCTTCGAGATCCGATCAGACGAGACGGATGCTAGGAGGTTTCTGAAGGGATAACGAACGTCTCTCGGCATCAAGGTTCGGCTTTGGAAACCGAGAGATTTCTCCCAAGGGCTTCGCATACCCCTTAACAAGTTCACTATCAATTTTCTCTAAGGTTAGCGATAGCTTCAACGTTGTATGACCTAGGGAA